CGTATTTGATCGATTGACGGTTGTTGGTAGCCATCTGCCTAACAGTAGTAAAATCGTCAATGCCTAGCAGGCTAAGGCCTTTAAATACGTTCTTCTCCCATTCATTCCAGTCTGCGCCGCTGGTAAGCGTTGGCACTTGCTTCGAGCAGTGGCTTACGAACAGCTTGATGCATGTCGGGTCGACCTGAATCGGATCAGGCGCCGCTGCACTGGCTTGTGACATGGTAGGAGATTCGGGTTTTGGTTCTGGATCGTGAAAAGATTCAGAGGTTCGTGACTGCTGATCAGGTTCTTCACCACCAGCGTCGTTTTCGTTGTTTGGAGTGTCTTCGTCAAGCTCAGCCCCGTGAATGCTATTTTCGTTAGCCACGTGAATGCTGCTTCCGATGCTTGATTCGGACTCAGCGTCTGATTCTGATTCAACGATCAGAGGTCTGCTGCTTAGTCTGCCACTGGGAGTTCTGTTCCAGCCAGGCGAGGTCATGAATATGACCTTGGTGATCTTGACAAGGTTCTTTTCGTCCGTCAGATCAGTGCCCAAAGCACTAGGTGCTTCACGAAGCGTATCGTAAAGGCTTTTCGGTTTATTTGTTCAGCTTCTCCCGGTCCTCTTGGGCCGGGCTCATAACCTGTGAAGGTTAAGGGAGGCTATACGTAGCGGTCATATAACGTGATGCACTGTGAGGAGCAGGAGGCTGAATAGGGTCTAGTGTGGGCGAAAGAGTGTTGTGTACTTGGGAAGAAATAGATACATCGCGACCCTTCTGGGGATCCGTATTAATACTAGTGTCAGGCCCCGCTTTTGTGCCTTCTGACCAATTACAGGCCAGTACGGCCAAGTGGGGCGGAAGGGCCACAGTGTGGCGGATTCCAATGCTTGACAACAACATCTCCGCGATTAGCATTACGAAAAAGCTTGAATTTAGAGAGCGTTTAAAGCACTTCGACGTTAAGTAGCACTACTTTCGTGAAAGCGTACTAGGCGGCTTGTTGACGGTACGGTACGTAACGTTTAAGGATTAGATTGCTAATATTATAACGAAGGCGCTGCCTAAGGCAGCGTTTAAGAGGCTATTGCCTTGCTTAATAGGCTGGCAGCTATAAAAAGGGCTGCTAAGGATAATTTTAGTGTATTGCGGTGCGCCTACGTGGCGTATTTAGGGGGAGTGTTAAGCATTGAAATCTACTACACTGTAGCCCTTCCGCCCCACTTGGCCGTACAGGCCTGTAATTGGTTAGAAGGCATAAAAGCGGGGCCTAACACTAGTATTAATACGGATCCTTAGAAGGGTTGCGATGTATCTATTTCTTTCTTAGTATACAACACTCTTTCGCTTATACTAGACCCTATTTAGCCTTCTGCTCCTTATAGTGCATCACGTTATATAACCGCTACGTATAGCCTCCTTTAACCTTAACAGTTTTTTATAAGATAAATATTTTAGTCTTTTTTTTTTTTTAATAGTAACCTTTAGCTTTACTTTTAAAAGCTAAGATAGCATTTTAATAAGCTTTACTTTTAAGCGTTTTATAATATTCTTTTTAAACTAATTAAAGCAGTCCTTTATACTTATATATAGGCATTATTAATATATTGTTAAAGGTATACTTAGGTAGGCTAGGTAAGTTAGGCAGGCAAGGAGGTATCTTCTTAACAGGAGGGAGCAGCCGTATATTCAATAGCTAATTCTTGCCTTCTGCATTCTAAGGGAGTGCGGGAGGCGCTCTTTATCGTAGGCGCACCTCTGGCGCACCAAGTGCGTAGGACAGGCGCGACCCCGTTTCTACTTAGCCCGTTCGCTAGCACGTGCTGTGGCCTGTGCGCAGACTGCGCCACGCAGCCTGCGCTACAAGCACCGCTTCTAGTTTACGATGTGCATCTAATACGCTGTGCGCATACTGCGTACGGCTTGCGCGTAGCCTGCGTCGGTCCCCTTCCTAGGGCGGCGTTATATATATATAATTACTAAAATGCCTTTACTATAGTAGCATACTACGTTTATTAGTATAATAACTAGTTTAATCTTCTTTATAACGCTTTTTAAGGTTAGCTACTACTAGTGTTCTTTTTATTTTAATCTATATAAGGCGCGTCTTAGTTTAATAATCTTTTTTAGACTATATCTTATATCTTTTACTATATTAAGGTATATCTTAAAGAACTAGTATAGTATTTAATTAACCTTTATATAGACGTTATAGTTTATTAAGTTATATACGTATACTGCTATAATGTAAGGGTTAGTGTGCAATGCGTAGTTATAAAGGCTTAACTAGTTTATACTGTTATATTAAGACTTTAACTTAACGAACTATAGAAGACTAGTAGGCGAAGGCCTGCCAGCTAATTTATACGTGGCTGGAAGATGCGGTGTCGCAACCCTAGTGGGGCGTGGCACAGCTAAGTGGCTGTGCTAGTCCTATGCAACGTGTCAAGATAGTTCGTTAAGTCCGTCGCTTGGTAAGCGACTGGTTGCCGAACCGGTGCGTAGAGATGCGTGTGTGGAATACCCTTACATATAATGTTAAACTAATAGATAGTTTAGCTAAACTTCTCTTTTAGCTTTTATTTAAAGCTAAAAAACTTTTATTTTATTTAACTATAGTAGCTAACTTGTTTAGGCAATACTATATCTTAATCTAGTTATATACTTTAATAAGGGTATTAACGTTATTTAACGTTTATACTATTTTTAAATTAATCTTATTTAATAGTATAGTACGAATAATCTACTAGGCGTTATCGTTATACTGCTTAATGTTAATAATTATCTTAATCTTGCTAATAAGATTTAAACTATTTATTATAGCTTAGTTTTATTTTAGCTACTTTTTAGCTTTATTTAAGCATATCTTAAGGCGATTAGTTTGTTTAATAAAATAGTCTAGCGTCTTCTCTAGCACTACTCTTAATATAGTAGGTATTAAAGGTGCTTGCCCTATACTAAGTGCTAGTGCCCTATTAGCTATAACCTAATAGTTTTAGTAATTAATTTAATTAATTTAATAGTAAGCGCAATCTTACTTAATCCTTAGCGTTTACAAAAGAACTTTCTTCTTCTTCTTCTTCTTTTTCTTCTCTTAATACTAAGAGAGGATTGCTATCTTTTATTTTAAGGCCAACTTAACTCTGATTCAGGCTGGATACTTCTTCTTAATCTAACTTCTAGTAACGGTCCTCGAACGTGCGCTAGAAGTTTCCTAATAGCTTATAGGATCTAATTAAGGCTTCGCCTACTAGGCGGGAAAACCGGGTTTTAGCCCAAAAGGGCTAAAAAAGTAATGCTACGAGAGGCGTATTGTAATAATTAGATTAAATAACAATGCTTTGTTTACCGGGTGTGCTCCCAGGCTTATAACCTATCAAATTCGTGCTTACTTAGCATAAAAGGTTGGTTGTATTACTAAAGAGAGTAGAGGAGAAGATGCAGCTATTCTAGAGGGATAAAACTCTGCATAGGGTGGAGCCCTGATTGACCAATCAGGGCTCACCCGTATATCACATGACTTGTGATTACTTAACAGCGCTTTACGAACATTTTTCGTTTTTCGAATCCTAGCACTCTCCTTATTATTTTCGTTAGGCTGTTTTTGTCGAACGGACTAGGCCAAAATGGGTGGGGTGTGTACGATTGTGCCGTGTGATGAAAGAATACATGTACGGTGTGGCGCAGGGCGCTATTTAGTAAGGGATTTCATGCAAGTCGGCATAGCTCGGAAGTAGCCAACCACAACAATACACACACGCTCACTGGGCACCCATAATTTGACAGTTTTGAATCTCGCATCTTGTGTATTTCATGCCGCCCTTTTTAATTCAAATCAAAATGTCGTCACTCCAGCCTCACCGTTAGAGAAAATTCCGGTCTACAGCAGTGTCGGAGTTGACACAGTACGGCGGTGTGCCTCCATTTAAAAGCTTGCAACAGCTACCTAAAAAGACTATTCATGACGCCTACTACGATCGAGGCGGCATATTGTCCTCCGTGGGGGCCTGGGTGCGGCTGCGTTATGATGCCTGGCAGGTCAAAATAAGCAATGGTGGAAACTACATTAATTCACGATTCGAGGAGCTGTACGGTGCACATGACATTGGTGCCTACGTGCAGCTGTATCTTGTAAAGGATTAGGAGACCATGGGCAAGTTACACATTGCTATAAAAATATCGAGCTCTAAAAGAAGGACGAAACTTTCTACAGGAGCTGATCGCATTTCGCACTTTTTAGGCGTGTACTCGGTGTCGATATTGCAAGAGACTCGACGAGTAGTTACGTAAAGATCAAGTATCAGTCCTAATGAATTTGGGAAATTGAGGACACGTATAAAATTGATGGCATCAATGATAACTACTCTTAATTCGACGATAAACTCTTTCGCGATTTTTGTTTTTCTCTTTCCAGTCCTAACATGGATACTACTACAGAGTCCTCTAAAAATCTGTCACCCTACGAATTTGACTGACTCCTGCTACTACACACCTAACCGGATAACTTAGCTTTGACCTCATCCTGTTCTCAGTGAATCTGCCTAAGGTATAGATGCATATTACTTACTACCCAGCAAACAGCAAACCGCAAAGATCGACCATTTTAGACTATCGTGGCTCACATAAATTAGGAACAGAAGTGAACTGAAAAAAAAAATAGCCTTGTGTCGACGCTTGTCCTCGTAAGCATATTTTAGGGAGGAAACCAAAGAAAAGTAGTTAAAAGGGGAAAGGCAAAAAAGGATTAACGAGGAGCGGAATAGATAATCCCAACGATGTCAAGGCTAAGGGGGGTGATTTTAATAATCGGGGAAAAATAATAAAGAAACTTAGGGCTAGAAATAGTAGACGAAGGAATACATACCCGTCCGTCAATTTAGAAAATTGCTTGTATCTAGGCTTGCAACTAGACTCCAACCCAAATCCCAACTCATTTAAAGAACTCTGTCATCCACTACAGTAAAAATTGGCCAATAGATACTAATGAACTCTTAAAAAGGCCGATCGTAAATTTCAAAAATCCGAATAGGCGTTATGCAGACGACGCTGCCGGCAAACGCCTCGCTTGCAGCCTTCACACAAGCTGCTCTCATGTGGCGGACCATCTTTGATCGAGTCTTCTTGTTTCACTGTGCGAATAACGCCCGCCCACTTCTTTAATCGGTATGAAATTCGCTCGATATATGAGTCGTTGTCCAGCGTAAAGGTGCCAAGTCCATTGCAGCCCTTGCAGCGCTGGTTGAAGACGAGAGCATTGTAGCCATTTCTTCTGTAGCCCCGAATCACGATTGCCACCATCTTGCTGGTCCACATCTTGCCGGTGCATCGATGATTGCATTTGAATCGGCCCATAACATTGGTGCAGTAAGTTTTTATTGCATCTTCGTCGTTGCCTTTGGCGTTGAACCAGGGTGTGATGCTGTCGCATAGGACTAACGAGGCTATATCGTCGTGCAGATCGGGGAACGTAAAAGAGGTCCGCGTCTCACCAGAAGTACCGGCTCTCTTCTTTTTAGCCATTGTGCTTGAGCTGGCCTGGACTGTTGCCGTTGAGGTTACTGGACGGGTCGTTAATTTTGGATGGGTAGTGTTTAGGACACCTAAAGCTTTTGACAGCAGCCCCGAAAGACGTCGGAGCGGCAACATTTGTAGGTAGTAGATGGGCTTTTATGGCACTTTAAAAATGCGATTATGTCGATTCCTAAAGATTTCAGGTGCTTGTTTTTTTAGTGAAGGGCTGAGTCGGTGTATGTCGTATGTTTGGTCGTTGTGTTTCAAGGACTTTTTCCCTTTCTTGTAGCCTACGTATAACACCAAGGTCTGTATGGCCAACTTGCAGTACAGCTACGCCTATCATATTGCTAGATTCAGTGACATGATGCAGGAGTGAGGCTTCCTGTGCTTGGCACCCAGCACCTTTTTTGCACTAGGCGTCCTTGTTCTTGAGGACAGACCAGATACTAGCCTCATATTCTGACAAATTAAAATTCTAGAATGCAGTGAATTCACACCTCCGAAATTCCGGTTCAGGTGTGTGTACTTTCGAGGAAACCGTTGGTTTGTCTGACTTCCCCCCCCTCCAGCTATCACCCCCGCATATTTTCCCTCCGCTCCCTGCATGTCACCCAATCCTCTTGTGAGTTTAGTACGTCCTTTTCCCTCCACCACAAAGTGTGATGAAGCAGGTGAGAAAAAAAGTACAGGAGAATCGAGTCAAATTTCGGATGTGTACACAAAGGTCCTTCGAGAGCGGATAAGTACACGAAGTCTTGTGGTAGGACTGATAGGAAAGGGGTGTGAGAATAACTATTCCCGTCTTATTACTTATGGTACGAAGCTGGAAATTTCACTGCATCTACGCAAGCATTGTATTCTAAGCCAAGTCAGTCAAGTCATTTGTGTCGGGTTCTTACGTGGGAGGCCACTGATGTTGGGCCGCAGTGATGGTGGTTTGGGGCGAACCAACCGAGCACAAACCACAGAAATGGGCTGAGTGAGACACTTTAGCGACCCAGAACACGTTTGCGAATGGATCTTGGACGGCTTTGGTTTGGAGGTAGGTTTAGTTCTGAGGTATGGGTGGAGACTTTCACAAACTACCGAGTATAACATGTCTTACAAGAGGCAGAGGCCCAGGCCGCCCAAAAGGATACAATAGTTGTGGCAACAACGGTAGCACCAAAGGCAGCGGCCTGGCTGTACGGCGACTCACGTGCCGTATACCAAAGATATATCACGGCACGGCAGGCCTGGTACGACGACCTGCCACGCGGCGGTCTTTGAACGAATTAGGCCTACCGAAAGGCCGCCGGTCTACCTCTCCAGTATAGCATGGCGGACTACGGCTACTACGGGGACTGGAAGGTCATGGGCCTGCCACCGGTGGGCTAGAAGGCTTGGACTAAGGAGGAGGTGATAGCCTATATCGACTGGGAGAGAGTGGAGGAAGCCCGGGTGGATTCGGTAGTCGTGGCCCGGGCAGAGGTGGCCCGGGCGGAGGCACGGCGTACTGGCAGGCCGGTGCCAGTAGGTCTGACTAGGCAGGGACTTCGTGACTTGATGGGGGAGGACATGGCGGAGTAACTGGCTTTGTATAGTAATTTGCTGTGATATCTGTTTTCTGCCGGTGTAATTCACCATAAAAAGTTTTGCTTTTGTTAAGCCTGACTCTCCTCCCCGGATTATCGTAGACCTTGAAAACTCCTACTAATTTGGGGGGATTTTCGGGCCCCGCAAGTATCTCCCAATTCACATGTAATTCTCCCCACTTTCAAACTGGAAAGCGTAGTACGGCAACATCGGTGGTTTTGTTAAATTGTCCAAAAAGAGGGTGGGACCCCACTGTTATTCATTCTTGTCTTATTTGCAGTTTGTATACCATTCGACAGGTTTAGGTGCGGGGTACGGAGTAGAGCTGTTCTAGATGACTTGGCTCTTACTCATTCTGCCTTACGTGGGACAAGCCCTACTTTGTGGTTAGAGACCAGAGAGCCGCAAGCAACCTTCTGTTGTACGAAGAGATTGCCTTTTTTTTAAAACAAGAAATACCCTGCGCCCTTGATGAATCAGTTTTCTGTTTGCATCGTTGTGTTTGAGCTCCCGTTTTCGTCGGAATGTTTAAGCTCCCTTGCCTAGCCATATCTTAGGTTCAATCGTCAAGCCAATAAGAGCGCACAGTTCACCTGCAGCTCTTCGCATTCCAATCCGCATCCGGCCAAGGCCTCACATCCAAGTCTTGTGCTATTTCAATACAGGCCAAGGCAACACCCGAATTCCTCTCGTATTAATAGTCTTTGGTCTACCTTCCATACCAAGATAGAGCCAGAGAATGAGAAAAAATTCTAAAAATTCTAAGCGGCGGCTACACCACTTGGCGAGTTGTCTCCGAGCGTCTCTCTCCTAGTGCCGCCACCTCTGTCTCCTATAAGTTAGGACAATGCCACCGATATTACGGACAACGCCGAGTTTCGTGTACAAGATACAGGGGCATCGGCTCGCCGCATACAGCAGCAGCAACAAAGACGCCGTTAAAATGAAGAACGACAAGATGAATACAAATATCCAAACTGCACAACAACACTTGCAGACAGTGTACTTGGCTTGCCGGACCATATTCTCGGGGCCCCATGCGAACATCCGAAACCGCCGTACTGTTGCCAAACATCTCACGCCGGCCAAGGCAACTTCCCATCCTCTGCTTAAAGGCATGGATGCTACCGCTCTTACCGATTCCGCTGAAAGCCTCCTACGTCAAGGAGTGTTTGCAGACGAAACCTTAGCCAAGAACATGTTCCCAGACGTTTTCGAGGCAGCAGCTTCTGTCTCTCCAGGTGACAAAACCGCTTCTGTTGACACTATGGCCTCTTCACACAAAGTCCAATCTGCCGGTAGAGGTGGGCAGATCAAAACGAGAGAAAAGACAACAAATATAAAAGCACAAGAGGTAGATGAAAAAATTGGCAAGCTTGCTGTCATGGGTGCTCTTCCTACGCCGGCAAAGCCTTCAGCCGGAAAACTAGAAGAAACTACTGTCAAGTTCACCACTCTGGCGGGAAACGACGAGGGAACAGGGAACAGAGTGGTCGCAGGAAAGCCTCAATTGTCTTCTACTACTGGCATTAAGGCTACTGCCATGCAGGTAGCCACCCAGGTCTCACTTAACAGTATTGATGATAGCCAGAGCGTCAACAGTGAGTATCTTCCTATTTTTATACACCTTAGCCATCGACACGTACATACCTAACAAATTTGATAGGGTCCACATCCCAGAGAAAGTCCCTGGTTGAGAAGTACCCGACGTTAGCCACAGGGACGTTTCCCTACCAAGCCCAGCATGCCGTTCTAACACGGACCCAGCAGCTGCTCGAGGATTGCTTCTACGATTTTGCTAGGAAACATTTTCCTGATCTTATGAAAGCCAGGAACTGGGACAGCGCAGCCTGCGTCGAACTTTCGGAATGCACCAAGATTTTCCAGAAGCCGGGCCAGGAGCGCTCCAAGCTACGCAATACGGACGAAGTGGCAGATGGGGAGCAACTAGACGAGGTCCTCCACGCTATGAACACAATCCGTAACTCGACCGTTCACCGGAACCTTCACCCAGCACGAGGCCTGAGCTGGCTCATGAAAAAAGCTGTTCAATTTACTGAGATTACACAGGACAATGCCCGGGCTGAACGGCTGGTGGAGGTTCACACCGTGGTGGAAGATCTCTTGACTCAAATGGAAACTAGAGAGAACGAACTAGACGCCTGGATGTCAGGGGCGATGCATGAGATCCAGGAGAAGCGCGGATGGCTCGATACCATGGAGGCAGATCTGTGGCGGCAAATGCACGCACGGGACAAAAAGAGCCGGCATTACACCCAGGAGTGCCTGAAAGCTGCAGCCTTGGACATCTTTGAGAAGCCTATGAAAAAGATAGAGCAAGTGAAGGGACAAGAAGCTTCAGTGACAGCCCATCACAAGATTTCTCGGGCCCAAGAACAGACTCCGGTCAATAAGCCATGGTCGCTGGTGAACTTTTTGCGCAGCAAGAATCCTTTTCTCTAGAATAGTCCCCGGGAAAATACAATGGCTAGAGGAGACAAGGAGACACAGAAAGCCCTAAAGGCTCTAGGCCAGACTGGACAATCAAGATTCCTCCTCGTGCTAGGCTTGTAGAGATTCTCCACGAGGCCGTTGCGCCGAAGAGAATATTCCCTGCTTTCTAAGGCAGCGCCATCATGGAAGATTTCAATTTCGACTGACGGCGATTTTCCCGTAGATTATCGAACCCTCCATCGCCCGACAGGCCTACAGTCGACCCAGCGATTGACCGAACGAGCTTACGGCTGACTAATGGGACGATGTCCCCTGACAATATTATCTACCAGTAGGAAGAGAGCCCTGCTGAGCATATTTTTCCACTTCTCTATCCTACCCATCGTTCAAGCTAAGCTGTTTACACGGCCATCGTTAACCACAATGTAAGATACTGTAGCTATGCAGCCCCCGTTTTCCCTTGACTTATCTAACACCGTGTCTGGACAGATTTAAAGCTGTTTCCAGAATGGATAAGGGAGAAGAAGCAGACAAGGTCGGGGGGCTTCCGATTGTCGGCAAGCGCCGAAAAAAGGCGTCGGACGAGTCTACCAACTCGTCCTTGTCTGCTAAATCGTACCCAAGCTCGTCGAGTCTAACGGCGGCAACTTCCATATCAAGGTCTCGCAAGCCCAACGAGGAGCCGGAAAACCATGGAGAGCCTAGCTTAGTCGAGAAGAAGCACTATTACGATGGTCTTCCTTCGCACCCTCTGCTTATAGCCCGCACGGGTTCCACCAAATGGAGCCTCCCTAAGTCTATCCAGGAAGAGCTGCCGCTTAAGGCAATGTGCAACGTTGGGTCGTCCCATTGCCTGGTGGGAATTTGGGAGTCTGTGTTGGACGAGATCGTGAAGGCGCTTGAGCCGCTAGCCTGGACTAGCATCGACCTTCTCCGCATCGGGTACCAAGATACGGCTGAAAAAGATTGGCCCGTGACACTAATGATTGGCGCCAAGCCTGGCTCTCATTGGAAAGTCACGATACCTGTGGCTGTGGCGTGCCGGATGATCCTTCGCTCCCACGGCGCCCATGAGGTAGAATGCGAGGTTCGCGAAAGCGAGTCTTTTTTCTCTGTTGCGGACAGGCTTATTACTGCCAATGAGACGATAGGCAGACTGGAAGAAGAGAGGGCATTCTCGGAATGCGTCGCACAATGCATCTCGCCGTGCGCTGCTCCGGGTCGAGAGGGCACTCTTGGCATCTACCTTGCGGTTGGTTCCACCCGCACTATGTGCGCCCTCACCTGTCGTCATGTTGTCTTTGGTGTGTTAGAGGCCGAATCCGAAATGAAGAAGGCCGTTGCAGACGACGGAATCTACCGCGGCATTGTCCAGCCTAGCCAGTGTGTGTTTGACAAGATTCTGGCTGATATGACCTTAGACTTCGAGGAAACCGGAGAGAAGTCGGACTTTCTCAAGAAAATCTCGGACCAGCAGAAGATGGAAGACCGCCGTATCGGCCACGTTTTTTTTTCGCCCCCTCGCACTATTGACGTTGATAAGCAACTGCACGACTGGCTAATAGTAAAGCTGGCAGCAAAGCGCTACGCCAGTCTGTCGACGCTGCAGAACTGGATTCATGTGGGCCGTGATGGCTACAGGCTTATGCAACGGCTCCTGCCTAGCAACGTTAAGCCGGAAACGAATTCCTCAAAGGACATGGTACGCCTTAAGGGCATGGTATCCAAAGCGGAGATCTTTCGGACCACGGCGCATAACGAGCCTACGCAGGACCACGCGGCCCTATGGGTGCACATGTTCGGAGCCCATGGCAGCAAGCTGACGACAGGAATCTCCAACGAGGTCCGCTCTGTGCGCCGTGTAAATGCATCCATTGACAGTAACGAAATCATCACGACGCGTGAGTGGTGCGTGGTGGGCCGCAACGGCCAGAGGAGGAACGGGGCTGTTTTGTACGGCGTCAACAGCATAAGCTCCCCACTAAGGCCTTTTTCGGAGCCGGGTGATTCAGGCTCGGCCATGTTTGATTCGCAAGGTCGCATTGCTGGCATCCTTACCTCGGGGTGCGGCGCGAGAGAGGACGGTAGACCAGGGGGTACCAACAACGACTTTGGCTGTGCCGATGTCTCCTACGTAAGGCCTATTGAGGTGATCTTAGATGCGATTAAGACAAAGTATGGCCGGGTAGAAGTTTTGTGAGGGACGAGAAGGGATTTGTTTCGTGCTTGCTTTGTGCTTTTATTATCGGAAAAGTGTTGCACGTGACCCTTGTAGGTCATGGTGCAGACGTTTTCACTGCCGCAGTGCACCTACTTGTCTACCTTCCCTCTAGAAAATCTCCATGCTTTTCTCTCAATGCTTTTCTCTCATCAAGAAGTGTATTTGTGTGCTTCAACTGCATAGGCAGTACTTTTTCTGTTCGGCTAGGTGACGCTGCTTGGCAAGAAACTAGTAGCATTGACTACAAATGGCAGTCCAGGTTACAAGAATAAAAGCCGTGCGCTCTTACTTAGCCAAAATTTTTCCAGCACTGAATTATCTTACGCCAGCTTTAGCAGGGTGTACTTCTCATGTCATTGTCGGTTTTGAACATGCCTCGGCATACCGTGTAGGCTAAAACTCAAGATTGGTCACAGATCTAGACTGTATCTTTCTAACATCACCACTTACAGCTATACTCTAAAGCAAACGTTGGCTATCATAATACCGCCACTTTATAAAAGAAAAAAGTAAAGTGCAGAGCAAGCCTAAAATCTAAGAACATAAGGACGACAATAAAACCACACTAGCCAACAAAAGTAACTTCCAATCCGGCGTTTACGTTAAATAACAGTATCCAAAAAGTACCAAAGTACCAAACGACAATCACATCGCGTTCCGCTCTTTCTAGAACTATTCGTCCGGGAGCAGGGTGAGGGAGGTGGGGAGGTCAGAAATCTTGTGTATAAGCGAGCTTGCTTGTACACGAGCTGCGTGTTGTCGGAAACGCGAAGCGGGGGAGAAAAAGGAAGACGGTTGGAGAAAAGATGAAAGAACTTCTTCTCGTCAACCTCGAACACCCGCACGTGTCGAAGCTGGACCACCTTTGCGCGTATCAGAATTTTAGCAGATGTCAGAGACGCAATCATCCGACTTGGCTGTGTCAGTGGAGTGGATGTGTGCTGTTCAAATCCACTCACACTGTCTGTATACCGTCGTGAGCTATCTGCTTACATTGTGCAAACCCAACGACGAGACACGGCCCGACCTTCCCAGTTGCCTAGCGGCCTACGCCTTGTTAAGGATGGCCCACTGTTTCGCCCGCAGCAGGCTGCAGAGTGTCTGCAGCACGGGCACGGGCACGGCGAGGTCGCGGGCGGCGTCGACGGCGTTTCCGAGGATAGCCTCGACCTCCATTGGCCGGCCACGGACGGCATCGACCTGCATGCTGGGGCGACAGCGCACGGCCTTGGGCATGGACGCGATCGCGGCCTCAATGACGTCATCGGGCAGCGTGAAGCCAGCGGCCGCCGCCACGGCGACGACCTCGCGCATGGCCGGCCGTATCAGCGAATCGAGGCTGCCGGCCGCGTCCTGCACCGTGCCCGAGTCGAGGTCGAGCAGGGCGCAGACGGTGTTGAAGGAGGCGTTCCACACGAGCTTGCGCCAGCGGTACCACTGCATGTCGTCGACGACGTCGCAGCGCGCCGCCCCGCGCGAGTAGGCCGCCGCAAAGGCCTTGCAAGAAGCTGCCCCGGCCGCCTTTTGCGCAGCGTCGCCCCAGACACCCACGATCAGCTCGTCCGAGTCGTTGTGCAGCACCTCGCGGCCGTCCAGCTCGGCCCCGATCAGCGACACGGCCGACAGCAGCGTGCTGTCCGGGAAAGCAGCCGCCACCGGCGCCTCGATGCCGATGCCGTTCTGCACCAGCACGACGGCTGTGCGCGAAGCCGTCACCACGGGCGCGATCATGTCCGCGATGCTGTAGACGTCCGGCAGGTTCTTGAGCGCGACGAGGACGTAGTCAAAAGGGCCGTGTGCCTTGGCCTCAGCAATGGACTTGACGACTGTGAGTGTCAGGTGGGAGAGAGAAGGTGAGGTGACAGAGATGACAAGCTTGAAAGGGACATGTCCAACAGTCAGGACCACAACTCACTGTGATGTGGCCGCCAGCTGTCAACCTCGCCGTGGTCAACACTACGGATGTGCAGGCCGCTCTCGCGCACCTCGTCGTAGTTGGAGCGTAATAAGGCCGTCACCGTGGCCTCGCCGGACTGGTGCAGCGCGAAGGCGCACATGGTGCCAACGGCGCCGCAGCCGACAATGAGGACGTTCAAGGGCATGGGTGACAGTGAGTGCGGCGGGCGTGATTGGTATATACCGATGCAGCGGCCGGTTACAAGACGGCCGTAAGATGAAGACGTATGGCAGAAATGACAGATGAAGCTCAACAGAACACGACAAGCAATATACGCGATGTGGTCCAAAATAACGTTTCGGCTTAGAATGGTCGGTCGATCCGAAATATCGGGCGCCCCGCTATAGATACGGAAAGCCCTACAAAGGGTCCTAGCGCGAGCCGCTCTATACGAGTAGCCAAGTGTCAAGCATTGGAATCCGCCACACTGTGGCCCTTCCGCCCCACTTGGTCTTACGGGCCTGTGATTGGTTAGAAGGCACAAAAGCGGGCCATGGCACTAGTATTAATACGGATCCCCAGAAGGGTCGCGATGTATCTATTTCTTCCTTAGTACACAACACTCTTTCGCCCACACTAGACCCTATTCAGCCTCCTGCTCCTCACAGTGCGTCACGTTATATGACCGCTACGTATAGCCTCCTTTAACCTTCACACCAAGACATGCGCGTCGCTGCCATTCCAACTGCCTAAAGCAGCGAATGCAGATGGCTTAGACGACACCTAAGCTCGGACGTGAAAGACGGCAGGTACTGGTGGATCTGAAGTGGGAGCGGCAGTCTGAAAGTGGGACAGATCGGCATTCAGGTGTGTCTGCCATGACCTGTATTTCCAACGGCTGTTAGGAAATCGCCACCGTTAGGCATGTTGTAAGATATATCTGTTAGTCTAGCCCACACAAATTGTGAAGGAGAAAATAACAGCTACCAAGGTGTCATTTTATACAACATCCTCTCCACAGCAAAAATGTGGAGTCTCCCCATATTGTCGGACTCGGCTTCCATCGGACTTCTTGGCGAGTCGGAGCTTCCATCGCTTATCATCCCCACTGTTCTATTGGCCCCGCTAAAACATACTTTGCACTTGTGATTGGGCTTCTACGCCGATCAGCCGAGTCTGGTGCTCGCTGCGAAATCGGCTCTATCCGTATTACATCTGATTATGCTTTCGATGCGTGTTTGTGCCTTTGGTACTCCGTATTGTTACCTGGCTTCTCTCGTCCTGTCTTGTCCAAGTTTGCTATTTTTCCCATTTATCCGCTTGCACGTGATTTTCGACAGTAACAAATTAATCACCCAACTCGTTCGCAATGACTCTCTCCCATCTCGGCTGGCTGCTCCTCGGAGCGGTTGCAGCAGCCCAGAATGTCGGGCCTAACTACCAGTATGCTCTTGAAGGTCTGTGTATATCCACTATCCTCACCGGGACATCAGCTCACCATGTTATCCAACAGACCTTGATAAGGACTTGCCCTTCTCACAGCCCGTGACTTTTGCCCATCTTGAGTGGCAGCGGTGTCTTTCTGCCTCCCACAACAAGGTAGACCGTTATTGTCGGCCCTCTCAACCGTCTTATGAGATCTAACACCGCAATCAGCCCCTGGATGTTGCCATTTTGGGATTTCCATACGACACGTCGACGTCTTATCGGCCAGGTGCCCGCTTTGGCCCACGAGGCATTCGTGCTGGTTCCTCGCGGGAGAAGAAGGGTCGTAGCTACAATACTGTTTGGCAAGTAGATCCGTATGAGCAAGGCCTGGAAATTGTAAGTGAAAGAGGAGCTTGATAGAGTGTGTGCGTAACTGACCACCCAGATCGACTGTGGCGACGTGCCCATCACCCCCTTTGATGCCGCGCATGCATTCAAGCAGATGGAGCAGGCTTATCGCCAAATTCTCTATCATCCGACATCTGAGCAGAGTGAGTGAGCTTACTTTTGTCGTTCACCTTCTCTTCCGTGCTGACTCTTGTAGACGGCTGGGAAAACCCTCGCATTATCAGCCTCGGAGGCGACCATTCCATCGTACTACCCATTTTACGTAGCCTAAAGACTGTATATGGCCCTATCTCGGTTATCCATCTCGACTCGCACCTGGACACGTAAGCCGTTGCTCCAGTGGAAGATCAGATGGAATGCTGACTCATCCACAGCTGGGACCCATATGAGGGCTACACCGGCATCGTGTCGAACCAGTCTGCCATCACCCATGGCACCTTCTTCTGGCACGCCAGTCGAGAAGGTTGCATCAGCAAGGGAACAAGCGTTCATGGAGGCTTGCGAACTAAGCTTTTTGTAAACCCCCGAGTTTTTGTCCGCTTCATCACTCTTCTTCTGACTTTCCTTAGAGTCCTAAAGACTACAAGATTGACTCGGAGGTCGTCGGCTTCACGCTCATCGAGGCTCACGAGATCGACGACATTGGCGTTACCGGAATCGTCAAGAAGATCAGAAAGGCTGTCGGCGATACGCCCACCTATCTCTCCATCGACATTGATGGTAAGCATCCTTCCTTGCAATTGGTAAGAGGTTGCCCATACGCTGACACGCACCAGTTCTCGATCCCAGCATTGCTCCCGCCACCGGAACACCCGAGTCTGGGGGTTGGACCACACGCGAGCTGAAGCGTCTGCTCAAGGGCCTCGAAGGCATCAACCTTGTCGGGGCAGACGTGGTTGAGGTCAGTCCACCGTACGACTCTGTGGCTGAGACAACGTCCATTGCGGCGGCCGACCTCATCGTTGACATCTTGGCCGGTATGACAAAACAGGCTTCGTTTGCGGGCAAGCGAGTCATCCCAAAGGATGAATTGTAACAAGGGTAGGGGATTCGTACTATATCATTGGCTCTACATTTAAGGCACCTCGAAATAGAGCAGTATCTCAAATACAGCAGTTCTTGGACAGATTTTTGGTTGTCTATCCAGTTAATTCACACTGTAGCCACCGCTCATGATGGCCGTCCTCTCGTAGTTTAAACCTCCCTAGAACTACTCGTCTTTCGATGGGTAGAAAGGTGCTAATTCGTTGAATCTTTAATAATGGTGTTCAGGTTCTGAGCTATATAATAGCCGAAAATGTTCAAGCCGAGGGCCAGTTCAGGCCTTGTATAGAAAAAACTGTACGATGTACGGTTTTTTAGTCAGTACGAGTAAGTAAAGGTAAGCGTAGTGAGCCAAGCCTGTACAAAAAAAGACGTTGTGTGATGTAAAACTATGGATCTCGTAGCTATAAAAAGGAGGTACTTCAATCTGATCCTCTCCTAGTATAATATCGCCCTCCTCGTTCAGATAAGTATAGAAACCGCCATGTTTTTCGGATTCATTACGGTATACTCGATGTGGCCCTCATCCATTTCGTCACTGTTCTTTTTGAAAACCGTGTCCAACTCCAAAAGCTGTTGGTGCAACTTTATATTAATCTTCTTTCTTTCACCTCTGCTCATGGCCACATGCGACGAGGAGAACTTCATCAGGCTGTGCAGGTCTTCGACCTTGAAGCTAAGAAGCCATGGTAGCTGCACAGAAAGGAGCCACTGACGGATACGTCCGATGGGCAGCGCGGCTGTCAAAGTCTGTTCCGTGTACTCCTTCAACTCGGCGAGTGTCTTGGGCGGTGCTGCACATAGTGAGGACGGCTTTGTAATGACAAACGATTGGTAGTAGTTCTGGAGGTAGTTGACGGCGGTGTGGAAAGGCGCAGCGATGTGGATGGCCATCGTGACGGCGTCGGTGAGTCTGTCGAGCGTATCGATTTCGGGAAAACCCTTGAGCTTGCCGTTGGTGCGGATATCGTTTCCCCAGTCCGAGAGATAGTTGTCGCTCTTCACGTGGGCGTCGGACTTGTATGTAAGCGCGAGCGTGTCGTGGACATAGGTACGGAGCACGTTCCACATCAACAGAATGTTTTTGCCGTAAGCATAGTTCTTGTACTTCGGGTTGCTGTTGAGCTCTTTCGTATCGGTGGGAAAGCCGCGCCGTTTGAGATCGTTCGGCACATAGTTTTGTTCGTAGTCGAAGTTGCTGTACTCGTAATTGATGTAGTTGTAGAGGCCGTCTAGGCTGATGCCGACAAGGTTGAGAACCACTTGCGGGACAAGCATCGACCGGGCTGCGGCATTGAGCGACAGTGTCCGGACCCAATGCGGCTTGAGCAGCTGGTGAACGGGGTGATCCGTCGGGATGCAGCGGCTTGTGGCCACGATCAGGCTCTCTTCGATCATGTGAGCGCGTGTCAGATGCACGCCGACCTCGTGGCGAATCCAGTCTGCCGCCTGTGCGCACGTCTTGGCGTACCGCCAGGGCCAGTCGTTCTTCTGGCGCAAGAGGTCCTTGCTCTTCTCTTCCGCGTCCTTTGATTCTGGGTCGGCCGGCGTCATCGCACTGTTGAAGATGGTCACAGACGTGGCCATGTTCTTCTTGTAGTCGCACACAATGGCAATCGGGTGCAGCCGACCGTTGTCGTGCAGCTGGAAGAGCGTGACAGAAGCACACGCCCAGTTCGGGTCACTCTCCTGCTTTGGGTTCGTCCTCACTTCCTCGTAGAAAATATCTTCTTCGGGCTGCAGTCCGATGGCTTCGCGGAAGTAGCGGCAGTCCTGCACGAACAGCGAGTCATGCGGGATGGTCTTCAGCATTGCAGCCCATTTGTCGTAGCCATTTTTTTCGGCGGATGCGATGAACTCTTTCAAGAGAGCTTCCTTGGCATCGTCGTGCTCTCCGATCGCCTCAATTGTCGTCGGGTTGGCACCGGTGAAAGACTGCTCCGCAAAGCGGCGGTCCGTAAACCAATCCTCCAACTGGCCGAGATTTTTGCCCTTCTCCACGACATTGTTTCCCCCCTTGATGTGCGTCTTGTTGAAGTCTTCGTATCCGGCGATGGTCTTGGGAACTTCGCTGATATCCTTCAAAGCACCCGCGAATTTCACAATCTGGTCAGGAATTACACATTTAAGCATAATCCCAGTCTGAGCAAGGCCAAAGATATTGAAAATGGCCCACAGGCTTTCTTGATCAGGTTTCGGGATGGTTTGTAGATGGGGCGGGTACTTCTCATTAGGATCCTGGTCGGGAGAAGATGTCCACTGATAGATCTTTTTCTGCTCCACTATTGTGCGACGATACGGGAACAGTGGCTGGGTCTGGTTTGCGTGGAAGTATGCCTCGTAGCTGTGACAGGGGAAAAGAGTTGAACTTTAGCACTGCATGTGGTGCTGCTTCAGCGATGAGACACTTGGCTGACTCACAGTTTCTCTACTCTGCTGTAGGTCAGATTGAGTAGGGCAGATGTTTGCTCGTAGCTACCCGTTTCAAGTCGTTTGTACTCTTTGGGAGAAGTTCCTTCGACCAAGTTCGAATCCGAGCTGGAGTCCCCCGAATCGGAGTCACTGTCTGGCCCATCTTGCGGGCCACGAAATAACTTATTCGGCACCCTTAACTTGGGGACATGGGAAATGGGTGGGGAGAACAGTCCAAGGTTGATAGCTTCATTGTCGAAGACGCTGTCATCAATGGTATACTCGAATTCTGAATCTTCTTCATACTGCGGAGCCGACTTCTCGGGAAGACCTGGGATAGCTCCCAGGGGACTTCCAGGCACGTCGAGGCTCATCTTTGAAAAAGCCGGGATGAAATGAGATTTGGAATTAGAGGTACTTAAAAGTTGATGAATGAGTCTTAGAAGTGATGAGTAGAAAGTCTGGACAAGCAATAGCGGAAAAGGGTTTCGTTCCCTACTATTTATACACTTCTTGATGAAGAAAACACAGTGGGAAAGATAAGGGCATGAGATTGACCCCAACCAAAGGCCTGGCTTCACCGTCTTTGTCCTCGATATTGGGTCATGGGAGCCGCATATACTTGCAAAGCTGAAATGCACCACCAGCTGTCTGTTTGGTTGTCTTCTCAGCTGAGACAAATTCAAGCTAAATCCGAAACAAGCGAATCCACAAGCTTATAGCCCTAGACACGCGGGCTGACTCGCAGATGATACAGGCATAGCTAAAGTGGACATGATGGCTTCATCTCAATTGGCCCGGCGTGTAACGAGCTCTGTGGCCATTCGAGCGGCAGAAGCAAAAAGCGGGATACTTTACATAACAAGAAAGTAGATCCATTCACTCATTGAAAAGCGTCCCGTTATGCTGTCCTTGTTGTCAGAGAACACACCCGCTATTGTATGCATTTGTACCGATACATAGAGACGCTCCGTCTGATGAATATTATCTTGGCATACTGACTTTAGTCCCAGTTCAGGAAGCCATAATATACAATGCGTCGGATATACTTTAGACATTTTACAGCCTTTAAAAACGTTGCTACGAGATACGCTTACCCTAGACCGTTAAATAGATGGCGAGCTAGCTCGAAATAGTAGGGTCGCATTTAATTGCTGCTAGAAGCAATCGTGTCTGCCGTTAGGTACTTTTCTAGGAGTGTCTAAGGAGTCAGATCCTTAGTGTGTGTAATGACGTGGCATACGAAGGCTTTTGTCCAACGGTAGCTCCTAGTTTTCAGCATAGTATAGCTGCTAATTATAACTGTCTGAGACATAGCCTTTTCGGAGGTTGGTTTTGTCCTCGTGGTTGTTAAACTTTTCCAAGGCTTTTGTTGATGGCTGTAGCTACATATGTCAAATTATGGGTGCCCCGTGAGCGTGTATGTATTGTTATGGTTAGGTACTTCCGAGGTATGCCGACGTGCATCAAGACACGTACTAAATAGCCCCACGCGCCACACAGTACATGTATTCTTCTATCACAAGGTATAAAAGTGCACGCCCCTCCTATTTTGGCTTGGCCCGTTTGACAACATATGGTGGGGCGAAAATTGCTACAGGTTGTTCGCGAGGACTTTTCTATAGCTCTTTAGGAGCTAGTAGGGAGGTAAGGGGTCGTAGAATGAGCCTGCTGTGAGGATGAGCAGTGAAGAAGTTGCCTGCCAGGGAGTCTTTTGACCTGGTATGTAATCCTTGTGACCTTTTTGGACGGTGACGTATGAAATTATATCTTTCCTTGGTATGACTTGCTGCTGTCGATTTTGTCATTATAAGCTTCCTCGCCTCCTACTGAACCGGTTGGGCTCTCACAAGGCCTTCTACTTTATCAACGCAAAGTATCAAGTGTCAGGCATATGGAGGAAGACAATCCAGCAAGCTATGTTTTCATAAAAAGAGGACCAGAGCTGAGCTAGATGGCCTCCGCTAATTATTGGTACGCTTTGATTCTAGTGACAATTTTAATACACCTTCGTTTGGAGTGGTTTATCAACATATCATCAGACAAGCAGTTCGTAGCTTGATCCTTGTTGACAGCCACCACCAGACCATCTTGAAGCCATTGTTCAAGGCTGTCCCCATGTAGGAGTGCCAATCAGAAGCGCCTACTTGTTCTTCGACCCCATGGTCATTTTAGTAGCCAATATGCTCTCCGGTATCGACACCACTTTCTCGGCGATAGTCAGGACGTCATACGTACGCCAACACCTTTGCTCACTTGAGAACTGTAATGGATTTGCATCTACTACCTCCCTCGTGCCACAGCCAAGCAGCTTGACAGTATGTAGGACACACCTGTATGTCAGTCTCGCGCTCGTCTCGGTGGTAACATCCTTTCCCCTGGGCAAGGTTGCTGGCATTGTTGAGATCCTGGGGCTCTACCACGGCTGCTAGTAAACATTTTGTCATCGCAAATCGTGTTTAGGCTATTGTCGATAGTTCATGTATCTAAACGCGCTCTGCGTGGCTGGTCTATCTTTGCTTGGTGTTCTAACTGGACCTATTGAGAACTACTTTGTCTATAACATTGCATGCATACAAAGTATATGCTAACGTCTGCATCGCAGAACCTCTTCTTGGCCGCGAGATCGCAGAGTGCTGTCTCTTTTAGCGTAGGAGTCATTGCCTTTGTCTAAGAAGCGCGGTCACGGCGCTCGTAATGTAGGCGAGCATCCCATACTCAATCACGCTTTAGAGCTTGGTGAAGGGACACGGTATGCCAACGATTTTCACCCGCCGTGCATCAAGTACAGAAGGAAAATGCCGATACACCATATATCTGAACAATAACCGACCGGTTGTTGTATAGACTGAACCCATGAGCTGGCCTAGCAAAAACGTCGCCAAATGTGCTGGCTTCTTTCTGATGGTTACTCCAATTGCCTGTTTCAATTTTCGTAGGTCTCTCATTGGCTCAGCTTTTTTTGATGCACGTTCATCACAATCTTCGAGTTTGACTAAGATTATGGTGGGTAAGGAAGGATTTAAAACTCGGAAATAAAAGACGCTGAAAATAGTTCTATGTACGGAGTACGGAGTACATATGCCTTGATACCTAAAAGCGGAGGTAAATAGTTCGATATACACGCATAGACTCAACAAACCTAGCCTAAAAGTGGAGATACGTTATAATGAACGGAGTTTGGTGGCGTAAAAGGTTAGGCAACGTTGTAGTAAAGATGATACGAACGTGCCAGATTGTCAGTAACAGTAAAGTCCACAGCTTTGGACGATAACCTCGGGAAACTGAGATAATTGGTGCATTCGGCCGGCGCTTTACGTCGTAGCCGTACATGCCAGGGTACGAAGTACAAGCTGTAAGTATTCTTGAAGCGGTCGCGTGAGGAAAGACACTTTGTTTCTGTTCTGTATTCCGAGCACGTTTGTGGGTTGACGGACAAGACTTCAAGCCCCGCACTCTTTCAGTTTCTCAACTTCCAACCATAATTTGTGGCGAGAATCAGGTTGTTAGTCTGGTGTTGGTGCTCCTTGCAGCCGATCCATGTTGTGCGCGTGTAGACATGTCAAAGACCGGGGTTTTATTACGACGTATGTCTAACTGTGCAGTGTGGTTAACATCAATGAGCTAAGAATAGAGTTCGACTCCTCGACAAGTTGCACGTGCCCGATTCAGACCCGATATATTAGCCTGGTATTTCGAACAAGGACCTGAAAGGTGGAGCAGCCGGATATGTCCTAAAAGGCAAGACGAATGCTTCACAACGAGCTGAATGACCGAAATAAGCTTATGGCTATAACGAAATTATTTGCGTGTGAGAGGCAAGTATGTGCCCAATTCCTTTGTCTCGGCCATGACGTCTGTAGCTGTCGCGGTGCCTCAGTGTGGAGGTCACGTGACGATACTGTGCTACGGAGCCTGACTGTATTATTGGCGGCAGCGATGACTGTAGTGCTAGGCAATAGAGAGATAAAAGCAATAGTGTCGTCATGGAGAGGACTGACGCGTCAGCACATATGCACGAGAGGTGGCGCACGGCAGGCTCTTCTTTTCTTTCTGTCTTTCTTCTTTCTTTTTAATTTTTTTTTTTTTTCGTTATCTTTATTGTTCAATGGGCTGCAAACAGCCGGGCGCATATATAGCAGCGGACAAAGAGTTGTGCGGACCGGTGAGGTAAAGGTTATGCGCTGCAGGACAACGGAAGTGTTGGCTTGATTCGGAATCTTGAGCAAGCCCAGCCGATCTTCGACGCGATCCCTGTAATGGCGACAGCAATCAGAAGGGAAAAGGCCCAGACCAGGGGAAATGAAACGCAGTGCGAAATGAAAAGGGCGAAATGAGTAAATTAGATAGATAGTAAATTGGGAAACGCAAGCGCTGCGAATGAAAAGAAAGGGCATCCAAATTTGGAGGGGGAGGGGGGGAAAGAAATTAAAGCTGTGATAGTGAGTGATGGGCAGCATTGCATTCCGCATGCAATGCAGGGGCGGCATGTCGTCCGGGGAGAACACCCTCTCTCGATCCAGCACAGCACACCATCTCTTGCAGCCGGCGGGTCAGTGTTCAGAGAGGTGAGAAGAGCATGTACGAGTATGTGAGAGAGAAGTTGCAGATACGAGATGCCGTCGTCAAGACGCAATACGAGCTCTCGAGGATGCATCAGTCCGGTCCAGTGACGCAGAGAAACGGAGAACGAGCGAGCTTGGCCAGCAGTCGTCCTCGCCTGATTTTTTGGGCGCTTTTCGGCTCTCGTGACGCTGTGCTGCGCATTGGTGCGCGCCCGAATGCTGCTGGCGATCTAGATCGGTTCCGGTTGCTCGTCCCCTTCGTCTTCTTCTGGCTCCCTTTTTCGCCTTTGTCGGCCATCCCAACCACTCGCTTTCTCGAGCTCCCTGCAGACACGGCCCTTTTCTCGTAGTAATTAGGGATCGGCCGCACGTCCCCAAGCTTTCTGTCAGCTATCAGTTGCGAGGGATTCCTATCATCTCACTGTATTATCTACGCGAATGGGGCTGCCCCGCCAAAAGAGGAAAGTCTGTGTGATAAGGTCGGCGCGTGGACGAGAGAAAAGAACCCCACGTCGCATCCTGGACAGACCACTGCTCCACCGACGGGGGGGCAGGCAAGCACAGAGAGCAGGAAAAAGGAAAGCCACGCCATGCGATTTTGGGGGTGAGAGGGGCCCTGCCTATCACGTAACAGTGCGAGCAGCGAGACTCGTCAGCACGCGATTTGGAGGTGGCCGGTCTTTGTGACCAATATTCCGCCGGGTTATCCGAACTCGCTGATTGCTTCCGCATGCTGCTGACTCGGGACAGTATCGAGTCAGAAAGAAAGAGGCCTCTTTTCTAAAAACAGACAGTTGTGGCTGTGGTGTGGCGAGTCACCGAAGAGTCGGCGTCCGCCGGGAGAGAAAGGCAGCTAGAAATAATCAGGGAAAAGAGAGGAGAGAAAAAAAAAAAAAAAAAAAAAAAAGGCGCGAAGACGCTGTAGCCGGTTTAACAGACAGGCCTGTCAGGTCCGATAAGGCGTTCCCGCCATCTCCGCTAGTGCGCTTTGGGTGTGATTTTTCTCAGCAGGTATCTGGCTCCACTGCGGCTGCAACCAACGAGAAGGTGGGCTTACCGCTTCCGGGAAGGATGACCAGGACCCTGTCTGCTCGTAAGCTCCCAAAGCAACGACTGACAGGCCCCCCCCCCCTCCCTCTGTACGTCGTACTCCGTACTGTGATGTGACGTCCACCCGGGCGATGGCGAACAGACAAGGAAGCGAACAGGCTGCGCTGTGCTCGCTGGGAAGAAAGAGGGAAACCGAGGAAAAACAGGCAGGCCAAAAAGTGGAGCACGCCCGCTACGGCTTAATCGACCTGACTGACCGCAACGGCTTTCTTTCGTCTTCGCCCCTGTCTGCCGATGTGCTGCTGTGGCGTATAAAGACTTTTTGCTCCCCCGTTGGCACCACAGTTCTGCCTTTTCCCATTCCATCTGCTCTCCTGTATCTACCTATTGACCGACTGCCACTCTAGAAGACCATCTTCAGTCCTTCGTTTAATAGTCGCCGCACATATTAACTCATCTTGCCCTCCGGTACATATCACTCCAACCCCAATATCCACATTCACACCCACACATTCAAAATGAAGTGCACACTCTTCCTCGCTGCCGTCGTCGGCGCCTCTTCTGCCATGGCCGGCAACTGGACCGTCACGGCGCCCATTGCCACCGGCACCGGCACCGCTTCTGTTGGCTTCCTGCCCACTGGCAACGGCACCTACACCAAGCCGACCGCCGGCTCTACCACCACCAGCGCTGTCACCGGCACATCTACCGCCATCACTGCTGGTGCCGCCGGTCTCGCTCCCCAGGCTCTCTTCGGTGCCGTCGCTGCCGTCGCTGCTGCCGTCCTGACGCTGTAAAGCAGTGTACCACGACACTCGCCTGCTGTGCTTCTTCTTTTGCGCCTTGGCGCCTTTTTGCTTTTGTTTTCTACTTCCAATGAGAGGATGACGGCGGAACCTGCTTCTGGCTCCCTCTGTGGGCCGACAGGGAATGATGGACACGCCTTGATGTGCTGAAATGCTGGGAACGCGGAGAGAACAATGGGCCTCGGGATTGGAACGGGGAGAGGAACCAAATAGAGCGGCGGATTGAAGGGCTGTCTGCCATCACGACCGTTTTTTTCTCTTATGCACCATTTTGTCTTTTTTAATTTCTAATACGGTCAGTGTCTGGCATGGGACTCTTGGCTCCGGTCGCTTCAGACGATATATACCACAATTGCACATTTTCGCCTTTTAATCATGAATGAACCATTTGCCTACTTGTCTACTTCTGCTTCTGCCGCCTGTCTGAAAGCCTCAAGGATGAATGCCTGTGTGGCTGGATGGGTGAGAGGTAGTGGCCTGCTGTCGTTGCTGTCTTGCCCGATCTGTCGCTGTAGCCGGACTTCCTCTTCGGTCGCCCAGACGTAGTCCTGGTGTTCATTGGGATCAAGCACGACTGCTGTCGTCTGCTGCACATCTGCCCGGAAGGCGAACCGGCCAAAGAGCCGGGTGCCGGTGCGGTTGTGAAAGACGTGGCCTGGATGGTCGGCCGCAGCGACGAGGGCAGCCACCTCGTCGACGCCCTCGACGCCTTCGACAGCACGCAGCGGCACCAGGGCCTTAAACCGTGTGGCCACCAGGCCGGCCTCCTCCCAAAGCTCGCGGGCGGCCGCCAGCAGTAGGCTCTCGTGTGGCTCGCTGGCACCACCGCCCGGAACCTCCCATCGGTTCGGCATCGAATCGTGGGCAGCGCGCTGGACTAGCAACACTCGACGGGGGCCATCGCTGCTGCCGCCATCAAACACCACCACCGACACTGCCAGGCCGTTCCAGTCGTCGTGGCTGTTCCGCCGCATCCACTCGGCCGGCGTGATGTCCCAATCGGCCAGAGACTGATCGACCGAATAGGCTGTGAGGTCGGGTGGAGACATTGGGTCGCCTGCCGTTGGAAGAAACAATAAAAATAAGACTAAAAAATGGTAATGCCAGATGAAAGGGATTGGAGAATGCTCCGATAAAGAACAATGAGAGCTGACTCAGACAGAATGCGGCAGAACGGCTGTGTGGAACCGAAGGCTGCCATGGGCGAGCTGAGCTCAATTGGAAGCCTACAGGGATCGACAGTACACAATACTAACCCCTCTTCCCCCACCTGCAAGTCCGCTCAATAAACACCGAATTTATGCAAGCCACCTAGTCGACGCGTGGCTCGACACATGGCCAGCCATCCACGGCCGCTGTTGGGCGAGCTGCTAAGAAGGCCAGCAAGGCACTGCATTTTCCGTGCAATGTTGAAAGGACGCGCGTCTGTTCGTGTTTCTATCTCTACATATCTCTGGGCTGTGTCTATCTTATCTTTTCTCTCTCTTCAGGAGCTGTCGGACAGTCCGGTAGACCCCACGGACCCCCGTGATGATATCGCCTCGTCCATCGTAGACCGGGTAGACGGCCACGGCGAAAAAGGCAAAGAACTGCCAGATGATCGCCACCGTTACCCAGCCCAAGAAGAACGGCTTAGTGAAGATGTAGTTGCGGTACAGCGGCATCGGCCACGCCACAAACGTCACCAGCACAATCACCACCCAGAAGACCCACGCGATCTTGTACCACCGGTACAGCTCCTTGATCGTGGCCTCGTCGAACGGGTGGCGTACGTCGTCCAGCGACAGCTCGGCCGCGCCCACTGGTGACTGCCTGGCCACGGCCTGCTTCTCGTTGCCTGCCTCGTCGCCTGAGGACGCCGTCTTGTCCGATCCCGTGGTGTCGTCTGCGTGTATCTGGGCCTCGTCCGCCAGTTCGATCCGCAAAAACTCGCGCCAGTCAAATCGGCTCGGCTTGTACAGCGAGAGCACGACCGAGTAGATGGCCGGCGAGAAGAACGAGCCGCAGGCGCCGTACAGTGCCGGCAGGCCGGCCTCGGTCGTGATCAGGTTAATGGTCCCGTGCAGCCGGTACGCCGTCAACAGCCAGATGGCCAGGCCGGTGAAGAAGCCGAGAACGGGCGACAGCACAGCCGCAAGCTTCGTCTGCCGGTCCCAGATCAGCGTCAGAGCCAGCGGGATGATGCCCGGACACGACAGAATTGGCCGGAAGTAGCCGATCCACGTCATGTCAGCGCCGCCGTAGTTGAGCGCGAGCGAGATGCCCGTGATGAACACCGCATGGAATATCACTGCGTAGTGGCTGACATGCACGAGCGTCTTGTCCGTCGCCCGCGGATTGGTGTACGTCTTGTACACGTCAAACGAGAGGATGCTGCTGACGGCAATCATAGACGAAGATACCGTGCTCGTCAGGGCCATAAACAGCAGCACAAAAAAGGCCACGATGCCGTGCGTCCCGATGAGCGCCTTGATCGTGTACGGCATCACAAACCCCGCGCTGACCTCGGCCAGTGACATTGGGTTTGGGTACGTCGGGAAGATGGGCGAGTACTGGATCGCCCGTGCCGTCAGACCGATCACCGTGCCAAGGCCCCAGGGGATGCCGAAGATGGCCAGGGCCGCCAGGTCGTAGCCCGGCACCGTTGCGCCGACCTCGGTGGCAAACGACTTCTGCCAGAAGGCCGTGTCCATCACCACCAGGGCCAGGTTGCCAAACTTGAGGATGAGGCCCCAGATTATGGCGTTCTTGGACTTCATCGTCAGCAGCGAGCCCTCAAAGTTGCCCTTGATGTAGTTCTTGGACGCCGTCTCCGTGACAATGTCGTAAAGGCCACCCAACCCACCGACGGCCTGGTGCGTCAGCACGCTGAGCGTGAAGTAGATGATGAGGATGAGTGCGATGGTTGTGTGCAAATAATCTGTCAGGAAGGTTGCCTTGAGGCCACCGACGGCGGTGTAGAGGACCACTGGTAGGGTTAGCTAGACGCAAAGTTCAAGCAAGAGCAACACGAGACATCCTTACCTCCCAGCGGAATTAGAATCGTGGCCGCCACGAAGTGCATGCCTGAGATGCCGTGGATGATTTGCGATCCCGTCAGGATCATGGACGCACAGCCAAACACGTTGTTGGTTATGTTGAGCACGATGAACACGACATGACCGATCTTGCCGTACCGCATGCGGATGATTTCCAGCGACGTGTGCGCATACGGCACGCGGATCTTGGCCAACACGCCCAGCGCTGCCATCAGCGCGATCTGGAAGCAGAGCCCGGTGGCCCACCACAACGGCACTGCCAAGCCGTAGCGGAAGCACATGGCCGACGCGAACACCGTCTCGTTGATCCACATCCACGACGAGAATACGGCCGACGCTGTCAGCCCCGTGCCCACCGACCGGTTGGCCACCATGAACATTTCTGACGTCGCATTGTCCTCGGACAGATACACCCTCTGGATCTTGACGGCCACCAGAATGACGCCACAGAACACGACGCCGAGGCCGATGAGCAGGCCGTAGCCAGTTCCCTGTGAGACCAGGTCCACGCCTTTTGTCCCAAGTGCGAGTCCAGACATGGCGATTGCGGCTCTTGCTGTTCGCAGAGCGTTGATCGTTTCGTCTTGATGGCGATCGGATGGGCGACCAACTGGATATATCTGCTTTCGAGCCAGCCTCGGTCCATTGTTGAGGAAAATCCTTCGCCTCGCAGCCTGCAATCTTGACAGACCTGCCGAGAGCGGAGCCGTGGTGCAGATTGTGTGCTCGCACGTCCGCAAAGCGTATTGTGAAGCTTGCATGCATGCGCCTGGGTTTCTGGATATGGCGATCCCGTTGGGGACAAGCGCCCGCTGCGATACTGTAGCATGGCTGCGTACTTGCAAGACTGAGACCGTGCTAAGGAAGTAAGCTCAGATCTAATTGGGTGCTTTCGCCACAAATGCCATCGCACAAGCGATTGCGTGCCGCATGTGAACGATGGCGTTTGGCACGTCGGTCGGTGCTGCAGTGGTCGACCAGCACGTATCGTCCATGTGGCTGATGGCGTGATACCAAAGACAAATTCTGTCATTGGCGGATGCACCGACGCCGAAGGCACGCCGAAGGCGGAACATAACACTGGCTCCAGATGTTGTGCATACAGCTTCCACGGCCACAAACGGAAGACTGCACAAATCTCCGCGTTGACCCTCTTGCAAGTTGTAGTCTGAGAGCATCGAAAGCAAGTAAGCATTGAAACATGGCCGACAGCACAATCACCAATGGCAAGGCAGACGGCCACGATAACAGCAATGGGAGCAGCAAGAAGAAGCAGTTCATCCTCAACGCCTTTGTCATGAACACGCCGGGCCACCTGACGCCTGGGCTGTGGCGACACCCGCGCAACAAGACGGACCAGTACAAGAAGCTGAGCTTTTGGACCGACCTGGCAAAGCTGCTGGACGATGCCGGCTTCCACGCCATGTTCATCGCAGACACGCTCGGGCCATACGACGTGTACAAGGGCCCGGCCAACGTGGTGCCGGTGCTGGCCTCGGGCGCACAGTACCCCGTCAACGACCCGCTCTTCCTCGTGCCCTCCATGGCGGCCGCCACCAAGAACCTCATCTTTGGCGTGACGGCCAGCACGACATACGACAAGCCGTACGCGCTGGCACGCCGGCTGTCGACCGTGGACCACCTCAGCGACGGCCGGCTGGCATGGAACATTGTGACGTCATACCTCGACAGCGCGGCTCGCAACCACGGCCTGGACCAGCAGATTCCACACGATGAGCGCTATGCCATCGCCCACGAGTACATGGACGTGCTGTACAAGCTGTGGGAGGGCAGCTTCCGCGATGACGCCGTCGTGGCCGACCGTGAGACTGGCGTGTACATTGCCACTGATGCTGTGCGGCCCATTCACCACAAGGGCAAATATTTCTCCGTGCCAGGGCCACACTTTTGCGAGCCGTCGCCGCAGCGCACGCCCTTTCTCTTCCAGGCCGGCGTATCCGAGGCCGGCAACGGCTTTGGTGGCAAGCATGGCGAGGCCATCTTCATCGGTGGACAGGAGCCCGAGGGCATCAAGACGACCGTTGATAACATCCGTAGCATCGCCGCGGCTGAGGGCCGCAATCCCGACCACATCAAGGTCATCGTCAGCATCCACATCACCGTGGCCGCCACAGACGAAGAGGCCCTCGCAAAGCGCGCTGACATCCTCAAGTATGCCGACACCGAGGGTGCCCTTGCCTTATTTGGCGGTTGGACTGGCGTCGATCTCTCCACGTTCAACGACGACGACGACTTCCGCCTCAGCGACTCGCCGCGCGTGCGTTCCATCGTGCGGCGATGGGCCGCTACCGTGCCCGGCACCGAGAACCTGCCCTGGACCAAACGCCGCATCGTCGAGTACCTCGGCCTCGGTGGCATGGGAGGCAAGGTCGTCGGAGGGCCTGCCACTGTTGCTGATGAGCTCGAGCGCTGGGCCGACGTGTCGGGCGTCGACGGCTTTAACCTTTCCCACGCAACCAACCCGGGCTCCTTTGAGGATATTGCCGAGTTCCTGCTACCTGAGCTGCGGCGGCGTGGTCGTTTTCGCAACGGCGTCCAGAAAGAGGGAGCCACAGCTCGTGAGGTCTTCTTGGGTACAACGCGGCTGCCAGAGGACCACCCTGGAAGCCGGTACAAATGGTGTGCCGGTGAGAAGAAGCCCCAGTATCAACTTGAGGAGGAAGCGGCCGCAGCGGTGGCAGGTGTTCAGATAGGAGCCGATCAAGCAGAAACGGAAAGGGTTGCAAAGGCAGCAAGAGCTGCTGCCAACGACGAGTCTCCAGCAATTGTGGTCTGATCAGGTATTCGTTCGGGAAAATCTTCGCTGTGCGGCCGAGAGTTGGTGAGAATGATAGAAGTGACGGCTTTTTGGACGAAAACCTCGTCTAAATTAGTAAGCTTGGTCGAAAGAACACAAGGTCGGCGCGATGCTTCTATGAATTGTGTTTTTCTAAGAAGAAGTCGATTTGACAGTAGATGAAACGGGTTGATATTTCGTGCAGTCCGAGAACTATACCCCCATCGTTCTTTCCTTTGCGAAGCCGTAAACCTCGTAACTCTCTCTATACTTATTCTCCACTATTTCAGACGCGCGTCGCGTTGGTTTAAAGTTACAAATCCCTTCATTTTTAACAAGCAGCAACTTTAACCCAATCTTAGCAACCATCCACGCCCAATTTATAAATAATCCAACGACCTCGTATTCCACGTACGGCCATAGATACTGGAAAGCACGGGATCCCGTCCGCTCTCCCTTAGTTAAACCAGTAATCGGCGGATTAGTAGTTGGGTCGGTGACGACCAGCGAATACCCGCTGCTGTACGTTTTTTTTTGCCAGTGCAAGTAAAAACTGTATCTTACTTCTTTTGCATCGACGCATATAATTGTCTGTATGAGATAACTATCCAAGTGGTACATGTGAAAATTGTGCATGAATGAAGCGTACCGGCTATTGTCAAACTACAGCTGCTACCTGATTGCTAGAAAAATTCAAAAAGTAAACGCATCCCGACCGACAGCCGATACAAATTGTCTTCCCTAGAACAGCCGAGCTGATTGGCCTGTACTCTGGTGGCAGAAGAAGGACGTTTTCTCCATTGTCCGTTACCCAACACCGGTCTGGGCTTAAGCCATAGTTGTGTTCACCCGCAACGTTCTCGAGTGCCCCAGCATCAGCTGATGCCACACCGCCTGCATCTGGTCCACTGGAAGGAGCAGGAAGAGCCGGTAAGGGACCGAGTTTGATGCGTCCAACGTCTGTGTGCAAGTAAGAGCCAGTGTCGTCCAGCTTGATGTTGTACAGCGAAGTGCCCACGTCAACAACTTGCAGACACACACCGGTCAAAACGTCCCAGATCCTCACAGTCCGATCATTCGAGGAAGAGACAATGCGCTTATCATCAAGCGAGAACGCCACTGCCAACACCGATCCGTTGTGACCCTCAAGACGTCGTACGAGATGTCCAATCAAGGTGGATATGGAGATAGAACGATCCTCGGAGGCGGAAGCAATACAGACGCCATTGTGAGAGAATTCAGTGGAGTATACTGCGCCGGTATGGTGACGGAGTAAGCTGTGACTCTCCCTGGTTTTTCGATTCCAGATCCTAACAACACCCTCATCTGAGCATGTAGCGAGCCATCGACCATCGCGAGCCAAGGATGCTGACCAGACTGAGCCCCCGTACACGATGTCCCAGAGCTTAACGGTTCTGCCATCCGATGCTGTAGCGAGCTGCTTTTGATCGTGAGAAAGTGCTGCACAATTGGTTGCGCCTTTGTGAGCTTCGAGGTGATAGAGGATAGCACCTGTTGATGTGCTCCAAATGATCACCCCAGCATATGAAGATGTTACGATTTGCTGGTCGTCACGATCAAACGCTATAATAAAAGATCCGCTTGCGCAATGTATCGTGCGTAACAATTCTCCTGCGGTGACATCCCAGACTCTTATGACGCCTTCCTTCAAGCTAGAAACGGCCAGTCGGTTCTGTCGTGAAAATGCCAGGCAATATAAATCTGTATCAAGAGCTTTCGGTCCATCTTTCATTTTTTGGCCAGTAAGAGTATTCCATAAACTAAGCGTTCTTCTCGTCGCAGAAGCGATGAGCGTGTCGTCGGCAGAATATGCCACTGCGTAAATTGCATCATCCTGTTGGAAGGTCCGAACACATTTACCATTTGCGATGTCGAGAATATTCAGGCCTGCACCAGTAGCTACAGCAATATGTTGGCCGTCATGCGAACAAACCATCGACTGAACTTCCCCGCCCACCTCTGTTTCCCAGAGGCATCCGCCCGTTTTGACGTCCCAAAGCATGACCTTTCCAGCTGAAGAGCCGGAGACAACTTTGCTGTTCTGCCAAAAGCAGACACACCAGACCGGTGCAGTGTGCTTTAACACTTTGAGACATTCGCCTGTCATAGAGTCCCAAATTCTAACGCACCTACCCGAGGCAGATGCAACGAGCTCATCATTATGTGAGAAATCTACTTCGGATACCCAATCTGTATGGCCTCGAAGTGTTGCGGCCCTTGAAAATGCACCGTGTCCATGACCGTCGAAGGTTTGTATACACTGGCCAGTTGCGGTTTTCCAAAATTTGACTGTATTGTCGTCGGAGGTAGAGACAACGCTCCGGCCATCATGTGAGAAGCCGACCGACCACACATAATCCGTATGGCCTTTAAGCGTCCAGATGCAAGTCCCCGTTGCAACGTTCCAGATTTTCACAGTCTTGTCGTCAGAGGCTGAAGCGGCTCTCTGATTGTCTGCGGGAGAAAATGTGACAGCCCAGACGGGACCACCGTGGGCCCCTTGATTATAACGATGTGCACCTTGCGACAGAACAATATGGGGTCGTTTGGCAAGCCAGACAGGGAGTTCTTTATTGTAAAGCTTTCTCACCAAACCATCAGCCGGGCTGAACACAAGAGCCGATACATATATCTGAAGGGGAGCTGTCTCGATGGTGAATCTGTGGGCTTTTAGGAACTGGAAGGCTTCGCGAACAAGGTCTGTTAGAGACATCGGGTTGTCTGAGTATTCCTACAGGATATCAGTCTAGCCTCGCAGAGATGGGGCAAAATTTTCATTCAAACCCTTACGTAGAACTCTTGAAGCTTTCGCATTTGCCGCACGCCCTCCAAAATGCAGTGAAGAAGACTGAGTGCTTCGAGCCAGTGAAGAAAGCTCTCCCTTAAAAATGTTTGGACGGACCCTCTCATTGATATCACATCGTGACTACCTGTGTCCGTGTCCATTTTAAGCTTCCGGTACGATGCACACATATGGTCAACCCAAAAGATAGCTGAGTAGCGCACCGAGTCCAGAGGGTCTGGATGTGGACGTTGAATTTGGTCGATAGTACATCCTTGCTGTTTAATATTGTAAATGTCCCTTCGTAGAAGCCTAGACATGGCCTTGAGTGATTTAGACAACATAATACTATCCATCCTGTCCAACCTGGCTGCGAAGGCGCTGTCGGAAGATGCCATGCCATTAAGGAAAGTCTTCACTGATGAGTGAACAAAATAAATTGTTTCATCGTGAACAGTCAAAAGCGGATCTGTGTTCAGCACAAATTCAGCCAACGGTGGTAGGACATCAGAAGCACCTTCTGGCGTGTCCATAAACAAAGACAGCTCATGCAACGTGATAGGCCTGTGAACAGTTGTGATTAGGGCAAGGATATTTCTGTACGTGTCTCCGTAGCCCAACTCTTTGAAACGATGTACCGAATATGCGTAGAAGGAAATGACGTCGAGCGGATATTCTCTCAATTGCGCCAGGATGTCGGGGTTTTGAGAGTTTGCGAGGCTCCTGCAAACGAGTTCGATCCACAGTATGCTGCTGTTTGCCTGTGTGAGGTAACTCTCGACGGCACAAGCTAGTTCGGAATCATACTTTCTCTGATCTGCCAATCGGTGCGATCTATCCTTGATGAACGAGTTGACACTCTCCAAGATGACCTCTGGGCTGGGGTAGAGAAAAAGTGCTGGTTGGCGTCCTGATAGGCGTCGATCGCTCTCTGGAAACTCCCCGCTGGACACGATCCATTTGACATGGGTGCGGGTCGATGAAATCTGGATAGCCAAGTCGAGGAGTACTTTCCAGTCGGCCGTGCACTCATCGATTGCGTCAAGTACAAAACAGACGCCACGACTTTTGAAAGCAGGGTGTTCCAGACTGTCCTTGAACAGGTCTTCCAATGCGGTCCACGAGTTTTCAGTCTCAATGGTTTCTCTTTTGATGCGGCCGTGTTTCCTGCGCACATATTTAAGAAGTTCCGGTTGCTGCTGGATGAGGAGGTAGAGCAGGCCACGCAACACAGCAGAGCCGTTGTTGCTACGCTTATCCGTACTCTGACAAAAGAAATAGGAGAGGAAACCAGTTTTTCTGGTAGGCTTCTGAAGCTCATCGATAACACCACACATCTGAGCGGTTTTTCCGCTGCCAAGCGGCCCCTTAATCCACAGCAGACGGTTCCTACCATCGATCCAACCTTGAAATTCCGGGCTGTCCAGGATCCAACCATGCAGCGTTCTCGATAGGCCAGAATTTGTTTGGATGATGCGAGACATATCATGACCAGGATCTGCAATTCCCAATTTGTGAAAGTCAAGACTATCTTCCACATAGACGTCATTTTTGACAGGATCTCGGTCCTGTTGCTGGACGGCTCTAATGCTGGCCATACCGTTTGTCAACTCGGACGACCACAAGCGCCTGCGTTTTCGTGGCCAGGAACGGATATGGGCACTGTTGGAGATCGATTTACTCAGCTATGTTTGTACAAATTTACACTCCATTCCTCCACTTATAACTGTGCGAGTCTGATTCATTATATGATGGAGGTGGGGGTACTGGAGCCCCCGAAATCCCATACGATACGTGGCTTGCCCACGTCTTGGATATAACCACAACCGTTCTGTATTCTACTATGTAGGCTTACACCCCAGCTTAACGGCGGCACGCCCTTCCCCCAATTCTCTGACGGTCAGTCAAGAAGGAGAAACCAACGTTCCTAAAACCGTAGGTGCAGATCATCAGCCTTCTCTTAAGCTTTCGTATGTGAGTGGCCGAATGTGCGGCAAGTGGGTGAAAGTGTCGTATGGGCTACATGAGGAGGCCTGTGGTGTGATAGAAACTCGTCAGTCTACTGGGCCACGTTCATGTGTGTACTCCGCATTGTTTTTAATACCGCAAAGGATCCACCTGTCAGATTCTAAGAATAAGTGAGGGCGTGTGCGTTCTTCTAGGGGAGTAAGATACCTCCGAGTTATGCCGACCTGCGTGAAAACCCCAGTACCACAGTAGTACTCCGTACGAGTACACAGTACGGAGTACTCCGTAGCGCCTAAACTTACCCATATATCCCATTGTTGAAATGGATTAGTCATATTACCCTGCTTGCTAGGATTGAAGGCAACACTACTCTGGCAGGGGGTGATGACAATTCAACACCCGTCCAGTTTACCTTTCTAGCCAAAATCTTCTTAAATCTGGCACCCAGTTATGCGGATAAGGAAAGCAAAGCTATGGCTGTCTCATTTGTACAGAACTATTCTGCATGGTCAATCTTCCTCGTCATCGGATTCGCTTGACGGCAGCATAGCAGCCTCTTGGTTAATCCGGGGGAGGCCTTTCATAGACAAATAAGATGACTCGTCGTCCTTGAAAGCGCTCTCAAATTCCGTTCTCGAAGAGTTCGTGGCAAGGATCTTGAGTGCTGAAAGCACTTCGTCGTCTCTGGCAAGATCCAATATACATTTCAGCACAATCATCATATCCTGTTCATACTCATCGTTGTCGTAGTGGTCTATGCCATCGACGAGGCAGATCAGCGTCATATCGTGAGGCAGTCTTCTGACCAGCCAGCTAAACAAGGCACATAGGCTTCCAATATCACCAGCTTGAACACCATTTAGGTTGACTTCAACCCCTAGTTGTATCGCAACAAATGGCCGAAGACGAAGCAGCTGAACGATCAGACTCCGAATAAAGGCGTTTCCACCTGCATTTTTGTCGTCTTCTTCGGCATGGCGACCGCAAAAAAATACCATCCCGACATGTCTAGCTCTTCTTCGGAGTGTGCGTGTCAATACGGCACATAGCAGCGATAGCGATTGCTCATTCTCGCCATGCACCAGCAGCTCACTGGATGTGGGGCAAGTAATCCAGTCGCGAAACTGCTGAGTGCTGGCCACTTGTTCGGCTCGGGTGCGGTCACGGACAGAAACGAATTCTCTGTGCTCTATTATATCGTCCAAGTCGAAGTTGTCTATGTCAGACATGCAACACATGACACGTAGATTGTAGCTGCTGAAGAGATGTTGCGGGAGAGGCGAGTATGGGTGCTGTGGGTGCTGTCCTGGCCATAATGGCCGTAGATTGATCGGGCCAGCTGCAGAACCACCCGAAGTCGAAGCCCAAAGCCAAGAGGGTTGCGGCTGGTAGAACGAAGCTGGAAACAATGGTGCCGATGCTTGAACGAAAACCGTTGAAGGTGACCATGGAACGGTCTGCGGAGTGGGTGTGAGCTGTCTGATCACCTGATCCTTTTGTTCGTTTTCGAATTTCAGACGGATTTCTTCTGTTTGATACATCAGCACTATACTAGCATACTCGCTAGCAAATTTACTTACGCTCGCGAAGTTTCTCAATCTGGCATTGCATGTCACAATTTTTCTCATAGGCGTCTAGTAACTCTTTTAAGACGTTGTCGAGAGACGCAGCGATGTTTCCGGATGAGGTCTTAAAATCCTCTCTCATTACTTCTTGTTCCATTTTCAGGCTGACCACGTCTGCAACAGGTTTGTATTAGCAATGTCCTGAAGGTTGACTTAGGGTTGAAAACTCAAACGCTTACTTTGCAGCGTTACCATGCTCACTACTTTTTCCGAATTCGAAGCCTGACGTTGCAGAAAATCACTGCAGCTACGAACCTTGTTCATGCTGTCGATTAACGGCTCTTGGTATTTAGCCCCGTTCTTTATTGCGGACAATGCCTTATTACCTGCCATGAAGACGCGTGTTAGCAAAACGCCTACATATTTCCGGATAGTGGACGAAACCTAACCCGAATGCTTGGTAAAGAAGCCGATAGCGTCCTCTACCGCCTTTAGGATAGCCACCACGAGGTCCACCGATGCCTTTTTGATATTTTCATCTTTGGGATACGTGCCGAGAAAGACCTCGATGTCGGCAAACAATTGATCCAACTTTTCGCCATCAAAGCTATTGACCTCCTTCCGCACCTCAGACGCCACTTTGACCGCCTTAAGTTTTGTTTTTGTCAGTACATGAATTGGTTTAATGAAATGTGGACGTACATCTAGCAGGACCTCCACCGCAGCTTTCACAGGTGTTGTACAGGTGCCTTCAGGAATGAATTTGGCTAGTCGAGCAGCCGAACCCGCCTGATCGGCTACCTTGCGAGTAAACCTCTTGAAGCTACCTCTGCAGCCTTTTGCTTTCGAATCGTATTTCTCACGTGCCAGTTGTAGCTTTGAATAAACGCCCTCCCAGTCGTCTGCGTTCCTAATAGCGTAATCCGAGTCTGCCCGACCTCTGGGCTCCGAGTACTGGGAATTGAACTTGTGCAGCGAGTCAGTGAAAATATTGTTCCAGAACCGCATCAGCACTGAACTGCCTAAAAGTGGCCTGGCCAATTGAAACTGATCAACTCGCTCGTCGGCCTCAGAGCGGCATTGTACGGTTTGCTTGACCATAGCTATCGAAGCAGGTACATAGCGTCCCAAGGTTTTATCGTATCGAGCCGAAGAGTTATTGAAAGCCTCATGATAGTATGGCATATGGTTATCGATAAAGTCGACAGATGGAGGCTGTAATCGAAGGTCGGGGGTGGCCGTGGATGAGCTTGTCGCTTCCATCCTCGTATGCAAGCATCTAGTCTCAAGACTACAGTTTGTGCATATCTCTTTAAGCCAGAGTAAAGATCAAAAGTGAAAAGTATCTCGCCTGCAATACAAGGTCACAGAGTAGGCCTTTGGCAGGATTCTGAACAGTGTATCTACTCTTTGTAGTGACCTGACCGGTACCGCAGGTCTTTGCAAATTAGCCAATTGAAATACATTTCTCTATCCGAAGCTGCAGTTTATCATGCAGTCAGCGTGGGGTCCGACCGAGTTACGGAGTGCATAGCCAACCACAAAGTGACAAGCCTACGTCGTAGACGAAATTTTTATTTATTAGACTACATGAGGGGGCTGTGCAGAGTGATAAAACGATGTGTGTTCCTGGGTGGCGCTGACCAGATACTATGTAGGCCCACCTTTAGAGAATTCGCTTGACTGGACGCCACTGTGGAGGAACTGCTTTTGTACAGCAATCTGCTGTGCTTTTGTTTTCTGCCAGTATTACTCCGTAGAAAATCTGCTTATTAGTAGCTCTATTCCCGTGTTATATACGGCGTACGCAGCGTACAAATAGCAACCGTCGTTAATGTTTGACATCAGGTACAACTGGAATTTAGTGAGTGATCTATATGCATCATTCACTCGTTTGAAAGGAGAAGAAAAAGAGTATGACTCTGTAGTACGGAGTACATGGAGAATCCTAGATCAAAGTGGCCCCGCTACATTGCAGTTTATCTTACATAGCGTTGGCGGCTGCGTGCGAGGAGACGTCGGACACGTCGAGATAGTTAAAAAGACTACGGACCTTTACGAGCCAGTTGCATACATAGTACGTGCATGATATGCATACCCCAGGGCGTTGAAAACAGTAAGCTCCATATATTGGCAGCATGACATTAAGCCCTGAAAACCCACATCCCCCTCTTGTCAAGTAGATTATATTTGTAGACCTACTGGCTGCTTCGAGCAGCTTTACTTACCATGCACATGCAAGAACGAGAATATCCGAGAAACATTCCGAGCTCAGACCCATGAGGCTTTGCTTTCACTTCTTGTTACAAGTACGAACGTGGCTTCCGAAATGCCGACAGTGGCCCCGGACTCTAGTACTGCTGCAATCACAGCACCACAATCAGACGCGAATATTGGCGCATCTGACCAGATGACTACCCTCACGGTGCCTGAAACAAATCTAGAAGATTGTGAGAATGTCGCAGCTCTTCAAGCGGGAAATGCAAAGCAAATCCAGTTGGAGTCTGAGGTGCATGACCTGAAAGCCACGATATTGGCGCTGGTCAAGAAACAAGAAGAGTTGGCGGCACGTGAAGCTGAGTTCAGAGAGCCTTTTATACTATCCGACGAGCATCGGCTGGCTCTACAGCATCGCCGTTACAATCCCGACTCGGATGACTCGGATGACGATGACTACGTTCAATTTGACCATCGCAGGAGGCATATGGAGCGTGTTTATATGCGGGAGCTGAAAACGCTGAAGAGAGAAAAGGAAATGATCAAAAATATTCGGGAACTTCGGAGAGATAGGGACACACTCCTCGGAAAAGAGCAAGCTTGGGAGAAAGAGCGCCTCGACATGATGAATAGACAAAAGCACCAGTCGCGGGAAAGCAATCAACCGGATGAAAATACACAGGACGATAATGCGCAGGCATCTGAGAGAAGCGCTCATATTGAGACAAATGATGAGACGGGAATAGCCGAAGCAATCCTCCCAGACCCTACGGAAACAGCAGAGCCCAAGCTCAATTATGTCGAGTGGTCAAGATTCTCCGTGCTCAGATCTATCCCGGAGAGAAGTTCGTTTGCTATCGATGTATTAGTGGGCGAACCCATAATTCAATTTGCATGGACAGGCTACTATGGGTCAAATAACTCGAAACGAGGCCGTGCGAAGGAGGATGGGACAGCTGCTTCCAAAAGTGTGAAAGAAAAGTTGCCTGGACAGGGACCTCTGCCCGAACGCATCCGAATCCACTCCACTCCAATTCTCAAGATTCTCGAAACGATAAGCGGGAAAAGTCTTACCTTGGATGATGATACTGTCGTTATGGTCCGGCCATTCAAGTTTCTGGTATACTACAAGGATCAGATACGGCACAAATTCCAAAGCCTCACAGAAAAGTTCGCCGGTGAAGTAGGCATTGTCGGAGATGGTGTTGCTTTTACTCCTTTGCCAGAAACCCCGAGCGGAACCAGATCGAATAGTCTCGACAAGAATGCTGAACAGCCGAGCACGGCTTTGCCAGAAGTAAGCTTCGATGAGGCTGCCAAAGACGATGATGACGAAGATGAGAGCACGACATCGATTACTGCTCTTCGTGCTCTAGGGTGTTTGGTTGAATTCATCGACTCTGAGATCCAACCAAAGTTGGATTATCTGGAAAGTGACAATTGCACGAGGGTTTCTTTCACGGACATCTGGTACTTGTTCAAGCCTGGAGACGAAGTTGTTGACCAAGGCCGTAAGCAGGCCTACAGAGTGATTGAGGTGGCCAGCGTGAGCCACAAAGCGATCTCGCCCTGGCGCAACTATGACAAAGAGGCGGCAAAATCTGACCAAATCCCTGTTCGTCTCCACTGTGTACATGTGGACTTTGATGGCAAGAATATCGGCCCTGTGAGCGAAGTTTTTGAAATTCCAAGGTTCGATGGAGAAATGGCCATTACATCGCTTGATGTCTATCCTCTGCGGTACTTGAAAGAGAGCGGAGTGTTCCGAGAACAGCTTATTTCCAGGGGGAAAATGTTCTTAGATGTGGCAGGCATCAGGCACATGCACTACAATGGACTAACGTTAGTTGCAAGGGAAGAGGTGGACAGCCAAGTGGTGATTGACTTTGAGGAAGCATTTGCATCGAAAGATTACAGCAAGCTGAGGCCAAATATCGAAGAGTTGATCGGAAATTCACAGCTAGAAGGAGAAGGAGACGAATCATGCCAGTTTGAATGTTGCCAAGATGAGAATATCCACAAAGACAAAGACACGGACATGAAACATAGCCAGGACTATGTTGCTAGTCTGATACCAGAAGGTCGAAACAAGCTCCCTTCACTGGCATTATACCCTCGTGCGTTGACGGATGAGACTGCATTAACCGAGGATGAGCTTGTCATAATATCCTATCGTGTCTTTGGCTTCGTGCTGCGAAGCAGGAAATGGGGTAAGCTTACACTCATCACTGCTTCTGCCCCCAAAAATGGAATGGTTGTAACTGACTTGAAACTCGTGACCTAGCCACACTAGATCTCACACATCTTAGTCCAGTCAACTCTGGCGGTAGGTTGGCGAATGCCGTTGGACTTCAGGGTGGGGACAGTCTAGAAAAGCCGAGCGAAAAACAAGAGAGACGGCCTTTGACCAACTTGTATTGCCAGAGGGCCACAAGAAGATGGTTCTGTCTCTGGTAGCCCAGCATTTCCGGAATAAGGAGTCCTCTACGGCCGATACAGAGCAGGTTGATATTGTCCGCGGTAAAGGTATATCGGCCTCAAATCACCATTTCGCTTATATGATCCAGCTGTGTTTGCTGATAGTATTTTAGGCAAGGGTCTGATCCTCCTTCTCCACGGAGCTCCTGGTGTCGGAAAAACAACAACAGCCGGTGCGTATTGCACCCTCTTCAACTTTCTGTTTGGCTACATATTGACCACGGCTTCCAGAGGGGGTAGCTGAGCTGTTCAGAAAACCTCTATTCCAGATAACATGCGGTTCGTTCAATCTTGCCGACTGTTTCCTGATCACGACTGATACGATGACCTCTAGGAGACTTAGGAGCAACAGCAAATGAAGTCGAGCTTGCGCTTGAGACAAACTTTGCTTTGGCCAATAGATGGGGTTGCATTCTTCTGCTCGATGAAGCTGATGTCTTCCTCACGGCACGAGCGCCGCAAGACTTTACCCGCAACGGTCTAGTAGCAGGTTCGATACATACCTCCCGTCTAATAGACGCAGATGTAGCGAGCTAACGCAAACAGTGTTCCTCCGTGTATTGGAGTACTATGCGGGCGTCCTGTTCCTTACTACAAATCGGATCGGCGACTTTGATGAGGCCTTTGTATCACGGGTTCATATCAGCCTGTTCTACCCTCAGCTCGATCTGAAGTCCACACAAGACATCTTCAAGCTCAACCTGAAGCTGATCGAGAAACGCTTCAGGCAAAACGAGCGCATCATCCGTATTGACCACGACAGCATACTCCAGTACTCGGAGAATTACTGGAAGGAGTACGAAAAGATGCGATGGAATGGACGCCAAATTCGAAACGGCTGCCAGACTGCTTTGGCGCTTGCAGAATTCGACGCCCAAGGCGGTAGCTACGAGCGCATCAAAGACGCCAATGCCGAGGTCAAACTACAGGTTGAGCATTTGAAGACGGTTTCCTTGGCATACCTGGACTTCAGTACCTATCTAAAGGATATTTACGGCAAAGATGCTGATCGAAGGGCAAAAGCCATTGGAATTCGCGCAAGATACGCCGATACCCACTCGATGCAGCCAGAGCTGAGCACAGCTGCAAGGCCATCGAACACACCTTCCTCTACCGTAAATCAAACGTATACGCCTGGATCGGGTGTTCATCCGGCACATTCCTCCATCTCGACAGCGCAAATTCCCTCCCAGTTCTACTATGCACAACAAGTTGCTGCAATGCAACAAGCTTCGCAACAACCCCCAAATGCGTACGCGCAGTTGCCAGGTCAGACTTTCTGGAACAATCAAAACATAGGCGCCACCCCGTTGCAAGATGGTCAGCAACCCGTGTCGGTACAAAGTCAGTACAGTGCATATCTGCATCCGCAGCCGCAGCTGCATGGGATGCAAGGCAGCCAGTCACCCATACCAGGACAAGGCCAGTTTGCTTCCTACCCAACGGGGATGCCGGCTACTGGATATCTTCCTCCACATGCCTCTCAGGCAAGCCAGCAGCAACAGGTGCCAGGGGGCGTCATGCCACCACCGGGGAATCAAGGCTAGTCTGAATAGGGACTCAATTTGACGGACTGATGGCAGGTTGAAGTATCGATAAATTGTTGAGGTGCCGAGGACGGAAGGAACAGTAGTCAAACCGGGAAGGCTTGAGACAGACCTGGGAAAATAGAGCAAAAGCGGAGTGTTCGTTAAGATGAGTTTTGGTCGATGAGCCTTATGTAATCTCGTACATGACACTAAACCTCATCTCTTTGGCAAGCTACCAAGTGTCTTTAGGTCTTAAAACATGCCCACGCCTTGCAGTCATCACTACTAGAAAACTTTCATTGAAACCAATTATCTTCTTGCATTTATATCGGTTCTTAAATGCTGGGCGTTTATAAGAAAATAAACTGGTAGTCTAGATAGATCACTACACCGATACGCCGCCTACGTCTTTATCTAAACCTGTTGTTTTCTATGCACACAACATGGGGGGGAAATGTAGTTGAACATGATCGATCCATCTTCTTTCATTCTTTCGGTTCTAGCCCTAGCCCTTCGTGATGTAGCCCAGTACCGTCCGTAGCTGGCACTATTGACGCCTGCCGCGTCTTTTCGTATCGAAAGGCAAAGTGTATAACGATAAAGAGGATCGTAGACGCCACCGCAAAGCCTAAATACAGCTTGGCTCCAATGTGCCAATTGGGCGCTTGTTTTGCTGGGTATGCGGCCAGCGGCACAAAGGCGCTGAGCAGGTATGCCAGAATCGTGCCACTTGCAAAGAGTACCGTGCGTACTTCCGGCTCGCTCTGTAGATGCGTGGCTGCCCAGGAGCAGAGGAGCATAGTGGAGACACTTGGGGAGAGGTTTATCAGCCGACGTTCTCAAGGATGGCCCTGCACGGGACTATTGAAGATCGAACTCACCCTCCTACGTAGTTGAGATACCAGCCGGCCATGTAAGAGTGATGGTTGCTTGGCCGGATAATCAGGATTATGAGTGACGTGATGCTGATTGCCTAAATCTTCCAGTTAGAGGTTAATCCACGAAATGGAACAGGTGCTACACACTGAATGTAGGAGCAGAAACGGCAGTCGTGCGCCCAGAAGGTCGCTGAAGCCATTGAACAAAATCTCGGCCACAAACTGCACTGCCTGCCCAATGATAGGTAGATAGTTCAGCATGCCGACAGAACTGCATTGTCAGTGAAAGGAAGCGGGAGACCGGCCACATAAGTCGAGTTGACAGCTATGGAACTCACTATTTCTTCGTCCCGTCTGGGTTCTTCAGTGATTTCAGCCACAGGTTGAAGTATCCAGATGGTGTCGTGTTGCCACCAATCGGCCAGGCGATAGCAACCAGCCACAGTTGCCAGAAAGAAAAGCAGCGCAAAAAGCTCTTGACTGTAATGCCCTTTTGCGCTCTGCGACCGACACGACGTGCCCGTGCAAGCGCAATTTCTTCAAATATTACTATTTGCAAAGGTTGAAAGAGCAGAGCAAGACATACCTATGTGGCGAGGCTTCATGTAGTATTTAGATAGGGGATTCTGACGTTCGGGCTGCAGTTCATTAGTCTGGCGTCTGTATGTACTGTCTAAACCAAGCGTACATATCCAGGAAGAACAGCAAACGCCAACAGGGCCACGAAAATGGTGCAAACACCCTACGAACAAAGTGGAGATCAGCATATATTCTTTGTTCGTGGGAAATCTCCTCCGGGCAACCAAACATACATTGATAATAAATGCCCATCGCCAGCCTGACCGACCCAGGATGCCATCGAGGTTTGTCGCCAATGAGCCTTGCATAGCCCCAGAGAGCATCGCTCCAGTTGGCTGGGCGACGTTGTAGATGCTCATGCGCAATGCAATCTCGTCCGGAAGGTACCATTGGCTACGGAAATCGTGTCAGCTCATTCCATTTTGTAGATCATTAGCTAGCCAGCGTACTTGATGATGGTGATGTAGCCAGGCCAGGCACTTCCCTCAAAAAGGCCGATGAGGAAACGGAGGCCATACACCTGCAGACAGTCAATGCTCTCTTCTCCTCACGCTCGCTGGGCTGAGTCTTACTGTCTTGGCCGACTTGGATAGTGACAGGCAACAGGTCAGAATACCCCACATCACCTCACATGCCGGCAGCCAACGGTGGGGACCGAAATGGGAGACGATGATGCACGATGGATAGAGCATGACAATGTATCCAATGCTAGGAGTCTGTCAGCAACCACAGAAAGCTCGTAAGTCTAGACAAGACAACTCACTTGAAGTAGGTCGTAAAGTAGTTAAGCTCGTCTCCTTCCAGATGCAGTTCCTCTTTCATGCCAGAAACATATGCGTTGCTCTGCAATGGTTGTAAGCCAAAAAGACCTTGGATAGGACAGAAGATTGATAACTAGGCACCAAAGAAACCCTCGCCCACTTACAATGTTTGTCTGGTCAAGATACTTGAATGTGTAGCCCAAAAAGCCTACCACCAGAAGTCCCAGGTCGAGCCGCCACACCTGCGACGTTACTGCTGTCAGTTCCGTGGACCCGATTTGTCGGCTCTCGCTGTACTCACAAATGCACGCTCTTCCTTTGCGCTGATCTCACCTGTCGCACCGCGCCGATCTGCCGGCCCCGTTCGACCTTTCTCTGAACCCGTCTCATGGGCCCGAGTCACGTCGACCTTTTCGTCACTGGCCGTGGCATTGATGCCTGTCACGGCAGTCTCTTTGACTAGGCTGGCCATTTTTTGATTGCAAAGAAAACGGGATCTCTTTACGATCGCACATAAATGCCAGTGATACAGAGCTTATCTTTGCTTGATTACCGGTGCATTCCAACCCTACCTCTCGCATTATATATAATACTTATGCGTGTAGCTCTGTTTGCATATATCGTTAGCCGCAACTAAATTGCAAAGTACAAATTCCCTTCGAATAATAGCCCAAACTCAACGTGCGTCCACCCCGCCAACACCAGTCCAAAGATGACATCAAGGCGTGGTGTAAAGACGTGATCCTCTAGTGTGACCAAGTAACTACCACTATGTTTTCACCCCCACGTAAGAGTATGCAAACTATAACTGCTTACGAAGTACAGAGTTGGAGTTCTCTCCAGTCATTGCTACAAGCAAACCAACTAGTTGTAGCTACAGCATCCAGTTTGGTCCGTTAAGGGAGTATACGTTATATGGTATCGCCGTAGACAACCAATACTTTGGCTTAATATAGCCGTGGATTTGCACAACGGCTATCGCGACATCACTGTGCAGGTAACGTGCTGCCCACTTATATTTGCGCCATAAGCGGTGCAACGTCGGCAACCGCCTCTAGCTTACAGATATCGGGCCATCTGGCCACCCGTCTTTTTAAAGGTAAGATACAATGCTGCAAAACATCGAAAGCGTGGCGTAGAGAATCGTGAATACACCCTATCGTAAATGCGACGCAGTGGTGACGAATCGGCCCTTCTAGGCCGGGACGGGAGTAAGAGCATCCTCTACCACAATATCGCCCCATCAACCTACGTGACAGTAGAACGTTCGTGGTCGCTGTCTGGACCACAAAGGAATTCCAAGCTTCTGCATCCGAGGACTGAAACCTCTACATGACGCTCTCCCGCCCTGTGGCCGCATTACTCGGCCGGTCCTCGGCCGGGCCACATTGGGACAACATTCACTTCTTGGCTCTGTTTAATCAACTCCGACTGATATAATAGCTCTCTGGTGGTTATGGGCTAATTTAATCGTGCCTTGTGACATTGTTGCAAAGCTGCAGACATCACCGGATGACTAATCCTCTCAACTTTCCCCCGGGAATTTCGGGCCCGCGCTTGCCCGATTAGGTAGTCGCGGGCCCGAAATATCCCTTTCTGGCGACTGCTCTTGCCGTTTTTATCTGCTTGCTCGCTCTTCTCCATGCATTTGATTTCTCAAGCTGTCATCTTTGTACGATCTATACATTCAATATTGACTTAGAGACTACGAACAGCTCAACAAGAACTCAGAAACACGCCTGCGTTGCGTGTGCTCGGCGCAAGATCCGCTGCGACCGGCGGCAACCATGCGCCAATTGTAATGTGCAAACACAGAAGGCTAGGCGACGCGGCCGCAATCTCCAACAGCAAGGAAGTAAAAGACACGAATGTGTATATATAGAGCCCACTCCAGCTCAGCGACATCCCCGGTATCTTGCACGACAGACAACGACAAGTGCGCTGGCGACAGTGCCAACCACCTCACTGGATGCGGGCCTGTTACAACGACTGCGCCAGTGTGAAGCTCTGCTGCGGGAAAACAACGTCAGCCTCCCAAAAACCTCGATAAAACAGCAGTTGGGCCTACTGAATTCACAAACCAGAAGCCTCTCGGTGCGCGATGCGGACTCACATCAAGAGGTCGACGAGGCAGCGCACGTGTGGATCACTTCACCGTGGGTGGCGAAGTTGCTACCAGCACAGGAGACAATCCAAAACGGGATTCTGACCCCGTCATCAGTGACAGAAGCTGAAAGCGAGCAAAGTAGAATGGCAGATGAGGCAACGGAGTTACAAGCATCGTTAGCCCCAAATTTGCAGCCAGACTCGGCACACAGGGAACTAAACCTATGGCTGTCTCTGTCTGTCGAGGTAAGTCACCTCTCTCCGTCCGATCTTCGATTGGCCTTGACCAACCCTAAAGAAAGCTCCGGAACCCAGCTGTGTCAGGTGTCTTTCGCCGACCAGTCGGACAGTCGAGAAACGGACGCACAATCGGAGATGTAGAAGACACCGAGGACGGCAAAAACATGAATGACCCAGCTGCTCCATACGACCTAGCAGGACTTTTCGGAATAACTGGCTGGGTACCCGTGGCACACCCAGAGCCGCGTGTTATCCTGCGGCTGTGGCAGGTCTTTGTCGACAATGTCAATCCACTGATGCGGATCGTCCACGTTCCAACAACGCACCAGATGATTGTTGAGGCTAGCTGGGATGCCAATCATGCACCGCCGGCCACTTCAGCCCTTCTTTTTGCTGTCTACTCACTGGCCGTGATTTCTATGTCACCCAAGGACTATTCCGAGATGTTCTCTGCACCGAATGGTGACGGACGCGTGCCACCAAAACCACCCTCTAAGTTCGAAGTGCTGCGGCAGTATCGGACTGGCGGCGCCCAGGCACTTCTGGCGGCCGGCCTCTTGACTACGAGACATACTGACGTCCTGCGGGCATTTACACTGTATCTTTTAGGAGAGCTCGATGTAGAGCTGTCCAGCACAATGACAGCAGTGGCTACGCACATTGGGATGAAGCTCGGTCTGCACCGTGAGACGAGCATATCGTACGACAACAAGGAGAAGACTGATGGCAGAAATGGAAAAAGCTACGGCCAAATTACTTTCTTTGAGCGTGAGATGCGTCTGCGGCTATGGTGGCAGATCGTGCGCCAGGGTGCCAGTGTAGGTAATTTTGGAAGCGTCGGCAGTCCCAACGGCGGTGCCATCTGTGGATCTGGTGGAAGTGGCTGCAATTGGCTGACGGCACCCGATCCACGACACATGCGTCTTCCACTAAACATCAACGACGTTGACCTCCATCCTGACATGGCCGGACCGCCATTGGAGCACACGGGCCCGACAGAGATTGTGTACCTCTTGATGAAGTACGAGGCGGCTCGATGGATGCGACAGTTTGCAGAGCGCACGTTTGCGTCTCAGAGAGCTGGAAAACACAATATCCACTCACCCTATGAGCTGGCCCTAGCCAAAGATTCAGCCATTGATGAGTTGGAGGAGCTGTTTGAACACAAGTACCTCCGCTACTGCGACCCAAATATTCCACTGCATACGCTCACAGTCTGCATGGGCCGCCTGGCTGTAGCACAGCTCCGGTTCCAGTCGTGGCACCCACGCGTCGTGGTTTCAGCAGGGGAGTCTACAGAAAGGACACCAGCTTTGTTTCCGCAGCAAAGTGCAGATGCTGTGTTCCACAACGCTGTACGCGTACTTGACCTCTACTTCACCAGCCGACAAGTGAAGCGAATTAAAAATAGCTTTGCGGTCTTTCAGATGATGGCCGACGCGGTGATGCGAATATTGGTGGACGCGGTTGTGTATGTCGTGAGCGTTTTGCGAGTGCGAACCGGATGGGATGACGTGACAGACGGGGGTGGGCCGGAGGGTGGCGAAGGCAACAAATACGCTTTAGAACGGCCATTGCGGGTGGTTGAACTATTTTATGCCGAATATGGCGACGACCTGGCCAAGGCGGCAGTTGATGACAAGGAGCAGGGCCAGTGTGAGGAAGTGGCTCTGACGGAAGAGAGTCGCCGGTGGATCTCCGGGACCGCATTTGCAGTTGCCTTTTGCGATCTTACGCTGGAAGCCTGGGAGGCGCGGATGGTGGCCAGACGACAAGATGGCGAGACATCTACACCAGAATTCATCATCGCACTGCAGCAACAGCAACAGGAGCGGCGGCAGCGGAAGGAACAGCACAAAGAAGTTCACACGTGGACAGCAGACCCGCTGCAACTTTCCGACGACATGTCATGGAAACCAGTGGCGTCGTGGAAGTGCGATGGACTTGACTGGGAGCTCTGGAACGACTTCCTGCAAATGTAGGCTGCAGACCTCCGTGTGATATAGTTATATCATCGGGTAAATACTATCAAGAAGGGACGAAACTCATCAGCATAGTTTACTTTAATTTTCACCTCACACTCTTAAAGTTTCACCAGAACCAGTCGAATAAGCTTTGCAAACACGGCCTTGACGTCGTTGAAATAATTGTCCTGTAGCAGCTTCTGAATGATCGGTTGGGCGTTGTGTGCATCAAACGTCTTGCGGCTTCGATACCGCTCAAAGAAGTGGTATTTCGTGACATCCTGTGTATCTCGACATATACAGTAGTAGATAGAGCCGGATTCAAAATGCGTCAGTCGCGTGGTCTCGGCATGGACTGCCTCCAGAGCATCTGCGTGCCCGGGGAAGGTATAGACCTCAAAGGATCGGCCCAGGGGCATAGACCTGTAAATCTATGTCACATACAACTCTGTAGACGGAAAACTCGTCCTCTGGGACCCGCAGAGTCTCTTGTGAGGGTGCGCGCTGCAGGTCGGCCATGGTATTGAAGTATCAAGTTGGCTTTATCAAACCGGTATACGTCTAGCAGTTCAGATTTCCTATATTGATGGAATGTGCTATCTGAGGTCTGAGAGACGTCATTATGAGTCATTTGCTAATAGTCGATGCTTTGTGGAAAAGTGTTATGCATATGGCTAGATCTGCCGTCAGTGGGAGCACGAACTGGGATTGTGATCGTGAGTCTGCTTGGACACGTCATCGCACTAAGGGTTCTTGGTCTAGTGGTATGATTCTCGCTTAGGGTGCGAGAGGTCCCGAGTTCGATCCTCGGAGAACCCCCACGATTTTCGCGTCGGTGGTTTAGTGGTAAAATCTGTCGTTGCCATCGACAGGCCCCGGGTTCGATTCCCGGCCGACGCATTTTTTACTCAAAACGACCTAGGCGTAAGGCTTCCTTATGTTAGATATCAACGTGAGGTTGTCGACTGCAGCATTTTTGTTTATGTTACTCAACGTCAGAGAGCCTTCCAGTTCTGCGGAATTATCGCTAAGAAATCAGCTACAGGTAAAGGAAATCCGACTTTTATTTCGTAAAAATAGCGTAGGCCGGGCCGAGTTATAGCTTTCATAGTTTTATCTTCAATGAAAGCAGAATCGTGTTTAGAAACAAGACGGAAACTAATCTCTTATACCGTCATGGCGATCAAAGTTTAGCGCCATTAGGCTACATGTTTCTGCCCCCAGGACATTGTGCACGGGATTTTCTATCTGTGGGTGTCAATGAGGGGTGCCTCGGTTTCTACTCCGTACCTCTTGGTGGACAAACAAAATATATTGTTGTTACCGGTAGTTAGGACAAGCTGAGTACCCAAAGAAGACTGGCGCATTGAGTTGATCAATCACGTCTGTCTAGTATATCCACCTCCAGTACTCCGTATCTACGAAGCAAAGACGGAGTTTAAAGTACTCCGTAGGATGTCCATAAATTCGTAGATATAAATGCCTTTCAGCTTTGGGCTGAAGATGCATTGCCAAAACCGGAGTAATGCGGGGGCTATTTGCTCGAATGACCTTGATCCAAGTGACCTTGGTAGAAACCGTAGGCCATTGGAGGCTTGGCTTGTATATCGAATGGTTGTCGTCGTTGTTGTCTTCCATGTTTCATCTCGTGTTCTACTCTATGGCCAATGACCGGGCAACACCAGAGAGAGTGTGATGCATGGCTGCCTAATTTGTTCCTGTCGGGCTAAGCGGAACTCGTTTGTTAAGCTTGTCTCTGCCACAACTTTTCCAGTTTTGTTCTTCTCCATTTCCTTTCGTTTTAGTTACCGAACAACCAAACGAAACAACAAATTGACCAACCTCGTCCGCCCCCCAAAACATAACTTCAACCTTCTGATCACGAGAGCGACAATAAATATGGATGACAACATGAGGAATTGCGACCAGATTGAAACGTGGTATAATAATGCCATTCCCCGTCGACAGGACGTCCTAGGCGATTATGCTGGCCGGGAATTGTGTGCCATCCATGGGGAGTCCTTGCTTGTATACTGTATCGGCGAAGCCAAGGTTGATTTTCAGGGTAGGCTAATTCCTTTATCATTTTCTCCGTCTATTTCGGCCCCCAGGCTGATCACTGCATCATTGCTATCGCTACTAGATGGGTTCCAGTTGTTGCATGCCGTCCATGCCGTAGAGCTTTTTCTCAGCAAGCTGCAGAAGCGTCAATGTCATTTCCAGGTGCTCTGGTTCGCTGACCATGAGGGTCTGTTGCTTGACAGTCAACTCGCCCGAGCTGACCCAGACGTGGCCTGTACCACTGACACGAACTTCTGCAAGATCCGTCTTGCGCGGGCTGTGTTGATTGAGCACCTTCAACGACATCCACAGGTGGCGTCCAGTTTCAGCTTTGATTCTATGGACAGTGAAAAGTTCCTCCAGCATCTGGCAGAGAACCCACTACGCCTCTTTTTCGTGTCGGATCGCAGTAAAGCCTTCTCTGCACCGAATGATGGACAAAACCAAGGAGGCCTCATGACATTCCAGAGTATCATCTATCGTCTTAACACCCAGGGATACACAGTGGCCCTAATGGACGATATAGAATTCCAGAGCTCTGAGGTAAGACGTCTAGTATTCCTTTTAAAGTATACCCCCTGCTTAGAATCAACACCAGGTCCGATGCACTCTGTTTTCTGCCACGCGTGGACTGCCCTTTAAAAAGGGAGACTGGCTTCCTGTGCCCTTGCCACCGTCGAACTACGATGAAATAGCTGACCATACATACGACGTTCACGCCCTCCTGCACGGCATAAAGCGCTGCTCGGTGCGAGAGCTTGTGTCAATATTGGTGCTCGCTGATATCCTCAAGATCGATAGCAGCTCATCGATGAAACAGCGGGTGGTAGCGTTTCTCGCCCATCTTGCCATTTTGAAGCACTGCTCGCTCTCGAACCGCCCGGTGCATCCTGGTGTGGCACGCAGCAATGAAGAGTTGTCCTTTCTCAAAGTGTACTGCGAGCTCTCACGGAAGGTCTTGGGAGAACGCCCATGGGAGGTGGCCGTGGGTTCCACCTCGACCTCCGTAGTTTGGGATGCATACGATCTCGTGGACGGGCGGCTGTGGTTGGCAGTTCTGGAAGGTCAATCCAGCGTCACAAGCGAGACCAAGATGGCTTCCGACTTTCGTGACCTGACCACACGTCTTTCGGCACTCTGTGGCTTCGACCTGCAGGATTGTCTGCCTGGTTATCTCAGTACATCCTCCTCACCGACAACTGAAGCTCTCACAGTGCCTTCTACCATCATCACTGGCTCCATCCTTCCGTTTCAGCACCCAGACTTTGATGATTTTTTGGGCGATGTGGCCGTGCCTGTAGACTGGGATGCTGAACAAACTCTGGCTAGCAGCCATAATTCGACTCAAGTCTCACAAGAAGAGACACATTGGCACAATACCAAGAAGCTGGCAGCAACAACGATAAACAAACCGGACCCTAGGAAAATGTTTTATTTCAACCGCCGCAACCAGCGTTTCATGACACAGATTCGAGACTATGCTGCCAGCTTGACTAATGCAACGGGCAAGATTCTCGACCGCGAGACCATCGTCACGGCGGTACCACCCAAAAAGCTACAGACAGTAGTTCAAAAGAGTTTCAAGGGCAAATCTAGAGAAAGAAAGGCTGTGACCAGCAACAAGAATGTGGCACAAGAATACCAAAAAGCCAAGCAAGTTCCGAACATTGTCATGAGATGGCGCTCGGCCTACGAGAATCTGCAGAAGGAAAAAGATACTCTCAAGCAGTATGAAGCAGCCGTGAAGTACTTTCAGAACTTGTCTCCGCTGAGTCGCGACATTGTCGGTGCCGACGTGGTGCTCCACGTCTGCAACATCCTCGGCAAATGCCTGTGCGATAGCAGCAGCAAGCTAAAAATGATCGGTGAGGAAACCTCCGCGTGTTTTGTCTGGGATAGTGAAGAGCACATACATATCGTTGACGCGTTATACTAGCTCCCAATATAGCAGCGCTCATATGGGCACAGATTCAGGAGCTGAGCCGACTGCCACTGTCTGCCGAGGCTGTGCAGATCGCCCAGGACCTGTGCAAGGCGGTGATGATTCCAGTCGGGCCACTTTCCGTTCGCACAGATGGTCTCATCACTCCCCTCGAATCGCGGTCTGCAACAGTGCGTGTGATAAGCACGCTCGAGAGGGCAAAAGACGATGCGCGTCTAGTGACTCGGCCGGCCGCTTTCCAGCTCGGAGTCTGTGGGCCATATCTAGAGCGAGGCTTTGACTCGCAGCCGGATGCGCGCGTGCTGAACTTTGAGCCGGATGGATGGCAGCGCAAGGTTCTGGATGCGATCGATGAGCGGCAGAGCTTGTTTGTGGTGGCGCCAACATCGGCAGGCAAGACCTTTATCTCGTTCTACGCCATGAAGCAGGTGCTGAAACAGAGCAATGACGGCGTTCTCGTCTATGTGGCCCCAACGAAAGCGCTGGTCAACCAAGTCGCTGCCGAGATCGAGGCGCGCTTTTCCAAGACGTTCCCACAGAGCAGCAGTGGTGGAAAGTCGGTATGGGCCATCAAAACACGTGACCAGTGCATCAACAACCCGACAGGTTGCCAGGTTCTGGTGACGGTACCGCACATGCTGCAGATCCTACTAATGTCACCTAGCAGCATGGAGGGTAGTAATCCGTGGCCTCTGCGGCTGCGCTGGATCATTTTTGACGAAATACACAGCATTGGACAGTCCGACGAGGGAGTCGTGTGGGAACAGCTCGTGCTGATGGCACCCTGTCCCATCATTGCGCTGTCGGCTACCGTTGGAAACCCCTATGCGTTCCGGGACTGGCTCACTAGCTGTGAGAAGTCCAAAGGCCGCCAGATACGCATGATCACGCACTCTTCGCGGTACTCGGACCTACGCAACTACGTCTGGATGCCGTCGAGACATTTTCAATTTTCCGGCGTTACGGCTGAAGACAGCCGTCGATGGCCGATTCCTGGCTTAGAAGCTGATGGCTATAACGAGAAAACGCCATTTATGGTTGTGCATCCGGTGGCGAGTCTGATAGATCGGTATCTTTATGCTTTCTTATTCATATATTTTGTACTTTGTAATACTAACTACTGTAATAGAAGCAGGGATTCTTTAGACGACATAAGCCTCGAGCCACGCGACTCTGTGCTTTTGTGGCGCAGCTTAAAAAGGCACCACACCGCAGATTTTCCGCTTGACCCTTCGCTTAACCCGGACGTTTTCTTCTCTTCTAAGCTATCGGTAACCAAGGAACACGCCGTGGCCTGGGAAGTTCAGCTAAAGAAGGTGTTGCTGTCTTGGATGCATGACCATCGCTCGCCCTTTCCAGCAGTGCATAAAGACCTTAGTCCGATAGGCCTCCGAAGAAATTCAGGAGGTTACCATATTTCAAGTAAGCTCTTAGAGCTGTTGACTGACCTGCGCAGACATGGAGCCGTGCCGGCACTGCTGTTTCTGTACGACCGCAAGCTTTGCGAATATTCGGTGTGGCACATAGTGGAAGGGCTTGTGAGCGCTGAGAAGGCGTGGAAGAAAAACAGCACTGAATGGAAGCAAACCATGGCAAGCTTCGAGAAGCATCAAAAGGCCAAGACAGCAAAGAAGGCGCCAAAAATATCCCGCAGTACAAAGGGGAAAAAAAACGACGATGACGGCAACATATCCAAATTTGAAAGCATGCGCGAGGCTGCCAACCAGGAAGTCAGCAAGTGGGACTTGTTCGACCCAAACGCACCGCTAGCAGAGTTCAGCCTAGCGAACCACACAAGGCTTCCTGCGTCGGAACTGGAGAAGATTATCAAAAGCCTCGACGGTGCCGGCATAAGGCCCTTTTTTATCGAAGGACTCCGCCGCGGTGTCGGTGTGCACCATGCTGGGATGAGCCGTCGATATAGACAGATGTGGGTTTCCATTTGCTTGATATACCGCCCTGTCACATTCTTTTCTAATCCGATTCTAGTGTCGAAATGCTCTTCCGCAAAGGCTTTCTAACCGCCGTCGTGGCCACCGGAACACTGGCTCTAGGCATCAACATGCCATGCAAGACAGTCGTCTTTGTTGGCGACTCAACCTATCTGAATGCCCTCAATTATCGCCAGGCCTCTGGCCGTGCTGGTCGCCGCGGCTTTGATACCCTAGGCAACGTCGTCTTCTATGGCTTTACGCCCCAGCGCGTCATGGAGGTGTTGTCGTCGCGGCTGCCCGATCTCCGTGGCCACTTCCCGCTCTCAACGTCGCTAATCCTGCGCACATGCATGTTGCTGCACCAGACGGACCGCTGTTCTTTTGCCCGCGACTGCATCGTGCGCTCGCTCTTTTCGCAGACACGCATGTACATGGGCGGACCGGCTGGACAAGACGCCATCAAGCACCACCTGCGCTTTTCTATCGAGTATCTGCGCCGTAACCATATGCTCTCGGTTCGTGGAGTGCCCCTCAATTTTGCCGGCCTCGTCGGCCACCTCTACTACACCGAGAACAGCGCGTTTGCCTTTCACGCACTGCTGCAGGAGGGCTACTTTCACCGGCTGTGTGCTGGATTTTCCGGGAGGGCCTCCAACACAGACGAAGTGATGCGAACCATGGTCCTCGTGCTGTCCCACCTCTTCTGTCGACGGCTCTGTCGCCGTTACCAGGACCAGACATGGCTGGCGACCGTGGTCAAGCCGTCGTCGTCCATTGTCCTCCTGCCACTGCTGCCATCGGATGCCTCTGCGATCCTGCGGGCGAACAACGCGAAGACGCGGACCATCTTCCAGACATACGTCCAAAGCTACGTGCGCCAACATCTGGCCGACCAGCCCGACCGATCCCTGCCACTGACAGGTATCCTCGTGGGACCGCAAGGTGACCACAGCAGCAGTGGAGGCGTGCAGCTGCGGTCGCCCTTTGCTGCACTGTCGGGCTTTACCGACGACTTTCAGTCGGTGCACGACCTCTGCGAGACCGTGCGCGCCGGTGTCTTCCTGCAAGAGGCGTCTGTGCCGTACCTTCCTGTGTCCCCAGATGATACCGACGGCGTGCCTCTTAACGCATACATCTACGACTTCTTCCGTCACGGTGACCTGAGTGCGCTGAAAAATGGCAACGGCATCAGAGAAGGCGATGTGTGGTTTTTGCTGCAGGAATTCAGCATGATTCTGGCCACCATCGTCACCAGTCTGACCCTATTTCTGGAACCGGATGCGGTGGCATTGGATGATTTGGGAGTGGATGAGGATATGTGGGACGAGGAAGATGAGCAGGACGAGCAGGACATGGATTATGAGGGCGAGAACGTCCAAAAGATGTCTACTGCGGACACTGGTACCGCGGCCGTCGCACGTCTACACAAGGAGAAGCGGAAGAAGGAAAAGGTGGCCGATTCCTGGGAGGATGAGACGGATTCAGATTCATCCACCTCGACCACTACGACAAAATCAGCAACGGTCATCTCCACAAGCAGACCCAAAGACAATGAAAGCCAGATGCGTCTCCGGAATGTGCTTTCGGCCTTTAAACAGCTGAAGGCGCAGTTTGATGTGAAATTTCGCAAGGTCTGGGCATGATGGGAGGGTGCCCATGCACACATATACTTGTATATGCGACTATTTCGTGGAGACTCCCCATAGAACAGTCAAGGTCACCTGGCAAGAAGGCCTCCGATATTTGGAAGTGCACTACGAGTTTAGTGGGCTCAACAGAACGCTATGACAGTTGCAAATTGCATGTAAGGCTATTTTGGCTTCTGTGCATACGCCACACAGCCAGGGAAATAGGCATGCACATTTGGGTTACGCCATTCCCGGCGCAGAACGGCGATATATACTGAAATCTCCGTGGGAGTCCAGCCGAGTTGGGTTGCCATTAGGCCTATGAAGCCTTCAAAATCGTTGGCGAAGGTGGCATGAGTGTATGCTCCAACTTGATGTAGCCGCTCGTCTTTCGGCCATTCGGAAAGTGGAAGCTAAAGCCATTAGCCAGGAGTAAGATGATTATGTAACAAGGCCGCCGGCTTACCTTGTAGGATTTCTCGGTAATATCGACGAATCCAGCATCTCTAAGACCATTATGCTGCCTGCCTTCCCCAACAGGATGAAAGGACATTGGAAATCCAAGTTTCTTAGTGCCCTCTGTATAAATGTGGCCCCATTGTGATAGAGCCATCTTCTCATTCACGCTGCCGTCATCCGAGCTGACATTGCTGTCAAAGTCACAGGACTCGATATAGCCACCGGGCTTCAACACCCTAAAGGCCTCTTTGAACAGCTTTGTCCAGTCCTGGACGCAACCAGACAACCACCGCACGTGAACGTAGTCGACGGAATTTTCATCGAATGTCCATGGCTTCGAAAAGTCGTCGATTTGGCTACAAGGACATTCAGTTGGATCACATGAAAAGGGCCAAGGAAAAGAGAGCAAGTACAAGAAAACGTTCGGCGGGACCCAATGTGGCTGGATGGGCGATATATCGGTGCCGATGACCGTCGCCTCTGGATGCATATCTGCAAAATCGCTGTCTTCATTAGCCGCTGAATTAAAGTCAATGAAGTTTGGCAGAGGTGGTAACATACATAGCCCAAATGCCAGTTCCTGTACCGATGTCGATTGCTTTCTATCACAGAACACTGTGTCAGCTGCAGTGCTTTTTTGGTGGATGATTTAACTTACATCAATATGCTCTGGCAGGGGCGCAAGATAGAGCTTGTCATCCATAAGCATTGTGAGCGCATGGTGTCTGTTCTAGAATTAGTATATAAAGCTCGTACATTTCTGGCTCACAACGCTTACCCGATATCGAGCGACGTATTTTGGCGGTCATCGTTAGGACCCCTATGCTCCGTTAGTGGTGGCAATGTAAGATATAGCACCCAGGATATACATACCAATACTGCTCTCCGGAATCATGGTGATATCTTCGGCCATTAATCTGGCGATACTCAAGGATGCTCGACCTAAGGGAATCCGTGGAGCCGGAAACCGAATTGCCCATTGCAGAGTCATTGTCATCCTAGAAGCCTTCAGCACATGCTACTTCTTTCTTCCTCGCCTTCTCTCGATGGGGAGGGCCTACCCCATCAGCTTCCAGATCTACCCAGACTTGAGGGGGGCGGAGATGACTTCGTGACTCTATGGCAGGACCAGTCGGGGAGGAAGCCGTTCCCGTGACTGGCACTTCTTCTTCCACAGTCATCTGGCCAGCCATGATGACATCAACAGAACTTGAACGCAAGCACGGTGCAGTCGCAAATTAAGCCGTCCTCATAGGCTCCTACTTCAAAGTAGGCAAACGAAGCAAACAAAACAAAACAAAGATACTCCGCAGAGATGAAAGTGTTTCAAACTTATAAACAAAACGTTACTCGGCGAACCATATATTTCTCCTGCCATTAATTACGTCTAGATAGGAGGGTTAGCTGGCTATTTAGCGTGCTGCAATCCTTTCTGCCCTGTTTACGGCTGATTGACTATTGAATGAAGATACGGAGTACACGCGAGACTTGGCTCATTCCATCGGATGTGTGCAACGGACATTGAGGCACACCTGATCAAGGAAGGCGGTTTGGTGACCATGCATGCACACAGGGCCCCTTGCAATGTTGTAAGGAATTTGTGTGTGTTGTTCGTCAGTCCGGCACTTCTTATTGGTGTAAATTTGCAGGTAGTCATGTGGATTCAACTTATCGCTCCAACAGACACATCATTATTTACGCGAGAACGGATCCGTCCCGCGCTGTCCAGGTATTGGTCTGAATGGATGTGGGTATCTGACAAGTCAGGCTATATACTCCGTACGGAGCAGGTGGTCCAAGCCTTGGGTCCACCACCCCAGTACGACGTACAGAGTACAGAGTACGGAGTACGAGGACAAGTACGGAATATCCTTGTTGGGAAGCAGCGGTGGTTCTGGCGCGCCTCGTATCGACATGCACTCCTTCGTTCGGAGATCATACCATTTGGGTACTAGCTATGTGTATGGGTCGGACTTGAAATACCAGGTTCTGGACAGAAGCTGCGTCTGCTGAAGTAGATCCACTGCTCCAGAGAAACTCCTGTCAACAGCTTGATTCACTAGGCCCCAGACGCAAGTTAAGGCACGCGAATTGTTATATGCGAAAACGGCGGGTTACTATTTGCAGTTCATGTTTGCATAAACTCTGTGTTTTTGCCTTACCGGTGTTTTCACGTGCAATGGCAGGCCTCTAAGGCGGCCGCAAAACAAATTCTTAAGGCTTGGCGCCAATGGCAAATGCATCAGGTGCGAGCCACCGCTATGGACAGATTACGACGAAAACACGGCACGGAAACAACGTGGACATTGGGTCTTAACACGGACTTGTACATATATACAAACGTGGTAAGCGCCGTGTGGATATCTGACCAATATAATCAGTAAGAAGCGTAGATCAAGAATGTTATATGTATGATACCCCAAGTCTTGGAGTTTTCAGAACAGTTTTTGTAGCTCTAATAGCATCCTTTTTTTCCTTTGAAGAAATGACCGATTCTAGCTTTCTCTGACCTGTTTTACGTTGCCCTGCCCTTGCTAGCACTTCTCACAGTTGGCTCGAGCGGAAACACAGACTTCTCCGGGGTCACACCGGTGTAGAGGTGGTCCCAGCGGTCTTTCAGTGCCTCCGGTGTTGGCCATGCGTATTCTGGGTCACGAAGCCAAAGACGGACCAGGTGGCGACTGGTGGTACGCAGCTGTTAGTAAAAGGAGACTCAAAAGGTAGAACGAGCTATGTGAACGTTGTTGACCACGAGGAACTGAAGAAAAGAAAAAAAAAGAAAAAAAAACACCTACTGCTTCTCGGGAGAGTCCGTAAAGGCGCCCCGGGTATGGAATATGCTCAGATTATTAACATACTGGATGTCTCCTTGGTGGAAATTGAGGGCCACCGCGTTGCGCTCTGCCGTAAAGTGGAGAGCATCGAGTGCCTCCGCCTGCGCCTCAGTGATGGGTGGAATATCCGAAGACCGCGGCAAGCCCCAGTAACCGGTGAAGGAGCGCCGCGCATACTGTATGACCAGGCGGGGCTTCTCGTTTACATGAGACGAAACATTGTTCTCATTGCTGTCCAGGGCAGTCGATATCGGCACCTGATGCAGCAACGGTCTCAGGGAAAACTTGCGTGCCGACTTGCCAAACTCGTCAAAGGCCCAGGGCTCTGCGAGAGTGCGTATGAGGTCGGGCCGTCGCTCAGCTAGCTCGTTGTAAACGCAATAGCTGCTGGACAGGTAGCTCTCGCCGCCGTGGGCCGATTCGGCCAGCGCAAACAGGGCGATCACGTCGCCGGCGTCGGTATGAAACACCTGCTTCTCAGTCGTGTATGCAGGCGCACCGATGCTGGCCGCATCCACCTTGCCCGTCAGATCTTTGATGTGTGCGAGCACGACGTCTGCTGGCTTGCCCTGGTACTGCACGTCCTGGCGTCCTCGCAATGGCGCTACGTGAGACGAGATGCCCGCGTAGATGATGATGTTGTCCTCTAGAGTGTGCTCAGTCACCGGCACACCGCGCACGACCTTGAAGCCGTGGCCCTGGTGTAGCTCTCTGGATACATCACGGAGCATCGCATGTAGATTGGGTAGAGGAAACGATTCCTGGCTGACGAAACTTATGGGCTTGCCGAGAGCTACACAAGAATAATGGCGTCAATAATCTTTCCAGATTTCTCGTACAAGGCTTGCTGTGCTCACATTTGAAGTGCTGCAGTGCACTGCGGATCTCTGCAATGTCGTCCGCAGTCAGTACGTAGTTCCAGTCGTAGTTCCCTGCGAGGCTGTCGCGGTCCCAAACTAGGTCTGAGTTCAGCTTCTTCGGGAACCCTGCAGGAAGCTCATGGCCAAGCTTTTCGGTTTCTGCCCGCCTCTTCGACCGGTTCGTGTACTTTTCTAGATCTGGCGTGTAGCTGATGTCCGGCTGGCCAGGAGGGCCGTGCGAGACTTGAGATGCGATCACAGCTGCTGCCATACTTTTGTTCGTTTTATTTTCTCGTTCCCTTTTTCCGTCGCTAGTGACGGACCTTTAATGCCCAGTTTCTGTTTGACGTCTCGTAATATATAACACACTGAGAATCTCCCCCCGGGCCGAGATGGCATTGTCGAAATAGTCGCGGTGCAATGATGCAATAATTTGATAGCGTAATGAGGCCATCCGTTTTGCCGACGCCGCACGCCATCGATGCATTCCACTTCGTGATGCGATAAACACGTGGCAACAAACGTTGTATGTTAGCACGCAATCATTTGTGCATAGCGGGAGTTATGAAAATCCGGAGCTGTCTTTTCGAAATGTTCATCAGCCATATAAGTATTTCACGCAATTGCATAATCAAGAGCTTCAAAAACTACAACGATGTTATTGTGTTTAGTTGAGAGGCCTGCAGCAGGACCCGTATTACTAGTCGATAATGTCACTTTTGTGCGGGGAAAAATGCTACCACGAAATGTTGTCCTTATGGGGTAACAAACACACCTGCAACTGGATAATATCTTGTATACGCTATGAGGGCACATGATGCTGCACCTGTTCAGTATCTGGCTCTCTTGTAACAGTAAGATCTCAGTCACAATTCTTCAAACTTGGTGATGTAAAAGTAGTAGATGCCAGCATCCGGCCAGTCCCTGGCGTCCATAGTTCCCATCAGCACGTTGTCCGAAACCCGACGAAACGAGTCGATAATGGCAACTTTGTCGTATACCAAGGCGGCAGATACAACTCCCCGAAACTTAACTTCACGCAGCTGTGGGGTGGGTCAGTTGAGCTTTCTAAGTGAATGAAGCTTCGATGAACTCACTCTTGCATGTCCATACTCGGATAGCCACTTTCGCTCCCCATTTTCGTCGAAGATCACAATCGGGTCGATATCGTCAACGGAGCGGAATTCTTTCCCTGCCCATTTAAAAGTTTGAAGCAGCTTGTGGACAGGATGGCCACTGTCAAAGCTGCCTCCATTCCACTTGCCTGTCATAGCTTCTGGAGAAACAGGAGGGAGCTCGTCGAAAATTTGTGCAAGCTCAGACTCCTTGAGAAGCCCTTCTGCTTTGGTGAGTGCGTTAAATCGCTGTACAGCTCTGTTGCAACCAAACGCTTCATGTTAGCAACGCATAGATCTGAGGCTTGGACTTTCAGTCACTGAAACTAACGTCATTGTAATCGTGGCGTATGGTGAGATGTGTTCAAATAAGAGATGGACCTGGAGTGAGACAGGGACAGAGGCTGCAGACACGTCCTAGATTTCTGTATTTATATCCACAGCATGACGATCGACAGAGACGCGGGGTTGTATCACACGAGGGGCTGCCGACATCCACTATCACACCACATTTCTACGAGTACGATACGTCGTATGTGCTCGTACGGAGTAACCGCAACAATGAAACATTGACAGGGGGGTTTCTTTTGCTCAAGGCCTCTGCGAGTGCGCTTTATGGGGTGTTATGTGCGGCAATTGGGTTAAGCCACCGTTCATGATGAAATTTTGCCTATCTGATCTTGGTAAGCCTAATTAAGCTATGAAGGACGGAAAAGATGCGGCTGTGTCGGCGGAGATCTGCGAGCTAGACAATCGCTGTGCTTCAATTATGCGGCAGCCTTGCCTAGAAAACGTCTCTAGTCCTACAAAGCAGTGGCCAGATGGACACATCTTATAACGGTTTTGGCCCCACGTGAGTAATTAACGCGGCATGTTTAGTAATCTCTTGAAATCTATCAGCAGTTGAAGGCAAAGATGTGTAAGAAGAAATTGCCAGCTTCCCTTCCAGCACTGAATTATAACATTTTACCCGACATATGTGTGAAAACGTAAGTTACGTTGTATTATCTCGGGTGAGGATTTCTCTCCGTGGGGCCGATTTGTCGCCTTATATAAAGCCTAAACTCGATAGAAGTTGAACAAGTATTTCATCTTGCGGAGCCGGGACTTGTTTATCCCTCACCTCGCTGTGGCCTCACGCCCAAGTGCATACTATATGTCGTGTCCTGAATTTAGTTCTGGGAAGTTTCCACTTTAGGTGATCGATCTCCTGTGCTGGAATGCAACTTCTATAGTAGTTTTGGAACTACCCCTAGGTTCAAAGACGGCACGATACTTACTAGGCGTCACAAGTTCAGCTCCAGAGACAAATATAAATCTGAAGATGTGCCCCCAAGCTTTCATGGCTTTCGCAGCTTAGACCAGTAGATGTCCGCATCCTCCATGACCTTCTTGTACCAGCCATCCAGCGGCCCGACAACGTTAATGTCCTTTTGGCCACCCTTGATGATCTGCTCACTGGTCCAATTCATCGTCATATTCTCCTTGTTGAAGCGGCCCGTCAGATCCAGCAGCTGATCATTGGACGCCCCGAAGATGACCCGCCCAATGTTGGCCCAGTAGATCGTGGCCGTGCACATGGCACACGGCTCCCAGGTCGAGTACAGCGTGCACGTCCACAGATACGGCTGCGAGTAGTGGTTCGCGGCTAGCCGCGCCAACGATGCTTCTGCGTGCTCGACATGCGACACGGACTGATGCAGCAGGAGCACTGTCTCGTTGTCGGGGCCGACAAGGATGCCCGCAAACGGCCGCTTTCCGTGCTGTGTGTGCGCATTGTGCTGCAGCTCCAGCACTTTCGTCATGCTCTAACATACCAAAGGTAAGCCGCGCAAGTCTAATCGGATGGCTTGGGATTGTCCGGCTGAAAGGGCTCTCACAGCATCAATCTGGGCCTGGGTTGGCTCTGTACGGGGTGGGAAGAACCCAGTGCTGTCTGCTGTGGCCATTCTGAATAGGCGTCGTATATTCAAGTCCAGGACAAGAAATGTGGTTGTCAGAAGAGGCGCTGCGCACACGTGGAAATTTATTGGTTCATTCACTCATTTTTATCGCGGGCAACGGCGATAGCCGCGTCTGACCTTATCTTATACTAAGTTTTAGTTTTATCCAAAAAGCTAAAGCTCAAGGGCGTTTTCCAAGGGACCTCCATATGTGCAGTAGCGCTGGGGTTTGTGTCCGGATAAAGGCACGATCCGGGAAACGGTCTATGTGATAATCCAAGACCGTCGCTATCATCGCCATAATCGCAAATTAAAAATCAAGTGTATAGGTGCTGTCGAACATCACATTTCTGTAGGGTAAAGAAACTGTATAGCGTAATATTATTGGTTGAAGGTAGTACGACGGGAATGTTAAAGATGAAAGATCCATCCCATGCACAGAGTACTTCCGATTCACAACTATTCAAAGACTATTGTCAAGCATTGGAATCCGCCACACTGTGGCCCTTCCGCCCCACTTGGCCGTACTGGCCTGTAATTGGTCAGAAGGCACAAAAGCGGGGCCTGACACTAGTATTAATACGGATCCCCAGAAGGGTCGCGATGTATCTATTTCTTCCTTAGTACACAACACTCTTTCGCCCACACTAGACCCTATTCAGCCTCCTGCTCCTCACAGTGCATCACGTTATATGACCGCTACGTATAGCCTCCTTTAACCTTCACAACTATCTAACAGAACGCTACATGCCACCCAGCAGGTTGCCATTGTGGCTAACAGGTAAGATGCAGGCTGCCGCGCCTTTGCACCGCCATGCAGATAGTCTAAAAGGCAGGCTGCGCAGCACGGCGCGACGCATGCAGCAGATCCCGGTGCGTGATAGGGGGACCCTAGGGAATCTCACCAGCATTAGCCCTCGAGGCGGGCGGACCGGTCGGCAAGGCAGAACCCAACGGCCGGAGGAATCGGCCCGAACGCAGGGGTCGACTGAACGGCCGAGACACTGGCGGCACGGATGTCGGCCAGCGTGATCATGGTCGAGCTGCCACCGCGAGCAGCCACCCATCATAACAAGACCGAACACAACATACCACTGGAACCATTGTCATTGACTCATGCTACTCATGCTATAATTACAAAAAGGTCGTCACGAACGTCCCTATGCTGCAGCCGGCACGGAAGACAGGGTGGAGGTAGTAGCCTCCTTGGCGTTGCGCTTGGCCTGCAGAGCGGCAAAGTGGCGATCCATGGCGTTCTTGGTGAACTGGGCGCCGGTGACGGCAGGGTACTTCTTGGCGGGGCCCTGGATGATGGCATCGGCGCAGGGCTGGTTGAAGAAGGCGACGCTGTAGCGCTCGCCGTAAAAGTCGCCGGGCTCGCAGGGGGCCTTGACGCGGTGGAAGGTGGACTTGAAGCGGTCGTCGGACCAGCTCATGAGGAGGTCGCCGATGTTGCAGACGATGGCGGCCGTGTCGGGCTCGACACGGGTCCAGGTGTCGCCGAGGCCAAACTCGGTGACGGCCTCACGGCCGGGGCAGATCTCGAGGCCGCCCTGGCCGGGACGCTGGAAGAGGAGGGTGAGGAAGCCCCAGTCGGCGTGGGCGCCGGCTCGATGGTAGATGGTCGGCGGCTTGTCGCTGTCGGGTGCTGGTGGCTCGATGGGGAAGTAGTGCAGCAACCGGAGGACGGACTGGATGCTGGGCCGGGAGACGTCGTGGAAGGGCAGGAAGTAGTCGTCCGGGAAGCCGAGGCCGCGGGCAAAGCAGATCATCAGCTTCTTGGACAGGGTATGCAGGCGGTTCATGAAGCCGAGACAATCGGCACGGAAGCCCGGCAGGTGCTCGTCGCTCATCCAGAGGCTTCCTCCCGGTGCGGTGCCACCGTGGTCCATGTTCTCGCCAAACTGCAGCTGGTACGACTCTTTGGTGTCGGGAGCCCCGGTGCTCGGTCGGATCTGGTTCATCTTCTCCCAGCCGACGTTGAGCGGGCTCCATGGAACCGTGGCCTTGACCTCGTCGGGCAGGGCGAAGAAGGCGGCCGAGCGGGCAAAGATGGCGTCGATCTCGGCGGCCGGGATGCCGTGGTCGACGAGGGCAAAGAAGCCGACATTCTCGGAGGCGTCGCACAGCTCGGCCGTGATCTCGTCGATGCGGGCGTCAAAGTCGCGGAGCGAGATCTAGCGTGTCAGAGGAGGTGGAACAGTCAAACGGCAGACAGACAGAAAAAGCATACCTTTGGAATGGGCCGGTCGGCGTAGGTTGTCTTGGTGGCCATGTTGGCGATGTGGGGTGTCGCGATGTAGTGATGACTCAGGCGGCGGCTCTTGTTGTCTCTTGCTTGTTTCGTCTTCTGCTTGCTTCACATCGGTCAGTCCGGTCAGGACGCTCTCGTGTCTGTTAAATACAAAAGAGTGCAAAGTCTGCTACTTGCGTTGAATCGATCTACGGCTGCTTCCGCCTTCAACTTGGTCGAGAGAGGGCGATAAGCCGATAAAGCCGCCAGATAGTCGCGATTGCTTGGTCTGCTTTCCAGAGTCGGCAGGATCCGACGCCTTATCGCAAGGCCATTAGTAACCTTTGTTATTTCTTTTAATTCTGCTATTCCCTTTTCGAATCGGACCTTGTTCTCCTAGTACAAAAAGACCAGCCGCGTTCGCGATGCCGGACTTTGACCGGGAATAGCCACAGCTTCTCCACCCCAGCTGCCGGCGTTCGTTCCCAAGCCGGCAATGGCAAAAGGCGTCCTTTCCTATAGTCGGTGTACGTTCAGTGATACTGATCGTGCCTTCCTATTGTGTGTCCCAATGTCTTGTCATTTCATGCAATCGTAGAAGCAGAAGAGACTGCATATCTTCAACTTCTTCCAAACCAGAAAATCACATTGCAAGCTGAACTCACAACTATCTCTGCTGTCGGGCGAGGTCTGGAGTTGCAGGCTGACGACCCCACTCGTCAGCGTATCCCCGGACAAGGACCAAGCTTTTGCTACACACCGGATTTGTTGGCTGCCGTTTGTTTTTCCCAACTTATTCCCGGCTCATAAGAGAGGATTTGCAATTGTCCCCTACGCCCTCTGCGGAGACGGGGGAGAGAGGGCGCTGGACGTCGACTTTGCTGCTTTCCTGGATCAAACAGCCGTCCTGGTCCTGCTCTTTTTCAATCGGGGATCTGTTTCCCACCTCTTTTGCCCTTTTGAGCCATGGTTTCGCCTCTCACGTCGGGAGGGCCTTCTCTATATGCATCCGCCGAGCAGACAGACGAGAAGGTGTACGACGACAGGGAGATGACAATCAATGGGCGAGAATCTGGTTCCGAGACAGCCACAGACATGCAGATCGAGAAAGAAGAAGACGACGACGATGTCATCATGGACACACGGCCCCCCAATTCGGTCAAAGATGCCTCGGCCCTGGAGATTGAGCGCTGGTACCTCACATTCGAGACGTTGCTGCCGACAGCCAACACGATGGCAGTCAAGGCTGGCAGCGATTCCACCTCAGCAACAGCAGCAGCACCGCCGCCGCCCGATCTCTCGCCCTACTCGGATCCGCATCTGTGGCCTGAGAGCACCAAGAATCTGCTGCTGGCGCTGTCATGCATCGCGACCTGTCTGACGGCCTACTCGGCCGGCTCGTTCTCGCCACCGGCCCAGCGCATGGCTGACACCTTCCACATGACGCTGACGGAGATGCTAGCAGCTGGCATCACCATGTTCTGCATCGGGTTTGGGCTGGCGCCGATGCTTCTGGCGCCGCTGTCCGAGACCAACGGTCGCTACCCCGTTTTTGTCGTCAGCGGCATGGTCACGGTGGTATTTCACATTGTCTGTGGCGCGGCACCCAACTACGCGGCCATGCTGATCGCCCGTCTGCTTGTCGGCGCTGGCAACTCCGTCTTCAGCACCATGGTCGGTGGTGTCATCGCGGACATGTGGCACGCAGCTGGCCGCAACACCCCTATGGCCCTCTTTAGCGGCTTCGTCATGATCGGCACCGGTCTCGGGCCACTTCTCTGTGCCACCATCACGTATCGCACCACGTTTCCCTACAACCGCCACGACCGGCTCGACGACGACAGCCTGACGGCTCCCTGGCGCTGGGTCTTTTGGCACCAGGCCATCTCCAATTGTGTGCTTGTCATCTTTCTCACCCTGCTCTTCAAGGAGAGTCGTGGGTCCGTGTTGCTCTCGCGCCGTGCTGCCGCCCTCAACCGTTGGTACGAGTCGCTCGAGGCTGCCGGCTACTACGGTGTCTGGCTGCCCGAAGGTGCAAATCCAGACGAATACGTGCCAGCCAACACGACCGCCGAAAAGAAGACAGCCAGCGCGACCATCACGGGTGAGTCTCGTCTACGCCGCATCCGCTGGCTCGTCAAGGACGACGAGAGCCGCACGACGATCCTCCACATGGTGGCCGTGTCGGTGTATCGGCCCTTCCACATGCTCTTCACCGAGCCGGTCGTCTTCTTCTTCTCGCTCTGGGTATCTTTCTCCTGGGCCGTGCTCTACCTCCAGTTTGGATCCATCTTCCTCGTTTTCGAAAGAGTCTACGGCTGGGACGTCGAGAAGGCCGGCCATGCCTTTGTCGCCCTCATCATCGGCGCCATCCTGGCCACCGCCCTCGGCATCTACCAGGACCGCCTCATTGACCGGTTCGTCCCGGCATCCCTGCGTGCACACCTCCATTTTGATGCGCCCGAGAGCCGTCTCTATGCCGCCTGCATCACATCTTTCCTGCTTCCAGCCGGCCTCTTCACCTTTGGCTTCTCCGCCCGCTCCGACGTCCATTGGATCTTCCCCATGATCGGTGTCGCCTTGGCCACCGGCGGCATCTTTTCCATCTACCTCGCCACCTTTAACTACCTCGCCGACGTCTACCACCGATTCGCCTCCTCCGCCCTGGCCGCCCAGAGCTTCTGCCGGAACATGATGGGCGGCGTCTTTCCCCTCATCATGCGCCCGCTCTTCCTCAACCTCGGCATCGCCCGCGCCAGCGGCTTGCTGGGTGGCATCGCCATCGGCCTCACGCTCGTGCCCTGGGTCCTTACCATTTTTGGCGACAAGATCCGCCGTCGCAGCAAATTCGCCATGGTCAGTTCTGAGTTGCCTTGCTCCTGGACATTCTACAGCTTACTAACATGACACAGGCCTTGAACGAAACTTAGACTGTACGGTCTTGTAAACTCGGAAACAGACACTGTTTCAAAGACATCTTGCAGCAATTTTGATTGGTTTTATTGGTCTAGGAACATACATGGAATAATATAGATGGATGTAAAGCATAGCACAAGACGATGGAATACTTGCCTAATTTAGAGAGGTACATACAAAGGCGTAAAATACATGACACGACAGCCGCCGCATTGGCTTCATTCCACATCGTCTAGACTGGTTTCGACCGCACTCTCCGTTTCGTTCTCGTGTCCTTTTCCGACAGACAGCTTTCTCCTTGCCTCGTCCAGGGCTTTATCTTCGTCAAAGGCGGTCTCGTCCGAAGATGCACTTGTTCCGTCATCTCTCTTGGGCGCTGTCTTGGAGTGCTGTTTGGCCAAGACTTCAGGACTGACGGTGCCGTCCTCGTCGACGTCCTCCTGGCGCAAAAGCGTGATCTCCACCACCAGGTAGACCTCCTCGGTAGTGCGGTTGCGCAAGACGTACCTGGGTTGTCAGTTAAGGGAGTCCGAAAAATAAAAATAAAAGAGAGAATAAGAAGAATAAAAAACAAAGATCCCACCGGAGACTCTGGCCGTCCCAGTATTTCATCACGGGCAGATGGAACCCAGGCAGCCGCAGGGCGAGTTCGCGGAAATCGAGGTAGGCGTTGAAGAAGTCGAGCCCGTACGTCTGGTCATGCGCCCAGACCCAGCTGGACTTGGCCGCATCGGTGAGCGCCCACTTCTGGCGGGCGGCCGGATCGTCGGGGGGACATCCGGCAGCCGCGCGCATGGCCAGGCCGGCAGCGTCGCCGCCCTCCTCGAACCAGAAGCCGCGATCGTCGTGCGGGTCGTGCACGTCGTCTGGACCGCCCACGTGCACGCGGTTGAATGAGCTGAGTGCGGGTCCGTACAGGTATGGCTTGTCGGCATAGGCGTCGCCGTCAATGCCGGGGTCGATCCACCAGCGCATAATGCGCAGGGCCGTGTTGAAGCCGGGCGGCAGGTGGTCGCGGATCGAGTGGTCAAAGTCGTTGCCCCAGAGGAGGTCGTGGCCGGAGATGCCGGCCGTTTTTCCGTCTTTTCCGTCTTTTGCATCTTTCTCGTTTTCGCCCGCTTCGCCAGCCCTCGGCGTAAAGGCCAACCCGATGCTGTACGTGTCCCCGTTGGCTGCGTGTGGCGCCGCTGCAAAGTACGCGCTCGTCGGCGGTGACGCCCGCGGCAGTCCCCGGTCGTAGCCGTGGATGCGCACGCAGAGAGAAATATCGGCTGAGGCACCCTGCAGCCGCACCGGCCGCGGCTCGTTTACCGGCACCTCGACGTGCGTCGCCCGGTCGTACGACGTGCCGGCGGTGACGCGCAGCAGAAAGCCGTCGGCACCCGTGGAGGCGGCCATGGCTGTCGAGGGGATCGAGAAGAGTGTATGGTGCAAGAAGGCGCAAAAAGCCGAACAATGAAACGAGGGAAAAGAAGGGAAAGGGGAGAGTAGAAAGGAGAAAAGAACGATCGCCGAAGTTGGCCAAAAGTCATTGACGTCATGGAGCAACCCACCAGTGGACCCAACGAGCCTTACTCGCCATCCGTACGACTTGGACAAGACGCCAGTGCACAATCTCACGACCAGTTGGTTGGAAAAGAAGCAAAAGGTTCACATCTCACATTTCCAAAACCAATTGCGCCGGGAGAAAGGGCTGCCGCTGTCCTACTCCAATCTAACATGGAAGGAGGGACCCGCGACCAATATTACAAAGTACACTACTTTTATTCATGTATCGGTTTTTGGCTTTGCGATAAAAGACCTGCTTACGAATGCGTACAAAGCATCTAGACTTGCCAGTTGCCATTATCTTGCCCCGGAAAAGAAATGCTGCCCAAGGTGTATCCATGCTGTCCCATCCAACGCCGATCAGAATCCCTCCGTCTGACATGAAATATACGCCTCCCTTTCAATAGACCAGTGTCGCTGCAGCTCGTTCAGATGGGTATCTGAGCAGAACCCTAATTAGCGCTCCTCACACCGGGCCTAGTGAAGGCATCAATATCCACTCGTTTGTAAAACATGACGTGGTTGAAGGGAATCCAGTACAGCGCCAGACAGTCGGGCGTGATCGGAAACAGGCGACAGTCTATGAACCGATCTGCCGGTTGTCAGCTTGTTCTCAACTCTCTCTTCCCCGTTCGAGACTGCTTACGGTTTTTGTATCCGTGATCAGCGATTTGGCCCTTACAGCAGATCCTTCGCACACCCGCGGGTACTACAGCTTCTGCAATACCAATGTCGGTGCCGCTATTGTCCGTCGCGCTGAGATCGTTGGCTACGAAGGTGATCTCTCCGCGAGGCACGTTGATGTCGCCGGTCAGCTTGATGGCCTCTAGGCTACCGCGGTAAATGCGGGCGTTGCGTCGCTCTTTGTACTCAGCCTCTGTCTCGCCGTCGAGCTGTCGATCCACGACGGTATCTTCATCAATCGATTTGACGTGATCGTCGGGCTGGTGAATTAGTACAAGCTCGTAGCCGTGCCCGCCGTAGTCCGCGATGAAGATGCCCTGGAACGGCTTGTCGGCCGTGGGAGTGTAATACACCGATTCGATGGTAGCATACGTGTCCACATTGTTGATAAAGCGGTGGTACTGCGCTGGCTGCACCGGAAAGTTAGGTTGTATGTCAGTTGGGTCTACCCACGTACGAATGTGAAAGGCTTGTTTGCTGAGATGGGCACGCCGGAACGGCCGGCAGCTGACTTCTAAGCCGTAGTCGTCTTCGTCGTCGTCGCTATCATTGTACATTGACGTGTTTTCCCTGCGGAGTCCATCAATGAGTTGCTGCTCACACAAGACCCGGTGTGGTGCTGGGATGTTGAATGGCGGCGCCATGCAGGGGCTGCCACTAAAGCCCAGCTCATCTTCAACAGTCATGGGTGTGGCGAAGATGAGTTTTCTGCGTAACAGGCCTGCATTACCTGCGGGATCGGACCAGCCCTGGACCGCCATGGGGATATTGCTGAGACTTCCACGCCGGGGGGGGCGATCATTGGCGTCCAACATGATCTTCGGCTGCTCGACAAACAGCTCTAAATTCGTCGGGTCGTACAGATTGGAAAACGCACCGGCGTTCCCTGGCTCGGGGGTACTGATCCAGGGTCTGGACAACAGCTGGTAGCCTTCAATGCGTGCTTTTTCGGGCTCATAGCGAGCAATGAGTATAGTACCCACTATGTAGTCGCCGCCGATCCAGACCTTCTTCTGTGGAATGAACCAGTAGGGAAAGTGGGCAATGTAAAGCTCGCGGAAGCTGCCGAAGGGTCCTGGTGAGGTCACCTCCATTCCTGGTACGTTCTTCTGCACAAGGATACGCCACAGGCGGTCGGACATTGCATGGAGATGCAGTGCCCGGCACACACACGACAAGGCGGCGAGATCTACTGGTGTGAGGAGCTTGAGAATCATGGCGACGATCTCTGAGGGCAGAGGCATGCCTTTGATAAGTTGTACTGCTTGTCATTAGAAATTGCGAGTAAACGATAACACATCAACGTGTAAGGCTTCATACGGGATGTATCAGTAGCAGTAGCCGGCTCAGGCCCCTGTCCGCTGTCGATGCTGCTCTCGTCTGCTGTAGATGCCATCGTGTCCAAAAATAATATCGGTCTGGGGGTGATAAAAAGATGGTTTGGCCTGCTGGCAGCATTGGACCGGAAAGCAGCAAGACAATTTTTATGTCTCCTGCGAGGAACGTTATTACCACCACGCCCCAACTACACCGGAAAGAACGACCGGGCAGCGCTGTGACCTCGTCGCATCGTCGCTCCTTCCAGTCGGAAGAGGAAAGTGGCGGTGCGGGGTAGCGGTGGCGGAAGAGGCCCTGTTCAGCCTGCTGTTACAGGGAGTTTGCAGGGGAAACAACCACTAGCCGGGTGGGTCCTTTCCTGCTCGGCCCCAGAGAGAGCTGAGCTTCCTGTATTTCGTCAGCGTGACAACGCGACTACCTCGTGTACGCACTTTTGGAGACTGCTCGTTTAACACATCGTAAACAGCCCCCCAAGAACTGGATCGCCCGCCCAACCAGCCAGGATGATGGCCGGTCTTTTGTCCCTGGTGCAGGAGCTGCTGCCCATGATCATCCCGGGGTCTGTGGAGATCACCAGGGCCGAGGAGATCCGGCCGGCCTCACCGTTGACCGATGACGACGAACCGACGACGGAGCCGACCGGTGCCGAGAAAGCTGGCGATGTCGTCGTTGCCGGAGAGGAGGAGGATGCATCGGTATTGGGGAGAAGCAGCAGCCAGCCAAACACGCCGGGCCCGGGCATAGAACCGATAGAACCGACAGCTGATAGCACCGCCCGAGAGAGCCGCATCGACGGCAGCTTGCCAGAACGGCCTCCCAGCAGAACCACGACAGAAAAGGACAATCTCCACGATGTTCCAGGCAGACCGGAAGGGCCACAGCAGCCGTCAACGTCCAATCCCCTCCCTCCCACAGTCTCGCCCCGTCGCCGCCGCACTGGCGTCTCCATGCGCGACGCCATGGTCCACAAGTCCGACCGCATGTGTGCTGTTGTCCTGACAGTGAAACCGCTGTGTTCTACTGTCGTTTTCCACAACGCAGAACAAGGTACGTGTTCTCAGTCACCCCTTCTCGCTTCCGTCCTCTCCTCTTCTTCATCGCTGACTTCCACCTGCAGAGTCCATCGTCTACGCTGTCGCTGGCACCGCCGTCCTATCGACACTTTCCGAAGACCATGACGCTCACGACGACAGCGACTCGACTGTACCGCCTCCACCTCCAGCCCGTCACGTGCTTGGCCCCGGAGACTTTGCCTTTATACCTGCTTGGGTCGAACACCAGGTATCCAACGAGAGCCCCGACACAGACGTCGTCTGGGTGGTTGTCCGCACAGGTCCTGAGCCTACAGTCGTGCCGTTGTCCGAATGGGGTGGTCCTGAAGCCTGATCGCAAGGCTTTCAAGCCACATCTTACACCCGCCTGTCACAGCACAATTACCGAGGCATGAAAGAGGGAACGGCCCGTGCTGGGTACGATCAATTGCCTATCTACTGGGATCGTGCAATCCAGCTCTTGAGCGTTTCCTTCAGATCGTCACCGTCCAGTCCCAATAGCGCATTGCCGCTCGTCTTGGGGTCAGGCGCGTGTCCAGCGCCATCCTTGAACTGCCACACGAGCAGCAGCTCGCCGAATGCGGAAAAGTCTCCCTTTGTGAGCTTTTCCTCGCCCAGCTTCTGCAGGTCCGCCGTCTTGGTGTGCGTGATGGTCCACTTGGCGCCGGTCTCGGCCTCGACAATCTTCAGCACGTCGTTTTGCGATGGAGAGAAGGACGCAACCTCAATGTACTGGTTGGCTGTCTTGTCGCCGGCAGTGCCAAAGTGCTCGCCCGCCTGCTTCAGGACGGCAGCGACGGCGCGGCCGACAAAGTGCACGTTGGACGACTGCGACTTCTCGTTGCCCGAATCATAAATCGAGGCAGCCTTGGTCTTGGCGTCGAAGCCGCCGAAGCCGTGGTCCAGACCCCAGTCGAAGAACAGGCCAGTGGCGATGCCGGTCCAGGTGAAGACGCCCTTGGACGCGTCTGCCTTCTTGATGAGGTAATCGACCGTGCTAACCTTGGCGGCAATGATCTTGCCAATGGGCGTGTCACGTGCCTTGCGAGTGTTGATGCCGAACTCGGACGGGATGAAGCGCTTCACACCGACGGCAATAGCAGCGTCGATAAGCGGGCTCTGGTTGCCTAAGGCTAGCGAGCCGAGAGTGGACACAACGGCGTCTTGTCCGTTCAGGGCTGCCTTGAGCGAGTCGACAGAGCTGTAGTCGACAGCCTTGATGGCCTTGACGCCCTCGGGGAGAGGCTGCTTGGAGTCGCGGCTGAGAAGCGTGACGGTGAAGCCAGCCTTAACGAACTCTTCGACAATTGGCGTTCCAATGTTGCCAGTTCCCTGGGTGTATATTAGTTATGCTCAGTGGTTGTATCTCGGGCAGGAGAAGCCAAGAGAGGACAACAACGTACTCCGGCGACGGCTACGTTCTTGATGCCCATGGTGGATGATGGAAATAGTTTCTATTGCAGCAGCACGGTTAGCGGTTAATGAGAGCTGGCGATGTTTGGCTGAGAAGCTGCGAGGAGTACAATTGAGGAAGAGCGGGAGAGGGAAATGGAGAGGGGGGTCATGGAAGATATAGCAGTCGAATGACATGATATTACGAACCGAGAGCGAAGAAGGCGCCACCGGCAGGCCAGCCGAACGGAGAAGGAGCGGCGGGATCGCCAGGCAAAGGCACGCAACGGCCGCGCTCCAGAACAGACGAGTCTTGGAGGACGTCATGGCAGGCAGCTTCGGTAGCGGGGATGGCGTCAGTTTGGTTGGGAGGAAGGCGGGATGTTGGTAGAGGTTCGTTGCTGTTGCCCGTTTCCGAGAGCAGCTTTCGGCAAGCCGTTGCTGCCAGCTTGCAGCTATCTTACCTTTCCCAATCGGGGTTGCGGGGCGTTTGTCGGAAAGACTGGCGGAACAGTCGGAAAGGCCAGATACCACATCCAGAGCATCTCGTATTGCGGAACGGCCTCGAAAGCGGCCAAAATGGCGTGCTTGGCCAAGACGACAAAGGCGATTCGAGAGTTGCCAAACACGTCGGTCCGTACGAAGAATCGCAACAGACACAGGTTGTCACTGATCAGCACGCAAGATGGACTCATTCAAGTTACGTGTCGATATGGCACGTCTCCGCATTCCTACAACGTCAGGGTGATAGTAGATGGTATAGGCCGTCATTCGTCGGCACGTGTCTAGTTTTGTCTCTTTAGCGGCCCGCCTCTGCCTCTTCCGCAGGCAGAAAAAGATGAGAATCAAGACAGAAAGAGATGGCCGGCAGCAGGGTGGGAGACCAAAGAAGAGACAGAAGACATGAGTTGTGATAAACGAAACAGTCGGATAAAGATGGAAAGTAGTGATAAGAAAGTGAGACAATAGAAGATTGCCACCGTCCCCTCCCAAGGGGATCGACAAATTTGATTAGTACCAATACATTATTTTATTTTCTTGAGTGGCCGCGTCAGGATGCGGATGTTATCGAGGAGTCCGTCGACCAGCTCGCGGTAGGCATGGGGTTCCATGTTGGCGGCCCGTCGGCCTTGTTCGATGACCATCTGGGGAGCGAGTTCGACCTCGAGCTCGTGTTCCTTTTCCTCGCGTTCCATTTTCTGGAGGGTAAGCGGGGGTATGAGATATGGCGGAAAAAAGAAAGAAGAAAGAAAGAAAGAAAGAAAAAAAAATAAGAAAAAAAAATAAGCTCACATTCGGTCCCGGCACCTTGTACGTCACCTGGGTCAGATCGATCTGGTAGTGACTGTGGGTGTAGCTGAGCCGATCTTTCTCGCGGTCCGGCTGGCGCTCACGACCGCTGGCCGCCGCCAGCCGCTCGACCTCCTCGACCGGGCCCTCCCAGGCCATCTCCAGGTTGACGCTGAGGCGGCAGTCCAGCGGTGAGTCGGGAAAGTAGATGTTGAGGTCGCCGATCCGGGCCTTGACAATCTTGGCCAGCACCTGCTGCGTCACCTTGTCGTACGTGATGCGCACGCGCACGCCATGACGCCGCGGCAGCAGATTGCGCACACAGGCCGGCAGCCGCTCCTGCAGTTCCAGCGGCAGCTCGTAGAACCGGTCGATCTCGCGCCGGTGCTTGTACACCAGCGGCACGCGCGCCTTGACCGCCGTGCTCGTCGTGCTGTTCGGCCGGTGGCTGGCGTTCGTCTCCTGCACCAGATGGTTGAGGTACTCGTTGTACGTCCGGTGCTGCGCCTCCGTCATGCTGCTCCGAAACGTCACCCGCCCTGTGTCCTGCAGCAGGCACTCGGACGCCACTGGAAACGCCACCCGCTCGTTCGTATCCTTGCTAATCAGCGTCCCCAGCTTCGCCTCGATCTCAAACTGCACCCCCAGTCCCTGAATCTCGGCCATGCTCGGGTTGTTCACCACGTTGAAGAAGAGGAAGTTGGCCACTTTTTGCGATATCTCCTCGTTCGGCTTCTCGCCCGTGATCGACTCCTCCCACGGACCCAGCAGCCCGAGTCGCGCGTCGTAAACCGCCGTCGGGGCTGTTGCCGCTGGTTCGGCTGCGGCTGCTGCAGCCGGCAGATCGGGCGCTGCTGTCATCGACGACCGTGATGCTTCTGGAGACGCGTGCCGCGACGTGTGGCGACTGGCGTGCGAGCTGGACGACGCGTTCTCTGACTTGCTGTGAGCGTTGGCGCGCGACATTCCCGGCTTGTGCACGATAAAGTTAGGCACGTGCAGTCGGCCACCGTCAAATCGCTGCGCCCACACCGGCAGCTGCTTGTACCGCTGTTTCTTAGCCACCTTTCGCACAGCCGCTGCTGCTTTCGGGGCTGTTGCTTGTGCTGTAGTAGTCTGGTTATGTGATGGAACGCCGTTGGAGCCCTTCTCAAAGGGTGCCATGCGCCGCACATCTTTCCTCTCCAGCTCGTCCGGGTTCAGATCGCGCTCGTCCATCTTCCGCTTGCCCGTCTGGCCGTTGTGGGGGCGGTCCACGTCCATTGCCGACGATGCGGGCGCCGGTCCCGGTAATGCGAGTGGGTGTGCCGGAGGTTGTGCTCGGATGGGTGTAGGTGTGGGAGTCGGTGCATGTGCCGGGGTCGGGGCTGGTGTCGGAGCCGGCTGTGCAAGGGGTGATGGCCGTGACTGCTGCGGCAGCTGGGGCTGGCTTGCGTCAAAGCTGGCCTGTCGTTCGCGTCTTTCAAAGTACCCAGGGGGCACACCGTTTGGACGAGTTTTGGGGCTGACGCTAACACTGCGTCCGCGATCACTGTGCGACAGCGATCTGCGACGCGTGTCGACTGAGATCTGGCCGTACGTGGCTTGGCTTGCAAACGAAGACGGACGATCCAGTGGCATGTGATGTGGGGCCGGGGAAGGATGTGATACTCGAGGTGATACGTGGGGGGGCAGATGTTGGTTGGTCGGTTGAGGCGACTGGTAGGGGAGGTATGACGCTGACGACATGCGCTGCTGGAGCGGACTCGCAGGTAATGGCTGCTGTTGCTGATGCTGTTGTTGTGGTGGTTGTTGTTGATGTGGCTGATGTTGTTGTTGTTGTTGTTGTTGTTGTTGTTGTTGTTGTTGTTGTTGTTGTTGTTGTAGCTGCTGCTGCTGGGGGTAGCCTGGCCCAGCGGACGGCGCCCTTTGTTGTGTGGCAGACAAAGGCGGTCCGAGTGGCGTGGGAGGCTGCTGCTGATACTGTTGCGGCAATGGGGGACGTTGGGCGACGACTGGGCTGGGCTGGCCGTAGGGCGCGCCAAATTGCTGCTGTTGTGCAGCGGGTGGCGGATGAGGAGGGTGCTGGCTCTGGGCAGAGGTCGGGGTGGGAGTGGAATGAGTGGACTGCGACCGCTGGTGGATGTAGGCGTGCTGACCGCCGGACGGACCGATAGGGGGGGTTTGTGGCATCGGTGGCTGGCCCCCCTGCATGTACGCGTTGGTGCCTGGGGGGCCTGGTAAGCCCACCGGGCCCGCCGACTGGGGATAGTCACGCGACGACGGCGGAAAGGCATTTGCGCCGGGCGGATACTGTTGGTGGTGCTGCACAGGGCTGACAGCTGACGGCGGCTGGCTGGGTGGGAAGGGATACGCGCTGCTGACCGAGCTGCTGCTGGGCGTATGGCGATAGGGCGAAGGGCCCGAGAGGCTGGCGCTGCTGGGCGAGTGCAGGTCCGAGGTGTTGAGCGTCTGCAGTGGTGGTGGCACCGGCCGAGCGCCGTAGGGTCCGGGGCCACCGCCACCGGGTGTCGCCGAGGGTGACGCGTAGACGGCCGAGGGCGTGTGCAGGTTGGCGGCGGCGTATTCGTGCGAAGACAATGCCCTTCCGGGCGATGCGTGTATGGAGTGTATGGAGTTGCTGTAATCGCGAAACGGCGACGGGCCTGTCTGCACCGGCGTCGACGGCGGGCCCTGTTGTGGCAAGTGCTGCTGCTGTTGCTGTTGCTGTTGTTGTGGTGGTGGTGGTGGTGGAGATCGGTTTCGAGGCGGATTGCCCGTGCCATCGTCGTTTGAGTTGAGCAGCGACCGAAGGTTCATCATCGTGAATGTGTGGTCGTCGTTCGGCCGACAGCCCACTCCCCCTTAGTGCGGGCAATGCGGTCGTGTCCTCGAGGGCCGAGTCCGGAAAGGTCGAGTCTGTCTCCCGTTGCAACAGGGGGGTATTTTAGATATCGGCCGGAAACAATGGTTCGGATCGTCCAATTGAACTGGGTTTCGCTTGCAGCTCGCAGCTGGCCGCACCATCGAGAGTCGTGTATGCCGGACGCTAAGCGGTGCGAAGTCGTATGTGAGCTCGGCAGCAGAAAGGGCGGGTCGCTGCCGTCGAGACGCACGCGTTTGGATGGATATCAATGCAGGTATCGAAACAGCTTCGGTAAGCGACGTTGGTGGGCCCGTCAGGCTGCGCACATGGTCCGCACAGCTGCTCGGAACGGTCGTCGTGGCGATGCGGGATGCCAGATGCGGGATGCGATATGTGGGATGTCGGATGGCAGCGCGTGCGCGCAATGCCGTTTGCGTGGGCTCAAAGGATGTCGACGACTAAACGCTTCTTTGTCTCGCTGACGCTATCCCTCGCTGCCTTTTCGCGCGTCGGCGGCCGGCCAGAAAAGAATGTCGCTCGTCACGATTCCGGGGCAGGACTGGGCGTCGGTCACTGAGATGCCAGGTGGCGCGTCATCCTCGTCCGCGTTGGCGATGGGGAGAAACAAGGGGGATCAAAAAAAGGTCATGGATACAAAATGTCCAAAAACTAGAATCTGGATTTCGCCTGGCTCCATTATCTAATACCACCTTGGCTGCTCAGCGCAAAATTCTGAATCAAGCCCAGCAAAACATGACTAATACTCCGTACTACGTGCTGCAGACCAGCCAATGAGCCCCTGCGCGAAAACGGCCACCGGCATGTTAGCGTTTCCATCGCCCCGACAGCCTTTCTGCTTTACCTGGCCCGCTGCCGTTGCCGCCGTCTGCTGCACTTCTGGCCGGTTTCGTACATTGTGCCACCGTGACTCCCATATATGAAGCCTCGCATATTTGTCGTGGCTTGCTCGCCTTGTTCTGGTACGCGTTGTGGAAGTGGAACGGCCAGCTGAGACGACCGTGGACGCGTACGTAAGCCGTTGGAATTGCCCGGTCACGTGCAAATCCAAATCTCAGTCTCTTCCGCATCCGCTCTAGCTCCATTGCGTAGCTCCAGGTCGTCTAGGCAGAGCTGCGCCTGACGTGTATTCAATCGCGGTCCCCTCGCCTGCTTCGCTCTGCTTCGTTAGTTTCGACAAATCTTTCCTTCTGTCCACCACCACCACCACCTCACTTGGACAGCTTGGGCAGTCTCCCTACATCCTTCTCCATCAACGTCTTTTTTTCCGTCGTATTCATAGGAAACACCAGTATTCGTTCGCGCTCTCGATTCCACATCCTGGCAAGCGGGAAAAAAAAGAAAAAGAAGAAAAAAACAGTAACCCACCAAAATGCCGGGCCTCATCACGGCTACCGGCGTTCTCGGCTTTTTGTCCGATGAAGAGCCGGAGCTCAAGGTGTTTGCCTTGAACACGCTAAACGATGACATCGACACCGTCTGGACGGAGGTCGCAGGCGCTGTCAGCCAGATGTACGTCTTTCTTTCGCAGCCTGATTCGGCTTTCTTCTGCTCTGACACAGTCTGTCCCCAGCGAGTCCCTCTACGAGGATGAGCAGTTCCCCGAGCGCCAGCTGGCCGCTCTGGTCCTTGCCAAGGTGTACTACCACCTCCAGGCTTACAACGAGAGCATGTCGTTTGCCCTGGCTGCTGGGGACCTTTTCAAGCTCGACGACCCCAGCGAGTTCGAAGAGACGATCATTTCCAAGTGCATCGACCGCTACATTGCCACGTCAGTGGCCAACCACCAGCCAGCCCTCGACGTCCGCGCGAGCGTGACTCTGCCCTCAGTCGAGACCGGCTTCGGTGCGGCCGGCGGCGACGGCTCGACCCTCATGTCGCCGACGACGCCCTTCTCCCAGTCGACCCTGCCGTCCAAGTCGCTCCTCTCGCGCGACTCGGTCGATAACACCATTTTGGACCCGTCCTTCCCGTCGGCCGAGACGAAGGAAGGCCGCTCCGGCTCCATCGTGCCGCTCGCCGACCAGGCGACCAAGAAGGCCCTAGACCACATCATCGAGCGCATCTTTGCCAACTGCCTAAAGGAAGGCCGGTACCGTCAGGTGGTTGGCATTGCCGTGGAAGCCAAGAACCTCGAGGTGCTCAGCCGTGTTATTAAGCGTGCCAGCGAGGACGCCAAGAGCGGCAAGGGCAAGGCGGTGCACGAAAACGGCCAGGACGCGGCCGACGAGCTGATGGAGTACGTGCTCGGCATCTGCATGGACGTCGTGCAGGAGCGCGGCTTCCGCACGGAGATCCTGCAGCTGATCCTCTTCCTGCTCAACGACATTGCGCACCCAGATTACTTTGCCATTGCCAAGTGCGTTGTGTATCTCAACGCGGACCTGGAGGCGTCTGACCTGCTCCGTAAGCTGGTGGAGGAAGACGACCTGGAGCTCCGGGTGATTGCATACCAGATTGCCTTTGACATGTACGACAACGGAACGCAGGAGTTCCTGGGCAAGGTGATGAGCGACCTGCCGCGGCGGGCGCCCAAGTCGGACAAGGCCAAGACAGACGAGGCCAAGCCGAAGAGCGGGGAGACGGAAGTGGAGGAGGGCGAGTCAGATCCTCTGCTGAACGAGGAGGCGGACGAGCAGACGGCGGCCCAGACGGAAGAAGCGGAAAAGTCGGCGGAGAACATTGCGGTGGCATACGACAACATCCGCAGCATCCTGGATGGCAGCACCACGATCCGGCTCAACGTCGAGTTCCTCTTCCGCAACAACCGGGCTGACATCAGCATCCTCAACAAGGTGCGCGACAGCCTGGAGGGCCGCAACTCCATCTTCCACACGGCGTTGACGCTCTGCAACGCATTCATGCACGCGGGCACGACGCACGACAAGTTCTTCCGTGACAATCTGGAGTGGCTGGGCAAGGCGATCAACTGGTCCAAGTTCACGGCAACGGCGGCGCTGGGCGTGATCCACCGCGGCAACATCACGCAGGCACGAAAGCTGCTGGAGCCATACATGCCGCGACAGGGCACGCTGCAGCAAGGGTCGCCGTTCAGCCAGGGCGGAGCGCTGTATGCGTTTGGGCTGATCCACGCGAACCACGGGTCCGATGCGCTGGACTACCTGCGCAACGTGTTCGGATCGGCCGAGGATGAGGTGATCCAGCACGGCGGAGCGCTGGGGTTGGGCATTGCGGGCATGGCGACGGGCGACGAAGAGATCTTTGAGATGCTCAAGACGGTGCTTCTGGGCGACTCGGCACTGAACGGCGAGGCGGTCGGGCTAGCGATGGGCCTGATCATGCTGGGGACGGGCAACGCGGCGGCGCTGCAGGCCATGTTTGCATACAGTCACGAGACGTCACACGAGAAGATCATCCGGGGCTGCGCGCTGGGAATGGCGTTGATCATGTACGGGCAGCAGGAGGGAGCGGACGGGATGATCGAAGCGCTGCTCAACGACCCGGATCCAGCGCTGCGGTACGGCGGAATCCTGACGGTGGCGCTGGCATACTGCGGGACGAGCAGCAACAAGGCAGTGCGCAAGCTGCTGCATGTGGCGGTCAGCGACGTGAGCGACGACGTGCGGCGGATCGCGGTGATGAGCCTGGGTTTCATCCTGTTCCGCAAGCCGGAGAGCGTGCCGCGGATGGTGGAGCTGCTGTCGGAGTCGTACAACCCTCACGTGCGATACGGATCGGCGATGGCGCTGGGAATCTCGTGTGCAGGCACAGGACTGTACGAGGCAATCGACCTGTTGGAGCCGATGATGAAGGACCCGACAGACTTTGTGCGGCAGGGCGCGCTGGTGGCGCTGTCGATGATCCTGGTGCAGCAGACGGAGGCGCTGAACCCGAAGGTGACCGCGATCCGGAAGACGCTGAAGAAGGTGGTGGGCGACCGACACGAGGATGCGATGACCAAGTTTGGCGCGGCGCTGGCGCTGGGGATCCTGGACGCGGGCGGCCGCAACTGCACGATCGGACTGCAGACCCAGACGGGCAATCCGAACATGGCGGGCGTTGTGGGCATGGCAGTGTTCACGCAGTACTGGTACTGGTTCCCGTTCACGCACTTTTTGTCGCTGAGCTTCAGCCCGACGTCGGTGATCGCTCTGGACCCGGACCTGGCGATTCCGGACGTGCGATTCCACTGTGCCTCGCGGCCGAGCCTGTTTGACTACCCGCCCGAGCAAGAGGTCAAGGCCGAGGAGGGACCGGCCCTGATCGCGACGGCGATTCTGTCGACGACAGCCCAGGCAAAGCGGCGGGCGCAGAAGAAGGAGCGGGCGGCCCGGCGCGAGAGCATGGATGTGGACGCGGTGACGCCGGCGGTGACAGCCAGCAGCGGCGGCGACAAGACGACGACGACAGCAACGACGGCCGACGGCGACAAGATGGACGTGGACGACGACAAGACGGCGGCTGGCGAGGACAGCAAGGACGAGGCAGAGGAAGCGATTGACGACAAGAAAGAGGGCGAGCCGAAGAAGAAGGCAGAGAAGGAGAAGGTTGGCTACGAGATCTTCAATATGTCGCGAGTGCTGCCGGCGCAACTGAAGTACCTGAGCTTTCCGTCTGGACGATACAAGCCGGTGAAGCCGGTAAGTGGGAGGAGTGATTTTTTGGGGGGGGTTTTTTTGGCAGCGAGCGTATGTGCTAACATGACATGTCAGCCTACCGGTGGCCCACTTCTCCTGATCGACACACAAAAGGATGAGCCTAAGACGCTGATCGAGGAGAAGCTGAAGAAGGTGACGATTGAGAAGGCGCCGGTGGCGGGTGCCCAGAACAACAGCAGTGGTGGTGGTGGGGGTGGATCGGGGTCAGGAGCGGGTGGTGTGACGGCTGGCAGCCGCAGCGCGATGCTGCGGGACCTCTCGCAGGCGCTGCAGGCACCTCACGAACTGCGGGCGATCACGGAGCTGCTGACGCAGAGTGGCGGCATCAACAGCGCCAGCACGGCCAGCCGGGCAGCGGCAGCCCGCAGCGCAGCGCGGCTGTTTGCGGGTGCGCTGAACAGCAGCGATCTCGAGGAGCTGGCGGCGGCAGCAGCTGAAGATGGCAACGGCGGTCTCGATGGTCATCCGGTTGCTGGTGAAGGCAGCGGCAGTGGCAGCGGTGCGGCAGCGGCGGCTGGCGTGCTGACGGCTGTCGACGAAGATGGTGAGGGCGACGTGGAGGCGTCAGTGCCACAGGACTTTGATTACTTTACTGAGACGGAGGAGGACGAGGAGGAGGAGTAGAGAAAGAGGAAAGGAAGAGAAGGTATTCTGTATTAACATCATAAGTCACGTGCATTGAATGAGGCTCGGATACTCATAGTAGGGAGTAGTCATAAATCTACTCATCACGTGATTATTACTTCTTATTTCCAAATCCACATCCGTCCATAGTCCAGGTGACGGTCCGACCAAGACCGACGGTCGGACACAGGCGCACGCGATGCCACGCCGTTGCCAGGTTACCGCGCACGTTGTAGATGCCATCGTGGCGCTCGGGCTGCGTGTTGTAGGCGGCGTCGACGGTCTTGACCACGATCTCGGCGCAGCTGTGGACGTCGTCGCCCTTTGGGGGCAGCAGGCGGCCGGCGTATCGCCAGCGCTTCCAGGCCCAGTCGCGCGTGCCCCTGGCGACGATCTCACCGCTTCCGTCGTCGTCTCTCCGGTCCAACAGCTCGGCCTGGTCCCAGGTGCGGCCACCATCCAGGCTGACGTCCACACGCACAATCTCACGTCCGCCGCCCGAGTAGGCATAACCGGTCACGGCGACAGGCTCAGGCTCGACTGTGGTGATGCTGCTAGACAGGTGTTCCTTTTGCCAGGTCCGCGGATCACCACGCTCGCCGGCCGCTGCTCGGGCTCCATCGCCCCTCCGTTGTCTTTCGGTCTCGTCCAGCCACTGCTGTCCCGCCTTCTGGATGCCCTCGCGGCCAACCCAGATGCCCGTGATGGCGCTCGTCAGTGGCATCTCCTGGATGGCCGGGTACCGGTCCCAGTCGGGCTTGCCGCCCTCGTTGGGCCCAAACAGCTTGTAGTCACGGCGCTGCCACTGGCTGGGCGACTCCTCGTCGGCCACGACGACGCGTGAGAGCCACTTGACCGACCGTGCCGCCACGTGTCCCGGCACCACAGCACGCAGCGGGAAGCCATGATCGCGCGGCAGCGGCTCACCGTTCATGGCAAAGGCCAGCAGCACGTCGCCACGCGGGTCGAGAGCAGTCGGCAGCGGGATGCTCGCCGCATAGGCCTCCATACCGGCAAGCTGGACGTGTAGCTGGTCAGTCGTGCCCTCGTCCAGCTGCAGGCCAGCATCCGCCAGCACGTCCCGCAGCAGGACGCCCTCCCAGACGGCGTTGCTGATGGCGCCAACGCCCCACTGGAGCCCGTTTGTCTTGGCCACGGCACGGGTCATGTCGCTGCGCCGGTTGCCGGAGCACTGCAGCACGGCGGTGACGCGATGGCGGCGAAAGCGGCGCCGCAGCTCGTCGAGCGTGTATGTGCGGATGGCGCCGTCAGGCAGCTCGACGGCGAGCTCATGGCCTTGGGCAGCAGCCCGGTCGACCACCGGCACCCACATATGATTGCGCACGTAAAAGAGCTCGTTGGCCGTGACGAATGTGCGACCGAGCTCGGTGGGTGGCGGCTCCGCATTGCACGGCTTGGCCGTGTGCGTGAGCAGCCGGCCGTCGCGAACGGGATCGCTGGCAAACGGATCCGCGATGTCCGTGGCAGCCGGCTTGCCGTCGACGAGGTCGGCCGCGTCGACGAGCCCGATCAGGTACTGGGCCAGGATGTCGTAGACGTGGGGCGCCTTGTGAATGGTGAAGATGTCCCAGTACGGGTCGATGGAGCCGCCGGCCGCCTGCAGAATGACTGGGCCGCCCGGGTGAGCAGCCACCCAGTCGGTGATGTCGTAGACCTTGTCGCCCGACGTGACCCACGGCATGGCCGATCGGGCGTCGTGCTTGCGGATGTCGGCGAGCCGGTACCGCGGCAGCGACGGGTCGCGGTCGTCGCTGGCCGTGTCCGAGACGTGCTCGTACTGCTCGTCGACGTCGACATGGACCGACAGCGGTTGCAGCATCGCGAACACAGCCGAGAAGAGGCCCACGCCAGCAAGGAGCGTGAGCCGGGCCGACTCGGGCCCCGACGAGCCGCCCTTGCGCGTCTGCCGCTTGTCTGTCCTATCGGCCTGGGCAGAGCGGTGTGCAGCTACGGTGCAGAAGGGACAGCGTCGCCCCAAGGCCGGCTGGTGGCCGATGCTGGGTGGTCTTGGTGATGATGTGCCCCCCCATAGGCCGGGGCTCTTCCGTTCGAGACACGCTGTCCTTGCGCTGTCGATCCGTCGCATCGCCAGGGACCGCATGCGCGCGGCAGAGCGCGTGGCCAACGAAGCGGCCGTCGCCATGGCTGCTGGTCGGCGTGTGCCCGGAAAACGAAAGAGAATGAGTCGGGAAAAGGCGAAAGAGGGCGTTGTATTCTCGACATGGAAATGGGGCAGCTGCAGAAATCTGCCTAAGCGAGTTGTTCGGATCCTAGTTCGAAAGAGGAAGGAAGTACGGCGTCGAGAGCAGGATACGAGGAAGGCGCTGCAAAGGAGAAAAACACAACCATTAACAGCAGACGGCAAAGGACAGATAGCAAGCCAATCGCGCTGCGTGTCCACCGCTGTTGGGAAGGTCTAGCTAGACAGGTTCATCTCGCACCCTGCAGTGTGTGCACATGCCCGAATGGAGGTGAGTCTCGACGCAAAGACAGGTCGGGTCACAACATAAGCCCTTGTCGGAAACCCGACAGCTGGCCTGCATGAACCATTATGTCAGCACAGGGATCTTTTTGTTTTTCCGAGCACGGAGTGTTCCGTACTCCGTACACTGTTCCCCTTTTTTCGCGCACGTGAACAGGATCTGGCGTCGACCTGCAGTGGCCTTCTGATCGCCAATACGACTACGAAACGAACCGAATATGTGACAGGCCGTGGACCGATCCGATCGGTCTCGACCAGACGGCCCCCAGGCGCTGCACGTGACGAGAGCTACGGTCTGCTAGGCTGAACCCCGAATTGGCCAGGGCCCGGCAAGGCAGGGGGGACTTTGTATCTAAAATACAACCGCACCTGCTCGTTCAGAAGCGAAACGCCTGCTGGGCGTCTAAACCTGGGCAATCTGGGCCGCTGGCCAATCAGCAGCGCGCTAGCCCGCCCAGCCCATAAATAGCTGCTATTGGCAGGGGTGGCTTCCCCTGGCAGTCGTCCAAATAAGGCAAGAAGCAACGCTCGATGCGCGCGTCTACGACAAAGAGTCGAGACGACTGCTCTTTGTCTGCGTCTTCCGTCTTCCCTCGTCCGTCGTCCATCCTCCACTTCGTGTCCTCCGTCCTGACGTCCTCTCGTTTCCTCTGCCCGTCGTCTCTCTCGTACCAACTGCGCTTCCTTCTGTCATGGCCCCCCCTTGCTCTGTCTGTATGCAGCCAAGATTGTTTCAAACAGCCGCCGGCTTCTGTGGCCTTGTCTATGCTCTGCCGACCTCGTCTGCTGTTCTGAAAAATCGTGATCGTGATTTGATCAGCTACCCGCTCATCCGCCTTCCTGTCTGTAGGTGCGTCTCCTCGGTTCTGCCTGTCTCCTCCCAAGACGAAGTCTCGTCTGATGGGCCGCATGGCCTCGCTTCTCTCCAGAATGGCACCTCTCTCTGGCCATCCTATTTTTGGTCGGCAAACCTTGCCGCCTCCATACTATGGAGTGCCCCATTTTCTTCCCGCTTCCCGCATCTTGGCTCGTGTTTGCTTTGGTGTCCACTCTCCTTCCTCTGCACATACTCCATGCATGCATCGTCGGGACGACTGCTGACAGACCCAGCTCGCTCTGTCCATGAGCCTGCATCCTGTCTCTCTGCGTCTTCGTGTACCGATCATTGACAGTCCTTTCTCTACAATTCTCCGTCTGCTCTGCTGTGATCGTTCTGCCCTTTTGCCTTCTCTTCCCCCCCTGTCCTTGTACACAGATTCATAATGCTAGCCGCCCGGCCGGGAAATACCCTACCTCTACCCTGGGCATTCTCGCCTCTTGCCTCCCATCTGTCATATTCGCTCTGCCTGTCTTCCTTGCACCGGTCTATTTCTCTCCCCAGGATCCACCGTGGACCCGGCCAATCCATGTAGCCGCCCAAGATCTCGAGACAGACGCCATCCCAGCCACCCTGTCTAGCCAATATCAAAGGCTGCCGGGCTGCCGACTCGCTCCTTCAGATACACACGATGCACCCGATACGCAAGCCCAGTTTCAAAACGCTGCCGTCTGTCCTCTTCGCTTTGCTGTCCGCCATCCCTTTGTTTCAAACTGCGGAGCTGCATCTCTCCTCAATATAGCACCTGCACACATGTTTTCGCCTTCTTGTCGGCCATCTTTGAGCCTCCCCTCCCGCCGGACCATCCCACTCTCGCCCCATAACCAGGCTGTGGCCGAGCATCAGCTGGCTTTTCTGTCCTGGGCCCTCTCCAGCTCGTCATTCGTTCTTTTTTTATCCACTCTTTGGGTCCCCGGCTTCATGACTGCCCTTGTCTCACAACGCTCTCCCCTGTCTGTCGGGCGGCTGCGTTAAACGCCCTGCCTGGTCCTCACAGCGGCCTCGGCCACTTCTGTTATAAGAACGAGCCTCCACCGCTCGTGGCCACGGCCGAGTCTGTTTCTCTCTACCTCCTCAGACCATCTTCGGGCCAGAATCTACTGTGTCCGCTTTCCTTCTGTCGTTTTCCTTTTCTTCGTCTCCTTTCTCTCCGTCTTCTTTCCTGTCCTCTCGTCTCGTCTCTTCTCTCGTTTCAGCCCGCTCCACACCCAGCCTCTTATCTGGTCCCTCGTTTGATACGAGCAGGCTCACGTATCTGTCGTTCCGTCTATTTCTGTCTGCCCTCTCTCCAATCACTGTCTTGGCAACTGTGTCCCGGGCAGCATACACGTGGCATACGGCCTACGAACCCGCTTAATTGGTAATTGGCCGCTGTCCGAATTCTATTTTTTTCAACCAATTTCCACCTCATCGACGTCTCTGTCGGGTTGGGCACCTTCAGCTTTGTCATCTCTCCTATTTCCCTACGGCAACGGCAAAAGGGCGATATAAACGCATATCTCGGCGCATCATCGGCTTGTATCACGCTACGACGTTCTTCTTTCGAATTCCATCTCCGCCTTTTCGATTTTTAATCCATCTGTCTTGTTTCTGCAGCATGCCACGGCTGAGCCGGACACCCAGTAACAGTTCCAACACCTACAGCCAGACACCGCAAAGCGCCATGTCCTACTACCATCACAGCCGGGTGCCGTCGATTTCCGGATCCTACTACGAGCAGCAACTGCCCGACAACAGTGCCGGACCGTCTGCATTCCAAGATCCCTTTGCCGTGAGCCTGCCGCTGACGATGCCGCCGGCGACGATGGGCATGGGCACGGCGACGCTGGCAGGCGGTACACCTGGGGGCAGTGGAGGAAACAGGGGCAGTGGGACGATGAGCAGCTTCCCGCTGCACCACCCTCGCTCGTCGTCGGGGGCCTGGAGCCCGCAGGACGACGACGCACTGCTGCAGGCACGGGCGCGGGGCGAGAACTGGGCACAGATCCACACGCAGTTCCAGGGGAAGACGGCCAACGCGTGCCGCAAGCGACACGAGCGGTTGATGGAGCGACGCAACGCGGACGACTTTGACACGCGCAAGATGGAGAACATTGCACGGGAGTACATGACGATGCGTCGTGAGATCTGGCAGGGGCTGGCACAGCGGACGGGCGAGAAGTGGACGACGGTGGAGCAGAAGGTAAGTTTGCGTTTGCGGGTCTGGTGCTAGGAGACGGGTGATTGTTGATGTTGATGCACGTGCTGACGGTGGTTTGCCTACAGTGTCTGGCCAGCGGGCTGAAGAACCTGCAGAGCGCGTCCCGGTCAGCCCACCGGCGTGAGCGGCTCGAGTCAGGCTATGCGATGGGAGGGGGGGGTGGAGGCCACGGGTACGAAGACGAGTCTGGCGGTAGCGGTGGAGGGATGAGTCCCAGCGACGACGTGGACGTGGAGGCGATGGGCAGCTCTCCGGGAGGCAGTGTGACGGGCAGCGGCAACCGGTCAGTGGCCAGCAACAGCAGCGGCAGTGGACGGTCGCTGCAGCCACTCCACCATGGGCTTCAGCTGCAGCAGGCGCAGCCACGTCGCCATCAGCACAGCAGCAGCGTCGGGGCGCAACCGCAGCCTCTGCATCACCATCGCATGCATCAGCAGCCGCACATTCATGCGCCTCCCCCGCCACACGTGACGATGGCTCCGGCCGTGCAGGATGTCGGGTCGCCGGGCGCGTACCAGGACTACTACTCGACCCAGGCCGGCTTCTCGAACTCGCTGCGGTCGATGGGCGTAGCCCATGCTCCACACCAGCAGCACCACCAGTCACATCACCCGCACCAGCAGCAGCAGCACCATCAGCAGCACCACCAGGGTGTCAGCCAGTACGTCACGCACGGTTTTTCGGGTGGCGACCGCATATCGGCAGCCGACATGGGCATTGCATCACTCCTTGACCGGGGCTCATCACGTGGCCCGCTTCAGTAAGGGGTGACTGGATAGGACGTCTCCTGTGGACATGATACCCGGGTTGTTTTTGTTTATTTTTGTTTCCATGGCGGCTCCCCTGTTGAAGTGTTTGGGTTTGATTTCGGTGACGGCGTCTAGAGACGGAGTTTTGGGGGTATTTAGGTCGGTTACGGCGCTGCCACATACTGAAGTATCTTGCAATATCAGGCTTGCACTACTGTGCCATTTATAAGCACCCCACAGCGTATAGCAGTTCACCGATGTGCACATATTCAAAGGAATTACGTAATAAGACAATTCAGCCGATTCATCCAACATCTATCATACAATGCGACATACAGGCTTTCCCTTCCTTTTGCGATCACTGCCCCGAGGCCGACACGGGTAGCTTCTGCTGCTGCTGCTTGCCGTCATCGGCCACCCAGACATAGTCGTCGTCATCGTCATCGTATTCGTCGTCATCGTCGAAACTGCCGTTCTCGCGGTCGGGATGGCCGGCGATGCTGCGCCACACGCGAGCCCACATGCCCTTTTTCTGCAGCAGGGCGAGGACCATGAGGGCGGGCAGATGCCAGACGCTGGCCCAGAAGAGGGCGCGGGCAGAGCCAGCATGACCCTGAAGCTGCCAGAAACGGACGGCCTCGCGGACGAGCCAGACGTTGACAGGCAGACTGGTAGCAGCAAAAGACCACTCAGTGACATTAGCAGCACAGAGGCCGAGGCAGATGGGAAAGAAGGCGAGGCTGTAGCGAAGAGCGACGCGACCATTGCGGGCAGGGTTGACCCAGGCGAGCATGCGGAGGCCAGCACGCTGATATTCGGAGCGGACGGACCAGGAGAGAGCCATGAAATGAGGGAACTGCCAGGCGAAGAGGAGGGCGGCGAGAAGCCAACCGCCAGCGCTGGAACCGTCTGGGGCGAAGAGAAGTTCTCTGAACTCGGAATGGGGGGTAGAAGCCGCGGTAGAAGAGGACGTTCCGGTGGCGGATTCGCCGGCAGCAGCAGCCCAGCCCATCAGCGGCGGGATAGCACCGACGAGGGCACCGACCCAGGTGTTGGCAGCCGAGAGGCGTTTCATCGGGGTGTAGACGCCAGCGTAGAGAGCGATGTTGGCAGCACCGAGAAAGGCGACAGTCGGGTTGACGCCGAAATGCAGGGCAGCGATGCCGACGACGGAGCAGGCGACAGCAAAGGCGAGGGCAGCACGCCGGCTGATGAGTAGACGAACAAGCGGCCGATTGCGGGTGCGCGACATGCGAGCGTCGGTGTCGGGTTCGTAGAGCATGTTAAGGGCATTAGCAGCGGCCGAGCAGAGGGTGGTGCCGACGGTGAGAAAGAGGAGGGTGAGCGGTGAGAGCGACGGCGGCTGCTGGGCGACATCGAGCAGCTCGGCCGTCAGAAAGGCCGGCACGGGATAGAGGGCATAGGGGGCCATGGCCGAGAGAACGACCAAGACGGTGAGCCGGGGTTTGGTGAGAGCGAGCAGCGAGGAGAAGACGCGGCGGGTCGAGCGCTGTGGCTGGGCGGCAGCGACGTCGGAGAGGATGGACGACGCATTGTCAAAGAGGTCGGGAGAGGTGGTCTCGCCCGATGAGGAGGCCGATATCTTCTCAGCCTGTCGTCGGGCTTGACGGCGTCGATGAGGCGCCAGCTCAGCCGGCCGTCGGGCGATGCGATCGAGAATGCCGTTGGAGAGGAAGTAGGCCTTTTCCACGTCTTCCGGCGTGCTTGCCGTCGTCGTCGTCGTCGTTGCTGTCTCGGCTGTGCTGCCGGTCCTTTGGCCGGTCCTCTGGACGGATGTCGCAGCGGCCGATTGTGGCCGCGCTGTTGGGAAAAAGGACCGCACAGGAGCAGGCGGCCAGGTCTGGAACGAGGCCCGCGCGACCACCACAGCTGGCCATGGTGGCTGCATGCAAGGCCGCGTCAACACGGACGGCACGGCTACCTGCGCCTGCCGACAGCCGAAGCCCCTCAGGCCACGAAAGCCATACACGCCGATGCGGAGAGAGAGTCGTCCGGGCGGCCGCATACTGAGAGTTGCCGGCCGCGACAGCGCTTCATCGTCCGCAAAACAGGACGCCCGGGACAGCAGGAGGAATCGAGGGCTGAGGTCGGGTGCAGTCGAGGCCCGGTGGCGTTGCTCGCGGTCGTCTGGCCCTTTCACAATCAGGTCATCCTCGCCCTTGGTTTTTCTCTTCGCAAGCTACGGAATTTTCAGTCGGGGTTGTCAGCCACAGTGTGGCGGTGGTGGGGCGTCGATCAGCTGCTGTCAGCTGGCGTGCTGTACTCCGTACGTCGTAATGTATCCTACGGAATAACCCCGTCCAGAGTATGCATGACATGGTGATGCAGAGTTGCGTGGCCACTCCAGCCGGAGCACTTGCCTATGCGCAACCAACGACTCAAGCTACAGCATTGTGCCGTCTCGCCCAATGGAACACAACCTGGCTTATCCCTTGACCCTGGCATACATCCTAGAGATACCGAGATACGACTAGAGTGGCAGTCTTCTGCAGCTTCTGCTCCTCCTCTGGCCTATGTGCAGGTCGTCTGGTTCATGTCACCCTGCAGGTACACCTCCGCAGCCGTACTCCGTACCGGGAAATGCACGGGCAACAGTCTGGGGTAACTTGGCTGGCCGACCAGCTACGGTCCTACAGGCGATGGGAGGGCTCCGAAACAGATGTGACCGTCTACTATGTAGAAAATGCGAGCATCCGGACTGCGATAGGCAAACGTACATATAGTTGCGCCCTGATAACGCTATTTATAGAAGACGACTGCCATCCGCAGGCTACATGGCATTGTGGCAGACATCATATCAGTCTTTGAGCTCTTTATCGCGTCCGGATGGGGGACAGGCAGGGATTCCCCACTCCCGATGACCGATACGGCTCGGTTGGCCTATGGACTGCGTCTATCGACGACGATGCATGCAAGATACTTGTATGGATGGGATGATGGACGTGCGCAGGATCACACCCACGACAGGACGGCGGGTTCCGACCGCCAATGGATGCGACACGCAACGTTTGCGTGATTTAAAAGCGGCAAGATAGCATGTTGGAGCTGTGTCGGAGTGACCCTGTGGCGTTCGCATCCTTGCGTCGTGCTTTGAGGTCGGTCCTAGGGACTGAAGAAGGGAGTGTTGGTGGCTGCGCGTGAGACCAGCCGGTGTGAAATGCTGTCTCGGACACGCTGATAAGGCAGCTAAAATGAAGAGAAGGCCGAGACAGCTCGGGTGTCTCCGATAATACTATGTACGTCGAGCACGCACAACAGCCAATCATCGCGGCCGGAGGCCAAAGCACAAGAGCCGTACGATCACAGAGTCGCATCTGCAACAATCTGCAGAAAGCATCGTTACCTAACAGACTGGCAGGTATTATGTACCCGCACGCACTGAAGCAAATCCCGACAGAGGCAGCGATGTAGCAGCGACCAGGATGTGCCGCATGGTCGGGAAGGCGAGGGAAGCCATGCGCAGACTGTGTGATATCTTACGTCGCAGATGTGTGCAGAAGTAGGCATAACTACCCGTCATTGTTGGTGCGCGTAATAACGGAGCACGAACTAAGATATCTACCCCTCCAGGGTTCGGCTACTCCGTTTGAGGGAGTGGGTCCGTCAAGGTGGAGCTGAAGGTGGTGGTGAAATGGTGAAAGGTGAAAAAGCGCGGATTTCCAGACAGGGTTCGTGAGCATTGGTGAGGGCAGCCAAATAGACTCGCGACAGCAACGTGCGCACGCGCAGATATCGTGAGACGGCCTGGGGGACGGAATGGACGATGATTTTCGGTGACAGGTGGAAAAACGCAGCATCTTGCACACAGACAGCTGCAAAGAAAGAAAAGAAGAAAGAACGAAAGAAAAAGTGTTCTAGAATGCAGAGAACCAGTTCCGGCAGGCAGTCGCGACACAAAGACGGGCCAACAGACGGGCCCGTAAAAGCGGGGCTAAAGCGGAGGGCGGATAAGGTTGGACATGCTGATTGGCTGCTGTGCGATGCGGCACCGTTGGGCCTGCAGCAGCGGCTTGGTAGCGTTTTGGCCATGGAATTGGCAATTGGAATTAGTCGGCGGCCAAGCCAGACCGCCGACTCGTGCGGCCTTCCTTATCAGGACTGCGGACCTAGCAGGCCAGCCAACAGCGTGTTACCATCCCCACGCCACCGAGAGGAAGATCCTATCTACGGAGCGTGTCGTGAAAGAGCCAATACGGACAAGGGCGTCTGGAAAACCAGGCTCGCTGGTCCGAGCCTGGATCCACGGCTAGAGGACCCCCTGTCTATCCACCCCATGCCGTTCTGGCGTGGTACGGCATGGAGCTTGCCACCGTCGTCCGAGTCGAGCAGAACGGAGATACAGCCAGCGGCGAGAGATAGACTGATAAGACAGGTAAGATAGTACGTAGTGGGTTGTACGTAGTGTTTTTGGTCGGCGAGGACAGTGCAAATATAAAAAACAGCCAGGATCCAGTTTCTGCATTTGTGCGCGCGTGCGAGTGTGTTTCCCGGAGTCTTGTCCATTCTTGGTGTCTCATCCTCTCTCACGACCGCAGATAACAACCGCCAGGATGAAGAAGCCAGACACGACCGTCCTCAAGCAGAGGTTCACCTCGGTGAAGGCATGGGAGCTGCCGAAGCAGTCGGGGTCGCTGGCGCCGCCAGATGTATATGTGAGTTAAGGGGTGTGGGAGAGAGGAAGAGAAGAAAGAAGAAAGAAGAGGAAGAAGAGAAAGAAGAAGAGAAGAAGAAGAAAGAAGAAAGAAGAGAAAGAAGAAGAGGAAGGAGAAGAAAGAAGAAAGAAGAGAAAGAAGAAGAGAAGGAGAAGAAAGAGAAGAAGAAGAGAGAGAAAGAAGAAGAGAGCGAAGAAAGAAGAGCGAAAAAGAAAGAAAGAAAGAAGAGAGTAAAACAAAACAACTGACAAATCAGTCCAACAGCGACATGGACCCGACGCCGCTCGAGGAGCAGACCTGGACGGTCTGGAGCATCCTCGCGTACTGGGCGACAGACGTGGTCAACCTGGGCACGTGGGAGACGGCATCGTCGATCGTGTCGGCCGGGCTGTCGTGGCGCGAGGCCATTCCATGCATGGTGGTCGGGACCTTTGCCGTGGCCATTCCGATGGTGCTGAACGGAGCGATCGGAGCGAAGCTGCACGTGCCCTTTTCAGTCATCACGTCGTCCTCATTCGGCTACTACCTGCGCTACTTCTGCATCTTCTCGCGCTGTGTCCTGGCCATGTTCTGGCTCGGCATCCAGGGTGCCAACGGAGCCCAGTGTCTGACGGTGATGCTGACGGCCCTGGCGCCCTCGTATGCGCGGATTCCGAACCGGCTGTCGGCCTCGTCCGGTATCACGACCCAGGGCATGTGCTCGTACTTTCTCTTCTGGATCATTCAGCTGCCGCTGCTGCTGATCAAGCCGACCCATCTGCGCTACGTCTTCCTCGTCAAGATGGTGGCCGCGCCCGTGGCTGCGCTCGCGATGCTCGGCTGGTGTGTTCATCGGGCCGGTGGCGGTGGTGAGATCTTCAAGCTGCGTGCCGAGGTCAGCGGGTCGACATATGCCTGGCTGTGGCTGTCGTGCATGACGTCCGTGACCGGCTCCTGGTCCACGCTCGCCTGCAACATCCCCGACTTCACCCGCTATGCCCGTGATCCCCGTGGCCAGTACTTCCAGCTGCCCTTTATGCCCATCATCTTCACCGTCTGCGGCCTGCTCGGCATCATCACCACCTCGGCCACCAAGGTCATCACGGGCAAGTATCTCTGGAACCCGCTCGACATCATCTCGCTCTGGCTCGACATGGGCTCCGGTGGCCGCTGTGCTGCCTTCTTCTCCGCCCTGGCCTGGTTCATCGCCCAGGTCGGCACCAACATCACGGCCAACTCCATCTCGGCCGCCAACGATCTGACCGTGATGTTCCCGCGCTGGATCAACATCCGCCGTGGCTGTGTCATCGCCGCCATCATCTCCGGCTGGGTCATGGTGCCGTGGAAGATTCTCAGCTCGGCCACCAAGTTCCTGAGCTTCATGAGCGGATATTCTGGTAGGTGTTCTCTCGTTTTCCCTCCCCCCCCTCCTCTACCTCTCTTCAATCTCCCCTAACATGATAGTCTTCCTCGCTCCCATTGCGGGCATCATGGTCGCCGACTTCTGGCTCATCAAGCGCGGCCACATCGACCTGCCGGCCCTCTATGACCCTCATGGCCGGTACCGCTACTACAAGGGCTGGAACTGGCGCGCTGCGGCCGCCTTCCTCATCCCTGTCGCCCCCCTGCTACCTGGTCTCGGCGAGAGCATCAGTGGCGACTCGGCCGTCCACATCAGCGCCGGTGCCAAGCATCTCTACACCTTCAACTGGCTCTTCGGCTTCGTCACCTCCATCTTCCTCTACACCGTCTTCAGCCTGGCCTTCCCCGAAAAGGCCTCGCTGCTCAAGGACACCATCTGGGCCAAGGACAGCACCGCCATCGACGGCGTGATCGACGCTAGCGATGTCGAGCACAACAGCGACTTTGGCCACCACAAGACCACCATGGCGGACAGCACCATGGAGACCAAGGAGGTCTCGGTCTGAGCCTGCTTGCGAGCCGCTTCTATCTTGTTTTATCTGCGTGCGTTTTTAGTCGGAAGCCGTGCGTGTTCGTACCAATACATATACATAGTCCAATCGTGGCAACGTTAATAGATACCCAGGGGTCGACATGATGATCTCTGCGATCGCCTCACGTGGTTTTCTCCACCTGATCTGTTTGCGGCGAATGCACGCCATCCTTTGTTCCTTCCTGCAGCCCCTCCAGGCTGCATGCACACATCCCTGTTCTTTGACCCCCGATTATTGTGTCATTTCCAGAAATGGAAGGCATGGTCGACCGACTGCTCACGTGCCCATTTTCTACAATCTGTATCTTGCCTCTCTGTTTGCCAACATCTCAAAGAAGTCATCTCAGACAAAGAAACATCAGCATGAACCGTCTCATCACTGCCATGTTGTGCCGCATTCGGATGGCTTGCGCGTGTCCCAACGCTCGCCCACCTTTTTTCCTCCCCTCTTTAAGCCCAGATCTTCTCTCTCAATCCTGTCTGCATTTGCTACGCCTGAAAGCCGCAACATCTTCAACTTCTCACTCCTCCCAGTCTTGACCGCCTCAACTCGAATCTGTCCTTATGTCGTGGCTGTTTCCCAGACGGCAGCGCACCGCCATCGATCCCCAGACAATCGAGCAAGAGCATGATGTTGCTTCCAGGCTCGAGCTCTCGCCCTTTGGCGTCCCTCTCCATCCGACCTCTGTACCGGTTGATTCAAGCCGTGTTCAGAAACCCAGGAAAAGGCCCGTCAGCCGCCTATTGACAGCTGAAGATGGCTACACCCCCGGAAGCAACTCGCACAGAGGCCATGCCCGGCTTTTGGGAGGGGCTTCCGCTGATGTCGGTGTCAATGCCAATCCCAAATCGGGGTTGAATCTGGAAAAGTGGATTCCTCTCTACGGCTTCCAGGGCCTTGTCATGTTCAACATCCACGACGACTACTCCCTCGTCGACGCTGTCGTCCGCCTCGCTCCACAGCAGCTCCTGAACTTTGCCTTCTACGAGGAGACGACGCCCGCAGATGAAAGTTCCCAGGACAACAACGCAGCCGCCTTCAGCCGTGAGATCCACGTCGACATCAGGGCCCAGAACTACTGCCGCAACAAGATTCGCTCCATATTCGGGTCTGACGACACCGAGAAGACCCACGCTCTCTTTGTGTACGCACGCGACGAGCAGCCACCGCCGTCAGGCCGATGGCAGCCCGGGCCGGCCGACGAAACCGACAGCCACGCTGTCCTCCGCTGTGTCCGGCGAGAGTACAGCGAGCTGCAGGATATTGCTTATCTCCGGCTGCCCGTCAACGCGGCTCACCTGCGCTACAACCAGTACGTCGTCTGGCTCATGGTTGTGGCCCGCATCTTGACGCCCGGCTCCGGCCTGCGGATGCTGCGTCTCGATGATCTGGGCGTGGTCGCCCACAGTTTCGTCGGCATCGACAACAGCCTGCATTCTGATCTGCGCACACACGGCGCTGCCGGCTTCTCGCACTGGTCGTGGCGCGAGCTCGTCCAGGACGCGAGCAACGGCATCCGCTTGATCGCACTGGACGTCATACCCCTCGATCGTGCCACCCTGGCCGTCATGGTGCCGGGAATGAATCTGGGTCTCCGCGGCCGCCATCAGCCCCATGTCCTCGTTGGTCTTCACCGCCTCGGGGACCATGCCGGTGACTTTTACGGCTCCCGTAACCGAACCGTTGTGGCTGAGTGCATCAACAGCGTCGTCAACGCTTCTACCACCGCGGCCGAGAAGGAGATGCTGCAGTATGTCACTGTCTGGGGCAGCGGCGCCTTCTGGATGTCCGAGGGTGCACCCCTGCACAAGTTTCCCCTGGCGCCCCATTGGATCGACTTTCCCACTGATGCTGGCCTGTCGTCAGGCTTCGTCGTCGTTCGGCCCGGCTACCCAACGTACACGGCGCATGTGTTTAGTCCTCGAGACGGCGCCGATGGCGGGAACAACAGCAGCAGAAATCTAACGCATTTTGAGTTTATCATGGACGCAAAGCTTGACGCCTTTCGACAGCGTATGCGAGAGGCTGGCCTTGGTCATCTGGAGCAGAGCTGTCTGCGCATCAGTCAGAAGGACCCAACACGCCCACAGATCTCCGACACTGCTCGGTACAAGAAAATGGATGCCGATGAGAGGACGCGCAATAACCGCATGGAGTTCAATCTGGAGCCCACGGCGAGTAACGACATGTGGATGTTTATCTGCAGCCAGATTGTCGGGCAGGACATTTATATTGAAGAAGCCCCTGCCGAAAGTATTCTCCCGGGTAAGTCTATTCTCTTGATACCAAGGAGTGAATGAAATACAAAAGACTTACTCGTTACACAGATGTTGATCTTACGACGAATCTCTGGGGTTACCGTTCGACCTACGACAACATGTTTAGCCACAGCCAGCACATCGAGGTCGCCAAAACTATGCCGGCCGCAGCAGCAGCTCTTGTTGCTTCGGCTGCTGCAGCAGAACCTGCGAGGCAGAAGACGGCTACCAGCTTCTTCCAAAATGCTGCTCAGTGGGGCGGCAATCTCGTGTCCAAACGAAGGCATCTTGAGCCATTTCCGCTTCTCGGTGGCCAGAACGGTCAAAATGGCCAGAGCAGGGCCGTTGACCCTTTGGGCTCCTGGAAGATGCCTCTGAAAATGTTCTTGCGCGGTGGTCCCGATGCTCTTCCGTTTGCGGTCGGCCGAGCCGTGGCGACACCGAACGAGACGGCCGCCCTCAACCTCATGGCTGCCGACCTGTACGATCTAGCGCTGCAGCGTGTGGCCCCGTGTCCCTATGCACATGAAGATTGCCAGTCCTTCTTCGTTGCCGGCCAAACTCAGGTGATCCAGGCCCATATTGCAAAAGCACATCCGCCGCAGAAGCAATGTCTCTTTTGCGACCACTTCTTTTTAGCCGCCGCCAGCGTCAGTGATAAGCTGGATCACCTGATTAACGTTCACCGGTCCTTCTTTTTCAGTGCTGCAAACGGCAACTCACTGCCACCTCCGCCACCGCCGCCACCAGCACCGCCAGCACCTCTAGCACCGCCAGCACCTCCAGCACCTCCAGCACCTCCAGCGCCTTCAGCGCCTTCACCATCCTCAGCGCCCCCAGCACCCCCAGCACCCCCGGCAAAACCACAAGCTCCCCTTCGAGGTGGAGATGGAAACAACGCAAACCCTGCTGCTGGCTCTCTTCAAACAGCAGGACCGACTGCTAAGAAGAAGCGCCAAGTGGGTGCAAATCAGCAGAGTGATCCACCCTACCGACCGGGACAAGACATAAACGGATCGTCGACGGACGATATTAGCGATGAGGGAAATGATATCACGGACGATGATTTGGTTGAAGGCAGTCGTCCGCGGAAAAGGAAGCACGGAACAGAAGACCCAACATATCGGCCGGCCAGAGATGGAGATGGAGATGAAGAGGTGGAGGAAGGGAACAACAGCGCATTTCAGAAAAGCAAGAAGACGAAGCGAGGAGCGGCCGCTGGCAGTCGACCAGATCTTCAAGACTCTCTGTACCGCCCAGGGCGGAATATTGGCGTGTTGGATTACTCGGAAGACGCGGACGAAGAACTAAGGAAGTCAGCTGCGACTGAATGGGGTCGTGATCCGTTTGACCCGACCGGTAAGCGAAAGCGAGTGATCAGAGAGAAGCCTGTGGTGCCAGAGGAGATGCTAGAGACGACGAGCACGATTGCGGAGGTGGAAAAGCCGAAGACGGCAAAACCAAAGAAGACAAAAAAGACAAGACCAACTGGAGGGATAGGGAAAACAGGGGGGACAAGAAAGACAATGGGTCAGATCCGGACACCGAAGCAAAATAAGACGACAAAGCCCGTGAAGAAAGCAGAAGTGTTGAAGGCGGTAATACCAGAACCATCCGAGTTGCTGAAGCCGTCAAAGCAGAGCGAGACTCTGGTTTCTCAGTCGACAGCTGTGCCAGCAGAGGTCGCCCCCAGAAGGTCGGGCAGAAAGCGGATACCGCGGATGCTGCGGTAGTAGGCGGAGGTAGTAGCACGTCTAATCTGTAACTGTATTTGTAATTACGGGATCTGTTCAGTTAGGAAAATATGTTGTTCACTTGATGTCGTGGCGGAAAGAAAAGTCATGAAAAGGGGCCACCAAGAAAGAGCAGGTTATCAGAATAAATCAAACGGACGGCAAAAAGTATGCCTATGCTCTCTATACTGTAGGTATCAGCCTATGACGAGTCGGAACAGTTCGTCGTCTCCGGTCTTTGGCGCTCGTAGTATGTCAGATGTGTGTACAAGGTTTTAAGAATTGGTAGTGCTATTAGAGGATGAATTATTGTGAAATCCACAGAGGGTGCCCCGAAATGACCAAATCAACAAAGGGCTGCAGCTATCATAAAAAATCTCGCCATCACGCTGCCGTCGGGGACGTTGAAGCAGATGCAAGCGTCAAGCTCGACGTCACGTTGAGCGACCAGACGTTGAGCACGGCGCTCCCGCCACACAGCTCACGATCGTCGCCAGAACAGATGCTGGAGCACTTGGTCTCGTTGACCTGGATGCTGCTGTTGCTCAGGCTGTTGCCGCAGTAGCAGCCGTCTGCGTTCTCGACGCCGAAGAGGATGTACGAGTAGCCGCCGCAGAAGTCGGCGCAGTTTTCTTGCGTCATGTTGATGCTTTTGGTCTTATTGGACGACAAGGCGTAGCCGATCTTCGGCTCCGAGTAGCAGCCGACATACGAGTAGTTGCCCACCAGCGTCTTGGCTTCTGGCAGCTCCACCGTCGGAGAGACATTTGCCGAGGAAGATGTCGGCGTTGAACTTGTTGAAGCGCTTGAAGAGCTCACAGAAGTGGAGGAGCTGGAGGAGTTGAAGGCACTAGGGGAGCTGGGGGTACTAGGGGAACCGGAAGAACTGGGGGAGCTAGAGCTTGTTCTGCCAGAAGACGTCGAGCTGAAAGTCGAACTGAAAGTCGAGCTGGGAGTTGAGCTAGAACCTGGACTTGAACTCAAGCTAGAGGTTGAGCTTGAAGTCGAGTTCAAAGTCGAGCTAGAAATCAAGCTGGATGTCGAGCTTGAACTCAAAATTGAACTCGAACTGGATGTCGAGCTCGAACTCGAAGAGCTAACGATATTCGGCGCCGTGCGAGAAAGTGTGCTATTGGCAGATGTTGTCGTGATCAGCGTCGTAGCACTGACAGACGACAAGGTCGTCGCGGTAGCAACGGTGGTATTAGCACTTTTCTTTCCCGAGGTGGAAGCGCTCAAGGCAGTCAAGGAAGACGTGGTTGCGATCGTGCTGTTGGAGGCAGCGGTTGTGTCCGACGTCGTAGCCGTCGAGGAGACACTTGTGGAAGGACTGGTTGCCGACGGCAGAGTCGCCGCAGCTGCAGTCGTGCTGTTGCTGCCGATGGTCGCCGCCGTGCTGTTGCTACCAATGGTCGCCGCCGTGCTGGGCGTCGTTGCGGAAGCGACAATAGCCAGCGGCCCTGCTACCTTTCCGGAAGCGGCACTGGTCGGGGTTGCCGCTGTTAATGGACTCGTTGTTGCTGTGCTTAGCTCGTACACGTCCAACAAGCTACTGCCACCGCAGTACTCCGTCGTGTTGCCTGTCATGATGTTAGGCAAGGGCGTAATTTGCAGCGACAAAATCACAAGAGTGGAGTATCAAGTTCTTACCATTGCACGTCATGGTGCAAGCCGACGAAGCCTGCAGAGTCGCGTTGGGGCTGATTGTGTTGCCACACCAGCACTCACCACCATACTCCAAGCCAGCATAAGTGTAACCGGCAGCGGCAGCCAGCTGCAGGCAATTGGCGACCGTCTCATTGGTGACTGTCAGCTGTTGGGAGAAAGCCCGGCTGGTGGAGGGCTCCTTGTAACAGCCGAGGAAACTGTAGCCGTCGAGGCCAGGGTTGATGACTGGGCCTGTTATTGCGGCAGCCGTTGCCTTGCTTGTAGTCGCCGTTGTCGCCGTTGTCGCCGTTGTCAGCGTGGCCATCTTGTTGGTTTTGTAGACTTCAAGAAGCGACGAGCCGCCACAATATTCGCTAGAGTTGCCATTGCATGTCATTGCGCAAGCCGAGGATGCCTCCAGTGTTGCGTTCACGCTGATCGAGTTGCCGCACCAGCACTCGCCGCCATACTCCAGACCGGCGTAGATGTATCCAGCTGAGTAAGCCAGGTCCAGACAGTTAGCTACGGTCTCATTTGTCACCGTCAACTGGTTCGAGAAGGCACGCGAGCCTGACGGCTCGTGGTAGCAGCCCAGGAACGCGTATCCTTTCAGACCGGGATTGATGATGGGGCCAGTTGAAGCTGGAGTCGTAGCCACGGCCACCTGGGTTGGCGTCCCCAATGTTGTAGCAGCAGTCGTCGAATTCGTCTTGTAGACATCGAGCAACGACGAGCCGCCACAGTACTCGGTAGAGTTGCCGTTGCAGGTCATAGTGCATGCCGACGTCGATTCCAACGTGGCGTTGGGACTGAGCGTGTTGTCACACCAGCACTCTCCACCGTACTCCAGACCTGCATACGTGTATCCCTTTGCGGCTGCCAGTGCCAGACACACCCCCACCGTCTGGTTTGTGACCGTCAGCTGATTAGAGAGGGCACGCGAGTTCGAAGGCTCCTGGTAGCAGCCAAGAAACGTGTAGCCATCTTCACCAGGGTTCGTGACCGGACCGGTGGCAAAAGACGGTGACGCCGAAGATGTGCTAGTCGGCAAGGTAGTGCTGTTGCGCCTGTAGATGTTCAGAAGAGACGGACCACCACAGTATTCTGAAGAGTTGCCTGCGCAGAGTGTTAGCACATGGCTGGAAAGAAAAGCCGAGGCGCAGCCAGACTTACCATTGCAGGTCATGCTGCAGCTCGCTAGAATCGTGCTGTTCGCGCCGGAATTGAGGCTGTTGCCAACCCAGCACTGATTCAGTCAGTAGGTATCCCAAGTGCATAGGAAGAGCGTTGTGCAACTCACCTCGCCACCGTACTCGAGACCGGCATATACGTAGTTGGACGCCGCAGCAAGGTTCAAGCAATCATCCACCGTCTCATTTGTGGTTGAAAGCTGGTTGGCCAAGGCGCGGGCCGTGGACGGTTCTGTGTAGCAGCCAATGCTAACATAACCGTCAATTCCGGAGTTCACAACTGGACCAGAGCTGGAGCCGGAGCCAGTAGGAATGGTAGACGCACCATCCAGGGCGAACAAGGACATGAAGGAACCGCCAGCGTCGGTACCAACGCCATTTCCGCCACAAATCTGGTTATTGTTGCCAGAGCAAGCGTAGTTGCAATCATCCTCGTCGACCTTGAGGCTGGGAATAGTGTTACCGGCCCAGCACTCGCGTTGGTACTCCGTCCCGCAGTACGTGTAGCCGCTCGCGGCGCAGGCGGCGATGCACATCGCGATCGTGTTGCTGTCGTTGCCGTAGAGCTGCGTCGTCAGCTGGCGGTCCGGGTTGTTGTCCTTGTAGCAGCCCAGGTAGCGGTAGGCGCTGTCCCCGTCGGCCTGTAGAGGCGGCGCCTGTTCCGAGACGGCGAGACAGGAGAACTGGATGTACTGCTTGGTCGTGTCGGGATCGTTGGTATTCATCGTCCAGTTGGCTGCACCCCAGTATGCGTCGCTGTTCCACTGCTCCTTGGGCACAGAGCAGTAGAGGCTGGCTGTCTGGCTCTCGCCTGCCTTCAGAATCGTGCCCTCAACCAAATCCGCGTCGTTCACGGCGCCGATGATACCTGACACGCCAAAAGGCGGCTTGGACACTGTGATGGACAGCGGTACCGCGTCCGCACTGCCACTGTTGGTAACCCGGAACTTGAGCGTCCGAGAATTGTTCTCCGTCACGTTGCCAAAGGTAAAGTTCTGGTTCTTCTCGTAAGTAACCCAGCCCGAACCATCAGGGGTCTGGAACTCCATCAGCCAGACGGGACCGGAGCCGGCATTTCCGTTGACAGAGAGCGTCTGGCTACCACCATCGGAGCCGAAGACGATGAAGAGGCTGGAGTTCCCGCCAGTGGTAGGATCAAAGTTGATGTCAATCGTGGTTCCGCCGTTGGCTGCAATGGTGGATGGAATGCCCGAAATACTATAAGGGCCAATATCGGAGCCGTTGCCCGAGGGCTGCTCAAACGGACCCGTTGCGCTGGTTTGAGAGTACTGCACGCCGGTAATGGTCAGGGTAGAGTTGCCATTGTTGCTCAGGACCACCGGCTCGGTGACACCGCCGGGATTGGCTCCGACGACGACGTTTGTGAACGTAAGCGTCTTGGGAGACAGACCCAGCAGCGGCCCGCTGCTGGTTGCAGTCCCAGTCAGGCGAACAGATGTCTTACTCGTGTAGCCAGTCGCAGAGTTGTCGGTAGTGATCAGGACACTGTCAGAGAGGAAGCCTACTTCCGTCGGCTGGAACGAGGCCGTGAACGTAAATGTATCACCAACAGCCAGCGTCTTCGGCACGGTTGGCAGGTTCGAAATCGAGAAGTCAGTACTATTCAAAGCAAATTTTGTGATGCTGGTACCGGTGACCGCCGTGCAGGTAACCGTGGCCGTCTTCGCGGCACTGGCGATATCCAGCGAGCCGAACGAGGGCGTTGTGCAGTTCAGCGCCTCGTTGACCGGACCGCCGAAACCATAGACATAGCCCTGAGTGGTGCCCATGTAAACACGGCCATCACCAAAGACAGCACGGGTGAACTTCGTCGTTCCGGGAACGGAGAAGGACTTGATTTCGGTCAGAAGGTCCCCGTCAGGCACGGCGTTGTAGATGCGCAGGTTGTTGCCCTGGACGTCGCAAGTCCACAGAAGGCCGGTGCCCTCCTGGCCATCCAGAGATGTCACGGTGCCGTGGCTGACACCCAGCGTGTACGCATTGTTCTCGGGGCTGTCGGCAACCTTGACGAACGAAGGGACGCCGTTGTCACACGAGAATTTGAACACGTGGGTCGGATACTTGATGACGTTGATGTAGATGTAGCCGCCCTCTAGAGGATAAACACCGGCACCAGCGTAGACTGAGTTTTCATTCTGGTAGACCTGGATGACATTGTCGCCGTCGTCGGTGCCAGTGCGGTAGCCGCCAAGGTCGTCCAGGTTGAGGAAATATGTTTTCCCGCTCTTGCCGGTGATGACACCCATGTGAGTGATGTCGCCGCAGGAGAACTCGCTCGGTAGCAGCTCTAGTGGAGACGTGCCTAGATCCTTGTCCGCGCCATCGAGGGCTTGCTTCTCCTGGGGCATGAAGAAATCGATAATAGACAGGGAGCCGTCGTCATTCATCGTCATGTGCACAGCCGCCTCCTCGAGAGATGTGGGCGGATTGCGGCCCTGGACAGGGATGGTGCTCAGCTGCGATGCGTAGCCGTTTCCGGTGCCGAAGAACATGGAGCCGCTATCATCCGAGGCCAGGCCACCGCCAGACATCCAGATACCACCACCGGGGGTTGTGTTTGGTACACCGGCGCCCTCCGTGGCCCAATTTTCGACAATAGCGCCGGTTGTCTTGTCCCAGCCCATGAGCCAGCCGGTGAAGTTATACTGGACACAGTGGGAGGCAAAACCGGCGTAGATGTACTGGCCAGAGTGCAGCAGGGCAGGTCGCTGGTGCTGGATGCCGCCATTGAAAGTGCGGACCGGGTTGTTGTTAGCAGCGAGGCCCTCCAGGTCGATCGGGAAATTGGCGCGTTCAGAGAGATCATGGACATCGAGGGCGTGAATATGGTAGCGGCCGGCGGGCCGACCCTGGGCAACGTTGATGGCCGATTGGTTGGCATACGTCTTGGAAGTCAGGTACAAGGTATCTGTGTCCGGGTCGATGACGCCGGTGGAAGTGACACCAATAGTCGGGTTGATGTCGACACAGCCATCCAGATCCGCAGTCAGGAAAGGAATAGCCAGGTTCGTCGAGGCGACGATTTTTCCGGTAACCGCATTCAGCTTGTAGACGTTGTTCTGCGTGGTGGCAAAATAGACGTATTGGGTGGTCTCGTCAGACGGGGTGTAGACCAATGGCTGAGAGAAGATCTGCTCGGTGTAGCCACCATAGTTACCAGGCAGTGCCGTCTTGAAGAGCTGGGTGAAGTCGTCCGAGCCAACAACATCGGGGTCCATGTTGTGGTTCCTGCGAGAGTTAGTAAGCAGCCAACGCGCACATCACAGCATCCTGCCAACCTACGTCTGGTAGCCCGTTCTCGAGTTGTCGCCGCCCCATGTGATGGTATCGGTCGATGCCAATCCGTTGGCACAACGGACCAGCATCGACAATGCCGCAACCAGGACGACAGCCATCTTGGTATTAGACGGGAGTGTTTCCTGGAAGAGTAGCGGGGAAGCAAGACGAGTGATATTAAGATACAAATAAAAATTAGGGTACTGTAAAGAGAGTATGGAAAGGGATTTAAAGAAAGAGAAGCCCAAGACAGCTATAACGAATGACTGCTGGGCGAGGACGTCTGGGCGGGACGAGAGACGGAGGATGGGGAGAGATCAGCGCGATGACGGGAGAGGGTCCAAAAGTCTTTTTATTCGGCCTGTGCCAAGCGGTCTCTGTATTCCATGCTTCGATGGATCTCCCGCGAGCTGCAGTGCCAAAGGTTGACTGGCCTGGCAGCTAGGATCCGGAGAGCTGGGCGAGTAAAAAGGTACAGAGTACTCCGTACAGCGCACGAGTAGCTTAGTACTCCGTACCTGTGATGTGGTCAGCCCGTTAGCCGTGCTAGAGCAGCAGGGTAAAAGTACTCATTACTCGTATCGAAGCGTACTTGCATACGAGCAGAGCGCAGCTAGACTAGCGAGGAAATTGGGACCAAAAACAGAGACCCCTGCACGCACATGGGATACAAGGCCAATGGAAAGGCCGACGCCCCTGGGTGAGGCTGCTAAGAGAGGAGGGGTTAGCCTGCATCCTCAAAAGGGAGGTGGTGATGGGCCAAGTGGCCCGCTAAGCCATGTTGAACGATCCTATGTTTGAGTTTATTGCTCACCGATGGCGAGCTAGCTGGTGTTCAGGTTGGCCACTGGGTCAGACTTGTAGCAGTGCATTTCGGGAGCCAGCCATTGACTTTGCCCGACTGTTCGGATTTGGGGATCGTTTTTTGACTTTCTGTACGAGCGTGTGTCAGGTCTTTGTGCAGACTGAATGCAGCCGTGCGGACATGCAGATGCAGTCTGAAAGTCGTGGCTGCTCGTGGCTGGTTGTTCCTCAGGAACAGCTCTGGCAAGGTGGCATGATCTGTCCCCTGCTATCAATTCCGCTATTGCTCCAGGTCAAGGCTCTGCTGTGTACTCCGTAGGGCGCAAGAGTGCGTGCTAGTGTGAGCCAGGTCAATTTTGAGGTCGGCACGTTGCAGTGTGGCGTCCTGTTACTGGTGTACGGGGCAGTGTCCACAGCGCTCTCGTCAGTTTAGCGAGCGTAAGCACGGGGGCCAGTGAGGCTTGCCAGGCTCGATGGGACGGCAATAGTGTTGTCTGGTTGGCGAGCGTTGGCCTGCAGGGCGTCCTTTGCCAAGACATGTCTTGCGGCTTTGTCGTCCGATGTCGATAGTCAGTATGCAAGAAGGGCTCGTCGGGACTTTCTGCAATTAGCGTGAGCTGCCGTCGGGAGTCAATGGCTGCTAGGCTGTGCGTGGTGGTGGTGTCGAGTCGGAGCTTTAGCATCGACAAGTCCAATTTTGGCTGAATATCTTTGGAGAAAGCGATACGGGAGGATGCATACGATAGTACGGAGTAGTCAGACCAGGCCACGGACGCAAGGCATCCCTGGTCCAGAGAGGAAGGAGCACTTCTGCTGGTCATTTTGCCGAATGCTGCAGGTCCGTGGCGTCGACTGTACCACTGCTGTACATAATATGGCTTAGAGGGCAAGGGCGCCCGAGCGTGGTTGCTCGTTTAATTTGCGGATACTGGCTTCCAATGCCTTCCTCTTTCGAACTTTATCGTCTACGGAGTACTACGCAATTCCTCCGTACGTACGACGTAGAGAAGAATCCAGGCACCACGAGGCTGGTCAGTTAAGATACGATACCCAAACCTGCGAGATGCAATCCCAATCAGGCACGGTCGTTGGAGATGCATGCGAAGACACCGGACCTGGCAGTTGAGAAGCCGCTTCCCTGTGAGAGACGCGATGTGCAGGGGACGAAATAGCCGGAACAGATACGGATGCACGCGGGAAGCTGAAAGCAGTTGGCGCGGGATCATGCATCTGGATCGGGGCATAGGTCAGTACGAGGTACACTGTACATTCGTGCGCGCCGCAGTTCGGCGGTGTCCGGGGAAGAGCAGAATCCGCTGGCCAGAGCACCAGCCACGTACGGAGTGGCCAGCCAGCGGGCCGAGGGGAGGAAACGAGACAAGATCTTCGCTGTCTGCGGAGTCTGGCCGCTGCTTTTGCCCAAAGTCAACTTTTCAGCTGGTCTTCAAGATCGGCATGTTCTTGTTTCGGTTCCAGCGCCAACGATTCGATACTACGCACTCCTTACTATGTAGTGGTCAGGTCTCAAAGTCAGGAACCTGCCCGATCTCCAGGACGGGGTTTTTGTTTTCTCATATCAATTGATCCATCCGGGCACAGTGGGTCGGTCGTCTTGGACTCGCAGACGGCCTGTTGTAAAACAGGGTAGCGTCAATGCACTGGCTGTTGGCACTTTCAGGATCACACACGAATACGAGAAGTTCGCGTTGCGGCTGAGCAGCAGATGCCAGCTTTATTCAAACTACGTATCTTACCACATCACACTTAGCTATGCAGGTGAGACGACTGGAGCAAAGTCACGTCACAGTTAGGAGGCAGGATGGGCGCTATTCGAAAACTGTAAGCACGGGCAGAGTCAGAACGGTCCAATTGCTTGATTTCGTAAAGTGCGAAGTAATCGTCCCAATAATTCGTTAGGACTGTCAATAAAAGGGCCACCATCCACCATGATGCAACCAACAGCGCAACACCATATTCCAACAGGAACGCCGAAAACAAAAGCGCGTGAACTAAACGACAAGGGAAATATAACGGAGGCAAAGCCGCAATCGGCAAAAAGAAAAGCAGAAATCCAATGAAACCCAGAAGCAGCGAAAAAGAAACACACACGCCAGACGCCGGAAGACAAGATGTACCCTTCCCTTTGTGCCTCATAGTTGCTTGAGACGAGAGTCCCGCCGTTTCTTTGCCAGCTCAGCAGACTTGCCTGTCGGCTGTTTTCTCTTGGAAATCTTCTGGGGGCTGTTCTTGGGGGTGCTCTTGGGGCTCTTCTTCAGGCCCTTCTTGGGACTGTTTTTGAAGCTCTTCTTGGCCGGTTCAGGCGTCGCTAAGACTGCTGGTTTGGCCTTGTCGCCGCCCACGATGCCTTGCATTGCGCTGCCACCGTCGCCACCGTCGCCACCGTCGCCGCCGTTTCCGTCACCGCCGTCCGGGTTGCAATTGTCTGCAAAAACCCAAGCCGGCTCGCCAACCACCACTGCCGGGACGCCCTGATCCGTCGGCGGGACATCATTGTCGTGACCTGCGCCGGCGTTCATGGGCTGCTGGAACACACGCTCGCCCACGATGGGGTCGTCGTGGAACTCCTCCACCATCTTCTCGTAGAGCAGCAGGATGGGGTCGAACCAGTCGGCGCTGCCGACCTGATGGTCGACGTCGCGCGACGTGTTGTTGACCTTGCGGAAGGGCACATTGTCAGCCACCTGCGTGTCGCTGATGCGCAGCCAACCGCTGTCCAGAGCCTCGAGCTCGCAGACCCGCTTCTTGTCCGGCACCGGCCAGTGGTCGTCGAAAGGTCCTGTGCTCTGGCCGATGACCTGGTCTGATCCCGGCCGCAGCACGCCTTCTTGGCGCATCGTGTCGTTGATGGTCCGCTGCAGCTGCTCGTCGGCCTGCTTGGCTGTCCAGACCACCGTCGGGTCCGACAGCTGCGCAAACGTGCGGATGGCCTCCTGGCGGCGCACAAACGTCACGTAGTGGCCGCCCTGCCCGTTGCCGCTGTGGCTGATGACTGCGGCTAGCCGGTACAGCACACGGCTCTGGCTGCCGTAGACGTGCGGCTCGAGCCATCGAGAGACGTCGAGGAACTGCGGAAAGTCGACTACGTCGTGCATTTTGGTGGTCGTGTTGGCCTGCGGGTTCCAATGCAGGCGCATCAGTTGGATCGTCAGCACTTCCGGTGTAGCCTGCAGCCGCTTCAGTGCCATCCCTGGCTTTGCTGTCTGTTGGCAGCGGTCACAGCGCTTCCCATCCGCGAGCTCCACGTTCAGCTCGCGCTCCAGCAGGTCCACGAGACGCTGTGTGCGCGCGCCAGGTCGCGGCGGCCGTCCCGGAATAGAGATGGGGATGCTGAGGCTAGTTTCGGTCTCTTGTCTGCGCAGCCGCACCCGGTTGTTGCACAGATGGCACACGTAGCGCGTCGTCAGACACACCGCAAACATGGAGCTGAAGTTGTGCAGAGCCTGGCCATTGCCGTACTGTTCCGGGTGCCAGCTCAGCTGGTAGATAACCGTGTCCCAGATCCACTTGAACAGGTCTATGGCGTCCTGCTGTCGTCTGAAGAGCTCGACAGCGCCGTTTTGGCCAGGCTGCTGATTGCAAAGCGTCAGCCAGCATTCCACCACGTGCTGGACACCCGAGTTGTCAACCATGACACTGTCCGCCTTGCACGCACGCCAGAAGAGGGTGACCAGACGCTCGTAGTTGTCGCTCGGGCTCATTGGGTGCTGGCCATTGCGGTCCCAGTAGGCCACGGCCAGGTGGTAGAGACGTGTGAGCAGGTGGCCGCTAACCTGGTGGTGGCTATAGAAGCGGCGGGCCTGTCGCATGTGCGTGTGCAGAAAGGTCAGAATCCGGTTCGTGTTCAGCAGCGCCACAAGCACTGAGTTTCGGTAGCAGAGCATCATCGGATTGTCCAGGCCTCGCGGTGTGATGTCCAGGTGCACTGGTTGGTCTAGATCTGCGCGCACTTCGGACAGAAACTGGGGAACCGGCCGCAGAATCGGTTGGAAGAGCATGCCTGCCGACGGTAGGTTTTCAAACGGCAGAGCACCCGTGCCTGTAATGGCTGGCTGCCCTGCGGCAGTTGCGGCTGCGGCAGAACTACCAGCTGCAGCAGCTGTTGCTTGTTGAGGAGCAGGATTGCCCATGTTGGGGTTGGATCCGGGCAATTGGGCGCCTCCCTTACCTTTGGGTTGCTTGGGATTCAACCATGATGACAGAATGCCTATTCGTGTAGCACGTGGTTGTTGTGTGTCGTTGCAGTTAGCAGACATAGTGCTGGACAAGGCTTGGTAAGAAATGGATGCAACAAAGCGTCAGTGCTTGAGATTCTAAGGGGGTTTGTGTGGGACGAAGTCGATATGGATGTTTGGGAGAGTCGTGACATATTGAGACTGAGGAGACGGATGCATCATATATCTGTGACACGTCAAAGGGGACATGGTCGATTTGCAATCACCTCACGTGGGACTCTCTTTGATGTTGGAAATGGTGAGGATCAATTAGTATAACAGTAGAACATAAAGGGAAAATGTAGCCTAAACTGGGAGCCTCGCCGGAAGCGGATATTCCAAAGAGCCTGCCCACTGGACGGTGACAGCCATTCGATTTTGAAAGAGACTTGGCATGGCATATTGGGTTGGGCAACATTTTGTTGCAGAAGGCTTCTATTCAATGAGGGAAACGAGGACAAGTTACCGGAGATGTCCGTTAAGGGCAAGAAATGACAATAACGTCGGGAAAATATATAGATGATAGAGGCATAAAGAAGAAAGAGGGTAGAAAGAAACAGAAGAATAGAGGACAATGACAAGACAAACGATAATAACACAAAGAATGCGAGAATAGGGGTGCTGTAATTGGAATATGAGAGAAAGAAAAAGAACAAGAGTATGTAGTACAAAGCGAATTGATTGCATCGGCTTGATGCAGGCTAGTAGTGTAGAAAACCATGCCCCAGACACGTTTGTTTTACGGATTGTCCCTTATCACATTGATGCATCCGTTTCGTTGAGATGAGGTTCCGGTGGACACGGCCGCTGACGAGAACTCGGTACCGTTGGTAAACCTGTCTCAGCACTAGCATATCAGACTGAGCTATTGGCAAGGTGGCTGAGATGCATGATGCATACGACGTTGGAGAGAATGGTGATTGTGACGAAAACAGTCGGTCGTGACGTGACATTGCCCAGATGGGCAAGTGACAGGTCCACGGCTCTTTCCCTCTTCTTCTTCTTCTCGCACGGTCACACGTGCAATCAGCAGGATGAGGTCAGCAAGCCATCCGCTACATGGGATATGAATCTAGTTGGCAAGTATAAAGAGCGATGATAATTCAGTCGGCTCCATCTGTTTGACGCCTCTCCTATCCCGACCGGTCTGTCGAAAAAGGATACGATACGCTAGACGTCCTGATGAACGGCCTCAACACGACAGCAGCCATCGCTGACGGCAAAGCAGGCCCTCTGGGCTGGCCGGGCTGGCCGGGCTGGATCGGTCCTCTCGTGGCCGTGGTGGCCGGCTACGTGGTGCTCTGTTCCTGTGTGCGCTTCCGCTTCGAGAAGGCGATGCAGCGCCGCTTTGGCTACACGGACCGGGCGTCGCTCGCGCGCATGACCAACGACGACGCGCAGGCGATTCTGCAGTACATCATCCAGCGCGAGTTCCCGCAGATGTACAACCTGTCGCTGCAGTTTGGCATCTTCAAGACGTACGGCTTCGCGACGGTGTCGAAGCTGTTGGTGGCGACGCGGGCGCTGACCGATCCGCAGATGGCAGGCAAGAGGTGAGCCTGCCGGCTGAGAAGGCCAGAGAGGCAGCACACGCTGACAGCACCAGGTACGAGGACACGGTCGTGATCTTCAGCGAGTTCTCGCTGAACCCGCCCACGTCGGACCGCTGCCTGCAGGCGCTCGCCCGCATGAACTACCTGCACGAGCGATACCGGGCGGCGGGCCAGATCGACAACGCCGACCTGCTGTACACGCTCGCGGCCTGCGTGACGGAGCCGATCCGGTTCCTGCGCCTGTACGAGTGGCGGCCGCTCAACGCGATGGAGCGCTGTGCTCTCGGCGTGTTCTGGAAGTCGATCGGCGACGCCATGGGCATCGGATACGACGGGCACCTGGCTCGAGGGGCATCCGGCGACTGGCGCGACGGGCTGGCCTTTGTCGACGACCTGACGGCCTGGGCAGCCGAGCACGAACGCGCGCACATGCGTCCAGACGTCGCCAACACGGTCACGTCGCGTCGCCTCGTCGACATGTTGCTGCACCAGGTCCCGCAGCCGCTGCGACCGCTCGCCGTCGAGGCCCTGACCGTGCTGATGGGCCAGCGCATGCGCGAGGCGTTTCTGTATCCAGAGCCCGGCATCGTGGCGGCGACAGCAACTTACGGCGCGCTCATGGCACGGCGCTTCGTCCTCCGGTATCTGGCGCTACCGCGGTTCGCGCCCGTGACGCCGCTCTCGGCGGCCGATCCGACCACCGGACGCATGCACCTCCAGGGCGGCGCCTATCTGGTCGAGCCGTGGTACCAGCGGCCGACGCGATGGGCGCGTTGGGGCCCGGCAGCACTGCTCAGACGACTCCTCGGCGGACTCGTGCCGGCTGACAACGACCGCTGGATGGCCGGCGGCTATCGCTTCGAGGACATTGGGCCGCAGAACCGGATGGGCCAGGGCGTGGCCGAGGCGGCAGCAGAAGTGGACCGGCTGCGGCAGAAGCGGCCATCCGGCTGTCCGTTTGCGTGAATTGGAGAGCGGTGCAAAACAGGGAAAAGAACAGGAAGTGAGTTGCCGCGTTCGTAAAGCAGACAGATCAGTTTGTATGTGATTGCTCTTGGTTACACTGTCTATTGGAAAGGCTTGTTAATTTTCTACGTCGTATAGTAATTGAACCATTTCCTACTCCGTACTCCATAGCTCCTTCTATTTTCCAGATTCTCTTGTATTTATCCTGCATAATTTCCCTTCTTTCTCTCCTCTTTGCAGATCCTGATCGACAGCTCTGTCAGGCACTTGCCCGCTGTAGTTTAGCAGTCCCGTCGCCCCGCCAGAGCCTCTCGTTCACGCCCCACTTTTTACCTCCCCGCCCTTTCCTTTATCTGAGCAGCCAAGCGAGCGGACGAGGGACTTCTCATCTGCCCTCCATTCTCTTCCCGCCCCAATCCACGACTGTTTTCCGTCTGGCTCTGCGACAGCACGACAACTCTCTGCACGTCTCCTACCACGTCTCGAACAGGATCACTGTCCGGCTTGCCTGCTGCGACGTTCAGGCTTGACCGACCAACCCCTCCGACCGAGTGGCCTTATCTCGACAGCTTCCCAAACCAGTCGCCTTCCCTAGCTCTTGTTCCTGTCAGCTGCAGCTCCCGGACTCCTGTCTCTCCACCATCCACCATGCCGGACAGCTCGGCCACCGGGCCGCCCACGACGTCGGCCCCGATCTTTGGCATCGACATGCGCGGCGAGGTCAAGAAGCCCAAGAAGCGCAAGGTCCTGCTGATGGGCAAGAGCGGGTCGGGCAAGTCGAGCATGCGGTCCATCATCTTCAGCAGCTATCTGGCCCGGGACACGCGGCGACTGTGCGTGCTACCTCCTGTTTATTTCCCTGTCGCTGTTGCGTGCTAACGTGCGTCCAGTGGTGCCACCATCGACATTGACCTCTCACAGGTCAAGTTTCTCGGCAACCTGACGCTCAACCTGTGGGACTGCGGCGGCCAGGAGGCGTTCACGGAAAACTACCTGTCGCAGCAGCGGCAGCACGTGTTCAGCAACGTCGGCGTGCTCATCTACGTGTTTGACATTGAGTCGCGCGACGTCGAGCGCGACCTGGCCACGTACGGCTCCGTCATCACGGCCCTGACGCAGTACTCGTCGGGCGCCAAGGTGTTTGTGCTGATCCACAAGATGGACCTCGTCGTGGCGTCGTCGCGCGAGGCCGTCTTTGAGGAGCGCGTGCGGTTGGTCCGCCAGAAGACGGGCGAGTATCTGCGCAACGTGGCCGATAGCAGCAGCAGCAACAACAACGGCAACGGTCCCGGAGCAGACGGCTCCAACGGCGATGGCGACGCGGCAGCCGACCTGCGACTGACACCGTTTGCCACCAGCATCTGGGACCAGTCGCTCTACAAGGCGTGGGCCAGCATCATCCACGACCTGGTGCCGAATCTGGCGCTGATCGAGACAAATCTCGGTCACCTTGGCCGCCTGGTCGAGGCTGAGGAGATGCTCCTCTTCGAGCGCACCTCCTTCCTCGTCGTCTCGCACTGGAATAGCGACGAGGGCGCGCGCAACCCGTGCGAAGACCGCTTCGAGCGCATGAGCAACATCCTCAAGAGCTTCAAGAGCTCACTTGCCCGCTATACCGGCACGCCGCGCAACGCCGAGCAGTTCAACCTGTTTGAGCTCCGCTTCGGCCTGCGCTGCAATCTCTTCATCGGCAAGTTCACCACCAACACGTACATCCTTGTCGTCCTGCCGCCCGGCGAGGCTCGCTTCAACGCTGCCCTGCTCAACACCCAAATCGCCGCCAAGCAGTTTGAGTTCCTCGACGTCCCCGCCGGCCTCACAAAGGACTACAGCCAGACACAGCAGCAACAACAGCAACAGCAGCAACAACAACAACAACAACAACTGCAGCATCGTCCACACCACGGCCAACATCACAGCCAGCACCACGGAGATCCCGCGCTGGGCTCATCCGTCTATGCCTGAAAGACGACGGGACAGAACTCTGTCAAGAATGAGATACCCCCTTGAGGCGGACAGAAAACAGACCGGAAAATCCGAGCGAATGGTCATTTGGCGTCTGGTGCGTGCGGAAATCCTTTTAAATAGCAGAGGCGTACTTGGGAAGACAAGAGAGAAAACCGCAAGTCATGAAACGAAATGGAATGAAACGAATCCGCATGGACGGATGGATGAGTCAGCTGGAATCCACGCTGTCAACAGGGCCCCAGCAACCGTGTGTCTTAATAAAATACAATTTCAACAGACCGAACAGAACGGTGTATTCGCCGCCATAACGTGATTTCCTACTACACCCATTTCACCATGGCCGCGCCGCCGCGCTTGAACTCGGCCGTCTCGCCCAGCACGAGGCTCCGGTCCGTGTGTTCCATGCTTGGGAACGTGGCCAGCACCCAGGACCGCCCGGCCGTCTGCGCTGCCGGCAGTGCCCGCTCCACAAACGCGTACACGTCTCCGATCGTCTGTGTCGTGTTGAACCGCGCCGGCAGCCGCGTGCCGTCCGGCAAGGCCACGCGGATCATCACTGTTGGCTGTGACGCGTCGGCAGCCGGAGCAGCCGTGCTCGACTGAGCCGTCGTGGTCGTGGCCGTGGTTGTGGTCGTCGCGATGGTGGCCGTGCTGATCGGTGCAGAAGCCGCTCCCGGTACGGGGCTGCCCAGCCGCCGACCCTCGCCGGAAAAGGGCCGGTAGACGCGGGGCGGTTGGTGCCACTTCTCCTCGTGCTGATGCAGCTTCACATCGACGGGCTGGCCGAGCTGGACGTTCATGAGGTGCAGCGGCGCCCGGCCCTGGCGGATCATCTGCAGATCGGCCGCGTTGGCCGGGTCATCAAACCGGTGCAGCGGTCCGTCGTCGATGCTGAAGCCGTCCTGCCAGATGTGCAGCATGCGTTCCTGGACCGCTTCGCCGGCACCGGCGCCGGAAGGAGACGCCGACCCTGCTGCTGCTGCTGCTGCTGCGACGGCCGCTGTGGCCGACCGTCCGGACGAGTCTGGTACCGACCGGGACTCTTGCCCTTCGCCGCCCAGTGTCTGTCCAGAGCCCCAAGACCGCGAGGACGACGCTTCGGCCGGCCCGTCGGCTGTATTGTGCGCCGTTCTCGGCGTGTTTCTGCCGCGAGCGTCAGCCGGAGACGCTGACCAAACAAAAGTAAAAACAGATCAGACCGAGACGGAAAACTCACGCTTTGGCCTTGGCCAGAATGTCGCGGATCATTTTCTGGGCATCGTTCGCATGGCCACCCGCATTCGGGTCCTGCACGGCCAGACCCGACTTCTCGCCGCCGGCAAACAGGTCGCCCCGCCCGGTCGTCTCGTCTTCCTCGTCTTCTTCCTCGTCCTCATCCTCGTGGTCGTGGCCGCTTCCCCCTCCCTTGAGCGAGCTCAACGTCATGACGCCCTTTTTCTTTTGCGCTCTCTTCGTCGACGCTTTGGACGACTGGCTGCTGCTGCCGCCGCCCGGCATGATAGACGACGGCGCCGGCCGACCATCCAACGTCCGCGGTCCGGTGTATGCTGGCTCGGCTGGTGCAGGTGCCGCAGGTGTCGCGCTGGGCTCGTTCTGTCCCTCTTCAGCCTCCAGTCTCTGGAAGAAGGCTGCTACGGCCACGTTGTTGTCCCAGTCGGCTGCTGCGAGGTGATGAGCGGCCTGAGACAGAGAGACGAATTAGCTGCCTGGAGCTGTCCGGCGACGAGTTAGCTGCCAGAAACACAAAACGTCTCACCTCCTGGGGCGAAACGCCTGTGATGCTACAGAATTCGCTGATGCGCTCATCATGGGAGGTCATGTTGACCGGCTGGAGCGATAGACGATGCTGTGCTTCGACTATGGAAAGAGCAAGTAACAAGGCCAACTGTTGGGTGAGCGCAAACAATGACGGCAGATTGTCCTCAGAGAGCAGAAACTTTGGCGCCGTTATTACTGCAACTCGCCTTCAAGCTTACTAGGCAGCTTTGGAGGCGACGTCAAGCTTGGTGGACAGAGAGGGGTGTACCCGGCGAAAAGATCGGCCGGCGCCGACTAGCCGGACCCTTTTGTGAGAAATGCGCTAGAAAGGAGCGCGGCAACAGCCTGAGAGGCCTAACGCACAGCGCCGCTACGATGCGGTCGATCGAGCTGGACTTTCGAACCATACGTCCTTTTTTCTCCACTTCCACCCTTTCGAGGACTGCCGGCCACTGTTGCTGCGAGAAAGAAGCCGAATCTGAGCGGGAACATACGGCGCAAGACGTCCACGCTTATTGCACCCCGCAGACATGGCCTCAGAGGAAGCCGTCAACCCGATGGCCGAGTCCGGCGTGACCATGCACTCGGACAGCGAGCAGTACTCGGGAGCCGAAGAGCTGTCTGCGTCGCTGGAGTCGTCGCACTCGCCTGTCATCCTCTACCAGCCGCCCACGGTCTGGTCGCTGTTCCGCGGCGCCGCCATCAACCTCTTCCTGCCGTTTGTCAACGGTCTCATGATGGGCTTCGGCGAGCTGTTTGCCCACGAGTTTGCCTTCCGGCTCGGCTGGAGTGGAACCCGCGTGCGTTCTTTTCCAGACGTCTTTCTTCCCTCGGCCACCTCGTCCGCTAACTCTCCCGCAGGTGTTTCCCTTGTCCAGACGGACGGCCTATCCGGCCGGCCCGGGCATCGAGGTGAGGCAAAAGCGGGCATGAGGCCGACCTCGATTGGCCTGGCAGGATTCAAGCGCGGCAGCAGCGGCAGAATGGATCTAGGAAGCATGGGCAACAACACGCGGGACAAGGAGCCGGGGAACCTTTGCAAAATGTTTCTCGTTTTTTCTTCTCTCTCTTCTCTCGTTGCCCCAGTTCGCCGTGTTTCTGCATCTCACGATCAATAGCAGGCATCATGAGGATACATGTATCATAGACTTGGCTGGGCGCATCATGAACGAATGAACAAAGACGACCTGTATAAACGGGAAAAGCGTTTGGTTGCTGTGATTGGCAGAAAGCGCCAGTTTCGGCCTTTGCCGGGCCGTTGCCAGGTGCCAAGAGCCAGCCAGCACCACCGATCCCCGCAAAAAAAGTTCGTCGCTCTCGTCCTGCGTTGTAGACGTGGATCGCTCGACCATTCTCTTTTTTTCCTGTCCGCACCGGTCGTCTGGATTCCCGTCCACGCCACCGAAACTGGGCAATTGGCCATACCCGCGTGCCCGCACAGTCACCCTCCCACGATGCTCCCCAGCAGAGGTGTGATCCGGTCGGGCCAAGCCATGCGGCTTCGGCAGATGGTACGAGCTGCACGGATCTGGCCTCTCGCCCGATGACCCTGTCCTGTTGACCCTGCTGACCCCCCTCGTGTTGGCAGGCCACGCAGCAGTCCCGCGCCGGATGCGCACGAAACTTTGCCACGGCGCTGAGAAAGCCCGGCGGTCTCGGCCGGCCGGCCATGTCGATCGCACAGCTCTCTGGACGGAGGATTGGCCTCGTCAACGGAGCTCCGACTACGCTTCCCTCGTCCATGGCCGCCTTCTCTCTGTTTCCGTGGCGGTCCAAGAATGCGTCCGCAGAAGTGCTGCCAGAAGGAGCAGTGCCAGAAGCGGCAGTATCGCCACAATCCACGGCTACAGCATCCACTGCCTCCACACCATCTACACCATCCGCACCATCCACGCCAATCACCCCCTCTGATGCCGTCCAGCCAGACACCCTTGCGGCTGCCGACCCGACGACGACGGCCGCCTCCGTCTCGGACCTGCTCGACGGCGGCGCACTCCTGGACATGCCCGAGCAGATCGGCTACCTGCACGCGATGGGACTCGACTTCGGCTGGGGCCCCTCGAGCATGTGCATGTGGCTGCTCGAACACGTGCACGTCTACACTGGCCTGCCGTGGTGGGCGTCGATCGGCCTGACCGTGCTGCTGTTCCGCAGCGCCATCTTCTTTCCGTCCCTGACGGCGGCCGAGCAGAGCGCCCGCTTCCAGAAGCTCCGAGCCGACCCCAAGTATGCGGCCGCCATGACGGAGATGCAGCAGTCGGCTATGCGTGGCGGTCAGCTGGCCCAGGGTCGTGCCATGGAGCTGCGCATGACCACGAAGCGCATGCAGGCGGCTGCTGGCGTGTCCACCTGGAAGATGTTCATCCCCATGATCAACGTGCCCTTTGGCTACGGCATGTTCCGACTGCTGCGCTCCATGGCCCTGCTACCGGTTCCTGCTCTCGAGACCGACGGACTGCTCTGGTTCCAGGACCTGACCGTGCCCGATCCCTTCTTCGTCCTGCCCATCGCCTCCGCCACCATCATGTACCTGATCTTCCGTGTGAGCATTTCCCCCTCCTTTGCTACCCCTTTTCTCCACCACTAACATCCCAGAACAATATCAAATACATGGCCCCTGAACAGGCTCAGCTCATGAAGATGATGCAGATCGTCATCACGCCCGTCAGCATCCTCGTCACCGTCAAGATGAGTGCCGGCCTGACCCTCTTCTTCTTCCTCTCGTCCGTCCTGCAGATGGTTCAGACCTGGCTGTGGCACCAGCCTTGGCTGCGTACCTGGAAGGGCCTGCCACCACTGCACACTCTCATCCAGACTCCTGGCGTCGCCAAGCCTGCCGCCTCCTCCACCACTCTCCGCCTCTCGCCCGCATCCACCTGGCAGGCTCCACGCGCCATTAGCACTTCTGCTACCGTCACTGCTTCTGGCTCCGAGGCTGCCAAGCCGGCTGGCCCACCTTCCACCGTCGACGTCGTCAAGAAGGGCTGGAACAAGATGATGGGCACGGCCAAGGACAAGCAGGGCGCTTCCAAGGACAAGCAGACCTTTAAGGCTGCCCTCGAATACGAGAAGAAGCGCGCTGCCGAGGAGGAGGAGAGCCTCTACCGCCGCCGCGAGGCCGAGCGGCAGTACCGCGAGATGAAAAAGGCCATGGCTCGAGGGACCGCCGACAAGAAGCCCTGAGCGGAACGGAGCGGGATGGAACGGATCACCTTCGCCGACTGTAACACTATAATGCAGAGATTTCCAATGTACAAACGTGACACAAAACGGGCGACGGAATGGCTGGTTTTCATTTTGCCACCACTCAGGAGAGCCGTGGAATGATTTGCGAAACAGGTGCAGACCTTTTGCTGCACCGAGCAAGTGAAAATACAGACATCTTCTCTCGACACAGAATAGAACAAATGCCCATATATACAACATACAGGCCAGAAACACAGTGGCGGCACCGAAGGTGCGGAAAGTGAGGAAAGTTGGTTAAATAAAACAACATGGACAGAATTCGAGGAGATTGTCCTCTTTTACAACATGCAGACCCAAAGATGCGAAACACATGTATATACACCTGCTCTCTTTTTCGGCATGCAAAGCCGCCAGGACGCGCCATCGAGACGCAGAAACGGTAAAAATACGCCCTAAAACACGGTGCCATCAGAATCGATCAAGATCGGTGGCTCTTTCGTGTTTGGCCGTGACATCTCGGCCATCTCACGTCCACCCTGGTCATGTTAGCATAAAGGCGCTCCGTGTTGCACGAAAACAAAGAACAGAGACGGCTTACCTTCCAACTTCCTGCTTCCAGAAGCTGTGCCAGGCTCAGCTCGGAGCCCTGCAGCTCTGTCCGCAACGTTCGGTTCACCTCCTTGCACAGCCGGTCCAGAAACCCAACCGTCACGGCCCGCCATTCCACCACCACGTCGTCGCCTGTGCAGAACATCGGCGCCACCTCAATGCCGCTGTGGCCCGTTCGCTCGCAGAACTCCCGATAATGTGCCAGTCCCCGCTCCATGTCGTCTGGCTTTAGGTTTAGCACGCCCAGGTCGACAAAGAGACCGCCGTTGCGGTATTCCGGCAAGCCCGTCAGCAGCTCGGCCCCGGCGAAGTGGATCTTGAGCAGCGTCTGCATCGGCTGCATCAGCGAGTATGTCAGCCACTGCGTCAGCTTGTGGAACGGCACAATCGACTCCCATGCCGCAACTCGGTTGGGCGATTTGGACGACGCCGAGTTGGATGACCCTGACGTTGGGAAGGGCGAGAATGTGGGCGTGGATGGTGTTCTTGACGACAGCGACCCTGGCGGCGAGCCGTGCGACTCTGCTGCTCCCGACTTTGCCTGTGGCATGCTGCTGCACGGCCATGCATCGCCCAGGGAGATCCCGTTGATGGCTGTCCGCGACTCCGGCCAGATCGGCTCCAGGCTGTCCATAAGCAGAGTCCACAGGACGTTTACCGATACGATTGGCTTGGATGATGCCTGCGTCGTCGGGTGTGCGAGCAGGTAGTCGACTATCCGCCCAGGACGGCCGTCCGACCCGAATACCTCGGGGCTGGCGGCGAGCGCGTCACCTAGACGCATCAAGAGGCCAGCACGGCCTTCCATGCCGGCCATCTCGTTGCCGCTGTGCGATTGCAAGCCTTTGGCGAGAATGTCGACGGTCAGCGTCTGCAGGCCATCCTTGTCCACCTGGGTCTTGTTTTGCGGGTTGCCGGAGAAGAGGCCGGTCTTGAACATCTCCAGGCTGGCAATGGCAATGCCCTCGGACCGGCGGTACACCCGGCGGTTTTCCACGCTCGTATACTTCCACTGCGTGCCGGCGCCGGCATCCAGCAGCACGCTGACCAAGAAGAGGTCGATGAGTCGGCGGCAACGTTCGGTGCTGTCGACAGAATCGTTGGGCCACGTGGCGAGGAGGAGGGCAATGCGGTCACGGCCGCCCACAGCAAAGTGCTGGTAACGTCCGTGAGGCGGAATAGACGGGGTAAATGGCGCGTCGTAGTCACGCTTGATGATCTGGGCCACAAAAGTGACAACATCGCTGAACTTGGACATGTCCACGTCAAAATGCGTGAGCTCATCGCGCAGAGCCTTGTCGGTGATGATGCGAGACCGTTCCCGCACGGCCGGCAGGCTGCGCAGATAGCCGGCCGGGTCCAGCGCGGGATCCGGGCCACGGGGAAGATCAGCTTTGGACATACGGACGGGCGAGAACTGTGTGATGGGAGTGCCTGGTCCAGAAGCGGAGGTAGAGATGGTGTTCATTGTGCCTGCGGACGAACGATTCACTGCACGACCGCCAGATACTCCATGGTGGTGAGACGGCTGAGTCGGGAGGTGTGTGGAGGATGCTGAAGAGAGCGGTGACTTAAGGCTTGCCGAACCGCCCGAGTTGATAGAGCCACTGGAATGGGACGTGGTCAGGGGCGGGGCAGGACCTGAAGCCGTCTTCGGCGGCCGGTCCCGTTCCTTTCTCGAAAAGATGCCCATTGGGAGGTGAGGAGTGGATGATGGTGGAGATGGGCGACAGGAAGAGAAGGAAGGCCGCCGATCAGTCGGCGAGGGTCGCACGAATAGAAATAGCGTTGCTGAAAATAGGGGCTAGCCTAGCAGGAGCTAGAAGAATGTCGTCTGATTCCTTGTGATGCGAACCCGTCAAGGGGAGGGTGACGTTCTTCAGACGTCGTGGGCAGGTCAAAGACAAGGAGATCCGCGTTCTATAAGCAGGGTATGGGTATGCAGAACCAGCAGCGGCTTGATGGGGGGGGGGGAAAGAAAAAAAATAGAGCAGAGCGAAAAAAAAGCAGCGAAGCCTAATGCAGGTCGGATATGGCTCGACGGGGTCACAGGACAGACCATCGGCCGATGAATATCTGGAGAACTGGAAAAAAGGAACAGGGAACGTGGAGAAAATAAACGGCGCTGGCTCTCGTTGACAGTGGCGAGACGGACGCGGGCTGCCAGGTCAGACGGTGGCTGGGCGAACTGGGTGAGCTGGGTGAACCGTGGAGGCAGTGGTCGATGGCGCTTTGGGCCGAAGTGGCATCACCGAGAGACCGCTGGAAGGGTGCAGGAACAGGTGGACCGTGACCGTGACGGTAGCGAGTACGAGGCAGGAAGGAAGCAAGGACGTAGTGGTCTTGGCCGAAGAGGAAAGAGTGAGGGAGTGGCAGGTGTGCAAGAGGAAGGAACCACCGAAGAAATAAAATCAAGGAAAGACTGCTTAAGTCGATTCGAGCAGATAGGATAGCACCACCGCGGCTCTCTCTCCTGCTCACGGGAGACAATCGAGGGGAAATTGAGAAAGGGGAGACGGAACAGCGAAGTTTTTTCAAGAAGAGCGACGGGAGTCGCCTCCGTCCCTCCGTCTTCTCCTACTTGTACGGAGTACGAGTACGAGCAAGACGTGCGTGCACAAGGCAATGCAGGAGGGCAGACAAAATAACAGGGGACGACCCAATAGTCCACGGCTTTCTGGACTATCAATGCATATCGACGGCGACGGCAAGGCGCCAGAGCCTGCGAACAGACCGAGGTACGAATCCGGCCTCCGTCGACAAGCCCTATTTCGTCAGAAAGCGAGAAAACACGAGGAAAAAAAAGAAAAAAAAAGAAAAAAAAAAAAGAGAAGGGTAAGAAAGCATTCGGCCGGGGAGCTCTGGTCCCTTGTGCAGACCGAAAGAGGGGCTCCTGTCTCGCGAGAAGGGGGGAGGGAGGTGTGACATCGTGCTGAAGAATCGGGCAGTCGCATGGGCACGGGCCCCTGTCGGGGCAGCCAGCCAATGAAACGCTATGCAAGGTACCAGGGACTGCGAAGTGAAGGACGGCCTACTATGTAACGACTCGGCAGCGGCTTTCTCGACTTTTTTTTGGCGCAAAAGTGGCAGACAGGCTCAGCCGAGACCAGTCGGACAGGCACGCCAGAGGCCCAGTTTCCCCCCACTTGGGGCCGGCGGGGAGATCAACACGAACGAATGCAGAATGCTCCGTGCTCTCCTTTTCCCGAGCCACTCACTCGTATTATTGCCCGCCCAGGGCCGGACAGAAAGAAACATCTTACGTTTTACGGAGCAAGGCCGGCGGATCACACAATTTCGCATGGATGGTCAGGACAGGACGAGCCCGTCTTGCTGGGCAAGGGTCCTCTGGCCCACCGGCCTTTGCCCCAAAAGGACCATCAGGATGACCAAAAGGAGCCCGGACAGACACATCAAACCCAATGCGCCGGACTGGCGACTGAGGCCGGCAGGCCCTGTTCCAAGAGTCCAGAGTCACCCTTGCACCATCCACACACCCACGCAAAAGGTCCAAAACGGCACATACGGAGTAGTCCGCGCATGGGCCGTCCTAGTCCCTGAGAGGCAGGTTCTATCTTACTGGTTAGATACGGATACGGAATCCATATGGAGTAAGGCCACGCACAACCGTTTGGCCGTTTTACGGACTATCTCCCTTCTCACAGGCTTTACGTGCCATCCGGGCTCCGGCCACCACGTTTTTGCCTGCGCGCCTTCTGCCAGGGTCGCACCGAACGATACCGACCGATCCGCCTTCCGTCTACGTCGTATGGAATGTTGTCTAGCCGACCCCCTCTACCACTCTCCCCCTGCGTCCTCCCTGTCTCGGAAAGGCGCGAACACAGCCGGTGCAGGGCCTGACAGGAATCATGTACTCCGTATTGTTCCACTTGCACGATGGCAGGGCAAAACAAGGCTTCCCGGTGCCGCGAAAGAGGTCGTTACAGGACGAAGATGTCATTCTGATATGTCCGCATTGCTCGTTCTGCAACTGCCGGAAGCGTCAGCCATTCTGCTATCATGATCGCATGCGCCGCCAAAACAGGCCAGTCTTACCAATACAAAAACGCCCCCTTTTCCTCCCACACTGCTTTCGACCTTCGCTTATTGCTGGGCCCCAGCCCGAATCCTTGAGCCCACTCGTTATCTCGACTGCCGCATCTCGGACCCCGTCCACCTGCGCCGACTCTCACGACAGGATATCGGCCACGTTCATGGGCATTTCGTCGATCTGCGTGGAATAGTACACTGCAAGCGTTAGTGGTCGCGATCCGCCCGATCAGAACAGGCATGGAACTTACGCTCAATGTCACGGAGGATCCGCACATCCTCGTTGGTGACGAAATTGATGGCAACACCCTTCCGGCCAAAACGGCCGGACCGTCCGATGCGGTGGATATAGTTCTCCCGGTTGCTAGGAAGGTCGTAGTTGATCACCAGGCTGACCTGCTGCACGTCAATGCCTCGTGCCCACACGTCGGTGGAGATGAGCACGCGCGTGTTGAACTGACGGAAGTCCTGCATGATGCTGTCCCGCTCCTTCTGCGGCATGTCGCCGTGCATGCTGCTGACGGTGAAGTTGGACTCGCGCATCTTGTCGGTCAGCCAGTCGACCTTGCGCCGTGTGTTGCAGAAGATGACGGCCTGCGTGATGGTGAGCGTGTCGTACAGGTCGCAGAGCGTGTCGAATTTCCATTCCTCCTTTTCCACCGCGATAAAGTACTGTTTGAGCCCCTCGAGCGTCAGCTCGTCACGCTTGACAAGGATGCGCACCGGGTCCGTCATGAACTTGTACGTCATCTCGAGCACGTCCTGTGGCAGCGTTGCCGACACCACCACCACCTGTGTGGCCGGCGGTAGGTAGCGGTACACCTCGTAGATCTGCTCGCGGAAGCCCTGGTTGAGCAGCTCGTCCGCCTCGTCGAGCACCAGCATCTTGATGTTGCGCGTGCGCAGATGTCGCCGTCGAATCATGTCTGCTACGCGTCCGGGCGTGCCCGACACAATGTGCTGGCCCTGGTCCAGTTTCCGGATGTCCTCGCCCACATTCGTGCCGCCAATGCAGGCGTGACACTGCACGTTCATGTAGTCGCCGAGTGCCTTGACCACGCTCTGGATCTGTGTTGCCAGCTCGCGCGTCGGCGATAGCACCAGCGCCTGTGTTTCACGCGATGCCGTGTTGATAACCTGCAGCATGCTGATCGAGAAGGTGGCCGTCTTGCCTGTGCCCGACTGGGCCTGTGCAATCGTGTCGCGACCCTTGCATACCTGCACGATGGCGCGGGACTGCACGGCCGAAGGTGTCTCGTAGCCGTAGGCGTAGATGCCACGCAAAAGGTTCTCTGCCGGGGTGCGTGTTAGAGCGAGTGTATACGCGAAGAAACGAGATCCAAAAGACCTCGCGGGCCGCCTGGCGGTTCTTACCCTTTAGTGACATGGACTCGAACGTGGGAAACACCTTCACCTCCTTCGACGTCGTCAGGTCGACACGGTCGTCCAGCTTGCCCTTGCCATTGCTTCCACTTGCTTCGGCCATATCTGCGGTTTGTCGAACACGCACGAGCTGAAATCGGCAGCTGTATCGAAGACGAATGAGAGGAATATGAGCAGACTGGTCCAGCTGCTCGGCTTGGTGGCGTCGATAACGGGGAGATGAAAGCGTTGAAGCTGGAGAGGCGAAAAAAATAAAGAATCAGAAGGCTGCCATCGCCTTGCGCCGGATGTATAATGTTCCGGGCCCACTTCTTCCAGCCAAAAATCGGATGGCCGAGCTGCATCATCCACAAGCACGGTCAGGCAGGAAGAAGACGACGACAAACAGCGGCCACGATGATTCTCGAAGAGATCCGGTACATTCTCGAGGATCTCGAGCGGCTGGAGCAGGCGATTGTGGACCGGCTGGTCGACGAGCCGGCGCAGATCCGCGATCGCCTCAACCGGCAGCATGAGGTGGCCCAGCTGCTCGACCACATGCAGAAGCAATCGAGCGAGGCGCTGCAGCTGTACGGCAGCGCCCAGGGCGAGCGTGCTGAGGAGGTGCGTCTGGTCGGCGACTCGGGCGACCCGATGGACCTCTTCTACCGGCAGTGCGAGGACACGCTGGCCTACCACGCACGCTATCCCAACGAACCGATCGACCAGCCGGAGCTTCGATACCGGCCCAAGCGGCCGGCCGACCTGTCCGAGCTGCAGCCGACGCTCGTCGACACCATGTTCTCGGGTGAGGAGGGCTTCGGCCGCTTCTTCGACCTCAATGCCAGCTACGAGCAGTTCATCAACCTGCCCAACGTCAAGCGCCTGACCTACCTGCAGTACCTCGAGGTCTTTGACCACTTTGCCCCAGGCGCGGCCAGCGGCATCAAGCGCGCCGACAAGCTAACCGAGGACTACCTCCGCTACGTCGGCGACCTGGCCGCCTACCTCGAGTCGTTTATGCGCAAGTCGCGCCCGCTCGAGAACCTCGACCGCGTCTTCGGCGGCTTCGACGACGACTTTGCCCGCCTCTGGGCCGGCGACGAGGTGCCCAACTGGAAGGCCGACACGACGGCCGAAAGTGCCGGCAGCAGCAGCAGTGACAGCCACCCGCCGCTGACCTCACCCGACGCCGTCTGGTGTGCCGACTGCGAGAAGGAGTTCAAGAACGAAAACGTCTACCGGGGCCATCTGTCTGGACGAAAGCACGTGCGCGCGGCCGAGCAGCGCGCCCAGAGGATGTCCAGCGGCACCGCCGGCGGAGACGGTGCCGGCGCCGGTGCCGAGGCACACCGGCTACGTGAGCGTGCCGTCGCCGAGCGCGAGTACCGCGTGCAGCGGCTCGTCGCCGCCATGAGCACCGAGAAGGACGACACGCGCACCAATGTCGAGCGGCGCCAGGGCATGACCGAACGCGAGCGGCAGCAGGAGCTCGAAAACCTCTACAGCATGACGTCACAGCCGTCACAGGAGATGGAGCTGGACGGCAACGAGGACGAGGACGGCGACGACAAGATGTACAACCCACTGGTGTGTTATGTTCCTGGTCGAGCTTGCTTGTTTGTTTGGGTGCTTTGACTAACATTTGTGTGCAGAAACTTCCGTTGGCTTGGGACGGCAAGCCGATTCCGTTCTGGCTGTACAGACTGCACGGCTTGGGCGTGGAGTTTGACTGCGAGATCTGCGGCCATTTTACCTATATGGGTACGTTCTGTTTCTCTCGCCTTGCACTCTTATCGCAATGGCAGTCGCTAACTCTTCTAGGCCGCCGCGCATTCGAGAAACACTTCAACGAGAGCCGGCACATCCATGGCCTTCGGTGTCTGGGCATCTCCAACCCGACCCTATTCCGGGATATCACTAGCATCGAGGAGGCTATGCGGCTGTGGGACAAGCTAGAGAAGGAGAAGAAGAAGACCAAGATTGACGACAGTTCCGTCGTCCAGATGGAAGATGCAGATGGACACGTCATGCCGGCAAAGGTGTACTACGACCTGCAGAAGCAGGGGTTGTTGTGATGTGGTAGCCTTTTTGTCACATAAAACCACTTTATAAAGCGAGTCAATTATACCCTTTAAAGAGCAGGTTGCAGGTGTTTGCTTTGTAGCAAGAATTTCTCAAGAACCCAGCCCAACCATCTCGCAGGAGAATCAACTTATGAATATCGTCCCCGTGTCGCACTCGCAACTGACAATCTGGTAATTATGTCTCTACTTAGGAGGACTGTCGTATAAGTGGAGAAGGAAGCCGGACTTCTTAATGTCGAACTGGGTGATTGCCTTTCCCTTTTGGTTGAACAATGTAGTCCCCGCCATGTGATTTCCCTTGCCGTAGAAGCGCACGCCCGAAAGAATATTCATGGGGACTGAAGGTACTAAGAAGACATTCGTTATCCCCAGCACGTGTTTTTTGCCGTCGGGTGCCATCAGCGGGAGTGCCACAGAGCCTGCGGTATTGGTGGCTACTGAGCTGCCGCAAGCGAGAATGCGCTTCTCTACTTGCCTCACTGTATTCGGCAAAAACCACTTGGTGCTGTTCACGATATGCTCATCTGCCGCTATGTTGAACAGCCAGCTGTCGTGTTGATGGCTGCAAATATCATGCTCGTTGAAGCAGATATTCACGGTGTCACTGATAGGCAAATCAGTCCTATCGGAGTCGTCTTGGTCCTTCTGGTCCTTCTGGTCCTTTTGATGGATGTTTGTGCTGTTAGTAGGCTCCATCACGCGGTCCTTGCATCTGGTAATGAGGAACAGCTTAACATCAGAGTAAACCTCATCGTCAGTCATGTGAGCCCAGTCGCCCTGCCATTTTTCAATCAAAACAGCGTCCAATGCCGGGATCTTCTTGCAAACGGCGCCCACCAAACACAGGGCCTTCTGCCTGTTGTTAAAGTCGCCGGCGTAGGTGTTGTAGCCACGGAAGACTTCCTCAAATCGTGCGAAACAGCCCATCATATTTTCGTCGTCTTGCCAGCAAAGTGAGTGTAGCTTTAGGCCATATTCGATGGCCAAATCCTCTTGAGGAGAGCGAAGCAGGCGCTCCAGCGCCTTGTATGTGACATGAACGTCAACACCCTGCACTTGCTCCAATAGATGAGGTCCAACTTGAAACTCCACGGCGTACTGAACTATTCTTCTGGCGTGAACTGGCATTTTGCTCACTTCCTCGAAATCCTTAATGTTCAGGAGAGTCATTCCCTTCTTCAACGCTTGATCCCACTGATCCCACTCTTCCCTTTGGTTGAGGGCTGGCACCAATGTATAACAGTGATTCACAAAAATGTTCAGACACAAATCCGACACGATCAGAGTTGCCATAGCTTCTCCAAAGATTGACTGATCGTCGGCAGATCGTTGTTGGTATTAGAAAGTATAATCAGATGGGACAGCTTCTGAAACATCGAAAGCTGTCAGAAATTGTTAGAAGAGTTCACTTGGGACCTTCCTAACTGGCTTTGATCGTAGTTGAGGAAATTTGTTTGTGTAAGTTCCGATTTGTGTATGAAGAATATAAACATGCTTCTGGGAAGCTGATTTCGTACGGAGTAGTACTTATAGGACCCACTTTCTGCCCAGACCACAGGGCTGCCTTGTTTGTTTGCCAGCCGTTGTATGTCTATTAGAAGAAATGTGCTTAGTCATCAAACATACTGTTGAGAGCAAGGCAGCCTAGCCGAACGTTCGCATCTCGGACCTCAGCATCATGGAATTAGCTGTCAATCAAGGGTGCCCAGATAAATGTGTGTATCTCTCCAGAGTCCCCACAACTAGTCGTCGATTGATCTGTCACGATTGATTCCAAAGCATCCCGAGCTTCAATGATTTTATTGGCTATTCGGCAGGCGTACAGATGTAAGATAAGTGATATGCTGATGCCTATTGGCCATAACTCGATCACACGATTTGACGGCCGTCTTATGCGTGCAGTCGGCATGATTTCCCAGTATTATATGCGCAAAAGCCGCACCCTTCAACACACGTTCAAGTATACTTTGCTGTAGATGACGAGGCAGCAGAGCAGATCTGCCAATCCGACACCAAACGAGCCGAAACCAAAATGCCTTCACCTGTCATTCCAAAGAAGCTTGAGCCCGGCGCAACCATTGCGTTTGTCTCTCCGTCAGCCCGGCTAAACGACGAGATGTCTGCCGTGATGATGCGCGCCACTGCCGTGCTTTCAGGGCGAGGCTATCGTGTCCGCGAGCTCTTCACGCCCGACACGGGGATCCAGTCCTCGATCGCCCTCCGGCTGGCAGAGCTGCGCACTGCCTTCTCCGACCCAGCCGTCGCTGCCATTATCTGCACCATTGGCGGACCAAGCTTCAACGAGCTGCTGCCCGCCCTCATTGCCGATACCGAGCTGCAGCGGACCATTCGCGCCCATCCCAAAATCGTCGTCGGGTATTCCGACATCACGGGACTGCACTGGTTCCTACACGCACTCACGGGACTCCGTACGTTCTATGGACCCGGTGCCATCCCTGAGCTGGGTGAGGCAAGCTCAGCCGACGACGACGCCTCGCCGCTGGCATTCTGCATCAAGCACCTTTTCCGTGCCATCACCGAGAGCCGACCCCTTGGCGATATCCCGCGGTCGCTCACGTACGCTCCCAAGGGCGATCCCAGCTGGCGGGATCCAGCATCGTCCATGCCGCCCGGACTCGCACCCACCACCGGCTGGAGCTGGCTCCGTGCTGGAAAGGGACAGGGCCGGCTCTTTGGCGGATGCATCACCGTCATGGCCCGCCTCGGAGGCGTGTGCGCTGTCGTGCCGGACTGGCGCGGACGCATCGTCTTTATGGAAACACAGATGGGCGATGACGAGACGTCAGGTATTCTGCTGCACCGAGTCCGCGCCGGGATTGCCGATCTCATTGCGCAGGGCGTGTTCGACGAGGCAAAAGGCTTGGTTGTGGGACGGCCCTTTGGATACGACACTGAACAGTTGCGGAAGGCTTATGCAGGTGTAATCAAGGGACTTTTGTGCGAGGGCCGGCTGGCCGAGAAGAAGTTCCCGATTCTGTTCAATGTCGATTTTGGCCACACGAAGCCGATGGTCACATTGCCGTATGATGTTCTGGCTGAATTGGATTCGGATAAAGACAGGTTTGCGATTTTGGAACCAGCCGTCATTTGATCAGAAGTCAGCGGTGCATCTTATCTGAAAGTCCATCGTCTGGTGCGAACGCGTAAAGGACGAACTGCTACGTTCGGCTCAGATTTTGATAGACAGATACTCTAGCCGTCATTGGACCAAACTGGAAATACTGGCTTTCAATGCTCCTTTTACTGTCACAAGACGACGCCGTCCGGATACCGTTCATAACAAATACGCCGACATCCTGTCTTGCTACTGCTATTTGGTACTGCTAAGATGTTGTGTTAGAAGGTCGATTGTAGGCATAAACCATTGTTGTCAAGACTTGCTAAGTATACGTATTTGATCTCTGCCAAGTAGCTGCTTTACAATTTTCACGAATGTATATTCGCAGTCAAAACATACTCCATGCCCATGTGTCACGTGCTACTACCGGATATCAACTTCACTGCTTTCTTTCCTCTCAGTTCGAAACTCTATACAGACAGCGCCTTGCCATTACTCTCCTGCAACACGGTTCGAATGCTTGTCAGATTGTCCCCATTTGCTTTTGTCTTCTCCACGATGCGCAAGTTCATACCATGGCCGCGATAACACAACGCCATCAAGACAACTCAGCCAACAAATCAGACAGCCTTTCATCTGATCGATGCTCCTTCGCCACAAACCAGATTGTCCAACATTTATAAAACAGGCCCGAGGGCTGTAGAATACAAGCAAACGAAGCAGAAAAGCACGCTCCCCAACGGCTCAAACCCCCTTCAAACTCCTTTCTTTGCGCGTCATTATGGCTTGATGAAGCGACCGTCACTTACCCCCAGCCTCACTCTCTTTCTCCGCAAATCCAGCCGATAGATTCGCCGCCACCGCCTTGGCCACACTTTCTGCTTTTCCGATGCCCCCCTTTTTGTCGTCACCAGTGCCGAACGTCTCTTGCTCTGCCTTGTCCACATCCATACGGTCCGCGCTATCGTCGTCTGCTCCTGACCGTCCATCTTCACCTCGGCCAAATAACTCTCGTGCTCGCCGAGAGCCTTCTGCATTCCGCAGCAGAAGTTCAAAAACCGATTCCTTATCCTTTTCCGGCAGCGCCTTGATGTCCGCCGTACCAAAGTCACCCCGCAAAAGCCGCTCCTTCAACACCGAGTCCTCGTGTGAAGATAGAAGCCTTGATATCTCGCCAGACTGCTCTGATGTCGGAGGCCCGCTGATGCTGCTATCAGCCTTCGAGTGCGTGCCGTATCCTCTGTCGAGCTGCATCGGGAAAGGTCCTGTTCGTCGGTCTCCATTGGAGGCACTGCTCAATACGCGTCCGTGCGAGTGGCTGTCAAAAGCAGCCGCAGCTGCATGGCTTGGGGACGACGTCGTTGCGTTGTTGCGCCGCAGTGTCGCCAGAGACGAGTTTTGTTCTTGCGACTGGGAAGGACTGCCGAGAGCCAATGGGCCAATCGGTCCAGACGCCCGGAAGGCTGTTGTGGTCGTATCTGCCGCGTTCAGCATCCTGCGGCGTGTGCTGTTTGCTCGCAACCTGACTCGTTCTGGCAGATCTTCCGGGTCATCCACCTGGAATTGCGCCATCATCTTTTGCAGCTTTGTCGGCCGCGGCTTGCGCGTGCTCTTCGACTCTTCAATCATCGGCGGTGCTTCTAGCGCAATGGGCACGCGTTTGTGGAGTGCCTGCCGGAAGAAGTTGGTCTCGTGGGTCAGGAGTATCTCGGCACCCTCAATCTTCCGCAGGTAGTACCGCAATATGTCCACGTCGATCTCCGACTCTCGAGCTGGATCCAGATACGGCTCGATCTTGTCGTGGAATTCCATCGCACCCTGTATGATGTCCTCGAGAATCTGCTCCTCCTCCGGTTGGAAAGGAAGATTAGGAATGTCGTTGAATAGGCTGATCAACGAGGCCAGATCCGGTCGAGCTGCATCGCGCGGGATTTTGAGCCGCCAGTCACATATCGGACAAGTGTACTTGTCGTCTTCCTTGACTTTACCCCGTGCAATCTTCAGACATTTCCCGTGGTACCTATCCTTGTTAGATCCAGTTCGGCGGCTGGGAATCGGGAGTCAGACTTACCATTCGTGGCACACCTCACATTCTATCATCATGCCGGCTTCAACACGGCGGCAAATGCAATACACGGTCCGGCTCCGAGAGTTCTTCTTCTGCGGCGACGTCGAGTCCGGACTGGGCTCCCGCGACGCCGGTTCTGTCGGCGTACGAGGCTTGTCGTAAACCGTGTCGAAACAGTCGTTGTTCCGGTCGAGCACATACTCCAAGTGCGACTTGAAGATATACAGAGGCGCATTTGTCTTGCCAAAGACTCGCTTTCCTTTGCGGATCCAATCTTCGTTGCGCTTCTGCTCTTTCTCCAGATCCAAGGTCCCTCCGGGTTTGGCCTGAAGCTCCTCGATCTTGGTCATGAGACTTACAACTTCTGAATATCGCGGCCGGTTACGGTATTCTGAGTCGTGCGATCGCGTGTTCAGGTCTGTGATCTGCCGCTGCGCGTCTCGAAGCTTGTGGAGCATCTGGTCGATTGCTACTAGCGTTGCCTCAGACACCGGTATTGTCCCGCTTGTTGCTTGCTTCGATAGAGCTTCCAGCTGCACGTAGTGCACCGACTCGGCGCCGAGAAGTTCTTTAGCCGTTCTTTCCCACTGCTTTCCTGCGACGGCGCGTTCGTCAAAGTACGTCATGAGGTCGTTGTAGGGCGATATCTCGAGTCGCTGGCCTTCTTCAACAAGCTTCAGGACGTCTTCCAATGTCATGTAAACGCCGCGGCTTGTCTCTGCTTTTTGCGTCCATTTCAGCTCATCGAGAAATCTTGTTAGATTTTCGACTTCGAGCACATCCACGTTAAAACTATGACCCTCATCCAGGAGCTTTTCGATCGTGTCCACAGTCTGGGAGGAAGCGTGTGACAACGCCCGGTGTGCGTCTTCTTGGAAGATCTTGATCGCGTCGGCTCGCTGTTGCAGGAGCAGAATCTCGGGGCAGTCAAACCCAATCTGGGATGCTTCGCTAAGCAGACGGTAGATGTTCGAGATGTTGCGAGAATCCCGTTCTTTGTCGTCCACCTCGGCGCTACTGCCGCTTATTGACTTGCGGGAACCACCTGGCCAGGTTTTCTCGTTCTTGCGGCGATTCTGCTGCTTGCGCACAATATATGTTGTGGCTTCCTCGACCCATTTGTTGCACCGATCGACAAATTCTCGCAGCATTGGCAATGAAGCCAGCTCGTACGGAATGCGCTCTCCCTCGTTAAGCAGTGCCCGCAAAGTCTTCAATGAGGGTGTTGCATCCTCATCCAGCAGCTTTTCGTACTTGTCCTCCCAGGCTTGAGGCTGCTGGGATTTTTCGGAAACCTTCTTGTAGATAGCCGACATCTCGTCCAGAGACTTCCGATAGGTCAGGATATGGGCCTCTCCGAAAAACCGGCTGGTCTCTCGCGCCTGGCAGCAATGATGGAAGCCGGCATGCTGCAAGCAGAGGACTTTGCCCGTCTTCACGCACTTGAACCGAGATAGGTATGTAAAGGCTTTACAGTGGGAACACTGGTATTCCTCTTCAGCAACCTTGGCATCATCGACCACAGACTCCAGTGGGCAGTTTGTCGCAAGGCTCTCCGTTTTTGCACTGTTCTCATTTTCGGCCAGGGGACAGCGGTGTGCCATCTCCTGATGCCTAGACATGAAGATATTTCGAGATGTCACTTCTCGATTGTATAATCGCTCAAACGCTGGTGCTAGCCATTTTGCGGTTTGGATTGTTAGCGGTCCAGTGCTAGCACTAGTCACTTCCTCGGCAGCAGTCCAGAGAAGCTCATCGTGAGAAAAGCATGGTTGACGGCGGAATTGCTGGAGTCTCTCTACCCCGGCGAGGCCATATGGTTCCCAATCACTTGGAGCAAAATTGACGGCCTCGTTGAAATTGAAGCCGTGATTGAAGCCTGCGTGATACGCTTGAGGGAATGTCACGACAAATTGTCCTGCACGTTGGTCTACGGCATAGACACGGACGCCAGCTTTTTTCAGCTTTTCTGGGGGAAGCAACGTGACAAGCTGAAACAGCAAGTCCGGCTGGGTCTCGAAAAGATCCGGCACGGCCTCCTTCATAGCAGCCTCAAACTTCTCAGCGTCTTCGCCGGGAATGCCGTACCAGGTCTTGGTCGCCCCAAAGTGCTGATAGTTGGCCGAGTACGCGTAGTGGTCTTCGTTGTGCCAGCAAAAGGTAGAGAATATCATGCCGACATAGACCCAGGGTACTGTCATGCCCGAGATGTCGGTTTTGATGTACCGGAACAGGCTTTCGGGATGCAGGGGAAGGAGGTTGAGATTCCAAGGATCAGTCGAATATGGGTCGTCGGGGTTCTTCTCGATGGTCGGGAAGCCGGAGCCGTGCGTGGTGCAGTGTATATCGGCGCCGTATTCCACTTCCACAGTCTCATCGATGCTAGACACAAGGCGCCAGAATTCCCGCTCGACATCGTCCTCCGTTACCGGGCGATGACAGTTGTTTGCCGAGTCGTACGGCATGTTCTTCTGGAAGTAGTTTTGCTTGAACTCCGAGGCCTTTTCCTGGAACTGCTTAAGAGAATATATGCCGCCATCCTCAAAGCCAAATTGGCCATCGCCGACAAGACACCTTGGACAGTTCCATTCCGATTCCGGTTTCGCAAGTATCGGAGGGTCTAGACATTTGCCGTGGTAGGCGTGATCGCAGGACTCACAAAGAATGAGGAAACCGGCTTCCTCGCCCTTGGCACATTGCTCACAAGACTGCACGTGGGACATGTTAGATCTCGACTTGTCTTGCCATTTTCTCCGTCCTGTCCTGGGAAAGCTTACTTCTCGCGGATCGCTCTTATCATCTCGAGGTATTCGCGGTTGGGGAGGACGAAGCAGCGACATATGGGAACCAGCAACTCTAGGAACAGTTTCTAGAGTGGGTTGTCAGCATTGCGGTATTGCAAGCAAAGCATGTTGAACAAGTAACAAATTACCTTTCTTGAGCCGCTTGCTTCGCCGGCCATTGCCTTCTTCGTCTTCCTCGCCGAGCTCTTCCTTCCCGGGTGAGCCCGGAGTGCCGTTACTCAACTGTCGCTTGAGCGGATGTGTTGGTGCAACACGTTGATCGGCCGGATTCTTTGTCGGTGTGAAAGGACTGCCGTTACGACTAGCCGCATTCAAGGACGTGAATCCTCCCGAGGCTGAGGCAGGAGGAGTGCTCTCTGAAGTTGCCGGAGTATCGCAATCGCTTCCGTCCGTGTTTCTAGATAATGACACTTGGAACGCGTCGCTTGCTTGGCGCACAGGTGAATCACCGCGTGCACTTGACGGCGTGTTGACAGTCGACCGCTTCAAGGGACTTGCCCCAGGACTTGGAACGAACGGACCGCCGTTCTCCATCTCCAGCTGCTGGTGCACGCCCGGTTTGGCCTTACGGAGATAGTCCTCATAGGGACAAAGCCATTTCTGGTACGAGTTTTTCAACGATGTCGAGAGAGATGACATGATTTTTCCGCTGTATCCGAGATCGCGTCCAATCTCGGCCCATTTTTTGAGCTTGCAGACCATGTCAAAGCCACCTCGGGAATCGACAGCCTTTTTTAGCTGATAGAGATCGAGGGGCTTCTTGTCCACGTACGGCAAACGAGTCAGATTATTGCCCATGTTCTTGTGGTATTTAAAGAGCCCTTCAAGATAGCTGAGGTTCATGCGTGTGCCTAATCGGCGAATATGTGAGCAGGCAGACGATAATACATGGTTAACGGCGCAGGAAACTTACTGCCTTCGACACAATTCAGTTCTTGCTTGCGCGTCTGAAAATGGAACCTCTAGAGAGCGTTGTCAGCAAGATGTAGTCCCTGTTAGGGATGTGTATCAACCGGTGCATTCTCCTAGCCGGTCAGGGAGGGGATCGCTGCAAACCTGTGTATCAATGGCGAATGGCGGATTCCAAGAGTCAGGTGGGATGATTTTGCACAACCCATAGCTGCGTGCTTCGGGGGTAATCTTGCGCATATACTCCATAGGGTCCTTCCATTCCTCTTCGGTTGGACGATAGGTCGGCGCCTCTTCAAGCTCATGCGGTCTGTTCTTTCTTCTGCCTGGTTCTCGGCTGGCCGTGGGCTGTCCGCGACGCTCAACGGATTTGAGATCCAATGCCGCGCTGACCATGGAGCTGAGAGGCGGCGGTGGGAGGGGGGTGTTTATCGAGTTGCCGTGGCAAGCGTTGGTATGGGCGGTTTTGTGCTTGCTGGACCCGGAGGAGCTGCCAGGATGTCCTGCGGAGGAGCCAATAGCAGGAGAGGCCCGAGAGCTTCCGGATGCCAGGGAATTTGCGCCCGAGGCGCCTCTCGCCAAGCTCTTCCCCGCGCTCTTGCTTCCTCCGACAGCTGCGGACTTGGCTCCTGATGCAGCGCGGTCGCCTGCAGAGCCTGTACTGCCCCCGTTGTTGCTGCTGCTTCTTCCTCCGCCACCGCCAGCACCCGAGGCAGAAGAGCCGGAGCCGGGCAGCGTAGGGACGATCGCCATCATGTTTGCGACTTAGAGTATGGTTCGGGCGTATCTGGAGCAGACGTGTCAAGGGAGAGCGGCTCGGTAGTCGGCTCTGTGAACTGGTGGTATTGCCTTACGGCGTCATCCGAGGGAATCGACGTCGAGGGTATGCATTTGATGGTGAACGAGATCGCAGTCGGGGGCCAGAATGTGGAGAAGAGATGGTGGCGGAATCGACGCTCGGTATCGACGCCTTGTGGCTGTTCCGGATTGTTCGTGTGCGCTTAGACAGCTGGTGAGCAGAATTGGATCGATCCAGGGAAGATCGGCTCGAGGACAGCGTTGCAACGCGAGCCGGCTTGCCGTCGAATTCTCGCTGGACTGCCAGAGACTTCCAAAAATGAGCGCAGACGAGAAGCCGTTGATCGAAGAGAGCGAATTGCCCAAAAGCCAGGTGCCCAAAAAGCGACGGTGCGAGTCGGACAGACGTGGACGAGGGACTGATTATGCTGCGGAACGGCGATTATGAGGTGAGATGTAAGATACTTGTAAGAAGGGCTCAAGTGTAGATTGCATTCCAAGGAATCAAATAGTGACAAAGTAAGGATGCTCAGTAAGACGGAGGTGGGAGGGAGAGGAGGGAACGAGCGAGCAGCAGAGCTCGTAAAAAGCGTGAGAGGCCGAAGGAGAGTGTAAAAAAAGGAAGGAGTTAAAAAGATGGTGGAGAGGGAGAGACGAAAGACGCCGGGATAAACTCATACACTGGGTTGGCGTGAGTGGGCGGGACGAATATGGAAAGAGCGGGTTGCGGCCATTGGCACGGGGCAGCGAGGCAAGAAAGGCTGTCGACAGGCTCTGGCTGGCAGCCAGGTACTTTGCTGATACGGGCGCACTAACAGGGCACCACCGCGAAAAATATGCGCGTAAGATGCAAGTGTACAAGGCAGCGATACGATGCCAAATACTCCGTGCTGCGTACTGACTTACATTAGGCATGAGTATTCCAAAGTGGGTCACTAGGTCGATTCTGCGTCGCAGAGCGGCGAATGGCAAACAGCACCAACAAACGTCCTAAGTGCTTGGCCCATTGTGACCGGTCCAAACGTAAGATGCTCTGTACGAGTGCGCGGTGCTGATCTACAGTACGTAGGGGTCGCTGACAGCGACGCGCGAGATAGACAGGGATGGGAGCTGAAATGGCCGTGTGGTATTAATTACCTTTTGCTTGATTATATAGAACCGGCTCATACGAGGTCTTTGTGCGTCTGCAGAGACAAGACAGCAGGCGGCATTAGCAGGAGCACAGGCAAGACTGCGGAAGCCACTGCACGTATTCGGGCAGATGCGCTGCAAAAGGTTGCAGCATGCAGCAATGGCTGCTATATTTCCTTCTTTTTCACATTGGCTGCGGCCGGCTTGCCAGCCAGATGGATGAGGGGGATCATGACATCAAATGCTCCGAGTAGTACCTGCAGTCGGCCGATAACGCATACGCGGCCGGCTGTCAGGACGCCAGGCCCGGCCAAGGAAAAAAAAACATGCCTGCATCATGAGCCCGTCTCTCGATGAGCAGCAAGGAGGGCACGCTAGTCTGTCTATATTTGCCGACAAAGTACGGAGTACGGAGTATCTTATTATATTGTCTAAGAGTGGAGTCATCACCATCTAGGCTTAGTGGCTTATTTTCGACGACGTTGCGGTAAAAAGGAAGAGACGGAGAGACAAAGACGATCACGGCACGTCGTATTTTTCGTTGCCTTGTGTACAAAGTGCGGCTTTGTACGCCTGTCGTTGAGTGCCCGCTGGCACAGATCTTTGTGCTTCCCTTGCGCTGCCATCATTATGCACAACGGCAATGCGAACCACTATGCGCACGGCAATAGCCACTTGGACATCTTTGCATCGGTCGAACAGAATCGCTGCACACAGTGCAGCCGCTGTTGCCGCCGTCGCCGCTTTCGTGACGGCATGCTTTTCTTCTCCCCTTTCTTCTCCTCTTCCTTCTCCCCTTTCTTCTCCTCTTCCTCTTGTTCATGCTTCCACTGCTCTCTTATATTTACCAATGCGGCAATGTCCGCGATAGTCAGAGTCAGGGGCATCAGACGCGACGACAGCATAGTGCGCCGACTGTGCAACCTCAGCGCGCTTTCTGGGGCCGTCTGCCATTGTGGTAATGGTGGGCACAACGCCTTACCTGTCGCAGTCTTGCGAGGTCCCCTTGTCGGGGCCCAGCTCAATCTGATATCTGGATCGAGTGGGGACCTCACAAATATGTAGCCCATCTCCCAGCCAATCACAGCAGCAATGTCTAAGAAGCTTTCGTTTCGTAGGATTACTAACCATTCCGTACCATATACGGAGTACGGATACAGAGTATGAAGTACTTTGTATGTACGGAATATGTATCTTATTTTGATATCCCTGTTCACACAAGTCGCCTGCTCATTCTTCGCTGCTTTCCAGCACGATGACCTCCGGCGAGCTGGTCTGCTTTGACTTGGCTGTCGTGCTGCCTTTTGTCTTCCTCTTGGGTGCTGTCTCTTTCGGCGCTTTAGCGGCCCTACCAGTGCGCTTTGCAGGGCTCCGTCTTGTGGCTGCTGTCGGCTTCTTCGGCGACTCGACTGCGGCAGCAGTCCTAGGCCTGTCTGCCGCCTTTTTAGCTGCCTTTTCCAGCCGCCGCTTCGTCTTGACCAGCTTGTCCACCTCTTTCGGCGCCCGCAACCGCAGCGTCAGCTCCTTCATCATGTCACTCCACTCGACCTTCCCGTCGCATTTTGGGCATTTCCCTCGAACTGGTATGAGAATGCCTTCCTTTTCGGCGTCGGCCTCGCTGAGGAGAACGTGCTGGCTCCAGCAACACAAGTGTCCTACGGCCTCACAAGACGTGTTTGGGCAGACCGCATAGAGGCCCTGCCCTGAAGGCATGTGCTCGTGACATATCGCACAGCTGCCCTCTCGCTCAAACGTAAAAATGTCACGTGCTTTGTCGACGTAGTCACGCAATGGTGTGTAATCCAGCGGCAGCGCGTGTATTCCCCACAGCGCTTCTCCGTCCTCTGGTGTCAAAGGCGCCGTGTCGGCGGTGTCGCGAGCTCGTCCTCGAGGCTGCTTAGGTTGGGGCTCTGTCGGTCCGAAATCTGTGACGAGCTCAAAGGTATCTGGCATCGGCAGGTCGGTCGTTGCACACCATTTCTGCCATGCTGAATGCACCTCGGGAACGAACAGGTGCAGTCGCAGCGGCCAGCGCGCAAAGCTGGGCACGCGCAGGAGCAGATGTAGGTTGGCAAGAATCGACTGCATGCTCTTGCTCGGCTTTCGCAAGTGGCCGCTCTTCTTTGTCTTTTTCGATACAGTCAAGCGTGATTCTGACGGGATGTGGAGCGAGCGATGGGGATTCGTCAGTGCCCATCTGGGGTATCGTCAGCACAAGGAGAGAGCGGGACGCAACAGAGCAAGTTTGGGTTGCAACGCACTCGAACTTCAAGGCCGCAATCAGTCCAGGGAAGCCCGACACCAGCCCGACCATTTCCCATGGCCGCAGCCTTACTCGAGAAGTCCGCGCTGCACCACCGCGAATCTCGCCGTTGTGTTGCTTCAGCCGGCGGGGCGGGTCTGGTGTGGACCCGATGTAAAGCGAGGCATGACGCATCGTCGAGCGAAGAATATAAACGGTGTACAGGGCCGGGATGGGCCGCGAAGGGGCGGTCATGGTGATATCGAGGTCAGTGCCATTTGTTTGCCGTATTGGTGGTTCGCGCCGCCGTTGCGTCCGCCGCCAAATGCATGAACATATCCAATATAACCACGGCCTCAAAAAAACCGGCACGGCCGTGCCCCCATTAAAAGGAAGTCTGTGACACTGTGAAGGTCGTCGGAGGAAGAGGCAAACCGTTATTGACGAGGGGTTGTTGCTATGGCGGAGCGATAACAAAAAGTAAGAGAGGCGCTAGCATGATTAGTAATATTGTATTATTAGTGTATTATTAGTCATTCACTTGCACTGGTCCGTGCTCAATCGTCAACTTCGTTTGAGCTTCACAAGTTACCAGCATCGACAAGGACGCGTTGGGAATACAACAAGCAGAGAGGAACCGCAAGCTCCAACAGCGACAGCTAGAGCGACAGTGATAAAGACAGCGAAAGCGAAAACACCGACGTAGTGGACCGCCGCTCAGACGTCCAGTCACGACGATCTGAGAACAGCTTACGGTCCGGACAACGACAGCGAGCTCGATGGCGGCGCCCAAGGCGGAAGACGCGCAGGTGCGGCTGCTGTGGAACCCGGAGAACGTGCGGGACGTGGCAGAGTCCGTGGGCGTGTCGCAGCTGGCGGACGACGCGCTGCGGTGCCTGTCGCAGGACGTGGAGTACCGAATCGGGCAGGTGATCGTGGAGGCGCTGCGGTTTATGCGAGCAGGCGGACGGACGACGTTGACGGTGCAGGACATGTCGCTGGCGCTGCGGGTGCTGGACGTGGAGCCGCTATACGGGTACGAGTCGACGAGGCCGCTGCGATACGGCGAGGCGAGCCTGGGCCCAGGACAGCCGCTGTTCTATGTCGAGGACGAGGAGGTGGAGTTTGAGCGTCTGGTGAACGCGCCGCTGCCACGCGTGCCACGGGACGCCAGCCTGACGGCGCACTGGCTCGCGATCGAGGGCGTGCAGCCGGCGATCCCGCAGAACCCGACGACGGCCGAGGCACGGTCGCAGGAGCTCGTGCCCAAAGGCCCGGGAGCCAATCCGGCGCTCGCGGCGCTTGCCGGCAACGACAACGTCGGCTTCAAGCCGGCCATCAAGCACATTATCAGCAACGAGCTCGTGCTCTACTTTGACAAGATCCAGGCGGCCGTGCTGGACGACAACCCGGACGAGGAGGTGCTGCGGCTGCGCGACGCCGCCCTCGATTCTGTCCGCAGCGATCCGGGCCTCCACCAGCTGGTGCCCTACTTTGTCAACTTTATCGCCAACCAGATCACCCACCGGATGGACGACGTCTTTGCCCTGCGCCGTACCATGGAGCTGACCTCGGCCCTGGTCGCCAACCCCCACCTCTTCCTCGACCCCTACGCCTCGCCGCTCTGTGCTCCTGTCTTGACCTGTCTGGTGGCCCGTAGGCTGGGCGGCCTCGGTGCTGGTTCTGGTGCTGGTGGCAGTGGTCCGGGGGGGGTTGGTGATCTCGGCAGCGACAGTGGCCACAACGACAGCCACAGCATCAACGGAATCCACGCCACCAACGGCATCAACGGCAGCCACACGGTCCATGGTCTCCTACCCGACAGCATCGTGCGCGAGACGTATCTGCTGCGCGAACTGGCCGCCAGCCTGCTCGGCCAGCTGGCCCGCAAGTTTGCCCACAGCAACGCGCTGCTGCGGCCGAAGCTGACGCGCACCTGTCTCAAGGTGCTGCTCGAACCGTCGCGGCCGGCGCCGGTGCTCTATGGCGCCGTCTGTGGCCTCGCTGCGGCTGGCGGCCCCGAGGCGGTTCGCGTCCTCGTCCTGCCCAACCTACGCGCCATCGACACCCACGTGCTGCAGCGGTTGCAGGAGCGCGGTCCCGCTGCCGCTGTCGAGTTTGAGATGCTCGTCTCCGGCGGCATCGTCAAGGCTATTCGCACGCTCTCGCCTACTGGCACTTCTGGTGCTGCACCGCTCTCGCCAGCCCAGTCGCCTCGGTCGTCCGGCACCGCCCTCACCAACGCGGCCATCGTCAACGGCACATCGTCCGATGAGGAGACTGCCGAGCTGATCGACTTCCTCGGACCCATCATCGGCCGGCGCATCGCCCATCTGGGCGACCGACAGCTTAACGCGGCCATTCTCGAAGCTCGCAATATTGAGTGAGGGCGACAGAAGAAGGGATAGAAGTGGGCCAGCAAGCTGGATGGATGAATGGTTTGTCTTGGAGTCGGATGGCGTTCTGGAATTGTCTGTGACACGCGCGGACAAAGGGTTTATGGCTGGTTTAGTCTTTTTACAGTTTGTCAGTTGCAAAGCGGCTACGATAGCCAAAGCTTTGTCCTACGTCACTTGTAGAGCCAAAGCTCACATGTGATCCAAAATCGTGCTCATGCCATTCTCCGGTTGTCTATCAAAACACGTCAAAAGCGAAAGCAGGCCGCCGTTCCCCCATTTTCTTCCCGTCTCCTACCACAAGAACGCCAAGCCGAGGCTGGAGACGACGCTGAGCACCCAGATGGCGGTGGTGCCCTTGGCGATCTCGGCCTTGGAGAAGCCGACCGCGGCGTCCCAGACCAGGTGGCGGGCGCCGTTGAAGAAGTGGAAGGCCAGGGGCCAGGCGAGGGCGAACTTGGCGACGCCCTTGAGAGCCAGCGGCAGGCCAGCGGCAAAGGTCACCAGGCTCTGCGACTCGAGGTGCCAGCCGAGCAACGGGGCGGCCAGGTAGGCCAGCGAGCCGCCGTAGAGCAGGCCGGCGTAGGTCAGGCCGGTGAAGCGATGCAGGATCGACGCGCCGAAGTAGATCTGCCTCTTGTCGTAGATGTCGAGGTGCGGCGACACCGGCCGCTGCAGCCGTTGCGATGCCAGCAGCGCGTTGGCCTGCTCAGGCGTGAGCTTCTCCGTCGTGAAGGATCTGAGGTGTTAGGAGACAAGAGTAGGAGACGGAAAGACGGGAGAATAAAAGACGAAGAGGAAGACTATGTGGACGGAAAAGAGGCAAAAGAGGCGAAATACAAAACACAAGACACATTTATCTCACCTCGTCTGCACCGCCCGCAGTGCCAGAGCACGGGCAACCTGGGGAGAAAACACCGACGGTTTCGCAGCAGCTGCATCATTGTCAGCAATGCTCCTCTGTCTGCTCATCGTCCTAAAGCTCCCTCCCCCCTCATCACCACTCACCCCGTCGAAGCGCCATCACGCCGACCCGTTGGGCATTCATCGTCAGCCAATCGTTCCGTTGTCTGTGATGCGTGGAAAGTCCGAGAGCGTCCCAAGTCTGTCGTGGTCGTGGTTGCGAGTGGAAGAGATGATGACGTTCAGAAGCCAATCCGTCCCGCTGCCGGCTATTTTCTTCGGTCGTCCTCGGCTCTCTCACAAAGCACAAGCTGGGGCTGGCCAATCAGCAGCCGCCCGATTCTTCCCTTTGTCATTCTTCCCCGGCACTCCGCTTCCTCCACTTCCGACATGTTTTTGCGCTCCGCTGCACGTGATTGTAGGTGGATCGCGAGACACAAAATAAAACAAAAATCTGCCGCCTCTCGCTTCGTCCCCTTCTCTTTTTCTTCCTCAGATAGAACCGAGCGCTCTGCCGCCACCGTCAGCAGATCCCACAGTGACTGCTGTCATGCGGCGGTTCAGGCATGGCTGCTTCATTCTGGAGTGGTCGTGCCTGATGGGCGCTCGTAGAACAACCGTAAAGAGGGATCCTTCGTTAATCTCTGCCTGCAGTTTTCCGTCTGTTGGCAGTTTCATTTCTGAGATCTACATTTCGTCTATAAGCTCATGTGAATGCTGTTCAATGTTCTTTATTAGAGGGTTCTGCTTAAGTACCCATCAGCTACCGAGGTCCTCGTAGCTATCGTACGGCTCTGCTTTCTTTCGGATTAATCTTTGTCACCTCGACTTCTTCTCCCCGTCTCCCTCAGCCTTCTTCCTGTTGTGCTCTCCTCTTCACATCCTCCTTCACGCCCATCGTCTTCAAAAACCTACCGATCCCACGTCAGCATCTGCAGACAACGCCGCACTAAATCCTGGTTATCCAGCGAGCGCGAAGCGTACAGCAGAAACGGCCAGTCGTCCACAGCTGACGCATCCAGCACGTGTCGGTCCCGTCGTCGGCTCATAATAGCCCAGAGCCACGCTTCCGACTGAGTCCGGAGACGGCTGCTGGGCCGTCCGCCACCCCCCATCGATCCCGGCCGTCCCAGTGCGCCAAGCTGCTGCCCAAACATGACGACATATGCCAACACGCGTGCCGGCAGCTCGCGTGGAACCGGCACAGCTCCCTGGACGACAAGGTTGTGCAGCCGGGCCTCGTAGGCGTGATGGTCTTGATGTCCGCTCGCACCATCAGCCCTGACTTCCGGCTCATCGTGCAACACCCGCAGCAGCCAATACATGCCGGCCACGGCTGTCTCGTCGGCCACCGTCGTGTCACACGCATTGGTCCCGCGATGGCACACCTGCGTCCACGACCGTGCCTCGCTGCGCATTCGCCGCGCTGACACCCGGAAACTCGTCAGCCGCGGCGGCTCGCTATCCACGTGCAGAACCACCCGCCCTGAGCCTCCCGGATGCACGGCCACCTCGCGCACCAGCTCGCCGACATCGTCCGCCTCGTCGTCATCGTCGTCGTTGTCCCCCCGGCCGTAGGCAACCTCCTCGCGTCCGGCTACAGCCAGATTGTGGGCTCGAAGACGCGTATCCACATGCTCTTCATCGTCCTCGTCGTAAAAGACGTCATCATGCAGACGGAAAACGACGTCGTCGTCCTCGCCTTCATTTTCGTTCGCGTAGCCACCGTCCCGACTGTCGTAGTAGCTGTTGCTGCCACCCGATCTGGATGGGCTGTGGCTGCGGTGGCCGCGTTCCTGTCGGCTCCGGTGGCCCCGGCGAGACCGCCTCCGAGTCCTGTCCTCTGCTCTGACCTCTTCCTCCTCGGGAGCGCCGGGCCAGCGGTTGAAGACACCCCCACCGCTCTGTTGCTGATAGTGAGGTGGCGCTGCTGGACCATACATACCGCTCGACACGTGCTGTGGATAGTAGGTATACGGCGGTAGAGCAGGCATCGGGCCTGCAGGCACTCGGGGATAATACAGTGGAGCTGATGGCGTCGAGTAGACCAAGGGATAGGTCGTGCTCGCTGTCGTCTGGTGCTGCCGTACGCCGTGTCCCGTCGACGTTGACCCATGGCCAGGGGCATATTGATATACTGGAGTCGGCTGCGTCGGATAGCTGTAGGGGTATACCATCGCGTTCAAACTGATGCTGCTGTAGATGCTTAGAAATATGTGGCTGCAAAATAGAGCTGGGACCTCTTACTAACCAACTTGTGCTGCAGTAGAATGGTCTGCAGTGAGATCGATGTTGTGGCAGATCGTAAAGGAAAGGGTAAAACAGAATTTAGCACGGTCCTGATAGGATTTTGCCAGGAGGAAAGCTGTTTGGTTGATCGGAGAGAAAGTGAGGGAAGGAAGAGGGGGGGGGGGGATATTGCAAGAAGTGGCCGGAAGGTGCAGTGAGCTCCTTAAATATTTGCCGAAGTGACTGCAATGTGAATTCTGAATCAATGGTACACAGCACATCACCTTGTCGTAACCGCAGGGTGGAAAAAAATACAGCCTGTCAGCCAAGCCATTGTTGACACGTTTAGCTGTACCCAGATGAAGGAAGTGATTCATGAACCTCACTGTGGACAACAGTCATCTGTTGTCACCATGTTGTGTACAAAAAGTCAGAAACACATCACCTCTTCACTTTGTTGTAGCAAACTGCTCTTAGGCGAATCTCTTTATTAACGTCTATCGCGAGCCTCTCTTCATGTAACGAATCCTCTAGACCGTGGCTCTGCTTGACTTAAATCTCCCCACAAGCCGGCCGATTACCATGTGTTCCCCCATTCCTTGTACTGCCTTTCTCTAGCTCCCATTCCGTAGCTTCCTTCCCATCATGTGCAACGTTGTGTCCGTTTCGATATCCCACAAACGCGTCTCATGTAAATCAAACTCCAGGCAAAAGCATAACCGAAAAGAAAGTTTGCAACCCACGAATGTAACGCACATTTAAACACAAATCACTGCAAGCAGAGCCCGAAACCTAACAAGCCGAAACATAACATCACCCACCTTCACTGTCTAGAGAAAATCAAAACCAGTAGATCGAGAATTCAATGCTGTTGACGATATCGTCCAAGTCTTCGTAAAGCTGTGTCAGGAAACGGCACTCGGAACGGATTTCAGCAGCTTCAGGATCCACGTAGTCCAGATCCACCTCTCCGGCCTCCTTGATTTCTGCCACGAAGCTGTGCAAACTGAAACCATACAGCTCTTCAAGTGGCCACAACCCGGTCAGTACAAGGCCACGGCGAAGCCGCCGCCTGGACGCTGCCAAGAAATCCATCTGTGTGCAGCATCTCAAGTTATCTTCTGCACAAAGGCTCTGTTCGTTTCCGAACAAGAAGTTCTCAACCTCGAGTATCACTCTGTGCACTGCATGCGTGCAAGCTCCATGTATAGCCTCTGGTAGCAACAGGTTAGCTTCGTAATGCTGCGAGTCTACCAGGAGCTCTTTCACATCACTCACGAAGTACCGGCACAATGGCAATGTGAACAAAGTGCTCCGTGATCTTGCCAGCCCATAGAGCAGGACTGGAACTGCCATTCCGAGGAGGACAGAATACCGCCAAGCTCCGTGAAATCATACGGAAACTCTCATCATGGCCAAATTGCATAGCAAGGTATAGAGCATAGTGAAGGTCCCACTCGACAAGGTCTTCCCAGCTCTGCTCTGCAAACGACGATAGAAACATATCCACTGAGTTGTGAATGGCCGATTTGCATCCAAGTTCAATGGAAATCGCCGCCATTCGAGAAAACACGTTCGACCGTATAGTTGGAGGGAGGCAGCGATCTTTAGAATCATGGATAATACTGAAAAGATACCTCGCGGCATCGACAATGTCATGGCTGTCGGAGTTGATGACAATTGTAGAGGGCATGCGCGATGTGTACTGACAAAATGGACGTGAAGTCGCCCATTTACGCGACACGTTCTTCATTCGTTCAGCGCACACCCAAAAGCAGGTATGACTATGTGCCTCCGAGTTATAGACAATACGTATTTCCGTGTCAGCACAGCCGAAGATACTTTCTTGAGGAAATGAATCAAATCCCAGCGCGCTGCAACAATGAGGCCGTAGCAAGGCATTTCGATCGTCTGTGAATGGGTCTTCGAAGCAATGACTAGATCCCATTAGCTTTCGTGTAAAACGAGCAAAGATCAGCTATGACTTACTTGGGCTCAGGCCCTATAGCTTCACCATAGCTGCTAGTAGCTTCCTTAACGGGACAACTAATACTCGTGTTGGGTGTGCCATGTGATTCAAGAGGAGACTGAGGAGACTGAGGAGACAAAGATATTGTGTCACGCGTGCTTGAGCTTGTGCTGAGAAACGTTTGCATTGGAAATTCCCATAAGTTTCCGGGGCCTTCGAAGGCCGGAACAGGATTATCGGTCTCGGTGGTAAAATCTTTACTCTGCTTTACTTTCTCGTGAGGTTGCGCCAATTCAATAGCCTTCAACCCCCCCCCGGTCTCTCTCGAATTGTGGACCATGGAAATTCGCAACGGCAGACAGATCTGATGATTGTTTTGACAGTCAAGAGATTCTTCCGTAGATGTTTGAACCTCGCTGACAGTGGAACGATTGGCATGAGTCCTCATACTCAGTGACCTGAGCTTGTCCTGGGTAGTCCGAAATAGGGTACCTAGCTCTTTTGCAGCCGCGCTCCCGGCTGTGATGCGGTTTCTGGAAATAGGATGCTTGTCTTCAGAAAGGTCTGAACTGTTCTCCGTCGAGAAATCCTCAAACACGTTATAGCTGCCTGAATGAGGAGTGAGGATGTGTGGACTGGGAGTGCGAGGGGAATGGAAAAAATCAGAGTTCGCCATTTTCAGAGGCGCCAGATCGATTGGCGATGTGTCAGAAATCTTCGAGTGATATTTATAGACACAAACGTGTAAGGAGAGTAGCAGGGGTTCAAATACTCTGGGCTTTTATATGCTGTCGATGGATGTGCTTCACGGTGGTTTGGAGTTGTTGCTGAGGAAGGACGACTGTTCGTCTTTACAGCATGACGACAATACTGTCAACATCTGACGACAAATTCAAGCAGAAGAAAGGCAAAATGCGGAAAATAGCAATGAGTATATGTCGACGGAAGAAGCGGTGCTCGAAAAGAGCGATTGAGAGAGGAGCGGCACTTGAGAAGACAAATAGCGTTTGAAGCATGAACAGAAGGACAGAAATCTCGGTTGTAGTTTATAAAGTCGGTCGAAGAACAGGGGAGCCAGAGCTATGATTCAGAAGAAAGGGGTCATGAGAATGAGAAGAAGGGTTCAGAGGCAAAAGACGACACAGACGAAAGATAAAGCCTTGTTGTAAGGCCTCAAATTGTGAAATGGTCGACCCTGAAGATAACTTGAAGCGTAAGAGAGTCAGATAGTGTCAGATAGTCCCTGGGAATAACTTGTTCTCTGGAGGCCTTGAAAAGAGGATCTTAAAATAGGGAGCATTGAAAACCACGAGAAGGAAAGAGGAACTGCATTGTCCTGATTAATGCAACTGCCGTTTTAGGAAGTGACACAAGCGATATCGGATGGTCTTTCCTATACAGACTCGCAAATAGACAATCGTAGGGTAGCACGAACTACTAAAGTCATAACCATTTCAGTATGCGGTTTCAAGGCACTTTGAGCCGTATTTATTTGCCGAAGCAACCTTCAAATAGTGGAACTTGTCAATATCACGTGAGAGATGCAGCTAAAAATATGAAGCTTTACGGAGACAACCCAATCACTAAAATGAGAGCCTGATTGCTGACGTGTACAATTAAACGTGTCCGCAATCGAAATGAATACACAGTTATGGCTGCATATTGGGCTACGTCTACCAAAGGCTGCCCTACCTTTACCGGGCCTTCAATACTCGACCAGGGCGCGGCAAATATGGCAGAGATCTTCTCTCCGGAGCTACAGTGCTGGTGCTGACAAGGGTCAACATGCCAGTTCACAATCTCGCGCTGGGCAAATCTTGGCTCGGCTACCTTCTCATATGGGACGGTACACCCGTCGGCTACGGGACGCCCCGGTCTCGCATATTGTGGCGTTCTTGATCTTGCATGAGATCACTGCTATTGTGCCCCTGTTTGGTCTATTCGGGCTCTTTCACTATACTGACTATGTGCCGATCGGTTACATGACGGGCAACTTCGGCGGGCAGGTGTTGGAGGGCGTCAGACGATTTGAAAAATACTTTAAGCGAAAGGGTTGGTTTGGCTTTGGAAGCGAGGACGGCGCTGAGGACAACGGCCAGACAGTAGACAATTCTGGTAATTCTGATGGTAGCACCGTGCTGAATCTGTGGGAGAGCTTTGACGCAAAGTACAAGATTGTGGTGGAAATCGGCCTGGCCTATGCAATCACCAAAGCCTTGCTACCACTACGCATTGTCTTCAGCTTATCGGCAACGCCCTGGTTCGCTGGCGTTCTGGCTCGGCTGCGAGGATTACGTGGACCACCTAAAGGCAAATAGATCGCGGTATAAGTTTAGAGGTCGGGTTTGAATTTCTTTATTGAAGTCCCAAAGGGCACCCGTTCGTTTTTAAATTCTATTCGTCCACTTTGTCTGCCACAACCGAAGCACTCCCAAACAGGCCATTTCACCAGTTTTATGGGACGTGCAAAAGGTGTAGCGCAAAACAATGGTGATGTTTCGCTTACTCGTAGACCCAGTCGTACTGAGCAGACTTGTAGGTGTTCAGGTCCTCAGGCTTGAACCACAGAGCAATCTCCTTCTTGGCGTTCTCGACGCTGTCGGAGCCGTGGCAGACGTTGCGGCCAGTGGTGATGGCGAAGTCGCCACGGATGGTGCCGGGAAGCGAGTTCAGGGGGTTGGTGGCACCGAGAAGAGTGCGGCCGGTCTTGACGGCATCAGTGCCCTCCCAGACCATGGCGACGATGGGGCCGCTGCCCATGTCTAGTAGCAGTTAGCGTGTGAAGCAGGCGAGAGGGCTAATGCATTGGAGCAGCGTTGGAAAACACGAACACTTGATCAGACCAGGGAAGAAAGCCTTGTCCTTGAGGTCAGAGTCTGTCAGACAAGAAGAGTTAGTAAGTTGTCCGTAGGTATCTGTTGCAGCGTGTCGATGTTCTGGTGGGGGTGCGGTCACGAACAGTGAGTCTCGAGGTGCTCCTGACTGGGGGAGACAAGCTTCAGGGCCACCAGCTTGTAGCTGTTCCATGAATGTCAACTTAAAGCCCTTTCACAGTAACGAGGCGGGTAAAGATAAACGAACCCGCGCTGCTCGAAGCGGCTGATGATGGGGCCAACGAGGCCACGCTGGACAGGGTGATTAGCGGAAGCGATACTTCACATAAAGAGCGTCACCAACCTGGACGCCATCGGGCTTGATAGCAATGAAGCTGAGACAATGTTAGCTTAGACAGCTCCAGGGCAATGGCAGAGGAAAAAAAAGGGGTATCAAGTAGGAGGGCCAGCAAGATGGTAAGACATATGAATAGAATTGAACTCACGTCTGCTCGGTAGCCATTTTGATTTTGGGGGAATGGTCAACACTCGGTTGTGTGGGATAATTTGGGAGAATAATTTGGGTAGTGGAAGTAAGAGAACACGATGGCTGGACGTGATGTTGGTAGAAGAGAGCAAGAAGAAGGACAGCAACAGCCACCAAGAGGGAAAGAATTGGCGGGGTCAAAATTTGCGGTGGCCGCTGGTGGGGCGCATGCTGTGTTCGGTGATGCCGCGTAGTGGCCTGTGGCTCCTCCGGTAGCCCATTCTTCGGCTGTTGTGCCCTTGGCAGAGAGCTGATTGGGCCGTTGGGGTCCATATCCGTACGGACAACAGCGCTTCAATTGGGCACGAAAATCGTCAGGCGCCAAATGGACACTTCTGTCGAGCTGGCAGCGGTCTAGTAGAAAATGGCACGAGTATCAATGCCGCTCTGCTTCGTACACAAGACAAACACCACACACAAGCTGTTCGATGGAGAGGGAGCTAACGGATGCGTCGGGTCCAATGTATTCTGGTGGGCAGGTCAGCTCGGAAACTGTCCTCGAAAACATTTCGTACACATATGCAGCAGTGAATATCTACAGTATATAACTATCTTATCTTACAGTCGTACTGAGCGGTTAGGGAGCGCCACAGTGGCATACGAATTGTGGCGTCTGCCCTGGAGGAGCTCGTAAGGCTAGTGGGAACGCTAACCCGTTAAGGCGTTCAACGGAAGGGACAGCTTTAAGCTTCTCCTCCCTCTTTGTTGACCATCGACATCAGCGTCCAATGCTCCAAGCCAGGACGTTTGTGGCCCATCCCCCATTGCGCATTGCCGCCCTCAAATCTAACTGTCCCGTCTTGATATTGAACCCCCCTTGCTATCTATAGCCAGCCCTGCAAACACTGCTGGCAGTGCTTGTATTGCCAGCGTGTCGTCTTTGCGGCCATGCGTTCACAATTGTCAGGGCAGGCATTGGCCACATGCCTTGGTCTGCTATCAACCCTTTCCTCCTTGGTCATTCCAGCATGTAAGGACAGTTGCGGAAGTCTTGTGTATTCCCCGGAATTCTTCTATAGAAGCACCTGCTACCTCTACCGGATATCTGGCTAACAGAGAGCCCAGATGCGGTCAAGGAAAATGACTTCAAGAAGTGCGATCAGTCGGGCTTTTGCAAGCGCAACCGTGCCTATGCAGACAACGTCGTTGTCGCAGGCTCCTCGGCAGTCTCGCCGTACCATATATTGCCGGAGACTGCAGCAGTCAAAGACGGCCAATTCCAGGCTGTCATTCTGAAGACCATTAACGACCAAGGCGAGACTGTGCGGCTCCCCCTTACGGTCTCATTCACCCAGTCCGGTGTGGCTCGTGTCACAGTCGACGAGGAGAAGAGAAAAAACAAAGAAATTGAGCTCCGACATGGCAGCGGTGCGCGCAAGGAGCGGTACAACGAAGCCGAGAAATGGGCCATTGTTGGCGGCCTGAATCTCGACAAGGAGGCCAAGATTGTTGACGGGGGTAGCGAAGGGGACACGGGCGTCACGATCCAGTACGGGCCGTCGGGGCAGTTTGAAGCTCAGATCAAGTACTCACCCTTCAGCGTGGACTTCAGGCGGGACGGCTCGACTCAAATCAAGTTCAACAAGGGCGGTCTCATGAACGTGGAACACTGGCGACCAAAAGTCGACAAGGAAGAAAGCGCCGCCACGTCCGAGGATGAAGGGATGTGGTGGGAGGAGACATTTGGCGGCAACACTGACACAAAGCCGCGAGGCCCTGAGAGTGTTGCTCTGGATATTTCCTTCGAAGGCTACGGCCATGTTTTTGGTATCCCGTCTCACACTGGACCGCTCTCGCTGAAGGAGACCCGCGGTGGTGAAGGCAACTACGCCGAGCCGTATCGTCTGTACAACGCTGATGTTTTTGAGTACATCCTCGATAGCCCGATGACGTTGTATGGCGCCATCCCTTTCATGCAGGCCCATCGCCCGGATTCCACGGTCGGCGTCTTCTGGCTCAGCGCTGCAGAGACGTGGGTCGATATTGCCAAGCAGAAGGAGTCTATCAACCCCAACGCTCTGGGTGTTAGCGCTCGGACTACCACACAGACCCATTGGATGTCTGAGAGCGGCTTGCTCGATGTCTTTGTGTTCCTGGGTCCCTCCTCGCAGGACGTTCTGCAGAAGTATGGCGAGCTTACGGGCTACACTGCCATGCCGCAGGAATCGGCGCTGGGATACCACCAGTGCCGCTGGAACTACAACTCGGACGACGACGTCAAGGACGTCGACCGCAAAATGGACAAATTCAACATCCCCTATGACGTCATTTGGCTCGACATTGAGTACACGGATGGCAAAAAGTACTTCACCTGGGACCAGGACAAGTTCAAGGATCCTATTGGGATGGAGGAGAAGCTTGACGAACACGGCCGCAAGCTGGTGGTCATCATCGATCCGCATATCAAGAACGAGGATGGCTACGAGGTGGTGTCGGAGCTTCAGTCCAAGGAGCTGGGCGTCAAGAACAAGGAAGGAGGCCTGTTTGAGGGCTGGTGCTGGCCAGGCTCTTCGCACTGGCTTGACGCGTTCAACCCCAAGGCGATTGAGTGGTGGAAGACGCTGTTCAAGTACGACAAGTTTAAGGGAACGTCTGAGAATACGTTTATCTGGAACGACATGAACGAACCGTCAGTCTTTAACGGACCGGAGACGACGATGCCCAAGGACAACATCCACCATGGCGGCTGGGAACATCGTGATGTGCACAACATGAACGGAATGACCTTCCACAATGCGACCTACCAGGCCCTTCTCTCGCGCAAAAAGGGTGAGCTGCGCCGTCCTTTCATCCTGACGCGTTCCTTCTATGCCGGCTCGCAACGGCTGGGCGCCATGTGGACAGGCGACAACCAGGCTGCCTGGGACCATCTGGCTGCTGCCACGCCCATGATTCTCAGCCAGGGCGTCGCCGGGTTCCCTTTTGCCGGTGCGGATGTGGGCGGATTTTTCGGCAACCCGGACAAGGATCTGCAAACCCGCTGGTTCCAGGCCGGCGTATTTTACCCCTTTTTCCGCGGCCATGCGCACATTGATTCACGCCGACGTGAGCCTTACCTGGCTGGAGAGCCGTATACTGCCATCATCACGGCGGCGCTGCGTCTGCGTTATAGCCTGCTGCCGGCCTTTTACACAGCCTTCCACGAGGCGCATGTTTCTGGTACACCCATCATCCAGCCGCTCTTCTACACCCATCCCAATGTAGAGAGCGGATTTGGCATTGACAACCAGTTCTTCGTCGGCTCTACGGGCCTGCTGGCGAAGCCAGTCGTGGAGGAGGGCAAAGAAACGGCCGATATCTACATTCCCGACGGTGAGGTGTACTACGACTACTTTGACTACACGGTCGTGCCCACGCTGGCAGAGCACATCACGTCGATGGAGGCACCCCTGGACCGGATCCCGCTGCTCCTCCGTGGCGGCCACATCTTCCCGCGTCGTGACCAGCCGCGCAGGTCCAGCGCGCTGATGAAGTACGATGACTACACCATTGTGGTCAGCGTGCCCAAAGACGGTGGCCATGCTGAGGGTTCGCTGTACGTCGACGATGGCGACTCGTTTGACTACGAAAAGGGCCAGTACATCCACCAAAAGTTTGTGCTGGACGGCGCCGAGCTGTCGTCGACAGAGGCAGAGGGCCGTGTTATCAGCAAGATCAAGCCCGGCGCATGGCTGAAGGCGATGAAAGATGTGCACGTCGACAAGGTCATTGTGGTTGGCGCCCCGGCGTCGTGGGCAGCAGCAAAGGAGGTGACGGTGGAGTCGCAGGGCAAGACGTGGACTTCGCCAGTGGACTACACGGCGGCGGAGAATGGTCGCGCGGCATTTGCGGTGGTGCGGCATGTTGCTGCTCGCATCGGTGCTGACTGGAAGATTTCCTTTGTGTAGGCAAGGAAGGCTTTTACCCTGCAGGCGGGATAGGGAAAGAAGTCTTGTAGTAGCGTTTGGCATAAGCTTGCCTGGATTTGTGTAGCTGGACGAGATAAGAAGCGAATTGCCTCATGCTGGCTGTGTGAAGGGCTTTCGTGAATGAATTTATATGAAGAGGATTACCGATGTCGAAATACTTGCGCCGTTTTAGAAGGCGACGTGTTGACAGCGCGCTGTGTCCTTTCCTTTGGCAATGTTGTGCTGTCTCGCGCCTTCCTGCTGTCTAATTTGCTAAGCGTGACTTGGGCCCTTGAAGTACTCCGTACAGAGTACTTGCTCCTTTTTCAGCAAAACTTTTTTTTTTGGCGCAACGCCAAAAGACAAGCCTTTCCGAGCGTTACGGCAAAAATAACACATCTCGCTTGTACAGCCAAATGATTTGCTCGCACGTCTGACAGGCCGTTCTAGGCCGGCCCACCCACATCGAAAGAAACAACTTGATGCGGAGAACGATAGGCGGGGAAAAGAAAAGAAAGCAGGCTGCTCTCGTAACTGTTCGAAACGAGATAGTGCCTAATGCAAGAGCCAAATGAGAGTACGGCAAAGAGTCCTACCATGTATCAACATGGAACACAGGCTAGGAGAACACACGAGCCACAATGCTTCTTTCATTGGCAAGATCCAATATTTGGCTAGTGCGTCTCGGATCCTTTTGCTTTGCTGCTATTCTCGATGTGAGCATAAGATGCTAACAGGCCTTCGAGTTCAGCCGCACCTCTCTCAAGCCGGGGTCTTCGCCCAAATGTGAACCTAACCAATACGTACGTGCAGGGGCCAAAGCACAAGGCAGATTCCGACGTCAGAACGCCTTGTATTTTCTCCGACGGTTCTTATCGGGCGATGGATGAGTCAACGCTCTATTGATCAGCCGTTCTCTCTGTCGGCCCGTTCAGTGTGGCTGTATGTTCGCCAAGACTGAAGCCTCCATACGTCTGACGGATCGTGGGAGTAGAGCGAGGGTGACAGGTTCATTTCCCGGTGTATATTACCACTATCGGACTGGTGTCCTTTCTGTCTTATTGTTGACAAGAAGACAACAAAAATCCGCCAAGCCTTAGAGATTCTGTCGCCTCGAGCGACAGATGGCTTCACTCCCGGAAGGATGGGAGTCGGACTACGATGGCGCCCGCTGGTTCTTTCGATACAAGCCGACTGGCACGATCCAATACCACTTTCCCAAGCCCGGCGACGAGTTTCCCGAGTTCCACGACAACTTTGGCCCCATCCAACAGAGCTATGAGCCAATCCCGGAAGAGCTTCTGGAGAGCGAGAGGCAGATCCGGTGTCAGACGGCGACCGGTGTCCCAGCTGCCGGCTCAGGCAGTGTGAAGAGACGCAAGGACTCGAGCGCCGCGTCTGCAACACTAGGCGGGGGGGACTTTATCGGCACTTCCTTTGAGCTCTTTGGCTACTACGGACCCGGCTCATACAACGACATGAACCCAGAACACGAAGACTGGGAGGACGAGACTGGCTCTAAGCAGGACAGTCGCCCGGGAGCTTTAACCGACGGGGAGCTACACGGAACCTCGATCAGCAACATGGGTACACCGAGCTCGGTCTTCAGCGGCGTGACATCAGAAGCAGTAGAGGTGCTTCCAGTTCCCTCGACTGCAGCTGCGGTAGAAGTGCACGAGCTGCCTGATTCTGCAGCACTGGGTGGCCTACATTATGCATCTGACCCGGTGGGCTATGTGTCGGAACTGGCCAGCGATATGACGGCTCTGTGCATGGAAGCGTTCAATCCACCGCCGGTCGAGCTGCCCGGAATCGAGGTATATTCTTTAGGCGCCGACCCAGCTGCCTCCCACTCGATGCCTGTCGAGCTACCAAACGATCCGAAACTGCCCTCCGTTCCCTCCGTTCCCTCCATTCCTTCGCCTGTGCAATCGATCCCCCAGCCAGTGGAACCACCACAGACGCATGTTGAACCGCTAGTAAGTGCCTCATTCGCCAGTCAGACTTCGACCCAACAGGCACAGCAGCAACAGAAACCAGCACAGGATACCTCTGCCAAGTCTTACCGGGCTTTCTGCACTTCGACTGTTTCGAGTGAAGAAGACTCCGCTAGAAGATTCTCTGTTACTAGTGGCATTGAAAACATTGAAAGAGGCTTTAATAAGGAAAAGCTACACGAAGAGTACCGGGTGGTCGGTCCCACGAAGGAGCTCACGGATGTCCCGTTAGCCTTGCAGCCTCCCCAGAAATCGCCAACCAAGCTCATGGAATCGTCCCAAGACTCGTCTGAGTCCAGCCTTGCAGATCCGGCCACACTCGAAGTTGCGGCTGTGACATCAGCTCCAGTCCAACATAAGCGGCACGGAGAGCAGCCTGGATATCTGTCAGATGTGCCGTCCGCCCTACGTCCTGCTCAAGGCAGGCTGATATCACCGCCGGCTGCACAAACGTCTGACACAGATCTCACCGCCATCCCGGCTGCTCTCAGGCCAGCAGGCATCCCGGGACCAGTCCCAGCCGAAGCTCTAGTCAACGATGGCCAAAACTCTGGTACCACTCAGCCTCACACGCACTCACTATTGATCGACTCGGGCACTCTAAGAATACCCGATGGTGCCCCGCCCATAGCTATTCTGGACGTGGACGAAGTGATTACAAGCGTTAGCTCCGAGTCCACAGAGCCGGAGCTTATACCTCGACCTCTCCGACTTGTGCGGCAAGGAAGCCCTGCTATACCTTCTCCGGAAACAGCAGAAGCAAAGAAAGTTGTGGATTTTGAATCGGCTCTGGAACTGCCGTGGACTCAAGCCCAGAAACTTCAGCCGCGGCGGCCAGTATCCACATTTGGGATCATGTCTATCAGCACAGCTATGCCCGCCCCGTTGAAGACGGACTCACGCTTTCCCCCGGTGCCACCCCTATTTGGTATTATGATTCCCACATCTCAGCCTTCATCCTTGGGTGATGCTGGCAGCTCTCTACAGCCTGAACGGCGTGCATCTACACCTGCGACGACCATTGCTACGCAACGCCGGTCTACTCCTCCAGTTATGACCGCGCCGGTCATGGCTTTGGATCATCCGGTCCCTTCACATGCTACGCAAGGCAGTCATGATCCGGTGGAACAATGTATAGCCTCGTCAGATCTCGTCGCTCCTCTCTCAAAAATCTTTTCCAGTACAACATCACCACCAGTGGAGAATTTTACGCAGAAGACCACACCGCCAGGTCGAACTTTCGGTCGGCCTTTCACAGCTGAGGCTGTACAACCTGGCCCAGACCCGGCCCAGAATCACCCATCACCGCCAGCAGCAAATATGGCTGATATACCACATTCCGATATCAGTACCCAACCCCCAATTGTCTCTGGTGCAGCTGGTAGAGATGGATGCCCGTCCTGTGACAGCTACCCAACCACCATTAAGCATTCCACATCATCAGAGCCCGATGTCTGTCCATAATGCTCATATTACAGAGCCTGTCTCAACAATTAAACAAGGGCAGGCCGTTTCGGCACCACAGCCTCCTGCTAGGACGGAGACAGCCCAAGTTGTCCAGCCATTGCAGCCAACCAATCCCGCCGGGAAAAAAGCATCGATTTCATCCAACATCCTCAGCCAGTCATGTGAAGTTACTTTTTCAGACCCTTGGCAGGGCGGCCTTGGTGACTTGCCGCCACCGCTGCTTCCGCAAGCAGGACAGACGTCTCACGGCTCACAGAGAATTCCTGATCCTGCAGAGATCGTCCTGAATCAAAGCGCACAACTGTCACAATCACCTGTTTCTGTGGCGGTCTTGCTACAGGACGGCACGAGCAATCCTGGGACACCAAGTCAGGATGCACCTCAGCAAGCATAGCAGCCGGAACAGCAGCAAACAAGTCAGCAGTACTTTCCATGTTCTCAAGTTTCTCAGCCTGGAAATACTCCACATAGGAGTCACCAAATCGTTCGGAAGCCGACTCGGATGGGCAGCACCCGCCTGACAGATTCAGAACTTGAGGCCCAAAACGCTTCCCAGGAGGGACAGGCTATAAATTTTCCACACAGAGCGTCAGTATCGGCTATAAGTGCGCAGCCTTTCGATTCTATTACTATTGCAACACCAACTCATCCCGCTTCTCAACAGCCGGAGCAACAGCAACCACAGCAGAACGGGCAGACCGATGCAGTTCCTGTGGCCCAATTCCAACAACACCCATTCAAAATGCAGACACCAGGACAGAAACTTCCTTCACCTCTCCCTCCCCAGTCCAGCCAGCCTAATTTCCTTCAATTGCCAGCTCAGCAAGCGGCACCTAAGCAGCCGTCTCATCACCCGCAGCACAGTCAGACATTGCCAACTCCTGCAAATGATTCAATTGCATACTTATATACCCCTTCTTCCAACGCCACAGCTCCGCATCTTGTCCAGCCCGTGCTGGGGCAGGGCTACACACCATCCACACCAACACCTGCAGGATCAGCTGGAGCGTGGCTTGCACAGGAGCCACAACCTACCTACGGCATGCCGATGTATGGATCGCCACAACCCGGAATGCCGTATCAGCCACCTCGGCCTCTTCAGCAGCAGCAGCAAGCGGGATTCCAGGCCGGGACAAGCGTACCAGAGAAGAGGGGAAGCGGCTTCTTCTCGAAAACTCTCAATAATTCAGCAGTGAAGAAGACGGCTTTAACCTTTGGAAGCGCCTTTGTCGCGGAAAGCCTCAACATCTCGGGCGCGACAGGTGCAAAGCTCGGTGCCAGCATGTATGACCAGTACAAAAAGCAACAGGCGGCCCAGCAAGCTCAGCAGTCTGCTCAGCAGCAAGCTCACCTGTTTTCTCAGCAATTCACGCAACATCAAGGCACCCAAAATCCACCTCTGCATACATTACAGACGGCACTGGGACAGTTGCAGCACGGAATACCGGCGACGAGTAGCCCCGTGTCCGCATTCGTGACTACGCCAGCGATAAGCCCCGTTGGCTTTGCTCCAGGCCAACCGTCACAAGCGCAGTACCAGCAGCATCTGCCACAGCAACGTCCACCGTCAAACCATGGTTTCTCGGCACCGCCCGGAAGCGCGGCCCAGATTACAGTCCATCCGTCGGGCTACACTATGATCCTGCTCAAGGGCAGCATCAACGGCCACCTGGCCAACAATATGCTAGCATACCGCAGACCGGACCAGTCTCGGCGTCGTCTGTAGCCGGGAACAACAACGGGTATGTGGGTTCCGAGTCCGCTTCAAGTGGTCAGACACAATTTGCATTGAATGCATTGAACGAGGTGGCTCATTATGCACATCACCACACCGACTCAGTGACTTCGGGGCAGCAACAGCAACCTGGACTATCTAATTATTTTTCCTCCCCCGGCCAACCGGGTCAACAGCAACAGCAACAGCCCGGACTGATTGACTGGATTTCCTGGGCCGGTCAACCAGGCCAGCCGAACCAGCCGAATCAGCCAAACCAGGTCTATGAACCTGGTTTCAAACAGTCTGACCTTACACAGCAGGACAACACCCAGGTGGATATCACCCAAGTGGATTTCACGCAGGTCGATATCATACAGCCAGACGGCACGCAAGTAGACGCCACGCAGATGGACTTCACGCAAGTAGGTTATTCGCAGAATGCTATGGGTTTCGATACTTCCGACATGGTCAGTATCGATACTGTCAGTGTTGACACGATGTCCGTTACCGACACAAGCGGCTGGACAGACTCGGTCAACTATTCGGGAGACGATTGGGGTGGTGACGACAGCTTTGCTTATTGAAGGCGTTGTGTGTGAGATGTTTTTGGTCAAGCGCACTGCAGTTTATATTCTGGTCGTTAGCACCATCACCATCTTGGTGCCTGTCTCCCTGTCATTTCATCGTCTCGGCGGCAGATCATATGTAGTGCAGCTTATTTTTTACATCCATTTCGAGAAAATAATACCACTTTCACCACTTTGAATGGGTTTGACACAGTGACACTGTGCACGGCATGCGTGCCTTCCTTTGTGGAATGCTAAGTGTTAGCGGGCGTAGCGCGACGCCAAAACGCTGACGCCCATCGGAAAGCGCTAAAATCGTATCTTAGCCCATCACCAAAACCTCACAAAACGACCATATCCGGCCGAAAACTGCACTGCTGCCTGTGAGAAAGTAGCGCCTTCCCATTCGTGTCAATCTGCCGCCTTCTCTTCTCTCCAGTTTTTGCTTCGTTTTCTGCCTTATTTCTTCTTCCACCGGCGACAGCTGTATACAGAGCACATCCCTTCATTTTCGCATTTCTTTTTCACCATTTTTTTTGGCTAACCTTTGGGCCTTTGTCTTTTGGATGTCTTCTCAGTCATAACAGCTTTGATTAGATGGCCTCTTCTTGATACCCCGTTGTTGGATACATTCGCCTTCCCCCTCCTATCCCCTTACCTTCTGCTTTTTTTTTCCCCTCTAAATTTTCTTCCTCTCGGTCATGCCCTTTCTTTTCTCCCATGTCTGCGACCTCCTCCAGCAGGCGGCCGATCTTCCGCTTGTTCGCCGTGTCCAGCCTGATTCTGTCCAAAAACTGATCCGCGACTGGTTTAACCAGCACCGGCCTGCCATCGATGCACTGATCCATGACAGCAGTGCCGGTGCCGTCGACGGTGCAGCCTCTGCTGCTGCTATTCTCTCGGCCCTCTTGCCCGACCATCGCACAGACCGCGTCTATGGCATCCAGGCCAAGTCTCTCCAGCGCATTATCGCCCGGGCTCTTGGCCTTGGCCATTCCAGAATTGCCGAGTTGGCTCGCTGGACCCGACCTCCCGTCGACGGCGATGCCGTTGACCTTGCCGACTGTGTTGAGTGCATCCTGCGCCGGACGGTAGGTTTGTCCTCTTGTTTGAATTCTGTATTCGCACGTGTCTTTCTATCAGTCTAACAGGCGCCACCAGCCCAACTCACTCGATGGCCCGTCTGTCTATATCGAGGACATTGATGCCATCCTGAACGGCCTTGCTGCTAATTGTCGATTCAGCTCGCCGGCCATCCGACAAATTAGCCAAGCTCCCGCTTCCAGGGACTCCGCAGTTGTACCTTCAGCTTTCTCTATTGCCAATGCCGCAGACTCGAACAAATCTGTGCTGATGCGTGACCGTGTTCTTGGCCACCTCTATCGCCGTCTTAGCGCTCGCGATGCCAAATGGCTGACGCGCCTTATACTCAAGGACTACCGCCCCATCGTGCTAGATCAGGCGACCGTCTTCCGTGCCTTTCATCCGGCTTTCCCCTTGGCGCTGCGCGTTCACAGCGACTTTGTCACGGCCATGCAGTCGCTCGGTCAGGGCGATACGGAAGGTCAAGAGCAACAAGAAGGAAAACCGGTGTCTCAAAGCGGAGCAAGTTCTGGCTTCTCCGGTTGCTTGGCCACTCAGCCAAAAGTTTCCCGAGCTTATTCTCATTGTCCCCGACTTGGTGTCAAGGTCGGCCGACAGCCATGGGCCAAGGCCCGCAGCATCAAGCATTGCCTGGCCATGGGAAAGGGGCGACGCATGAGCTGCGAGCGGAAGCTGGATGGTGAGTATGTGCAGGTCCACGTCGATCTTAGCAAGGGCCGGAAGAACTGCTTGCAGCTCTTTTCGAAGAGCGGCAAGGACAGTACGCGGGACCGCTTCCGAGTCCACAACTGCATTCGGGCATCGTTAAGGATCGACGAGGACGACTGCCCCCTTAGCACCGGTTGCATCCTCGAGGGAGAGATGTTGGCGTTTAGTGAAAAGGTATATCTCCATGTCTTATCTGGGTTCCGAAAAGCACGCCAGTCGCTCACCATACAAGGAGGGTCATATTCTTGACTTCGATGCCGTCCGCAAACACGTCACTCGCAGCGGATCACTGATATATTGTGACGCCAGAAAGAGGTATGTGCGCTTTGTGGCTGATAATTCACTTGTTGCCATTGATCAATGTTTTGCAGAAATAGGGATGGCGAGCATCTTATGATAGTTTATTACGATATACTGTTTATGAATGGCCAGTCTTTATTGCAGACTTGTCATGCGGAGCGCTTCCGCCGCTTACAAGAGCTCATCATCTGTCGGCCGGGTTACGCGGAGCTTGTCTACCGCGAAGTCATCGACTTTGGTAGCCGGGCGGCTGCGGAAAAACTACGGCAATCCTTCTCCAGCTGTATCTCGGCGCACCATGAGGGTCTTGTGCTGAAGGCAGAGAGCGATACGTACTTTGACTTCTCGCCACCAGGATCCGGTCCACTAGAGTGGCCATATATGCGCTGCTACGCCATCAAGCTCAAGAAGGGATATGTCGGGCAGTTCGGCGAGGTAGGGGACTTTGCCGTCGTTGGAGCCCGATATGATGCTGTCAAGGCCAAAGAGTACCCCTCTGATCTGCCTAGCTTGCGATGGACACATTTCTACCTAGGATGTCGGAAAGCAGGGCATCGGACAGCACGGGATGCACAAAAAATCGAAAGATCACGTCCACAGTTCGTTGTTACCAACGTTGTTACCCTGAACATTCCCCAGATGAGGACATTTTTGACCCATTGCCGCCCACGAGTGGTGCCGGTGATTGAAAATGGTGGCGCTGATACGGATGTTGCACCATTTAAACTCGCCCCATTGGATCCCGGCATGGATGGGTGCCGAGGCGGCCCTACAGACCTATTCGCCGATCCCCCTGTCGTGGATATTCGTTGCTTCGCATTCCATCGCCAGGGTTTCGGCCGCTTCTGAAGCCCGCGATTTCCGTCCGTGTCAAAGTTCCACTTTGATCGCACGTATATGGATGTCATCACATTCGATGATCTGCAAACTGTGGCCAGGGACGAATCGCTGAGGAAGCCCGAGGTAGAAACGGATGGAGAATTACAGGAAGACGATCTTATCAGCCATCATGATTTCGCCGAGACTGGTCACGAAAACGGGGAAGAGAGGACCCATTGGGCCACGCAACTCAAACACACAGATTCCGGGGGGATAGCTGTCGATGCCGACACAAGCCAGTCATCGGCAGTGGATACGGCGTCGACAACTAGCGAGGCAGCAAGCCGATTACCCGATCAGATTGCCATTCCCATCGTGTCAGTTGAAGAAAGCAGTCAAAATTCGGCAGCGACGGACTCAACCACTTTTACGGCAGCGTTCGCAAGGGCTGCATCGGACGAAAGGGAGAGCTCGGAGCAACTATCACTCCCATTGCTGCCATCATCACCGAAACCGTCGGCCGAGCATCTGCCATCTCCTTCGCCGCTGCTGAATTTGTCGGCGCCGCCTGCCAAATCATTGGATTTGCCCAGTCAACACCACGGGGTCGTCCATGATGGTTGGAGCAGTCAGACAAGTGATAGCAGTGTTGGACGCAACAGCAGGAAGCACCTGTGTACGTTTGACGTATCTGACATGTTTCCTGCAATATCTCCGCCACAACTGAAGAGGTTAAAAAGTGACAGAATCGAGCCAGGTTCTTGAAACGCGGAGTCAAGGTGGAGTTTCCATCTCGTCCTCTCATAACAGTCTAAAACAGTAGTGTTGCTTTGGACGTGACTCAACAAACGTGCCGCGATACAGGAGGCTTCGGTGTCTTCAACAGTGTCCGTGCAGAGCAGATTTGTTTCGCCATTTTCAGCAAAGCCAACGTTGGCGACCGCAAAGTAGCATCGTTCGAATTCTCAATAGATTGGTGCTGTTTTGGACTTCGTGTTGGATAAACCCTTGCTTTTTGTGCCGTGGGTTTCAATGGCCTATTCTCGGTTTTCTCAAGCTGCACAGTGTTGGATCGCGTGAAATCATTCAGGTTTCGGCTCTCGAGGAGGGCAGCAATGAACACCGAAGACCAGGGGTCTGGCTGCAGCTCCAAGGAGAAAGCCAATTCTAATTGAGCTTGACTTCCGTCCGTGTCGGGCATTTGCTCCCGGAAGTAGGAACAAAAGGTGTTGTTTTCTTTTCCGGCTGCTGCGATTGCCTCAGCTGAGGTCAGCCACACGGAATCGGCTGCATGGTGGCCAAGAGACGCACTCAACATCAGCCTGCTTTTACTTTCCGGTATCGATGTTGGCTGTCTTCTGTCCGTTATCCCTCTTGCTGAAATAGGACGATCCGCGCACAGGGGTAGATAAGAAATGTTTCGAAGATCAAACGGCGGCGGTGTTTGTTCTCTAGGGAAGTACTACGTCGTATGTACTGTGGAATATGAAGTACCCCTGCAGAGTACTCTGTAGATGGATCGTGTGTGCTGCCAATTTACCCAACTTCAACCTTACCTCGCATACGACGTGGGCCTGTGCCTTTGCGTGCTTCAGGAGGGGCACGGAGTACTCCGTATGTAGGCCTCCAGAAAAGCGAAGTCAATCACGGAGTATGAAAGTGTGCAAAGATGGAGCAGGGGTCATCGGTCCTTGAAGCCAATATTGCGACATCATCTAAAAGCTTGCAGGTTACCTGCAGCAGTTGCAACCCTCAGCTAGCCCACCGGGCAACCGCGGCCCATGAGCCACTCAAACTGCAGGCGCTACCTTCCTCTTTCCTCTTTGCGCACGCTACTAACCGCCGTGTACGAGTGTGAATAGGACAATTACGAAGCCAGCCGCGCATTATCTGAATTGCACAGTACCTTTATACTATATGTCTACTTATGTAGGAAGGCGCGTTAGACAGGGAAAGAGCGGCCGAAAAGAGCGGCCATGACCTGCGGGCAATGGGATAGCAATTGAAAATGGTTGCATGGCGCGAAGACAGTCTGCCACTCTGCCCGTGTTGACTCATGCAGGCCTCGTTCGATGCACAGGACATGCGGTATCCCGGATTAAATATTGAAGGAGGTTGAAGGTGACGATATGAGGGGCTGGCAGCTGCTGACTGCCATCGGGGGCAAAAAGGCGCATGCAGTACTTTCTTCTCTTTTCGAGCGGAGTATGGAAACACCAACAAGTTACGTTTTGCATCAATACACCGGACAGGGCCAGCCGGCGGATCGTTTACATGTCCGAGTTGAATTGGGTGGCCTGACTTGCCGCCTGGCCTGCCAATGGTTGGACAGCCGAGAACGATCTCCGACAGGCATTCGGGAAACGCAGCAGCATAAATCAATGCACATGATCACTCTCCTCTTGTACGGAGTACAGATACGGCCGTTCTCGCGTCTTCATTATCGCTGATCGTCTCTGGTGCGAGACGATCAATGGGGCCATGCAAGGCTGGAACAAGATATCTACGAGCACGGAGTAGCGGCCGAGTCTTCCCGCCATCATCTTGTGCACGGGCACTTTTCTGCACCCCCTCCCCCCACAGCTCTTGCTTTGGTTCGTCATTTCCAGCATGTCTCTTCCAACAGCAGAGATAGGATCCCTTGGATAGGACACGGCTCTGCAACCAAAAATGTCGCTGTTTTTCTCAAACCCAACAGCGGCACATTTTGGAAAACCGCACAAAAGTGTCTCCCTTACAACCATCACTCTCCGACCTGCAGCTAAAATGGAACCCCTGCTGCTTTTGATGCAGCCAGGTTGCTTTTTTCTTGTCCGGTCTTTGCAAAAGTCCAAGGAGGCAATTACATTACGTGCCGCATCCGCCTTCCCACTTCCGGTGTAGCATGTGTTTCTTCCCTTGGATCGTGGATGTCACTCGGATTTCCAGCATGGCACGGGTACGGAGCACTGTGCCACGGGCCCCATGTCTAGACGCGTACACGCTCCTTTTTACAGATTTCCTTCTCCAACGAAGTATACTTCGAGGCTGGGCAGGGGAGGTTGTCGGGAATCCCTCTCAATGTCTTCCCAGCCACCTGGCCGGCCGCTTTCTTTTCCGCCTCTGCCAGTCCTAAAACGGACACAATACGGAGTAAAGAGCACGAAAAAGCAGACTGGGGATGAGAGGAGAAGGGGCCAAGGTCCCATCTCGGACGCTACTCCTTGCTCGGCGAACTAATAGTCCGTGAGCCTGGGGTGAGGGTGGTCGTGCCCTCGTTTCCTCCACAGACGAAACTGCGAATACCTCATGTCAGAACTCACACTGCTAGTGCAGGGCGACTCTGTTGTTGCTCATCTCTCTTTAGTCTCTTCTGACAGCGAATATAAATCGTCACCGTCCCCCAACTCCTCCCGGTTATTTTTGCGCCTAGAGCCTCACCCTCACCACTTCTCTTACTTTCGGTTCCAGTCCAGAAATATATCTTTCCCTTCTCGTCCCGCTGTGCGCTTTTCTTGTGTGGTTACTCCAAACGGCTCTGCGAGCTCTTTTTTCTTCTCATTTCCAAAATTAAACAGCCACCGACCCCAGCTGTGTTCCCACCAGGTCTCAACTTGGCCGGCGCTTAGCACGTTATATTGCATACTTGTCTCCACCAAGCATCAGCACTTTGGTTATAACTGATTTTTCCTGCTGTTCTTTGCCTTCTTCTGTTTTCCAGATCTTTTACATCTCCTCCACAAAAACACCCGGCGAGCAACCATGCAGTGCAGATCGCGCGCCCTTCTTGTCAGCCTGTTGGCCGTGGCTTCAGCATCGCCCTGCAAGCCAAGGCCTGCCTCCAGCACAAGTGCCAGTGCAACAACAACACCAACGCTGCCGCTTACCGGTACTGGTAGGCATATACTGCCCCCGGCTTCCCTCTGTCTGGAAACGCAAGCTAATATCCTCTTTTAGGCAGCGAGCTCTCTGCTGCAAACTCCAGCCTGTCATTGCTCAAAATCGCCATTGGTCATGGGCTACAGAATTACACCTGTCTCAACAGCTCGGCAGCTGTAAAGGCGCCTGGTGCCCTCGCTGTGCTCTACGACGTCACCGATCTGTACCCCGGCATGTCGGGCTCAAGCCTCATTGCTGATGTCTTCGACGCCCTCACCACAACCCTGATCTGGAATCAGGATATTCCGCTCAACCTCCAGAACTCGGAGGCCGCTAACCCAGGCACACCTGCGGTGCCCAATGCCATGGCCGAGAGCCTCTACGGCGCCGTTGTTGGCTCGCCATTTCCCAGCCCAGCTGCGGCTCTGAGCCTGCCGACCGTGTTGCCGGCTTCTATTCCCTTCCTAGGCCATCACTACTTTGACTCGGCCGGCTCGCCCACGTTTGACCTTTCTGCCGCCGGCTTGCTGGGAAGCATGGCCAAGGCGAGCGATGTGACTGCTCCTTCGACTGCGGAAAAGGGCCCGCTGGGCACCGGTGCCGTCGACTGGCTGGAGCTGAAGGACAACGGCCGTGGCATCTCCCAGGGCATCTCACAGGTTTTCCGCGTCATGACCGCCGGTGGCGTTTCCGAAACGTGCAACAAGGTGGATGCTGCTACGGGCAGTGTGCCCTACACTGCCTTTTACTGGTTCTACGGTTAAAGCAACCAGAAACAGAACCAGGACCAGAGCCCATCAATCTCTGGGAACACGTATACACACACTTCCTTTTTTTTCCTCGTCTTATTTTATGACTGGCTCTCTCGCTTGTAGTAGATACACTGTTCTACTTCTTGTTTGGCGGGTTTGGATATACCCTGCCACCTTCGGTTGCTGTTTCTGTTTCATTATCCCCCATTTGGCAGGGGAGGGGCTCATTATACGGATATTACTTCTCTTTGGTTTTCCATCTTTTTATTTTGTTTTTTTGTTTAGCATTGTATATTTAATATTACAATGGGGTCCAATAGGCGTTTAGACTAATCGGGAAGGCCAAACTTGGTGTTGGTTGCATCAAGTAGACGACGGTAACTGGAACAAAAATAAAACAGACCATAAGCAAATGGAGTATCAGTTTGCAGCATTATGTGTACCGGCAATATTGAACTGAGAACGGGAAAAGAGAGAAGACACCGAGATTACGCAAGACAGGTACAGCGTGGCGGCCGGGCGAGAGGCCGTTTATGGATAGAGACTGGGCAGCGGCTAATGATTGGCTAAGACGGTACGGCAGGCTGAACACTTGCTGTTCTGGGAGGCGCCAGCGATGCAATACACATGGCATTGGACTGATGGATGGATATACCCCGTAGGTGCTGATTCATCCCACAAGATCAAGCTTCCACGTGACATGTCCGAGGCGCCGGTGAATTCAAGGTTAGGAAATGAGGCGAGGGACAACAAGGACCGCTGCTGACAAGCAACGAGGGCTACGTAAGACAGCAGCAGAGGATTGGCAGATAGGGTTGGCAGTATGGCAGCGCCGGCCAGCAAAAAGGTGGGATGGCACAAGAGCATGGAGCTCAAATAAAGAAGGGAGACATGGGTTATAACCAAAGTGGTGATACGACGAAGAGCCGGCGACAAGGAGAGCCAGACAGTTATTTAGAGGGGAGAGCAGAGGGACGGAGTGGTTTTGAAAAAATTGCAGCTATGGCTGCCTCTCGTTTCCAAGAGTTTTGTTTTTTGCTTTTTGTGATTTTTGTGTTCTTGTCAAAGAGCCGGTCTCTCTGCGACAAGTGACTGAAACAGGTAAGGAAATAGATATTCAGCCTTCTTCAAGCGACGAGTCCTCTAAACTACCATGATTCCTGAATGTCAAAACAATAGAGCAACTTTCCTCGTCGCTCTCCAGCGCACCCCACCGTCGGAAAAATGTACATGACAGGACCGTAACTTTTTTTTGCGAGGTTTAAAGTCTTTTTTTTATTGTAGATAGGAAAAATATCGGAAACAGAAACCACAGCCAACGGCCGAACAGCCGGGGAAAAGATGCCTCGACCCTTATTTTCGGTTCGATGCCGGTCGGAATATTTGTTCCGCCAATCTGTCGCTCAGCGTGCTGTCCTCCGGGGACTGTGATCATTTATGCCGTCGGGTTGGCGTTCATCTAAATTTGAGTTTTCGCGGTTAGCATCTCGTGCATCTCGTGCTTCTCCCCGCCTCCCAAAAATCTTGGCTTCGCACAGCAGGGCCCCTCCTAGGGCAAAAATTCGAAACCCGCTCCAAAAAATACAAATCTTACCTTGCGCTTGCCGCCCGGTGCCAGCGTGACGTTCACGAACCGCCGAGTGTACAGCTCCCGCTTGTGCGCGCGGCCCTTGGGGACCTTCTTCTTCTCCTGAGCCTCGACCTTGGGAGTCTGCGACTTGACCTTACCGGCACGCGCCAGAGAACCGTGAACCTTGCCCATGATTGCTGTGTTTGGGGGTGATGATGTGGAAAGATGGGAGAATTTGTCGAGGGTGGATGGATTTTTCGTTTGGCGGCGTGAAAGATTGTGTGTCGGTGAATTGAGGATGAGAAAGTGGAACAAGCGCCGAAAAGACGATTTCGAATATATTTTGGTGAAATTTTGGCAAAAAAAACAGGTCTAGGTCACGTGCTACTTGCCACTCCGTGTGACTAACTCTCCGCCCCATAGTAATGCATGTATCGGACTTACGGGTTGTGGGTTTCTTAATCCCAGAAATGCGATTCGCTCTAATTTCTCTCAGGCTCATTTGGCTCTCGACATACGAACGAAACAAGAAGTCGTCGAGAAAACTCATGCTCTCAAAAGTCCCTGCAGTGAAATAGCCAGAGGCTGCGTCTACGCCAAACGCTTCATAGTAACCTCTATCTCCGCGCATCGAGCCCGCCAGCAAGCTCCTGCTCCAGGCCGGCAGGGTGGTTCACGTACTCCTGTGGGCGTGGGTCTTCTGATGTCCACTGGCTGTGTCCAGCAGGCATGGGCACCTGCTGCTGGGCTTGGGCAGCCTGGGCTGCAGCATGGCCTGCCGAGCCCGGCACGGTGCGAACGAGCTGGCGGAAGCGGTAGACCTCGTTCAGAATCATCCTGCGCATCTCATCCACATCATCGACGACCTCGAAATCGAAGTTGAACGTGGCCGGGCAGTCTGGCTCGTCGCTGGCATCATGCCAAATCTGCAGGTAGGGGTGCTCGAGAGCCTGTTCGACCGTGATGCGGCTACTGGGATCGAATGCCAACATGCGGTCCAGCAGATCGAGGGCATCGGGGTTGGCGCTGGGGAAGAGTGACTGGAACGAGCGCTTCGCCATAAACGGAAGGTTGCGCACGTACTCCTGGGCGCGTGAAGACCCGATGCGTGACAGCGTCTGCTCGTTCGGCGTACCCAAGATTTGCAGAATCTGGTTCAGCTGGTCGACGTAATCCCGACCCTTGAAGAACGGACGGCTGCCCAGCAGCTCGGCCAGGATGCAGCCAACCGACCACACATCAACTGTTTCACGTCAGTCGATGTCACCAAAACGAGAGTTCTGGCCCGTATTGCATAACGTACTGGCTTTTGTATAGCTCTGGAAGCTCAGCATGATCTCAGGCGCGCGGTACCAGCGTGTGGCGACGTACTCCGTCATGTAGCCGGCATTTTCCTCCGGGTCGACGGAGAAGCCACGAGCAAGACCGAAATCGCAGATCTTGAGCTCGCAGTCGGCGTTCACCAGCAGATTGCCGGGTTTCAGATCACGATGCAGCACGTTCGCCGAGTGGATGTACTTGAGGCCGCACAGAATTTGGTAGATGAAAGACTGGAAGTGGGCATCGGTCAAGGGCTGTCCAGAGCGGATGATGGCAGCGAGATCGCATTCCATGACCTCTGTGATCAACGGGACTTGTTAGCCTATGCTACTCGCAAACAGCATGCCACAGATAGAGTGCTCGCACCTTCGTAGAGGTAAGTCTCATTGAAGTTGTTCGGCCGCGGAATGTCCATGTCGTAAAGGCAGGTGATCTGGCCCGGGTTAATCATGGCTGTCCTGCTGTGATTCCAGCTGACTACTCACGTTTCGGTGGCCACGGAAGTGCTGGAGAAGCTTGATCTCGCGCAGGGCGCGCTTAGCGAGGATCTTTTTGCTGAAGACATTGGTGACCTTCTTGATGGCGACGCCCTCGTTTGTCTGGTTGTTGACGGCGGCACTGTACGGATGCCGGGTCAGCTCATATGCGCCGGTAGAAAACAGACACAGCGGCCGGTTTAAAGATAAGGTTGGGAGAAGGGCGACCTACCAGACAATGCCGTAAGCTCCCTGGCCGAGCTCCTTGGTTACTGTGTAGCGCTCATCGACAATGAAGTCCTGGTTAAAGACCTTGAAGACCTTGCGTCCCTGCAGATCGGCCATCTTGAGTTCTTTGCCTGCTTTTGTGGGTTGAGAGGGAGAGAAAGCGGTGCCGATGAGGAGACAAATGCGACACTCTGAAGGCCGTCTCGCTGGCGGGGTTGTGCGATACGCCGAAGGACTCGTAATAATAAGGTCCGCGCGCGAGGGGCTGCGGGGCTCTTTTCGGGATTCGTGTTGCGTGTTAGATGTGCCACTGCAAGAAGCGCAACAAGGCGGGATTTTGACGACGAGCGAGACGAGTTGTGATGGCGGTGAGTTTCTTAACTCGAAATGGAAAGGTCTCTGGTTCTGGAAGAAAGAACCACAAACGCATGCTGTCAAGCACAAGAAAGAGGGCCTTGGAAGGAGCGAAGGACAGTCCGCATGCGGCAGGAAAGGACGGACTCTGAAGCTGACGGATCGGCTGACGAGAGAAGCGGAAATGCCCTGCGGATTACGGTCTCACACGCTGTCAGAGTCTACGGCGAGAGCGAGTGGTGAGCAATGGTTGCCCTATTTATCTGTGTCGCGAAGAAGGCAAGGAAACTGGGCAACGAGCGACAACCCCACATAAGCAGATGCCTGTCACTGGCTGTTCGTATCTTTTTATAAATTCTTTTTTTTTGGCCCCGGGCGGCAAACGGCTGCCAAAAAAAGGAACGTCCAGACAGCGTTACAGAGGGACTAATCCGCATCCGTCCGCCACAGAATAGGGGAACAATGCGCGTAAATTGTGAGGACTTGACGTTGTCCTATGAGGAGACGGCATTGGCGGCCGTCACAAGTACTAATGTATCTAACCGCCCGAGAGCCCCTGGAAGTCCGGGCCAGAAGAGACGATCAAACAGATGGCTTCTAGGCAGAATCAGGAAAATGACGTGGGCTGCCCTCATCTTCGGCCTCGGCCACTCCCGGATCGCATCGGCCATGGTGCAGATAGATGCACTTGCAAGAGAACCATGGAGCTGGGACGAGGGCGGCCTCTCTCGACGAGGCCCGATTGCCGACAAGGGTGTCGGATGATAGTAGCATCGCGGTGGATAGAATATAGAAAGCGAATGAGCGAGATGCATTGTCGTTGACGGCTTCAACTGAGAAACAAGTAAAAGAGCTGATATGTATTATATCCTGGTTCTGGCGCAGCAGCTGGCCGCTGTGTCCAGAGCGGTGGAACACCGGATCTTCTGCACTGCCATTGAACTCTTCTAGTATCTCTTTCTGGCTCGTCTCCCTCCGTCCTTTCTGCGCCCCCATCTTCCCTCACGACGTCTCAATGTCGGGGAAGATTGCCTTGAGAAAGTTCTGGCTGAACCGGGTGGCTTGCTCGTACGTCTTGGTGAAGCCGTCGTGGCCGCCGTAGTAGGGGTCGGATATCACCTCGGCGCGTCCTGTGCCCGAGTACTCGCCAAAGAGCTGCACGCGCGCCTTGCTGTCGGGCTTTCGTCGCTTCAGCGTCTCTAGGTCGTTTAGGTTCTGACGGTCCATGGCGAAGATGTAGTCGAAGCGGTCAAAGTCGGCGGCGCAGATCTGCGGCCGTCGAGCAGCGTCAGCCCTGCATCCTCAATGTCCTGCCTCGCTTCTCGCCGCAAAAACCCTTTAGCTTCTCGGACGCACCTTTCTTGCGCGATGGTGGTAGTCGGTGATGCCGTTCTGCTTCAGCGTGGCCATGGTGCGGTCATCTGGATCGTCGCCCGTGTGGTAGCCGACTGCAATGAACATAGGCATGGATCAGCTAAAAAGCATCGTCTGCCTGTGCCATCAGGTTTGCATCTGCTCACTCACTCGTTCCGCACGAATCAATCTTGGCGATGCATCCCTCGTAGGGCGCCTTCTTGGTCATGGCCTGGAAAACGCCCTCGGACATGGTCGAGCGGCAGATGTTGCCCATGCAGCAGAAGAGGACAGAGACTTGGTCAGGCATGGCGTGCGGATTGGCGACGAGCAGAGACGTGAGGACACCGAGTTGAAGCCCTGAAAACCCGCGTGCTCGAACCTCTGACGCATCTCCAGTGGGGCAGCGCGTCGCAAACCGATAAGATAAGAAAAGACAGTGCATATGTATATGTTTATAGCAGAAAATGATATTTCGTACTGTATTGCATTGTCCCTACGAAACAAACGAGATCACATTTGACAATTATACATTGCTATCTGGGGACAACTTTCGAACTGTCTTCTCACTCGTCACTCGTTTGATGACCTCAAATGTGGAAATATGTCGGTATTATGTATTTAGGGGCTGTGCTAATAAATCAAAACTATCTACAACATAACATATCCGTCGGACATGATTAGTTTCCACACAGAAACCACAATTTCACACTACCTTCATCTTGTTCCCTGACCTGGAACTGTGGAAGATCTCCCGCCTTCAGTGAAGCTGGGACCTATCTTCCTCTAGACGATCTCCCTATCTACTATGGTTCATAATCGCATGAACCTCCCCTATCTCAGCCTGTATTCTCGGCATCTAACGAATGCTCAGACGTCGACCATGCCGACGGATAAAACGCATATCTCCAGCCCACATCCCGCCATGTCTTCAGAATCGCTCTGGACGTTATTGAAGCCACGCCGGCGCCGTACGATATTCGCTTAATCGGATCCACGGAAGGACGGTGTCTTTTGTCGGTACAGCTTCTGCCTGGCTGGGTTACAGAACTTGACAAGAGGCGAAAGAGGGCCAAAGTCGCATGATTTTTAATGTTAAGCTTTAACACTACCTCAGGCAGGGCGGTGTAAGTTCCAGGAGCTCACCCCGCAGTGCAGTAAGGCTGGTAGCAGCCGCCGATTCTCAACGAGTCGCTAACCGCGTTTCTTACAGATACAGCCGCAGAAAAGGGCGTCGACAGCAGACTCACGTGCTCTTGGGAGCACACAACTCTTCCGGAAGGATGCACAACATGAGGTGTTGGACAGAGCATTACAGAGATCGGAAGTAGTACCTGTACTTCCTATTACCGAGCATCCGTTCAAAGCGCTTTAGCATGATGAGTGTCTCCGGGCTCCTTCCGAACAAACGGCCTTCTTTTCTCGCTCTTATTTAGTCCTCCATTATCCTGTTCCCATGTTGACATTCGAGCTGCTCGCACGCACCAAAGCGGCAGTCAGCCAAAAGCAGTTCTACAGCAACACCACCTCCATGTCGAAGCCCATCCAGCGCCTGACGCTCTTCAAGATCGCTGATATGGCGAACCAGAAGAAGCTGCTGGAGTACTACAAAGCTTTACCGACAAAGGCCGTCAAGGCAGGTCTCTCTCCGATCCACTTCACTTTTCCCTTTCGGGCTGGAAGCTGCAGCTGACTCTCTCAGGATGGCAAGCCGTACATCAAGTCAATCATGGCCGGGCTCACCAAGGAGGACCAGCGTAACCAGGGCTACACGGTGGCAGCCAACACGACGTTTGCGTCGATCGAGGACATGGCCTACTACGACAACAATTGTGCCGCGCATGCCGAGGTCAAGGATTTTGCCAGACCGGTGACGCAGGACATCCTGATGGTGTATTTCGAGAACGAGATGCTGTAGGAGATGAAGCAGAGAAATAGGAGGCCCAATTCAGTTATATCCATGCTTCAGCCTGGACCAGGCCATGAGATCCAGTTTGTCCAGTTTGTCTAGCTTCATGCAGTCAAGTCTATATCGCGTCATGGCCTTCTCTGCAACCGAATTGTTCCACGGAAAGACATTGCACCGTCATAGCCCGCGGGAGACGCCACAATGAGGCCAAAAGCTGGCCTCCAACAGCATCGCTAACAAAAAAGCTTACGGCCGCCGACAAACAAAGTGTTAGGGCTAAGGGATGGGTCTAAGTGCGGGGAAAGCCCTGTTTTTCCAGGTGGCCCCTTGTCACCACAAACACGGTGTAGTGCCATGGGCCGAAGCGGAAACGGGGCGACAACAAAGTCCGCCGAGCGATGCGCAAGAAGCATGTGCTCAGAGCGCCGTCCCGTATTTCCCCTCCCCTCTTGCGCCTGACATGTATTCCCCAGCCTGAAAAGCTGGGGGAAGTGTCTCGGGGGTACAAACAGCCGTTTGGCAGTTTACCGGGGGCACTATGCTCGATTGGGAGGCAGTGAGCTGAAGTAGGAAAGAAAGCAGGAGATCTGGAGATTAAAGTAACCAGAACAAGGGAAAGACGGCCGATGAGAGCGAAAACAGAAAAGAGGAAAAAAAGGATAAAAAGTACTTGTGACCAGGTCCCATGCAGAGACGCTGAGGAAGCACCACTGGGGTATGCTTCACCCGCTGTAGCCATGTACTTGTACATTGCGACGAAGGAGCGAGCTGGAGGACCAGGGTCATTCGGAGTGATACCGGACATCCGCGGCTTATCAACAGCGGATTACAGAGTACATTGTCGTCTTAACATGTGGATGACCAGGGAAAGAGGGGGGGAGGCTGTATCTGAAGACGGCCGACATGAGCCCAGTTGCTGTTACTAAAAAATAGGACGGCACGGCCTCATCAGCCAACCCATCTTTTCTATCTGTCGGGTATGTCGGCCTCTGCTCGACCTTATATTCTCGGCTGCCCAGCTATAGTCGCACCCTCCCTACTACCTCCTCGTTCTCGCCGTCTGCTAGCCTTCCTTTACTCGTTTTCAGCAAAGGAAGCGAGTGGTCGAGCAAGCGAGTCTGTCTTCCGTCTCCGGTCCACACACAAGACACCCTCTGCCCAACAGCAACGATGAAGCTATCCTATGTCGCCGGTCTCCTGGGCCTCACGGCGTCCATTGATCGGCGTGATGTCGGCGATCTCGCCCAGAGCCTGCCAGCCTGCTCGCTGAGCTGCTTCCACCAGGCGGCCCAGACCTTTAACTGCGATCCCCATGACATTTCCTGTCGCTGCTCCAAGGAAGTCCAGATGACAGCCACCATGGAACGCTGTCTGCAGCGATCCTGCTCGGACCACCACAAAGCGAGTGCGTGACCCTACTGCTGCCGCCTGCTGCTAATCCATCTGCTGACATAAGCACAATTTCTCAGTCACCGAGAATCTCTCCCACGAGATCTGCAACATCCAGCTGCAGAACAACATGCTGTACAAGAAGTCGGCCGAAGCCGCCCCAGCGCCAGCTCCAGCTCCGGTTCCGGCAATCCCAGATGTCCCGGTCGTGCCGGATTTTGCTCGTCGGGCGCCTGAGGCTGTGGCGTCGTTCCCGGTCATCGCCTCGAGCATCCCGGCATCGTCCATCGCCCCCTTTGCGACCAGCACGGCCACACCGGCGCCCGTCGTGACCGCCGGTGCCGCCGCAGTTGCCACGCCCGTTGCCATGTTGGCGGTTGCCGCTGCCCTCGGCGCCATTATGCTGTAAGGCAGCAGACCGACAGCCAAGAACAGAGAGCAGAGAGTAGAGAGATCGACGGACCGGAAGAAAGTAATGTGGAGGCGCTCGTGCCGCGAAACTCTCGCTCGATACCAAAGCCATTACAATACCAGATACACACTGTCCATACAAATAACAGCTAATTTCAAAGTCTATTGGTCCTTGTACGTCATGCTATGATTGTGTCTGTTCTGGCCATGTTGCCGTTTCTATCCGGCCTTCTACCGGCATTCTACCCATTTTGCAGCACAACAGTCTCCTACTCATGCTCACTACTCTTACCCGGGGCTGAACTTGCCCAGAGCACCGAGCCGGCCACCGTCAAAGAAGTCGGCTGCGCTGTCCAGGGCCATCATGTGCTGGGCGTACTCCATACCGCGGCGGCGCTCGTGCTCGACGCGGCGCCAGTCCCAGTCAGCGTCCTCATTGCCGGCAGGAGGCACGTATGTGGTGGAGTCCAAGTCGGCGAGGTCGCCGATGGCGTCGGGTCCGCCACCACGCCAGCCCTCGCCCGGCCGAGCCGGCAGCAGGTCGCTGCCCTCGATCAGGTAGCTCGGGTGAACGGTGAAGCGGCCAAGCTTGAAGACGTACTTGCTGATGGCGGTGGCGATAACATGCTTCTGCAGCTTCTCCTCGTCGGCGTCGGTCCAGGCGGCCGATGCAGGCGCAGGCCCGACTTGATCCCAGACGGCCGGCCTAACCTTGCCCTTGACGACAAAGTGAGTCAGGACGAAGAGCCACTTGCGGTCCCACGAGAGGATCCGGCTCCACATCTCATAGCCCTGGTACGAGGCGATCTCCTTGCGAAAACTGCAGAAGACGGCGCCCAGGCCTACGCCAAAGTTGCCCGGCACCGCCTTGGTCTCGTCGGTCGGCAGCCGCACCATCTTGGTCTTGGCATTGTCGCCCAGCGCGGCGACACCAGGGCCCAACAGGTACATCACCAGGTGCGACCGGCTGGTGTCGAGATCCGAAAAGTACGTGCTGTTGGACTTGTGCAGGTTGTAGTCCGTCTCGAGCAGGGACGTGTACGAGCTCGTGATGCTGTAGTGGAAGAGCGAACGGCGCGGCAATGGCTTGCGCGGTAGCACCACATGTCGGATCATGGTAGAGAAGACGCGGACCTGAAAAGTCAGCAAAACGGCTCAGAAGAAGGGGAGTGGTCGAGAAAGAAAAGGAAGACCATGGGGGAGGAACAGCACACAAGACCTACCGTCCATGCAAACGGAATTGACTTGAGGTTGATCAACAGCATCACCAGCAGCATCAACCGACTCGTCCGTCCCGGTCCCGTGGCAAAGTTGGAAAGCCAGCCGCGCCAATCGGACCGCCAGAAGACCGCATGGCCCGCATAGGCCGTGCTCGCCACCGTGACGGTGCCGAAGAGCGGGATGAGCACGCCAAAGTCGGCGAGTCCGCGTGCCGAAGCCATTGCGATCGGAGAGCACGAGAAGGTCGAGGGAGGAGGGGAAATGCCGGTATGACGAGCTGTGCGAACAGGAGGGGAGGGCAGCTCGCAGGAATAAGAGAATAAACCCTCTTTTAAAGTAGGGCCAACCGGGTCTGGGCCATCGTCTCGACCCTGGCTTAGGGCTCCGCCGGTTCCGTGATCGTTTCCACTCGTTCGTCAGTCAGGACGCACGGAGTACGGAGTTGTGTTTGAAAATGCCTTTTGGTCTAAAAATTCCCGCTATCATGGTAGGCTTCCATCGCTGGCCAATCGGACGTCACAGCTGCACGCCATTGATCCACACGAGGCGCTGCTGAGCCGAGGCATCTCGACGATTACGACTTGTCTTTCTGCCTTTGCGGTGAGCTGCTCCTGCCTCACGCCCATTGGCCCTTGTGCTATCTATGCAGCCCACGCATTGGGGGCCGTCTCGGCCGGCCACTACTAAAGATGGCCCCATAGCTCTTGGCAAGCGATGGATGCAACGAGGCCGATCCTTATCTTGGCCAGTTGCTGCAGACGCAATTCGCCACGGTGAGCGTGGGTCATCAGTACACGCACACAACATTTGACAATACATTATGCGATCTCTATATTAGTCCGTACGTTGAAACATATAAATCCAAAGCAGCTTCTTAAGATACACTCAATATCTGCCATATATTCTCCATATATCCAGGATCAAAATAGAGACGGACAGCCAAGAAAGCAAGCACCCCAAACAACGAAGCAGACCTGACAGATAGAACAGCAAGAAGGCGACCAGACAAAGTTAAAGATCTACTATCACTCACTGGAGTCGTGATCTTAATACCTAATGTAGCCATGGGAACGGCTTGCCCGTCGATCTGGGCGTTCCCCCCTGAAATAGATGCGGCTACAACATATTCGTGGCCAGTTTCGCTAGTCATCTTCAGTACATTCCCACATCCAGTAACGGCCGGAAGCTCGTTTTCCACCATATTCCATCGTGCCGGTTGTGCATTGTGTCTCATCAACAAGACAAATATGCCACGGGTTTCAGGAGAAGACATGTCAATTATTACACATTGTGGCCCCTGGGATTTGTCCCGGAAGTCGAGGAGAATGCCGAAGGACACCTTATCGTATCCGCTAGGGCCTTGCTGGCTGGTGCATGAGAAAGCAACCACGTCGTTCAGCGATTCGGGCTGGCAACAAATGCGCGTTCTCTCGTCCCACAATCGTGGGGGCAAATTCCTATATTGAATGCCATAGGCACCAAAATCCGGGACGTAGATACCTTCTGGATAAAGGCGTGGGTGATAGACAATGTGCAGGTTGTCTATGGCGGAGGTAGAGACTTTGTTGCCGGAAATGGGGCTTGTATCATCTAAACTGGAAAGACTCCCTCCTGCATGCATTGCCATCGAGGGAATACTTCTTGGTGTACCAGCAGCAGCACTGAGAACTGCGCTGGGGCTCAACAAGACGTAGCACGTTTGGCTCTCCGTCGTTCTGACAGCCCTGATCTTGTTTTCAGGAATCATTGCTAGGGAAGACATATTCTCCCGCAGATATGAATCGGGCCCAATCTTCTTCAGCCAAATGCCAACATATGAATCGGTACTTTCAGAAATTCCAAGTGGCAGGACATAACGGTATCGTTCAGCCCCCTCGTCATTGCAACACATGGTACTGTTTCTGCTAGTAAATTTCGGAACATCTTTTTCCGAGAAAGGAAGAAGGACCAGAGATGTTGTGATGCGCAGACCGCGGTTGGTGATGGAAAAATCGGAACCCGTATGGCTAAACCGACTGATCGGATAGGACATTTCGAACTCGGCAGTCGTCAACGCAAATAGGGGCATGTATGCTGTGAGATCGCCGTGGTGGGCCAGAGGCATCTGAACCGAAGTTGTGTCTCGGCGAGAAGCTGTCGGAAGCCAAGCGAAGGCTGTCAAATCCACGTTATGCTTGATAATCTCTTCTTGAAGCCTCTGAAACGCCTTCTCTCGCTCCCCATAAACAGGTACGACGTAGGCCTCGAGTATTCCAAACAAGCAGTATGCCGAATCTTCGATACGTGTGGTGATCCGTCTAGATGCCCATGACATGCGCTGGGCGAACGAATAATGTGCTAATGGCTCATGTCCCAAGATCGCCGGCTCGGGAATGAGTGTGATTTTCGAGAGGCGTGTTGATAGCTGTACTTTGGATCCGATGGATTTCCACTTGCTGTCGTAAAACTCCACGTTTCGAGGTGCAAGAAGTTCCTGGAGTGTCCATCCGCGCGTGAACCAGACACAATCTTGAAATGCGTCTGCATCTGACGACTTCAAATCATAGAGATACACATAGCATACAGCAGCATTCTGGTACCAGCGAAACATGGAGATGATGGACTCCCTGACTTCGATATCGTTTGTCTTGTCCATGCAACACGAGTCGATCCACACGTACTCAATTCCGTGAGACAACGCAAGCTGACATGTCCCAGTAACTTTGTAGTACTCAGCTTTCCCGGTCGCAGCGGAGCTCAGCATATCCTGCAAAGTCACTTCTTCCGGGGCGTTCCATCTGTGCGATAGAATGGCATATCGAGGGACATGGGCATCGGAAAACTCTTTGAGATGCAGCGTTTTGCAATGGATGAGTCTCATGATGGGTGATTATGGCGTTTGTGTGTATATGAGTGTTTGAATAATAGATGGGAATGTCAGCCAAACATGGAAAGACGACATGTTAAATACACAGCCAGCGCATCAACACATGAGGCCATAATGGAGGCTGCCTCCGCCTATTCTCGGATTTGCCGCCCGCATGGAGCCCTCCTTGCCAGACGGCCCACACTTGCTCCTCGACCCAAACGGTCTTGAAACCGCGAGGCTGCGCTGCAGGAGAACGGCATGAGCAGCGTTCTGTCCTGCCAATGGCTTCCCACCAGCAGTGCGCTTCAGTAGAGATTGCACAATCTTGCGGTCCTGCGGGGCCAAGGAGGCCGTGCAAAGGCGACCCGGAAGCACAAGCCGGACAGCGACATAGCCTCACGATTGGTGCTGGGCTGCCCAAATCGCACGACGTTGCTCCGTATTTTTAGCCGCCGACCATAAGTACGTGCTGGGACAAAATAGCGGGATCGACATGGAATCCTTAGAATGAATGGGCGACTAGTTCTGTCTTCCATAATTTGGTGCCTCTCCATCCACAGACTGGTTACAAAAGAACTTGTTACGCGCCTGTCTCGAAATGCTTCGTTTGGCGCTCAACGGCTGCATTTCGACGACCCGCATCTCAATGGTGTCACGACGATCGATGAAGTGAGATATCCAATTCGCCTGCCTAGTAATATACAGAAAAAATAAACAGTGAAGAAGATAAACTAAAAAGGAGATAATAATGAGCGAGTCGCAAGTTTATGCCGGGGCTCTTGTATTACAGCTTCCTCCACAGCTTGAAGGTGCATCCGCCTGTGTCCGCCTCTACCTGCCAGCTCGAGGGGCCGCAGCTCTACGCTTCTGCACCGCTCAATGGTACCACGTCCCGCCGTCTTCGAGATGGAAGAGGATGCGACATCGCTTCGTCTGGCATACCTTTTTCCGCTGCAGGTTCTTGAACTTGGGTCCCACCGGCCCTGTGATATAGTGGTACTGTCCAAACAACCGCCACTGCCGCTTGTCGCCCAGTTCGTACAGCTCATCGCCCCATGTACCCGTGAAGTGGAACCACGATGTGGGCGCATCAGGGTTAGAGGCAGCTGGCGTGAGGCTTGTAAGCAGTGGAGAGGTCGTATCGTCGCCATCGTCGTCGCCGCTGTTGTCACTGATCTCGCTCTCGTCGTCGCCCTCGTCGATGTCCTCGTTGCTGCCAGCCTCGTTTTCGCCAATGACATAGTCGTAATGGTACGCCAGGTTGTTCTTGGCCGGGTCCCAGAGCGGGCCCTTGTCCGTCACGTCCTTGAGCATCTGGAACGGCAGCACATACGGATGATTGCCCGGGACAGCATACATAGCATGACTGCCAACGGCCGAGTAGATGACCGGCCGTTTTGGCAGCGGCGGTAGATTGGCATCCTCGTCTGCGCTCCGCTTCGGCTGGAACTTTTCAAGCGCACCCCACGCGTACGCCTGGCCGCCTTCGTGCTCGCTGAGGAAGAGCGCCCGGGGCACGCCGTTCTCGAAACGAATCATGCAGTGCTCCCAGTCGCCTATATGGTTGCCGTACCGCACACCCAGCACCGTCTGGCCGAGGTTGTAGCTGTAGAAAAAGAACCAAAACGCGTCCATGATGCCGGAGCCCTTGTCGACCATCACCAGGATCGCAGGCGCTGCCGAATAGCCACTGTCGTCGGGCTTGTGGCCGTATTGCGGTTCCACCACTACAATCGGCTTCTGTTGCGTGGGAGTCTTACCGTCTGTCGCCGCCGCTGTCTCGAGAGGGACAATGGCGTCGACAGCAGTTGCAGCCCCGGCGACAGCCGCGTTGACAACGTTGGCAAAACCCGAAACACCACCGGCAGCCTGGTGCAGATTTTCAATCCGCGAGCGGTGCGCGCGCGTGTCTTCAGGACCGTCCATTCGTGGGTGTCGGTCCAAGCTGAGGATCTTGCGCGGGTCCGACAGCTGGTGCAGCGGGTGGTCTCTGTCGACGTCAAACCAAGTGGTGTCGTCAGGGTACTTCCGCCGGGGGTCAGTGGCGTGACCGCTGCCGTCTTCTCGCGGCTTTCTCTGCCCGTCACCCTGGTTATCGCCATCGCTGTTCTCGTCGTCCGCAAACGGGATCGGCTTATTGGCACGGCTCAGCAACCACGCCGGTCTTTCCTCCACGTCGTCCATGCTGGTGAGGTACACCTTGCCTGTTTCGTTGTTCAGTTGTGCCATATTGTCGAGCGTCAGTGGAAATGGATGCGTGAGTGCCGAGCCGTTGGTAAAAGCCTCCATGTGCTTGACGTGTTCGCCGATGTGCGAAGGCCAGAAGTGTTCGTCCGAGAAAAGATGGACCATGGGTGCGTAGGCAAGCACATAGTCGGGGATCGCCTTCTTGTCGCTGCTGCTGTCGGCAGCGGATACTGCATCGTGTTCAGGCTGCGGCGCCGTCTCCTGAACAACTGCTGCTTCTGCCTCGGTTGCCTGATCCTGTCCTGCGATCTCCCAGCTCTCGTCGCCGAGAGACTCTCGCGTCCGCCACTGAAGGCTGTCGATAGGCGCCGACAGAGACCGCAGCTCCAGGCGCAGGTCACCGCTGTCGTTGTCCGGGGCCTTCCTCAGTCGTTCCGGCAGGTCTCGTCGAAGGTGTTGCACGCCGCAGAGGCTGAACCATCGGCAGGCCTGACGGTCGAGCCAGTGGTGACTCGTGCTCACCCATGCATGGTCGCGGCGTCTTTGCTCTGCCGTCGGAGGTGTCGGGTTGAGCAGCAGCGGTAGCAGCCAGAAGACGAATATGACCGAGCCGACACATACCGAAGCGATCGAAAAACGACGAAGATGGTACATCTTGCGTTGGAGGAAGGAAGGGGGCAAAGGACGCTTCTCAGACCACAGCAACAATCTAGTGGTCTGCTGGGTCGAGAGAGTGTGTCGAAAAGGAGTGGTGTGAAGCAGAGCGAGGGCTCAAAATTGCAACTACCGCCGAGTTGCATACAAGAACGAAGAGGACGGGCAGATCCAATTGAAATACGGCATAGCAATGGCGGAAGAGACGGGAAAAAGGGCGGGTCCCAAAGGCCTTCGTCGCAGTGCTCTGTCCAGACAGAGTCAAAGAGGCGAGGGTTAGCTGTTGTCTGGGTCGATAAAAACGAACTGTGCAGTGGTTGCTTTGAGACTCGAGGAGAAGCAGCGCGGGCGATCGAAAGGGAACGGCAGCGAGTTTGTCACCCTCAGCTGCCGGGAGCGGATGTATCGGGTCCACATGTCAGCAGCGGGAAGGCACGGTCGCACAGGTAGCTGCTACACAAAACTCCGTACGGAGTACTTAGTGGCGCAAATGGCAGGCAGAACCCACCACACTCCCTGTCTCACCGCCTAATGCCTGCTGTTTCTCGCTCATGGCTGCCAGGAACCAGCAGAAAAGCCACGCGGCACCAATCATCTTCCCGTAGGCTGCATCCTTCGGCGACTGTTAGCTCACCACGGGGCAACGCGTACGAGTACGTCGTAAATGCGCAAAGCCCATCTGCCGAATGGTGAACTTGTCGCAAGGGGGTTTTAGGCACGGTCTGCCTCGGATCCGGCCGTGACATAAGGCCAATCACGTGCATTGCTTGGCGTGCCGGCCGCTCTGATTGCGACCGCGGAGGAAGCGTCATGAGCGCAGAGCTCCGTTGGGGTCGGTCTGTCCGAGTTGTACTGTGTAGCTGTGAGAAATGTAAGGAAGTAGACAGAAGGCAGGGACGACGCTGTTTGAGGTGCGCATAATCCAGCTTGCCATGACGTCATCACGTGCTCGGTCACGAAATAGACTACGACGCGATACCAAGCGAACATACGGATTACGAAGTACGAGATGCCAGTTTCACATTGTTAGCCTTTGTCTGTTACTACCTAAAAACACTACAAGCTCGCCGCTCCCTTCCTTCAGCTTCTCTTTAATGTTAGCTAAATGGTACAGTTTAAAGTTGATTATTTGGCGACTATGTGCGGGTCTTTGACAGTGTCGGCGCTTATCGCCCGGTGCTGAATTTTTACTAAGAATGTCTGGCGACCTGTTCCTTACTCATATAGTGCTATCTTGACCTCAAAGGACGCGCCTGGAGCAGATCAACTTCAATGAGACCAGTCGGCATGATGCTTGCTCGGCTGTTTACTGAAATTGAGGTGAAAAGTACAGACATATACAAGGGAAAAGCATGCATCCTCTGGAACTACAGATAGAGTAACAGCCCTACTACAGACGACCTCCCGCACTTTTCATCTAGTGTGACTTGGTACTGAGATGATAACGTAAAGTCGATGGCAAAGGCGCCAGAAGGCGCATTCGGGCATTCATGCATGCATTGTCTGGGTAAGCCTTGGCGGGGTTGTCAGGCAGAAATGTGTCAGGCAGAAATGAAGGGAGTGACTTTCCTTGGTGCACTTCTTGTTTCTCACACCTCAAAAGTTGCAACGTATGTCGACTGTCTTCTCCAAGCTCATTCTCAATCCGTCTTTTCCAGCCCGCTTCAACTCCGTCTCTTCCAGCCAACTGCAACAATGCGTCTCATCAATGTAGAAACGTTACAGCTCGAAGAATTTATGGCTAATCCTCCACCATATGCCATCCTGTCGCACACATGAGGCGAATCAAAAGATGAAATCACGTACCAGGAACTCCAGTCAGGAAACCTTCGAGCGGCCGGGAAAGGCCTGGATAAGGTGGCGATGTGTTGCCAACAGGCAAAGGCAAATAACCTCACGCACGCGTGAATCGATACTTGCTGTATCGATAAGACTAACTTGGTTGAATTATCCGAGGCTATCAACTCCATGTTCCGGTGGTACCAGCAGGCTGCTGTTTGTTATGCTTACCTAGACGACGTGTGCCATGCGGAGATAGGGGACGAGGAAAACGAAGATATCAACATACACCCAGATTTCTTTCAAAGCCGTTGGTTCAAACGCGGCTGGACGCTACAAGAGCTGCTGGCGCCGCTTGAGCTTATATTCTTTGACCAGACCTGGGCACCCATTACGGCCAAGGCACAGCTGGCTGGAGAAGTAGAGGCCATCACGGGCATTCCGTGCCTGTATTTTGTCAGTGGCGTCAGTGAGCTCGAGAATGCGAGTGTGGCCAGCGCATGTCGTGGGCCGCGCGTCGTAACACGACACGCGAAGAAGATCAGGCATATTGCCTATTGGGTATTTTCAGCGTCAGTATGTCTATGATTTACGGCGAGGGGGGGGGGGCAAGAGCGTTTACACGGCTGCAAATTGAGATACTGCAGAGAAACGGGGACACGTCCATTTTCGCGTGGGGGTTGGGGCTGGACCCGGAAACCTTTACGCAAGAAACAGGGGAGTTCTGGGCGCGATCGCCGGCCGCCTTTGCAGGTTGTGGGAACCTTGTGGTGCAAAACGAGGTCCCTATGTCCGTGTTCAACTTGTCAACCGGTCGCTTGCAGACGGACCTTGAGTTACGACATCCTACATGTTCCTCAAATGTGGTCCAGTAGACAATCCGGCGAAGATCGTGGGCATACAGCTATACCTGATTGCGGATGCGCCCGGCGAATATACTCGATCGATCTGGGAAAATGGTCGAGTTAGCTGGGGGAGAAGCCAGCTTTTCGATCTGCCGTCACGTCATGAAGGAACACGACATCGCACCATCGTTATACGCATGTCCGGTTTCAAATACGATGAGGGTGACGTAAAACAGCCGGAATTCTTGAGCGTCATGTCGATTTCTAGAGATTGCGAGCTAGATGATGTTACAAACACTATTGCTCGATTCCGCCCCGAGGCCTTTGGACAGCATGCTGCGGCTATCGGCGAGGCTTTTATAGAGGCGGTACCACAAGAAAAAGGGGATCGCGTGCTGGTAATCATGCTGCGACTGCTGAAGGGCCCGTCTGCAGCCGCGGCAGTAACGGCAGCGAAAACGGTGGACGCTGACATTGAGATGCAATTCGTGCATAAGCAAGACGAGTATGTACGGCTGCTGATGGAAAAATGCCTGCAGAAGTATCGTCTCCGGCTATCGGCTAAAATGACCGATGAGCTGAGCACTTCCGTGACTACGATGCAGGCGAGTGCTCCGGTGACGGTGGATATTGACGAAAAGAACGAGGAAATACAATGGTGGAAAGAGGAACAACTGGCTTCCGATAACGCTTTGCGGTATTTGACGGCAGAGAGAAATGACATAGTGCGGCAGATTGACCAGCTGGGGCAAACCGAAGGTCCTGGAAACTGGCTGGACAATCTTCTGCACCATTTCACGATAATGCACCCAAAATAACTGGCCAAGTCCGGCGGAACTGTCCTGCAATCGGACGATGAAAAAAAGGCAAATATTACTGTATACGGAGGCTTTACGGACTACGAGGATATCATTGCAGACGAACAGGACGGCTGGAAAGAACTGGACAACATAATCAAAACTTACTGGAAGAGTAAGACGTATTACGATATTCATTGTGAAGGCTATTACTGTGCCCATGTGCGCGATGTCAGCTCCCAGGGCCCGCGATTTTATGGCTGGCGAGAGAGGGGTCTACAGACGAAGTGTGCATGCTCATTGAACGGGGCGCCGACGTGGATTGCCCGTTTCCTTACTATAGAGCCACTACGCCGCTGATACTTGCTGCCGCCAACGGTCACGAGGATACAGTACGGATGCTGCTCGAACATGGAGCGAATATCGAGGCAGCAAATGAAGACGACAACGGACCACTGTAATATGCCGTCCGTGAAAATCACATGGTCGTCGTGCAGCTTCTTATCGACAGCGGCGCCTATGTCAAAGGCATTGTAGGCTGCCTCTGCCTGCGAAGCTGTTGGGGTAAGGAAATGCCTGAGCTGCTTGGTAAGAGCGGTGCAGGCACCTAGAGCTTATACGCCCCTTTGGACGGCTGCTGCGGATGGCCAAGAGCAGGTCGTCACGCGTCTGGTATCCCAAGGGGCCGCCAAGGATCCAGCCAGCTTCATGTGGGCGCCACATGTCCAGCCGTCAAGGAGCACGTATCGATTGTGCGGGAGCTTTTGTCGAGTATCAACACAGTTAATATACCGGCGAGAACGCGACGCCGGATATCGACCATTGTACTATTCGACGCCTTACAATACAATCTCCCGATTTGGAGCGCTGAGAACATGGCCAAAATTCTTCTGCAGCTGCTGCTTTCCAAAGGCATCGACGTGAATGCGCTGGATCGGCATGGCAGTACAGCGCTCTCCTTGACTGGTAAAGGCAACTTGAGACGTTTGCTACTGGATAATGGAGCACAGAACGAGTTTGAATCGAGTGACGAAAGTGATGATCAATGAGTTTGCTATCCAGACGGCAATGAAACTACACTCTCCTATATCTTGCGTCCTAGTATAGATTGTGCTTGTCAATTGCAGCAAAGACCAGGTAGAAATAAATATAGTCCTCCCCCCGACGGTGCTCGCGTACTTTGATGGATTTGTCAACGGCATCAGCATATCTTCGTTTGCCTCTACCTTGGCACTTATACTTTTAAGAGTATTGGAGATGGCTTGGATTCCTATGTGCGCATGTGTGACTTTACGACTATCGTGTCGGATCATTTTCAAACTCCTCAATATATGAGTCTTGACAGCGATCTATGTACATCCTGGCCCACGTCTAATTACTGACAGAGTACGAAGTGCTTAGTACTCTGTGATATTTAACATGCGTATTTATAGATGAATGTAAGGCATGCTATTCCGTACTCGGACTTCGAAGCGGACTCCGGCCGGCGGATCAGGCCACCCTAGTGTTCGCTGCCGTCTCTTATCATCAGCGGGGCGGTGGCTGACGATGCTCTTTATCAGTTATTGCGCGTATTGGTTTAATAAGATAGAACAACTAATAGAGTGGTGTCCCTACAGAAAGTATGGTGTACGGAGGTCCCTACCTAAAGTCGTGCCCACCCCCTTCGATGTGACATCGGCAGTATACAGTCTGATTTGCTGTGTGCACGGAGAACAAACTTAGCGATAGACTGATAACAGTTAGCTTATAGTCCCACTAAGAATTACTGCATATAAGGAAATTACAGCATAATACGTGCTGATAGCTTAGCGAGAATGTACAGTGCACGTAACACCTTATATACTGTAACTTTATGTCTTTATTAGGAAAAGCGGTGAAACAGGGTGGGCATAACTTTTGGTAGGGACCTCCGTAGGCCCATTGCACTGCCCTCCATCAATGCGCCTTAAGCTTGACCGCTTGAAATCAATGTGGGGCCCGGGGTTTCAACATTGCATGCAGTAATGGCGCCTATCGTTACTTCCAATTGCGGAAGGTCTGCAGCCGACCCGCTGCGATATCTTCTAGTTACGGAGTAGAAGTGGATTATCCGACAAGCGACTGGATCCAATCATCCAGGGACACCTAAATCTACAAAGCAATATTGGCTAAAGATGTGATGGCGGGTCAAAGCCCCACGGCCACTACGTGCTCCATCCAGGATGCAGCGAATCTCGGCACGTTAGCTTGTGACAAATCGGGAGAGAAATAGCAATTCTGAGAGACACGTACAGTCAGACTTGGACAATTGCGCATTCTCGCTTCGACGGCTGCGCCTTCGATGCAGAGGCAGAGCATCGACCAGAGATGGTGTTCTTACCAGACGTACCTATGATCAATGTCCAGGCCATCGGATGGATAGGCACGATTATTACCTCGACCTCTTCACTGGGCGCTCACTACATCAGAAAATCGGTCAATCGCGAGGATCTAGACGATGAGACATCTACCGAAGAACAAATACGCACGCCGGTTGGCTACAGCTTGCTTCAGCTCGCCACTCGAGCATTGCTGCTGGCTTCTGTCGTCGTCAGCCATCTCCGAGATGGCTCATCGAGCTTGATCGAGACAGCTGCTCTTGCATATGTTTTTGCCCTTGACTTGGCTCGGGTGGTCTTGGCGATGCGGCAACCGAGTCTGAGATCGTCTTTGCTGCACCATGCCAACGTTCTCGTGTTTGTCGAGGCCGTTGCGGCCTTTGCTCAGCTGTCACCAGCGATCGTTTCACTTCATGATCCCCAGCCAGCAGCCAGCAGATGGCTGGTCCTGAAGCTTGCGTCCGCCATACTTGCTCTGCTGTGTGCATTCGTCTCACCGCGAGAATGGAAGCCTCTGCCGCTGTCGTTTGGCCTGGCACAGAGGGAGCTTTCGGAGCCGAGCCCCGAGCAGACTTGCTCTTACTTTTCGTATTATATGTCATACGGCTGGCTGACTAACCTCATCCTTCGCGGTACACGACGACGCCTGGTTCTTCAAGACACCCTGCCACTTCCAGAGTACGACGAACCGCTGATGTGGAAAGAGAGAATCATGGAGGCCCGGGAAAAATACAAGACTACGGCAAAGACACTCGCCTACGCCCTGCGTGAAAGTATCGCTGCCATGGTTTTCTTTTCTGCTCTTACAGCTGTGGCCGGGTTTATCTCACCGCTTGCACTCTATCGCCTGCTGCATCACATTCAAGAGCCGGAACTGTCTACTGTGAGGCCGTGGATCTGGGTGGCTCTTTTGTTTATTGGACCGGTGCTTCGATCGAGCTGTTACCAGCAGTATATTTTCAACAGCACACGACTGATCGTCCGCACCAAGATGTGCCTCATCCAAGAGCTCTATGCCAAAGCCGGCCGCTGCTACGACTCGGACGCAACAAGTCTCCCCTCCCAGGAGAAGGCATCATCAGCCAGCGGGCTAGGAAAGGACATCAAGAAGGGAAAATCAAACAACGTCACAACTCTGATGGCGTATGACGTCGATGCAATCTGCAACTCGCGCGACTTTATCATCGTCTGCACGTCAACCCCAATCGAGATCACCATGGGCCTTGTGTTCCTGTACATTCTGTTTGGACTCTACTCTCTGGTTGCTTTGGTTCTCTTGCTGGCATCGTTTCCCCTGGCGGCTCTTCTATCGCGCCTGATGTCGCGTTTTCAGCGGGAGCTTATGAGAAGGACAGACATTCGGGTGGCATCCATCTCCGAGTACCTGGCGTCCATCCGGACGATAAAATACCTGGGATGGGAGCCAATCATGACCGAACGCATCAACGCTGAACGCCGTGCAGAAGAGAAGCAAATCTGGCGCCGGAACCTGTCTGCCGTCGCTGTCACCGTGTTGGGAGATTTCGTTCCGCTTCTGGCCCTGTTTGTCATGTTTGCCACGTACACTCTGGTCGAGGGGCAACCTCTTACTGCCGCAAAAGCCTTCACATCAGTGACCATCATAGAGTCTTTGCGCCTCCAGTTTGTGTGGATTGCGAATGCGACACGGTACTATTCCCAGGCGCGGGTTGCATTCGGGAGAATTGACAAGTTTATGGTCAACGAGCGTGAAACTGCGCCTCACCCATCTGGCGAGCCGGCCTTCCACAATGCTGTGTTCCGTCGCGCCGTTGCTGAGGACTCTTTTCGGCTCCATATCGACTGCAAGTTTGTTCCCGGCGGCTTCAATGCCATTGTCGGCGCTTCTGGAAGCGGGAAGTCGACTCTTCTTCTGTCCCTAACGGGTGAGACGATACTCGAGTCTGGCTCTGCAATGTGCCCAGCGCCAGTAGCATATGCACCACAGATCCCCTGGATGCTGAATGATACTGTCCGTGCAAACATCCTGATGCACCAGGAGTTTGATGCGATGCGGTACAAGAGAGTCCTGCACGCATGTGCGCTACTGTACGATCTAGAGAAGCTTGATGAGCGTGATCTAACCGAGGTCGGTGTCAACGGGTCCAACCTGTCCGGGGGTCAGCGCCAGCGGGTGTGCCTTGCCCGAGCTCTTTATGCGCAGTCGAAGATTCTAGTGCTCGACGACATCTTCTCGGCTCTCGACTCTGCAACGCAGAAGCACATCTGGGACTTTTGCTTCTGCAACGATGCCGTCATCCAGGGCAGAACCGTAATTTTGGTCACGCAGTTTCAGGCCGCAAAAGAGTCTGCTGATTTGCTGGTTGAAATATCCAACGGCCGTGTCAGCAAGCTCACTCGGAGGTCTGAAGGGACAAGGCAAGTGCGGCTCGTGCATGATGACCCGGCGATACGGGCCCCATCTTCAGCCAACTGGGTCCTCGAGAAGACAGAAAATGCGGCTTTCCACCATACCCGAGCTATCGAAAAGAAGATCAACCAGGAGGTGGCGGGCGAGGAGAGAAATCCCAGGACTCTCTTCTACCATTACATGTACCTCTTTGGCGGACACAGCCGCGCAATAATGGCCATGGTCATTTGTCTTTGCCTGCAGCTGGCATACTTCTCGCTGCCAATATGGTTGTCGGCCTGGGTGGGAGCACCGGATCCGGGATCTGAGGGTGCTCACTCGACGGGTTTTTATATCTCAGTGTATGGGGCAATTCTGGGGTCATTCCTAGGGTTTTCGATTCTGAGCCGGGTGTATCTGCAGAAGGGAGCATGGGAGGCGGCGCATACGATGCATGAAAAGCTTGTCTCGGCAGCAATGTGGGTGTCGGTCCATTGGTACGACAAGAATCCTCCTGGAAGATTTATCAACCGGTTCTCCAGCGACATGTTCTCCATGGACTGTGTGATGGTGGACTACCTGCGCATAGCTATGGACAACGTGTTCCGGTTTATGCTACGGCTGACTGCAGTTGGGTCCATTATGCCCGTCTTTGCCCTTCCGGCCGCCTTTGTGTGCACGATCGGGCTCGTCTGTGCGGAGATGTACACCAGAACGCAGCTATCTGCCAAGGCTCTTGCGTCTGCAGCGCAGTCTCCTATATTTTCCTTCTTTGTGGAGAGCATGGCCGGCAAAGCGGTGATTCGATCCGGGCCCGGCTTTCAGGCTGCCTTTGCCGACGATCTGGGAAGGCGGCTGCGGGTGTATGCACGGTCGTCAGAGACAAGGTTTAACCTCAATCGGTGGATCTGTGTGCGTGCAGACGGCTGCGCGGCCGTGATTGCCATGTTGACGGGCATCATCGCCCTGTCGTATGGTCCTGACGTGTCGGCCGGACGTTTGGGCTTTTCTCTGACAAGTGCAATCGGCCTGGGCCAGACGATTTTGACAATGGTTCGCAGCATGAATGATCTGGAGGCCGAGATGAACTGTTTCTTCCGCATCCGCGAATACGCCTCGCTCCCACACGAAGACGACGGCGTGGACGACAAGGACAGCCTAGCGACTTCGGTGCCAGACCATTGGCCTTTTGAGGGCCGGGTGCAGTTTGAGGGGGTATCGGTCAAATATGCGCTCGACGGTCCCGACATCCTGCACGATGTGTCGCTGAGCGTGTCGCCGGGCGAGCGTGTGGCCATTGTCGGCCGCACCGGCAGCGGCAAGTCCACCATGGCGCTCTCCCTTCTCGGTTTCACGAACATTACGAAGGGATCCGTCCGGATCGACGGCGTGGATCTGGCGGCCGTGCCGCTGCGAGTGTTGCGGCGACGTCTGACGATCATCCCACAGGAGCCGGTGCTTTTCAGCGGTGATGTCCGGTTCAATCTCGACCCGGCCGAGTCATCGACAAGCGACCAGCTGACAGAGGCGATCGGTGCGTGCAGCGTTATGGCGTCGCTAGCCGGAAACACGACAGCAGAACGGCACGTGGATGAGCAGCCGATCCGGGCGCTGGACCTGGACACGGCCGTGGCGCCGCAGGGGTCCAACTTCTCGGTCGGACAGCGACAGGTGCTGAGCCTCGCACGAGCCACGGTGCGACAGTCACAGGTGGTGATTTTGGATGAGGCGACAGCATCGATCGACTACCGGTCGGACGTGGCGATTCAAAAGGTGCTGCGGTCGGCCTTCCGTGGGCGGACAATCATTGCGATCGTGCACCGGCTGTCGACGATCATGGACTATGACCGGGTGATTGTGATGGACGCTGGACAGGTGCGCGAGACCGGGTCACCGGCACAGCTGTACAGGCAGGGGGGCATGTTTCAGCGGATGGTGAAGCAGAGCATCGAGCACGGGAAGGGGAGCGAGTGGACGCCCGAGAAGTTGCAGCAGTTGGAGAAGTGAGAAGGGAAGAGGAAAGGATAAAGGGAAGGATATAGAGAAGGATAGAGGTTTTCAGACAGATGGGCCTGCATAGTATAGAGCCATGTAGATGATGGTATAATTACGACTTTAGAAGTGTCAAGTGTGTCGTAGATTTGTATTAAAAGGACCCAAGGTTGCTGTGTCCTTCTTTTCAGGCAGAGTACCATATCTAGGTTGTGAGTCCGCTGGAAACAGGACCTATAGGGCAAAGTACTCTGTATTGAGGACCCTCCGTAGTCCTAAGCAATACCGTAACGTGCTTGCCTGATTGGTTCACAGCCGACTGATGAAAGGCCTGCAAACGTCTGCTCACACCAGCTGTTTCATACTCGGACTTGGACCCTGTTATCACCTATCCTTCCGACTCGCTGCCGTCGTCATCTTGACCACGGCCGACGTCTCCGGAGTCGCGAGCGACGCTGGGCCTTGGCTTCTTCCTGTTGCGAGCGGGCGTGCGTATCCTGGGTTCTGTCGGCGTGTCTGTGGCTGTCATTGCCTCCATGGTCGTGGCGGCTTCTGTGCGAACTCGAACCTCGACTCCATCAGCCAATCCGACGCCGACGCCAACGCCCAGGCCTTCTTCGCCGCGCCGCCGCCGGCTTGCCCGCAGCCGGTACCGCTCGAACTGGGCGGCCTTTTTGCGGCGCAGCCGTTCCTCCTCGACGTCGTCCTGCACGGTGTCCTGTCGGGTCTCGACGGCCTGCACGGTAACGACGTCGCGCTCGCCACGGCCGTGCTTGGCAGCCATGAGGCGCTCGAGAAAGGCGGCCTGACGTTGGCGCTGCTCGGTGGCGCCGCCGGCGACGGGAATGGCAAACTGGCGGCGGGGGGTGTTGGAAGAGCTGGCCGTGGGCCGTGCCGCGGTCTTGTTTTGTCGTCGTCGCAGCTCGATGGGCGTGCAGGCGATGCGGGCAGTGGAGGCACCCAGCAGGTCGACGTCCTGCGGCAGACGGCGGACATGGGGCAGAGGAAGAGGTGTGGTCGTTTTGGTCGTGGTGCTGCTGCTGCTCTTGGCGTCGACAAACAACATCTCCGTCCCGACAGTCTCAGTCCAGACACCGGCAAAGACGGTCCCGCGATACGAGACGATGGGCTGGGCCGAGTGCAGGTCGAGGATCTGAATCTTGGCCGAATTGGCCGCGGTGTCATTGTCGTTTCTGTTTTCGTCTTCGGCGTCTGATGCGTCGCCGACTGCGTGTCCATTCCGGGCTCCGTGAAGGGCCGTAGTTGTGGCGGCAACAGTGCCATCATCCAAGCCGTTGCTAGGCCTTCGCTTCTCGACCGGCTCGTCGTCATCGCCGGCCAGCAGAGGGTTCATCCACGCGCGGAAGCCGCCGCGGGTGTGGTGCACGACGTAGTCCTCGCGGCGACGGAGGAATTCGGGCACAGACAGGTCGAGAGTGACGAGATGTGTCTAGAGGGCGGACGTGTCAGCAGAAGATGTATGGGAAGAGGAGGCTGTGTGCTAGAGAGCGCTTGCCTCTGTCTCCGTGGTGGAATACTCATACTCCCATTCGGAATCGTCGCCATCGTCAACAGTTGGTATAACTGAGCTGCTGCTCGGCTCAGACACGTCATCCATTGGGTCGGTGGAGGCTCTGACCCCGAGTCCGGACGGGATGCATCTGAGCAAAGGCAGATGTCGGGAAAGATGCGATTGCAAAACATTAGAGAGCTGCACGGAAAGGCTACGCTTGCTAGCGAGCAGAGCTGTCTGCGCACGCGTTGGCGGTGGAAAGCGGCAGAATTGATATCCGTAGAGGGGCAGGAACGACAGCAAGCCAATGCGCCGGGCGCCTTCCGTCAGGTAGTGTGCAGTAGGGCCGGCAGAAAAACCGAGTCGCGGATTTTTTGAGTCATAGGCGCTGGTGATCCCAAGGTGCTGCTGCGAACTGGGCTGCTGTGCTTTGTTCTGTATTGGTGTTTTGCCCTCCTACCTGTCCGCCATGCCCAAGGTTCACCTTCTCGACTATGTCGCCGGCAACGTGCGGAGCCTGGTCAATGCGATCGAAAAGGTCGGCTACGAGGTGGACTGGATCACCAGCCCGGAGCAGGTAGCCGATGCCGAGGTGAGTGAGCAAACAACGGACCGGACAAGAAGCAGGATGCTTTGACGCTGACCTGCCCAGCGGCTGATCCTGCCGGGCGTCGGCCACTTTGGCCACTGCCTGTCGCAGCTCGACTCGGCCGGCTACCTGCCGGCCATCCAGAAGCACATTGACGATGGCAAGCCGTTTATGGGCATCTGTGTTGGCCTGCAGGCCTTGTTCCGCGGCTCGAGCGAGGACCCGGCCTGCAAGGGTCTGGGCGTGATTGATGGCGCGCTGGACCGGTTCGACGACGCCGACAAGGCCGTGCCGCACATTGGCTGGAACGATGCACACATGCGGACGACGAATCTGCCGTCGTTTTACGATCTTCGTCCGCAGAGCAAGTACTACTACGTGCACTCGTACAAGTACCCGTACCGGCCGGGCGAGCTCGAGGCCCAGGGCTGGGCCGTGGCCACGGCCACCTACGGCAGCCAGACCTTTGTCGGCGCGCTGGCCCGCCGCAACGTCGTCGCCATGCAGTTCCACCCGGAGAAGAGCGGCGTGGCCGGCCTGCGGATGATCCGGGCCTTTCTGGACGGCAGCGGTGCCGCAGCCCTGGCCGCCGGCGTGTCCGTCTCGCTCTCGGCCGCCGAGACAACAGCACGGGCAGAAACGACGACACAGCTGCCACGACCGGGCCTGACAAGACGCGTCATCGCCTGTCTGGACGTGCGGGCCAATGACGCCGGCGATCTCGTCGTCACCAAGGGCGACCAGTACGACGTGCGCGAGAAGGGCACCACAGCAGCAGGCGGCGCCGTCCGCAACTTGGGCAAGCCGGTCGAGCTGGCCGAGCGGTACTATGCACAGGGCGCCGACGAGGTGACCTTTCTCAACATCACCAGCTTCCGCGACTGTCCGCTGGCCGACGTGCCGATGCTCGAGGTTCTGCGGTTGGTCTCGGCCACCGTCTTCGTGCCGCTGACCGTTGGCGGTGGCATCCGCGACACCGTCGATGCCGACGGCACTACTGTCTCGGCCCTCGATGTCGCTAGCCTCTACTTCCGGTCTGGTGCCGACAAGGTCTCGATCGGCTCCGACGCCGTCCTCGCGGCCGAGGCCTACTATGCGGCCGGCCGCTCGCTCAGCGGCACCACCGCCATCGAGCAGATCGCCGGTGCCTACGGCAATCAGGCCGTCGTCGTCAGCGTGGATCCCCGTCGCGTCTACGTGGCCTCACCCGTCGATACGGCCCATCACGTCGTTTCGACCGTCCAGCTTGGCCCCCACGGCGAACGCTTCTGCTGGTACGCCTGCACCATTCGCGGTGGCCGCGAGACCCGCGACCTCGACGTCGTCCAGCTCGTTCAGGCCGTCGAGGCCATGGGCGCCGGCGAGATCCTTCTCAACTGCATCGACCGAGACGGCACCAACAGCGGCTTCGACCTCGAACTCGTCCGCCACGTCAAGGCCGCCGTTCGCATCCCCGTCATCGCCTCCAGCGGCGCTGGCGAGCCCGCACACTTCCAGGACGTCTTCCAACACACCACCACCGACGCTGCCCTCGGCGCCGGCATCTTCCACCGTGGCGAATACACCGTCAAGCAGGTCAAGGACTATCTGGCCGATCATGGACTTGTCGTTCGCCAATTTGAGGGCGACTTGTAGGGGAGAGACAGTCTGTGTGTTTGTGTGAGAGAAAGACAGAGACAGAGTACGAGACAGTAGAAACATAGACAAAGCGATGCGAAACCAAAACGTATCATTCACAAGTTGAGGACCCATAAAAGGTATTCTTCCTACCGTACAGCTTACGTAATCACATAGTCCAGTCCATCTACAGTTCCATTCCCATGAATATCCATGCTGGGCTGGTCACATCCACGCCCTTGCCCCCAGTCCACGTGTCCAACGTGGTGGGCGAGAAGCCTGCCCACTGCAGGCCCTTCATCAGCGACGCCACGTCGCCCGGCTGCGCCGCACGATCGACGCAGATGACCACCTGCGAGCACCCAATGGCCGAGTCGGCCAGCTCCAACAGCGCCATAAGACTGTGATGTTAGTAAGCAACATATACAGAGGAATAGAAACACAAATCAGGACAACATACGCCTGCTTCAGGTCGCGACCCACGACGCCGCGGTCGAAAAAGGCAAACAGCGTCTTCTCGCCGCCCAGATCCTCGCAGAGAAATCCGCGGAAGCTGCTGCCGCCGGCATAGTCCCATATCTCCAGCCAGGCCGTGACGTCGCAGTACCTGTCGGCTACCGCACCCACGGCCATGGACGTCGACGTTGACGACACCACGGACGCCACCGACGTGGCCGACGCCCCTGACAGCGTCCGGCTGAGCGCCGGCATGTGGCCATACTCGCTCGGCGGCGTGCACAGCTGGCCGTTGGGACTGCCGATGCTGCCGCTGCCGTTGCTGCTGCTGATAATTTTGTACACACCCGTCAGGCCGGAGCCATTACCGGCCATGTTCCGCTCACCCTGGAACACGACTTTCATGATCTCGCAAAAGAATCTCTCACATTCTTCCCTGATACGCAGTGTTGCCCCCCCTCGACGGCCAGATCGAGTGTTGTTGTAGTTGCCGCCACGGCTCGAGGTGCTGGTGTGCTTCTTGGGAAACAGCGCCAGCTCGTTTGTGGCAGTGATGGCAGCGAGGGGGGGGCTTGATGGCGGCGATGGTAGTCCTGAGGAGGGGACCTCAGGAATACCACTCTGCCCCTGTGTAGTGTCAGACGGAGCGAGAAAAGACTAGAGAGCCGATAGACACTCACCGGCAAGAATGGTAGTGCAGTAGTGGAAGCCTCTCAGCGACGAGGCAGACGCATCGACAACGTAGCAGCTGGCAAGGACGTTGGCCTGGCGGCTGACGTCCTCGCCATAATTACTACTCGATTGATTTTTACTGGATTGTTTCATGGACGCCATTGCTCCTGATTCTTGCCACGGTTTCTGCTGATGACTCGGTCGGGGAAGATAAGATGGGTTCTGCGTTGGCGACGGTAGTGCGCGGTGGAGGCGATTGGCTTTCGATGGATTTGATGAAGCTCGGAGTTTCGTCGTTGAAAGTGGATTAAAATTCGGTCTGGCTGGAGCGTTTCGGGCAAGACTTGTCACAATGTTGATGATGGAAGGACGGAGAAAGGGTTTTGGAGACCGGATTGGGGATTCGCCAGAATTAAATTGCCGACAACCAAACATTGCCACTCGGGGCATCACGTGGAGATAGCTGGCTGTAATCGAGTGGGGCCGTCCAGCACTGATTGGTCGGCCAACCAGCGGTGTGTCGCTTTCTCTCGGAGTATTACTGCAGACACGGCCACCAGTTTGTAATAATTTATTCCTTGCCTTTCTCGCTTGCATCTTGGCTGCTCAGTCATGTATTTGCATTGGCAATCGTCTCCTCCCACCCACAATCCAGGAGCACGCATTTCGATCGACATTTTGCCTGACCGCCAAAGATGCCCGACTCGCCTACCAGCCAATCAGCTGACATTGCCCCTCCATTAGCGCCCCTCTCTCAGCATATTGCCGGCTCTATCAGTAGCAGCGACATGCGTCAGAACTGCAGCGCTACGCTCGCCCAATGTATTATCGACGACCGCCATCGAGATCGTTTCATTAGTCGGCCGTCGGCCGTGTGACCAGGCAGTCCCTCCCCCCCGCTCCCGGGCCTGCCGCCTCCATTCCGATGCACACCATGATGCTCGTCTCACCTGTTCGGTGGTCTGAATGGGCCAACCGAGTTTGTTGGGCCTCTTGAAACGGCCACCTCCTGCCACCTCGACAGGCGGACACACCTTTTGGGTCTTCTTGGGTCGGCTTCGGCTGACTCGCTTTCTCAAACCTCTTACCTTTGACCTCACCACCTGCTTCTTTCATCATCATACACCTCTGTTCTCCGGCGGCTCCGACTAGGGCGGCAAGACAAAACTCGGTTGATCATCTCTTGTCATCCCTTGCGCCCCGTTATCATCTGTCCATCAAAGATACTATTTACATACACCAGCTCATTTCCGCTTTGTCTCTTCTTTTCTCCGCTTGTTTTCTGTTCCTACGCAACAACGGCTCACCTCGGCCTGTTTTCTGCATCCCGGCTCGTTCGGCCACCCTGATCCGACCTCCCCGACTTGACCACCCCGACTTCTCGACATGTACAGCAGCTCGCCCCCCTTTGAATACGAGCGGCCGTTTGCGACCTTTCTGCTGCCCTCGCTGCTTCGGCCGTTTCGCAGCCGCAAGGCTCGCCGCGCCTCCTCGGGCGACAATGTCTTTGTCACTACCGATGGACTGTTTTCGGGCAGCTCCAGCCACTCGAACCACTCGAACCACTCGAACCGCTCGAGCGTCGCTTCTGCCTCATCTTCGTCGTCCCGGAGCTCCACCAGCAGCCAGTCGCCCCCGTCGCTGTGCTCGTCGCCAAGCTCCTATACCGCCACCGGTTTCGGCTTCACGTCCGCCTACAGCGCGGGTAGTCCGTCCTTTGCCACCTCGCTGACGGCCGAGCCCGACCAGATGGGCAGCATCGACAGTGTGGACGGTCTCGGTTCTCCCCACGACAGCCTCGCTCGCGTCCTGCCCGACACGCTGCGCTGCGTCAAGTGCTCGACCGACGTCGCCTTTGCCGCCCAGATCGTCTCCAAGGGCTTCACCGGCCGCCACGGCCGCGCCTACTTGGTCTCGGCGCCGCCGTCCAATTCGGCACATCTGTTCGCGCCCGAGATGTCGGCCGAGGCAGCAGTCCAGCTGGCCAGCCGCGGTACCACAGAACCAGACTACGACAACGACAACGACCACGACGCGCTGGCCAACATCCGCGTCGGCCATCCCGAACACCGCCAGCTGGTCACGGGTGCCCACGTCGTGGCCGATATCAGTTGCGCCGTCTGCCGCACCAAGCTCGGCTGGAAGTACGTAGACGCCCGTGATGCCTCGCAGCGTTACAAGATTGGCAAGTTCATCCTCGAGACTGCCCGCGTGGCCCGGACGCGGTCCTGGGAAGATGACGACGACGACGACAACGACTGCGAGGGACAGCTCTTCGACCACGACATGGTTCCGCGCGATTTGGGCGAGAATGGAGACGACGATTTTAGCATATTTGGCTCGCCCGGCGTCAACGGCGTCGTCGACCCCGTCGGCACCGCTCGCCAGCTGATGGCCAAGCAGACCGGCTGCATCCATCCGGGAACGATGGTCGAGTTCGACTCCGACGACGACGACGAATGCGAGGAGATCTTTGCTGGCACCTGGAACGCCGAGGTCGTGGCCAGGCGCAGGAGCAGGAAGATGAACAGACTCAACAAGACATAAGACATGTCCCCTGCTTGTTTGTGTTTCTTGTTCTTTCTTTTTCTTTTTAATTTTCTCTCTTCTTTCCTCTTATTTTCATCTCTCTGGAACGGGTAATGGCTTGGCGTTCGGCATACCCACACATACTCTCATTGCTCGCCTTGGGAGACTGGATCTGGGCACATCTACTACCCATCTACACTTATACCCCTTGCTTTCGTTTATGGCGCAATACCCCGCTCGTTGCATCTTCAGGCAATTAAATTTTCCTTGTTCACGAATCGTATTCAATGATATTGAACGAGTTACACTGATTCCTTTGCGAGTAAATTCCTGCAACACTGCCTTACAACTGCGGCTCCACGGCAACGTAGTGGAGATACGCTCCCAGCAGCTTGATGCCCTCAATGTAGTTCTTCTTGTCCAGCTTCTCGTTGATCGAGTGGGCGCCGTCCGTGGCGCTGCCCATCGGCAGCAACAGCACGTTCTTGCCAGTTGCCTGCTCAAACGTGAGCGTGACCGGGATGCTGTTCAATTCGTCAGTATATACTTTCGTTGCGATGCAGGGGGTTCATTTCATCTCTCACCTTCCGCCCTCGCGCGTAAAGTCGGGTGCGACACCCCAGACGCGCTCCACAGCCTTGGCAGCGGCCTCAAAGTTCCAGTGCTTCGGGCTAGCCACCCACCAGTTGCCGGTGTGCTGGGCGTACACCTTGAGCGTGTTCTTGCTGCCCAGCTTGGCAAACTGCTCCTTGACGTACTTGTACACGAACTCGTTGGTCTTGTCGATCTCCATGTCGGGCACCGTGCGGATGGAGAACTTGCCGATGACCTTGGCCGGGATGACCGTCTTGGCGCCGGGCGCCGAGAAGGCACCTTCGATGCCGTGCACCGACAGCGACGGGTAGCGCCAGCGCGCCATCAGCGTCGACTTCTTGTCCTCAAAGATGGTCGTCTTGCTACCGAGCGCCTCGTGGAGCGTGTCCATGGTGAAGGCAATGCCGTCGTAGAGCGACTCCTCGCCGGTCGTCACCGGCGCCACCTGCTCGGCGATGCCGGGAATCTGGATCTTGCCGTCCGTGTCGACGAGCGTGCCGAGGACGCGGACAAGGTCCGTCATGGGCTCCTGGGCCGTGCCGCCAAACACGCCGCTGTGCAGGTCCTGGCCCGGCCCCGCGATCTCGACCGAGTAGTAGTTGCAGCCGCGCAGCCCGTACGTCAGGCACGGCTTCTCCGTGCCCAGCCAGTAGTTGTCCGAGATGCAGACAGCGTCCGTGTCGGCAAAGAACTTCTTGGCCTCGGCCCGAATCAGATCGTCCAGGCCCTCGGACCCGTACTCCTCCATGCCCTCGAAGCACATCAGCAGGTTGACCGGGAAGTCCACGCCGGCCTTTTGGTGCGCCTCGATCGCGTTGAGCCAGCCCAGCACCGGGCCCTTGTCGTCGGTCGATCCGCGGCCCAGCATCCGGTCCTGCTCGTCCACCACGAGCGTGAACGGCTCCGTGTTCCAGCCGTCCGACTTCTCGGCCGGCTGCACGTCGTAGTGTCCGTACACTAGGATCGTGCGCTTGCTCGCGTCGCGGCCGTAGCGCGCCAGCACAACTGGCGGCAGGTCCAGCGTCGGCTGGTCGGGCTGCTTGCCCAGTGCCCGCAGCTCGACCTCGGCTCCCAGCGACGTCAGCTCCTTCTCCAGAAAGTGCGCCATGCGCACCACGTCCGGCCGCCGCGCGGCATCCGACGAGATCGACGGGATTGCTACGGCCTGGCTCAGCCGCTTGATAAAGTGGCTCGACAGGTCGTCGACCTGCTTGAAGAAGCCGTCCAACTGGGGAGCCATTTTGCGGGCTTGGTGGGTGCGGATGGCGTCGGTGATGTACGCTTGGGTCTGGTGGGGGGATGGAGGGGTGCGACGCCTGGTCGACAGAGATGCAAAATGGAGAGTCGAAGAAGATGGAGAGCGCGAGCAAGACAATGAAGTCGAAAAGGAGACGTGTCGAGATGATCGAGACGACAGGCCGGAAATGATCTTATGGCAAGGAAGGAGCGGCCGAATCGATCGGGAAGGTGGCAGGGCGACACGAACTAGGCGGGGCATGCCGAACTCGTCTGGCTCAGCTTACCTGGCAGTTTTTGTCGAAAGATAGACCAACTTGTGCCGCGGAAAGCCGTCCTCATTTTACCCCGCTAAGCAAAAGAGGGAGGTCATGATTATATAACATTCGCACGTAAGGCTAGTCTTAGTCGACTTTTGCTCTGTAAAATCTGGTACGCTTATGGATTCTGGTAGCTCCACGGAGTATCCTGGTAGCATACAACTCTACGGAGTATTTCAAGACCTAATTATTTCTGAAGAGTTACGACTAACCTGGTTGCACTAAATTTACCAGCTTTTTTCTGTTTGCGATGGAATGGCTGATTTGGTGCCCTTGAGTTGCAATGGGCTGGACGCTTAGATTTAGGGTAACATCGTCGTGTGGCTCGGCCATATGGTAGATGCCATTGTACGAAGTTGAAGGCTTTTTTGGCATATTTCTGCCAAAGTGTTCTTGTCCAAGATGGAGGTCACGGGTGAATTGCTTTCCAAGGAAGCACGCCACAATACGCTTTCAGATATCACTGTCCAGGCCCAGAAAAGACCGATCATGAGTACTGGATAATCGCCGGTATTTTTCAAACAGTGGGCGAAACGGGCTGAAGAGATTCTCAGATCCAGGGGCGGACCGTTTCTTAAAGACGAACAGAAAGCTATTCAGACCCTTTTCCTCGACGGTCAAACCTGGGTGTCGACCACGCCTCAAATATTTGAAAAGCAGAGCTGAAAATACAAGCGTACATCTTTCCTGTGAAGAAGGACGTGAGCGCATAGTTAGTAGTTTGCCCGCTTTCAGAAGGCCAAGACAGGAAGTTGCTGCAAGAAGTGAGAGGTCAGTAGTGTACGAAGTCGATGCTGATAAGAAGCCAAAGCCATAAATAGGGGTACGTTTCGTCTGCCAGAGGCCTACATACGCAAAAGAGGGCCGCGAATTATGCTAACGACACAATGTAGTTGGATGCAGTTGGATTCTGAGATTATTTCGGCAAACAACTAAACAATTACAAAGATGCCCTTCCTATTCTTTCTTTATTATAGAGACACGCCAATCACCCACTTCCAACCTCAAACCGTGGCAATGTCATTTGAGTATGTCAATGTTTTTCCACACCCTATGATCATCATTAGCATCACAATCAACAAACAGAGCAACGGAGAACTTACTCTTCAAAGATGCTCGTGACCAACGCCATCGAATCCTTCGGGTCGTAGGTGACATCGATCACTGGCATGGCATGGCCGAGGAGGACGACTTCAACGTGGGCCTGCAACGGCGTGCTGTTGTCGCACGTGACGAGACCGCGGAGGCTGCCCGAGATGTGCACGTGACGGATATCCACGGTCTGCAAGGATTCTTCTGCAATCTTGCCGGCGATGTCGAGGGCGAAGTCGCCAGCCTCATGGGCTTCGTCGAGCGCCTTCTGGGCGACATCTATGCTCTCTGTCGCCGCACTCTCGACTGCGGACAAGGCGGCCTTAGCGGACTCGTGTGCGACATGCTCAAGGCAGTTTTCCAATTCGTTGACGGTTTGGGAGGCCGCCTGGTAGGATTCCTCGTTGTGCCTCTTGTAGTCGTTTAGGCGAAGAATGGCGGACTGCAGGACTCCATAGGCGACGCCCTGGCGCGCGGCGTCCATGGCTTCGGTAGACGCGCTGACGGCAACACGCGACGTCTCGTCGGCCGCGTTCATAGATGCGCTCGCTGCCTCGATGGCCTCATCGCTGGTGGCCTTGGCTGCCTCGAGCGCGCTGTTGGCTGCGGCTAGCAACGTCTGCTTCTCGACATATTCGGTCGAGTACAGGACGGCCTTGGCAGACTCCAGCGTGCCGTCCGCAATCACCTTGGCTGCCTTGAGTGCTGCGATGGGCACCATGAGGCTCGGAACCAGGGCCAGCTTCCAGGCTTCGTACCAGGACGGCGTCTCGTAGGCGTACACCGTCTCCCATTGCGCGTCCATGTATTTCTGCAGCGTCTGCACCTTTGCCTCTGCCGCGTCGATATTGCCCCGGGCGGCTCCAAACAGGCGGTCCACGTCGGCTTGGGCATCGTCCACTGCTTTTTGTGCTGCAGCAATGGCCTGAGTTGCCTCGTTCTGGGCCTTTTCGAGGTCGCTCTTTGCTGCCTTCATCGCTTCCTCCCGATCGCTGTTGGCCTTCTTCACGTCCTGCTCGGCCGCCGCCACGGCCTCGTTGTACTTGTTGCGGGCTGCCTTGACGTCATCTTCGAGACGGCTGACCTCCTTTTGGTAGGTCTCGACAGTGGACCCAGCCGTGCTGGTGACTTCCTTCTGCTTCGACTCCCATGTCTGGCATGTGTCACCCACGTCCTTCTTTGCCGTCTGAATGCTGTCCTCCACCTTCTGCTTCTCTGTCTGTAGGGTCTTGTCTGCGGCGTCGATGCCGGCAGCCGGAGCATGGTGAGCTTTCTTCAGCTCTTCAAGGAGATGTGTCTGGATGTGCTCAATAATATGCTGCTCCAACTCAGCTTCAAGGGCAAAATCTGCGTCCAACAAACTGCGGTCAAAGGCCAGATGGCCGTGCATTGAAGCGTGAAGATCAAACTTCAGTTCGTCGGCAAAAGTGACATTCCTAGAAACACCGTCTGTTAGACTACCTCTGAAACAAGGGGAGCAGTTGAGGATTGTCCGTACATGGAAAAGGTGACCGCCTGTTCTGGTAACGTGCTAATGTCGACGTGGACTTCGACATCGTCCTCGAGAAATGTGGCAACACCATCAACAAGAATGTGCTGCGATGATGGGCCGAGGGTGCAATCCAGCGTGGCTCGTGGTCCGGTCTTTCCTCTCACCGTAAGCGGGCCAAGCTCGAAGTTGTCGACACCGCCTTGGATGCAAATTCCTTCTGTTTTGCTCATAGCTGGAGTCTGTTAGGTAAAAGACAGTTGTACGAATAGTCCTGGAGTGTGCTTACAGCATGCAATATCGGCACGTTTGCCAAAGAAGATCATGTCGGCCATAAAGGAACAGCCTTGCGGATAGCTGACCGTGCCAAGTGTCGTTCCAGCAGGGCAGATGTAGAGCTTTACCTTCTCGAATGTCATGCAGCCACCAGGAGGCGTAGGGATAGAGACTCCTGTGACATCGCAGTGAAACGAGGTCAGATCCTCCAGCGTCAATGCTCCAACCTCGGCCGAAAGCATGTCTCCTAGCAAACGAGAGAGTCAGTGCTAGGCTGACGAGCAGTCAGGACTGCGTGTGACTTACGCATAGGGTCTTCGCTGATCTGCATGGCACACTGGGCCTCTGTCTTGCCGATCATGATGCCGCCTCGCAGCCCAAATCCGCTTTGAAAGGATGTTAGTCAGCAACCACCTGTATAAAATGAATGAGGCTTCGCTGTTGGGGAAACACACCTTACGGTTCCGGTGGAAACAAACTGAGCATAGATGATCTCGAGATCCAGTGCCAAGCTTGGCCCCAGCTTGACATTCTGGCCAGCGTTGCATGGATTGGCCCACCAGCCTGCCATCTCACCTGTTGCCGAGGCACTGTTTACACCGGCATCAAATGTCACGCCAAAGTTCAGAGGCTCGCCGGACTCTGACAATTTGATGCTGAGTCCGGCAGAAACCATCAGACGTACAGATGGCTGGGTCTCTATCTTCAGCACGATGGGCGTGGTCATCAGTCCGTTGCCGAGTGAGATACAAGTCTCAGACGGGGTGAAGAGCTCAATGTCGAATCCCTTCGAGGACGGCCCGGCACGCATGCTGAGCCCTTCATGCGACTTGCGCGTAAGTGAATCCAAGGCTAAGATGCCACCAGACACTGTTCCGTGAAACTGAATTCCTGATTCGGTTAGAAAGTTGAAAAAGGGGGGGGGAAAGGGCAGAAACAAGATCTTACCCTTCTGGATGGAGTAGTTGCTACCAAGTGTGCTTCCCACCTCTGGATTGTCCTGGGAGGCTGCAGTAAATACCACCTTAGTGAGACTCAGGTCTAGGGGCGTGCCGTGCACCTCTGGGACCAACTTTGATAGTTCCCAAGCGTCGTTCTCCTTTGGTGTCAAGTCTGCCACCATCGCCCATTCGTATCCGGTCTTGTTCTTATTCTGGTACAGGTGGGCTGTGCTATCAACGTCAAGTCCCTTCAGGACCTCCACCTGGCCACCCAAAACAGCATCGGATCCGCGTTTGTCTTGATTAGATGAGGATGGTAGAGTCACCTGGATATAGGCATTCTTCAGCAGGACATCGTCCAGCTCGACCTTGTCTCCCAGATCTCCGCGAATGACAACGCCGTCTGGGCTATCTGTCAGAACAGCAGTGGCTGCAGTGTGGTCGGCCAGCTCGACATTGTTCAGGTGGACTTCTAGTCCCTTTCCAGACACGATGGAAAATGTGGCAGACTGGATCTTGACATCGATATCGGGGACTGAAATTGCACAGCCATGGAAGGCATCGAAGACGTTACCAATGATACTGATGTCAAATGGAGCGACTGTTGCTTTCAGGTCAAAGGCGCCGCCAGGTGCATACGTTCCCTGAAAGTCGATTTGAGTGTCCTTGTGCTTGAAAGAAGCAGATACATCAAATTCGGCGTGTTCCCATGGCGACTCGACGGATAACTTGGTGGTGAAAGACGCCGTGGATATCTATCCATGTTTGTTAGTTCATATAGACCGGAATACTGATAGAACCAAAGAGAAGGGGAAGAGAAGAATGAATGAAAAGAAAAAGGAAACAGACAGTTAGCCCGGTGACACCAAAAGCATTAGACCAAGCCGATCCTAGTTGTGCCTGAAGTATAGCCTCGCCGTTGGCTTCATGGATGTCGTAGCTTAGCTCCAGCGGTGCCGTCGACTCCGGGATGTCGAGGTGCAGTGTTCCAAAAGCAGCATAGCTGTATTTCATGGCGTTACCTGGGACGCCCGGGGCTCCAAGGAGCCGGACCCCGAGCGTTGTGAACTGCAGGCCGGCAGGTGCGCTGCGGACAACGTCGAGGCCGGCGAACTGCCCCTCCAGCGTGATGCTCTGGAAGTCGAGAAGGGCGGTCCACTTCTGGCTTGGCCCCAACTCTCCGTGCATCCGCAATGTCGGCCGGTCGACGCCGAGCAGGCGGACCAGGACGGCATGCAGTGTACCGCATGAGGCGTCGATGACCCAGTCGGCATCAATGTTCCACCCCACACTTCGCTTCGGATCGATGGCGCAGTTCTGATGGAAGATCTGCGCCTTCTGAAACACAATGTCATCAAATGAGGTGCCTGCAAGCCCGGGGGCTACCAACGAGAGGCGAAGCTGGTCCTGCTTCAGCGTGGCCAGCTCGGCACAGGGAATCAGGCTGACAGACCCAGTCACGCTGGGAGGTAATGGGCCTTGCCACACTTTCAGCGTGGCAGTAAGGTCCGGGTTGCCAAATAGGGCGATATCTCCCTGCAGGGAAAAGTCCTGGGAAGTAATGGCCTGTACTGCCTTCTCGACAGTTCCTTTGGGTATGATTGCCGTAATTGTCTTCATTTTAGCCCACGAAGCTACGCTGTAGTGATACTGATGATGCAAGTACGGAAAGGCGCGTTTCCTCTTGTTTATCAAACTCGGGCAGCACCTCGGACGAGTCTCCATCAAGACAGCTACATCTCTCGCACGGGCTATTTTGCCCAACATGGAGCCCCTTTCGACGTGGTTGGAAGTCGTACGATACTGCCTAATTGGGGGTCTCCCTAAATCCATACGAAGCTCCATAAGGCTTGGTTTCTAGTAGTATTCGTACTAGGTCAGTCAGTCACCCGTATTATTATCTATTTTGCAACTTACTACGTTATGCGTTTGTAAATCTGCTTCTCAAACAGCAGAACGTTCGATCCACAGCTTCAATGCTACTCTAATTCTGGGTCCAAGACTCCTTGCCAGTGAGCTATAACTTCACAAAACGACTAAGTGTCTTCCAGTGAAAGTGAATATTATATGTAAAAGTGTCCAGCAGTATCCGTGCTCTAGAATAAGGCTTGAATGGAAGGGCTTACTTTTCCACAGCTTGCCATATCCTGTGTCTTTAGCTCAGTCGCGACTGATCGACAAGAGAGACACGCATACGAACACTCCACTCAATCAATCTCCGCATTTTAAAGGGGCATGGTCGTGAGCTCGAGTCTACCTAGCACGTGTTCCCCTTTCATAGGCGAGCGGTGACCATCTTCTCGAACATGAGGCCTTCACCCTCAAGGTAAGACAGATCTCGCCTGATCTTCCTTTATAGTAAGATACCTGTTCCCATTATGACACGTATGTCGAAATCTGCGACATGCCTAAGTACGTTCAGGCTAGATTCTTTGAATTGTAGACGCGCTCACCGCTGTGCGGAGAGCTGATCTGCATGCTGCCTATACATAGTAATAACAGTACTCCGTATTACCGTCTTCCCTATGTTCCCTATGGCCGGGGACGTAGACGCTTACGGAGCGGCTGAACTTGAAAATCTGGAGGACTTGCGTGTGGATGGCAACAATGCGCGGCGGTGCACGGACCACCTCTAGTGCAGAGTTTTCGGCCCAGACTTCATCAAGCCTCAGATAGCTGTCTTCCTTCTGAATACAACGATCTTGGCCTCATCAACATTTAGGCTGGCTCTGCTTATCGACTAATGTGGACACGTTGAAGCCTAGTACAAAAGTCATCTGACATGATACCTCAGTGTATTCGCAACACAGGTATGCCATCGACTTGCGAACGTTCTAACTATTTTGTTGTACGGAGGTCCCTACCAAAAGTTCTTTCTCACCGCTTTGGCATAATAAGGAGGTGGGTATAGTGCTAGTAATGTATTGCTACTGTATTTACTACAGCAGTGTTAGCGTATATCTATGTGCTAAGCGCCCTGTACAAATATTAGTAATATATTAGCGATAATATCCACTAAGCTTTAGCGTATCATCGCCAATAGCTTTCTCCGTATGATTTACACTCTGCACTATGTATTGCCGCAGTTATAGAAAAGCGGTGAGAACGAACTTTGGTAGGGACCTCCGTACTACTTGTTTGAACCCAAGCGGGTGCTTTTAATCTCTTCTTATTCCTACGCCTACTGTCCGACTAAGAAGACGCTACCTCCGAAAAGGCGGCTCAAAAGGCGCAAGCTGTGGCTGTGCAAAGAACTATAAGGCGTAAGTCGGGCAATTGCGAATGTTAAGGCAGAATACGAATAAGGGATTCTAGCAGCTCTTGGTTGGTATCCTGTTTTATTTTTCTCCTTTTGTTTTCTCCTTTTGTTTTCTCCTTTCAATCTCAAAATCTACTGGATTTGGGCACTCTGATACACCGTACTAAAACAAAAATGAGCCCCAGTTTTTGTGACGACATCCGGGAGTACCCGAGATCTAGCGAGAAAGGGTGGCAAATTGTCGTCAACACCTCGGAGGGGGTGGTCACCATGCCAGAAGGTGCCGAGGTCGGGCCTGAGCTGATGCCACCGTTTAAGACGAGCCTTATCGAAACCAAACAAATTGTCTTGCCTGCGATGGTGCACAAAACTCGCACCGCTTATTTTCTTCTCAAGAATGACAATGAAACGTTGGGACGCTTCCTGAAAGCGGACCTATTGACAGACAAGCTGAACAAACTGCATGACAATCTCTGGCTGGCCGGCCTGCCGCTGCCGCCACGGCCTTTGCATCGTCAGGTCATGATGGGTCGTGCCTTGAAACTGACCGAGATGCCCGACGAGCATCTCGTGTGGCACCAGACCGAGCTCTTGCTCAAGCCACTGCCCGACTATCTGCTCTGCCGCGACTTCTGGGCCGAAAATCTGTGTAAAGAGAAAACCCTTTACGAAAGTGCCACCGGCTTCCTTCTCAGTTACGCCTGGCTTATTGAGCGTAAAAGCGATTTCAAAATTGCCCAGGACGAGGGCCTGATCTCAAAAGATATCGAATGGCGGTGTTGGATTTCCTTCATCAAGGAGTTCTTAATTGACATCAATCCCTTTAGCTTACACCAGGTCAACCGTCGCTACCTCTACGGTGAGCTGCGACTCACGCGGCTGAACCACATAACGCGCTTCCTGCCTTCAAAGTGGCCTCATGGCAATTTTGTTCGGGGGTATATCTCGACCAGCACGTGGTACCAGGTCTTCTTCGAGTCTAACTTCTCCTGGCTGCTTGCCGTCTTCGCATTTTTCTCTATGCTCTTATCGGCCATGCAGGTCGGACTAGCAGTAGATGAGCTGTCCGATAATCAACAGTTTGAAAACCTCAGCTACGGCATCTCCCTGTTGGCCATAGCGTCCGTCTTTTTTGGATTGGCCCTGCTGTCGCTGGTTTGGGGTTTTCTCTTTTGCTACCACCTCTTCTCGACAAGGAGTTTGAATCAGAGAATGCAAAAGAAACGAAACGACATCAAGCTGTCTGCGTGATGTATTAAACATCACGTGATCCGCTAGCCTTACAAATTGCCGAGCTTGCGTCGGTTCTCCACAAAATATAGCATACGACCAACGAGTTCTTCGGTGTTTATATTGTCTCCAGGATTCAACTCCAGAAAAAACCACGAAATGAGACCAAGACGCGAAGATACTTTCGTGCCAAGAACGGACCAGGTTGTCCCAGGGGCATCTGTGCACATCGTTTTGAAGCAAGACCAGCCAACAGGTCGAACCGTTCAGGGAACGGTGCAGACACTTTTGACCCGTGGCAACCACCCTCGAGGCATCAAGGTACGCCTTTCAGATGGCCGTGTCGGTCGTGTGCAGACCATGGCAGATGGAGCCGCCACTACATCACAAGGAACAAGCAGCTTTGGCCATGCTACCGGATCGTCCATATTGGACAACACTGTTGGCAACAACGAGGACAACATGCCTAAAGAGCAGATTGGACTAGATGCCTACATCATTCCAGCACGACCAAAGCAGAAAGGGCGTCGTGGAAACGCTGAGGACCAAGGCATTATCATTCAAGGCGAGTCAGTCGAACCGAGCAACAATATGCAAACAGGAGGGAGGACCGAATTGCCATCGTCTTCTCCATCGGTGACATGTCCAGTCTGTGGTACATTCGAAGGAGACGAGGCCGCTGTGTCTCATCATGTGGCGACGCATTTTGACACGGAGCAATGAGCAGGATTGATTCTGGTTGAAAATAAGTGAGGTTGGCCGCACATTGTCTTTAACTTCATATAAGAATCTTTAGTCCCGCTGCTTTCCGCAGATCTGCGATCATCTTTTTGTCGAAAACAACTCAATCTGGTAAATTGATCATTTCCTGCAGCCTTTTCCTGCTAGAACAAACTCGTCGCGATGCCACCCGGATGCTTCGATAGTGTCTATGAAAGGCGGCCTGACGCGAGCGCACACCTTTCCAGTGCAGAAACCCCGACGACGTGATAGGGGCTTGTTATAAGCTCAATCTACCCAATACTAGTATTGTTTGTCGTACTAGGATTGGATTTGATTCTACTATAGGGGTGAAAAGTGTGAACTACTTCCGGGAATGCGGATACTAGAAACCAGGTTATGCCGGCGAGCTCCAAAAGTATCTGACCAAGTCATCTGGCAGCGCTTGCTTCTTGCCCTTTGTTGGAGCGTATATCTGGATGGTGCGAGGCTTTGACTGCTTCTCACAGATGGCAACAGCATAGCCGGGACCGATTCCAAGGTTGTTGCGGAGCCTCTGCAGAACATCGTTGCGCAGCTGTGCCAACAGGGCAGCGAGTGTGCGCAAGGCAGCCTGGTTGGTGTCGTTGGCATCCCAGGTAGCAAAGCGGGCAGCCGCGTGCGTGACGTTAACGCTACGGAAGATGCCATCTGTATGGTGACCGACTAGCAGCCAGGGCGTGCGACCAAACCAAAGCTGCGGCATGTGCTTGGAGATGGCGCCGGTCTTCCGTTCATTGGCAGACTTGATCTCGGCCATGGTCGTCTGTGGCTGCAGACGTCCACCGTGGTGCGTTGCCAGAAGACTACCCGTGGAACCAGCAGCCGGGACAACCGTAGCAGCAGGAGACGCTAGACCACCGTTGTCTGCGATGGCCAGCTTCGTTCGGCTTTCCGTCTTCCTCATAGCTAGCATCCACTTCGAACTGCACCACGCAATTGAGGTCGCCTATCATGTAGCGCAATGCCCGGTGGTGGCTGACATTGTTCTCGCATCCAGTATCTGGCGGGAAGTGCGTGCAGCTCTTCTCAAAGTTGTGACCCCAGCAACGCTGCGATCCGTACTTTCCGCCCCGAAGCCTCTCACGCACCTTGCGCTCGCAACGCTGAACGACGAGCGTGTTGCCGACCAGCAGCAGTTCGAGGCGGAAGCCAGTCTCGACGCGGCCCCGGCACAGGTCAAGGAGCTTGCGCAGGCTGTTGCGGTTGATGACAATATCGACCTCGTCAAAGCGGAAGCTGGGGTTCACTATGGTGGCAGCACGGAACAGCGGCTCAAATGGGAATCGTGGCATGCGCGCCCCGTTGTGGTCGATGGAGAAAGATCCAGTGTCTGGGGGCAAAGTAGACGGCATGGGGGGTGGCTTCCATGCCGGAGCAAAGCCTGAATACAAACAGTTGTTTGAACAGTGAGAATGGCCGAGAAACGTTGCATCTAATAGGAAATCTTACCAGGGGCCACGATGGCCAGCTTGTCGCCTTTCAGCCAATTGTAGCTGCATACCAGCTCGGTTCTCGAAGTGCTGGTGACCGGAGTTGCTGCAGGGTTGAGCTGTGCCGGTTTTATGGATAGGAGAGGACTCTGGTTGGCAGCTACGTCCTTCCACATCCAGGCATCCGGCGACGGTTTCCGCGGTTTGCGTGTCTTTTGTGCTTGTGCTACTTTTTGTGACATTTTAGCTAGATGAATGTGTTTGGAGAAACAACTTTTGAAGGACTGCTGAAGTGATAGGATGAGGGCGGGAAGAGTCATCTTGGGCTTTTGGAGCGGGGTTGGGAGTGATACTAGTTAAAATTCAGAGAGTCAATTATTGGTTGGTTTCATGACCAATTAAATACTGCGTGGATAGCATTTTGACAAACGAAGTCTACGTGACAATCAACGCATCTAGTGGATACAGTTACGGTAAGTAGGCACTTCTTGTCTAACCATATATTCATGGCAGTCTGAAGCAAAACTCGAATTACAAAAGAACACTCGTGAACTAGTCCTAGTAAAGCCCCCCGAGGTAACTCTCACAAGATTTGTATTTGTCCAAACTTTAGATTGTGATTTGTGATGCAGCTTTAGTTCCAATAGCTCTCCGAATTAATGCTACGCCTCTTTAATAGCACCTGCCTACAATTTGCTTCACCGTACTGAATTTGATCGCAAAATGAACAAACGGATCTGGAAGGCGTTTGTCGAAGAAGCAGCAGCTAGAGGACAAACAGCACAGATATAGCATAGTTAATGTTGAGGTGGCCTAATCGGAGTTTCCTGGCAGCCTCAGAATTGTCCTGATGCGGGTATTTGTTGTTGTCCCGTAGTCAATATATATTCGACCCAAAGAGAAGATGCTTCTGGAGAGCTTAAGCCATCGGCTGTGAGAGGTGGTTGGTCCGGCTGTATTTTCAGTCCCCGTATGCTTGGTAGTATACAAGTACAGTTGAAGCAGAACGAGCTGTCCTGCCACATAATGCAGGCCAGAAGTCTCCCCTATTTCTGTCTGAGGAGCTATACGAGTATCTCGTCAAGCTCCTTTATAATAGACTCCTTGATACTATCTTCAGCCCAAGACATCTCTACTCCGTTTCTGACAAGTGCAACCATGTCCTTCTTGGTGAAGTTACAGTAGGTATAGGCCTTCTGCATCGCTCCGTCGATCCAGACGCCGTGCATATATGTCGGATCGTCACTGTTCAGGCAGAATTTGACCCCGTTATCAAACACCCTCCGAATTTTTGGAAACAATACCTCTGTGGCCTGTCGTCGGTTGTATGCATGAGGGCAGAGTGTCAGGCCGATCTTTCTCGCCTTCAGTCCTTCCATCAGGTCTGGCTGCGAGTACACGTCCAGACCATGGTCGATCCGATCAGCCCCTTTGCCGCCGCATACTTGGAATATCATCTCGTGGATATGCTCGTGATGATCTTTCTGGTCCACGTCGCAATGGCCCGTCACCTTCAGTCCGTCTCTCTTGGCCCATAGGAAGACTTGCTCGAACAGCATCGGCGGACGGTCGTATTCGTTGCTCGCCAACCCAACCGAGTGAAATAGGCCTTTGCCCCCTGGCATACGTCCCCACGGACGTGCCGCCTCGTACACAGCAACAGCGTCCTCGACAGGATCGTCTCGCACTATGGTGAGAATCCAGTTGCTGTGCACGCTGTGCTGCGCCACTCCTTCAAGCTGCGCACGATGAAACCCGTTGAGGATCTTCTCAACCGGGACGCCGCGCCGGGTGTGCGCCTGTAGGTCGAAAAACGGCTCCAGATAGCGGACGTTGAGCTCCTTCGCTCGCGCGAGCAGCTCCATGCCGAGCTCGTAAAAGTCATCTTCTTCCAACAAGACCTGGCAGCCGCCGAAGTAGGCCTGAAAGAAGGTCGGGCGGCCATCTGGAACAAGCTCAGGTCGGTGGTTATACGTTATTCTATATGAGTCGAGGAGGTCCTCGTACGTTTTGTATTGCAAAGGGACGTTGTTTCGACGGGCAAGTTTCCATCGCAATTCTGGAGACAATGTACCCTCAACGTGTACGTGCAGTTCCACCTTGGGCAAGGCAGAAATCCAGGGGTCGATCGCCAAGCCGTTCATTTCTCGGTAAGTAAGGAGTAAAGGTGTCCCGAATACAGTGTTGGGTAACCAATCACTTCTTTCAAGTGGACTTGCATGAAGTATCATGGGATGTCGGCAAAAAGACGGTACTGAAGATGGAGCTATTGCTATCTTTCCGCATGCACCAGTCCTTCGTGCGGAGCCGATTTCTGTTCGGAGCAAAGATAAGTCCCGGGAATACCACTGGTGAATTCCCCTGACGTCAACCCACTAAAAGCTTATCGGGAAAACGATGGACAATAGTACGGCTATGGACTTCTCGTTGCAGGAAACCATTCGTAAGGTGAACGTGAGGTCATAAGAAAAACAAGCGCTTCGCCAGGCCTGTCTTGCCTTGGATCTGTCTCGAGTAGAGTGAAGTTGGCCAAGTCCTCCTAAATAAACGGCTCTTCACCGTTTCATCCCAAGGACAAACATGGCAGATGCAATTCCGGATGCATCGCCTACGGCAATTGGCCGTAGGATTGTGACAAAGGTCGATTGGCACCTTGTACCGACACTTTTCGGCACCTGTCTGTTCTTTTACATGGACAAGGGTATTCTGTCCAGCGCATCCGTTTTTGGCCTGGAGAAGGATCTGGTGAGACGGCCTTGGCTGGCAAGAGAGAACCCGTCCTGAGAATTATTGACCTAATGACGGAGAACAGCATCTGGTCGGCCAGGATTACAGCTGGTCCTCGAGCGTCTACTATTTTGGGTACTTGTTCTGGATGGGGCCGTCTGCTTGGATGTGCTCGCGGCTGCCCATTGCTAAATACCTGACCCTCAACACGCTCATCTGGGGCCTCATCGTTGGTCTGACTGCCGCTTGCACAAGCTTTGGCGGCCTGGCAGCCAATCGCTTCTTTTTAGGAGTCGCCGAGGCCGTTGTCAATCCGGCCTTTATGTAGTAGGTTCTGGCCTTTGACCCCTGCAAAGTCTGATCACTAACACGGCGGCAGCATCACTTCGACCTGGTATACACGCGATCAGGTTCCCAAGCGCACCAGTCTCTGGTTTACCGGAAATTCGATTGGAGGTCTGGTTGCAGCCCTCTTCGCCTACGGTGTCGGCCACATTTCTCATCCTCTACACCCGTGGCGTTGGATGTACATCATTCTTGGCATTCTGACGGCGATCTGGGCAGGGTGCATATTCTTCCTACTGCCAGACAGTATCTCAAGGGCAAGGTTCTTGACCGAGGACGAACGACAGTGGGCGGCGGATCGTGTTGTCCTGGCCGGGACAGGACGCACTGAAAAAGCGCCCTGGCGATGGGAGCAGGCTGTCGAATGTCTGGTCGACCCAAAGACGTGGTTCATTGTTGCCATCTTGTTTTGTGTCCAGCTTCCGTCTGGCGGCATTCAGAGCTTCGCCAACATTGTCATCAAGTCATTCGGCTTCTCCTCCCTTGAATCGACTCTGTTGTCGATCCCATCAGAAGTGATTGCCGCCTTGTCCATTGCTATTACTGGCTATTTTGCTGGCCGCTATCGCAACCTCCACTGTCTGATGATCATCCTTTCCGTCATCCCTGTCCTTGTCGGCGGAGCCATGATTTACAAAAGGAAGCACATCTCCAAAGGCGCTCAGCTTTTCGCGTACTTTCTCATCCAGACAACCTTTGCGCCTGTGCCACTTCTCATGTCACTAATTCAGACGAACTACAAGGGTGTTACAAAGAAGATGACCATGACGGCAATATTTTACATTGTCTACTGCGCAGGAAACATTGCCGGTCCCCAGCTATTCAAATCGAAAGAGGCACCTGCCTATCCTACCGCCTTCAAGGCAATTATGGCATGCCCAGCTCTCGTTATCGCTCTCTGTATTGCCTTCCGGATCTACTTGCTATCGCTCAACGCCAAGCGTGTTCGGGTGGAAGGATTGGAAGGCAGCGCAGGTGTTTCAGGGGCTGTTGCGGGAGGCAAGGTCTTTGAGATAGGGCATAAGTCTTCCGAAACTGACATGGCTCTTCAGCAAATCGAGCTTCAGGCTGAGGACTACGATGATGTCACAGACTGGAAGACGCTCGGTTTTAGGTATAGATACTAGATCAAAGTGACGCTCGGGCTTCTAGGCAGAAAGAACGCATTTGACCTGTTGATAGAGCGAACACATGTAGAGCAAAGAAGATTATATGAGGCGTGAAGCTTCGGTTCAACGAAGTCTTATCTAAATTGCTACATTGGCGACTATGATCAATTAGCCAAGCGTAAAAACATATCTTAGGGCTCACGAGCAGTATAAAGATTGTATATACAGGGTTGTCTGACCAGAATGTTTCTCATCTATATCTCCAAGCGCAAAGCATGGCCTCCCGTCTTTCGATTGCAGTTATCGAAAACGGCCACAGTGGGTCTTCATGCTCGGTAATCTAATCAATCTTATCAGATGATCTATTTAAAGACAAGGGATCCCCATTAGTGACCGTTAATGGCCAGACATCCACCTGTTTGATCATATGTTTCCGATATCGCCCACTCCCTCCATGCACTCACGCGAGAATCTGATTCTCTCATACGTGTAATCGATGCACAATTATACATAATACTACCTACCAGTACTCCGTACAACCACTTCATTGTGTCGTGCCAAGATAGTTGAATTGAAAGACCTATTATATGTGCGGTAGTCCTCTGTTCCTGCCCGCAACTCTACATGTACTCGTACAAGGTGGTAGAACTGAGATGGTCGGCTTTTGTAGCTAGAAATGCTCCACAAACCTAGCCAAGCGAGCTTGCAAGCTTCGTTAGGAGGGGAGGTGGGGTGGAGGGTGGGAGATGTTGTCTTGGCTTGTACGCGCACGCAGATATGTCTGCTCCTGTTGCATAAATATAGAGTTAATTCGCTTTTTCTCTTTGCAAAAAAAACCCTCTGTTCTTTCTTCTCTTCCTTATGTCGGCTTTCAGCTCAAAACAACGCTCTCCCGTAACTGATTGTACAAGCCCAGTCTATCATCTCTTTTATTTCGGCAATCTTCATTTTTTCAGTCTGTATCGCACAATGGTTGCCTCAAAGCGTATCCTTAGCGGAGCTCTCGCCACTCAGGCATCTGCCTCAGTTCTGTTTACCGACCTCGTCCAGCTCCATGGCCGTGCTGATACCGAGATCTCACCGGGAACCCCTTTGTATAACTGTCACGATAACTGCGGTTTGTCCATCGTGTGGCCTTGTTTGTAGTCCGCAGCTTTAGGGTCTGACAGAACCTACAGGTCAGGCCATTCTTGAGTCTGGCTACGATTCATCCGATGCTCTCTGCTCGGACTCCATCTTCCTGACTGACTATGCCAACTGCCTGGCGTGTGCTGGAACTGATAATGAGGACATCTGGCAGTATTACGGTAGCTCGCTGACAAGTGCTGCTGCTGAGTGCGGTCTGTCCACCACTCCCCTCTCTGGAACTCAGGCTATCGTCGGCACCGCTGATCCTGCCGTCTCTGGTGGCGCTGCTACTGCTACTACTACTGCTGTCGCTGCATCGTCTAGCTCTAGCTCTGTTCCTGCGGTTGCGACATCAACGGGTGCTGTCAACGAGTCTTCAACAGCCGTGGCTACGACCACTGCGGTGGCAACCACAGCTTCTACTGGTTTCGTAACCTCTTCCGCCGCCGCCACTATATTTTCGAACTTTACCGTTTCCGGTGCTGCGTCTGGAACCGCACATAGCAGTAGCTTGAGCACTACTGTCCGTCCACCATCCCAAATTTATAAACCTCTACTTGAACAGAACAGACAGCTAACATTCAGCATAGTCTTCCTCCCTTTCTGTCGTCACTGCTGGTGCCAACAGTTACCAGGCTAGAGCCGGTCTGGCTGGAGTTGTCGCCTTGGGCGCTGCATATGCTGCTCTTTACTAGACAGGGGTTCGTTGTACGTCAAGAGGCGATACTTTAGTCTGAGAAAATGTTACAGAGCTATCAGCTACTATGGATTTTGTCCTAATTATTCAATCGTATAACGTAGTTCGTGCTTGAAAGACCACAGCTTTGGGCTCTGCTTAGGGGGCATACAGGGTCTATAGCGCTATCTTGCAGGCTGCACTCGGGATCCACATACGGACAAACAGAATCACATGACCCCGCTACCCAATCTACCAAACCGCCGCCGCGCCACCGCGACACTGTGAGCGTCATCACCGCGTCTTGGCATCAGGCACGTCGGCAACACCTGTCAAAATGTCGCGGAGAGCTGCTAAGGGAGAGTACATTGAGACGGTAGGTTTTCTTGGTTTCTTCGGAGAAGCCAATCCCCGACAGCAGCATTCCAATCAAGAATCTCCACCGCTGGAACCACATTGCTGATCGGTTGCTAAACTTTTGTTAGGACACAGGAAACAAGGTGTCACGAAGAGCCAATCTCGTCGGAACGCAGAACATCATTCTCGGCGGAAAGAGTGTCATCCAGCAAGATGTCATGATTCGAGGCGATCTTGTCCGGTCGCTGCCAGCGTCGAGCAGCAGCGGCTCGTCTTCAAGCTCGTCAAGTACTGCGATATCCATTGGACGATACTGCTTCTTGAGCAAGGGTGCATGCTTGCGCCCACCGGGTCGACTGTGGAAGGGGTGCGTTTTACATTGAAGAGGAAAAAGAAGAGAGTTGAGCGAAGGCCTAAAGTACGGCCTGTTTATTCGACAAGGTGCTGATGGTGGCAACATTCCAGAATATTTTCCCACATGCCTCTCCGCATGGGCGACCATGTCTTTATTGGCCCCGGCGCCACCGTCATGGCGGCTTCCATTGGAAATCACGTCCATATCGGCGAGAGCACAGTGATTGGCGACTTTGCCATCATCAAAGATTACGTCCGCATCCTCGACGGAACGGTCGTGCCTCCCAACATGGTCATTGCCAGCTTCAGCATTGTGGCTGGCCAACCGGCCCGGGTGATTGGAGAGTTGCCCGAAGGCGGCCACGAGGCGTTTGAGCTTCGCGACCTCTACAAGACCGTTGGCAACAACCCCCAGCCAATGCCAATATGAACGCGTTAGCAGACTTCAGACCTATCGCGTGCTCTTTTCTGGGACGGACGGGTACCCAGAAAAAGCTACGCCGAGCACTGTTTTGTGAACACGCTACCCACAGGTACAGAACGGTGTTTCAGTGTTCACACTCTGTCTTGCTACTGCTTCAGCCTGTTTTACGATAGACCGCCGGAGACATCCAAGTGGACTCAATAGAGTCGTATCTACAGAGGCTGGAGGGCCTGTATAATGATCATGCGGCTATCTCCATGGCCTTTCTCTAAGATGATACGCTTTTACATAGCACGGCGTGAAAGGCCTATTGCGAAATTGGGCTATCACTAAATTGCATGCTGCGAGTGTTGGATTCAACACTAAGCTGCGCGGGGGTATGGTGTGGTGTGCACTGTAGCTCAGGGGAAGCTGTTAAAACGTGCGCCAGTGCGACAATTTCTGGTAAAGCCCGAGTAGCTGAGAAGGTAGTAAGGCCGGGTGTGACGCAGGCGGTATTGACTCATTACTGCTGGTGCGTACAATCGTGACGGGGGAAGAAAGGCCTCACCAAAATGATAGCTTTGGAAGATGTTATCAATGGATTGGAGTCTTACAGAATGTCCCGACATATTCGGTGAGTTATGTCCTGCCTGGAAATTCCGTCTAGTATTCATGTATCTTCCAGTCATAATTCGATTTAGGCGGGGGGTTTTCCCTCTCAGAATCACTTGCATTTGATCGGAGAAAATTGGCCTACATACTGCCCACCTACGGTGTCGCTGTCTTAGACCTCAGAACGGCGTCGATAATTCACCAATAAGATGGGTTCTTGGTCTAGTGGTATGATTCTCGCTTAGGGTGCGAGAGGTCCCGAGTTCGATCCTCGGAGAACCCCCACCTTTTTGAGCTCTCTTCAGAGGAACAGATTAAAGGCTCACTGTACAGAGTGCAACAAAAGCAAAGCTCTTGTAAATTCTGTGAATTTTAATTTTTCCCCCTTGGTTATAATAGTATTCTTTACAGTAACCTGTGTGGAACTTCAAACTGAGCACGGCCTGAAGTGCTCAGCCTTTTGTAGCCACAGAGCATTGAAATTATGTTTTGGGTAATTTTCTCGCTGTGACTCAATTCATGATAATGCGATCAGATCCTGTTCGTAGCGGTACGTAGCAATACTAATTTTGCATTCACTCGCCGTGGTCGTGAGCAGAGTATGTCCTCTTGTGAAACCGGACGCACAAAGTGGACAGGAGCATTAGAGCTGCTATGACCTGGAAAGCAGCAATTTTAAAAATATGAACTGCTGCAGACACCGACCGAAAGCACCAAAAAAAAAGCCTCAGGCTGCGAGACAAGGGGTAAAAAAAAGAAAATTGTTTTGATTTCATCCAGGCTCGAACTGGAGACCTTCAGTGTGTTAGACTGACGTGATAACCAACTACACCATGAAACCTCATTGGTTGAGAGAATTACTAGTTGAATAATCCTATAGGCATACATAACATGCACTCAGGCACTACGATAAGTATTAGGAGCGAGAGGCTCTACACACTTAGAAAATCATATTAACTACAATTTATGACTGTCTTTCACAGAAATCGATTCATAGTTACCTTAGGCCGGCAAACACTATGTAATTACAGCAACAGCCTGGCAAGACGCTAAGTACGGAGTACAGAGACAGTCGTCACACACTGACCTTTTGCACAACCATTCTAAAGACCACCTGTGCTGCGCCTGCGTGTGCTCTGCTTTCAAGGTAGCTTTGTTCTAACCGGTAATCGGCTTGCGGTGCATTTAGACTTGGCCCCTAGCATATTCAAACCCCACAAAGACCTCCACGAGGCAGCAACGCCAATTTTCTAGGCAAAAAAAAAACGTACAGCAGCGGGTATTCGCTGGTCGTCACCGACCCAACTACTAATCCGCCGATTACTGGTTTAACTAGGGGAGAGCGGACGGGATCCCGTGCTTTCCAGTATCTATGGCCGTACGTGAAAGAGTTGGACCAGAATGCATATATAAATGCCGCCGGTGTAGTGCTGCCTGATGACATATGGGCATGCTAAAGTCTATTCTGGGCACAACTTTGTTACTGACTGAATCATAGCTGCTATTGAATAATTTCCTCTGAAAGTAGTTTGTACTCCTATGTCGTAGAGACAAAAAATCAGAGTCTCCCAAATCACCCACCAGTACCTCTAAGTTGGAGTGTGCGAAAAGATCAAGTGGACCTCGTCCGTGCACTCGCCGTCGGAGCGAAAGGACAAAAAGCGAAGCTGGACTTGCAGGGAATCGAACCCTGGACCACTCCCATGCTAAGGGAGTATTATACCACTAAACCACAAGCCCATTTCAGTTATGAGTTGGTGATGCTCTTTCGGCTGAACACGTGATGGAACCTCGATACGAGTTCATACTACGGCAACCAAGACGACGTCTCTACAGAACGGCACGGAAGCGTGCACGCCTACAAACAACCAATGATCTCCCGAGCCTCTATCCGGATACTGTCGACGATCTCTCCGGCTCCCTGCACGCTGTGAACGAGCCCAACACCGGCCCCAGCGTAAGTGGCGACGCGGCCGTTGGGACCCCAAGCAGCCGTGCCTCCAGTCTTGGCGGCGGCGTCATGGCGGCGCTGCAGCTCATCAAATGGCACACCAGCACGCTCGTCGGAGAAGCTCTGGTTGAGCAGGCCACGGGGGCTGTACCCAGGCGGCCAGCCAAAGGTGCCGCGCAGGTGGTTGTACAGCAGCGTGCGGCCGGTGCTGACGGCGCCATCGGTTGCCCGCACCACCTCGTCCTGGTACGCCTTGGCCACACGAGTCTCGGTGGCGGCCAAAAAGCGCGTGCCCATGGCGACTCCAGCAGCACCGAGCCCAAGGGCGGCCACAAGCCCGCGGCCGTCGGCGATGCCACCGGTAGCGATGAGGGGAAGACGGCTATCGGCACTGGTACCCCCAATAGCATCAGCTACCTCTGGCAGTAGCGTGACCACGCTGACACCGTCATCGGCTCATCCATGACCGCCCGCCTCGGCGCCCTGCACGACCAAAACGTCTGGACGGGCCGTCGTGCTGGCAGCCGCGGCCACGGCCTCGGCCAGCGTGCCGACCTGCACCCACACCTGCGTTCCCGGAGAGGCCGCGCGAAGCTGCTGTGTCCAGCGGTCCAGCTCGGCCTGACCATCGCGTGGCGCGTACAACCAGACAGCGCAGGGCCGGTGGTGTGCTATCGTTGCCGCAGCCTCGTCCAGGTCGCCGTCCCATAGCAGCAGGCCGACACCGACGGGGAGCAGACTGTCACTCGGCGGCGCTAACGCGATCGGCTTCTTCGTCAGAAGTTCCGTGGCCGCTGCTAGGTCGGCACCCGTGCTCTGCGGTGTCGCGCCCGGCCCAATAAAGCCCAGCCCACCAGCACGACTGATGGCCACGGCCAACGATGGGCCCGAAAACACGCGCATCGGTGCACCCACTACCAGCGGCGAGACCGTCCATGGAAGCGTGTCTTTGAGTATACGGCGCAGGTCGGCCGCACGCCTGACGGCTTTGACTGGAAGACTGGCCATCTGTCGGTTGGTATTTGTAGTTGGCGCTGTTGTCGTGGACAGTAGGGCCCAAGCAACCGATAACGATTCAAACAGGAATTGTCAGACGACTTTTACAGCATTATTACTGTTTTTAATTGCCTTGAGCATCGTTAAACCACATCCAACAGCTCCGCGGAGAAGACGAGATGCAGGTCGACTGCCGGATAACCCCACACTGTCGTCATATTTCACGTAATAGCCAGACTTAGCCGGCTTAGTGGCTCACTGAGCCGATGCAAGAGATGGTAGCCGGTGGCAGAAAGCTACAACAGTATCGCAAGGACTCATACAAGGCTGAAGAGGCCGTGACTGTCTCCTTGATGGATGACCCAAAATCACATCAAATCGTGCGTTTGATCATGTCACATTTTGCTATTACTTGATTTCGATGCAACTAAAAAGGTGTCTGTGATAGGAATTGATGGCAAAAGGTATAGCTGTTCATATTATACTAATGTACATTAGAGCAATATTAAGATAACTGTCTTAGACAAGGGGCAATGCGTGCTATGTGGCGGACGACTTCACAGCAGTTCTAACTGTTAACGGCCTTGTGTTTGGGTCTTGGCCTTAGTCAAATTATGTGTTACCAAAGGCCCCGTGTATGTCTGTATATGCTGTGAAAGGAGGACAGGAGACGCTTTTACTAAGACTAAAATGGGTGGGTGTAAGGTCTTGGGTCATGTGGTGGAGAAATATATGTAAGATAGCTTACTACGTGGCGAAGGATACCTCGAACGGGAATTCCTAGGTGTGTGGGTAAGAGTCTTGTGAGGGTCCCTCTATGTCTCTTTAGACTGGCCATTTATTGCCTGTCTTCATGGCCCCAGGAGCTGCCTTACGGCACTCTTTACGTTCACTAGTACGTAGATAGTTGGTAGGTTTGTATGCTTCGTTAGTTTCATTCAAGGCCTTTTCCGGCCTTCGCTTTCAGTAGAATGCACTCTTATATTGCTGACAACTCTAAATGAGATACACTATATGGGATCCTTTCTCTTTATCAAAGTACCTAGGCAGTTCTCGTGTCTTGTCTTTCATCATAAGTTTCATCTCCTGATCCTTTACCACCGTCCAGCCTATTCGTCGGAATTGATGGCCCGCCTCATTGACAAGCCTTAACAGCATGCAGTAAAGTCTCACCTCTGTCACTATTGGTTCAGCTCGATGCCCGTATCGCCATTCCATCAGATAGAACGTCTCCGACTCAAATCTTTTGCGATCTGAGTCTAAAACACAGAAATCTAACCAAACTTGGTCTTTCACCTGAATGGCCCGCTCGCACATCATCTGATTATTCTCTCCACCACTGGCTCCATTAGAAGATACAATGACGGTTAGACTCCAAGCATTGCCACTCATGCAAAGCCTCGCTGAGCGAAGCCGCCCTTCCACTCTGATCTGTAGCATTGAGAGCTGCGGAGAACCGAAGACATCCTCATCAAAAATGGTATCTTTATCTGGATTTTGTGGTCCGCTCTCCGGCGAAACACATTCCACCTGGACCAGTATTCCTTTCGCAAATGGGCCTGACGAATTTATCTGTCCTTTCACAGAGGCCCAAGAAAAAGATGGTGCGTAGTAGGGAGGCTCTTGGCCAAGTATATACCGGTCCCGATCCGGATACACCCACCATGCCATTTCTGCCGAGAGACGCTTCCGCCACATGCCCGCAACATAGGTATCGTTGATGATAGACTTCGTATACTTCGCCACACCAGAGATGGCCACAAGCTTGTCCTGGGGGTACTTGAATTGGCACTTTGTATATGTCTTGATAATGTCATCCCACACTGCATAGGGATTGTCTTCCTTAGCGAGGCTCGTGTGTGTTTTCCATCTAGGATCATCGCGCAAATCCGACGTGGATTGTCTAAGCGAATTTGTCTCACCCAGGTGAAACAAATAACTGGGAGGCAAGTCGTTGGGAAAACTTTCGCAATGAAATTGTTCACGACATTCCCAGAAAATCTCTTGGCGGCAGAAGTGTATGATGCGGGGCGCCAATAGTCGTTCCTGGAATACCCAGCCCCGGTTGTTCAGTGGAGAATTGTTGACTTCCATGAGCATCATGTCTCTGTCCACCGAAATCCAGTCCATGACGCTGCCTTCACAGTCAGCACGCGTCCGCATTCTGACTTGGTCGTAGTAGACATCATCTCTGTCAAAGAAAAACCCGCCGTTTTCCGATACGTGATCGGCCGCGATATTGCAATAGGCATGTTGGTAAACATCATTCATCTGAAGCGATTCCACTGCCCAATCATGCATAGAATCGCCCTCTTGAATGATACAAAAGCAGTCAATCCATAGATAGCGTATCCCAATTTGACGTGCCACCGACATAGCGTCCTGGAAGATTTGCGCCACCTTTTTGATAGGGTGGCCAATTGCCGCTTGTTGTTCATTCTCCGCCGTTAGCAAAAACGTCGGTTGGGGCTGCCACCTGTGACTCAGCGTCACGTATCGTTCATTCGGTGATATCAAGGTGCTCTTCACCACACAGAAACTGTCTGCGTACCTGCCGATATCCACGAGCCTTGTTGGGAGATATTGATGTGTTAATCCATCTTTCGGCATCCTACACTTGGGATGATTTGCGGTACAACAGTCAAGCCAGGCTATCACAGTGTCGATAGAAGCCATAGAACCTGTATTTTGAGGCAGGTTCATTTGTCTGGGGAAGCGTATAAGCTCTAGAAGTTGGTCAGGAAAAGGGCACCGTAAGTGGATTTTCGATCTTGTCGGACCTACCTTGTGCTGGTATGAAAAAGAGGACAACTAAATCACCAAGATGGAGGTTTTTTATTTTTAGGAACACGGATAAAGTAGGCACCTCGCCTTGAGAAGTTCTAAAGCGAAGTCGAATCGGCGCCGTCGTATTTCCGGAGAGTGCAAGATTCATCTCTTTGCGCGAGGTCTCTTCAGCCGCTAACTGTTTCAGCTTCAAGGCGGCATGCATATTGAGGTGTCGAAATGCCGTCCAGCAGATATAGCATCTTTCACTGGCGGCAGCGAGAAAATCGCTTATAAGAGGATGATGATAAATGATTTGGTTCTGGACAGAACCGACATTGTCAAAGCTCAGTACCCCTTTGCATATATAACAAAGACGCATATCGTAGAATAAAAGGGTAGAGGAGGGGTGTGATCGTAAGATATTAGTCCAATTAGCAGCTAATCTACAGATATGCCTCGATTTACAAGCAGGGAGTGCATGATGGCGAAAATGAATATCATTATATATAGCTAACCCCCGTACATATTTTTGCTAGAGGTTAAGACGGTTAGCCTAAAATATCAGAAAAAAAGTGTGTTTTGCTACCTAGTAAGCATGCGTGTATTATTGAGGTTAGGTACAAAGTACGTCCGAACTATGCCAGCGTGTATAAAAATTAATAGACCAGGCTAAATTGAGTAGGGTGTGAAGACCAATGGCGTATAGCGCCTAGACCGGCTATGCTAAGAGTTATATTATTCTCATTTCTAGTTTAACCTAAATATTTCTTTATAGATATTGTAGACCATACTAATACAAGTAGAATAACTAGGCTTTCATTAAAAGCTAAGCTTGAGTTCCCTCCATAAGACCCCTTTAGCTGTGGATACTGAAACTATAAGGTGCTTTTCTTTTCGTGCTCTGCTTTCCTGGGTGTTTTAGTTCCACCACTCGTAGCCTCTGTACATTCCTCAATTGTTTTATAATTCGGACAGTCCCTATCAAAACAAAACGTCACTGGTACAAAGCCATCATGGCGGGTACCATTACTACGTACCACCACACTTGCCGTCCCCACGGGTATCTCAACGTGAGAGTGCTGGCCGACCGTAGTAAGCCCAACCAGGCCATTTAAACTGTGAGCTGTCACCACAGAGAGAAACTCCGACAAGAACTCCTGTGTGGGACAAGGACTGGCCTCGCTAGAAGAGGTGCTTAGCTTATTGTTGTCCTGGCTCGTTTATAATTGTAGGGTCTTTTACTTACTTGTCGTACATAACAGAAAACTCCATAGGAGCCACCTCACTCTCAGAAGTCATCCAAGTTGTGGGTACGATATTGTTACCAACCAGTACTATGAGATCACGGGTACTGGCACTCATGACATAGCTAGAGCCGGAAACTTTGACTACGGCCTCTCCGTCCCTGATAACATGATGTGCATGCTGAAGATATACGCCGAAGTTTTTAGTGCAGTCATGCCTCAGGAAAACGTCTCTGATGGGTCCGTTGAGGACGTCGTCGAAAGAAACAGCCTTTTTTACACATCACAATATCAGTATGGCTCTCCCAAAGAAATAAGAGTCGCATTAGCAGCTTTGCAGAAATTCATACCTGACGCCGAGCTAGAGCTTCCCCGAGAGATGGAAGGCCATTATATAGTTGTGGCGCTATCAGGAGAGCCATAGTTGAAACTACAGTAGGCTTGGCGAAAGGCTTTAAGACAAGAATAAATTCTCAGTAATTGGAACTTGTTACAAAGACAAGTGTACTGCCACAAGAGACACCTCGACATATTTCTCATTAGATGGGGAAGGCTTTCCACTTTATATAGCCCAATTATTCGGCTCTACAAAGATAAGTCCGTTCTTTCTACGATTGTCTCGACATTGTATGTCATTTTGAGACCAGAAAAGGTTCCCGACTCAGAAATGTAAGCCTACTAGCTCTGATAAAACATAACCTACGACCGTTTCTGCTTGAGAGTACGACGCAAGGCCTTGATCGCTGCCAACACATTGACACCATTGCATCCGTCCGAAGATAAGCCCCAGAGCACCAAAGTATCTACGGCACCAATCACACCAATCAACCTCTTCACGTTGTCGTAAACCTCTTTCAGCTAGGCATCAATGCGTGAAAAAGATATGATAAACTGAAGGCCTTTATGCGTTCCTGGCATAGTACGTGAAGTGTGCTGCCATGTGAGTGGGTCTTTAAGGTTGGGCATTGCAAGATATGTTGCGGTTGGGCATTGCCGTCACATTTGTAGCGCCTTGTGTTTACAGATCCTCTTGTCAAGTAGAAAATGTCTAGATGTTAGTAGAAATAACTCTACCGTGGATTTCGTAGCTTCATGTCGTATTGCCGTTTCTATAGCAATGGCTTGTATGACTTTCCATAATACAGCCACTTGCTACCGCCGGTGCAGTACCTTTTAGTTTATTGGAGGATAAGACATCCCTTTAGATAGCCATTCAAGATATCTCTGCAAACACAACGCACAACAAAGCTCTGAGCCTAAATACGGAGGCTGAAAAGAATACTATGTGTAATGCTACTTAAAGTATGCCACGTCGCTGCTAGTTAAGGGTGAGGCGCAGACATGCAGCTAATGTGAAGGTGATCGCTTAAGGTATGACTTTACTTACTAGTAGCTTTTTCGACGAACCAGGCAAGAATGGGCGGGTCAGAAGATAGGTGCCGTGTATGAGTGCATGCTTAGTGGACCCCTATGATAAAGTATCGCGGATAACTTCACGGCTATTTTAACCGTCTGTGACCTTCTGCTAAGCTCCAGGCTTTAGCCGGTTTACGTGGTACCAATGGTCTTGCGTAGGGTTAAATAGGTTTGAAGAGCCGCATAAGAATGACGTCACCTTGTTTAAGAAACCCAGTATTTCCAATCAGTTATGATTTGTTGTCTTAGCTTATATTCTGCGTAAAAACACAATTATTGGTGGCAGCTCTATTTTGTAGATTCGTCGTCCGTCTGTCTAGCAGTGCTACCTACTGCACCACAAGCCCATTTTTTTGTGTTTCCGCATACAAGATGTTCTTCTTGTTCGGCACCTTTAGCATCTTCTCCTTGGTTGTTATCCATTTTGGAGAGTACCCGTCCGGCTTCTGCTCTGCCGGCGTCCGGCCCTCGTTCACCCATGCCATCAGCTCCCGCGAGTACTCCACGTCCTGGCTGCGCAGGTTGTGGAACAGCTTCCCGTAGCCCTTGTCCCGCACCCGCTTCTCGTATTCGGCCCTCTGCTGCTGGACCGGTGGCAGGGCGGTCTTGCCCGCGAAGACGGCCGCGACCGTGATCGCCTGGAACTCAAAAAGAGAGAACGTTGCGGTGTAAAAAGGCACGCCGACAAAGGCGAGCGTCGGATCTGGGATGTAGAAGATGTCTTTGTGCAAGTTGTGTAGCTGCTGGCCGTCGGTGACCAGCACGGTGTCGTCGGCTTGCTGTGGTGCCACGTCGTCTCTGTGCAGCTGCGGAAGGAATGGCAGGCTGAACTGGTAGCCCGTGGCGACAAAGACGGCGTCTATGTCGTCAATGGTGCGGCCATCAACCAGAGTCACCGTCGCCGGAATGGGCTCCGACGCGGGCGCCGGACCGTCGGTCAGCCGGCCAAAGCTGCGGATCTCGGCCACCCGCTTGGCTTTTGCCGGCAGCATCGCGGCCGGATGGTCAAAGGGGCCGTCGCGCGTGGACTGCCACACCTTTTTGGCGACGGGCGACAGCTCGACGGCGATGTCGGTTGAGGACGCGCTGCCCCCAATCACGAGCACGGTCTGAGCTGCCTGTTAGATGGTTTCCTCAAGTAAAAAAGGAAGCAGAAGCTCGTACCTTTTTCTCAAAGCCCTTGGCATTCCGGAAGCTCTTCGAGTGCAGCACCCTTGACGGAAAGGCAGTCTTCCACTCGGCCAACCCTTTGATGGCAGGGATCTGGGGAGCGTGATAGTGGCCGGAAGCTACGGCGACAGCATCGAATGTCTGGAAGGATGTGCGCGTCAGTCTAGCTCCAACCACCACTGCCAGAGGATAGGACACTGACCCAGTCTCTCGTGGTGGCGTTTTTCGTGGTATGATCCCATGTGCTGGTCGTCACCTGCCACACGTCTCGGTCTTTCTTGATGCTGACCACTTTCGTGTCGAACATGGTCCTTTCGGTGACGCCCGTCTTTGCGGCCGTGTCCTGGATGTAGTCTGAAAGAACGTCATGGGTCGAAAAGGACTGCGTGTTCGGCTTCCATTTGTTCAGCGAGACCTCCAGCAGCTCAATCGGGACGTTGTTCTTCAGTCCATCGTAGCAGGGTCTGTCTGTGCGTTAGCGACGGTTCGAAATGAGGGCTCAGAAGCACGTGCTGACCCAGGCTGCGAGTGCAGAAGATACGGATCGACATTGTCAGGAACATTATGAAACGTAACGTCTGCTACGGACGCCTTGGACGAGGGATACGTAGGCTCGAGAGGACGCGTCGGGTTCAAGACCCTGCGACATGTAAGCACACGTTTGGGACATCTCATTCTCTCTGTTTCCGTCGATCGAGCCGGCTCACGCACCAAACACCTCCGACGGCGGACGATCGCTCGAACACGGTCACGTCTAGGCCTTCGGCGATAAGATGGGCTGCCGTGTTTACTCCCGAGATGCCGGCGCCGATGACGGCCACGCGACGAACTGGAAGAGACGCCATTTGGCTGAATGGAGGAGATTGAAGAGTGGCGGCAGCAGAAGAGGTAGCTCGACAATGGGAAGCACAAGAAAGGGCAGATCAAGATACGACTTGTAGAAGGTCTATGAGCCAAGATTCCGTGGCCGGTTTATATGGCGCAGCCGGACCCAGCAAATCAGCGTGACGGTCTGGAAAAGGTGTGTTGGAACGATCCTGATGTTGACATCCTAGTCGTCCGATAGGGCGTGTTGGTTGTAGATGACGCCTTGGTTGTGGAGAATGGCGCGAGCCAATGGAGCAATTCGAAATCGGTTGCACATCGCCCTACTTTTCCCAAGCACGGAGACGGGAGCCGTGAGTCTGCAGCCTCTGAGCGATCCCATGGATGATGCGCTCCACCCGTGCAGCCGCCGCAGAGGAGACATGGGATAAGATGCTCTCGGCCATGGAAACGCCCGCGAGAACGATTGCGCCCAAGCGAAGAGGCAGCTTGGCAGACGTCGGCCCGAGCAAGAAGTACAAGAGCATCTCGCCACGGCCAGCCGCTGATTTTTTTTTCGGGGCTCTGCAGAGGCGGCTGCAGCTGCCGCAAACGAGCAGCTGGACGGGGCCGACTTGTTGCTGGCCGTATCGAGAGGCCTTGGCCACAAGGCCTCACTTGTGAGCTGCCCGACAATTTCCATCGCATCCGGCAGCTATTGGAGTGAGCTGTTCTGCTGACCAGTCGTCTGCAGGCATGTGACACATGTCGCCACAAGAAGGTCAAGTGCAGTGAGAGCCGGCCGGCGTGTGCGTACTGCTCTCGACATGGCTTCCAATGCTCCTATACCGATCAGACTGGGGCATTGTAAGTGGAACAGACCGAAATCTCGTGGCCACATGGACTGACCAGGCCAGGAGAACCAACGAGAAGGTGGCCGTGCTGCTGGAGCGCGTCGCCCGACTGGAGCAGTCGCTCGAGTCGCTCCGGGACGAAGTCAGGCTGCGAGACTACACGGCTGCATGCGACGTTTCCGTTCACGATGCTGCCAGAGCTGTTGCCCGGCTCTACCAGACGCCTCCAGACACTGTGTTGTCAGCCAAGAGCCCGCTCTACAGCCACGGGCCAGTAGCCATTGAGGCCGTCGAGTCGCCTCTGAGCCTTCCGCCCGATTTTTCCACCACAACTACTACAAACCCCTCCAGATTCGCGTCCACGACACCCTTCGCCTGCGAGGAACGACGAGCTCCGTTGCCGAACCTGCTCGCTCTCGAAGCTCCCACAGACGCGGACGAGATCATGGCCCATGTCGACAGCTACCTCGGTCAGCCGTACGATCTGTTCCCGCTGATGTGCAAGAGCTCCGCGTACGCGGTCGCCGTGTCAGTGCGCAAGGACGGCCTGCAGCCCAACCTGCAGTCTTGCTATGCGCTGCTGATGGTCGCGTTGGCCAAGGCCTATGCCGATCCCGAGTGCGTTGACAGCGGCCTGGCCGACTTCCAGATGGCCGGTCAGATCCGCGGCCGTCTCGGCGAACAGCTCAACCTCGAGTCCGTCGTCGTCCAGTTCCTCATCACCATCTTCCTGCTCAAGAAGGGCCTGATGATCAACTTTGCCCTCGCGCTGCATGCCGCCTGCTCGTCGCTCTATACGCTCATCAAGAGGTGAGACTCTTCCGGGGACCTGCATTCCCGTTTCTGGTATAGTAGCGGCTCACATGTTTCGATAGGGACCAAGCATCCGGCATCGAGCGCGACAAGAGCGACCGCAACACGATATCGTCAAGCTTCTGGATCGGCCACAATCTGGAGAGAGATCTCGTCCGCGAGATCGATGACACCTTTCCGCAGAGCTCCCTGCATCTGCTGGCCGAAGGCTTCATCCTACCGCTGGGATGCGACGACTCGCCGAGCCCGAGCGCGCCGCCAATCATCCGCGACGAGATCATGTTCTTCTTCGCCGAGATGGCCCTCCGAGCTGTCACGGCGCGCATCTTGACCACGCCCTACTGGAAGATTGGCGGCGCCGACCGTCCAGAAGCCGGACCACCAGAAATCTCTCCCCTGCTTCCGGAGCTGCGCGGCCAGCTGGACGAGTGGCTGCTCCGCATGCCTGCCAGTCTGGACTGGTCCACAGAGCCGGTCAGGGGCTCGAACTCGCCCGTGGTGGCCCGACTGAAGATCCTCTACTGGTTTGCGCGCTTCTCTTTGGCCCGGCCTCTGATCGTCGAGGCCCTCCGCAATCCAGCCTTCTCTCTGCCCCTCCAGGGCTGGGTCCTCTTTCAAGACGGCATAATGTCGGCCATGAAGGTGCTCAAGGTTCTTCTCTGGGAGGAAACCGAACTCGATTTCCTTATGGGCAATAGGTATGCTTGATAGGGGTTTCGGGGACAATACGTAGTATGAGCTAACGTTACAGGATTCTCTCGGTGATGGGTATAATGAATGCTGCAGCAAGAAAAGACTGTGTTCCGACGTTGGAAAACGAGCTTCCAGAATCTGTCATATCAGCAGCACACAGCATCGTACATCGAAAATTCGCAAAGACATCCGAGTGGATTGCCTGTAAACTGTATCATATGCAGGTATCCCATTATTAAAGACTTGTCTGGGTATGCTATATGTTGAGCTGCTTGCTGAAAATTACTTCATCGGAACAAATAAATTGCTACATATGATGAATCCTGGCATCTTTCCTCTACTAATCCCTCATTGTGTCTGTCCTCTCATTTTAGCTGTTTCCGCACTACCTGATCGCGAATCACCCTGCAAAATTCATTATCAGCACACGCCCCGACTTGCACCCAATAATCACCGTTCTCCTGCCAATACAACATGACAACGTTGATTTTTCATGAGGGGAATAGAGATGATGTGCTCGCCTGCTCGCACAATAAAGCAGCTACCATCGCCGTTTCTCGTATAGCATAGGGACACGAAGCTTTCCTATAACTCTGTTGGAGATATCGGCAACAGGGACACTACCAAGACGTGCTCTGAAAAAAAACCTACATAGTACTCTGTAGCCAAGAGGGCTAGTGCAATGGTCCACCAGCGAGTGAAGAACTGTTTAAGAAAAAGGTAATAGAGTCAAAAATTTGGTTAAGAACCAAGGGCTCAGTCGGGGATCGAACCCGAGACCTCGCACATTTTACATTGTGATGTAAAGGGGACAACCCGAAGCGCGAATCATACCACTAGACCACTGAGCCGATCTCGGTTGATGGGAGTTTCGGTGCGGTCCAGGGCAGAAGAAGGCGAGTCACCAGTGAGCACGAATGGGAAAATATATTGTTGGTCTAAATGCCCAGCACTGAATATAGTGCACTACTCAACTGAAACAGGCTGAAATGGAGGCCGCAGAGTTCATCTCATACATGATGCCACAAAGACTGCCAGCCACCGCCAAGTCCGTAGACCGGTGTTCTTTGCGTTTGAAATGTAACGAGAACGGCGTGTTTGAAGACCAATTAACACGTCAGACCAAGTGACGACAACAAAACGTCGTGGGTCATTATTTTACGAGCGGAGATCTTCTTCCGTAGCAACAGATCGCAAAGCCTGTATGCGTTTTTTTCCGCACCCAGATTCCCACCGTTCCAAATCCTCAGACACTGCGTTTTCAATTTGCAAGCCCATTTCCCGTGTGCCACTGCCGGGTGTCTCCTACAGTCCGCGATGCTGTGACAGATCATATGGCTCTTTAGCAGTCCAAACATCGCGCGAAATCCTAGCGTCTTCCGTCATGCACGAGCTCTGACACGTTGCAGTCTCTTCTTAGCATGGCAGATGGATGCGGCCAATATTATGGCTGTCTCCGCCTCGACAGGTGTCAACGCGGCTGCATCGGCCCACGGCCGACGGCAGTGTCGGTGAGGAGTGAGGAGGCGACCGCCCTTCCAGCAATGAGCAGCCGAGCCGGCACACCCTATTTTCCGGGAGGGCGAGGCAACGGCGGGGTATTCACAGGTGTGCAAGAGCCTAGTCTTATCGCCAGCGATTCCGCTTGTCTCACTCGTCTGCCACGATTTTGCTTCAATTTTCTCGGCGGGATTATGTCGGAAAGCGGTGCGCAAGCTCTGGGGAAGGTGCTGCGGGGGTGGTATGTGCGTCTGGTTAGAATCCCAGAAGGGGAAGGCGCGTATGGGCCAACCGAGGTGGATTGTGTGCCTACCCAATGCATGTGTGTAATAGTGTGTATGATATTAAAGCACAAGTCAGACGCGCCCTCTTTTCCTCCCTTTTTTGGTTCTCGGAATGCATTGCAATCTCACTGTCCGAAATCCTCGCCATCCGGAGGTCACCTCCTGGCATTGAAGACGCGCCCACAAGCTGACGCGCGCCTCATCTGGGGCTCCCTTTCTTTCCCTTTCCTCTTTACTTCTGGCGCTTCTGTGCCTTATCGTGTCGTCACGGTTTCGCTGCAACGTCATCATCAACGAATCGTTATCGCAGCATCGTCCATCGAGAACGGTTTCAGCCGACAAAAGTATCCTCCCCACGCTCTCCGTCTTCCAGAGAACGCCAGCAACGACTGCATTAATTGCGGCACCTTCCGCCATCGTACACATCCCTCTCTCCGGCCATGGTGTCGTCCGCCAGCGCGGTCTCGCCGCCGCAACCAGGGAAGCCGTCGTCAGCAGCCAATGATGCAATTTTGCGCAATGCGCTGCGATACACCATGTCGGCACGCGAGTATGCGGCGCTGCACAAGTACGTACTGTCACGGTCGCGAATGGTGCGACGACACGTGCCCAGCGTCGAGACGGTCGGCCGGATCATGGGCGGACCGCCAGTCAAGAAGAAGAAAAAGGACAAAGAAAAGGACAAAGAAGAGGCAGAGACATCTTCAGCACCAAAGACGGGCGCTATTGTAGGCGCAGACGACTTCAATACACGGGCAGTACGGCACGCGCTGCGTGTGTTTGCGGCCACGGCGAGCGGAATGCGGCTCTTTGGGGCGATCCAGCGGCGATTTCTAGGCGACAAAACGTGAGTACTTTCCCGTGCCTCTGAACATGGCTGTATCGTCAGGCCTTGTGTCCTCGGATGTGTTGCTCTTTCGATCTGACCTTTCCATAGCTCCAAAAAGAAGCCGCTGCACAAATTGCCCACAGTACGGCTTTCGCTCTCACTCTCGACCATCCTGCTGATGTACCGGCTGCTCTTCCGGTTCTTCACACGTCTGCGCACAACACTGCTCGACCCGGCGGCGCTGCCGTTCCGTTCACGTAACCCGCGCACAGCCGCAGCGCTGACATCGTCCTATGCACCCGCAGCAGGAGCCTCATTGGCGGGCCTGGCGCTAGGCATTGCTCCGGCTCGGTTCCGGATGATGCTGGCGCTCCTGGCGGTCTTCCGCGGACTGGAGTTTGCCTGGAATGCGGCAGAAGACACGGGGGCCATCTGGGGCGTCGACATGGTACCCGTGGCAGTGCGGTCTGCCATGGGAGCTGCGGCAGGAGCACTCGTTGGAGACAACGGCGACTCTGCGATGATCGGGAGCTGCAGCAGCAGCAGCGGAAACGACGGCGTTGTCCTGCGGGCACGGCCTCGACAGCGGCCATGGTGGTGGGGCTCGTGGATGCTGCAGCCGTTTGCAGTTGGACAAATGCTGTACGCAGCTGTGTTTGACCGGGACTGCTTCCCGTCGTTGCCGTTAGGAAAGTTTGTCCTGGGACAGATGGAGGCCACAGACACATACCTGCACACAGCCCCCGTGGACGCATCGGCGTCGGTGGTGGCGGGCTGGCCGGGACCAGCTGCCGTGATGGACGCGTTGGCAGCAATGGCGCGGGCACAGTGGCCAGCATTTGCATCGCCGATTCTCTTCCCAGGCAAGGAGGCAGAACAGGTGGTCACGCTGGCAGCATCCTCGCCAGCCGTGGCCGCAGTGATGCCGTCGCTGGTGGCACGGGCACATCCGCTGGTGGCGTCGCTGAGCTGCGCCACACTGCATCCAGACGACCCGTCATGCGGCCGCACGCAGCTGCTGTTCTGGCTGCGGTCGTTCCCGGCGTATGCGCGAGCCTTCTTGGTGCTGTACACGGCACTGCAGCTGCCGCGACTGCCACAGCTGGCGGCAGCACTGCACGACGCACCGCTGCGGGCGATACAGCAGCTGGTGGTGGCACGGGCGCTGCGGTCGGCGACCATGTTGACGGGAGCATTGTCGACAGCCTGGGCATCATTATGCGTGTTCCAAGCCTGGCTGCCGCGCCGGGTGCTGGCAACACAACGCGTGTATCTGGGCGGCTTCGTGGCCGGCCTCTGGGCCTGGCTCGAGCGGCGGCACGGCCACGCCGTCTTCCTCTACTCGGCGCGCGCCAGCTTTGAGAGCTTCGTGCGCATGGGTGTCAAGCGCGGCTGGTGGCGGTCACCTGCGCGCAGCGGCGGCGACGTGGCTGTCTTTGTCGCAGCGCTGCTTCTGGCCGGCACGGCATATGAGCGCGAGCCACGGGCCCTACGTGAGCCGGCCTGGCGCAAGGGTATCAGTTGGGTGCGCGGCGAGGGCTGGCGCGATTGGGCAGTGGACGAGGACGACAGCGAGGAGGAGGGTGAGGAGGATGACGAGAAGGAGGAATAGGGAACGATGGCTGGGAAAAATGATATCCAAGGGTGAAGTGTACGATTTGTATTATTGTTTGTATGAAACGTTGGATTTGCTTGAAATGAGTTGATTGAGTCCAATGTCTGCAAAATATATCGACGTAAGAGCCAATCTAGCAAGATACAACAAGGTTTCAAAACAGATATGACAGGTAGTTTCAACAATTCAGAGCCGGGAGCGGGAGGCCTGATGGGTTGGTATGTGCAGCTAATGGAAAACGGCGAGCGAGGCAGGAGGGCAAGAACAATACACATACCGTCTCAGACAAAACTCTAAGACTAACTGCTACGGCTATCCATACTATTTACGGATACTTGGACCAGAACTGCCACAACCAAGAGCTTGGACGTTGCAGCTCGTTTCGTGATGGTTATTAGTAGAGGATGTTTGGGGAAAATGAAGCGAAAATTTATGAAAAGATGTTCAAAATCTTAGCTGCCTTTCATGATATTGAATTGTTGATAGTATTATAGTTTCCTTTGTATCAAACCATTCTACACGCATACAGTTATCACTCAAGTTGTTACTTTCCCATTTTCTAAATATATCCGCGTTTCTCTAGCACAAACCAAAATGAAGAAGTGTACTCATGGGGCTCTCAACCTCGTCTTACTTGTAGTTGGCTACAGACTGGCCGATCGGCTATGCATGTCTGCTATGTGCCACGTAGTTGGTGGAATAATCAAGATCCAGACGCCTTCTCGTTAGCGCTGCCGACTAAGCCTTTTTAGCGGGGCTCCACGGCCGCTAAGCCAAGCAGCAATTCTCCACGCCGAGGCCAGTTGAGCTTGAGCAGTATGCGTGCGTCTTCATACGAGAGAGATTATTAATAAGCTACATGACTACGTATATTGAATGCCAATTCATGTTCTTCATCAACCAAGTTTGATTGATATATGTACTACTCAACCGGCTTCTGGCCATAGACGTAGCGGACAGTAAAATACGTGTGTAAATTCTTATCCTTTAAGGCTTTGCGCATCTCCATAAGGAAGATCTGGAACTCTTTCTCGCCTTTTTCCAAGACTTTGTTCCACAAGAAGGTGGTATATCCTATTGAAGTAAGCGATCTCAAAGTACATACGAAGTTGAAAGAAGAGGGGCTGTGTAAAAGAATAAAACGGAAAAGAACACACCTTCCAAGTCTTCAAGCAGGGCGGTCAGAGCGAACTGTCCTATCTCAGCCAGCTTTGTATCAGCAGGCCATTTACCCAAGGGTAGCTTATAGGTCTTGTCTACAATGTTCTTGAAGCCTGCTTTCTTCATAGCCCTGTGCTGGGTGCCGTCTTTGACAACGCTGAAATTACGGCCTAGCTTGGACATGCCTGTTTCAAAAAGCTGCCAGAACTCAGTGAAGATAGGGGAATTCTTGTCCGTTCCATTGTCGCTCTGGTGCTCAGGACGCAGCTCGCACGACTCAAACCAGCCGCCTGGCTCGCAGCAGCGGTAAGCCTGAGAGAATAGCGCATCCCAGTCCGAGATGGCGCCTACCAAGAAACGAATGTGAACAAAATCAAAGGCGTTGTCAGGCCAGGTCCATGGCTGTGTTGCGTCATCAATCTCGAACTTGGCGTTAGGCGGTACCCAAATCGACTGGATCGGTGAGATGTCCGTACCGATTACCTGGGCATTTGGAAATTGGTCGGCAACATCACTAGCAGACATAAAATTAGAGTTTGAACTGATCTTCTCTAGCGGGGCTTTAGAATGAGAATTAATGAATTACTTCTTACATTGCCCAAATACCAGTACCGGTGCCAATGTCAAGCACGTTCTAATTAAAAATTGTAGAAGAAGATTAGTATTACAAAAAGCACTATTTGCTTAAGACAGACTAACTTTAAGGTTGTCTTTGACAGGCGCTAGGAAAAATGCGCCGTTTAGGAGTAGCGTTAAGTAATGGTGCCTATTCAAATGCCGTCAGCTATATAAGAAGGGAAGGCTTAAGGGACTGCAATTTAGACATACGCTATGTCTATAGCCTCCTGTTGCTGGCCATCGTTGGGCATGAAGTAGTTTGCATACTTGTCGCTGTGAAACGTCCGCCCATTAATTGTGCGGTACTGCAAAATGCTGCTTGACACAGACGCCGTTGAAAGACTACAACACGTTAGCTGTTACGTGTTATAAAACAGGAAGAGAGATACCCACGAGTAGTTGTCACCGAGAGCTAAATCGGCATCTTCGGCCAAGTTAGTGTCCTAAAAAATAAACATCAGCTTTGATTTCGCCTTTGACCCCCCATTCCCTAAGTCATACATCGCCTTCAGCTAGCACCACGGCTGCTGCAATGGTATTAGCAACAGTGTGGTCAGTTGGTGCCAATACCGGTCCTCTAGCTGCGTCGGAAGACATGACCGTACTATGTATGTTAGCTTCTTGATATTGTAGTGAGCATGACACTTGAAGGGGAAGCAGCAGAGAAGAGTAGTGTATTGAATACTGGTGCGAGGGCGCCAAGGCACGGAGTACATAGAAAATAGGAAGGAGGGAGCACCGCGTGGTCTTATCTTCCATAACACAAGAGGAAAGAGGAGCAGCTCCACTGTAAGAAAACATCCGGTTGGTGAAAGCAACCGGACGGCCGTTGTGGCCCATACGGTTTACTTGGTACGGAGTATGCACCACAAGGACGGATGTATGCCGAATATAGAAGTTAGAGGGGAGGGGCAGCATTCTTTGTGGGCCTGGTTGCATGATCGTAACAAGCGCCACTTGATTGGTTCACGAAGATTCGCATTACATAAGGCGGTGCTTGTCATATTTTAGGGCAGCAATAACTTCATAAAAAAATTATATTCTGGTCAGAGAAGTCCTACAAAAGCCGAGTAGACAGGCACGTTGCGTTGGGCGCGCCTAGACAGTGATTTTCTACCTCACTGGTATCGGCACAAATTTGTCCGGCGCTAGATTTGGCGATCCAGTTACTGGTTCAACCTTTCCTTCGTAACAATATGTCTCTTTGGCCGCTTCGTCGGCAGAGACGGATAAATTGAGTCTAGAGATAACAGGCGCACTGATATAAAGCGGGGGAGGGGAAGCCGAGCTCTAGCATCTTTGCTCTTGCTCGTCTTCAGCTCATCCTGCTCATCTTCTGCTCCTTTTCCCCTGTGCTCTGCCTCCATTTCTGCTGCCTTTTGTCGCATTCGCACCTAATTGGCTCTTCGTCTGCCACAGATTCCTCCACTATGCCGTACCCCGACAAGTTTACCGGCTTCCAGGTCGAGAGCGCTGAGACTTGGCGCGAATTCCACAAGAACGAGTTCCAGCCAAAGCCGTTTGGCGACTATGATGTCGACATCCAGATTGAGTGCTGCGGTGTCTGCGGTAGCGATCTGCACACCATCAACGGCGGCTGGGGCGAGCAGAAGTGGCCCTTGGCAGTTGGTCATGGTGAGTTTTGTGATTTTGTGTTGTCTGTGTTGTCTGTGTTTTTCTGTTACTGCGTCTTGCTGTCGCCTTCTCACTGACTGCTCAGAGATCGTCGGCAAGGCGATTCGTGTTGGCCCCAAGGTGACGCTGATCAAGGAGGGCCAGCGTGTGGGCGTGGGCGCGCAGTCGTATTCGTGCCTCGACTGCCGCCAGTGCAAGAATGACAACGAGACGTACTGCCGACAGCAGCTGGACACGTACGGAGCCACGTGGCCGGACAGCGGTGTGGTGTCGCAGGGCGGCTACTCATCGCATGTCCGCACGCATGAGCACTGGGTGTTTCCGATCCCGGATGCGCTGCCGTCGACGGCGGCTGGGCCGATGCTGTGTGCCGGGCTCACGGCCTTTAGTCCGCTTGTCCGTAACGGCTGCGGCCCCGGCAAGAAGGTCGGCATCGTCGGCATCGGTGGCATCGGGCATTTTGGCATCCTCTTTGCCAAAGCGCTCGGCGCCGAGGTCTGGGCCATCTCGCGGACGCACAGCAAAGAGGCCGATGCGCGCAAGATGGGCGCCGACGGCTTCCTCGCCACGGCCGACGCCGACTGGGCAGTGCCACACGCCATGACGTTTGACCTGATCGTCAACTCGGCCAACTCGTTTGACGGCTTCGACCTGGCCGCCTACCTCTCCCTGCTCGACGTGCACGGCCGATGGGTGAGCGTGGGCCTGCCGGGGGGCGACGGGATCATGGTGCGCAACCAGTCCTTCCTCAGCAACGGCTGCTTCTTCGGCAGCAGTCACCTGGGCAGCCGCAAGGAGGCCCTCGCCATGCTCCAGCTCGCCGCCGACAACAACATCCGGCCCTGGGTCGAGGAAGTGCCTATCAGCGCTGAGAACCTGTCAGCCACCCTCGACCGCCTGCACAAAGGCGATGTCAAGTACCGCTTCTGCCTGACCAAGTATGGAGATGTCTTTGGCCAGTAAGGGGCGAGCGCGGCGTGGAGGTCAAGGAAAGAGACAGATGTTTCCAGCCATGCCAGCCTCACGCTGTTTCACATCGCATAGAAAGGTGGCATATTCGCTGTAGAAACGGACGAATCGGCTTTTTGCAAGCCTTTTGCAAGCCTAGAATCAAAACCGTATTTATGACGAGGCCGCATTTTGCTTGGTGACGAAGCTCATGAGACTAAGATCAATCTTGAAATTTGGTGGGGAAGACAACGTGGACTGCTATCATGAGCACAGTGTGATTAATGATTTCAAAGCCTAAAATTCTGTACGGAGTATCTTCGAGCCGTATTCATGGACCGTACAAGTAAACATTGCTTCGTAAAGCACTTGGTCATCGTTCTAATATTGGCATACTTTGTCCTCGACACAGGCGAGGATGTACAAGTTTGGAATATCATCGTTACTCTGAGCTTCTGTGCCCAAGCCGTCCCATGTTTCGCTAATAAAACTGTAACCATTGATGGTCATGCAACAGCTTAGAAGACCTGAAACGACATTGCTGAAACCTGAAAAATGAAACTACCACAGGCTAACAGTTAAAGTGATCATATGTGCACATACATATCTAGCTGGAATGCTACTTCCTTAATCACGATTCTCTGTGGAAGGCATAGGGAAAGGAGAGAAAGACCTCCAAAAGCGATACTATGGCGTGTACTGGTTACAAAGTTGTGAAGGGCAGTGTATTCTTTTTTGATAGACTTTGCAGACTTTATGTCAGACGAGTATGTTTTAATTTCTGTTTTGCGCCATTACCTATGTAAGTGAACCTTGCAATATCGACGAGTTTCAAAGATTTCTGTTACCTGAAAACCACTTTCACTAATATTAACAAGGATTACAGACATCCCAACAATAAACGAAACCCGGGCTACATGAACTCCTTTCACTTGAGGTCCTCTTGTAAGGTGCGCGTCAACATTAACACACGATAAGATATCACCAAGGCCCCACAGTTGTGAGCGTTACATAATCAAAATGAGTCCAAAGAACCCCACCACTTCTCATTGGCCACAGAGTTTCAGGGCTCGCAAACCCTCTTGAAATTTTAGTGCCCTTTAGTCGCAAAAAAAAAAATCACTATGCCCGCCAAAAGCCCTGGATAATTTCTCTTCACGATTGCTGCTTCGATCCTCATCCCGTTGACACGATTCACCAAGCAGCCGCTCCTCTTTTTCTTCTCCCTCACCCGTTTAACCCTCTTCAAACAGGATCAATCAGTCAAAATGAGCGCCCCACAGATCAACAAGATCGCGCCGACGAGCCCGTCGCGCCAGAACCCATCCGAGCTGGAGACGAGCATCGCCGGTGCTCTGTACGATCTCGAGACGAACACGTCCGACCTGCGCGCTGCCCTGCGCCCGCTGCAGTTCGTGTCTGCCCGTGAGGTGAGATGAGAATGCCTCCTATTTACCGTGACCATGTTGGGAAGCAGCGGGGAGGTTGAGAAGAGGGACAACGAGGACGAGGCAATCGGCTGCCATCGGTGGCTAGTTCAGAGACAACATCATAGCATCGTGTTCGAGGACGCAGACGGTCCGACAATCTGATTTCTTGCACGGAAAGCGTGATGAGTGACCGACTCGACTGCCTTCTCAGACCGATTCGACGATACTGCCCTCTCGACAGCCCAACGTCTTTTTCCTCGACCTCTTCTCTCTCCTCTGCTCTTTCGAAAATCCTGTCGCTTGACGCACCCCCATACACACAGAATGTTGTGGATACAGGACGGGAAGCGGTCCATGGATGGTGTTTTGACGTAGAGGAGAACAAACGCATCCAGGAGCTCGCATGCTGACTTGGGATCTGAATCCTAGATCGAAGTCGGCCACGGCAAGAAGGCTATTGTCATCTTTGTCCCCGTCCCATCCCTGCAGGGTTTCCACCGTGTCCAGCAGCGGTAAGTTTTTTCTGTCCGCCGCTTTTGTTTGCTTGGGCTCCGTTCTGACCAGACGACCAGCCTCACCCGCGAGCTGGAGAAGAAGTTCCCTGACCGCCACGTTCTGATCCTGGCCTCGCGCCGCATTCTCCCGCGTCCCAAGCGGTCTAGCCGCTCGCGCAACACGCAGACCCAGAAGCGTCCCCGTTCGCGCACCCTGACTGCCGTGCACGACGCCATCCTGACCGACCTCGTCTACCCGGTCGAGATCGTCGGCAAGCGTCTCCGCACCAAGGAGGACGGCAGCAAGACGCTCAAGGTCATCCTTGACGAGAAGGAGCGCGGTGGCGTCGACTACCGCCTGGACAGCTACTCTGAGGTCTACCGGAGACTCACCGGCCGTGCCGTCGTCTTTGAGTTCCCCCAGACCAGCGCCGAGTACTAGACTCGGGTCGCCGGGACTGTGGAAGACGGGTGCTGGAGAAAGAGTCGGGTATGGTTCTTCTTTAAAAAGTCAAAAGAAACGAAAAAGGGAAATGAAAAAAATATAAAATATCACAGGACGACAAGAGAGGTGGAAGACGGCCTCTTGAAGCTATCCTGGGTTCCTTGGGAGATTTGCCTTTACTGTGTCTTTGGGTGTTTCTATTTTCCCACCCTTATTTCCTCTTATGCATGGATGGGAAGCTTTTGCAATGGGTCTGCGTCCCGGTAGTGTACCGACGTGCGCATGGATGGTTCGGAGCAAAGGAATACAAGCAAATATCAAAGCCATGTATCGAGTTGTCGTGACATACGTCGCAGAGATCTTTGCAGTGATTACGAATGGGTGAGAGCAGTGGTATTGTCTTCCTCGTATCGTCCACAACCACTCAGCCGACAGCTAGTCCCGCCGGACACGTCCAATCCCAAGGACACACCAGTAGGCCAGTTCCCGCTTCTCCTTGGCGTCCTTGTCGCGGCCGGCCGTCGTGCCGCCGCCGTCTTTCTCGACCTCGGCCTCCCACTCGACGCGCACAAACATCGGGATCTCCACCACGTCCTCGTCCTCGCGCAGCGGTCCCAGATCGACCTCCTTCCCTTTGTTGGCGGCCGACCGGCTCGTCACGGCCAGCACCTCCAGGCTCAACGACGGTGGCACGACTTCGAGCACGATGCTGACCCAGTTGCGGCCGCGTTCCCAGATCTTGCCGGCCATGGCCTGGTGCGGCTGGCTGTCGTCGGTGCGGCGGCCGTGGCCACTGCTGCCGACGGCAGAGCCGCCACTGCCGCTGCTGGGGCCGCGGTCGTTGTCGCGCAGGGCATCGTCCCACACATCCGTGTTGGAGTCGACCTCGAACTGCGGGCAGAGCACGGTGACCTTGCTGGCGAAGCGGCCGGGCGTGGTCGAAGGTGCAGCCAGCGTGACCCGCACGTTCTCGAAGATGGGGTTCTTGAACGTGAGGATGTACTGGACCGGCTTCAGGGGCTCCAGCAGATTTGTCGGCAGGGTCGACGTCGACATCGAGGCCGAGGCCGTGCGGGCAGACGAGCTGGTCGATGGTGACGACACGTGGATGCTGCTGACGCTGCCGCTCGTCTGCAGCGGCCGGATGGAGATGCTGGGGATGTAGCTGCCGGCGACCAGCCGGATGCGGAACCGGTTGTTGGTCGACTTGGCCTCGGGTTTGCTGATGATGTGGCGACAGACGGGACAGCGCTTGGACCGCTTCGTGCGCAGCAGAACGGGCACCGGTCGCAGCTCGTCGAGAAAGCGTGCACGGCCGTGCAGCTGGGCTTCGCCGGTGTATGTTGGCTGGGCAGCCCGCTGCTCGGCCGAGGCTGTGGCGTCCCAGGCGTCATGGCTGCTGTCGCTGCCGGCACCGTCGAGACCACACAGCCGGTCGATGACGGCTGACTCATCCAGCTGGGCCACCAGGAAGCCTTCGGCCTCGTCGCGGGCCTCACGCATCGTCCGCACGCGCGACTGTGCTCGCTTGTCGAAGCGGGATCCCGACAAGGCCAGCCCGCTGGTGTACATGCTCATGATGCGCGACAGCGACGCCTGCGAGCCGAAGCCGAGGTCGCCGAATGATGCCAGCCCGCCGGCACCGGTGCCGCTGGTCTCCGACAGCTGCTGCTGGTAGAACTGCTTGAGGTTGCCAAACTGTCGGTCAATGTCCAGGCCCTGCTCGTGGCCGGCTTCTGTTGCGGCAGCCGAGGACGACAGCCCGACCGACAGTGCCTGCGGCTCTTCACCGTCGACCAGCAGCGACGGCATCGATACGCTCAGCTGCCGTGGCCGCTCCTTTCGCTCACGTGGCAGCAGCCGGGCCTTGCCGCCGTTCCGCAGCTTCGCCAGCTGGCTGTACAGCCCGTTGGCCTTGTCGAACTTGATGCCCACCTCGGTCGAACACCATTGGCAGTAGCTGCACGTGAGCACAAACGGACCCCCGCTGCCGGCTGAGCCACCCTCGGGCACGCCCAGGCTGCCAACCACGGGCGCCGCCTCGAGGCTCGTCACCGTCAGAGGGGCCACACAGATCGGGCATTGGAAGCAGCTTCGCGTGCATCTGTGCAGGGCCAGGTCGTCTTGTCAGCAAATACAACACCTGCACCTGCACCTGCTCCTGCGCTCTCCCAGAGCCCCAACGCACCGGTTCCCCTCGCTCTTCAGGTTGCTCGTCGGCACCTCAAACAGACAGCTCGGGCAGTAATACGTGACGATTTCTTCGGCCACACAACGCGGACAGCGGATCTGGTGGCAGTCCTCGCAGTACAGCAGGTACTCCAGCGGATACAGGCTGTAGTTGGCGCGCGCAGACCGTGGGTCGAACGTCCTGTCGTCCCCCTCATGCTCGCTCGGCTGTCGGTCGATGTGGGACGACGTGTCGGCGAATGACGGGGCGCTCTTGGCCTCGCGGGCCGCCGTGGCCGCTGAGGAGCCCGTGTCGGAACACGGACATTGGATGTACGTGTAGGGCGTAAAGGATTTCGGCATTGCGCCTGTTTCGCAGCACAGGGTAGCGGACGTGCAGGAGACGAGCTGCCAGTCGAGACATAAGAGCCTTGAGCCAGTAAAGCGAATATTGGGAAGCTGCGAATACTTGGCGGTGAAGATGGGCAGAATGTGCCACGATCGAGCATCACATTCCCATATGCTCGCACAAGCATCAAGCTCGCACAGCACGTAGGCTGTTGCCTTCCCAATTCGGACAGCTCCTTCTCTTTTTGATCTCTTTATCTTTTTGGACACTGTGTATGGACTTGGCACTTTTCATCTCTCTCTTTTTTTCATTTTATCATCTGTGTTTCGTTTCTTCTGGCAAATACCCATTCGGACATCTGCATCCAAATCATGCTTTTCCATCAAAACGGTGACGAATCGATACAACCTCTGGCTACGACTGGTCATTTTGTTAGTCCCCGACTCGTGGCCGAAAGTATCTTACTCCGTACTCCTCACATGGAACGACGCGAGAAAATTTTCTCTCGGAACCCGTCACCATGCAGCATTCAGCTGGCCTAGGCGCACGGCGCCTCGCCAACAAACCAAACAGAGTCAATAGTAAGATACACATCCGTCAGTGGAAGGCCGCTGCTCGGGGAGAGAGGCGATTTACCGTCTCGTGTTCTTTGCAGATTCGGCGTCTCCGCCCGTTACAAGATACTTGCAAACGGCCAAACGTGCGGTTCGTATTGTGCGCTGATTTGCACTGGGAGTTGGCGTCCCCGGAAAATTAAGAAATCTTAATAAACCTGTTCCTGACGAACGCGTTTCGAAGCTACTTAGCTGGTGACTAGCAGGCAAACAGCGTAGCAGCGCCGAGCGGCGCACGGCTCTCTAAAACGCCTACGAGTTAAATTAGCAGGTCTATCCTCGTGCGGTGCTCGCTGGAACGCTCGGACGCAGGCGACCCCCTGGCCACCAAGCCAAGTGTGATGATATCTACGGAGTATGTACGAGACAGGCAGCGTGCCATCATGCCGTTGCAGTTTCGGCATCTTAACGGACGAGGTACATAGTATCTTACAAAGTACCTATACGTAGTAGAAACCCCCCCCTGTCAGCACGGCTTGCTTCTTGTGGCATGTGTCGCACTTCCCGCCGGAAGCCACTGAAGAACTGCAGGCTTCGTACCCGCCTCTTACGTGTACAGACAGGAGGAGCAGCTGCGGGCTTGAGTGCCCAACCCGACAGGAAAAGAAGAGGGCCAGACACGTCGATGCTCTGTTGACACATTTATTTCTTCTGCTGCGAGATACGGAGTCGACAAGCTACTGCAGCACTAGCACACTCCATCTTGGGTTTAGTGGAAGAAGGAATCGCCCAACATGGGCAACATGGCATCATCATTAAATGAAAGAGGGGGCGGCTAGGCAATCCCACTCAAACAAGACGATCGCGGAAACTGAGAAATTCGACAGAACGAGCAAGGTCAGAAAAAAAGCAAAAAGCCATCCTGCCAACACAGGCCCTAATGCAAGAGCTGGAGGGCGGGCAACCGACCGCCCTTTATGTGGACTGGTAATACCAGCGGCTGACAGGAGTTCCAGTGGGACAGCAAGAATGGCAAGGATCAACAAGAGATCCATCCTGGACCGTCGCTGAGCCTGTCTTGCATCGCCGGATCATCTCAGAGGGAGGCGTCGTCATTTCACCCATCCCTCCGGCATTCTCGTTCATCCCGCCTCGTCATTTCCCTGCACGGTGAGAGGTATGTCTTCCAAGTTCCAACATCAAAGTACCGGTGGCCGAGAGGTGCAGGACGTGGTGGCGATCCACGCAAGCAATCCCCCCCACCCAAGGTGGTATCGTCGATTCTGATTGTCTTACCTACCGCGCGCTGTCCATGCACCGAGTGCCACCAGAGCAGCAGGGAAAAGGGAAAAAGCGAGTGAAAGGCGGAAAGACGGTGACAGATAGGGCAATGCGTACGGCGAAATGCAGTGCAGAAAACGCGGTACGCACCCATTGGACGGAGGCGCCGTGGCCAGGACGCCTTGGCCCCAGCTTTCAGCTGCTGAAAGGACAGAGCAGCAGCCATAAGCAGAAGGCGTCCTTGGGCTTTTTTGCCCAATGCGCAGCTTTATTGACACCATCGGCTCCGACACCCTAGGGAGCTGGTGATGCGACTGGGCCTGACGCCACAGGCTACTATCTTTCATTTATGTATGAGGCCTCGTGCACGCTGACGGCTCCATGGGCTCACATGCATGCACGTTCTGGGGCGGTGGTGCAATGGGGACCATTCGTGGGAAGAAATGCCGGCACGGCCGCCAGAAATGGGCAGCGACAACCAAGGAGATTTGTGATGCTCAATATCGCCCTAGGCAAGATAGGGCAGCAGCCACTTTCTGACCCCTGTCTGTGCCAGGCCCGAGGCGGCTGCGCTACTCGTTTAGAGTCAACGACGTTCTGATTGTGCACCGGTCCCCCCACTTGTTCAGCTGCGAGTGTTTTGAGTCTTGGCCTGCTGTCGCTGCTTGCTGCTGTCGCTGCTGTCCTGCCCATACAGACATCCGAAGTGGTGCAACGGTGGAGATTTTGCTACAGATGATCGAAAGTGGACACTGGTATATGTGCTCTTCCCATGAAGCTGGTCTTCGCTCCGTGTCGCGACTGTGCCTGTTTTCCCCCTTCATTGTTTCTTTCTCTCTTTTTTTTGCAGGTCTGTTGTACGGCGCACACGTTTGTCCAGGGAGAATAGCAGACCACAAGGCTGTCTTGGAGACGGGACAGACAAATCAACACCTGGGGATTTCGGCGCTGCGCAACACGTCCGTGTCTCATCTGTCCGCACCCTTCTGGGGCCTGTGTCCTTTGCTTTCTTTTTCGCCTCCGTTGAGCTGTCCGGCCTTGTCGACACACGACCCATAGGCGGTGCAGTTCGGTTTGCATCCTCTCTTCGACATTGCATTGGCGGCTCTCTCACGCAAACAAGTTCCCCACAAGCATCCGACCGACACTGGGCAGACGACAGGGCAAAGGCGCAGCAAGCGCAGACGGAGAGCCGCGCCTCTCTCGACAAAAGCATGTCCCGTTTGCAGGCGGCCACCTACTCTGCCGTGGCCAATGGCGGGTCCGGCCGGCCTCGAGGACGGATGACTGGCAAAGCCGGCGACTTTGCAGAGAGCCACCAGGCACAGAGCACCGGCATCAAGCGGTGGGATGGCAAGGCCAGGACCAGCCAAGACTGGGACTGTCTTCGCCAGGACCCGGATCTCTGGTTCCGCAACGGCAACTGCCATGTGCACCTGTACGGGAAAGGTCAGTCGCGGCGAGGCCCTGTTTTCAAGGTGCCCTTTTCGACGCTGCTGGCGGCCCAGTGCCACCCGCTGGTCGAGCGGTTCATCGCCCCCGACGTGCCGACGGTGCCCGAGGCCAGCGAGGCGTCTGACTGCGGCAACGACAGGCGGGCGTCGCTCGCCACGCTCGACTACTGGGCCCGTATCCGGCGCGTCGGCCGCGTCGACCTCTACATCCCGCCGCCCGTGGGCGCAGACCTGGACCAGATTCTGAGCCACCACGTGGCCATGCGCAATCTTTTTGCCTGGATATTCCGGCGGCCGCTGGTGGGCGAGCATCTTGGGCCAGTGTTGACGTCGCTGCTCGATGCTATGCGCGACTTTCGGTCAGCCGACAGCGACAACGTGCACGATCTGCTGGTGTACATCGACGAGGCCGGCTATCTTCAGCTGACGGGCCAGCCGGACTACGCGATGGGCGTGTTGCAGCTGGCCGAAGCAACGCAGAACCGGGTGCTGTACATCGATGCGTTTTCGCACTGTGTCGGCATGTACAACCGCCTGTATCTCAGGTCAGAATACTCGGTAAGCAGGAGACAGCCCGATGCGCCCGGTGTGCTGAACTAACGAGGCCGCTCACTCTCTCTAGCACATTAGCCCGACGTCCCGACGGCTGATCCGACGGGCTCGACTGGAGATGGACATGCGGCTCGGTGCAGCCGGAAAGATGCTGAAGAACTTTCTGGACGAGGAGCTCTCGGAGACATACCTGGGCCTCACGACGGCAGCCCGCGCCCATCTGGATCGATTCCGGACGTATATTCTGGGTTACTACACGACTCGGCTCGGCTACTACCCGCCGTCGTCGATGGATGTGCGCAGCACCATTTTTGAGCCACACATTCTCCGGTCTCTGACAGGCGACTTCCAGGCGCTGTACGACTACCTGGTGGACGAGGAGTACACGATTGCGTCGGACAGTCCGACGTTGGCACACGGTGGCGTCTGCGTGCTGCAGAGCGTCGAGTCGTTTGACGAGCGCCACAAGTTTCCGACAAGGGCACATCCGCTGCCACTGCTGCCACAGATTCCGTCAGCAGCGATGGCAAGCGGCAATGGCAGCGGAATGGGAGGCGGAGCCAATGGAAACGTTATCGGACGGCGCAACCGGATGGCCTGGTTTAGCGGCAGGACGATCGACAAGCTGATGCAGAGCCGGTCGGAGAAGCTGCGGCCGAGCAAGCGGCTGCTGGCACACGCGGCGCTGTTGAGGGCGACGACACAGACGGAACGGCCGGAGCTGTCGCAGAACGAGCTCGTGTGGGCGTACCGGCGGTTCGAAGAGGAGTCGGTACTGTCGCCCGTGAAGGCGGACCGCGGCGAGAAGATCTCGATGGTGGACGCGCGCAAGGTGCGGTGGATTTTCATCTACGCGGTGCACCAGGCACTGCAGAACCACTACCTGCCGCCACCGGCGGAAGTGCGCGATGCCGGCGATGTGCCGTACCATATCAGCATCTCGACGGCGAACCTGCCGCCGTGGCAGGACAGCGATGCGGGCAAGAAGGCAGCTTCACCGGTCTCGCGCCGGCTGACGATCATGTCGACTTGGCCGCATTTAGCCGACGGAGCCGACATGGAAGACGGGAGCAGCAGCGATCGGTTTGGTCCATCGACCTTGCTTCCCTCAACGCCGGGAGTGTCGACGCCCGGAATGACGGACGAAGAGGAACAGCGGCCACCGACGCCCGAGTTCTCGTTTGATATCCGGCCCGACATCGACTACCTCGGCCTGGCCAACCGGCACGAGACGGGCGGCTGGACGGAGAATAGCTCGCATGCGTCGAGCAGCAGCTACCAGCACCAGGTGGAAGTGTTACCGCGCACGCGCAGCTTGACGAGCAACCTGTCGCGAAACGCGGCCATCCGACGGTCGCTTGTCCTCTTCCGCAGCAACAGCACGCGTCCGCGAAGTGGGATCATGGTGGTGGACGAGCAGAAAGGCGCCGGCGACAACTCGATATGGCCAGAGTCTGAGCAGCAGCAGCAGCGACAGGTGCGGCCAATCTCGCGGAGTCACGCCCGATCGCCATATCACGAGATCCTCGTGCACGGCTATGGCAACGGCACGAACCCGGTGTGCATCACGCCGTATTCGTCTGTTGACGGCCGTCAGAGTGGTGGCAGCGACGGTGTGGTCTCGCCGACAACGGCACGCACCCTGTCGACAGCATCGACTAACTCGACCAACTCGAACGCGTCGGACTCGTCGGCCGAGAGCGCCAAGAGCGTCGAGAGCGCGGCGACGACGATATCGAACAACAGCGGCAAGAGCAGCTTCCGTCAGCGTGCGCCACCACCACTGACGCTGCCTGTAGCCAAGAGTCGGCCCAGTACGGCGACGCCGTCCCCTCGGGCAACTGGCTTTCGCAGCGTGTCGTCACCGCTGACGCCAAGGGCGCCCATGTCGACGACACGATCACCGGTTGCCGCTCGCAGCAGCGCCCGTCCATCGCATCGTCGTTTCAGCGTCTACGGCGGTGGAGACGAGTATGCGATGATGCGGACGCGCCGCAATAGCGATGCCAGCCTCCGGGCATCGCGTCGGAGCAGCACCATGGTTCCGGCCGTGCCCAAGATGCCGTCGCTGCGGCAATACCGGGTGCTCTGGAACGAGCGGCCACACTCGTCGCAGGAGATGCTGCTGGCCATCCGCGAGAGCCGCGAAAGCCTGCAGACGGGCTATGCGGTCGTGCCGGCAGCACCGACATCGCCAAAGCTGCCGGGACCATCGGCACCTCCCTCCAGAGCTGTGAACAGTGCCGGCGACGTGCAGCCGGAGTGGGAAAAGTTCTCCGCCGGATTGGGTGGACACACGGTGCTTCCATGAGCCTAGTTCCTTTTTTCTCTTCCTTTTTCTCTTCCTTTTTCTCTTCCTCATCCTATCTTTCTCTCCCTTCTACACATGCAAGCGACCTCGATCTTCTGCACGTTCTGTTTTATCTACACTCTACTCCGCCATCACATCCTGATACCCAGACGGCCATCATACATAATTTCTTTGTCTTTTCTACTCTGCTTTGGGATGGAGCAAGCGAGGCGTTTTTCGCACGCATATCCGGTAGTAAGACGTGCCGCTTTGACGGGGTCCTGTCGGAATACCCTTTGCTGTTTCTCTTTTCTTGCGTCACATCTTTGTCCTGTTATACGCACATCTAGCCTTTTAGTTCCTGCTAGCAGACCAGACCACAGAACGGTCACCATATACGTTACGCCGAATGACCACCCAATAAACTCATGTTCTCAATAGGACTAAATACCTAGAAGCGGCATTCTATGTGCAGGCAAAGATATAAACACAAAGGGGTATCCCAAAGGGCTGTGTACGTTGTAGATGACCCTGCATAGTGCTCTGTACACCATGAACATTTTCATTTGTTTCGTTGTTTCATCATTTCGTCTGATCCGTTTGTGCTCCTACTCCTTCTTGGCGTCCGGCCGAGGCAGACCGGCCAGGGCGGTGACGATCTCGCTACCAGTCTTGTAAGTCATTATGGCCGGGAACACGATCCAGAGGCCACTGTTCCGATTAGTAATTGCAGAAAGGCAGGTGGAACGAAGAAGAAACGCACTTGGGAATGATCCAGAGGAAGACGAGCGAGACGATGTCGTTGTGGCCGATGTTGGCGAAGCCAGAAAAGTACTCGTTAAGCCAGTACAGCACGGTCTTGCTGAGCGTCATGACGGCGGCGGCAAAGAGCATCAGCAGGGCACGCGCACCCGCCCGGCCACCGACGGTCTGGACGGTCTGAACGACGCCATCGGACGTGCTGTCAGTCTTGCGACAGCGCGACCAGATCCCGATGTAGCCGAGGTAGAGGGCGGTCTCGACGACGTTGAGCACAGCCTGGGCGGCGCCAAAGCCGTCGTGGGCGTCCCACTGCCGGCGGCCGTAGACGTGGTCGACCTCACCGTAAAGCGCGTACGGCTGCCAGATGGGCCAGTGCAGCGAGCCGCCGGGCATCGAATGGGGACGCAGCAGGACGTAGCCACAGTCCCAGATAACGAGCGGCAGCGAGACGGCGAGCCAGAAGAGGGCCAGGCCCGAGGGAGAATGAGACCAGAGAGGCGGGGCGGAGGTGTGAGCAGGAGGAGAGGGAGGAGCGATAGGTGTAGGTGGTAGCGAAGACGGAGGCGAAGGCGACAAAGAGGCCAGTGTTGACTGGCGAGGGGTCACCTTTCGGGTCGACGGCTTCCGGGCAGTCGACGGGGTGCTGGCACGCGAACGAGACGGAGTCGGAGGCGGCGGCACGTCCACACCAGAAGCTGAGCGGGTGAGGACCATCGTGACGGAGGGTTGGGTCGTGAGGGAGTTCGTGGATTGGGTTTGCAGTCGAGAAGCTGTTTCGATCCAATGGAAATGGTGGACGAAGTGTTCGGCTTTATCTTCTTCTCTTCTTATATATTCTTTCTCTTTTCTTCTTCACCTCTTCTCTTCTTCTTTCTTCTCGCCTCGACTGCCTTCTCCTTTGCCGTCTGCCTGCGGTCTCGATGGTAGGAGTTTGTGGTGAGATGTTATATACGCTCGAAGAACACGCTTTCTTTGCAAAGAGTGGAGACAGGAGAGAGAGGGGTGCAGCTTCCGTGTCGCTCTTTTGTATTACACAGACACCCCCTCCTCAAGGACAAGTGTACTCACCCGTACTTTGTAAACAGAGCAGTGACGCTAGTGATCTAGCGCTCTGGTGACACTCTTCGAATCCGAGGCCGTTTCTGCAGGAACGCAGTCCTGTTGACTTGGCATCCTTTTGACACCGATCCAGCTGCCGGCTTGCATTGAAAACAGGCCACAATCTGTGCTGCTGCCACCACCAGAATTAGTAAAGGCTCGGTCTTCTCTGGCCGTTGGTTGTCTTGGCATCCCCGCACCATAAAGCCGATTGAGGTCGAGGTGGTGTACAAAGTCTCAGTCTCTACTTTACGACTTTACGACTTTACGACTTCTCTCACCATGGCTGCCGACGCGCCCTACAAGCTCGTGTACTGGCCCGGGTTGCCCGGCCGCGGCGAGCACATCCGTCTGCTCCTAGAGGAAGCCGGCGTGCCGTACGAGGACACGGCCCAGATGACGGCGACGACCGACGACGAGCTGGTCGGCACGGCGGCCGTGCTGGCTCAGATCAGTCCGGACAACCGGGGCGACGCCGTGAACGCGCCACCGCTGGCGCCGCCCGTCCTCGAGCACGACGGCCTCGTCATCAGCCAGACGGCCAACGTGCTGCAGTATCTGGGACAGCGTCTGGGTCTGGCCGGCGACCTGGCGGCCGATCCCAACGCTGTCTACCGCGTCAGCGCGCTCGCCCTCACCGCTCTCGACGGCCTGAGCGACGAGGTCCACGACTGCCACCACCCCGTCAGCACCAGCCTCTTCTACGAAGAGCAGCAGGCCGAGAGCGTGAGGGCCAGCCGCGCGTTTGTGCGCGTGCGTCTGCCCAAGTTCCTCGCCTACTTTGACAAGGTTTTGGCTGGTTCGGCTGCCGGCTCCGGTCCCTGGCTGCACGGCGGCCGCCTCACGTACGCCGACCTGGTGCTCTTTCAGTGCCTCGACGGGACCGCACACCAGTTCCCGCGCGCCATCGCAGCCGCGCGCGCCAGCGGCCTGTACGCACGCGTGTTTGCGCTGGCCGACGCCGTGCGGGCACGGCCGCGCATCGCCGCATACCTGGCTAGCGGTCGGCGACAGCCGTATGGCGAGGGCATCTACCGGCACTACGCCGAGCTGGACGTGACGGCCGAGGATGGGTAGTGGGTGGTGGTGAGGCACGATGGGGCTGACAGTTTTGCTAGAAAAAGAACGGATGAAGCATCCCCTCCATGACTGCTTACGAGACTGCTTACGAGACTGCTTACACGGTGTACAGTCGTATACGACGTACGCGAGGGAGAGCGTGTAAATTCTACAGAATACTCCGTACAGCCCATTCTCAACCTCGTCCTCATCCACACCTCATTGCTGACATGTGGGGCTACTGGTCAAGCTTCCCGCGAGAGCCCCACCTCGCTCCTAAGCATAAACCCCGCGAGCTGCACAACTGCCCCTCACCAGCTCGTCGGCCAATCCGCGGCCTGCAACGGCCAGCTGTGCACATGTGCACGTACGTCGTAGGTGTGTCTGCTGGTCTGCACGCTCATACGAGCGCGACCGAGTCATGCTGTAAGCAAGAGATAACGACCGGGTATATACAATGTAGTGCGACCGAGTGGGGGAAGAGATGGGGGGACATGGATGGAGGACATGGATGGAGGACATGGATAGAAGACAGGGTCTGTCCGTTCTGTACTTCGTACCCGTCTTTTTTCCCGTTTTGTCTATTCGCACTTTTCTTCTCGGCCACTGTGACGCAATCGAGCTGGCTTTCCGCTGTTGGGCTCGTTCCATGCTGCTCCTCGCACCTCTTGCCTCTCTTTCGGCCCTGTCCAAATGTTTGCAATTTTTCCGTGTGCTCGTGTTGGTCCTGGCTGCAGCTGCAGCTGGCCTGTCTGCTCTACTGCCACTGGTCTGCCCACCCCTCCAGCTAAGGCATCCACGGCATGTGTACTGCCCAAACAGAATGGCCCGCGAGACAGAGTCGAGCTCTGATGGGCAGGCGCTGCCCATATAATCCTCTCCTGCCTGATCTGTCTTTTTGGCTCCTTCTGTCTCGTCTCTCCCCTTGTCCTGTCCTCTTTTTACTCGCTGCCGTACGGGAAATCCAACTTGGTTTGCTGCTCCTCCCTCGTCTCATCGTCCTCTACAGTCTCCAGTTTCCAGTCTCCAGTCCCCTCTCTTCTCCCTTCTTCCTCTCTCTCCTCTTCTCCTCTCGCACCTCCCGCCTTTTGGCACATCCTCTCCCCGGTCGCTATCTATACGGAACCCCACCCCTTCGGCCCATGCGCGCGTGACGTCTTCCACCTGACCTTTCCGACTCGACAAATCTAAGCGCAATTCGCTTCATCCTGGCCTCACACTGTTCTCTGTTCCTTCCACTTTGTCTAGTCTCCCAGATCCTATGTAAGACCGGCTTGTCCTGTCCGTCCATTCTTCTTCTGGGCCATTTCCATCCGCATACCTCTAGCCACATCGCTGTTATCTATATCAAATACGCACTCGATTCTACCTAGCCCTACACAGCTGTCCGTTCGTCCCGATCGCAAAGTCCATGATCAACCTCGCAACCAGATACACCCGGCGAAAACGTTACCGGTCCTTATATCGCTGCCAGCTCACCGTCTTGCTCGGCCGTCGTGCCCTATTCGCCCGAACCCAAGTTTCGCCGTGACATTCACCACAAACGCCGGCTTGCATTCGCTGCATCTGTGGCAACGTGGCGTTGTCGTTTGTCTGGCCTGCTGCTGGTGGCTGACTACTGCATTTCCCCGTTCCCATTGCCTTCGTGTTTCGGATCTCCTGTGCTTGTATGCCTGCTGTGTTCACGGCTCGCAGTCTTGTCATAGCCAGAGCCCTAATACCACAGCCCTGCGTCACCCATCTTCGTTCTATATATAAGGCGCCATTTGCCCCGCCATTTTCGCTGCATCCGTCGCCTCGTCGATCCTCGCTTTCAAAGCCCGATCGGAGCCTCACTTCGCCTAGGCGTCCCGCCGGCCTCTTAATGAGATTCTTAGCAACACAAACAACAACACAAAGGTAAACCTTGTCGCACGCCGGATGAAGACAAAAAGTACTGTCCCTCCATCTCTATTGTCCCCCCCCCCCCCAGCAAGACCGATTTTCTTCTGCCTCCATGTTCTCTCTAATCCCCCGTCGATTATGGAGCTGACTGACCGCACAGACACCCAATCTGGCAGTGCTGCCGGCCATTCTTCAGAAACTTCGGCCCACGAGCTCGAGGGCCCAATCTTCGGAATGCCTCCACTGGGAGCCAAAATTGACCGAATCAAGAAGCACGTCTCACGCTGGAAAAAAACGAGAGACAACACGCCAAGCTCGCTTGCTGCTCCGGCTGTCACTGTCTCTGCATCTAGCTATGTCGTCTCTGCGCCCCTCGGCCCCCTTGGGTACCCCCGCATCGGCCCCGATAGCCCACTTCCTTCGGCTTCCCCGCTGCAGCCCGTACTTACGTCGCCAACCAGCACGCTCAGTCATGGCCACAGCAGCAGCAGCAGCATTGCCAACAACAAGCTTGGCTTAGGCTACAATGGCAACTCGATGAACTGGCAGCCGGCACCGCCTGCACCAACAGTTTCCATTAACGTGACCCCGGCTTGCCTGTCAGTTTCCTGAGTTGCACTGTTCCCTTTTGCAGCCGAACCTGGCTACTAACAAACCCAGTCCAAGTTATGGTTGCAACGGTATGCATCTATCCTGCGGATGTAAAATGCCCTTTAGCGACCTTTGTCGTGAGAAATTCTCCTTTACCAGCCATGCGCAGTTACTAAGGGATTCAGAGGATCCAAATTTCGAATCCGGCGTAAATGGGAACCCTAGTCACAACCTGTTGCCTCGCTTCAGCAACGGCCAGCAATGGTATGCATCCAGACAGCCACCATGTCAAGGTGTTTGCTTTATTTCCACCAGACTAAAACTCCCAGCTATTCCGTACGTCAAATCCCAAAGATTGATGAGTGGTGGACGAATGCTTTGCGGGATACTGGCAAGGATGTCTTTCGCGATATCGCAAGGGCTCTCCACCCTTCGCCTCCGCAGTCTCCCAACCTCTCGGTGTCTAGTAATCGGGCAATGAGCACGATCGCTCGCCAGCTTTCCCAGTTTTCCTGCAGTCATTGCAACTTCAATTTCAACCTCAAGGCGAAAGATGTAATCTCCACCATGCAAACAATGATTGCCAACTATGGTATGTTGATCTGGTCTGGGATCCTGAACCTTCCCGTGTCTGATGCATCCGCTGCACCTAATGGCTGAGATCTCTGACAATAACAGCCCGAGTAGGACGTGTCACTTCTGGCTATGAATGCCCGCAGTGCAAGGTCCTAAACTGTATTGGATGCGGTTTGGCTGCCCCGTCTGCTTACGACAGCACCGGAACCGATAGCCGGCCGATCATATCCTTGTGCTGCGGGGTGGGTCGCATGATGCTCATCTGGGCTCTTTGCTGCGGCGTTGATTACAATGAAGTCACACCTGCTCCAGCTGTCGTGCAGGCCGAGTCTGGAAGGTATCCCTTCCACCTTTTTCGGGCTTCCAAAAAGCAAAAAGGTCACGCTGCCCATGCCAGCCTGGACTCCGCTGGCACTGGGTCCTCTGCCAAAACCCCTCCCAGTAAATCTCACGGCAAGAGCAAATCGGTATCCAGCAAGCCAAGCCACAGCACAGCGGCGGCTTTCACTATCAGCAAGAAGGCATCGAAATCTGCCACTCCCAATGGAGTGGGTTATGGCGATGCATATATCTGGTCGCCTATGTCGAACTCGCCATCCGCGTTTGGTTCGGCACAAATACGAGCCAGCGTGATGGCGGAGGACTACAAGTACCAGACTTACTACCTTCTGCTCTACCGCCTTCTCCCGCGCTCAAACAAAGGCGTCCATTTGGACGACCCGTCGCCAGCGTGTGCAACTTTGTTACGCCACATATTATGCCGAAGCCCCCTTCTTGCAAAGGCCTCTGAATATCTTCGCAACACCTCGATCGAGGATATCACGAAACGGCATGGACTGTACAGCGCCTTGTGGCAGTTTCTGGATGCCATCTGTGACCAGCCGTCCTTGGCCGTTGTTGTGACGCAGCCTAGAACCTTGTTTTCTGAGGCGGAGCAGCTTCCTCATGCTTGCTTCCCGGTACTAGAGGCGACCACCACGATGTCAGCATCGACAGAGAGCGGAAAGGACAAGGAGAAAGAGCGGGAGTCGAGTGAACCCTTGGCCGTTCTCCTCCATCGCATCGCCGAACTGTGTCGATTTGTCCTCCAGCAGTCTACCTACCACAGCTCCGAGTATCTGACGGGCGACGGTATTAAGACGTTGGGTATCTGCCGTGAGTTGGCGGCTCTGAGTGACCGCTACTCAGCTGTGGAGTCACAGTATCTGCAAAATCCTCAATCTTCTGTAGGGGGGAATGCACAGCAGACCGCCGGCGAACAGAGAAGGCCGACCAGGACGTCAAGCCGCACACGAAAGGCCAACGAGCTGGCAGAAGAGAAGAGGCGTGCTGAGCAGATGACGGCATGGCACCGGGAACACTGCTTGTCCGATACGGAGGATGCGAAGGTGATCGGCAACAACTACTTTGAGCCTCTGACAAAATCTATTCAAACGTCTCCCAAAGGGCGAATGAAACGACTGATCAATGACGTCAATATCCTGCGGTCTTCTCTGCCGGAAGGCATATATGTGCGCCACGCCTCATCACGGTTGGATGTGATGAAGGCCATGATTGTCGGCCCAAGAGGGACGCCGTACGAAAACGGATTGTTCGAGTTCGACATCTTTTGTCCGATCAACTTTCCCCATTCGCCACCACATATGAGGCTGAAGACGACCGGCCAGGGACAGGTTCGGTTCAACCCAAACCTTTACCATGATGGGACGGGTAGGTATTTTGCTTTAACCTACATCAACGCCGGCGCGGTGTGCTAACCTGACCCAGTCTGTCTCTCACTGCTAGGAACTTGGGGGCAAGGGCAGACGTGGAACTCGGAGCACAGCACTCTTCTGCAGGTGCTGGTATCTATCCAGGCAATGATCTTCTGCGATGAGCCGTACTACAACGAGCCCGGACGGGAAGTGCGGAAAGAGCCGGCGGCCAGTGCTCAGGAAAATGCATCGCTGCAGAAGAACACGGTGCAGCACGCTATGCTGTACTGGCTGAACTTGCTGTCTCTCGACAAGGAGAACGGCAGAAACGGCACAGCGACCATCTCGAGCTCGCTGGCGTTTCCGGACATGGCGGTGTGGGAAGACGTGGTGCGCAAGCACTTTGAGCTCAACGGACATGCGATCATACAGGCGGCGTCGGGTTGGAACTTGCAGGACGGGAAACTTCAGGAGCTTACGACAGCGTTGAGACGGCACTCCTTTCTAGACTAATACTGTCCGTTTCGTCTGTGTGTATGTACTCGGCTTCCGGCGAATGCCGCTGGGCGGACTGCCATAAAGCTAGACGGTGTTCATATCCTGCAGGACATGGGAATGATTTTGATTTACTGCAGGCGCCTGGACTGAGCGGTTCGGCTTGACCTTGTGCTTTAATATACCAATCGAGCTTGAGTTTGCCTTTGTTTTACTTGGATGCCCGCCTTCTCATGGTCACGGTCTTATATGCTTTGTGTTCATGCTTTCGATTTCAAGTCTCAGTTTCATTTTTTCATTTACCATGCTATCCTTACAGCGGCGGCCCAAAAGGATCATCCAGGGCCTTGGCGACCTTTCGTCGCTTGGCTTCATGAAGGCCAGGGTCAGGTGTGGCCGAGACGGCGGCGAGGGACTTTCCGAAGACGGAGGCGTCCTCGGGGAGGGCGTTGTGGTGGTAGGCCTTGACGGCGCCCTCACGCTTGGCCTGCTGCAGGGCGACGAGGTCCCAGCGATCGGGGTCATGGCAGGCCTTGAGCTTCTTGAGCAGCGGCTTGATGAGGTTGTTGGACACGGGCTGGCCCCAGTAGTCGGACAGGCGCTCAGGCGGCTCGGCGGCGAGCAGGGCCTGGCAGTCAGCGAGGGCTTCATCAACGCGCCGACAAACGGCCGAGCCGGTGATGCGCTCCCACTCAGCCTCGCCGTTCTTTTTGGACTTTTTTGACGTGGCAGCGGGGGAGGGTCGCCGGAAGGATTCGGCGACGAGGCGGTCGGCGAGCGGGCGGTCAGCGAGGCGGAGGGCGGCGAGCATGATCTGGGAGGGCGTGAAGTGGAAGTAGGCGTCGGTGATGAGGGGACTGAACTTGAGGATCTCGCGGGCGCGGCGATGGGCGGCCGAGATGCGGGTGTCGGACAGTGTTGACGATGTCGGTGGTATTGATGATGCTGGTGCTGAGTCAGCTGAGTCAGCTGAGTCAGCCGAGTCGGCCGGTGCAGCCGTCAGAGCATCGACGTCGGCGAGCCGCCGCAGTTCCATGACAGCGCCCTCGAGCGCGCGGAACGGGTGGCGGACGTCAAAGGCGAAGCGAATGCCCTGGCAGAGGAGAAACTCGCCGGCGAGCACGTCGGCCGCGGTGGTGTGCGGGAACTTTTGGGCGAACCCGTCGAGCTTGTGGTAGTAGCCCTCGGCCTTGGCGCCGAAGAAGAGGGCAGTCTTGTAGAGCGCCGCAGGCGGATATGTCATCAGGCTGTGCGTCACGTAGAAGCGCCGGAAGAAGATGGCCGCGGTGGCCTGCACGTCTGTCGGCTGCTCCGTGAACTTGCCGGCCCGCAGCAGCTCGACGGTGTAAAAGTCGAGCAGGAGGCGCTCCTCGGCGGGCGTCAGAGCGGGAGGGTCATCGGAGGGTGGCTGCGTCTGTGTCTGCGTCGATGTCGGTGTCGCTTCGAGGCCGCGCTGCCGGGCTTCGCGGATCGTCGACACGGCCAGCGCGTTGGTCTGCGCCCGCAGGTCGGCCAGCTGGCCCGGCGAAAAGGACCAGAGGCGGAACTGCGATGACTCGCGGTAGATGGCGTCCTCGGAGGCCATCGCGAGCAGTCGTGCGGTCGGTCGGGACAAGCCTGAGGGTCGGTTTTGCTTCGTCTTTTTCTCCTTTCTGTCTTCTTCTTTCCTCTCAACGGGTCGCTCGTCGGTGTGCACCGTCGACACAAACGGCCATGGCGGAGATGCAGTCGCGTAGAAAGAACACAACCGACAAGGGACGGAAGACAGAAGAACGCAGAGAGACAAAGGCTGTCGGAACTTCCAGTCGTCGAATGGCTGAGATAAAAGATCGTTGTCCGATTTTACACCGGACAGCTCCAAGCTTTCAGGTACAGGTATCGGTACGCGGCCCCGCACACAGACTAGGTGTGACATTCGTACCGTCTACATCGGGCTTGTGGTCCGTGCACTGGTTGCTTACGGTAGTCCGGCCATGCGTTCCTTTCATAACGCAGCTCAGCTCCTTCCGTGTACTTTACGAAATCTCTTCCTCGCCAACTCTATCATAATCTCGTCAGGTTTGCCTAACTACCAGGATGCTGCACAGAAGAGATATTAAAACAGTCTAGCGAGACAAAAGAGATGTCCGGCAACCCCAGTCCATCTACCAGGACAAAATAACAAGAAAGGGAAAAAAGGAAAAAAGGTAGATCTCGACAGATGTATCCAAGCCGAAGACCTACGAAACGCCAACCACCTCAGCAGCCTGCAGCCTCGAGTACGGGTTATGCACGGGAGAAGAAGCGCCGCTGGACCCAGCCCAGATGAAGAGCCCTCCCGCCCGAGGCCGACACCATCCATTCTTTGTGAGCAACGTTTCAACAGCATAGGCAAGGCCCAGAACCCGAGCCGACATAAACCGACATGAACCATCAAACCAAAACGCACACGGCTAGTAGCCCACCTCACGCTTCATCGGCGGAGGCGGTGCCGGCTTCTTGGACCGAATCGGCGGCGGCGGTGGCGGCTTGCGGCCGGCCGGGTTGCCAGACAGGTTGCTAGTCGACCGATTGAGGCTGCTGTAGCTTGTGGCCGGCGATGCGCTGCGGTCACCACCCCATTCGGGGCTGCCGTCGTCGCCGTCGTCCACGTGCACGCTGCTGTTGCTGCTGTTCGTCATCGTGCGGCCCACAGGCCGGAGCCCGCCACGAAGCGACGACACTGCTGCTGCTGCCGTTGCCGCCGCCGCGTTCGAGCCCGCGCCCTGAAACGTGTTCGACCGAATGGCTGGGCTGGGCCTCGGCGGCTTCTCCGGCGTGGCCATGTTGCTGCCGTTCAAGTTGCCGTTGCTCGGCACCCGGTTGTTGGACCGGATCGGCATGCGTGCCGGCATCGGCTCCGGCTCCTCCTCGGGCAAGTTGTTGCTGTTGGGGTTGTACCGCTCGCTGTTGTACGAACGAGCTGTGTTCGACCGGCTACGATTGCCATACCCACCGACCGACAGGCTGTTGCTGCCGCCATAACCACCGTTGTTGGAGGCGTTCGCAGCCGTTGCGGCGCCCGGCCACGTCCGCTTGATGCGGCGCAGCTCGTCGGCACAGCGCTCGTGGTAGCTCAGCTGGCAGTCCATGAAGCTGGTCAGGTCACGGATGCTGTCGGCCTCGGCGTCCTTGATGTCCTGCATGCGCCGCATGATGTCCTCGTTGCTCTCCTCGTACTTGGCCCGGTTGGTGCGCAGCTCCTCTTCGATGCGGAAGTCGTCGCGCTTGGCCTTTTGCATCTTGGTGATGCTGGCATCGTAGGCAAGCCGTCGGTTCTCAAGCTTCTTGCGGGAATTCTTTTGGGGTTAGCGGGGAAAGAGGTAGGCGTGGAGAAAGCAAGACAAGAAGGTCAAGACACAAAAACAGAGAAAAGCTCACCTGATACTCCTTCATCATAGCCAGGCTGCGGTCAAGCGACTCGAGCCAGGCCACGGTGGCATCGGCCACAAACTGCTCCTGGATGGCAGCCATGCGCTCGTTGGCACGGCCGAGCGTCACGAGACAGTTGCCAAACTCAGAGTCCGGCTCGAAGTCCTCGCCGTGACCGACCATCGTGCGGCCAAGGTAGCTCGCCGGCACGCCCTTTTCTCTGTCCTCAAACACCTCGCCACGACGACCGATCCACTTGACATAGGCAGTCATCGACCTCTGGAGACGTTCCATGCCTGGGGCGTGTTAGCAGGAGGGGTGCGAGAGGCGGGACGAGCAGCCAGTTGGGCCTACTCACCATCATAGCGGAGAGCCATCTCGGTCTCGAGCATCTTGAAGTCCTCCGACATGCTGGTCTTGGCTTCGCCGCCCATCTTCTCGCCCGCCCATTGGACGGCGCGGTCAATTTTCTTGGTGAAGTTCATTGTGGATGTGTATGGGATTGCGAGTGAGGGTGTGTGTCTGTTTGATCGGATGAGGGAAGCAGTAGCTCTAGATGGGTCGTGGTTGTGCAGTGCCCAGGCACATTTATGGCATCAACGGTGGTGGCGGTGGGAAGATGGCTGACTGCACAAAGAAACGACAGATGCGGAACAACAGCGGAGATGAATGCTGCAGATAACAAAGAAGCAGCGATGTCTAACGAGAGTAGACTGGACGAAAGGATAACGATAGTAAAAAAAATGCTTGGTAGAGAGGAGAAAGGAGACAGCAAGAACCGCTTGGGAGAAAACGAGCGGTTGGCACAGGGGAAATGACAGAAAAAGGGTGTCTGGCCCTCGTCGCGGTGTGAAGAAAGGCTGGGGATGGTGTGGCTGTAGAGATAGATGTCCTTTTACTTTTTTTCGGGGCCATTTTTTTTTCTGTCTTCTTTTCCATTGCCGTGTTCGCTGGCCATTCTTCCTGCCATCCCCTGAAGGCTGTTGTCGGTAAAAGGGGTCGCTTGGGTAGCCCCTCCTTAGCGCCCTCTACTTGTACAGACTATGTCGTATAGTGGACGCATGCACTAAAAGCACGCAAGTTACGGAGTAGCGACCGGCGCCGTCTTTTTGCCTCTGCTGCAGGGGCGTAGGCATTCATTCGTACTTTGCCTACGCACTCTTCTTGCGCAGCGCCACCGGCCCTGCGTATTTTGCTAGGCCAGTCAGGAGACTTTGGACATTCGGGGCGGTCGCGTGTGCGTATTGGTCGCTGGGAAAGGAGCACGCGTCTGCCAGCACGATCGTCCTATCGTATGGCGCGCTATAAGATTGGCCTGCTCTCGTATTTACTTGTGCACAGCGCCCAAGAACGGCAGCGACGGCGATGTGACGCTGTCACTGGGAGCAGCTTCCTCTGTGCGCCACGCCCATTCAGGCAACTGCCTGCCAGGCCGTCGGGCCAGCTGCAGCGTCCTCACTCAGCAGGTGTGCGCATGTCTGCAGCAGGCAGTGGCGGTTGAAGATGGAGTGTGAAGATTGGAACGAGGGAGAGATGGCCAGTGTCCAGTGTGGGTCGCGCCTTCTGGAACGTCCCCAACAAAGTCTAGCGAGAGACGGACCCCTGCATCTGCATCTTGCTACGGAGTACACATCACCATCCCGTTCCACTATTGCAGTCCACCTGTTCCAGGGCCAGGCCTCGCTGCCTCCCTTTTGCCTCTCCACCCACCGCCTCCTTGCTGCAGCGCCAATACTCTGTACCGATCCTCTCTTGCCCCCTCTCCATTTATGCTTTATTTGGGGGCCGTCTATTTTTGCTCTCGCTCGCACTGCCGTCTCAGGTCAAAATGGCTGACGAGGCTTTCTGTCCTCTGACCAGAGGCGACAGAGACAAGCCGCGCCAAATCGGTTTCATCGCCAAGCGGCCGGTGCCAATCGCCGTCCCCCAGATTCATGCCAAGCGACCGGCAGCGACGGATAGGCACGGTGGGTGACAGGTGGCAGGACGACTCTCTCTGGCGGCTCGCCCAACAATCCTCATGCCTTACGAGTACGAGTACGGAGTGTGCAGTAGAGCGACAATCCCTAACTTCCGCCCTTGCCGCCCTTCATTCCTCATTCGCCAGCCTTTTTTTTTGCACAGCCTCGATTGTCCGAAGAGAGATGGGGGCCCCCTCTTTTTACATAGTACGGACTTGACGGCCGGGGTCGACGAACCGGTTTCGTGGTCCTCCTTGGACAGTGTCAGAAAGTAGGTGTGTGTGTGCGGTTGACCAACAGCCACCAACCAGAATCTATCTTACGTACGATAACGGCTCGTCGGAAACAGTCCGGCAAAACGAAGAGGCCCTGGAATGCGGTTCTGCCTCAATTGTCATCCTCTCTCTTTTCCACCACCCACCCCTACAAGGTATCGAGAAGATGGAACCGCTCGCCGCCGACGCTGTCTCGCTCTCCACTCTTGGCACCCGACGGACCAGGGCCGGCGTGCTTAGCTCAGACCCCGCCGTTTGGGCCCGTGCTCTTCCGGCAGACGAGGGGAACAGCAACGACGACGACGATGACGATGACGGCAGTTTCCACTCGACGCCGCCACTCCCGCCCGTGCCACGGACCAAGCAGGCTGCCGTGTTGGCGGCCGCCTTTGTGGCCATCTCGCTCACCATTGGCTACAACCAGAGCTACGGCGTGTTCCAGGAGTACTACCTCTCGGAGAAGCAGGACATTCTGCTCGCCGACTCCTCCCCGCAGACGGCCCTGTTGGCCTTTGTCGGCACGCTTGGCGCCGGACTCACCTGGGCCGGCAGCATCTTTGTCAACCCGCTGCTTTCACGTATCGATCACGACGCCTATGTCCGCCAGCAGCAGGGGACGGGCTCGCAGACCAGCCGACAGTCCTTGTCATCTCGACTGGTCACCGTCGTCGGAGTCGGCTTGATGGCAGGCGGGTTTCTGCTAGCCAGCTTTGTATCGCGTGTGTGGCAGCTGCTGCTGACCCAAGGACTGTTGTATGGCATTGGCAGCTCCATGCTCTACTTTCCGCTGCTCGGACCAGCTCCCGAGTATTTTAGCCAGCACCGTGGCACTGCCATGGGTCTGATGCTTGCGGGCGGCGGCATGGGCAGCATCATCCTGAGCCCGGTTCTGCGGGTCCTGCTATCGGGGGTGGGAGGCCGCTGGACACTGCGCATCGTCGCGGCAGCTTATCTGGTGGTGGGTATGCCGGTTGCCTGGTCGGTGCCACGCTCACGCTTTCCGGTGGTGGCGACGGCCGACGGCAACGGACAGCAGCGAGCTCTGCGGCGACGGACTCACGTTTCGGCCACGCTTCTGGCTACACCGACGTTTCTGCTGTCGGCTGCGACCGCCCTCTGCCAGTCGGCCGGTGCACAGCTGCCGCTGACCTTCATTCCCAGTTACAGCGTGGCCCTGGGGCTGACGGCCGGCACCGGCGCCACGCTGCTGTCGGTGGCCAACATGATCAATGCTGTCGCTCGTGTGGCTACAGGCTATGCGGGCGATCGGTTCGGCCGTCTCAACGTGCTGGCCGCCAGCCTGTCGGGCTCGGCTGTGGCCGTGGGCGCGCTCTGGGGGATGAGCGTGCGGTCATCGGCATCGGCAGAGCAGGAACAGGCCTCGCAGCTCTGGATCGCCTTTATCGTGCTGTACTCTGTGGCCGCTGGTGGCTACTACGCCCTGTTCCCGGCTACGATTGCTGACGTCTTTGGCATCCGCAGCTACGCGTCCGTCAACGGGTTCATCTACTTTGTTCGTGGCTGCGGCACGATGGTGGGCAGCCCTATTGGGGGTGTTCTGCTGGGCAGCGGCAGCAAGGACTACGCCGACATGGTCGCGTGGGATGGCGCTTTGCTGGTCAGCTCGGCCCTGTTCATGGGCGGGGTGCGCTGGGCAGACGCAGTGCGCCGGGGTTGGGCCTGGAGGGCGTGACTCCGTAGTACTCAGCCTGGTATCGATACCGGTAGTTGTACTCTGCAGCTGTCTGGAACGAGAGCAAGTATTGGAAGAACGCCATCGAGACAGATATGCGCCCCTGCTCGTTCTCGTACGAGGTGTAGAGTAAATCACAGTCTCTGATTGGTCACTTGCTCTTCACGTGTTCCGGGTTGCGTAAGGCCCGACTGCCGTCAATGCCTGCGTCTTCTCCACTTTGGTTGGACGCGTCCTCTACTCCGTCTGTCCCACAGCATCTCCTTTTCCCATTAGGTAGCTGCGACCGCAGTGCGTGTTTGTGTCCTTTCGGAGTGTACGAAATCCCATTGCTGGAGTGGACACCATTCAAGCACAGCTCGTAAGATCCGGTCTTCTGGTGGTTCGAGTCGTCCGATCACTCTTTTCCTTTCTCTTTTCTTCCCCAGACTTTATTTTCGCAATCACGAGTCCGGCCGTGTCTTTTTCGTGCCAGCGCTGCCGTTGTGGTCGACCTTCCGACCGATCCGAGACGCTGCCATCGAGCAAGCGACGAGACGACGACGCGCACTCGGACGACTGCCATTCGAGCTGCTGCATCCTGACCTGACCGAGCAATGGCTCCGCGAATGCTGACGTTGCCGGCGGCAGCCGCCGTGGCCGTGGTAGCCCTAGCGATGCCGGCAGCCGCTCACGACCACCAGGCGAACGTGATACCAGAGGGACAGACGACGACGCAAGAGCCGATTGTAGGTGGCAGCCAGCAGGAGGCAGCTGAGGACGTTTGTCTGTTTCTGTGGCCGTGCTGATAGAGGGACAGGATGCGACGCTGTGGGTGCATATCCTGCTGATGACATTTGTCTGGGGGATCATGTTTCCGGTCGGCATGGTTTTAGGGGTATGTTTTTTTTTTTTTTGCCTCGCTTCGCTCGTTTGTTCGCTTGTTCGCTTGTTGACGTTTGCAGATCATCAAGAGCCGCTGGCACGTGCCGCTGCAGGTGTTCAACACGGCCCTGGCCGTGCTCGGCTGGGTGCTGGGGCACATGCACAAGGGGCGGCAGTTTGTGGGCAACAACGTGCACGGCAAGTTTACGACGACGCTGGCGCTGCTGCTGGCGGTGCAGATAGTGGTAGGCGTGTATCTGCGGCTGCACCTGGAGCGGGGTCTGCACGGGCGTCTGATCCGGCCGGCGGCGAAGCTGGTGCACGGCGTCGTCGGCAAAGCCTTTCCGGTCGTGGCCTGGGTGCAGATGGTCTTTGGCTTCATCACGGCGCTGGGCTTCTGCCAGGGCGACCACGTGGGCCAGTGCGCGGCACACTTTATCATGGGCGGTGCCTTTGTGGCGTACGGCATCCTGCTGACGCTCCTGCTGGTCGTCGGCCAGGTCTGGCTGCGCCGTTCCGGCCGCTCGCCCGAATTCTTTGACAGCGCCGTGATCGCGGCCTGGGGCTGCGTCAACACCTTTACGGAGCACCACTGGGGCACCGCCTGGGTCAAGAACGACTGGCAGCACACCACGATGGGCATCATCTGGTGGAGCGCCGGGCTCGCCGGCATCTGGCTCAGCCGCACCCGCGACGGCCGTCCCCAACGCAACTTCGTGCCCGGCTTCGTCCTCTTCCTCACCGGTTGGGCCATGTCGTCCCACCCGCAGGAGCTCATGATCAGCGCCGCCACCCACGCCATGTTTGGCTACTCGCTCATGGCCTGCGGCGTCACCCGCATCATCGAGGTCGCGTTCCTGCTGCGCGACCGCAACAGCATTTCGGCCGACGGCATCGAGATCAACAGCTTCCAATACATATCCGTCTTTGTACGTACTTCCTCTTTCTTTCCTATTTAACCATGTGCTCATACTACAGCTCCTCTACGCTTCCGGCTTCCTCTTTATGGGCGCCACCGAGGAACAGATGCTGCTCGTGTCGACGTCCGGCCTCGACCACGTCGCCTACATCCTGATCCTCTACAGCGTCGCCTTTCTGCTCTTCCTCTTCGTCCACCTGCTCATCTCCCTATACGACCGCACCGTCAACGCCGACCTGTTGGCCGCTAAGCAGCGCCAGTACCGTGCCGAGCTGGAGGCCGCCGACAACGACATCTCTGCCGTCGGTGCTGTTTCCGGCACTGCTGCCGGCACCATCCGCATCAACGGCAACAGTCGCGGCCCGGCCGATAGTCGGCAGGTGCGTGACGCCGAGGAGTTTGAGCTGGGCGACCTGGAGAGTGAAGAGGAGGACGACGCCCTTTTGGCAAACGAAGACGAGGAACAGTCGTCCCGGCGGAAACTGCTCAAGCAGGAGAGCGACGACGATGTCACGCTGGTCCAGCCCAACGGCCATGCCACCAACGGACATGCATAGGCACAGAAGCAGGACTGACGGGTTTTTCTTTTTGTTCTTTCTCTTGTCCATACTTTTGCAGACTCTCGTTTCCGGGGCTTTCCAGGGTTCATTGAACGCTTGTATTTTTGTTCGTCTTGGGTGCAGCCCGTATAATTATCGGGGATCTAGGTTTCGCAGGAGTTTTCTGGGTTTATCATGCGGTTGGCGGCCAAGCCTCTTCGACCTTCCATAGAACAAAATTGAGAGTTGACGATACGAAGCGAGGCAATGTGGCTTAGTCAGCGCATGATACGGAGCAAACCTTCCTTCTGTGGATGTCATTTATCGGCGATAAGCCCTTTTTCCTTTTTTTTTTTTTTTTCCTTTGTAGGCTAGAACATCGTTTTCACCTGCGAACCTCTCCGCCTTTCAGCACAGCATCTCCCGTCCTCCACAGTCCTCCACAGTCCTCCACCTCCACACGCACGACCACCAGGACCCGCGATGCCGTCTGTCAAGAACCCGAACAAGCCATCGCGCAACCGGATGGCGGCACGCGCGGCACATCAGCGAAAGCAGCAGCAGAAGCGGTCGGCGGCCGGCAAGCTGTCGAGTGGCAATGCGCAGATGGACACGACGCGCGGTGCGCGCGCGGGGTTGATGCCGACGAGCGGCCCGCGGGCGCCGCTGAGCGCGAAGAAGCAGAAGAAGGTGATCCAGCGGATGACGCTGGCGCTGCAGCGGCGGATGGCCGTGGAGGGTGCCGACGCCGTCTTGGGTCCGCTGCAAGACAAAGGCGGCGATGCGGTCGTCGAGATGACGGGTACGTCGGGATGGGCGTCTAAATAGTCCGGTCACTGCTAACGTGCTGTGTCGGCATAGATGCGCCAGTAGCAGACGAGGCCGTGGCGGCTGCCGTGGAGACGTCTTCCTAGAGTCGGTGGAAGATGGAGCCGGAAAAAGCGTTCCCGGATCGGAGACAGAGAACGAAAGGCAGGCTTTCTTGCCTCGACCGATCAGAGACGACAGGGTGCCGCAAGCCGGAGACACGAATGGGGCGGTTGTGACTGATCATAGCCCATAAGCCGTACATGGCCTGACATTGGGCTGGCTTGCATACACGCTCTGGGCATTGTCGAGACGCCGGAAACAAGTACTGAAGTGTGCATCCACACGACAGCGGCGTGCCCGATGTAGGGGAGACGTCGGGACGGCAACATGCATCCCCTGTCGCATCGTTGGGTGGCATAGCTCCAAACCGTTCGCTTTGTCTTTTCTAGTGCCGATTGTGTGCCGCCTATCGGGAACGCTTAGATGGAAAAGGAGATACAAAGTACGTTGCATCTACGACGTACGAGTACGGTACGGTACTCTGTACACCTGTTGTGCGCAGATCCGGGAGCCGGGAGTAGAATGGCAGATTGCTCGCATCGACCCCTGGCAAGAACTAAAATTACCAGCTGGCAGGCTCTCCCAATGCTCATTTCCGCGATGCTGTCCTCGGAATATCGGCCCGGCCTTCCCAGCCGCTAATCTTGCCGCCAGGAGAACGGCGACTCCCGTCGTGCCAGCCGCATCTGTGCTCTGCAAAGCCGCCGTGACTTGCCAGATGCTACATCACATACATAGTACAGAGCTGGGAGCCCCGTAGGGCTGGGCGCGGCCTGGCGACAGGACAGCTGAAGGGTGATACATAGTATGGGCTTGCAGTCATGCAACCGAAAGCACCCGCGAGCTAACCCTGCAGAGCTTAAGATGCCGACCAGTCGCTCCCAGGCTTTTCGGCACGCGCCTATCAGATGCTGGCAGACGTGCCGCGTGTTTCCTTGTCCCGTACATAGTACGAGCGCACATGTCCGCCCTTTTGCTTCGGCGTCTCCCCGGCCTGTCTTTGCCCTTTCTCTGTCGTTTTTTTTTCTAGCCCGCGACACGATTTGGCAGTTCGTCCCTTTTGTTTTTGCGCTGCCTGCTGCCTGCTCGTATCCGGTCTCGTCCGCCGGTAGCATTCGGGCTAGCCTGGAAAAAAGGGCGGCTGCGCCTGTGCGCAGATTAAAGCAAGATGCGGTCAGTTGTGCATAAGGCCATCCTTGCCAACACAGCGCAACACGCCGCATCGGAGGCCGGACAGGCTCGCTTGCCCTTCCTCAGCATCCTACTTGCCTGTAGATCAACCCCTGAACAGCATAGCGGCACGGAGCACTCCCTCCCGCAAAAGGGGGCTTCCCCCAAAATAGAGCTCGTAATATGGCCTAACCGAACTCGGCGCCCAGTCCGGGGAAATGGAGAGCAGGGGCGTCAGTGAGTTCAAGGGCTCAGAACTGCACCAAGCACGCGTACACGTATGTGCACAAGGCAACTCTAGCCCACCTCTGCCCTTTTTTTTCCTGCTCCTCGTGCGTTGGCACGTTAATCCAGTGACCGCTCCCCTCACCGCATTCTCATAAGCAGCTTGGTGGTCGCATTTTCTGCCTGGTCAAGTGCGAGAAAGCGCAAAATAAGGAAAGAAAGAGGGAAAAAGGGAAAAAGGGAAAAAGGGAAAAAGGAAAACAAGGGAAAAAAAGAAAAATGGCAGAAGCAACAGGCGATAGGCAGAAACTAGGAACGGATGGCGGATAGACAGAAAAAGAAAAGAGGGAAGAAGCAATAAGATGAAAATGAAACAGAACCCCGGCACGCACTCGTACCTCGTCCGGGATGCGGTAGCCTGTGCCTCAAATCCTTGTTGCCGGCCCGGCACTGTGGTTCTCCTCGGGCTATTCCTTGTCACTTACATGGTACGTTTGCATGGAGCTTGGGCTCCCATGCTCGCTGAAATATTATGTACGGGTTGTATGACAGCTATAAGCTCGCCTGCCGTCCTTGCTGCTCGTTCCGTTGCTTGCTGCTCTTTGAGTCGTCTGGCAAATATCTGCTTTCTGCTTGCCCCGGGTCTCGAGATGCTTCTTGTCTGGCCAATCCTACGCGACATAGTGCTGTATTGCGCCCCAGTATGCTTTCAAGTCGCCCGTCAATAGCGACAACCACCATCGTTCTCCAGTTCTCCAGCCTTCCGACCCGAGCTTTCAACTCCAGCTTCGCCCTTATCGCCCTCGCCTCTGGTGGTACATACACACCACCTGGCGGGCTCTATCACTCCGCTCCGTTATGTCGTCCGGTGCTGCCTCGACCGACACCAGCAGCAGTCGGGGCGCCTATGTCCACAAAGCAATCTGGGTGCTGGCAGCCTTGGCTACCACCTTCTTGGGCCTTCGCATCTATTGCAAGTTCCGCCGCCGACGAGGCTTGTGGTGGGACGACTATTTCTTGCTTCTGTCGTGGGTGGGTGATTCGCCAGCTTCCTTCCTTCCCCACTGTTGCGGTCCTGACGGTTCTGTAGATACTGCTCCTGGTGGGTGCCATAACCACTACCATAGCGGCACACAACGGCTTCGGCCACCACCATGATACAATCGGCTCGGAAACCTCCAAGCTGTTACGCATCCTCGGCCTGGTCTCCGTCTTCTCTTCCTTCACCTCGGCCGTGGCAAGCAAGACCTCCTTCGCCGTCACCCTCATCCGCCTCTCAGACGGGTGGCTTAGGCGTCTTGAGTGGGCCATCGTCATCTCGTTGAATTTGCTTCTGCCACTCTGCGCCTATTGCATCTTCGGCTTCTGCACTCCGACTGCCAAAATCTGGAAGCCATACATCGAAGGCAAATGCAGGTCCATGCATGTGGCAGTCGTCATCGGTATCGTCTTTGGCTGTGCGTTGATGATGCCAATCCATTCACCCTTCTCTATTTCAGACCTGTTTCTGACTCTATGACAGCGTACATGGCCTTTTGCGATATTGTGCTCGCGCTGCTCCCGTGGGGAATCTTGATGCGCTTTCGGATGTACCGCCGAGAGAAAATCAGCATTGCAATAGCAATGAGCATGGGAGTCTTGTGAGTCCCATTTGCATCTCGAATCGGAATATGCCAAATGCTAACATGCTCTTTCCCAGTGCCTGTGCCACTGCCGTCGTCATGTGCACCAAAATGCCTCTTTTGGTGAGCTCCGACTTTACGTGTAAGCCCATCTTTCGCTGTGATGCATTTGTTCCAAGCTGACACTGTGCAGTTGAAGGTGTGCCCCTTGTCATCTGGGGCTTCGCCGCGAGTGCCGTATCCATTATGGCTGCCTCTGTACCTGCCATAAGGGCTTTGGCCGACGACGTCTTCGGTCCACGGATACGTTACCGCATGTTCCGTTCTCTGGTTATCTCGCATGCAAGAAAATCCCCAGCCGGCAACGGAACAACGCTTGTCACAAACTCCACTCCGGTTTCACCGCCAACATGCAATAGCAGGCGAGGCAACCGAGGCGATGGACGCTTCCATCCCCAATCAAATCTGTCCTCGGCAGTTGTCACTGCTGTCGAACCGACCGACCCAGCCGAATTAGCAAACGGCCATCCAGTCGAAGCCACTGCGCAGGACGCATGCCATCGATTACAAGAGGTAGTATGAGACGACATGGAAAAAGGAGTTTAGAGTCTTGAGGGCCGCCATCGGTAATGAGTGGCGTAATTTTGCATGGGAAAAAAGGGGAAAGCATATGGACCGGTTCAATGACCGAGCACGCAATTGTTTCTTTGCATCGGTGTGGCATACTTTGGCGTCTGGGGTGATAACAAGCGATACAGGATTGGGTCATGAGACGGGCGTTTAGGACTGGATACGAAAAATAACCGGGGGAAACAGGTCAGAGCTCCAAAGGCCTCGAACATTGTTTGCTGTTACAGTATAATGCATTAATCTATTATCTAATTCCTATCAGTACTGCTTCCCAACTGGGAATCGAAATCGCCAAGTCGTGTCGATGTCGTGCCTGCTGTTTGTGGAAGTAGCCGGACTTGAACTTTGCTGGTTGAGAACGCGCAGTGCGAATCGGTCCTTCTTCAAGCGGTGACTCCCCTCCCAAAAAGGGGGAGATCAGTGCATGCTAAAAATGTTTACTGGAGCTACATCTGCCTGTCCGTCATTCAAAAATCCTCGATAATGTCAGATATCCAACTCCTGACCATTTCTGCCACCTCTTCTCCATGGCCTGTCGCCGAACATTAGACAAAAACGACCGAGCGGCGTGGGTGCAGATGGAGGATACATACGAAGACAAAATGCGTGTGGCAGCCCCTTTTCATCCATTACGATCTGTGCTCTGCCCCTTTTATGCAGCGGCTCGTCACGCAAAGCATGTTCTGCGCGGCGGGCAATGAACCGATCTCGATACTCGTTGGCAACCCAGTGGTCGTTCTGGCCGAACAAAATGACAAACTTGGGCGTCGGCTGCTTTTCTGTGTCTCTCCCCGTGCCGCTGTCTTGGGCCAGCTCCCACACCTCGTCTGCCCACTCATCCTCGCCAATGTTTACCAGCTCGTCGCCTCCCAGATACAGTGCCTGTCGGACACCGCCATAGCTGCTGAGGAACCGGGTGGTGACGCTGGCTGCATGAGGCGGAAATTGGAGGACGCTTCCCACGATCCAGCCCAGCGCCCATGTCGGCCAGCATGCGAGAAATCTCTCTGCCAGCCACGGTGCGCATGGACCAAGGAGCGGTGTGTTCAGCAGCCGCTCCAAATTTCGGCCGCTCGGCGATTTCGCTAGATGGGTCAGAGTGGCAAACAACAGAAAGCCGGCACGCAGCCGGAGATGCGAGACGCCCGTGGCTGCAGAAGTCGTAGGCTGCTTCATCAGCTCTTGGTGCCGACGAAACACCTCGAGCGCGATGTAGCTCCCGACAGAGTGGCCAGAAAGGAACACCTCGTCGAACGGCTCGCCATGTCGTGGCCCGTGGTTGGTGTCAATCCGGGCGGCCGCTATGGCGTCCATGGCTGCCTGGATCTGCGTGTCCAGATCAAATGGACGGAGGCCGTACGAGCCGCTGCCATCGTCGCCATTGTCACCATCATCAAACCCGAGCAGATTTCGGCCCAGGATGGTGAACCGGATGCTACTCTTGTCCTCAATCTCGTCGAGAAGACCTCGCAGGGCCGAGAGGAAGGTTGCATAATACTCAATGAAGCCCGGGTTTCCGGGAATCAAGTAGAACAAACAGTGCTTCACAGCAGTCTCACCGCTGTCCTTGCGTGACGACGGATACGAAAGCCAGACAGGCATTGCTCAATATTGCAGTAGCAGCAGGCTGTCGGTGAGTTGATTAGTGCTAGTTACGTTGATTGTGATAAGTCAACAAGACAAGCCGCGCACACTCGCTTTTCTTCGACAAGCCTTATGCTGGGGCCGTCCAAAGTGGGGTCCTAACTGGCCGAGGTTCCCGCAACGCAATTCTCCCCAGCGAATGGCTGCACAGGACTGGGAACGGTAATATTACGTGCGAAGACGCGAAAGAGCCGAGTGAGATGGAGAAGTTTCCAACCTGGCGGTGAAGAAATGAACGATGTAGGATGTTCAAGCAGGTTCAACCCATGCAAAGAAAAATTCCTTGATTCTCTTGCCTGTATATGAAAAGAGTGAAAATGAGGGACACAGCTGATGTTCGGTAGGCAATACCGTAGGCAGCTTTAATCTCGACAGGGCACAGCCAACCAGCATAGCTAGAACCATTGGATCGTGAAGCACGGCATACAAGGGAGCCCCAGGACCTACAAGGCTAGGACTGCTACTATCACGGGAAGATCTACGATTTCACGTCGACAGATCGTCCAATAGCCGTCCAGTCTAACTTTGGGCAGAAATCAGCCGCGACGACCCACTGAAACTGGTACGGAACATTCTTGCGGAGCAGGACACTTGACCACGGAAGAGACGCCTTTATGTCGGCATTAGCATTGATGTATGTCTTGTATGACACTGCTGCAGATAACATGACACTGCACTTTTATCTGACCAATTCGATGTCTCACTGCTCCCTCCATTCTTTCCATCCCAACGATCATACTGTCTCCCACAAGCCCTAGCATCATCAATGTACGACATCTGATGGAGACCACAAGTGCATGTGCCGGGTTCAGTGAAAGTCCTGGAGCCACTCTTCTACAACAGCGTTGTATCAACCGCCTAAAACGGCACACTGCGCATCAACGCAGCCAACATGTCGAAGCGGCGTTTTCGGGCCTCTTCGGCTCGATAGCCTGATGCTATCTTTCCTTCTCTCAGTATCACTTTCCGTCCTAGGCCTCCAAGTTCGCGCTTCACGCGCTCATCTGAACCGCAATTACGCGTGTAGAGCACTATCGATTCCAGAGATGGAATGCCCCCCCAGTAAGCGTCAACAAATTTCATCGTGTTGATGGTGAAGTCGTCTTCTCGTTCATGCACCGCCATCTTCCAGCCAACGGCGTTGTATAGCGACGTCGTGATCGTGCGCAGACTGGTGCAGTTGCTCTTTAGTTTATTGATCAGATTGACGCTGTCATCATTGAGGACGAGAGCGCCAGAAGTCCAGTTGTCAAATTCTGGGAACTCAATGATGATGTGCTGGATTAGACCTGCATTTTTGCTGCCCATATTGTCGAGGAAGCAAGCAACTTGGCCGGGATACAAGTTCAGCAAATGGAACTGATTCTGGTTGTAAAAGATCGAGCTGGCTTCGTGGCGGATGGCCCTGTTCGTGAAGAGAAGCCCCGGCAAGAGCTCTCGTATGGGCTCTTGATAAACCAGTACCAGCTCATATATCTTGTTTCTGAGCTCGCCGGGTAAGCACATGAAGTTAAACGACATGTCGACGGTTGGCTACAGATTATTGCATTAGTCGGCGAGTCAGTAAGCCTTTCTCGGTTTATGACATTACAGACAATATCTTCAAGGAGGTGAACAATGGTGGCTTCTTATATTGATGAAATAATGTGCAATGGGATCAAAATTCAAAGGCTATCGATTTTGGTTTTTTCTTGTTTTGTTGTTGTCGAGCCTCGATTTATTTTTGACGGCTAGATTTTTTTATAAAAGCGAGAAAGGCAGAGCACGAGCAGCAAAATAAAATCCTGTCTCAGCATATTCTCGGTCAAATACCCCAGGTCGATTCATTGAATACCTTCGCCCCAGCTCTTTCCTAGATCTTTCGGGAGAGAAGTCTGCCGTAAAAAGCCTGTTTTATACGGTCGATCGCTATGAGGTTGGGATCAAAGACAGACCAAAGACTTTAGTGTTTCTTGCAAGAGAAGCACTGCAATCTGATGATTGGTTTCGGTTGCTAAAATTCAGACCTAAAATAGTATGAGTTCATTTTCATACCCAAATCAGTCCAATATTCGCCATAAGCCTCACGCAATCATCAGACCTTTCTTAATTAAAGCGTTCTTGAAAGGTGTACCAACGATGCTTCAGAGTGCTGAAAAGCATGATTGTGAGAAAAGAAGAATCCGCACTTCGTGCATTATGACTTTGCAGACATCAGGCGGCAGTTGCTTGAGGCCGGAGAGAGCGTTGCTCACGATTTCCCTGTGTCCACCAAACGCTCCAGCGTGATGCTATCTGTCGACCGGACTACCGGCTGCATAAGGGACTACTATCTGCCAGGCAGGAAAACTCTCTAAACGATGACATCAATGATATACGGCAAGATTCAACTCGGTCGAGATGTCAAAATCGTTGAAGGCGATCAAGACCTTTTACTCAGAAGTCCGGCGTCCAGCAGAGCATTCTTTCCCGGGTGCCCGTGTTGGCCCTTTTCTTCCATACGCACATGAGCAAATTGGAGCATCTGAATAACCTCCATGGAAACTTGACATGTGTGCTAGGTACTCCGTACAGGGTCAAGACATTCCGTACAATAAACGACTCGATCAAGGGAATGAACAAAAATTACAGCCTACAATTTTTCTGCTATTGGTGCACGTCGTAAGTCGCATGAGTACCTGCACAGCCACTGAACGTGTGCTGAAATTAATGAACAACCATTCGTCAACGGGGAAAGACAAAGGCTTTGCAATGGCTTGGATTCTGCCCAATGCAACGCCCCGTTAGGCTTTTTGGGCAGGCAGAATCCACTCTGCATCATATGATAGCCGACTCCCCATTTAAGCCCGTTATGTCAATTCATATTTGCGCGTTGTAGACATCTTCCTTGATGCAATTTTGTTTTCACCTGTATGGCTATTGTATATTGAACGATAATATGGATCCGGGGACGTGTTTAGCCATCATCAGTTTTGCAATCCAACTGACAGAAGGTCTCTACGGATACTACGAGCTATGGAAAGATGGAGACAAGGACGTACTCGAAACACAAAGAACGCTCCTCTGGTTGAACACCATTTTCGCGCAACTCGATATCATTCTTAGAAAGCCTAACCTTCAGGCTGCAGTCGTCTGCATCACACAAAATTCCATGCAGGCATGTGAGAGTCATTTAAACAAGTTACAGGCTATATTGAACAAAGTTCAGAGAGAGGGAGACGTTTCAAAAATACGCGAGAAATTACGGATAGTAGGAAGACGAGCGCTCTACATATTCCACGCCGATGAGATCAAACGACTCAAGGCTATCATAGATGCTTGTAGAGATTATTTGATGCTATCTGTTTCCGTCTTGAATTTGTGAGTGTGAAACTAATGCATCCTTATTTGATCTTCTGTCTTTGACACAAATCGACAGGAACACCTCGACTACCAGCTTAGATGACCTAAGATGTTTAAGTAGCGAGTTGTGCTTCCAGAGGGAAGCAGCTGATGAATATTCAAGACAAAGGGCTATTCAAGAGAAAAGTAAGCACTGGAGACTTGATATCGCCAGTGCTATTCAGCACATGCTAATTATGACGGTGGACTGAAGTGGAGTACACAGAGAAGAAGAAATTGGCCACACTGCGCTGGCTAGATGCGAGAAATGTCTTGCCCATGCAGGCGTCAACATACGAGCAACGTTTACGCGGCACTGGCCAGTGGTTCCTAAAGGGATTCGCCTACGAACGATGGCTTCAATCCAAGAATCCATACTTGTGGATAATGGGAGATGGTAGGAGACCCGAGAAGCCACTGGTAACTCTTATTTACTGACACAACACATTACGGAATGATAGTTGGCTGTGGGAAAACTGTACTCTGGTATGCAAGAGTTGAGCAGCCTCCCAAAACGCCAAGATACATGAGACTGACGAGTACAAGTTCGTTGATAATCGACCATCTTCGGGAGCAAATCAGAAGCACCCCAAAGACCGCAGACAATATGGTATACTTTTACTTTGGATTCGACGATTTCATGTGCCAGAATCTCTCAACGTTCCTAAAATCAGCGTTGGAACAGCTTTGTTATCGAGAGAAAGTACTCGCACTGGTTGAGGCCTTGCACCAGCAGTATTGCCCCGGGCCACCATCACTGCAAGCGCTAAAGACTCGATTTTTTACGGCAATCGAGCTTCTCTGCGCCGGAGAAGAAGAACCAGACTCCACAGACTCTACAGTCTCTATAGGCTCTACAGAGCCTCTTGAAGAGACTGTAGTGTCTGGTGCCACCTACCTCGTCTTGGACGGCATTGATGAAATACCGTATGGTCCTGAATGTGAAATGGTTATCCAGTTCCTCAGCCAATTGGCTGCTCACCAGCACCGTCGACTACATATTCTCGTATTCAGCAGGCCTGAATGGGATATCGAAACAAGCGTTGTACTCAGCTCCTCTTGGACGGCTTTGAGAATTACTTCTGCAGACATCGAACCTGACGTGAAAACCTACGTCGTAAATCAGATTGGACTTAATCATAAGCTAAGAAAGCAGCCTGAACATGTCAAGGACGACATCGTCAAAAAGTTGGTGTATGGTTCTGGTGGAATGTAAGGCAAAGCTCCTTTTACCAAAGGTCGAACAGTATTAACTTGTCTTATAGGTTCCGGTGGACCGCACTCCAAATGCAGGAGTTGAATTCGAGACGAATTATGCGCAGAAAGGAAAGTACGTCCATCCTATCATCTCTCCCGATTGATCTGGATTCTACATACGAACGAATACTGGCCAAGGTTGATTCAAACTTTGTGGATGAAGCTGCTGCCGCACTTCGGTGGCTTGTCTCTGCAAGTCGCCCTCTATTTGTGGAAGAGCTGGCTGAAGCCTGCATCATCCGGGTTGAGGACCCCTGTCCGTTTGACCGTGAGAATCGACTTAGTCCGTTGGACATTCTCGATCTTCTCCCTGGCCTCATCAAAGTAGAGCCAGCACCTGATCCATCCATAGACCTACGGCTCCGATTTCACACAGTCAGCCTAGCACATTTCTCAGTGAAGGAGTACCTTCTCGGTCAGCGCATCTGTTCAGGTCCTTTGAAAATATTCGGCGTCGATGCAAAGCTGGCTCACAGCTACATAGCCCGCTGCTGTCTGGCCTACATTTCGTGCTGCAATGACGTTGTGTTGTCGCTTAAGATTGATGATCCGGCTGATTCACTGAGACCATACGCCTTTTCAGAGTGGACACATCATGCATCAATGACACCACAGGATCTTCTCCGTGACGTTTCGGCTCAGGCATTGGAAGTCTTTCGAAATCCGGAGACATGTCTCACCATGAACGCCATCACCAACCTAGTTCAGCGGACAAAAAGTGGCGGCTTCAGATCACAGCTCTCCATTCCTTTCAATTCGTACAAGACAACAGACTGGCCGCGATATTACATGCTGCTGTATGCTATCAGGCTGCAGAATTTAACCATGGTGAAGCTTCTTCTCGAGCAGGGCCTGGACCTCAGCAGCAATGCTAGAACCGACGACTTTCTTGTACTGGCCTTAGATTCACAACAACTTGATATTGCCGAGTTACTTCTGGACAATGGCTACGAGCCGGGAAGATCCGAGCTGCTCCTGGGAATGACACACGCAACACCTCACATTTTGTCTATTATTTTAAATCATGAACCACCTCTGAGCCTACATGACATTCTGAGAGCGCTCTACCTTGCAGTTGAGAGTTCTCACGATCAGCAAGCCGATTTGCTGTTTGAGCATACAATGCCAAAATGTGTTAAAAATTACCGTAAACAGTCTGGCTCAAACAGGCAGCTCACAGGCTGGTTCAGTAGCCTCTTTGAAGTTTCTAGTGACTTTGATTCTCCTGCCTTGGCAAGATTCTTACGAAGCCGGGTTTCGGCCAAGATGCGCAAACCGATAGACGCCAGGAACACGTTTCTGGAGGCATCAATACAATCTAGGAACAGGAAAGCAGTGCCGAGCTTGCAATTCAAAATTGGTACGAATCATTCGCCCTCGTACAGTCGAGCAGAAGGCACGTTCTTAACCTAAGAGCCACAATTTCACAACGCCTATTATATTTGGGACTTCTGCAGAAGGTCCCCATGCAGGCAGTCTGCCAACCCCGAACATGCTCCGTAAGATTGAGCACAGTACATGGCAGCCGACTGCAGGACACCGTGATACAAAGCTACGTGTTTTCTTTCGAATTTCGACTAAAGAGCTCAAAAATAGATTAAGCCAGTGTCGTTTCTTGTCTACGCGTGAAAGCGATCTCAGCTTGTTAGCCACTTAGTCGATAGGACGGCCGAGTTTCTATTCTTACGTTAGCCTCGGAACAGTTACGAAAGTACATGTTTATGGGCATGGACGGCGTATCACATACATGCTGATGGAATTACTGAAACGTGAATGGCCATGTCGATTTCAAGAATATGGTGCGATTCAGGTGAGCGCTATACATGCAGCCGGTTATGATGAATTGCAGCTCAGCTAATATTGTTCATTCGCAGTATTGCTCGGGTTGCTCTTCGCTACGCTACTATGGACTTATGTTTTAAAGCCGCGCCTTCCGACTATTGCTTTCATGATACGCTCACATTCCACAGTCCTGTGGTTCCAGAGCTCATGAGAAACCCAGGATCTAGAAAAGTGGCATTAACCAACACGCCTCGTCTTTTTTGCAAGGATACCAAAGAAAGCTGCGGATATCAAAGTGCGTTCTTTTTGCAGAGTGTACCGAAAGTATGGAAATTCTGAGGTAATATATGGCTTTAGAAAGGGCTAGCCGGTCGACCCAGTTCCAAGTATATTTCTATGCTTACAGCATGGGTGTATCATATAGGACGAGTGATCGATCAGACGGATGGAGATGGAGAAGCATAGGATCCTCAAAACGTTTTATAGCTATGATTTATGTATGCTGAAACTATAAGAGACCTTGCATCGCTTCCTGTGATAGAAGTTTAGTCTACTACCACGTGATGAAGATACTACGTTGGCGGCGGTCGGAGCTATGTCGTGAGCACTCGGAGACCGCCTTAGTCATCCAGTCTAATCATCACACTAACCGCATCTCCGGCGTCGGGTCAGTTTAGCGCCGGATTTGTAGCCTGGCGGAACTAACTGAGCGCCGGGCAAGGCAAACGGGGCAAAATACTGCCAAACGCAAGCCAATGACCAGCACAAGGATGACGTTCATCTAAAGCCCTGTGATTATAAAGGACGGTCATCCCATATGTATTTGGATCACATACAAGAGGCGCAACGGCCGAAGACGACGGATTCCACTTTCCGAAGACACAAGCAATACGTTCAGAGTCTAAACCAATTGTTAGGACCGCCTTTGTCGACTTGATATTCTGGTTCCTCAACATGTCTACCACAGCTACAGATGGTGGGGCTAAGCAGCTTCCACTAGGGGCTGTAGACGATGCGACGATGGCGACAATCACAGACGACGAGAAGGCGCTGAACGGCCGCGGCAACCCATCGGCAGACGCAGCAGCACCGGCTGGAAATGGACCATCAAATGTTCAGCCACCCCGATCGACGATACAGATTTTTCTGCTTATGACGGCGGCGTGTGTAAGTTTGTTATGCAACCCTCTACTCTGTCACCGTGGCTCTGCTTTCTTGACAGCCCCCATAGTCCTCTGCTGACATCATAGATGTCCGTCTTCTTGGCGGCCCTCGACATGACCATCATCACGACGGCACTGCCAACGATCGCCGAGCACTTTGGCTCATCGGCTGGCTTCGCCTGGGTCGGCTCGGCCTTTATGTTGGCGGCGGCGGCCAGCACGGCGAACTGGGGCAAGTTCAGCGACGTGTGGGGCCGCAAGCCGGTGTTGCTGGCGGCGTCGGCCGTCTTCTTTCTGGGCTGCGCTCTCTGTGGTGCGGCCACGAGCCTGGCCATGCTGATTGCCGGACGTGCCGTGCAGGGCGTCGGGGCCGGCGGGCTGCTGACGCTGGTCAACATCATCATCGGCGACATCTTCTCGGCGCGCGAGCGCGGCAAGTACTACGGCATGATCGGGATGGTGTGGGCGACGGCGAGCGCGTTGGGGCCGATCGTGGGTGGCGCACTGACGAACAACGTGTCGTGGCGGTGGTGTTTCTATATCAACTGTGAGTGACGATGTGTCTGGAGTGCAGTTTGTTCCTTCCATTTTGGGGTGCTCTCGGTGCTCTTTCCTTTTTTTTTTTTTCGTATTGGCATCTACATCTTCCGCTCCTCTACCACTTGTCCCCTTGTCCACTTCTACTCACTCCTCAGTGCCCATCTCCGGAACGGCCTTTTTCATCATCCTCTTCACGCTGCACCTGCCGACGCCGCACACGCCGCTGCTGGCCGGGCTGCGCTCGATCGACTGGCTCGGCAGTCTGCTGATCACGGGCGGCACGCTGATGCTGCTGATGGGTCTGCAATACGGCGGCAACGCGTATCCATGGCGATCGGTGACGGTGATCTGTCTGATCGTCTTTGGTGTCGTGACGCTGGTGCTGTTTGGGCTGGTCGAGCATCGGCTGGCCGTGTACCCGCTGCTGCCGACGCACCTGTTTGCGAGCCGGTCCAACGTGGCGGTGCTGTGCGTCTGTCTGTTTCACGGGCTGGCCTTTACACAGGCCATCTACTTCTTGCCGACTTACTTCCAGGCAGTGCTGGGCGCCACGCCGCTGCTCTCGGGCGTCTATCTGCTGCCGGTCTGCCTGCCGGTCTCGCTGTGCGCTGCCGGCAGCGGTATCTACCTCAAGCGCACCGGCCGGTTTCGTGATCCGATCATCTTGGGACTTTTGCTGGCCGTCTTGGGCTCAGGCCTGCTTCTGAATCTGCCACGCGGCCGCAATGTGCCCTCGACCTCGTCGGCTTGGGCCCGCATCGTCATCTACCAGGGCATCACTGGCGCCGGCATCGGGCTCAACTTCCAGCCGCCCCTTGTCGCCCTGCAGAGCAACGTGCCACCGCAGAACAACGCCAGTGCTACTGCGTTTTTCTCTCTCACCCGCAATATGGCCTCGGCCATTGCTGTCGTCGCCGCCAGCGCTGCTTTTGCCAACCGCATGACTGCCCAGCGTCCTGCCATCCTCGCTGCTGCCGCCGGCAATGCCTCCCTCGCCGACATGCTCTCCGGCGATGCTGCCCAGGCAAACTTGCTCCTCGTCGATCGCCTTCCCCCAGACCTCCGTTCCGTCGTCCGTGCGGCCATGTACGACGCCGTCCGTCCTGTCTGGATCCAGACGACCTGCTTCGCTGCCGCCGGCCTCATCGCCTGCCTCTTCATTCACGCCAAGCCGCTCCAGAGCGTCCACGAGACCGTCAACACCGGCATCGAAGGCGAAAAGGAACGTCGTCGCATCGCCCTCGAACAACGCGCTCACAGAAAGGCTACCCGTGGAGAGCCACAGGTCCGCGGGAATGGCCCTGCAAAGGAAGCCGCCGAGGTTTGAGCCTCTTCTGCGCATCGCTTTACTAGCAGTCTTGGGGCGTCACTCTGGGTTTTCGTCATGTAAAGCAATATGCTCCGTGTTTGTACATTATCCTCTCTTCTCGTGCTTTTTATACCCTTTGCCGGTTCCCAATTTCCATCATTATCTTATATTGTACAAATGTTTCTGGTGTTCCAGTATCATATAGACATAATCCAACTCCCTGGTGCAATTTGTCCACTCCACGATATACATACAATAGTACCCTTTCTTCGAATATCTATCACCTACGTCGACATCTGCTCCGAAAACATCCCGTCGAGACAGCTCTGCACGTCGAAAAACTGCTTCGACGGGTCTGTCCAGTCGATGGTATCTCCCATGAGCAGCATTGACTGGAGCAGCTGTTCGTCTTCATGGCTCACATGAGCAGGCGCCCGCGACACCGAGCTCGTGTCCCCACCTGCAGACCTGTCAGTCTGCTCCAAGTCCTGCTCAGTCGTCCCGTTCTCGTATGCTATCGGCACAGCTGACTCCCGGTAACCGATCTCGTTCAGCATTTCGTAGAATCCCGACACGCCTATCGGTGCCACCAAAGACGCCGGAGCCATCGCAGACTCTGGGTTCAATCTTGCCGCTGCTGTGCTGGCTTGACCCTCACTCTGCGTCAAAAGCGGGAAGCAGTGTCGTAGTGGTCGTAGCACCGGGCCGACGCCCGACGCAGTGCTCGCCTTCTCGTCGCTGATGTGACCGCCTGCCGCCGGCAGCAGGTAGCCTTCGTACCACTCGCTGACCGCCTCCACGAGCGGTGCCCACATGCGCGCTAGGTGCCGGTGCCGCGTGCGGAGCTGTCTCATCCGCCACGACAGCTTGCCCAGATAGTGGTGGATCTGCGTGGTCGAGCTGCCTGGACCGCCGACGTGGCGCATCAGCCCGTGCATGGCGCCGCCCGGAAGAACGGCCGACAGCTCCAGTTTGAGCAGCACAACGATGGCGTAGCTGATGCGCGCGTACGAGAACACCGGCATGCCCCGAAGCTGCTTCGTCGGCGCTGCCAGAAAGATGCCGATTAGCGCCCGTGCCGACGCGAGGCACAGCTGGCGCGACTGGATGTGAGCAGACGTAAGAAAAGGCCGTGGTTTTGGTCTTTGTGGTGGCACTGGTGCGTTCGCCCTGCACGTCGGCACAGCCACGCGGTACGGCGGCTTGAAGTCGGTCGGGTCAAACTCGTTGTAGAAACACGACTCGTGCAGAGTGCACAGAACGGTGTGGTACTGTATCAGCAGGCTGTTGTTCATGCATGTGCTCGTCACGCTCTGTCGCCACTGCTCTAGCTGCAGCGTGGCATTCTGCAGGTTCATCTGCAGGCACGGGTCCGCAAAGTCCACCAGGCCCCGGGTGGCCTTGTCTGTGCTACTGGCTGCCCCGTCGCGCTCAGACGACCGGAGGCCCAAGCCGACTGCGGCGTTATCGACAATGTGCTGCAGACGAACCCAGGCGGCCAGAGTGGCGTCGGTTGGTGCTGCCAGTGCCGATGTCTCGATCGTGGCGAGGCATTCGGCTATGTGAGGCGTAAAGGACAACATGGACTGGCGGTGGAAGCCGAGAGAGACACTTTTGATGTTAGTTTTCTGTTTGAGACGAGACGGAAAACGACAAGAAAACCACCTGGAACAGCAGAGGTAGCAGGCCAGCAGAGTCCGCTCAAAGACGAGGGTGTCGCCGGATGGACCAGAGTCTTGAGGACGGTTCTGTCCTTCACGGCCGCACAGACCCAGCTCCACGGCCATCGATGCAGCCAGGTGGACGTGCTGGTAGAATCTTGGCCGATGGCTCGACGGCGGCGTGACTCCCAGTGAGTGACAGTTCCAGTTGGACGACACCAGCAGCGCCTGGATCAGCTCAATCGACTTCTGCCCATCCAGCATGATCCGCTCGGCAAAGACCCTCAGCAGGAGTGCCTCCAGCGCCAGGCTGAGACCGTCGCTCTCGTCGTTACTAATATCTGCAGACCCGTCTCGGCCATTGCTCAGCTCATCGTCGTCATCGTCGTCGTCGTCGTCTCCATTCTGTCCCATCTCCGCGCCAATGTTCCCCGCCACCGTGACTATCGCTAGGAAGAGTACGGGGGTCTGCCGCCGTACCTTGGCTGCCACTGCCGCTATCTCCTCATCTGTCGGAATCACGTGATGGTTTGCTGGCGTCACGGCAGGGAACACCACGAGCGGCCGTTGGGGTGCCATTGTCAGGACGTATCGCCGAAAGAGGCGCACCGCCCAAGCCATCGGTAGAAGTCCAGCAGCCACAGGGTCTGCCGAGTCGACTGTTGCTGGCAGGGAAGAGTTCCACGACAGTGGCAAGTTGGGAGAGGGGGTGCCAGCAGAAGAGATGGCAAATGCAGGAGGTAAAGAAGGAACCGTCGGGAGTGATTCCTCCACGATTGGAGACGACCTTTCTGGAACTCGGACTTCTTGCACGCCCTCCACCAACACCCCTCCAGCATCACCACTTTGCTGCTGCTGCTGTTTCTGCTGCAGAAACAGCAGCTCGCCCAGCTGCCACACCTCCTGCTCCAGCTCGCGCACCCGCACGTCCGTCCGCTTGCGCTTGGTCCTCCGCCGCTCCGTGTAGACACACTCGTGGCCAATGTCTCGACACCGACGGCAGGGTGGCCGCTCCGATACGGGTGGCAAGACGGTCCCGTCATTGCTGCTGATGCTGCCATCATGGCCACCGCCACTGGCCGGCTCGCAGCGCACCTTGAGGATGCGACAGGCCTCACAGGCACGAAATGTCGTCGACTGCATCTCCCAGATTGCCAGACAGCTGTGGTCAATTTGCAGTTCGTTTCGTAGGCCGGTAAAGCTTTTGCTGTTCTGCTGCCTAAACCTGTCAGCAGAGTTTCCTCTGACGTGAAGTAAGGAAGTTAGGCCGTCCAATCGACCAATGGCAACGCGGCATCTGTAGCTCACCAACCGGAAAGAGCTATCGGCACACAACTGCTCTCCTTGTCGGGATGGTATACTCATTTCATCTATCAAATCAGAAGTAAAAAACAGGATTGTCCATATTTTCAATTGTCCGTAAACATACGCGAATTCCAGCACGTAATATTCTAAAAAAGCTGCACAAGTACTCAAATTGTTTGAACTGCCGACTGATGAGAATACCTTCTAGTGTCAATATCAGTCTCTGCTGCTGATTAGTACAATTTCGAGGCACGAGACTCGTCTTACTTTTCCACACCCATCAGCCCCCCCAAAGACAACCCCAACTTCAATTCTTCTGTCCTACGAAAAGTAGTCTTCGTCCCCGTCGATGACCTGGAACCGCACACAGTCATCTTGGGCTCCCCGCTGAGCTACCGGCATCATCACCGGCTGGTGGTTGCGTGCCGCAATCATCGTGCACACCCTGTAATGTCCCACCGGCAGACCGCCCACCACAGTTGCCTGAAGCCGCCCACGACCGTCGCCAGCGTCGCTGATTCCCGTGAAAAAGACAAACTTTCTCGGGTCGGGGATCTTGACCACGACTTCGCCCCAATCATGCCGCTTCACCGTCAGCTCCTGCACCGTGACATGGCAGTGGCCATAGATGTTGCCGTTCTCGTCCAGATCCTGTGGCGCCGAGTAGTAGCTCGCCAGCGGATTTGCAAAGTAGCCTGCTGTTAGGTGCACCGTATGGATGGTGATGTTAAAGGCCATGTGGGCCGGAAGACGCTCCCCTGTTGCCGGCGAAGTAATCAGCGACGCAATCATGCGGTCATGGGCCGGGATGCGGCCCATGGGAATGCCGTTACACGACGATGTCGAGAGCTGGCGGCCGTTGGTGAGCTCGCGGCCAGCACAAAAGTTGATAAAGTTGGTGGTGTCTCTAAATTGTGTCAGCCAGCAGTAATTTTCTGTCTTTGGCGTCTCGTGGCTGCTCACATTTCCGATGACACCTCGCCCGGTTCTACGCCCGGGGTCCCACGTTCCTGACCTGTCCGATTGCTTGCTGTCTGGATTAGTGAAGGATCGAGGCAGCCAGGGGGGACGCTGCTTGGGCTCGAAGAAGTCTCTATCGTGCTGGCTATATCCTTAGCGACGACAGCAGCCTGGCTAAAGGCCGTCAAGGCCAAGAAAGAAAGCTGAATCTTCATTGCAAAGAGCTTGGGGAGAAGGAATGTCAAAGGAATAAGATACATTCTTTCTCAGTCCTCAAGCTCTTATATAATTTTCAGGAGCCTACACGGGTACTCCTACTGGTCACCCCATAGCAACTGCTTGTAGATGATAACTGGCTAGAATTGCTGCTGCTCGCTCCTTCACCGGTGTTCAACGCGTCATCTGGGTGTACAAAGATTCGGACTCTTACGTAGTACCGGGTCCCCTAACAGCCAAGACGGAGGAAAGGAAGCTTATGAGAGTACAGGAGTGCTCTTCTGCTGCAGGAAACTAATAATAGAATTATAACCAGTACACCTCGCAGTCAATCAGCAGTCGAAAATATGAAGGCACATTCAGTCTGCGGTTTCTGAAGTCAAGAAGGCCGAGAAACAACGAGAATGTTGTGTTCAGTACGTTTGCCTTGGAAAGCAGCATCAGATCGTCGTTTATGAAAGGACAATGTTCTCCTCTTCAAAACAAAGTCGACTTATAGTGCAGACAGTTGTATACACTGTGGAGGGCTTCAAGTAGACCACGTGACGGTGACGTCAAATAAGGGCACATTTGTTTTATTAAGCAAAACAGAAAAGTTCGACGCAGTCGTTTCAGTGTTCCGAATCATTGTGGACTAAACCCTCCAGAATAGCCTTGCCTTCAGCCATATCATCGTCCACCCACGGCTTGAGGCCCATGGCAAGCATGAAGTTGGTCCAACCGCCGTATGACTTGACAATATCACGTTCGGCCGGGGTCAAAGGAGGCTCTGAAGATTACATAGAGCGGGATTTGGTCTCTGTCTTAGGTTGTAGTCTGCTTACGAAGAGAGTCGGAAGCAGGCATCTTCTAAGATCTTGAGTTTGTGGGATAGTTTCCTGCTAGGTATGTACTACCGAGTAGCTTTCTCTGGTGGATCATATTGTGGAGGTAGTAGGCGGCGTAGGTAGATTGAGAGCAGGATTGTGTGTGTCCAGGGTTCGACGCACGCAGAAACACGAATGGACGAACGGTGGTTGGATGGTGCCTTGATGCCTAATTGCCACAAACAGAGTTTTAATCGCCTTATCGGACGGCGCCAAAAACTTTTTTTAATGGCCGGGGCAGTGCCAACCCCACCACAGCCCAACAATTGACTAGCAAAAAAAATAGAGAGGAAAACCCCGCCACAGTCCCCTTCCTTCCCTTTCTCCCTCTTTTTCTTGGGTTATCTCGACTTGTTGTGTTTTGACTCGCAACAGCCGCCACCACCCACCCCTTTTTTCCCCTTCTTTCCCTTCAATTTGGAAAGAAGCGACGGACCATTTATTTGCCCCGTCGACAACCTCCCATCGAATTTGCAATTCCGAACACCAGCCAACATGGTTTCCGCTTCGAAGGAGAAGAGACTCGCGAAGAAGGCCGCCGACGGCAAGGACAAGAAGTCCAAGGTCGGGTCGAAGAAGGCGGCAGCGGCCGAGGTCGAGCTCGATGGCAACGGAAACCCGATCGTGAACGAGGAGGACACATCGAACCGGGATGAGGAGGTGAAGCGGCTGGCCGCTCAAATGGACAAGCACGGCCTTTCGGACCGCGTCACAACGGGCGTTCTTTCATCGACGCCGACGAGTCGTGACGTGAAGATTACCAGCGTCAGCCTTGTGTTCCACGGCCGCGTGCTGATCCAGGACTCGACGCTGGAGCTGACGTACGGCCGCCGCTACGGCCTGCTGGGCGAGAACGGCTGCGGAAAGAGTACGCTGATGAAGGCCATTGACAAGCGCGAGTTCCCCATCCCGGAGCACGTCGACATCTACCTGTTGAACGAGGGCGCTCCGCCGACGGAGCTGGGTGCGCTGGAGTGGGTTGTTAGGGAGGCACAGAACGAGCTGGAGCGGCTGGACAAGCTGGCTGAGAAGTATCTGGAGGACGAGGGCCCGGACAGCCCAGTGCTGATGGATCTTTACGATGTGAGTGACTCTTGGATCCCTGTTTTTTGCCTTTTTTGCCTTTTTGCCATTCCCCGCTTTGCCTTGCACTGCTGACGTGTCTCTAGCACATGGAAAGAATGGACCCCTCGACCTTCTCGACCCGTGCATCACTGATCCTGACGGGTCTTGGCTTCAACAAGGTGACGATCAACAAGAAGACCAAGGACATGTCTGGTGGCTGGCGGATGCGCGTGGGCCTGGCCAAGGCGCTGTTTGTGCAGCCGTCGCTGCTGCTGCTGGACGACCCGACGGCGCATCTGGATCTGGAGGCGTGCGTGTGGCTGGAGGAGTACCTGAAGCGGTGGGAGCGCACGCTCGTGCTCGTTTCGCACTCGCAGGATTTCCTCAACGGTGTGTGCTCTAACATGATCGACATGCGGTCGAAGCAGCTCCTGTACTACGGTGGTAACTACGACTCCTACATCAAGACGCGGTCCGAGCAGGAGACGAACCAGATGAAGGCGTACACGAAGCAGCAGGAGGAGATTGCACACATCAAGAAGTTCATCGCCAGCGCGGGTACGTACGCCAACCTGGTGCGACAGGCCAAGTCGCGGCAGAAGATCCTGGACAAGATGGAGGCGGACGGCTTCATCCAGCCGGTGACGGAGGACCGGGTGTTCTCGTTCCGCTTTGCCGACGTGGACAAGCTGCCGCCGCCGGTGCTCTCGTTCGACAACGTGACGTTCTCGTACTCGGGCGATCCCAAGGACGACCTGTACCGCAACATTGACCTCGGCTTCGACATGGACTCGCGCACGGCGCTGGTCGGCCCCAACGGTGTGGGCAAGTCGACGCTGCTGCGGCTGATGACGGGCAAGCTGAGCCCGACCGAGGGTGTGGTGGCGCGCCACACGCATCTGAAGCTGGGTGTGTACTCGCAGCACTCGGCTGAGCAGCTGGACCTGACCAAGTCGGCGCTGGACTTTGTGCGCGAGAAGTACCGGGAGAAGTCGCAGGACTACCAGTACTGGCGTCAGCAGCTGGGCAAATACGGCCTCTCGGGCGAGTCGCAGACGGCACTGATCGGCACCCTGTCCGAGGGCCAGAAGAGCCGGATCGTGTTTGCGCTGCTGGCCATTGACAGCCCCAACATGCTGCTGCTGGACGAGCCGACGAACGGTCTGGACATTCCGACGATTGACAGTCTGGCAGACGCCATCAAGGCGTTTAGCGGTGGTGTCGTCGTGGTCAGCCACGATTTCCGGTGAGTTTTTTTTCACTTTTTCTTTTTTTATTTTATTTTCTTCCTTTTTTCCTTTTCTTTTCTCCTTCTTTCTTTCCTTCACGTCCTCCCACTAACACCCTCAGACTCCTTGACAAGATTGCCAACCAGATCATGGTGTGCGAGAACCGGACAATTCGGCAATGGGACGGCACCATTTCCGATTACAAGAACTACTTGCGGAAGAAGATGATCACGGCTGGTGCGGTTTAAGAAACGGCACGTGACTTTTCTCCACAGACTGCACGTCGCCGTCGTCCTGAACCGCCCGTTTCCTTCTGTTTTTCTCGGACTCTCGGCATAGAGGAAGATTGTCCCGAAACAAAGTAGGCGAGGACTGGCACAGGGTCTGCCGAACTAATAGAACGGGAAAGGAATTTTCCACTGGACGAGGAACTGGACGACGAGAGGGGGGGACAGCTCCTGTCTCGCCGCAGGAGTCTCACTAGAGGGTCTTTTTTGTTTGGAGGACGGCAACCAGGATGAAACGAAATGGGCTCTGCCAAGTGGGAGAACGAAGAGCGAGAAAGCTCCGAGGTCCCGCGACATGTTTCTACGGAATGGAATTTCCAACAACATCATGCACCGGATAGAATTTTGTTTATGTTTCTAGTAAAACCAAACGACCAGATTGTCATGCGTGATTTTGGCAGTGACTTGTGGCATGCAAGTGTGTTGGAACGGCACTGCGACAAGTTGATGGCGGCGACGTCATTCCACATTGGTCTGCACGTGAGGCACTCGCACTGCATAGGCGAATGTTCATGACTGTAGGTTGTGGGCAGTTGTCATAAGTTTTGCACCATTTGAGGGCTGAACGTGCTGGCACATGTACGATACGCCTTACAGCGGCGGGTTCACGAACTTGAAGGCCGTGGCCGACATCGCCAAACATGTTGCGCACGACCGGATCGCAGGCTTGCTGCGATCAAACTGACGTCCGACCAAGGCATTCATGCGGTATCAGTGCGCTGGCTCTCGACGCCTTTTGGCGGGTTGCAATTATGCAGCTCCAGCGGAACTAACTAGGCATGCCTAATTTAGCTACTGTTGCATTGCCGGATTGTGCAGGTGGTCGGAATTAGGGTCACTGTACCCGAGGCAGTTTCTGCCTGAGGCATAAAAGGACAGCAAGAGGCTTGCCTCGTATCTGTATTACGAAGCTTTCTCACACGACATGACAAGCTGTCGAAATCTCACTGGGGCGATCCACTGATTGGGGGGCAGGGTGTGGGTCTAGCGGAGAGACGGGCTCGCACGGTGATTGGCGTGAGTGGGGCTGGGCCTGAGTCTGGAACGGAAGGCGCAACGGAAGCGACGCGACGAGAGTTGGGGAAAGGATGGAAGGCGCAAGCAGCAGCAGCGGGGCAGGGATGTCGATGGTGGCCCATGGGCACTACGACGCCTCGTATGCAGGGAAGAAATGACACAAGTGCGGTAGAAAGGGGGGGAGAAGAAAACGATGGAGAGAGAGAGAGGAGCCAGCAGGAAAAGACGAAAAGAGCAAGTCAGTAAGAGAGGAAAGCGGGAAGGGGGAAAGAAGAAGCCCGGCGATGGCGGCGAACCAACAAGGGAAATGGGAAGAGCGGGTTTTATGGACAAGCCGGAATAGTCGCAAAAGTAATGGAGCGCGAAGCGTTCAATCGAGAAGGAGGGCCAAAAATAGGACAGACAAGAGGAAAATAGGCCAGAAAAATTAATAAAAAAACGGTCGCCGGGCGAGGCGCACCAAAAAGGACCTCCTGCTCTTGTTCGTGTCGTTGATCTGGGGGCCCCATCCACCGCCTTTGCCCAAACGTTCCATCCGCCCTCTTGCCTCTTTTCCTCCTCTATCCTCTCTCTCCTGCCATCTTTCCTACCATTTCGAGTGCTCGGTCTTCTTCCATCGCCACCACCATCGAACATCCCTATCGCCATCACCATCCGCCACATCGTCACCTACCCGGTCACGTTGGCTGCTCACCGACTCGGAGCTGCAGCAAGCTCGGGGCACCGTCTCTCTGTCCAGAGCACCGTTCCCGTGTTCTCCCAGGAGCTTCCTCGACAGGCTATTCCGACCGTCTCGTGTTTCCTCGGCAGCTTCGCCGACACGCGCCAATCGCGACTGATCGACCGATGAGCAGACGGCCACGCCACGAACTGTGGATGCCACCCGCATAGACAACCACCGCCTTCCAACCTCTGTCGTCGTCTGTCGTCTCCCGCTGTCGCCATCGCGAATCCGCTGCGTCCTGTCCTACCGTCCTCCCATTGGCTGGTTGCGGGCCGCCTTGCGAAGATCCGAGAGGCTGCCGTCTGAGACGCGCGCGCGCGCCTGTTTGTGCCATGGACCCATCCGACTTCCGCTCGACGGTGCTGTCGCGCCAGGAGAACAGCAGCAGCAGCAGCAGCCGTCACCGCGACATTGAGATTCTCAACCCCGAGCAGGCCGACGTGGTCTCCTCGGCCTCGACCGCTTTGCCAGCCTCGTCCTACCCATCGCGTCCTATCGCCAGCAATAGCCATAGCCATAGCAATAGCAACAGCAACAGCAACAGCAACAGCAACAGCAACAGCAGTAACAGCTCGCACCACCACCAATACAGCCACCACCAGTCGCACCCCCTGCGATCCAGCCACGCTGCCTCGCCGCCGGCCGACAGAAACAGCTATGCCAACGGCACGTCTCACCGGCCGCCTCCGTCAGCCTCGCCCGTCTACGAATACGCAGTGCGTCCCCGCTCGCCGCTGCGGCCGGCCGGCCATTCCGTGTCGCTGGCGCAGCGCGAAAAGGCGTCCGGCAGCTTCTACGACCCGACGACCGACAGGACTACAACCGTGACAGCAGCCACGGCCAGCTCGCGTCGGCCGTCCGAAACGGGGTCTCGTCGCATCAGCGAGAAAGAGGCTGCAGCTGCTGCAACTGCTGCAACCGTTCAGGTATGCGCTTGCTTTTTTTCTTTCTTATTCTTCCTTTCTGTCTCGTTCTGCCCCGTCTCTCTGTATATCTTTTCTTCATTTAGCTTGTTCTTTCATTCTCTTCTCTCTACCTTTGGCCTTCTTACCTAATCTACCTACTCTATTGCTCCTTCCCTTTTCCTCCCTCTCCTCACAGCCTCACTGTCAGCTTACCCTGCATCCCGTACTCGTGCATCCAAATCTATCTGCTGGTCAATTTTGCTCTCCTCCGTACCGGCGTTTCTGCCTTATCACCAGGCTACACGCATATCTTGGCGGCTCCCTTTTTGTCGTGCGCTTTGTGCTTTTTAATGTGGCTCTTTTTCGGCTCTACGCTTGTCGCTGGTGCTTGGCTTGACTGGCGCGCCTGCCGTCTCCTGCATCCTGTCTCATCATCCTCTACGTTACTGGATTTTTTTTTGCCGCTCCTGGATTCTGCCCTTATTTCCACCGTTTCCTTTTCGCTCCCTTTTCTGATCCCTTGTCTTCTTCGACTCCACCTATCCGTCTTTTTATTTTTATTCCCTCTCTCCTTGGCCTGCCATCACCTTTAATTTTCCATCTCGGTTTCTTTTCGGCTTCCATCATCCGCTGCCCGTCCATTAATCTACTTCCCTTCCTACATACACCGTAATCGACCGGCCCCTTTCTTCTCACTAAACGCGTCGTCTTTTTCTTTCGCCATCGCCTTCATCTCACCCTCGCTCTGGCTTGTCTTGGCACGTCACGATGCATCATGTGTGAACGTGACATTTACTGACACGAGCCACTGCTTTTGTCCACCACAGCATCGCGACGCGTACCAATATCCATCGCGACCTCAATCTGTAGGCGATCGCTCGCCCTACTACGGCACATCCCACAAATCGCCCACTGCTGCCCCCGCCTCCTCGAGAAGCCCGGTCACCCATTCACGAAAGCTCTCTGCCTCTGGCACATTGTCGTCTGCCATATCTGACTCTGTCAGCATCTCAACCCACCCACCACTACAAATGGCTTCTCCATCTTTGGGCCACCGCCCGCTGTCTCTGGCTGGCTCGCCACCTCCAAATGGCACCGCCACCTCCATACCCTCGCTTTCTTCATTTTCCAAGGCTGAGTCCCCGGCCACAAACAAGGCAGCTGCGCCTACAAGTGTACGTTCCATCAACGCTTTTAGCTTTGCTTCAAGTGTCACGTCTCAATTCCATCCATTCCATACATCAACCATCTCCTTCCTTATCTAATGCTGATTGCTTTCCCCTACCATATAGACGCCCAAGCGCACTGCCGACCTAATGTCCTTCTCCAACATTCTCTCCAACGCCGAGCCGGCGGTCGAGAAGCCACGACCCAAATCACCACCCCCCGCTGAGGACGACTCTGAACATAACAATACTGCCCGGGGCGTTCGGGTCCTGCGCTTGGACAAGCCAGAGGACAAAAAACCACGAGGTGGCCGACGAGTGGCCAAACATCGCGTGTCCAGTGTCAAGGACAGGGACATGGACTTGGATGCCTCGCTGGTAGACATCGCCCCAAAGGCGTCGCGGCGCTCCTCTGTGAAAGCCAATGTCACAGAAGCACGTGTGCCAGCGAAGCGACGGGTGAATGGCCAGCAGAAGAAAGCCACCCCGTCACCCTCCGTCACAGCAGAGCGGGAGAAGAACATCCAGACCTTTTTGAACAAGCTGGACGATGAAATGGAAGACGTCGACACCTCCGAATTCGACGAAGAAGAAGAGATCTGGCAAGAGCGCTTTCGGCGGCGGAAAGTGCAGATGGCCACCACCGAAGCTGAATTGCACTGTCTTCGCCGCACCGATTTGTCCGACACCTTTGCCAAACGGCTCGAAGACCATGGTTATCTCGGCACCAAGCGTTACTACGAAATCTACTATGACGAGGCTTTGCAGGAGGTGCGCGAACAAGAGCTCTTTGCCGAGAAAGAACGGAAGAAGGACATGCAACGGAAGCGGCGGCGGGAGAAGTCGATGGCTGTCACCCTGGAGCAAAAGAAGGATGCTCTGGCCCGCGCTGCCCTCACCCAGGACGAGAATGAGCGCCAGAAGCTGCTGCGCGAGGCCGAGCGGGCTAACAAAAAGGCCCAGCAGACGAAGCTCATTCTGCAAAAGGGCATCAAGGGGCCCGTCAGAAATGTGACCACCATGGATCTCAACCTTGAGGGCGGCACCATGTCTACATTTGAAAGCACCGAGCTCGACGCGGGAAAGACCAAGGCCAAGGGACGCGGCGGCTCGCGTCCGAAGAAATCCAAGGAGCAAAAGCAGCAAGAGAAAGAGAACGCCGAAGCTGCCCAGGCCGCTCTTGATGCCGGCGAGGACTTGCCCAGCAAAGAGGAGACGTCCAAGATCCGCATCAAGTTCAAGAAGGGCTCGAATGCTGCCGGCGCTAACGGCGCATTGGGCAAGGACGACGGAACCAGCAAGGACGACATCCATTCGAACAAGGAAAATGCCGAGCCCAAGTCTTCCCGAGGCAAGGACAAAGACAAGGACAAGATGGCCATTGTCGATGCACCGAAAGATCCGCTGGAGATCAAGTTTCAGTCCAAGGGCTTCAACCAAATCTACGACCAGATCTGGCGCGACATGGCTAGGAAGGATGTCAGCAAGACGTTCCGCATGGCCACCGACTCCTACTCCACAAAGGCTTCGAACTTGAAGAAGACTGCTCTTCTTGCCTCAAAGGAGGCGAAGCGGTGGCAGCAGCGCACTAACAAAGGCAACAAGGACCTGCAGGCCCGCGCCAAGCGTGTCATGCGCGATATGATGACCTTTTGGAAGCGCAATGAGCGCGAGGAGCGCGACTTGCGCAAGGCTGCCGAACGCCAGGAACTCGAAAATGCCCGGAAGGAGGAAGCTGACCGCGAAGCCGCTCGCCAAAAGCGGAAGCTTAACTTCCTCATCTCCCAGACGGAACTGTACTCTCACTTCATCGGCAAGAAGATCAAGACTGACGAAGTCGAGCGCAGCACCGATCACCCTGACGAAGCCGCAAAGGAGAGCGCCAAGGCGGCTGCGTCGGGAACCAGCCACGGCGCAAACCTGAGCTTGGCTGCGTCCAACGGTGCGGTCGGCTCCAAGGTCACCAACTTTGAAAACCTCGACTTTGACGATGAGGACGAGACCAAGCTTCATGCTGCTGCCGTGGCTAATGCACAAAACGCCATTGCCGAGGCACAACACAAGGCTCGCCAGTTCAATAACGAGGACGAACCGGCCCCCGCCGGTATGGATATGGATGACGAGGGCGAGATGAACTTCCAGAACCCCACCGGTCTAGGCGATGTTGAGATTGAGCAGCCGAAGCTGCTCAACGCACAGCTCAAGGAATACCAGCTCAAGGGTCTGAATTGGCTGGTGAACCTGTACGAACAGGGTATCAACGGTATTCTTGCTGATGAAATGGGTCTGGGAAAGACTGTGCAGTCCATCTCCGTAATGGCGTATCTTGCTGAGAAGTACGACATCTGGGGTCCCTTTATCGTTGTTGCTCCTGCTTCGACGCTGCACAACTGGCAGCAGGAAATTAACAAGTTTGTGCCGGAATTCAAGGTGTTGCCATACTGGGGCTCTGCCGGCGACAGAAAAGTCCTGCGCAAGTTCTGGGATCGCAAGCACTCCATCTACAAGAAGAATGCACAATTCCATGTGCTGGTCACGTCCTACCAGCTGGTTGTGTCTGACGTCGCCTTCATGTCTAAGATGCGCTGGCAGTACATGATTCTCGACGAGGCACAGGCCATCAAGAGCTCTCAGAGTTCTCGTTGGAAGGTGCTTCTCAACTACCACTGCCGCAACCGTCTGCTTCTTACGGGTACCCCGATCCAGAACAACATGCAGGAACTATGGGCTCTGCTGCATTTCATCATGCCGTCCCTCTTCGACTCCCACGACGAGTTTAGCGAATGGTTTTCCAAAGACATCGAGTCGCACGCGCAGAGCAATACCAAGCTGAATGAAGATCAGCTTAAGCGGCTGCACATGATCCTGAAGCCCTTTATGCTCCGTCGTGTCAAGAAGCACGTGCAGAAAGAGTTGGGTGACAAGATTGAGCTGGACATTTTCTGTGATCTGACGTACCGCCAACGTGCCTACTATGCCAATCTTCGCAACCAAATCAGCATAATGGACCTAATCGAGAAGGCTACGACAGGGGACGAGAACGACTCCAAGACGCTCATGAACCTGGTCATGCAGTTCCGAAAGGTCTGCAATCACCCGGACCTCTTCGAACGTGCCGATACGACGTCGCCTTTTGTCATGAGCTACTTCGCCGAGACAGAATCGTTTAGCCGCGAGGGTGCCATCATTCCTGTCGGCTACTCGACCCGCAGTCTGATCGAGTACGATGTGCCGCGCATAGTCGCATCCGAGGACGGACGCATCCACATGCCCGGCCGAAACAACGCAGTGGCTGGTTTCCGCAACAAGTACCTGAAAGAGCTGATGAACATCTGGACACCCGAAAACATCCGCGACAGCTCCAGCAAGGACGAGGCCTTCTCGTGGCTGCGATTCGCTGACACCAGTCCAGGCGAGGCGTACCAAGCATCACACCGCGATATTTTCGACCGCGGCGTCGATATCGCCACGAAGCACGCTTCCACTCCAGGATTGTCGTCTCGTCTGGATCGCCTGAAGGTGGTCTACGACGATGACGATGACAAGAAACATGTTGGTAGCAAGTCGTCCCGGTCCGGATACACTCCAAAACATGCGCTCTTCCAGATCAGGGAGCGCAATGGCCTTGCCGCACTTGCCGACATTACGACCGAGGGTGTGCTGCATTCGCTCATGAATGTTGCCCGCACCGCGTACGACAACACGGGTCTGACCCGTGTCGAGCAGGCTGGGCGCAACAGCGCGTCGGCACCTCCGATCGAGCTGACCAGCAGCAGCCGAAGGACTGCGATAGAACGCCAGGACTTGCTCTTCAACATGCCCATGCGGCGGGTGCTGTTTGGGCCCAACCCGGCAGAGGAGAAGGCCCTGGTGTTGCAGCAGGTGCCATGGAACCGATACCCGTCGACGTCTCTACTGCCAGCACCGGATGTGGAGAAGAAGCGGTTCACAAACATCTCCGTACCGTCGATGCGACGGTTCGTGACAGACTCAGGCAAGCTGGCGAAGCTGGATGATCTGCTGTTCAAGCTGAAGGAAGGCGGGCACCGCGTGCTCCTGTATTTCCAGATGACTCGCATGATCGATCTGATGGAAGAGTACCTGACATACCGCAACTACAAGTATTGTCGGTTGGATGGTTCTACCAAACTGGAAGACCGTCGCGATACTGTGCATGACTTCCAGACGCGCCCCGAGATTTTCATCTTCCTGCTTTCGACGCGTGCTGGTGGTCTCGGCATCAACTTGACGTCAGCTGACACGGTTGTCTTTTACGATTCCGATTGGAACCCAACCATCGACTCGCAGGCCATGGACCGCGCGCATCGTCTCGGCCAGACGCGCCAGGTGACGGTATACCGGATGATTACACGCGGTACGATCGAAGAGCGCATCCGGAAACGTGCCCTGCAAAAGGAGGAAGTGCAACGGGTGGTCATCCAGGGCGGCGGTGCTGCCTCTATGGGTGTGGACTTCTCGGGCCGTCGTGCTCAAGACAGTCGCAACCGCGATATCGCGCTGTGGCTGGCAGACGACGAGCAGGCCGAACTGATCGAGCGTCGCGAGAAGGAAATGCTGGAGAACGGGGAGTTGGACAAGGTGGTCAAGAAGCGTGGCGGCGGCAAACGCAAGCGCAATGTCGACGTGGATGGCAACGGTGCCAGCCTGGACGAGATGTACCACGAAGGTGAGTTTCGCCGTGTGCTTCCTCGTATTGGACGTCGTGGGAGAGTCGAGCTAACGGGTGGTGCAGGCGAGGGCAACTTCGACGACAATAAGGCGTCAGGAACAGCAACGCCGATCGAGGCAGCCACGACTGGCGGCGGAAGAAAGAAGCGTGTGAGCGTCAAGAAGGCCAAGACGACTAAGCAGCGTCTGGCCATTGCCGACGGACACATGGACGGCTGATTGCACTCCTGCCAGAGTGCGTTGCACACTTGTATATCACTGGCAGCGTGATCATTCGGTTGCGGCGATTTCTATTCCAAGGCTGCATGTTTTGCATCCAGATTTATTATTACTTTACAAAAATCGGGACATGGGAGTGGAATGGGACTGCAACACATGGGACGGTTTGGTAGAGACAAAATTTTGAGCCCGCCGGCTGGGAGATACTATTGTCAAGGTCGGGCTGTACTATTATATTGTTTCTGCTGTTCGAGGATTCTACCGATTCTATCAACGGGGCCCTGCAAAATCAGGGCGTGGCAGGGTGGCGTTCATGCTCGTTTCTTCTGTATCTGGCTGGGAAGAAGAGGAATATCAGACATTTGGTGATTGCGGTTGTCGGTGGGATCGTGGCAATGATGACCGATCTTAACGCCGGAGAAAGTCGGGTAGAGGGAACGAGACTCCATCCATGACAGATAAAGACGCAGAGAACAAGAAGACTAATAAAAACTAATTAAGTGAGTGGTGACCTGTACTCGTAGTGTTGAACGAATAGATTAAATACTGATAATTCCGGTGGGCGAAAAAAAGGCATTAGAATGCAAAAATGACAAGAGAGGGATTCGAACCCTCGCCCTTTCGGATTGGAGGAAATACACCTTTAAGCCCGGAGGACTTGAAAGCCTAAATCCAACGCCTTAGACCACTCGGCCATCTTGCCGTTGTATAATTTTTGGAGGCCCGCACATGTATAAGGGGTGTGTGAAGTGAGGGATTGGCATGTGCATTGTCTCACCCGAAGTCGCGGATTTTTGATGGCAAGATCAGGTTCGATCGAGCTCACATTACATACCATTGAAATCTTGCACGAAATACTTACATTATTCCCCTGAGACGAGTTGTTTACTTTTGCTTCTTGTATCTTACTACTTACAGGACAAGCATTGTACTAGCAATTCCAGACACGCAGTTCGTTAGATGAGTCTTCGTAACCGAAGACATATTCGGTGTTGATACTGTACCACAGGCCATGCACCCCAGAGAGGTCGCACGTCTTCATTTCCGACTTCGGAATAAGGTCCATTGTATCCGTGCTCGCATTTGTACTTATGCTCGATCAGAGCGACATGCGGAGGAAGACGTGATTTCCGGTCCTCTCTGGGGCATTTCTAAACAAAGTATTATCTCATTCGTGCTAGCTGTGGCAATGATCGTCCTGACTGCATGCTGAGTGGACATTGCTTTGCCCGATGTCGGCTCGTTTCCGAGTATGTCCGCAACGAGGTTGGCCGTAGAGACCGAGCTTGTGTGTTCCTATGTATCTTCTTGAAACCGGTATTTGTTTTAGCCCAAGTGTATATACCGCAATAGTGACATGGATGGTGTGAGGGGCAGATCTGATAACTTTAGTTCTCTGCACCCGGGGATTGGCTACATAGTATGGTCATTTACAGGACTCCACCTCTTTGGCGAGCATTTGCAAAAAGATGTAAGCCGGTGTGGAACACTCGTGTTCGTTGTTGTGTGAGATGCCAATTGCCATTGGTTTGGTTTGGTTCAATTTACTGTAATGAGATGGTGGGGCCAAAGACGGTGTGTATATCCGCCAAGTTTGTAAGATACTTTGCATGGACTGCTTGGAAAGCAGGATTGGTCACAAATCAATTGCGACAATCTGTACGTGGTGCTGCCAAAAACAGGAACGAGAAGGTGATAAGCGACGACGCTGTCGAAGGCAGTGACCCGCAGAAGGATTCGCAGGAAGCAGCGCGCCTGTTCTCGGCTATGTACGTAGTAAAGCCCGACAGAATGCGACCGGTGGCCGACGGAAGAGGTCGCATCAGCCACGCCGCCACGTTGAAAATGAAAGCCTCGGCGGCAGAGAACTGGGGAATGGAAAGAGGAAAGAACGACTGGCCGTCCGGTCAAGGGCAGCAGGAAGCCTCGACCCTGTACAATTCTTTTCGTTTGTCGTTTTCTCCTTGTTTCTTCTACTCGGTTCTTCTCTCCCTTTGTTCTAAAATCAGTTCTTTCTCTGACGCGGACAAACAACCTTGCCGTGCTATTATTACCCATCGACGAGTTATTACAGTCAACCCTGGCACGGCGTCATCCGCTAGCGAATCAGCAGGCCGGTTCCGTCAGTCTTCTAAGCCAAGCTTTTTGGCCTTTGCACGGATCTACCGGTATCCGCTCCATAAGCTTTGTTTCCTGTCAGCCAACCAGCACCGCCCTTCTGCTCAGCCCCAGTTCCTTGTTTAAAAATAAGCTTCTCTTTGGGCATCCTTCAAAGGCCCAAAAATGCACTACAAGCTGACGCGGGGGCGGAAATGGGCGCTCGTCTCATCTCTCATTGGCCCGCTTGCATAAAGGCGTTTTGTTTCTTTCGTCAGATGGGCCATCCAGTGGCCGGAGGCCGTGCAGCACGGCTAGCGGGGCTTACACCACCCGTCCCCATCCATATGACCGTGGCTGGTGTTCCGGAAGACTGCCCATCCGGCATGCCACTGGCAAGTCGACTGGACCTGCAGGGCCACGTTGAAGATGCCTATTTTCGTTTTGCTGCGCCAACGCAGCGCTAAAGACACAAAGGACCTGCTGGCAGTTGGCGTCAGACGGCTTCAAAGACGTGTGGAATACATGGCAGCACATGGGTGGCCGTCCAATTCTTTGTGCTGCTCGAGATCTTTGTGGTTGCTGCATATATAATGCCGCATCGTTCTCATTCTTTCTCCGTTGTTGTCTCATTCCATCCCATATTCCTCTTCTGTCAGACACTTGATCCTATTCTTTACAGCAACTTCCATCGTATCAACCAAAACAAGTCACCCACTTACAACATATCCGCCAACATGCTCTTCCGTCTTGCTTCTGCTGCAGCAACGGCCATTCTGCTCCTGACTGCCAGCGCTGCCCCGACACCGACACCCTCGAATTCCACCCAGACACCGGGTGATGGTTTCCCTAACCCCAATGCCACGCAGCTCGATGCCATCAACCGCCAGGCCGACGGCACTCTGTCCGACGCAGCCCCGCCAGCCAAGCTGTCCAATGACAGCCTGCCGGCCTTCCAGCTGATCGCCTTTAACGAGAACTTCGAGGTCGCCTTCTTCACGTCGCTGCTTTACAACGTCACCAACGACGTGCCTGGCTTCGAAGTGCCCTGGCCTGCCGAACGGGCCTCTCTCATAGGCGTGCTGAAGACTGTGCTCGCCCAGGAGGAGCTACATGCTCTCAACGCCGAGGGGGTGCTCAAGCACTTTGGCGCGTCTCTTGTGCCCGAACCCTGCACTTACACCTTTCCCACCACTCGTCTGGGTGATGCCATCGCTCTAGCCGAGACCTTTACCAGCGTCGTGCTTGGCACCCTGCAGGATGCGGCCCAACTGCTGGCTGAGAACGGTGATGCGGGTCCTGTGCGCACCATCGCCTCGGTCATTGGTCAGGAGGGAGAGCAGAATGGCTTCTACCGCAGCCTGCTGAACCGGAAGCCGTCGCAGAAGCCGTTTCTGACGACTAGCGTTGCGGCTTTTGCCTTTTCTGTCTTGCAGGGCTTCGTCGTCTCCTGTCCATTTGACATTGCCGACATCCCCATTCCCATCTTCCCAGCTCTGTCTGTTGAGAGCGGCCTGTCTGCTGGTGGTGCCGCCAACGTCGAGCCGATTGATCAGGACCTTACCTTCTCTGCCAACCTCACTGGCGTCGCCGATGCTGCCAAGCTGGTCGGAAATGCCACCGCCACTGAGGACTCGCTCTTCATCACCTACTTCACCGGCCAGGACAGCCCTCTCAGTGAGTCCATCACCAACGCATCCTGGGCTGGTGATGTCCTCACTTTTCATGCCGCTTTCCCCTACACTGATTTTGTTCTGGACGGCCTCACCATCGCCGCTCTGACTGTCGGCCAGAACTTCTCCAGCCCAGACGATGTGCCCGCAAAGACACTCGCAGCACCAGGTCTCATCCAGGTCAACGACCCGCTTATCTGAGTGAAATTGTCACCACTCCATCTCCTTCTCTTTCCTTATCTTTTATCCGGGTTTTCATTTTCGGTTTGTTCTGTCCATTTTCAAACCCAGGTTTCTTTATTTTCTTTCCTTGCATTTCGTAGGCTCGGCAGGTGGTTAGACACTTGGTACCATGCATTGGTGGTCTCCTTTATTGCATAACAACAGGGCGTTCTTTGGTAAACCATGAATCTATTAATTTCTAAAGGCGATGTGACTGCCATAATCCCGTATGCTTCAGTTGTGAATATCCAATAACCGTGCCGTCGTTCCGTAACCACATGGTCCAATATTGTTGCTTTAAGCTGCCCAAACGAAGCCAAAGAAAAAAAGAAGAAAAAAAAAGAAAAAAAAAGACAATAAACTGTTGGATATATTTGAACGCCGGGAACATGTGAAGTAAAAGTCAGTTATGAGATGACTCTCGGTCTATTTTCCGAAAAATTTGCGAAACTTCTCCTTCCCACTTGTATACCGGCGACGAATACCACTTTGCTGCGGATTATCAAAGACCGGGCTAACAGAGTTATTCATTGCCGTTCCGTATGCACTGCTAACACTGGTGCTTCTGATTTGCCGAGTTTCTGGACAAACAACAGAAACCCCAGAGAAAGTGGGTGTGTAAGGAATTTCGGAGACACCGGCAGTGATGTTTGGGCATTCCACTCCGGTGTTGTCAGAGAGGCCAAAAGACATGCTGATGTCTGATTCGTCAAAGTTTAAATATCCAAAGCCATCAGTCACGTCAAGAGGACTGGACAAGCCCACGTCATTGCTGCTACCAGAGCCACTGGGTAGGTCCATGGCCGCGCCTTGGGGGCTGCTGGAACGGGCTGGCAAAGTCTGCACACCAAGGCTGTCATAGACAATTCCGTCTGTGCGGAGGCTTGTGCTGTCACTTCCAAAGGAATCGGGCATGCCCCAGTGCCAAATGTTGTCAATGAGTTGACCGACGTGAAACTCAGTCGGTAACGGTCTCTGCGGGAGAGGGGAGGATATGCAGGTAGCTTCCAACGTGGCAGCTAGTTTGTCAACCGAGTTATCGTCTGTGCTTATGCGCGCCTCCAGCAGATTGCATGCATCTGGATGGTCTCGGGCGTCGTCGTATTCTTCGCAGACGGGGCGCTTCCCGGTCCTGGAGGCCGGTTTGGTTGAGCCACCTCCGACGTGGGTGACCTGAATGCTGGGCATCTCTGGTCCAGCGTTGTTCTGAATACTTGGAGGGAGGTCCTTGACTGAGGCCTCAAAGTAAAGCACGTTGAGGTGAGACCAAAACTCCTTCTTCAGGAAGACGCTGTTGTCGGGGCCAATGTGGACTTCCGAGAAGAGATTGCCATTGGGAAAGGTAGCCTTGGCCATGTGCCGCAGCAGATAGGCCAGGTGGTAGACGAGGTCGTTGCGCTTGCGGACCAACGACTCAGCCATTGGACCATCCATGGTCGTGTGGAAAAACAGCACCTGTTCCAAGGATATGGCCAGAAAGACGATCAGGTCGCGCGCCTTCTGCTTGGTCCATTTTAACTGCTTCTTGTTTTTCTCCAACCCGTTCTCGATAAAGGCAAGCAACCGGGAGGCGCACACGGCACGCAGAATGAGCAGGTCGCTCTCGACGAAGTTGACCCGCGGATCGTTTGCGAGCAGCTTGCGGCCCTGCAGCGCAATGTTGACCTGGTAAAAGGGCGAGAAGATCTGGTGGTTCTTCATGTTGTGGCTCTCAAAGAAGGACGTGTAGGCGCCCGAGTTTCCCACCTTATGGTCCGACAGCACCTCCATCATCAGTTTCAGATCAACGTCTCGATGAACAAATTCGTTGAATAGTTTGGTTGGTGAACACCCGTTGCGATCACGACGGTTAATTATATCTTTGGCCAACTTCATGTCCGCTTCGTTCAGGGCCAGGCCTATTGTCGGACTTGTTAGCATGTCAGGCGGGAAAGGGGAAAATGCAAGCAGAAGACTTACAGTCCAGGAAGATGTTCTTTCCGCGGATGATCGAACCGACACAGACCGGGAAAGAGCCGTCGGCCTGTTCACACTTGTCGCAAGGGTCATGACACTGGACAGGGTAAGGTGACTGTCAGTACAGACAAGTACAGCATAGACACAGGAGTGGAGGAAGAGGAGGCTTACTCTTTTGTGAGCAAGATAGCAGGCCAGACAGGCTCTTTGATTTCCATTGCGCTTCTTGTTTTGATGCGCGTTTTGCGAAGCGTCCAAAGTTTCCGACGGTCCCCGCTTCAGGTGTCGGTTGGAATAGACATGACGAGCGCCACCGCCCGGGATGTCTAGTTCTCGGTAAGTATGAGCACTAAGATCATAGGCGCTGTTGGAAGGAGAGCCATTGTGGGGGGTGGAGCGGTTGTAGGACAGAGGACTTGGTGCAGAGGATATTGGAGAAGGGTCATCTCTCCAGATGCTGTTTATCGATGCAGCACTGCCTCTGTGGCTTACGGATTGGACCATGGACGGGGAAGTGCTTATTGAAGAGTGATCCGCATCAAGAGTAAAGATTGTCGTACGATAGTTACTGTATCCAGGTGACAAATCAGAGTGGTTTTCGTTGGCATCGGACCACGACCCGGGGGCTACATTATGCAAGTCATCGACAAATAACGCCGACGAGTTGGCGTGGTTCAAATTCCCAGCACCCATCATGAGAGAGGTTTGAGAAGGAAACCCGACACCACCCATGCCATCAAGCACTCCAGGGGGTTGGTGCATTGTTTGTGGCGTGTTCGGGTCGCTGAAGTTGCCGACAGAGTTTGGAGTGACAGGCGAGTAGGAGGGTGTGTATGGTTGAGATTGCCCCGGAGTATGAACTGGGGAAAAGGTGTTGTCTATGGTCATGGACGGAGTCGCAAACATCGATCTCTGGCGCAGGGTTTCTTGCTCGTACGAAGACCATGCGTTCCCAACATCGTACATATAGTTCCTCTGAAAGCCTCCGTTCTGACTTGGGGGGTTGAAGAGGCCCTGGCTGCCGCAATAGGCCGTGTCCGTCTGATGATTGGAAGAGACTTGAGACCAAGGAAAAGGGTTGGCAAGAAGCAGACCACCACTGGGCATGGACCCTGAGAATGACGGAGGCAGTTGGGAACTGCTGAGAAGCCTGTGGTCCGATTGAGTGCCCATCAGGTCCGCGAAGCCTTTCTCGGCCGCGGTGGCATCTTGAAAGTGGGGTTGATGCAGATAGCCACCATTGTCGAGGGGGATGGAATACGCATTGTGTGAGTCCGGGATGCGGAGGCGTGGCGGAAACGGCTTGTTGCCATCGGAGACAGAGCTCAGACAACGGGTTTGCTCCTGACTATGAGGAGGTAGAGTAGCGCGTACCATGAGGATGATAGTGGTGGGTGTGAAGCAACAGGTTTGGTGGGATGGTCGAGAAGGCAATGTTGAGGCGAAGAATGAGAGAGAAAGTAGAAGAAAGAGTGCAAGAATTGGAGCGGCCACAAGAATCTGGCTGGAGGCAAGAAAAACCCAGCTCAGCTAACCACAGGAGGCGAAGCTGGGAGAAGAGGAGGGACAGGACGAGGTTTGATCTGCCTTGGGCACTCTTTATTCTCATCTGGTGGGTTGCAATACCACGAACAGTCCGCCTCAAGAGCAGCCGCAACTCTCGGGGCGGAGCGTGTTAGTGAGTATTTAGTGCTGGCCGGTAGGGTTTAGGCGCTAGGAGAGTCCACTATTACTGGGCCAGAACGGGAAGCGCCTTTTCGGCCGGCCAATGAGGAGCCGCGGTTCAGCCTCTCTACACGGTAGGCCTCCGGGATGGTTGCCTGGCGCAGTTGGGGGGTAGAATCTGGGCAGCTGCCGTGCTTTGGACGCGTCAAGGTACAGAAACAAGGCGAGGATGCCTGGATGCCTTTTATCGAGTAGGCGACCGAGCAGGCGGCTTTTTCCCAGAGGCCTGCGACACTTGTGGCTGACCAAAGAGCAAAGCAGAAAAAGTGGGACGCACTCGGGAGACGTGGAGGGGAAAGGGGAATTGAACGAGACAATGGGAGGCTGTGCGGCGAGAAAAAGCAAGCAGAGGGAGGTGGACAAGACGCAAACATATACTCTGGCCGACCTGCTTCTTGTTGTAGGCGCATTTTCCTTGTCGAGCTGACCTCGTGGCCGACCGAAGGAGCGGCTGCTTGTGGCTGAGGAGGCTGTACGGCGTACAGGATTGCAACTACTGCGAGGTAAGTAACTGCTGGTGGGGTCCAATGCACTTCGCCTCGGCGACAGAGAGTACGAGTACTCCGTACGGAGCTGCATTCCTGCTTGAGATGAGTTTGGGCTGTACTCCGTAAATACATTGGAAGTTCGTTTGGGTTGGGTCCCGGAAAATGTCGAGAGGCTTTCACTAAAGGACCCCTAAACCGCCGAAATAATCGGCAAAGAGCCCATCTGAATCATACAATTGCAATGAGGGCAATGAGTCGTCAGTTGCAACTAAAATTTAGACCTTGTGCGATTGACATACTCTGTACTGAGTACGGAGGTACTACCAGCCGATTAGTCGCATAGGCCCACTTACAATTTCATACTCACATTCAACATCCGACATGGTGTAATGGCTAACATCGGTCGCTCTCACCGACCAGCTCGGGGTTCGATTCCCCGTGTCGGAGCTAATCAATTTTTTTTGCACTTTTCCAAGCATACATAGTAGAATGATCAACGTCTGTCATTTCACAGAGCTCCATGTAGAGCTTAGGTTGCAGTGCGTATCAAGTATCTGGCGACTTTGTCTCGTCCTGGTAAGACGGACTTTTATGTGCCGAGGCCTGATTGATAAGCACATTTCATGAACTAATATTGCTGCACGATTGCGTATACCAACAAGCAATTAGTCATCGCAACGATTCCACGGCGTATAAAACGGCCAACACCAAACTGCGTAACTCTAGACGTTCCACTCGATCATCCGTTGTATCCTAAACACAATGTCTCACAGTCAACCCAAGCTCGTATACGGCGCCGCCACGATAGCCAGCAACTATGGCTTCGACACGGACGACAAGGTGCAAAGCTTCCTGGACGTCGTTGCGGCGGTCGGCATTGACACTCTCGACACGGCGCTGATCTACAGCGACTCAGAAGAGGTGCTGGGAAAGGCCAAGGCGGCGTCACGGTTCCGGATCGACACCAAGTTCCCGGGTGGCTTTACTTCCGGTCCGATAACGAAGGAGAGCGTTGTCGAGGCCGGCAAGCAGAGTCTGAAGAAGCTGCAGACGGCCAGTGTGGGTGACTGTCATCCTTCCTCTCTCGCTGCACACGGCTGACTCTGTTCCAGGTGGACGTGTTCTACCAGCACGCCCCGAGCCCGCAGGTGCCGCTGGAGGAGACGCTGGCCGGCATTGACGAGCTGTACCGGGCGGGTGCTTTCAAGCGCTTTGGCCTGTCCAACTTCACGGCCGCCGAGGTTGAGGACGTGATCCGTGTGGCCAAGGCGCACGGCTTCGTGCTGCCGACCGTGTACCAGGGCAACTACAACGCGTTCAGCCGCCGGATCGAGGCCGACCTCTTCCCGGTCCTGCGCAAGCACGGCCTCGCCTTTTATGCCTACAGCCCGAGTGCGGGCGGCTTCCTGGCCAAGACGGCCGACGTGCTGCGACAGAACAGCGGCACCGGCCGCTGGGACGCCGGGAATCCGCTGGGCCAGCTGTACACGGGCCTGTACGTCAAGGCGCCGCTGCTGGACGGGCTAGACGCGTGGAACGCCATCGCCGGGGCTGAAAACGTCACCGGCATCGAGCTGGCGTACCGCTGGGTGGCACACCACTCGCGGCTGGACGGCACGCTCGGCGACGCCGTCATCGTGGGCGCGCGCACGCCCGAACAGCTGCGCGAGAGCGTCGGCTGGATCAAAAAGGGACCCGTCAGCACAGCAGCCGCGGCCAAGATCGACGCGCTCTGGGCTTCGATCGCGGCCGATGCACCGGTCGACAACTACAACAGCTTCTTTAAGCAGACGGGGTCGAAGCTGGCCTGAGACAGATGCTTGTGGCTGAAGGAATGCAGCCAATTTGGAATAGGATTAGCGTAGGATTCTGCTTCTGTTCTATATATTCAGCTTGTGTGCTGTAGTCTTGAAACTTGAGCCCTGGCCTTGCCAAAACATACCATTTGCAACAACAATGAGAGTGCTACGAGAAAAACAGACATTGGATGTGCAGGTGGCACGATGGTGTCCGGAGCGCGTGTTTGTTGAGCTTCTCATTCCTGAGGATGTCCATGCCATGACCCAAATTGTCTTCCGCACCGAGTCTCACGATCAAGGTAAGTGGCCAGAATACGTGCTGCTTTGTAGGAAGCAGTGACTAAGACCCGGTCTAGGTTACAGCGAAGAGAAAGTGCTCCACGGCACGTACGAAGGTTCCTTTACCTGGCTTGAGGCCGTTGTCGTCAGTCCGAGCGGCCACGAACGCTGTCCCCGGAGGACGGTTCAGTACAATGTGCACGCGAGCTCTGCCTACAGGCGCCACGAGGTCGTCTGGGACGCGGTTGCGAGCGCGGATGCGGCGGTGCGTGACTGGGTAAGGGCCGTACGTGGCGGCGACGCTGTGCAGCTGATCCCCAAGGCGCAGTGGCCGGGCTGGATCAACTTTGTGCGCGAGGCCGAGATCGAGATTCGGGTGGTCAGTGGGCTTAGTCAGCAGATTGTGACCGGGAGGCCGTCATGCTACCGGCCGCTGCAGGCGACGGAGATGCGGCTGCTGGTGCTGGACAGCGGAACAACAGATGCACCGCTAAGCTGCACGCTGATGCATGCAGACGTGCGTCGGCAGCCGGTGGTGGTGCCGCCGTACGAGGCGCTGTCATACTGCTGGGGCGACTCGCGGAAGACGAGGGAGATTGCGGTGCGGCGGGATGCTGAGTCATCCACTCCGGTGCAGCTACGGATCACGTCGGCACTGTTTGCGGCGCTGCAGGCGCTACGCCGGTCGACTGGGCCCGGCCGCATGCTCTGGGTGGACGCCGTATGGATCAACCAGGACGACCTGGACGAACGATCGAGCCAGGTGGCGCTGATGCGCGACATCTACCGGCAGGCGGACCAGGTGGTCGTGTGGCTGGGCGAGGGCGATGCAGCGACACATCAGTCGATCGAGGTAGTCAACGCGATTTGCAAAGAGTACGAGCGACAGCTGGAAGCCGACACAGATGTGCTGGCAGACCGGGACAGACGATGCGGTCGGCCTCGCGAGCCCTCATCCCGCCCATCTTCAACGCGCTCTTGGATGCGCGGGAGGTGGCTTCCCGGGACCGTCACACGCTCGCCATTCTCGACGTGCTCGTGCTGGGCCTCGACCTCGACGTCTCCGACCCGCGCGACACGCTCTTTGCCATGCTGCAGTTCGGCCGCGAGACCGCCGATCTGGCCGTCCTGCCGCCGGCCGTCAAGCCCGACTACCGCCGGCCGACCCCCGACGTCTTCGCCCTGTTCACGCGCTGGTGGATCGCCGAGCACCGGTCGCTGCGCATCTTCTCGGCCGTCCACGCACTCGAGGGCCGCACCTGGCAGGAGACGCGCTGGCGACAGGGCTGCACGCCGTCGCTCGTCATGCGTGACCTCCCCAGCTGGTCCTGGGGCTATCGCGGCCACAGCAACTGGGCCACGGGCCTGCTCGGCCTCCCGGAGGACTGCCCCTACCGTGCCTCTGGGGACTCTGTGCCTGACCTCGAATGGCTGCAGCGCCCGGCCTCGAGGGTCTGCATCGGGCATTTGTGGGCATTTTTGACCCCCTCAATCTGACCGGCAAGTGGCTCCACCAGCTCAAGTCACAGCACGACCAGAACTACATCGACACAGAGCCTCAGGGTGTTCGAGGAAGACGACCGCCGTGGCGTGCATCAGCCGCTGCTTCTTCACGGCAGAGGAGGGGTTTGTCGGCTTATGTCCGTTTGCAGCGCAGACGGGCGACTGGATCGTCGTTTTGAGCGGCGGTCGGGTACCGTATATTTTGCGGCCGCGGGACGAGAGTGGCCAGGAGCAGCACTTTATCGGGGAATGCTATGCGCAGGGGTACATGGAGGGACAGGGCGTTGAGGGGCCTGGAATGGATTCGCAGTCTGTGTTTTCTCTGATGTAGACAGGGAGCCACCTATTGCGCCAACTGTTGAACGGCTGACTGCAATGCCTCAATTAGCATTTCTCTGATACGCCAGTCTTTCGCCTGCCCCTGCTGCCTGCATATTTGGCCTCCACCGTGGCGCAGCATGATTCGACGGATGAGCAAGACCGGGCATCAGGCATAAAAATCGTAGCTGCTGATGCGTTTTTTCTTTTTTCTTTTACCAGGTTTCTTTACCAGCGGATTTATTTTACATCAACAAACTTCCCAATGAAACGGTACTGGTCGTACGAAACCAAACGTCGTACATCGGCGAGCAATCTGTGCAAAAAGTGTCAGAAAATACCATTTCGGAACCTTCGTGATACCCCAGGCCCGTGTGATCTCAAGCTCAATATTACCCTCAAAACTTTCCAGGCGTTACGTGGCCGGTCAAATTGCGTCCTCTGCACGTTTGTACTAGCTATAAATAAAGAGAAGTCTTCTTTTTATAGGTTTATATGCAGAAAGAGCCACTTTACCTTATGTGCTAAAAATGTCAGCTTCTGGGCTGACGACCCGATCGTGGTCTTTACGGCCTGTGAGGGAAAATCTACAATATACCGGCAAATCACAAAGCCGCAAATAGACCCAAGTTTGATTCAGGAATGGCTGGACACTTGCCTCGCCCATCATGCCCAGTTGTGCCCAGCACCAACTCCGCCAGACTCAGCCCTACACACGACGCACTTTCGCCTTATCGACGTGCGCCGATTCTGCATCGTACCAGCATCGATCCAGGACTCGTACGTAGCGCTTAGCTATGTCTGGGGCGAGACAGAAAACATCAGTCTAGAGAATAGCAACAAAGAAGATCTTACGCGGGAGGGAGGGCTCTTACGACAAAATGTCTGGGGCCAAATCCCCGATACGATCCGTGACGCCATACAACTCATGAGAAAACTGGGCCTGCAGTACCTATGGGTGGACTCACTCTGCCTAGTACAGGACGATCCCACTGACATGACGGGGGGCATACAGATGATGGACGTCATTTACGAGCAATCGCTCTTTACCATCATAGCCGCAAGTGGAACCGATGCGAACAGCGGCTTGCCTGGCGTGAAATATGGATCTCGCTTGACGTCGCCAATGTGTGAGCTGGAGCCAGATCTTTGCCTGCTGCGGGTAAAAAACTGGAAAAGAGATCTCTCCCGTTCGAAGTACAGCGAAAGAGCATGGACGTAAGTCGAGCGCGCACTCAGCATCCAATTACTCTTGATTTGAATAAGATGTTTAATCAGTTGCGGGCAGGTTGCAGGAATATGCACTTTCTCGTCGGCGCCTTATATTTCTCAACGACATGGTGTACTTCAATTGCCGAACATGCTCTTGCTCTGAAGACGTTGTCGGCATGCCGGAGTGGGATGGAAAGTATGCTGATGTAGCACAACTCGATGACCCACGTCGCAACACCTTTGAACTGTTTTCTCTGATTGTTGGAACCTACGGCGAGCGACAGCTGTCTAAGCAGGAAGACGCTCTCAACGCTGTAGCGGGAGTCTGCGAGCGGCTAGCACGTAGGATGAAGTGCAAACTTCTACAAGGACTACCAACCGCTGCTATGGACCTATATCTGCTCATTAACGTTTGGAGAAGAAAGCGGAGGCCCGGCTTCGCTAGCTGGTCCTGGGCCGGCTGGACCGGGGGGGTCTATTTTGATCCTTCTCCGAATCTGCCACCGGATCAGATCAGCGCCTGGCTGGCCGAGGAAACCTGGATTGTGTGGTACCAACGGACGTGCAAGCCGGACGGTGCGGTGCTCGGACTAGTGTGGGATCCGGCCGAGAGCGCGGGCGAGCGAGGAGATATCAACTACGGCGACAACCGGAGGACTTTCCAGCAGGTCATTGCTCGTTGTGGTCTAGAAACGAGCTTTGACGATCTTGACACGTGGAAGACGCAGCCGTCAGTGGATCTTGCTTCCGAGTCTATTATTCCCTCTGCATATCCAGTTCTCCAGTTTTGGACGCTGGTGGTTAGCTACACTCTGACTTCGAAAATAGGCTTCTATGGCCTGAGTGGCCAATCCGGCGACGAGAGTGGCGCTATTTTGGGGGACTGCTTGCATTATACACTTATTCCAAGCGTAGCTGGCCAGTTCGCCATCCTCTCTAGGGTCTCTGATATTCACGCTGAAAAAACAGAGACTCAAATTTACAAAGATATTTGCTCGCGGTCCGAGATCGTGGCGGACAACATTATGTTTTATGCCCTTTACATTGAGTGGGAAAACGGTGTGGCCGAAAGGAGGTGATTCACTTATATACGTGCAGAATGCTTGACCGATTCGCTCTCTCCGCCCGAGTGGAAAGAGATCGTGCTTGGGTGAGGGGTAGTTGAATGAGTGGACATTAGTTTTCAAGCGAGGAAGCGATACTAACGAAACCTGATCTGTGATCTATTATTGAGATGGCGCAAGGTGGTGTTGGCAGTGGATCCGTTATCTGTGTGACGTATGCACGGGCCATCTGGCAGAGATTTTGGTCTGCTGCCTGTTTGGCTGTTTGGCTGCAAGGATGCAGCGACGTGCTGAAACAGCACAGAGCGGTTGTGCTTGGGCCGGACAGGTGTGGCACAAGGACAGTGGATACGGAGGGATCTGGCAGCAGACGGGTGGTCGAACCAAGAAGCGCGAGGGTGCGCCGACGTGCATTCAGTGGGGATCGGGCAGCAATAGAGTGGTGCTGTTCCACATCTGCTGGCGTCGGCTCAGCTTTGATGGCACCCTAGGCCAGAGCGAGCGGGTGTCTGGGTATCCGCAGCGGTGGCGTAGGGAAAACAAAAGCGAGCGTGGCGGCACGCCCTCTCCAGGCAGACCGTCCGGCATCACAAGCACGCTGGCGATTCCGCCCACAAAAAATGGAGTGCACCCAGCGGCAGAGTCCAGCTGGCTTTGGCCTGACGGTGGCCGCCAGGACGGCCAGGACTGCGAGGAGAGCAGGCCGTGTCTGCATTGACCGCTTCGGTATCTACCTCAACTCCAGAGCAAGAGGCACAAAGAGCACAAAGAGCACAAGAAGCACCGGAAGCACCGAGAGCCGGATGTGGTCGCTGCGCAGAAAGTTGACGTCTCGTGTTGTAGGCACAGCCCGGGGCGACGTCGACGACCCGGCGCCATCGAGCATGCCGAGCATGCCGAGCATGCCGAGCCTGCACCTGCCATGGCACCTCGACCGGTTGCGGTTCCGGATCCGGTTGCCGGCCTGGCCGTTTGGCCGCTTGGCCGTCTGGTACCTGCTGACGGGCATGCTGGCAGTCGGCCTGCTGATGGTCTGGCTGCTGGCGGCCTGGCTGCTGGAGCGGCCACGAACACGCCGCCATGCCCCGGTCGACCCGGAGAGCTGTCTGGTCGACGCGCTCGAGGACGCGGTCGAGCACGGCGATGGACCCGGCACCGAGCGGGCCATCGAGCAGGGCGTCGACATCGACCACGTCTACAGCGACGGCCTGACGGCCCTGCACCTGGCTGCCGAGTACGGCCACGTCGACGTGGTGCGCGTGCTGGTCAAGCACGGTGCCGCCTTCAAGACGGGACCCATCGGCGCCACGCCGCTCTTCTTTGCCGCCCAGCGAGGCCATGCCGACATCACCCAGCTGCTGCTCGACCATGGCGCCGACACTACTGCTACGCTCTACAACGGTTACACCCCGCTGCACCTGGCTGCCCAGAACGGCCATGCCGAGGTCTCGCGCCTGCTGTTTGTGCATGCTGCCGGCCTCGAGACCGTGACCACGACCGCTTCCGCTTCCACGTCCGCGTCTACGCCCACCCTCTCTCCCCTTCACCTGGCCACCTACTTCCGCCACACCGCCGTCGCTGCTGCCCTTTTACAGGCTGGCGCCAGCCCCAACGTCATCGCCGACGACGACGTCGCCCCGCTGCACGTCGCCGCCCAGACCGGCTGTGCGGACATTGCCCGTCTGCTGCTCGAGCACGGCGCCGACATTCACGCCCTGTTCGACGACGCGTCCACGCCACTGCACGTGGCCGCCCGTGCTGGCCATGCCGACGTTGCCGCTTTGTTACTGCAGCTGCACGCCGACATCCGTGCCCGCTCCGATGACGGGTCCACGCCGCTGCATGAAGCTGCTAGCACTGGTCACGACGATGTTGTCGGTCTGCTGCTGCGCCACGGCGCCGATATCCATGCCCGCCAAAAGGACGGACCCATGCCGCTGCATCTCGCTGTCGTTGCCGCCCACACGGCCGTCGTCCGTCGGCTGCTCCGTTCCGGTGCCGATCCCAATGCGCCTGGTGACGATCAGGGCACCACGCCCATCCATCTTGCCGCCCAGACCGGCTGCGTGCCCGTTCTCGCCCTCCTCCTCGCCTCTACTCACTCTACCACACCCCCCAACTCCTCTGTCAACGCCCGCCGCGCCGACGGCCGCACTCCTCTCCACTTTGCCGCCCACGAAGAGCGTCGGCTGGCCGCCCGCCTGCTGCTCGCCCATGGCGCCGCCGTCAACCCCATCGACGACTATGACGCCACCCCCTACGACGAGAGCATGCGCCAGACCCAGACTGTCGCCGACCTGCTCGTCTGGCACGGTGGCCGCCCCGTCGACACGTCACGGCCCGGCCTCAAGCGCCTCGGCGATCCCGCCACTCAGGATGGTCACGTGATCCGACACGCAACTGACATCTATATGCTGGAAGACCAAGACGATGACGGCGACGACAGCAACGAGAAGATGTCGCTGCTGCACGCCGCCTACGAGGGCGACAGCGCCGTGGTGGAGCAGCTGCTCCGCGCCGCGACAGCGGACCCCAAGGTCCAGCGCAGTCTCGACGGTGCCACCGCTCTGCACCTTGCCGCCCAGCAGGGTCACGTGACAGTCGTGAAGCTGCTGTTGGAGAATGGCGCCGATGCGAGCAGCAAAACGCTCGACGACACGACAGCGCTGCACCTGGCGGCTTACTACGGCCACGCCGACGTCACGACAGCACTGCTGCAGCACGGCGCAGCCGGCACGGCGTGCAACGCCGACGGGATGACGGCGCTGCATCTGGCCGCGCAGCAGGGCCACGAGCCGGCGGTGACGCTGCTGCTGACGGAGAGCGACGCCGATGTCGATGCTGCCACTCGCGGAAACACGACGCCGCTGCACCTCGCAGCTGAGAGCGGCCACACTGGCTGCGTGGGCCTCCTGCTGGCCGCCGGTGCCACCGTTTCGGCCGTCACCCGCGATGGTGTCACACCCCTGCACCTGGCTGCTCAGGGCGGCCACGAGGCCACGGCGGCTCTCTTGGTTGAGCATCAGGCCGACGTGCGCGCGCATGTCCGCCGCACCGGCGCCACGCCCTTGCACCTCGCGGCCGCCCGCGGACACAGCAGCGTGATGAGGCTGCTGACGCGCAGCGGTGGCGCCACACACGCCGAGCGCGAGCCGACCGATGGGCCGACTTGACGCGCAGAAACGAGACTGGCCAATGCCACACCCAACAGCACTTGTACATACAGACACAGGACTGAAGTTTTTGTTTTCTGTTTTCTTTCTTTTTTTTTTCTTTTTTTTTCTTTTTTTCTTTTTTTTCTTTTTTTTCTTTTTTTTCTTTTTTTTCTTTTTTTTCTTTTTTTTCTTTTTTTTCTTTTTTTCTTTTTTTCTTTTTTTCTTTTTTTCTTTTTTTCTTTTTTTCTTTTTTTCTTTTTTTTCTTTTTTTTCTTTTTCTTTTCTTTTTTCTTTTTTTCTTTTTTCTTTTTTTTCTTTTTTTTTCTTCTTTCTTTTTTTTCTTTTTTTTCTTTTTTTTCTTTTTTTTCTTCTTTCTTTTCTCTTCTTTCTTTTTTCTTTTGTCCTCTCTCTTTCCTATTCCTCTTTCACGAGAACGCACGACAGCACATGGGTATGGACTATTCGGCACAGGAGACAGCAAGACGTGGAACCGCTTGGCAATGTCTAGATTGGAGTTCCGGGTTACTTAGGGTTCTTTTTTCTTTTTCTTTTTCATACCAAATGCAACTACTTTCTCCCCGCTAGTACGGCACAAACGTCTCCCAGCCGTCCCAGAGGCTGACTAGCAGGCTGCGCTCGCCCTTCCACGGTGTCCGCGCGTGCTGCACCGTGTAGTTGTCTACCAGGGCGACGTCGCCGGCCTGCCACGGCACCAAGAACCGGATGTCCTCCTGGATCTGCAGCAGCCGCTCCAAGTCGGCCGTCGGGATCGCCGTGCCGTCGCCAAACGTCGTCGGCAAGTGCACGCCGCCATCGATGCCGCGGTGCGGTGGTGCCAGGGCCTGTCGGTCGCGCTGCCGTCCGTACACGCCCGAGAGACCGTTGAAGAACGTCGGCCGGCCCGTTGCTGCGATCCGTCGGATCGCCGGCAGCCGCTGCAGCACGTACAGTGCCCCGTTGGCCTGCCACTCGCCCTCGGCCTGCTGCCGCGTCCGCAGCACGGCCTCGACCTTGCGACGCTGTGTCGCCGTCGAGTCGCCCTCGACAATGTCAAAGCCGTACGAGTCCCTCCGGTTCCACCCGATCGTCTTCGCCTCCACGTCTGCCTTGGCCGGAAAGTACTGCCGCCCGATGATGCCCTTCGCAGCCAGGTCTGCGATAAACGCGGGAAGCTCGGCCACCAGCCGGTCGTACAGCTCCAGCGACGACAGCAGTGGCGTCTGTCCGCCCTCCGTCGGCACCTTTTCCGCGTGAAAGAACAGCGCCCCCGGGAAGTATGCGCTGCGCCCGTACTCGTTGTGGAAGTAGAACCGCACGTGTGCTGGCTCCTCGTTGGCCGTCTTGACCAGCGGCGTGATCGTCGACCGCTTGCCCGAGAGGCCGACCTCGACGTGTGGCCTCGGCAGCCCGAACGATCGCACAAGTCGGTCCAGGTCCGCCGCACCGTCCACCGGAAAGCCCCGAAACAGGATCGCTCCGTCCGCTACTTGTCAGCTGTGCAGAGACTAGATCGGCGTGATGCTTGCTCACGATCGCGCAGGAGCTGCTGGAACATTTGGCCGTCCGCGAGCTGCTGGAAATGCGCCGCCGCTTCTTCAACAGACCCAAACTCTGTCCCGCTCCTAGGCCGGATCCCGAGCGGAAAGACCTTTCCGTGCACCAGCCGGCTCCCGGCGATCTCAAACGTCTCTAGCAGGGAGCCGGACAGGTCTACAGCTTGCGTGGCCATTGGGATACCGGGTGAGGGTGTAGGGGCTATGGTCTTCTTTGTTTCTTACGACAGCAAGCGTTCATCAATTTCAAGAAAGTCTCTTAAACGATCTTCGCTCTTTCCCGTCACATCGCTGCGCGAGGAAGCGGAATCGGCGTTGCGGCATAAGCATCCCCAATGATACCATCGACGTCTCAGAGAGTCACGTGACTGATGGAAATGGATCAACGTCCCTTAATTGCGCCGAAAAACTTGCGATCACATGACCAAAATGTCTCCACTTTTGTCTGCCAAGATGGCACCTATTAAACAACATTCTGTCAGTGACATGTAAATTTCGAGAAAAACACCAGTCGTATACCTCAGCTGCACACTGTCGGTGAATAGTAGCAGCGTTATGCAAGGTGCCATTTGCATCCGGTAGAAAAGGGTGCCTGTTGAAATGCCGACTAAAGATCTCAAGAAGGGTGTTTTTGTCTTCTTTTGAGGAAACCTCAAGTCTCTCCTTCTCGTCTAGAGACTCAGTCCGTACTGTACAGCTGCAAGTATTATACCGATGTGGCCCATCTGGGCGCCGAATTGGCAAGGAGCCCCAGCATATCTCCAAATGAGGTACTAGTTGCTGGGCTTCTTCTAGGTGGTACTTGCTTTAAGTGTTGGTCTTTGCCGAGCTATTGATTTTCGTTCTAATAGCTCTTTTGGCGTGCCAAAAACATAGCTGAATCGTTGCCTCATTGAATGTGCTTTGAATAGCAGATATCTCGGATTGATCCTTATCGCAGCCAAAGAAGACGGGCTGCATACCATAGCCTTTTAGCGTAGCTAAAAAGGCTTTAAGAATAGCTGTAATAGCTCCAGGTTCAGCTTCTTTTTTGCCTTTTTTAAAGGGCAAAGTCTAAAGAAAAAGATACGCTAATGGCATACCCGTTCCATCAACTTCAACCAACACAGCAAACAAATCCATTGCCGCGTTATTTGTGCCAAATGTTGAATCTATCGAGGCTTCTTTTGCGCTTTGGGCTAGCATTTTGATGGTTTTATTAATAAACAATGCTAGGCCTCGACAATTACCGTGAGTATATTCAAAAGATTTGATAGCAGCTGGGTACTCAAGAAGAAGCTTCTGTGCAGAGATATACTGGTCTTTATCACGGTTCCACAGACGTTTGTTTGCTTTCCGCCAGCGGTAATAGATCTGTGCTTGTGTGATAGTTTGGAAGCTAGAAATCTGCCAAGATTAGAAGTCGTGGTAGATCTCTGAGGGCGTGCGAGAGGCGGTCTAGCTTTTAATAAACTCTATCGCTTCTAGCGTTAATTTAATATTAACGTAGGACGGATGGTGCTTGTGCTGAAAAGAAGCATTTAAAGTAGAGTTGTTAAAGTCTACTAAAAACCCGAATCTGCCATTATATGTATATCTCTTCCTTTTCCGGCCATCTCGTTGTGCTTCTTAGATTTGACGGTCAAGTGCAGCATCCTAGGCACAGCGGAACCGAAAGGAGACTGTACTGGCATTGCTGTATTTGCTTTTGTGCAAAAGCCTGTACCCGCCTATCTTCCAAAGCAGATCTGCTAGATCTGTGATCACAGTTTGATTTGTCTCCGAATCCGGATTAGAGTTGTCAAAAGACATAGGCAGATCAACAAGTCGAAAGGTATAGTCGGCAGAACAGTCAATAGAGTCCTCCTGCTTTGTATTAGTATATATTTACAGGTAAAACATTAACAAAACGTACATTATCCTGCCAGTCTTCAACCTCTGCAAGAAAGTCTTCCCAATCGGTAAAAGCCACAGCCTGTACACTAGCCTTTCTTTTCGTGCTATGCTTAAGGCAGGTTTTTTTTCAAGCTGCCGCTTAAACTGGCACCAAATTCGGAAGCAGGAAGCTCTTTCCGGCACTTGGATCAAAAGCTCACGCCCAAAGACGCAGGGCCAGGTAGCGCAATAGCAGGATCGTCTATATAATAGTATTAGAGAGGCCCTAGTAAAGCAAGAAAAGGCTGTACTTACTATTAGACATTTTGGCATACTAGTAAAACGCAATTGGTGTGCGCCGGCGCTGTTGTGCAGGGTGGTGCAGGGTCAGGGTGGTGCAGGGTGAATAAAGATGATTAGGGGGGGCTGAAAAAAAAAAACGGGGGCGCGAACGCGCGATAAAAGTAAACAAAACAAAATATTTGTCAGAAATGTCACGTTTCTAGTCATGTGATCGCAAATTTTTCGGCGCAATTAACGAACGATAAATGGATCGCCTGTCAACTCGACGCAGCGGGGAGAGCAACTATGGGTGCGGACATGCGGAATCTCTACAGCCAGGACTGGCTGTGAGTTGACACCTAAGAAGCGGCATTTTGCTCTGCTGGCAAAAGGAGGTTGTCGGGCAGTACTCGTAACCAGCACAAGTAAGCACTGTACTTAATCCGGTGTATCGTAGAACCCGAATACTACGTAAAGTGGGTGGCTCCCGATATAGCTTCTAATTATCGCCTGTGAGTCACTCGACCCGTCCAAGTGGCTTCAATATATGCCAACGCAGACATACATTGTCCCCCTGCGGCTTTTCCTCTTTCGACCCCGTGACCACATCCAAATCGTCGTGTGATAGTTGGCACGGGGCATACGAGTACGACAAGCCACCCTATCGGGTTGGCTGTTCTACGAATTACATGCAGGCCCGTATTTCGGGTTTTAAGCGCAAGAAACATGCTGTATGCGAGTGCGAGTGCACAGTTTATAAAGCACTGTACGCACTGTATATTTCACTCTGAGGCTGACTTTTGAAGCAAGACGCTAAAATATGATCTAGGTACAGAGATAGGTGAGAGGAGAAAGAGACGGGAGAGCATACGCGTTTGGCATAGATAAAACTAAGACTAGATGTATGCCCTCTTAAGATAAGAGAGGTTAAAAAGACTATATTTCGTTTCCTCCGGGTAATCAGCTGAGCTGGCCCGCCAGCATCAACGTTTTCATGCGAAAAGTCATCTGAAGACGGACACCTCCTTTGTCCCAAACGCAGGGCCTTGTGCATCTGGCCTGTTTCGGTTGACCGTTGTGAGGTTCGCCTCTTTCGACAACCATTAGCAGAAGGGAGATTGAGCACCTGAGTACACTGAAGCTTTCCTTTGCTATGCGGAGTACACCCCGCTTTGGCCAGAACGATTTATTTTAGCAGGCTGTTTGCCGGGCTTTTCTTTGCTAGCATCGGCCCAATTATCATTCAATCGTCCGACATGGTGTAATGGCTAACATCGGTCGCTCTCACCGACCAGCTCGGGGTTCGATTCCCCGTGTCGGAGCTCAAATTTCATTTTTGCACTCCGAATAACAATCGCGGGTGTGTTTTTTTTCAACCGAATTTAGCTATGAATCGAACTTAAAGGAAACCTGCAATTATCTCTACGCAAAGGCATTTTCTCAAACAAGAAGGCCCTGGTGACCCTTGTATTGGCAAAGACTGTCACCCAGGGAGCTCTTTATACTGACTGCTTAAGTACAGACAAAGAGTCTCGATCGTGGTAATATGCAGTCTTCCCCGAACATACTATCCTGTTTTAAAATGCTGACTTCGCCTTGACCACCAGGACCTCCGTATATGCGCCCTGGAATGTTTTCGTCAATCTCTCATTACTGAGCTTTCGGGCTGATGGATTTTCGTATTGAGAAACTTTGAAACAGTGCTTGCACTTGCGTTGCCTAGATACGGAAACAAAATGGGCGAAGACGCTTAGATTTCTTCTATATCTGTGTTTGGGTATGCTAAATCTTCTTCTCGCTCATATTACTGGTCACACCTCCACGATAATGCCTACTTCGGATCTAACTATTCTTCGTCGACAATTTTGTGCCGCTCTGAAAGCCAAAATACCGACATGTCTACTTTTCAAACACAAGTCCTTCACATGGTCTATGAAGTTGTGTCGAATAAACGGCTTATGCTGTTCGAAGATACAAGACACATCAGTAACTAGATAAACCATTCTGCGTACTCGTCTCTTCAGGAAACTCGAACAAAGAGACAAAGACAAAAGTAGATATGGAGCTAAATCAAACCTTGTACAGCATCATCACCATTTGCAGATGCGTTCCACGGCGGCTTCTGGGGCACTTCCAGTTTGAACAGACAATTAATATATCCTGGCTTGTTCACAAGGATTTCATGTGCTTGGCAGAAAGACGAATATGAAATTTAGCAATGAACATCACGAGCTAGACCGAATCCACTTCACCTGAACATCATCCTTTGACTGTAATGACTACATAAACGCCGACAAAGATCGTCCTCTGTCCATCGATCATGCCCATTTCATCCACGACAAAATAAAAAGGAACTGGCTGGCACTTAGGCAGAGACCAAAGCAAGCAGAAGGAAAACCAAATCTCACTGGGAGTTTTTGTTGACGCAAGTTAGAGCCGCCTCAGACTTTTCGTGGCCCTCGTGTCTTGACGCGTGCTCGGGAGTTCTACACGCGTCTACTGCCGCGTAACTTCCCTTTCAGGCAGTGAGTTTTTTCCTCCAAGCCTTGTTGTTTCTCCTGCCCCCCCAATTTGCCGAAGATCCATTCTCCGTCACTATAAGAACTACTCTAACTCTGCATCCAAAAGCCTCCCTTTTCGAGCAGACAGGTATGCCCCCCCTCCCTCCTCCCCCATCAGCTAGCCTGGTTCTACCACTGTCATCTTTCTGCCCTTCTATCATTCTGATACGTTCATCCCATCTCTGCTGCGCGTAAACGGTTGATGCTGACTTGACCCCAGAGACAAAGCACGAAGCGGGAAGGACCAGATTGAGCCGGCAGGACTGACTGTGATGGACTCGCAATTTCTCGCAGCCTGCCTAGTAAACAAATGGACAACTGTCTTCATTGCTCTTTTCATCTGGAGATACCTTCGCCAGGTGGTCCATCTTGTCTCCTTCTGGCGGTATAGACCGGCCAAGATATCGGACGATCCAAGCTTCACGGCAAGGGATGTGACGATCATCCTCCCTACCGTCGATCCGACGAACGGTCTTTTCACAGAGTGTCTCTTGACCATCATCGAAAATGCACCGAGCCGTGTGATCGTTGTGACGGCTGGCGAGGCGTTGCGCCTGCAGACGGTCTCTATCGTGGCTGACGTTCGACGACAGGTGTCAGCTTAGGGGCTTGACACCACGATCGATGTCATTGCCGCGATGGAGGCCAACAAGCGCCAGCAGGTGGCCTACGCACTTCAGCTGGTCACTACTGCCATCGTGGCTCTGGTCGACGACCACGTCATGTGGACGGACAAGTTCCTCACGTTTGCCCTGCCGGCCTTTGACGATCGTCGCGTCGGCTTGGTCGGCACCAACAAGCGTGTCTTGCGTGAGACACACCACAGCTCCCTCGCGCACCGCATCCTCAACATGATCCAGTGCCTCTACCTGGAGCGTCACAACTTTGAGATCCGCTCGACCAACGCGGTCGATGGCGGCGTCTTTGTCGTCTCCGGCAGGACCTGTCTCGTGCGCTCCGAGGTTGTTGTCGGCACGGATTTCGTCGAGAAGTACACAAATGACTACTGCTTCTTCGGGCTCATCGGCCCGCTCGGCGCTGACGATGACAACTTTCTGACCCGCTGGTGCGTCGCCCACGGTTGGAAGATCCGCATCCAGTACTGCCCGGAGACCCTCGTCACTACTACGCTCGGCAGCTCCTTCAAGTTTGCCGGCGGGCTCCGGCGCTGGGTGCGCACCACCTGGCGATCCAACGCTATCAGCCTCGTCCATGTCCATGTCTGGCGGGCACAGCCGTGGTGTGTCTACGCTGTCTACCTAACATCCTTTACGAACTTTGCCCTCTTCTACGACATCGCCCTGATCTACGCACTGGCTCGCTCGGGCTTCGTGGATGGGCACTCGTGCGGGGCATTTGCCTTCGTCCCCGTCGTCTTCTGGATGGTACTTTTCAAAATGGTCAAGCCATTTGCCTACTTTTGGCGCCACCCAGAGGATGTGATCCTGATCCCAGCATACTTCCTGTTCACCTGGGCCCACTCCTTCATCAAGCTGTGGGCTCTTCTCACGGTGTGGGACTGCAGGTGGACCGGACGCAACCTTGAAGCAATCAACCAGACGTTGGAGAGACGCGAGATGGCAATCTTGGACCACGGAACCAACAAAATTGTGGTGCAAGAAGAAAAAAGAACAAAAGAACAAGACGAAGAAAGCGAGACGATGTATAGAACGAAACGGGGAAATCGGATCCCCAGAGCACATACAAAAACTACAGCACTCATCAAGATGAAGTGCTCGGCCGATGCACAACCAATTGGTGCTGCCGAAGATCAGTTTCGGACAGCAAGGACATATTGACACGAATCACCATGTACTCGTTGGAGCGGATAACCAAAAGCGGCCAGATTCGATCATATACGATACGATGTTGGCAAATACTGGACATATACAGATACTGGGCTATTTGTGCTAAGACAGGAATTGTGTTTGATTAAGGGCTCCGAGATATGAGCTAGATTTTGTCAGATAGTGTTGAAAATTGAAGCTGTGGCAACAGGTTTGGACATAAAATGCCACAATTTGCCTACATCTACGTCTGGAAAGAGCGTCCGTCCATTTTTGTACCTAGCGGTATGTCCATTGGTGTTTGCACCTTCGCGACAGGGCCGCTCCTTCTCTAATGGCCGAGTCGAGGGAAGGGTGGTCTGACGACCTTTTTTGAGAGAGCAGAGTTCAATTCTGTTTGTGCTTGATCTACTACTTTTCAAATAGCAAGCTCACTGCCAATCAGTGTTTTTTTTTGGTCCTGTATCGCATGCAATAGCATTACGAAAAGCAACCAAGCGAACAGAGAATCATATCTGTTACAAAAGGTAAGACAAAGCACGGGGACGGCAGTTCTTATTTGGCAGCGAATAATCACTAACCATGTAGCATTTCCACCATGAAACCAGGACCAGCACTCGCCATCATCCTTCTCGGTGGTGCCAGCAACATTGCTGATGCATTCCCGGCTAGCCATCACCAGCAGTCGAACGCTACCCAACGACGATACCTGCATGGCCTCACACGCATGGCCCAGTCGACGGTCCTCCTGGGTGATCTGGCCATTGATGGGGCAACGACAGAGTCAGGCCAGGCGATTCAGGCCATCCTCCAGGGCACGGCGTCGGCCCGGGTTGAGAACGAAGAAACATACAGACAGCCTTTGGGTGGGCCCCATGTCAAGGCTTGTCACGAAAACACATGCTGCGTCTGGAGCCACATTGTGGCGCAGATGACGGCGACATTCCGGTCAGCTGACGGCCGACACTGCACGGCTCTGGCACGGAGTGCGATCCGCATGGGCTACCATGATGCGGGGGCCTGGAACACGTCGATGCCACGATTGTCGGCCGAGGCAGTGGCACACGGCATCGGAGGCGGCGGTGCGGACGGGTCAATTCTGCTGTCGGATGGCGAGCTGAATCGGACGGAAAATCGCGGACTGCAGGACATTGCCCACTTGGTGATGAGCTGGTACAATGTCTACCACTGGAGCCATGGGGTGTCGGCGGCGGATCTGATCCAGATGGGTGCACTTGTGGCCACGACGGCCTGTCCGGGAGGTCCACGGATCCGTGCTTTTGTGGGCCGTCACGACGTTGAGCCCGGATCACCACCGCCACCGCATGGGCTACTGCCACCATCCTCGTCGGACGCGCCGTGGATGCTGTACGTGTTCAAGGCCAAGACGCTGTCGCCGGCTGACCTGGTGGCACTTGTGGGGGCGCATACGGTCTCGCGGCAATTTTTTGTCGACACGATGTACGCGGGCCAGGCACAGGACTCGACGCCGGCGGTGTTTGACACGCGGTTCTTTGACGAGACGACGGCGGCCGAGAAGTCGCCCCCGGGCGTCTACAGCTTCCACTCAGACATGTCGCTGGCGGCAGACCCGACAACGCAGCCGATTTGGGCGAGTTTCACAGGGGAAAACGTGCACGGCTCATAGGTTGAGGTGAGTGGGGTGAAAGAGGGAAAGCAGGAAAGAAAGAGGGTCAAAAAAAGCGCGAGAGGCGAGAGACAATAATAAAACAGGGCAAGCAGCTAACTGGATGACTGGACAGGCATACGTGGCCGCTTATTTCCGGCTTGGACTACTGGGGGTGCAGAATCTGAACGGGCTGACGGATTGCAGCGGCGTTCTGCCGGCATCGAGGACGACAGACGGCAGTTGAGAGAGAAAGGTGAGGTGGAGAAGGTTGTTCGCAGGGCTCAGAGGCTACGGAGTACGGATTACGGAGTACGGAGTATTTTAGGCCAAACAGTCGAGAAGCAGTCGAGAAGCAAAACAGCAATATGACATTGGTTTCAGCGGCCGGGATCACTGCGGCTGACAGTGGGCCGATGTCGAGATTCTAGCCTGAGATTCCGCTTCTGCCCGTTGCACGCGCAGCTCTAATTCTGCAACGGCTTACGGAGTACTATCTACGGTTGCCCAAGACAGGACCCATGACGGGCGATCTGCCCCACGGCCGAATCAGCGGCTAGCGGTTTCCAATTTAAAACAGCGGATCCACAATGGCAGGGCAAACAGCTGATGGCGGATGGGCCAGGGCATTGTGGCATGATTGCGGACTGCCGGATCAGACGAGAATTCTGGCTGGACGGCTGCTACGATGCTCACGCCACTTGGCCGCGCAGGCCACACCGACATCACCACCCATCTCGGCAGAGATCTGGTGATGGAGGGGCCGCAGTCGTAGTGGTGCTTTAAAATGTGGCACGCGAGCCAGCATGCGATTCTGGTTTCGCATTTCCATCTTGGCCTTGATCGTGTCGGAGATTTGCAGTCGATTGAGTGCGACACTGAGGAGGGAGCTTGATGAGTATTTGAACAGCACTAGACCCAGCGATCGATCACAGAAGACAGCCATAGGACAGCACAAAAGGCAAAACTGCACATCCACCTGCTCGCATCGCATCAAGCACATCCTCCACCCTCCACCCTCCACCCAATCAGTCCAACCGCCACGATGGTCGGACGGGTTATCGACATGCGGCATATTGACCGCAAGGAGCTGTACACCAGCCTGGATGCCCGGATCCAGTACCTGCACAGCTTCCTGGACTTTAGCAGCAGTACGTGTGTGCATGTGCTGGCATGACTGTGCGGAGAGGCGGCTAATCTGAGCGATTCTCTGCAGCGGACATTGACCATCTGGTCGCGGGCGCCAAATACATCAAGGTGCTGATCCCGGCGGTGACGAACATTGTGTACCGCAAGCTGCTGCAGTACGACATTACGGCGCGGGCGTTTGAGACGCGGTCGACGTCGTTTGAGGGTCCGCTGGACGCAGTGCCGGCCGAAGACTCGCCGCAGATCCTGCATCGCAAGATGTTTCTGCGGGCGTATCTGGCGCGTCTGTGCAGCGACCCGTCGCAGATGACGTTCTGGGAGTATCTCGACAAAGTCGGCATGATGCACGTCGGTCTCGGGCGAGCGCATCCGCTGCACGTCGAGTACATTCACATTGGCGCGACCCTGTCTCTGATCCAGGACGTGTTGACCGAGGCGGTCCTCAGCCATCCGCGTCTCTCGATGGGCCGCAAGATGGGCCTCGTCAAGGCGCTCGGCAAGGTCATCTGGATCCAGAACGACCTGTTTGCCAAGTGGTACGTGCGCGACGGCGAGGAGTACACGGACGGCGTCGACTACAGCAAGCTCATCGACCGCGAGGGCTTCCTGCACGGCCAGCGCATCCTTGCCGCCGACGAGAGCGAGAAGAGCAGCGAGCGCGGCGACGACGACAGCGAGCAGGGCACGGAGCGCGGCGAAACAGCCGCCCTGCCCGCTGACGGCGTCTGTCCGTTTGCCAGCATGGCCAAGACCATGGCGCCCAGCCTCAAGGCCGCCGGCAGCGCGATACCGGTGCCGGTCATCGTGGCCGATCCGGCTCCTGGCACACAGAAATAGGGGCGGACGGCAGGGCCGGCGGCAACCGGATGGACGACGGGTTCATATCTTTGGGCATGGCATTGCGTTGATGGACTTTAGACCGCATGGGTTGAATTTGTTTGGATCCTTAGTCAGCATATATGTGCATCGTTTGCATTGCATCGTTTGAGCACCTTTGTTAGCATCCATTGTCGGCATCCTTTCTTCGTCCTCTGCTGCCATCCCTCACGACTTCCCCAGCTCCGTAGCCCGTTCCGTAGCGGCAACGACGGCCTTGTCGACCATGGCCTCGAAGCCGGACTGCTCGAAGCTGACGAGGGCAGCATGCGTGGTGCCGTTGGGGCTGGTGACGTTTTTGCGCAGCTGTCCGGGCGAGTCGGCCGACTGAACGAGCATAGCGCCAGCGCCGAGACACGTCTGTTTAGCAAGCCGGCTGGCCTGGTCGAGGGGAAGGCCGAGTTTGGTGGCAGCTGTGACGAGGTGCTCGACCATGGCGAAGAAGTAGGCAGGGCCGGATCCCGACAGCCCGGTGACGACATCCAGCAGCTCCTCGCGGTCCACCCACTCGGCGGCCTTGCTGACGCTCTGCAGCAGCTCTGTCGCGAGCGTCTTCTCGGCTGCCGTCAGATCGTCGCCGGCAAACAGTCCGGACGCACCCTCGCCCACGAGCGCTGGCGTGTTGGGCATCACGCGCACCACGTGTGGCACGCGTCCATCCTTCGTCGTGGTCCACTGGCGCAGGCTTGCCAGCGTCACGCCAGCCGCAATCGACAGGATCACCGGCGTCGTCGTCGCCGTCGGCCGCGTCCCATCGGCCGTCCACGACGCTGCCACCTCCCGACACGCCGTCTGTGCCACCTGCGGCTTCACCGAGATCACCACCAGATCCGCACCCGCCGCTGCTTCCGCGTTCGATGTCGTCGTGCGCACACCCAACGCCGCCATCTTGGCCCGGTTCACGTCCCATGGCTCGGCCACGCAGATCTGCTCGGCTGCAATGCCTCGTGCCAGCAGGCCGCCAATGATCGCGCCGGCCATGTTGCCGCCGCCGATAAACGAGAGCTTTGCCGACTGGAGGGCGGCCATTGTGCTTGGTTGTTGGTGTGCTGCTGATGCGTGGTTGTGCGTGTACGTATGACGACGAGGTGGACGTAATGCGTTTTTATCCATTACCAAAATTTAGGTCCGCTTTCGGCAGCGTTGGATTATGTAAGCATCTGGCTAGTCGAACCGCTGGAGCCTGTCAGTCTTTTCAGGTGCTAGTCAACTGGATGAATCATCTGGACAAAGGTGATCAGTCTCCCACGACTATATCCAGCTCGTACTCAAGCCAAGCTGATGTTGGCGCTGTACGGTCCCACAAAGATGGCCCAGTCGTTGGCCTGGCCGACTGGTCCAGCCTCGTCGCCGTCGAGCGCCAAGTCGCGCATGCGCCACACCTTTTCGATGACTGCTTGGGTGCGAGCCAGGTTGGCCAGCGACGAATGGGCCATGGCCACGAGCGTCTCGAGCACGAGCCGTCGTCCGGAGAGGGTGTAGCGGTCTGTTCCCGGCGACCGAAACACGGCCGCGTCCTGGGCGTCCAGCTCGACGGCGGCCACAAAGAGCGGAAACGACAGGCCAGCAGTGCAACCGGCGACCACCAGACGAGCTGTGCCCTCGAGCACGGTGCGAACGAGACGAGCAACGGCCGGCGTCGCCGGTGCAGCATCGTGCAGCACGCAGTAGAGGTAGAGCCGGACGGCCAGCCGCTTGAGCTCGGCAGCCTGCAGCAGGGGGTCCTGTCCATCCCGTCCATCGTCGTCGTCTTCCTGCAGCCGGTGCAGCTCGTCTAGCTCGTCCAGTCGGTCCAGTTCGTCCTCCAGGGCGGCGGCCTCGGCGGCAAAATAGGCCGGCGTGACGGCTTCGCGGGCGCGCAGACGGCTCAGATCGGTGATGCGGCACAGCACGCGCACAAGGCCGGCGCTGCAGCCCATCCAGACGTCCATGGCCAGAACGTCGGTCTCGGACGCCTCGGCCATGGCCACCTGTTCCCAGTAGTCGGCGCCAAAGACGGACGCGTTCTCGCAAGCGGCACGGCTGATGACGTCCTGGAAGGCGAAGAAGCGCTCGGCAAAGCCGGCAAGCAGGGCGAGGGTCGTGCTTCTCGAACCGCTCTCGCGTGAAGCAACCACGTTCCGGCTCCTTCGAACAACGTCCTGGCTGGCCCGCAGATGGATTACCCATCGATGATCGCACTTGTCGACAATCTCGTAGAGACACAGGAACATCATCAACACGAGGATCTGCGCATCCCAGGGAGCGGCGTTCGTGCTCGAGCTGGAGACAGCCGCCAAGGCGGCCAGTCGTCGTCGGAGCGCGCCCATGACATCCGCATGCAGTTCCAGGGCCGTCTTTCCCCAGGCAGCAGCAGTCGGGCTGTCCGAGTCGGCGGCCATGCTGCAGTGGCGGGCCGCGAGGGCCATGGCCGCCCGCAGCACGTCGCCGTGGCCAGTCTCGTGCAGCACGGGCACGACGAGGCTGGCAAAAGGCGAGGGGTGGCGATGTGACGGCGTCGTCAGCGGGCAGAGCCGGACGAGGTAGTAGTCGAGCAGGGCGGCGTCGACGCCGAGAAGCGTAGGGTAGGACGAGGGGGTGTAGGTCCGAGGGGGGACCAAGTCCGGCGGAGCACCTGCCGCGGTAGATCGGCTGGAAAGCAGCATTCCCATCCCGGTGGCTGCGACGCAGTCAAGACAGCTGCTGTGGCTGTCGGCGAGCTCGCAGAAGAGCGTGTTGATAAAGTGGTGGGCGTGGATGGGCGGAAGGACGGGCGAGGCGGACCCGAGGAGCTGTTGTCTCTCTGGAACGTCGCCTTGTCCAGAAAGCCCCCGCTTGGCCCAGCAGCCCTGGCGGCCAAAGGCGAGGCCACGGCTCGCAAACTCGGGCTGCCACTTGAGCTGCAGGCCGCTGTCGCAGGCCAGACCGCGACGGCTGCAGTTGTGGCAGCACGGCCGCGCCTCGTCGCACTTGACCTTGCGCTGGCGGCACGTCTTGCAGCCAGTACGGACGCGCTGCCGGACGCAGAGCGCAGCCGGATCGCGGCGGCTGCGACGTGGCATGCTGAAAAGAAAAGAAGAGCCGGGAGAAGACCGAGACCCAGACCCAGCAAACAAGGGGAGAAAGGCCGGAGGTAAAATGCCGGGATGACCGATTCGACGAGACCGACGGAGAGTGCCGTCGATTATGGAACGCTACCGGAACGGCAACAGGGCGAAATGAGTCTGGACAAGGGACGAACGGCCGTGACAAATGGAGCTTCCAAACGTATGCCAACCGTGGGGCGATAAGCAGGCGAGCAAGATGCAGCGGCCACGGGCTCTAGGCCGAAAGAGGAAAGCGTTTGTCGGCATGGATCCTGCCATTTTGGCGTCGGCCGATTAGTCAGAATTCGAGCATTTCTCGCAATGTCTCAGGCACGACATCGTCTGGAATGCGTGCATGCGCACGGCTTTCTGAGTAGCGCAGGAACGCAGCAGACATGGAGAGAGAAGAAAGAAGAAAAGCCGTCGCCGCTTGTCGAGATGACGCGCCAGACGGGAAAAATGCACAACAAACAAGACGTCTCCCGAGGACGACGACGGGATCGCGAGATCACCACATCACGAGCCTGCTGTCTGACGGTGCTCTCGCTCCCATTGACACGCATCAGCAGCCTGCACCGGCCACAAGGCGACAAGCATGTTGTCGAGAGGACGCAACGAAGACGACAGATCCCGGCCCAACGTCGCGCGTGGCCGTGATCGCTACAGTCGGGCATCTCTGTCTGTCTCTCCGTCTTTTTCATCTTCCTTCTTTTCCTCTTCACCTCCCATCACAACCGACATGCCGTCCCTCCACATTCACCTGCCCTCTGCGGCCTCACGACAGCCCGCCTCCCCATCGCCATCCTCACGCCACCCCATCGTGTCCGCCAACTCCACGACCTCTACGGCCTCTACCTCCTCTTCTGTCGCCCTGCGCCGCTTCTGGTCCCCTTCACCGTCCTCGCCCGCCTCTCCGACGACCTCGGCCCAGACCCAGACCCAGTCGGCTCCCTCTTCCCTTCACCTCAACGATGACCTCTTGTCCCGCATCCAGCAGTCACGCTTTCAGCCAGAGTCGGCCCTCTTCACCCTGATCCCGCCCCTGGTCGACGCTGCTGCCGGCACTACGGTTGTCCCGGCTTCGTCTATCCGTCGTCTGCTTGCCGACCTCTGCTGGCTCGCCCGCCACCTGCCGGCTGTTCTTTCTGCCACGGCTGAGCCCACCCTACACACCGTCCTGCACATCGCCCTGACCGTCGGTAGTGCTACCCTGCTGCTGTGGACACCGCTGCTGCTGGCCTGTCTGCCGGGCTGCCTCTTCATCGGCTGGCTCGTCACCATCGGCTTGGGCGCACGACTGGCTTCGGCACCGCTCAACACGGCCCTCCCGGCCGTCTTCCACAGTCCCTGGGCCTCGGAGGACGATGCAGACGTTGAACAGGACGAGCATTGGTTCTTTGTCAGCGGCATCGGCATCAGGTGAGAAGACACGTGACACAGACCTCGTAATATCCTCATGTCACATGACATCTCACAGCTGACACGCCCCAGTTCTGGCTCCCTCGCCGTCATGATGCCGCGCCTCGCCGCCGTCTTTGGCCGGCCCATCACGCTCATCCGCCCTGGCCGGTCTTATGGCGTCTTTCTCGACCTCGCCCGCGCTTTTCTGCACCGCTTGGACAGTCGTTTGCCCGTCTCCGGTGCCGACGCCCTGCATTCGGCGGTGCGCCAGTCTCTTCGGCCGATGCCGTCGTTGTCTTCGTCCACGAGCAGCCGCGGCCGCCGCGTCGTCATTCTCGCCCACAACGCCGGCGCCATTGCCGTCTCCCAGGCTCTTGCCCGGCTCCTCGTCGACGTCCCCCCCGCCTGGCTCGCCCGCCTCGAGATCTACACCTTTAGCTCTCTGGCCTCCGACTTTGCTCTGCCCGCAGGCTTCTCGACTACCACCACTCCCCACGTCGAGCACTTTGCTCTCGCCGATGACCCCTTTGCCCGCTTCGGCATCTTGCGGACCGTCCGCGAGGACCTCTCTGTCCGCTGCTGTGGTGGCGTCTTTGTGCTGGGCGAATCAGGCCGGCCGCGAACGCCGCCGCTAACCATATCTTTTCACTCTTCTCGCTTCCACATGGAGGACTACCTCACCACCCTCTTCGGGCCCGAGCCCTGGTCCATGCGTCCCGACATTCACGAGGGCGGTGCGGTGCAGCGCCGAGACACCGGCCTCCTCGACGCCGTCGTCACCGTCGACCGCGACCTTGCCGAGAAGCGTGAGATGCACGCCCTCGTTCAGGCTGCGCCGTGGCCGTCAACCAGAAACCGCCTCAGCTGGACCGGTCTCGGCGCCACGGCCGCTGTAGACGACACCATCCGCAAAAGGGATGACCCTTCCCATCCATATCACCAACAGAAGCGCCAGGGAATTCTGGGAATTCTGGGCCTCGAAACGGCCCGTCGGCTGTGTCGCGACTACAACAACAGGCCTGGTCGTGCTATCAGTCGGTTGTTTGGCCACTATGCCGATGCTGTCGTGCGCCATGAAGAGCGCTACGGACCACGTGGTATGCTATAGTGCATGCGCCAGATCGGCGTCGTTCGTTGTAAGAGTCACTCGGATTAGGCAACGGCGTTATGGCAAAGTATGAAGTAATAATTAGATACTGTTAATTCCAACAAAACGTATGTTTGTGCAAAAAAAGATAAAAGCCAAAATTGAGCTATGAAATCGTAATACGAGGGTATAAAACGCCTTCGGTGTCTGCATGCTCCAAAGTATGCAAGACCATATGCTGGGGTATGTAAGTGCGCGCAGATTGCTGTCCGTCCATGCTAGATGCGAAATGCAAATGTCAAGTCTTCGTCGGTCTCGTCGTCGTCCTGTCAGCTGTCAGGGGTGGTCATTTGCAGCAAACCCACCGCCTGACACGCCAGCCCTTCTTCTTCTCGCTAGTCTCCACCACATCGGGGCAGTGCTCGCCTGCCTTGCTGGCCAAGTCGTCGGTTGCTAGCTCGAGCCGATAGCGGCGCACACTGCCCGTCTCGTCCTCAAACGCAGGCCGCAGCAAATCTTTGGGCACGAAACACTCGGGCACAACGTGGCGCAACATCCAGCCCTTGAAGCCCTGGCTGGCTGCATCGATGGCCGCGTACTCCAGCCGCCTGGTCTGGTCGCTGGTCCAGTAGTGTGTCGTCTGCGGTGGGCTCGGATAGGCTTCTTCCTCTGTTGTCTCCTTGTCCATCTCGACGCTGACAGGAGGCTCAGCATCGACGCCACCGCTGGGCGCTCTCGCTCTCGGAAAAGGCTCGTGATAGGTGCTGTTGTTGCCGTAGCTGTACAGAGCCGGGGCCGATGTGTTGTGGGTGGGGCGACTGCGCTTGGAGCTAATGGGCGGTCTCGTGGCCAGGCCGGCCTTGGATGGTCGACGGGTGGCGGTTCCGACGCGGTTCACGTGATTTGACGATGACGACGCCCGTGCCGGATTCGTAAACGACGACTGCCGCCGCGTGCTTGTCCGGGACAGCGACGGTGACCGGGGGTCAATGGAAGCATAGCCAGAGTCCTGTCGGTGCATCCTTTCCGGCAGCTTGGTGTCTCCGTCGCCTCCCGATCCTCTGTGCGATGACTTGCTTGCAGGAGCCGCCACGTGCTTCAGCTGGCTGTGGTCTGATGTTGTGGCAAGGTCGTATGGCCTGTCGGCATGGAAGCTTGGGCGTTCTGTCGTGGGCAGCGAGCTAGCCCGGGACCGAGGCAGGGGTGTGTGTGCTGTGGGAGCCATTGTGGGAGCATCGAAACAGCGATTGGAACAGATGTCTCAGACGGTGGCGGAAGGCGATGAGAGCCAGGACGGAGCGTGGCAATGACGTCCATAAATATGCGAGGGAGAGGGGGGGGGGGAAAGAAGATAAAGAAAGGAGAATGCTCGTTGGTGGAACCTCAGGTGGTTGCTGCTGCCTTCGGCGGGGAAGCAGATCTCGGAGCTTTGTGCAGGTCTTATGTTTTTGTCACGATGCGGGACGATGGTGGTCTCCTTCTAGACCAGAGAGAGAGTGTGAGCGAAGAAGACGATTTGCAAGCCACGCCACAGACTTGCGGTCTGCACTCCGTATGTAAGATACGGCACAGGTATGTTGATGGGGAGTTGACGGCCAATTCCGCAGCGAGATAGGTGTAATTTGTGGCTGTGGGTTTCTCCCTAATGCTGCTCGCAATGAATCTAGAAATTGAACGGCCAGCGGGTGGACCTTCCGATAGCCCTCGGCCTTGGTTCTCCTTTCGCAGCTGCACGACACCCTGTACATATATTTGCCAATCTCAACAGGAGGCCACACAACGGGCCAAACCCCACTGTCGGGTGCAGGACGCAGTTTGAATGAGATATGACTGGTTTCTGCTGGGTTCTTGCGTGCTGTGCGCATTCCTTGCCAGACTGCCGTCAAATGAGGCTCTCGAGCCGCTAATGCACGCACGGGTGCCGTTGGTCGAACAGGCCAGACACGAACCGTTCTTGTCCTTCTGAGGCACGGTAACCCGTCGTCGGAAGACAGAACCAGGTGGACGTCGAAGCCCAAAGCGCCTCTCTTCCCGCACCGAAAAGATCTTCAATCGAGGTCGAACCGATTGCAGGGGCAGTGCCCAGTCATGCCCTCGTCGTCCCCTCTTGTCTCTTGTTTTTCCCGTTGCAGTCGGCCTACTCCGTATGTGCAGTAGCGCCCACTCAGAAGCTCGCTAATTGGTTTTTGTTGAGAAATCCAAAGGGCGGTCAGGCTGTTTGGCTCTTCTTTGCCAAGTCATGCCACGCGAAGAGTGCAGGCAGTGCTCGTGGACCTCCTCTGGGGTACACGTACTACTGGCCTGGCCAGGACAGGTGCCCCGCCGCACCCCACGCAGAGACAATTTTGTAGGGTTGGATGCTTGCAACTGTGTCACTGCAGGGGAAAGGGATGATGGGGGGCCTTTTCTTGCATTACGAGAAAGCAATGCCTTTTGGAGCTGCGATCGCCGCCTCTGGAGTCCTGTTTTTCACCTCTGAGATTGGCACGTTATGCTGCAGAAGGATACATATCTTTAGCACATCTTGTTCAGATGCCGGCATACCTTATGGCACCAGCTCGGGCCTCGGGCTGGCCGATGTCGCTTTGCTAGCGATTGATTTAGCCGTCGAGCGATAAGCTAGCACTCGATCGGACCGCTCTCGGTGGAAGGGACGATGCGGCAATTCTAGACAAGGGGGCGAGCGGAAGCCGTTGCAGCTACGACGGATGTAGCAAGATGGATGAGGTTATTTTCGCCGTGCATTGGAGCGTGCTGAGTGAGGAACAAGCAAAGGCGAAAAACGAAAAACGAAAAGCGAAACATGATCAACGAAATGATGGGAACATCCCACTGCTCCCGTTTATTCCGCTGGTACTCCGTAATTCGGAAGGTGCAACCGGTTGTTCATTCGGTGAATGGCCCACAAATTACAAGCCGCCTGGCGCGCCTTCCTGACTGCCGGCGACGATGATCCAGCCGAACCAAGCCCCACTAATCTAGAACCTGGCGTTATCACGGCGTCTCATAGCTGCTGTGCTTCGCAGACACGGGACGCCATTCGAGCCAACTTGTCATTGTCGTCTTGGTGAGTTAAAGGACCTGCTTTCTGTCAGGACTTTTGCATGTGAAGGTGCGTCGTGCCTGTCGTAGCTTTGTCACCGTGCGCAAGTACTAGAATCAGGAATGCGCACTGTACGATATCGAAGGGACGTGACTCGGGAAGGTGCGAACAAGACAGAGCCTGAGATACAAGGAAAAGTCTGAAGACGTCCAAAGCAAACAGAATCGTATCATCGTCACACACCACCTATAGCACCGACATCTCTCTATTGTCACACCACCATTAAACGCCGTCAAACATCCATAGCCCTCTCTGCAAAGCTCGCAAGTCTCTCTCAACCATTCCAATTCTTGGCAATCGCTGCTATGGACACATTACTCCCCAGACAGAATGATGCCCAAGAGATCCAGACCTAGACGGTTGCCCAACTTTTTTTGTGAGGAAACAACGGCGCCCAACTTGTCCGAGCCAACTGGAGAGCCAGCTGGAGGGACCAAGATGGTGGAAAATATGCTGGCGGAACTGATGGAGGGGGTCGAAGAATTCTTGAGGCAAAACAGGGAGATCATAAATGAGAACAGAAACTCCCTAAATTTTACACAGACAAGCAACTACAGCCCCAGAGAGCAGGTAAGCGCTAATGCTGTGAGCCGCGATGCCTTGACAGCTTCCAATCTAACACAACCTTCTATGAGCAGGACAGGCAGCGCGAAGACATGCACCGACTAATCAACGCCATCCATGAAGATCAAAAGACCAACTTCCTCGGCTTACAACGCTTTACCGCCACGCTGGCAGACGAAGTAAAACATCAGCTCCTCTACCTGGGACAGCAAGTGTACGTCTTGGGCCAGAGTATCTCGGCATATAAGGCCCAAAAAACGCAATTCCCCAATACTGAGAATATGTATGGCACCCTCACGGGTCAAACGCACACACAGTCGCACGCCCGGCCCCGTACAGTAACCGATCCATACCGAGACTACTCGCAACCGAGCCCGACTCTGCCAAGCTACCATCAGACAGTGCAGAATCAGGCAATCCAGACACCGGCTCAATCGCCGGGGCAAGGACCAGTAGTCCAAGGCTCACCACTCCCATGGCGAGGAGGCCAAAATCCCTCCAACAGGACTGGCCATAGAAACTGACTGGGCTATTGCGCCATTTCTTCAAGTCGGCCGATAGGTCCGACGACGGAAGACAAGAGACAGCAGGAGTTTTTGGAAGATGTCACCACACTAGATTGCACACCGCCTGGTCCATCAGCAGTTCACAGCTTATCAGATTGTAAATGGCATGGATTAGACAACGGCCTCGTTAATTTCTCCTCATCAGCGTGTCTTTTATCAGCGAGTCTCAAAACTGGGTCCATTGACCACACAGCGTCGATAGATTTAGAGATAAAAGCGTGTATAAAACAACTATTGGTCCACCTCGTCACAGTCAGTCGTAATTTCGCACTAACAAACTTTCACGATCGGGTTTTCTGCCGCCCACTCCGTTTTGCCCTGAGGGCAGGAAGTGAAAACTCGGATGGGTTCGCCGCAGCCCGGGGAAAGCTGGCCGGCAATTCTCCATCGCCGCTATCGTTGCTGCTTTCGCCATCCTCGTCGCTCACATCAATAACATATCCGCCCAAAGCGCGCACTTGCATCTTCAGGGCACGGATGTACCGCCGAGAGTGATCAAGCCGTTTTTCCATGTCATCGACCGAGCGCATTTCCTCCTCGTCAGTCATGATCTTTGCTTTCAGCACGGTAATCTCGTTCTCAAGATCCCATTTCTGCTTCCGCAGGGTTTTGTTCTTCTCTTGAAGAACGTCCACCCGACGCCGCAAGGCTTTTTCCTTTGTCTGCTTGGCCCGTGCAGTCGGCTTCTTGCACGGCTTCGGAAGCGGTCCATCGGTCTTTTTCTTCGTCCCAATTCTCGGGGATCTTCGAGGCTTATTCGACGGAGAGGGTGTCGGTGTCGTGGGCCAAGGGGGGTTCGAGTTTGCAAATGCTTCAAATGAAGCTCCCATCGGGATCGCTGGGATATTGGAAGACACACAACAGCCCGGCGACAATGGTGCCAGTATGCTTGCCAGGCTGTTTGGTTCTACTTTGCCGCCATCAGATGAGGACGTCCAGGCCATCCACGTCGACTTCTCGGCAGTTCCTAGTAGGGATAGACTGGGCGACGTTTTGACCGGAGTTCCGGGCATGATGCGTCTCGTCGTGCCAGAGCTTTTGGTACGTGTCTATGTCAACACTAACACCAGCTTGTAATGCATATGATTTTGACAAAAACAGGAGCCGTTGGCTTGAGATACGATGGTGAGAATCACTGAAGAAGCAGTCACATCTTAGAAAAAAAAATATATATATGATATTCGCAGGAGGAAAGTATGCTTAAAGTGATCGGCTGTGAGCGTGAAAGGGTGAGAGTAGAGTGGTTTTGGGATGACAGCACGACTGAAGTGCAGTGCCGAGGCGAGGTTGACGGATGGCTGAGTGGTGAGAGAAGAGTGAGATATGGTCAATGTCTGGGTTTCTCGGCCGACTCGGCGGTCGGCTTCGGTCCCGCGTCTCTGTCCGTCTTATGGCTGCACGAGCCCCTTGTTGTGGTAAAACTCGGCGACCCAACGGACGAGAGTGGCGGCCTGTTCCTCGGCAGCAGCCCTGGCACCCGGGTTGGCGGCCCAATTGGCAGCATAGATGTCGGAGCAGTGGCCACCACCGGCGATCAGGCGGACAGGCTCCTTGTCGTCGCCGTCGCCCGTGCTGATGAGTGGTCCACCGGGCCGACCAGTGCGGGCGCTCACCGTGGCCGGACGCCAAGGGTCGAGCTCGTTGTTGGTGTAAAGAAGACGCGGCGTGCGCTGCGGCGAGACGGACCAGCCGCCGGTGGCAGCGTTGACATCGACCGGCGAGCGGCCGTGCTGCAGGCCGAAGCCGCCGGCACTGGCGGGAAACATGAGAGCGCATTGGGCTAGGTTATAGTCGTAGCTGACGAGGCGGGAGATGATGGAGGGCTGACCGGTCGGGGAGGCATCTTGGAACCAGACGAGGCTGAAAGGTCAGTGGAGGATGGGTAGAAGGCAGGGACAAGAAGGCAAGAACGAGAAAAACGAAACACAGATAAACAGGCTCTTCACTCACGGCTCGTTACACATCAGCCAGGACCACTGGCGGCTGAACGGATTGTCGACCAAGAGATCGCTGTACATGGGGCTGCTGGCGTTCAGATTGGCAAAGCATCCGGTGTTGTAGAGCCCCTCGAAGTCGGCATAGCCGAGGGACTGGCAGACTGGTATTTGTGTCAGTAGGCTGGCAGGCAAACGAGACTGATGTAAAAAAGAAATACCGGCTTACGTCCTGGAAGCACCCGCTGCGTGAACCACTTGGCATAACCGTCGAGAGCACGGAAGACACCCACGCCTTCGGGGCCAGGGACAGGGTTAGTAGAGTTGGGCCACACGTTCTGCTGGTATTAGCTGTGAGGCAGGCAAGCGGAAATATGGTGAAGCAGACCTCGATATAGTTGCAGAACATGTGATAGCTGTTGTAGCCGAGCACGGCCTCGGAGAAGAACTGGGTCTGCTGCCACAGGAGAGGGCCAAATGTGAGGGCACTGCGAAGTCAGAAGCGGCAGGAGACCGTAGCGAGGTGTGCTTACTTTGCAAAGTCAGCGTCCTCGAGGTCCTCGAGCAGGAAGCTAGCCTTGAGGTCGAGCTTCTGCGACAGGCTGCCGCTGGTGAGCACCTCGTCGACGTGGGCGATGGTAGCCACGAGGTCAGCGCTGCAGTTGGCGGGCGATGCGAGCCGAACAGTGTCAAAGTACTGCCAGAAGTCACCGATCGACTGGACGACGGCGCTGGTGGCATAAAAGGCCCAGAACGGGTGGTTATCGCTAGCGGCCTCCCAGGCGGCCAGAGCACCAGCATACGAGCCACCGCCGAGGATCCAGGGTGCAGTGGCGGGCGAGCTGCGGCCGGAGGTGTCAAAGGGTGGCACGAAGCCGCGGGCAAAGGCGGCGAGGTCGCGCCGGGCATTGGTGACGGTGAGGTATCGCAGCCGAGGCCCGTCTAGGCGGACGTAGGGCGCGCTGCCACCCCAGTAGCGATGCTCCAGGATGACGACGGCCGCGCCGACAGCGGCGGCAAAGCGGCCGATGATGCGCTGGTCGGTCAGGTAGGTGTCGTTGAAGCCGGTGCCGGACTGCTCGCCGGGCGTGATCAGCAAGATGGGCGAGCCGGGACCGCGCCAGTGCTCGGTGCCGTACCAGAAGCGCTGAGCAAAAGAGCCGAGAGCGAGATCGTCGTGATCGATCGGCTGCACAAAGGCGCCCCAGCCATTCGGGCCTGAGGTGCCAGCTAGAGTGGTGGAGGTAGAGTTGGTGCTGGCGATGTTGATGTCGATGTTGGCGCTAGGACTAGACGCAGGCATGCCGGCGAAAAACACACCGTCACGACGATGGATATCGACCAGCATGCCAGGGGGGCGGAGGCCGATGCAGGAGCCCAAAGCGACGTGGATGGTGAGGATAGATAGGGCCGCCGAGAGGCGGTAGAAGTGATGTTGTTGTGGAGAGAGCATCGTGACGATGGTGATAAGAGCGAGTACGATTTCCAACGAGAAATCAGTGGCGGTATTGCTAGGAAGACGGGAATATCAAACGTCGGATACGTGCAGAATTATATATTCGGTTACGCGCAGCAGCTGGCAGCATGTATTACCTGGACGGAATGCCAGCTGGAACTGACAATCCCTTGCCGGAAAGAAGACTGCAGCGCCATGTATATACAGATTTACCCAGAACCAATGAGCATTGAGAGATGAGCAGAAAATACGAAGCTGAGGTCAGACCAGCGGAGAGGCCGATTGCAGAGCGCCGGTTTGGGGTCAGTGCCTCTCTCTATACGAGCATTTCGAAGCCAACAGCATCATAGCTGCCCGCGCCTTGCTATTGTGCATTTGGTCAAGGCCCCACGCAGCCTCGCGTCGCGATTGTGCATTCAGCTGCAATTAGGGGGTGGGCCGGCACTAGTGACCGCTGGAGCCCGCTAGGGCACGGGAAGGATGAACTTATTTCGAGGATTATGTAATGTTGGTATTGTGCATTGCGATTGTGAAAGTTGTGCTGTGCACGGACCGCCTCTCTTTCAGCCCTCCCTGAATACTGAGTACAACGATCTTCGCCTAACAAACTACGGCTGACTACTTCTACTTGGAAGGGAACGTCAACCCCTAAGAGAGCACGTCGATCTCACTCCGGCTTCTGTCCGTAGACGACGTGGCTGCGGGTGTTAGTATTCAGAAAAGCAGCTCGGCAGCGCGCCCTACTCACAATGGCAGGATCGGGTGGACGTTGGGGTTGTGCAGCGTCTGGCGCACGCTGGCGGCCATCTGCCGGACCTCGTCGACGGTCATACCAAGCACGCCCGTCGACAGCCGCAACGACAGGCCCTCGAGTCCCTGGTTGAGCTGCATGTAGTTGTGCAGGCCGACCTGCTTAAGCCGCGCGTCCTGTGGCCACGGTCCGATCGGCAGCTTGTAGCGCTCGTGCACCACGTTGACAAATCCGGCCGCGCGCACCCAGCTGTTCAGCCGGTGGCCCGGACACGGCTCGCGGCCCAGCTTGTTTGCCGCCACTCCCAATTGGCTGACCCAGACCATCATCGGGTCGTCCTCCCGCAGCGAGCCGTCCTCGGAAAAGTATGTGAGGTCAAAGTCCTGGAACTCGGCCCAACCGCCCGGCTCAAGGTTGCTGCGGCCTGTTAGCCTTGCACAGGCCTCAATCGTTCTGTCCGCTCACTCGTAGACCTGGCCCACCAGCCGTGGCCAGTTGCCGATGCTCGACGCCAGATACCGGCTGAAGATGTAGGTGAATGGAGTTGAATAGGCCCAGTCGCTTTCGACGTCGTCGACCTCGAACCGCACGTTGGGTGGTATGAAAGCCGGCATATTCGCGCTGAGATCAGTGCCCAGGATCTGTGCTGTTAGATCTTTTTTAATCCTTTTTTTTGGTCTCTCCCTCCCCATCTTACCGTTGCGTCGGGCAATGCATCCGCCATATCGATCGCCCCTGTTTCCGTCAACAAGCGCCTGTCAACGAGATCGGGCCCTCCTTACAGACACCGCTGCCCGTGCCCACGTCCAGGATCCGTTGCGCCTTGGACGTATCGATCGGCGCCCGGTACAGCCCTCCGATGGCCATTGTGACCACTGTGTGCATAATCAGGAGCCGGTCCATCTCCATCTGTGCGACAGTCAGAAGTGTGCTACGGAATCGCTCGCCTGCCATCCTCCACGCTTACCTGGTCGTTCGGCCGGATGTATTCTGTGTTGGTCACGGTCAGCCTGCCGGTCTCGACACCACAGCGACGACTGCACTTACTGCTTCCTTGGCGGAATGCGTGGTAGCGACGGCCAAACTCCATTGGATAGTCGGCTGCGCTGGACGCGATCGACGTCGAGTAGGACGCCCTGTGCCGGTTAGCAAAGGTGGAATGGCAGGGCCAGCAGGCACGTACGTAGAGTCGTCAGCGTTGAACTCATCGCTGACCAGCTGTCAAACGGAGCAGACAATGCAAGTCAGCAAGCACATCGACACATGGTAGTCCACGAAGACGCAAGGAGGCCCCGGTCGGGGTCATACCACTTCCCCAGCCTCGATCGTGTCGTCAGCCGGCGCTTCTTTCCTGTATGTCATGATTGGCATGTTTGTCCGGAAAATGAATGGTTGTGGTGAAGCCAAGGCAGGTCAGCGATGAGCAGTTACAGGACAGCCCCGGTCAAGTATATGAATGGAACATGCTTCTCCGCCATGTCCATCTATTCCCGGCTCGGAAGGAGGACGCATAGATGATCGATTGCATCTGGTGTGCACCTGTTCTATTCCGTACTCCGTGGTAGTATGTCCATGGACCGTCGTCTTCACTGTACCATGTATCAGCCACGAGACGGAAAAACTAGCTGCGTGATGTGCATGCGAACGGGCGGTGGCCATTTCGGGTTCGCCTTGCATGCCGGCTGCCTTCCCATTGGCGGTCGGACACGAGAAAGCGGCACCTTGTCGCCGGCCACAGCCCATAATTAACCCTGCGGCAAGGGGTACGCCTAGCTCGGCCGTTTCAGGCCGCGCATTGAAATGCGACGCTGCTGCCATCCTCCGTTGCCTGCGGCCACCAGATGCCTAAACTGGGAGCGCGCATGTGACGAGCTCCTGTGCCTCCGGAGCTGATATGTGATATAAAAGGCTGTCTGGACATCTGGCCTTTGGTTGTCATTTCCCACGAGCGTCTCATGTTGCCCGCGCAATACAGGTCACTTCCGTTAAGCCATCCAGGTCGAACCACCGGCTGACAAAATGCCCTTCTCATTTATGCTACCATGTTCGGATCACTGACCTCTTTCGGCGCACACGTTCTACAGATAACGACTGCTGCAGTCCACGCCCCCAAGCATGCCAACGCATCTGCTGTCCGGCAGCCTGATCCGCTCCCCGGTGAGTGGGAGCTCCTCTCGTGGCCTACTCATGGCCCTCCTGCTTGGTGGCCCCGGTCCTGCTCACCTGCTGATGCGACTCCACCAGTGCAGCCGCAGTGGCCGAGTCCTTGCCGTCGAACAGCACGGCAATCTCTTCGAGCGTGGGGCCCTTGGTCTCGACGAAGAAGAAGAAGATGATAAGGCACTCCACCACCAGGCTGTTCCCGAAATCTGTTGTCAGCAAGGTACATAGTACAGGCATTCATCTTCGGCTGTGTCGATCTCGGCGCCTGCTTACACGGCAATGTAGAAAAAGTACCACTTCCACGCCAGGGTATCCAACCCGACTGGGTTGACGTATAGGTTGAAGATGCCGCTCAGACACGTAAAGCAGAAGCACAGCATCAGTCCCTTGGCCCGGATGTTGTAGGGCAGAATTTCGACCGTGTAGGAGACGGTCAGGCCCGGCCAGGCAGCACCGGCCACACCGTAGAAGAGGAAGATCATGGCCAGCACGGCACTGCCGGTTGCGGCCGATCCCGTCTTGGCGTAGATGGCGCTGCAGGCGGTCCAGATGCTGAAAGTGATCAGCATGCCAACGCCGGAAAACAAAAAAAGCACCCGGCGGCCAACGCGGTCGACAATAAAGGCCGCTCCCAGCGACACGATGAAGCACCAGATGGTGAGGCCGCCGTTGATCTCCGACTGGGTTATAGAGCTGCAGCAGGGTCAGTCTGGTTGGGGCATGGTCAAAGGTCTTGAGCGTGGCAGATACGCACTCTGTGAAGCCAATTGTTTTCAGGACCGACGAGAGCTGCAAAGAGACGAGGATCAGTACGTGAACGCGGACGGCGACTGTGCAATTGAAGGAGAGGAAAGCCCACATAGTACGACACCAGTCCATTTCCGCTGCACTGTGAAAAGATGGCCGTGGCGATGATCAGCAGACACCGCTTGCGGTTTCCCCGGGTGCGGACGAGCTCGAACCAGCCGTTGCGCGAAGCGACCTCCTGCTCCGCTTGCAGCGTGCTCTTGATCTCGGCAAACTCCCACTGCACAAACGCGTCTTCGATGCCGTTGCCGTGGTACTTGACCAGTAGTGCTCTGGCCTCGTCGTACCTGCCCTTGCTGATGAGCCAGCGTGGAGACTCGGGCAGCAGCCAGAGAAGCAGCAGCTGGATGCCAGGCTGTGCGTGTTAGAAAGGAGAACCACCAGGAAGCCCCGAGCCCTGATGGGGAACACACCATGAGACACTGTAGTCCCGTCGGCAGCCGCCACTCCTTATTGCCCGAAAGGTTCCGGAGCGTGCCAAAGCTGATCCACGCGGCAAGGATGGCACCGAGGTACCACAGCGTGTTGTAGATTGTTGTCACCCGGCCACGGTGCCGCGGGTGGGCCACCTCGGTGATCAGCAGCGGGCAGGCGCCGTTGTTTAAGTTGGCGCCCATGCCGATGATGAAGCGGCCGGTCAGGTACATGGCGTTGGGGTTGTGGGCCGGTGGAAACGTTTGTAGCAAACCGCCGAGGATGACGAACAGACAGCCGACCGCAATGGCTGACCGACGGCCCAGGATGTCGGCAACGTAGGGGGCGAAGAATAGGATGAAGAGGCCACCGAAGCCGGGGATGGCGCCGAAAATGCCTAAGCGGCTGCTCCTAGGATGATGGAAGACTGTTTTGGTTAGCATTTGTCTCCTCGCTTCGCTCGGCTTTTTCTTCTCTTTCTTCTCTCCTTTCTTTTTTTTCTCCTCGCTTCGCTCGGTTTTTCTCTTCTCTCTTTGCCCCCCTCCTCTCCCCTCTCCTTTAGACTCACATTCCTGCCAGGAGTCCATCGTTTGCAACCCGTTCAACAGGCTCGAATCGTAGCCTAGCGTGGTCGACCCCAAAAACAAAATGATCATCTTGAGGTAGAGCTCGCGCAGCTTTGTCTGCATGTACCACGGCAGAGGCGAGCCCTCAATGCGGGCGTGCACTGTGTCGTGAGGGGCTTCGTCGCCCACGTCGACGCTGGTGGCTGAAGAGAGGACGGCTTCCTTGGCCATGGCTGGATGCTGGATGTGCAGATATTGTGTTGGTGGGGAGCAGGCGATTGTCTCGTCGATTCGGCCGCGTCAGAGCGTCGGTATATACGGCGAGCGAGCAGCGCCGCGAGCAAGCCTTCCCATGGTCGTGAGCCGCATGAAGAGGTCGCAGCTGCGATGTCGTATTGGATAGTTCAAGGATGGAAGCCAATATTCGGGCAAGCTGCATGCTGATTCACCATGGGGTGGACCGATCTTCGGGGAGGGAGTGGACGTATTGGAGAAGGAAGAGGGGGACGGCACGGTGCCTTGGCAAACAGGTGATGCATGTGAATGGGCGGATGTTTGCCCCAGGCTGCAGGCCGTCTTTGGCATATAGTAGCAGGCCTAGAACGAGCGCTGTGGAGACACGGGTGAGAATGCGGCTGATTGGTTGCAGTAGTCCGCTCGGAATTGAGCAAACGAGCTCGACGCCCACAACTTTCTTCAGTTTCCATCCGGGGAAGTCGAAAAAAAGGCCGCTGGAGCCAAGACAGAGCCCACCTGCTCCGTATTCCCCAGAGAAGAGGTCTCGCCATTATATCCGAGTTTTCTGCGCAGGAGTGGGCACGCTACCAATGGAGACGGGTACAAGACAGACGTCGACGGCGGCAGATGAGCAGCAGACGCCGTCGTCGACCGATTCGAGGATGGCGTTGAGCCCTGGCTCACCGGGCATGCGTGATTCTCCGCAGCCACGCAACCAAAGGGCATGTGATTCGTGTCGGTCGAGAAAGGTCAAGGTAAGAAGGCCTTGTGCACTTCAGTTTGTGGTTTCGATATGTTGCAAATCGTGCCTTAGTCCGACACGCTGACCAGGCAACTCGTACGAGCAGTGCCGCTTCAGCGATGGAGCCACGGTGTGCTTTGTGTGCGCCAGCCTCGAGATTCCCTGCACGTTTGACAGGCCGAGGAGGAAGCGCGGCCCCCCGAACAAGTAAGTCCGTAAGCCCTGCCGTGCTTTCGTCTCGGCACTCGAGCTCACCGGTGGCCGGCGGCCAGACATGCGGAGGCAATCCGCAGCGCGATGGCGTCTCAAAACGCCAGTTCAGGCGAGCAGAGCTCACCGTCCGAGCTGCGCACAGTGGTGCTCGCCGAGCGACCGGCCTCTTCGTCGGCCAGCAGCAGTGGCCCCTGGCTGGACAAGTTTGCGCCGATGGCGACGATCGACCAGCTGCTGGATGAGTGGTTCCAGCACATCTACCCGGTGTCGCCGCTGCTGCACCGGCAGCGGTTTATGCACCGCTTACGCCGTGGCGATGCTGACAGCGACCGGTTCTTCTGTGGGCTCGTCATCAGCGTGTGCGGCGCGACGGTGTCGACGCTGCGGCGGTCGAGCGCCCAGCCAGTGACGATCCAAGACTGCGTCGCGTTTGTGCACCGCCACGGGCTGCTGCGGCGGGATCTGTTGGAGCCGGAATACCGGCTGGACTGGTGCATCGCCATGTACAACCTGGGCAGTGCGTATGCGTCGACGGCGGCTATAGACGACGCGGCGGCCTACCACATGGGCTGCGAGGCCGTGGCGGGTGTGCGATTCCTGGCTTTCTACCGGCTCGATGAGATGATTATGCTGGAGCAGCAGCAGCTTAAGCGGCTCTTTCTGCTACTGCTGGCGTGGTCCTGCTCGGCCGACCTCTTTGGTCGGGTGTCGCTGCCCATGTTCCTGTGTGATGAGCCTTTCCAAAAGCTGGTGCCGCTGGCACTGTCGGACGAGCAGCTGGACCCTGACATGGCTGGTGTGGCGCCATTGTGTGCCGATAATCCGCGGTGGCACGGCGACCGGGTGTCGTATGTTCCCGGCCTGTTGGCCCTCAGTGAGCTCTTCCTGGTGTGGCGCGACGCACAGCGACGGCGGCCAGTGCCGGTGGGCGAGCGAGAGGCACAGTTGAAGCAGCATCTGGCTGCCATCGAGAAGATTATTAGTCAGCTGCCGGTAGAATTGCAATGGCGCAGCGGGTTGCCACGGCCGGCACACGTGACCGCGGGCCACGATGTGCAGGTGGCCAACATTTTTGTGACTCGCCTGCATCTGCGGTCGAACCTGCTGCAGACGTTTGGCGTGGTGGATGGGCTCGAGTACGGCCTTATTATGGATAGCATGCTCGAGATCCTCGACCACATGCCCAACATCGTCTTTGAATCCAACGGCAGCAGCATTGTGCCCAAGATCCGCGATGTCGGCGCTGCTTACCTTCAGCATCTGCAGGTCTGCCAAAACAGCAGCACGGACGCCTGCCCTGGCGATGTTGTGGCAAGCGAAAAGTTCAACCGGCTGCTGCTTAAGCTCAAAGACCTCGACCTCTGGCCCGGCATGACGCTGCCGTCAAATACACCCAGGCCGGCCGGCGGCAGCGTTGCCTGAGTTCTCGCGCAGCAGGAGGGTGGGTAGACGGGCGGTGATTGATTCGTATCGTATTAAAGGAGGGATCGTCGACTAGTGAGAATGAAACGAAGATGGTTGAATTGGAAATGAAGGCAAAGAAACGATTGTACGAGAGATTATGTCAAACACGGCAAGATACTACATAGACTGTCAAATTGGGTGGGACGGCAGGAGCGACGCAAGAACTTACTGAATTGGGATCCAATCTTGCGCATCCGAGGTTTCTCCTAGCTTCTCCAACCTTCTCCACCCGCATCCCGTTGGAAGGTTGGGCAATGGTCGATATCAGCAACGGCTCCGGACACAGCCGGTGTCATAGCGAGCATGGGACAAATGAGATAGTGTGATGGAGTGTGTGTGTGTGGTCTGTCTGGACGTTTTGCCTTTTGCACGAGTTCCGGCGCCTTTCCTCGAGCATAATACCCAAACGCCTATACGCAAACATCACGATGGCTATGCACAACGAAACAGCAGCAGCAGCAGCAGCAGCAGCAGTAGCAACGACGCGGCAGCCGGCCGACCGTCCACGACTGCACCGGACAGCCGATGGGGCCACGCAGCTGCTGGTGCACGGACGGCCGTACCTGATGCGGGCTGGTGAGCTGCACAACTCCTCGCTAAGCTCGCCGGCCTATATGGCGGACGTGTGGCCGACGATGCAATCCCAGGCCATCAACACGCTGTTGGGCGCGGTGGCCTGGGAAGACATCGAGCCAACCGAGGGCTGCTTCGACTTTGGCCGTCTCGACGCCATCCTGGCCGATGCCCGAGCCCACGAGATGCATCTGGTGCTTCTGTGGTTCGGCACCTACAAGAACGCCGTGTCGACCTATGTGCCGGCCTGGGTCAAGCGGGATGTCCGGCGGTTTCCGCGCGTGCATGTCAACGATGAGGACGGGCGCCATCGCACTCTCGAGATGGTCTCGCCGCTGAGCGAAGCCGCTGTCGAGGCTGACAGCCGCGCGTTTGCCGCGCTGATGCGCCATCTCGCTGCCGTCGACACCGCTCACAGCACCGTGCTCATGGTTCAGGTCGAGAACGAGACCGGACTGCTGGGCGACTCGCGCGACCGCTCGCCCGTCGCTGAAGCCGCTTTTGCCCAGCCGGTGCCGCCGCCACTGCTCCAACACCTCCTCGTTGCCAAGACGGCCGGCACGCTCCATCCACGCTTCACGGAGCGCTTTCCCGACATCGAAACTACGGCTGCTGCTAGCAACCCCTCCTGGCACGACGTCTTTGGCCCCGGCACCCGTGCCGACGAGGCCTTTATGGCCTATCACGTGTCCCGGTTCGTCGGCCGCGTCGCCGCTGCCGGAAAGGCCCTCTACCCCATCCCGCTCTACACCAACACCTGGCTCAACTTTGACGACCCGACCGTGCTCGACCTGCACAGCCTCCCCGTCGTCGTCGGTGGTGGCGCCCTGCCGGGCATCTATCCATCTGGCGGCCCCTGCCCTCATATGCTCGACATCTGGCGTCACAGCGCGTCCGCTCTCGACTTCATCGCCCCCGACCTTTATTTTCACGACTACGAGACCGTCTGCCGCGACTATACTGCCCAGGCGAACCCGCTCTTCATCCCGGAGCAGCGTCGCGACCCCTACGGAGCCCGCCGCGTCTGGCTGGCCCTCGCCACGTACGGCGCCCTCGGCACCGCCCCCTTTGGCATCGATACGGGCGCCGAGACCATCGGCCGAGAATACCGTCTCCTGGCCCAGACCGAGGCCTTTCTGCTTGCTGCCGCGCCTCAGGATCGCATGGGCTTTTTCTTTGACGAGCCGGACGACAGCAGCAGCAAGAGCGATACCAAGCAATGGACCCGTGTCTTTGGCGATTTCGAGCTCATTGTCGAGCAATGCTTCGTCTTCGGAAAGCCCGGCCCTGGTGCCGGTATGGTCATCCACCGCGGACATGACCGCTTTCTTCTTGTCGGTCGCGGCTTTCATGTGCGATTCCGTAGCGTCCGACCAGAGGCCACCTTTTGTGGCATCCTCCGGGCCGAAGAGAAGGAGGTCGGACCCGATGGACAGCTGCACACTCTTCGCGTACTTAACGGCGACGAGACTCGCAGCGGCGAGTTTGTCATGATGCCTAACGATGACCCCGACTACGGCGGCTTCCCCATCGCCGTCACTATTCCCGCCCGCACCTGCATTGCTGAGGTGGAGGCGTACTGGGTGCAGGAGGAGGTGGAAGATCTGTGATTGTCTGGATACGTAGGTGGCTGTGATATGGTTTGATGTACCCCAGGACTCAGCTGTCACGATTCATTAGTTTAAGCTTCCATGTTAAACAATACACATTTTATACATCACTTGATACGCAAGGGCACATCCTCTTCCCTTCTGCTGCCTTCCGAGGTGACTCATAGAATCAGCAGGTGGATCGCCGACCCGTCATCCAAATTTCTCTGGGTCGAAGGCCCTGCTTCGGTGCATGCAGAGAGACGGCTGTCGCTCACGGCAGTACGGATCTACGAGTCGGCCTTGCAAGCTCGTCGGCAGGAGCCATGCGTCTACTTCATTTCGACACCCACGCCTACGGAAATGAACCTTCTTCGTCTGATGCGGCTGAAGCCGCTGCTGCTCTGTCCACAATGGTGCCAGCGATATCACGCCAAGAAAATACTTTGATCTCTCTGCTCTTGCTAGCCAACGAACGCATCTGCTACCCCAGGAGCTTACGACTAATCAGGCATAGGACATATCTGCTGCTGATGTTTTTGAGCGCCTGTACAGCAACATATACGACAGCAGCACGAACGTCTTAGTGCGTGCGTCTACAGCACGCAAGTTGAACGAATCTTTGCTGGCCCACATCCTGTCGAATGGACCAGACCAGAATGGGAGGGGCGTGCACGATTATGCAGTGTGATGAAAGAATACATGTACTGTGTGGCGCATGGGGCTATTTAGTACGTGTTTTGATGCACGTCGGCATACCTCGGAAGTACCTAACTACAACAATACATTCACGCTCACTGGGCACCCATAATTTAACACATCCCACCTATACTCATTGTCATCCTCGACAAGCTCTAGCTGGCCGATTGTCCGACGTCAGAACCACACATCAAGCGCCTCATCACCCTCCTCAGCAACTGCAGCGCCCGGGTTCAAGGCCGGCTGGGAAGCCAAATTACAGAGCCAATAAGCGCCCAGTGCCTGTACTCTTCCCGTGTCTACATAACAACAACCCATTTATACCTCCATTTAGGCCTCTCCACATCTCCGCCTCGGGGGTAGTATATATAGCCGACTCCGACCCTGCAAGAGACGCTTTCGCCCGGCCTCTTGGCCAATCCGAAAAAAGGGCCATGCGGTCAGGCGGTTTTGTGATGGTGTCGCCGGCGACAATAGCGACAAGCTCGTCAACAGTCTGCTGGCTTCCGCCGCTGCGTGTCGCACCACTGTCATACCTAAACTGGCCGTGGTGGCAAGGAGAAGCAGCACCGTCTCTGACGAGGTCAAGCGCACAAGCGTGCCGCAGGGTTTCATCCGGTCGTATCCAGAATTGATCTCCGGGCAGATAGGCGGCCGAGAAACCGAGCTGGCCCGGCTGTAGATTCTTGGAGGCTTGCTCAGAATCGCAGGCCGGCAGCATGTTCATGTCGATGGCCATCCAGGCCGCGACGTAGTTGCTGGCATACGGCGATGCGGAACTAGGCCAGCCGTATGTGAAATGCGTGCCTGCACCCGAGCCTGAGCTTGTTTTTGCCGACGGGGGCGTTGCTCCAAAAAGCCCTGCGCGGTCAGCTTATGCCTGGTCAAGTCATATCTGTCGTTATCTCAGCTAAGCCCACTGCACTTACCACGACCACGATGGCAGCGTCATCGGCTTTCCATCTCGGTGTAACAGGTTCGTCTGCTCCCGCGCGCCGTCGCCGGGGAACCAGAGGAGCGCCGATCAAAGAAGCGCGAGAGAGGCAGTCCTTGAGAGTCGCATGCGTCCAGGTCCATGGCAGAGCTGCTGCCGACCTGCTCTGGTGGAAGCTTGAAGCGATTCAGCACGCCCTTGAAAGCGTTCAGCACGTCTTCTGGGTATGATAAGCCCCGCCGGCTGTAGTCCTGCACCGCTCTCTGGTACTCCTGCAGTCCGACCGAGGCCGGTGCCGATGTCGGTGCCGATTCCGACGTCGATGCCAAGAGTCGGCTGACGTCGCCGAGATACCGGTGAGGGGTTGGGTCGGGATCCATTCTCAGCTTGCCGGTCCACCAGGCGGGCCCGGTGCGGATGGTGACCTTGGCAGCCCGGGAAACAACCCCGATGCCGCCCCAGTCATAGCCTTCGCGCCTCTGCCATGCCCTGCAGCTGAAGAAGACCTCGGAATCGGTAAAGTACATACACCGCCGTGACAGCGCCTGCTCCTGGAAGGTCCACCCCCGCGTGCTCCACTTCGATTTCCGCACGAGCTCCGGCAGCGACGGTAGCACCGGGCAGAGGGCCAGCTCCGTGCCCGGACTACTGTCGTCCACGTCCACGATCATGCGCGTCGGCTGCAGCGGGATGCTGGAGCGAGGACGGCTGACGCCCGGGAGGCCTGTGTTGACGTCTGCCGCTCCTGTCGCCATCACCAGGGTCACGACAGCCTCGTCATACACGTCGTCCATGCGCCCGATCAGGTGATGCTTCTCGTCACTGCAATCCTGCAGGATGCACAGCGAGTCCACCCACAGATACTTGATCCCTACGGCCCTCGTCACCACCATAGCGTCGCGGACGGTCTGCGGGATTCTGCCGGTGTCCCAGCTGCTGAGCCTCTGCTCGGACAGACCACCGACCTCTTCCAAGCTGCAGCGGTTCCGTTTCAGTAGAAGGGCGATCGGGATTTCCTTGCCGTCACCAGGCCTCAGCAAGGTCGGCCCGTCCCCCCAAACATACGGCAAGGTGGTGTACCGGCAAGGTTCCTTCTTGTATACAAGACACTCTGCCTCGATGTCCATCAGCCGGAAGGGGTGGTCAGGCGTTAGAAGGTTTGTGGCAGATTGGTGGCTTTCCCTCGCCTTGGGAGTCTCATTGTACGCCTGACACTCCTCTATCCAGCTTTTGACCAAGTCCGTGTCCACCATGTCCTCCACTTGACGACGCCGCGCGTAGCGGCATAGAGGAAATTTGGTGTTGTCCCCCTCCTCGTCTCCCTCCTCTTCTTCTTCCTCTTCCCCTCCCTCTACCGGCACCCTCTCGAACTCTCCTACGAGAAAGCGGCGAGAGACGTTATCAACCTCGCGGATTACCGGTCGGCTCAGACGAACCAATCCCTCTTCCGACTTCGCCAGCGGCAGCAATGGCAGCAACAGCTGCCTGTCCACAGCCAACAACAGACGTGGTTGCGGGTGCTTGGCCCACCACGGACGGCTCGCGACCGTGCCGACGACCGTCAGGGCGCTGCGGCTCTGCGCATACAGCCTGCAGGCAGTGGGAGAGGAGGCGTATAGGCTCTTTGAGCCATTCTCCCCCAAGATGCTACAGACGGCCTCAGAGATGAGCCGGCAGAATGGACAGCTTTGGTCCCGAAACATATACAGCTCGCCGAGGTAGCGCTCGTTGATTTCGGCCGAGAAGAAGGCGCCGAGGTCAATGCTCTCGCATGCCGGGCAGAGTTTGCGAGCCATGAACAGAAGACAGATAGAAATACGAACTCAGGTTCATTCTAGAAATGGATGCTGAGGCTCAAAATACGAGTTTAAAGCAAGCCTAATACTGACAAATGATATAGACACTGCAAATCAGACGATAATGAGTGACCATCCTCTTTTTGAATATTATGACGAATACATAGCAGATACGAAAAATTAACGGCCAATGGAAGAGGGGAAAAAGTGCCGATGGTGGAAAGCAAAATGAGGCGGACGTGTCGGCACACATTATGGTGTGACATAGTATGCATGTAAGAATCCGTCGGACTTTCTTATCGAACGGTTCGAGGAAAGAGAGGTGTAGTCAACGGCGCCTTATGTGAAAAGTACATGTACAGATAACCAAGCCCCCTCCTGGTCCCGAGCGCGGTACCGATCGCATACAACCATGTGCAATTCTCTGCAGAGGTATAGAATTTGGTTTTCTTGTTACCTAGCCTCATGTACTTTTACAAAGACGGTTTTTCCACACAGGAAGTTGCACCCGAGACTTGGCCGGTCCAGACTGCATACATTAGAACGGCCATGTCGGTTGTGTTTGTTTCCGAACAGGGTGGCAATGCTCGCACAAACCTTCGCTCGTTATTCCGCATAGTGTTGTGTTCATATACTCCCTCGCCTTACAGCGTGGTAGGCAGGATTATATACGACTAACCTTTATCTAAACACAGTCTTCACACGGGATCTGCCCTTGGGCTCGGGCAGGAAGAATCCATTTTATGTATAAGGATCATTATCGCCCAGGCTGGCGATTTCTGGTCGTTTTGAGCACCGAGAGGCTTGGAGAAGACCAAGATCTAGTGTCATATCCCCTGCCCATATATTTAGGTCTTCGATTCAAGCAGTCAGACCACGGCTCCAGGCCGCTTAGTCTGCGCTGCCACATAAAAATCCAGTCCCAGCGTGCCCCTCCCAACTCCCCCGGGGGACTTCATCGGCCGCCTGGCAAGCACCAAGAACGTTCCCGCCCGCCAGGTTGTTACCCCCTACATCGCCTACGAGACCGAACTGCGGCACAAGTTCGCCGAGGGACAAAATATTCCGCAAAATGCCAACATGATACCCATCTACGACGGCCATGAGAATCTCGTAAAGTTTTGCCATCACGGCCGCAATATATTGGACAAGACCAAGTATATCATGCCGCTGCCGCAGTCGCTGACGGGAAATCACGGCGATCCGGCAATCACACTGAGCCTCGCTGACTACCGGAAGAATTTTCGCGCTTTTACTCACGGTGAGCGGTGAAATCCTCTAAGCGGCTACAGAGACTCGTCTTTGTTTCCATAACCAAGCTGATAATGAATTCCACCCTTTGATTTCTGCTCATTTCAGGTCTCTTCCACGACATGGGTAAGTTCGATGAGTCTTTGTACTGCAGATGATAATTGCACTCGTCAAAAATCGCTGACAAGATGTTCAACTTCACTACAGATTGGGGAAACATGGTCGTCGCAGGCTCTTCTGCCCTTCTGCCTCTACTACCGTATCGGGAAAAGCCGAGCCGGCCCAGGGTGCCGACAGGAAGTAACCCGCTCGAGGAGTACTCTTAGTCAGCATTGCCTTCTTCATCTCTCCAAGTCTGGTTCTTTCTCTCTCATAGTATCTCCTCTCCTCCCCAGAAGCACTGCTCGGTACAGCGACATCGACATATTCCTCTACGGCATAAACGAAAAAGAGGCCATCAACAAGATCATAAATATCAACGAGATAATCCTCAGAATATATCAGTCCCCCAGCGAGATCCTCACTGGGTTCGACGTCGACTGCGCCTGTGTCGCCTACGACGGAAATCAAGTGTTAACAAATCCTCGAGGTATCACGGCCATTGTGACGCGCACGAACGGGATTGGTATCACCCGACGGAGTCCATGTAAGTGTCCATCTCGTTTCACCCCCTTCTCTCTTCTCTCTTCTTTTAGCGCTTCACTCTGATACATTTCACCCCCTCGCCTCCTCAGCTTATGAAAATCGCCTCTGGAAATACAGACATCAAAACTTTGACGTTTACTGGGAAGATCTCGACCGAAGACGAGTCCGCATCAAATTTCCCGATGACGGCCCCCAACGTGGTCTTGCACGGCTGCTCATGTTTGAGAAAAGGGCCGCCAAGGGCCTCCAGACCCACTACATAATTCAGAGGCACGTCGGCCGTGTCGACGACAACGGCGATCCCTCGCAGGCGGATGCCAGCGGATACATGCGGCAGGAGCTGCCAATGGGGGAGAGATTTACATCTCAGAGGTGCGGTGTAGAAGAGAAGAGAACTGACAACTGAAAGTCAAGTTTCTGATAAAGCCATATTTCCAGCGTCCACAACTATGTCGTCAAGCACTCAAAAGAGCCCTACTATTTCGGAAACATCTCCCAAGTCTGCACCGTCGGTAACAAATCAGGATCGCACAAGAACCCGAAGCTGATCGGCAAGATCCCTTTTATTAAAGACAACCCAGGGCGCCAGATGATCGGTAGCTTCTATCCTTTGACAGCCAACGACTGGTAGGATGGACCAAAGTTCATATAAGACTTCTCGTATCTACGCATGTGCCTTTTACAGATGCTAACCTTTCTCTGTTTTTCTACAGGACAGCACACGCGTACAGGGCGCGGAAGCACAAGTGAATGCTAAGTGAAAGGGAGGAGTAGCAGAGTAAACAACAACAATGCCCAACTGCCTAAGACTCAAAGATAATTCGAGGCCTTGGGCGAGCTGCTCGTCCGTCTTATGTTGGAAGTTTATGAACAGGGCTCCCAGATCAAGTAGGCCTCTCTAAACGAAGGCTGATGTGAAAAACTACGTAGGCCTGGTAAGTAGCCCTAGTCCGAAATATAGAACTTGACAGCTGAAAGGCCAATTAAATATGAAGGAGTAGATAATTTGCATTTAATGTAGGACTAATGCATCATCCTTGATGGCAACTGCACTTCGCAATAGTCCTGCCCGCATAATGCCGACTTCTCAATTATGGTAGGTGACACTGTACGCGTTGTAGCCGGTGGGCGTAGAGTCAAACGACAGCTTGCCATTGGCGTTGATGTTGAGATACTTTCCGCTCTCCTCCTGCAGCCGGTACAAGCTGTTGCCCATGTACGTGATGTTGTACGTCTCCGCGGCGCTCTCGAGCTTCGAGAGAGCGCTTTGCTGCGAGATGTAGTAGCCATTGGCTGCGCTGGTGATGTAAAAGCTGGTGCCCTCGGTCTCCAGAGCGTGCAGGACCCAGCGCTGTTGGATATCCTCGTGCTTGGCCGAGGCTTTTGTGGCGGTGAGCGCCTTGCTGCTGCCGTTGGTTGAGAGAGCGTAGCCGTTCGATTCAAAGACGAGGTAGCGGCCCTCGGTCAGGTAGCCGCGAACACCCTTGTAGCCGTCCTCAAAGTAGAGCGCCTCTTCTTCGGTCTGGTTGCCGTACGGATACGGGGCGTAGTACTTGCTGCCGGAACAGGACGTGCCGAAATGCGCGCTGCAGTAGCCCTTGTACAGGCCGATGTGGTTGCCGGAGGAGTCCTGGATGGGCGTCTGGGGAATCGGGAGTTTCGGGATGCTGAAGTCGGGCTGTTTTGCATGTCAGAAACAGCGTTGTACTCGCCGGAGCAAGATGCGGAACTCACGTTTTTGAAATCAAAAGCGTTTACGAGGTCGGACTCGTGCTCACGGCGCCAGTCGGACATCTGGGCCTCGGCCGTAATGTTGTCGTAGCCACGAGCAGCAAGGTACTTCTCTGCACACGGGTCAGAAGTCAATGTCATTGTCATTATTGTCAAGAGAAAGACGGGTCATGGCCTTACCGAGGAAGAGAAGAATCGAAGCGTGGTCGCCACGCTCGGTGAACACGTGACCACCGCGAGTATAAGGCGAGATCATGATCAGGGGGACGCGAACACCTGGTGGATGTCATGTCAGCATGATTCAACGTCTGCTGGACTGGGAGCCGGACGGGACATACCAGGACCAGACCAGGTGTACCCGAGCTCTCCGTAGGGGTCCTCGAACCACTCGCCAGCAGTGCCGTTGGGTGGGATCACCGGCATGACGGCATCGCCCCAGCCACCAGCCTCTGCACAGTCGTCAGAAGCTTATCACTTATCACGCAACGGGAGGACTGGACATTCTGCTCACCGTCCCAGTTCAGCAGAATGACGGTCTCGTTGTAGTTGGCGCCGTGGATCGAGGCGTTGACGATCTCGTTGATCCACCAGGCTCCATCCTGCGGCGTGAAGGGCGGGTGCTCCTGCAGATTGCCGGGGGGAAAGCACCAGCTGACCTCGGGCAGAGTTCCGTTCGCGGCAGCCTTCTTGAACGCGTCCAGGCTGTTGTCTCCGTCAAAGGCGAGGCCGCGCTGGTAGAGGCTCGAGTTCTTCTCCGCCTTCTGGAAGGCCTCAAAGTAAAATAGACCGTTGTTCGTGGCCCAGTTGTACGACTGCTGGTACGATCGCCAGTCGACGCCGGCCTCGTCGAGGTACTGGGCAAAGGCAGGCCACTGCAGAGGAAGGCAGTCGAGGTCGGTGTCCACGCAACCTAGAATATATCAGCTGCTATCCACCGAATGGAAACTAGCTCCTTAGAATTCCTCTTCCGCTTACCGTTGCTCTGATTGTCGTCAAGAATCACACCTCCCGAGCCGAGCGGCGTCTTGCCACCGGGAACGTTGATCGTGCCGGACTGCCAGTACCAACGGTTGGGGTCCGTGTTGGTCATGACGGCCGCCTGTGTGTATTAGTCAGCCATCCTCGGGACGATGCTCTTTTTGGTAGCCTCACATGATACATGTCGGCCAGAGTGTAGGACTCGGCCAGGGAAAAGTGGTAAGCAATGTCCTGGCGCTTAAAGTAGCCCCAGGACTGCGGGTCGTCGATGACAGCCCACTGGTCGTTGGCACCCGAGTTCATCGCATGATGCGTGGGGATCCAGTTGTTGGCACCGGAGCAGAGGCACTGGCTCTTGTTGTAGCTCTCCTCGGTGTTCTCGTAGTTAAGCCAGTACGGCAGGAGATAGTCCGCTTCTGTCGTCAGGTTGTCCACCGGCCTTGACCGTTAGCAAGGAGAAGAGAAAGAAAGGCGTTTTTGGGCCACGTACTGGTACCAGACCGACTTGTTCGTGTTCGGGCTCACCTGGACGTTGGGATCGGCAAAGCCACGAACACCGGCCATCGTACCAAAGTACTGTTTTTTAGGGTCAGCAGGCACCATGGCCGCTGTAGCCAAGACGAATGGCGGCACTCACATGCTGCAGCGAGCGATTCTCCATCATGATCATGATGACATGCTTGATGTCTGCCAGCGACGATGCCGCGTTGACACTGCCGGCCGCGAGGGCCAGCAGAGCTGTGAGCGTGAACCTGGACATTGCTGCAATGCGATGTTTGAGATCGGTGAGAGTTTTACAGCCGACAATCAGGACGGGCCAACATCCCGGGGACCTGGTTATATACCCATTCTTCGCGTCTCCTTTCTCCTCCCAGGATCCTCCTGGGATCGGCTCGTATACATGGGATGAGAGTGGAGCCCTGTCCGCGTCCGGACAGTTTCTTCTGCAGATGTTGTTCTGCAGGCAGACTTAGTTTGCTGCTTGCAGCGCACACGTGTCAACTGTGCTCCAAAACTGTTTGTCTGAGTCGGAAGACAGACCCGGGATCACGCTTTGCATACGGCCCTGCAGGCCTATCAGACGGAGAATGCACATAATTGCATGACTGCTCCTTGCCACGATGCCAGGATTGAGGCCACCGGAAGAGCGGGACAAACTAGAGTCCTCGAAGGATTATTGCTGCGCCGAAACGAGAGCGCATTCGTCGTTTAGCGGCATCGCTTGCGAAATACCTCGGCGATCGTCACCTCGCGACACCGCCGCTAAAAGCTCAGCTGCTAACTTTCATCACTCGGTGAACGGCCACGTCCCGATTTGGATCAATAGCGAGACAGCCTTTGGTACACGTGCCTGTGCCATGCTTCTGCCGCTGTCGGCTGTCCAATAAGCTTGTCGGGATTAATCGTTAACTTGCAAAGCTAGTTGTTTAAAACCGGCGTTGTCATGGACTTGTGCTATTACCGTCTCGTCCATCTCAACGTCGTAATCGGCCTGCATTAGTGCTGCTTGGGCCAATATTCCTTCTAGCCATCCGTGAGACCGACAGCAACCAGGTTAGGTTAACCGAGTATGTCCTGCTGAAAGCTCCGAAAGAAAAGTATTCTTGCTAGTTGCCATACTTCCCTTCCTTCTCCTCCCCCGCCCCCAACAGCGAATATGGAGGGGAACACACCGTCTGTAGCTCTGTCCGAGCAAGCTGCGCCGCTTCTTGGAGTTGAACAAACTGAGGATGTTTCCTACAATGGGTGGCAGGAAGAAGAATTACAAGATGGGGAGCCCCTCGTCCACAAGCGCGCCAGGTGGCGATGGAGCCTCTATGTCCCAGTTTTGACCATCTTGGCGGCTCTGGCCGTCACCTCCACTCTTTTTGTCCTTATCACATACTCTCCGGTTGTGCTGCGGGTGCCAGAAGCAACATCATCGGCTCCAGCGACATCAGACAGAGCTATCAAGCTCGTGCTTCATCCGGAGGATCATGTTTCACGCGAAGCCAAGGCCACCCGCTTGTCGTGGAACATCACCATGGCTCGGCTAGCTCCAGATGGTGTTCAGAGAGACGTTATTCTTGTCAATGGTGAGAACTATATTCTTAATACAAGAGCGGCCATTCTGACTCTTACAGGCCAATTCCCTGGTCCTACGGTCGAAGCTCGATCCGGCGACACTCTTGTGATTGAGGTTTTCAACTCTATAGATGAGAGTCTGACCCTGCACTGGCATGGCCTTCATATGAAAGGTTGGCCTTCTTCTTGTTTTAGTTGCTCTGGTCTTCTTGTCTGGCTCACTCTCTTGTCTCTGGTTAGGGGCAAATCATATGGATGGTCCCGACGGGTTCAATCAGTGTCCTATTCCCCCGGGAGGAAAGTTTGTCTATGAGATTCCAACGGACAGCCAGTCGGGAACATTTTGGTAAGAGCCGAATCTGAGAATTACGTCGTTTTCTGTCTTCTAAACTGCTATAGGTACCATGCGCATTCGGAACTACAGCGAGCCGATGGATTGTATGGAGGTTTCATCATACACAATCCCTACAAGGCAGAAGCGTCGACATATCAGTACGACCAGGAACTTCTGTTCTTGATCGGCGACTGGTATCATTTCGTCGGCAAGGAAATTTTTGCTGTTTTCAAGGATCCGACCAGCAACGGCGACGAGCCTTGCCCCAGCTCTTTTCTCATCAACGGTCGCGGCTACTTTGATTGCTCCAACGTTGTTCCTGCAGCACCGGTGAACTGCTCCGAGACGCAGATGCCATCTATCGTCCTTGACAAGAAGCTTCGTTACAGATTTAGGCTCATCAATGTTGGGTATGTACAATCTTTCGCTTGTCATTGTCTGATTGGTTGGCGCTGATCCCCCAGCTCTCTGAGTGGTATATCGACAACGGTATCAGATGGGACAATGAAAGCAATCCAGATAGATGGCGGCCTTCCTGTGGTCTCGCACGAAGCCAACTCGATAGGCGTTCTCTACCCGGCACAAAGAGTGGACTTCATCTTGTCGTGGCCCGAATCTGCTGCGCAGACGGACACGGAGCTTATGATCACCGTGGACGACGAGTACGTGCACAGATTTGATGGCCACTGGGGGCTATTTACAGAAAGAGACTAACGAAAACTAAAGGTACTACGTTCTCAGCATGTTAGATCCCCCGTCTCGATCAGTCCAGATCTCGCCAGCCTCTTCCACGGGTCGTCCCTCTGAGGAGGTTCCTTCATACGAGAACTCGCCCAGCATCGTCCAATTTGATCTCCGGGAAGCTCATGGGCCCGTGTTGACTTCATCGTTGCCGGACCCGGATAATCTCTACATGATCTACTCGGTGGTAGAGATTTTGTCCCACAACAAATATATCCCAAAGGGCTACATCAACCACACAAGCTGGATCCCACAAAAAAAGCCACTGCTTAGCACAGTTCGAAGTGAGTGGGACAACCACCAGCTTGTTCCCTGGACTGGAAGCAAGCCCGTATGGGTGGAGTTGACGATCAACAACATCGACACCCAAGGCCACTCATTCCATCTTGTAAGCCAGGCCTTGGCGACTTTGGGAGTTGCACAATGTGCTAACAAGCAATTCCTAGCACGGCTTCGACTTCTATGTTATCGCCTCCTATGAAGGACTGGGCGGTTGGGATTATTATAATCCCTTTACACCCTGGACGCTTCCCCGCGGAGGACCTTTCAATGTCGTAGACCCCCTTCAGAGAGATACGATATACGTACCCCCATATGGTTATGCTGTCCTCAGATTCTTGGCAGACAATGAAGGGATATGGCTTCTGCACTGCCACATCTTATGGCACGCAGCCAGTGGCATGACCATGGCATTCCAGGTTCTCGGTGACGAGATTGGTCTCAGCCAAAGTAGTGCAGGACTCGCCGCCAAAGAGTATTGCGAGGCGAGCAGTATATGACTATAGGACGATAATTTAAATATGTTTTCACAAGCAACACCATTTGCCGCAAAAGCTGAAGGATGATTCTAACGTGGTGCTATTGCGTGTTAGTAATCGAACTAGTAGTGAACCTGCATCGGCCAAATTGGCCGTAGGATCTACCAACTCGCAAAGCGATTTGTAGCAAGCCCGAAGCCCGTGCCACCCGACCAATAGGCTCCTTGAACTAGACATTTTCCTACAGAATATGTTCACTAGTGCATGCAGGCGGCGGCCAAGTTGGCCGTAGATGACCCCCGGGTCCAGCAAAAGTCTAGATATAAAACAGCGGTTTTGGTGTCGAAGAAAGATAGAGAAACAACAGAACGAGGAAAAATAACGAGGAAAATCACACGAAACCGAATAACGAAACACAATCATGGCCTCCAAGTCCACCACTGTTGCCCTGATCACTGGGGCCAATCAGGGCATTGGTCTGGCCGTGGCCACCAGCCTGGCCAAGAACCACGGCTACCATGTGATTATCGGATCACGCCGCCTCGAGACTGGCCAGGCCGAGGCAGACAAGCTGACGGTGGCCGGCTACGCAGCTTCAGCCGTGCAGCTGGACGTCACATCGGACGCGTCCATTAACGCGGCCGTCGCCACCATTGCGATCACGTTTGGGCGGCTCGACGTGCTGGTGAACAACGCGGGGGTCCTGCTGGACAGCGGCGCTGCATTTGCCAAACGAGAGGAGCTGCCGGTGCGCGAGATGTTCGAGCAGACGTTCCAGACGAACGTGTTTGGCGTGGCCGTGCTGACGGAAGCGCTGCTGCCGCTGCTGCGCAGGGCGATGCCTCCAGGTCCACGGCTGGTGTTTGTCTCCTCCAGCATGGCTTCGCTGCAACTGTCGACAGACAAGGAGACGGCATGGTACAAGTTCGACTACAAGTCGTACGACGCGAGCAAGGCGGCGGTGAACATTCTGATGCTGAACTACGCACGGATCCTATCCGATGATGGCGGCATGGTCAACTCGGCATGTCCCGGGCTTGTCAGCACCAGCATGACCTCAAACACGCCTTACGGCCATAGTGCCGACGTCGGCGCGCAGCGCATCGTGGAGCTGGCCACGCTTGGAGCGGGCGGGCCAACTGCAACGTTCTCTAACAAGGACGGACCGGTGCCGTGGTAAAGGGAGAGATGGGTTTTTCTAGATAGGCTTGAAATAGGGCACAATACACGATGTGCACATACCAAAATTTGTACTCGCCATGTTGCACGTGACTTTAAAAAGTGCCGATGGACTTCTTCTCAGCACAACTCACCATGCTCGCCGCTATGCCAAGCAAATGGCCCAACCCGTCTGCAGATGCGTTCCAGCTGTCCAAGGCTCTTTCCTGCTGCGAGCCTCCACACATGCTCTGTAACTGCATCAAATCGCCAATGGTCTGGAGGCCATCACCCCGCTGCAGTGTCAGGGCACGTTCCGATGCCCAATCGACGTCGGTTCGTGCCTCCCACAGTGTCTTAGCCGAGCAGAGTGGAATGCTCTGGAACTCGTCCATGTGTCCACACTTGATTCCTGTATACACAGAAACAATCTGACTAATCACAAAGAAGGTGAGCGCGGTCCTTGGAGGCTTTCGTATTAGCAAACACTGTCACTAGTTGGAAAGTAATCTTTCTCAACACACCGTATCTTGGATTCTGTTTGCACCCATTCTTCCCATTCTGTGTTGGCTGCAATGGTGGCCTCTCCATCAGGCATCCCGACCTCTGCAAAACGTGTGCAGAGAAGCTGCGTGTGAGTTTAGCATACGCTGGCGGCCATAGGAACCCAGTCTGTGAAGACAAGACTGCCCACCTTAAAGATCCACAGCAATTCATAGTTGAGCTCTGGAGGATCAATGGCCTCATCCACGACGCGCATGATCAAGAAGATCATCTGCACCTGAACGGATGCTAGGAGGTCCTCCTTCGACATAGAGTAAGCCTGAACAAAGAGTCAGCTGGAAAGCCTACATCCCCATCAAGAAGTCGCTTACGTTGTTCATGGCATGCTGACTCTCACATCGGATCGAGTGCCACAAAAAAGAACGCGTCTCTGGTGAACGTCCAGCGAACAATTGTGCGATTCCCATGCAGTTGGCCAGCGGTGCCGGCAGAGTTTGGGTGCCGCGGCCGTTCCGCGCGTGAATGAATGGTGGAAACGTCTCCCTTCGCAACATCATGGCCGGATAGGATCGCAGCACTTGGACCATGAGCCGCGTGCCATACCTGTGAACTGGATCTGTACTCGGGAGGCGAGTCAGGCAGTCGGGAAACTGTTGCAGCGGAAGGGACAGTGGAAGGCGGGTCTGTGTCTTCGAGGGACTATAGAGCGAGTTGGGATGCATGGATGGCATGGCGAGACTGTTGCCTCCCAGGTTGTCATAGTGAGAGTCGATAGAGCGAGACTGGGTATGAGAAAGGAGGGAGCCAGGACTTTGCGAATCTCCAGGAAGTAGGGCTCCATCCTCTGTGGTACCACGCATAGCCTCACTGTTGGTTGGCCCCAGGAGATAGCTGAAATCCGTGGACATGATGTCACAAGAAAAATCGACCATAGCGAAGCCTCTGCTAGAAAATAACAAGCCGGAATGAGGCCCCACGTCTTCTCCTGATATAGTATTAAAGACACTGCTGTCGGTACTCATTGCTGCTTCGGAGTCCATGGACGGCGCTATAGAATCGAGAAGGTTTGTACGTGTGCCGTGTCTCGGCGTAGATACTTTGGCGCTGGGCGTATCGTAGACGCACTCGGCCGCCTTTTCCCCACAGCGGCGACAAGGCAACTGAAAATTGCACTTAGTCTTGGAGTTACGGCACGAAAGGCATGCCCTCTTGCGTTTTCGAGGCCGAGCCTGTGCCTTTTGGCAGTAAGCCACATGTCGGCGATAGGCCAAAGCTAGGTGAGGTCAGATCAACCGTCTGAACATTGTGTTTGGTGTCGTGTCCAGCAGCCTTACCCGAACCCAAAAGTGGCTTGAAGCACAATTGACAGACACTCATTTCATTTATTTTTAAGATTCGGTTTACAGAGTACTGTAAACGATAGGAGGGGGGGTGAGGAGGTGAGGATGGGGAGTGGGGGGCATTTATCAGCAGGCCAGTGTTTAGAACAGTGTACACATTATATTCACTGTTCTGGGAAAATCTTTCATTTGGGAAGAGAGAAAGAGCTGCGTGCTAAGATTCACAGCTGAGATTTATTGCCATCTGGCTCGGGCTCTGGGGACTCTCCTTCCCAGATTTTCTGCTAATCTCTAATATCTATGATGACTTTTCTCTTTCAGCTCTGTTTTCGCACCCCGTTCTACAGTCCACGCAAGTTGATGTGCACTTAACACGATAAAGTCTTCTGTGTCGGTTATCTTTTTAACCTGAAAGATTCGGACCGCTTGCTGCGGGCTTCGGTAGCGTTTCTATTTTGTTGCAAAGCTATTTGATTTGGCGTGAGTTCGACGCTGCGGCTTCGTGCAATAAGGGTGTGTAGTAACATTATTTCGCGCAGGGAAATCGCAACCGATCTCATAGCCATTGAGAACTGTTATACCCACTGCACTATGTCCAAAAGTAGGGATCTCTATACCTTACATCGTGGTAGGAAGGGTTATGTAACTAAGTCTACTTTCAAAACATTGTACAGTCGTACAAGACTGCTGTCTAGTGTGCTGTCTGGTGTTTTATGAACACCCAGAGAATAAGAGTTAGCGCGATAACGAATAAGGCTGATTTGCCAATCATGGTTTTCTTCGAAGAGACGGTCTGCTGTTCTCGCAGGTGTCGTAATTTCAGGCTGCTTTGCAGTATGATCCAGAATTTCTGCCATGTTTTATCACTTCCAGAGCTCTGTGGCAATGAAGTTAGTTAGGAAAACGACAATAACGAAGGAAACCTCGGATTTTGTTGAAAACCCTACATTAAAAATATCATGTTTTCCCGTTAATCTTGATTACCCCATGCTTAGCTATGGTCCTATGAGTTTATTGTGCTCTCTAGATCGTGCTCTCTAGAGGCAGATCATTAGTGATGTGCACATAATTTTGAGTGCTGCGTCCGGCAGAAGTGACACAGCATTCACAAGGTTGTCAAAAAAAAAACATTAAAGGCACTCACCAAGCTAAGACCAGAAAACAACGGCACAAAAAGCCAATCGATAATGTGCTTTGAAGTGAGAACAGCACTGCACCCTCCCATAGAACAAGTCTGGATGATATTCGCCAGCGGCCTCTTTGTAGCACAGGCTAGGGGTAGCTTGTCACAACCGCTATCCACATTAAGGGTTAAGTTTGCCAAACCACACTTATAGGCGTGGATCTACATTATTGGAGCGGGAGTAGGCGAGCGCTCCCCTCCATGAAGAAGCCGAAATACTTGGTGAATTCGGCAACAAGCATATCGGCAAAACCCCGCACAAAAGAACTCAGGTAAGGTGAGCTCTGCAACCGGCAGGCCTGAACCGCATTGACATTGTCGAAAAAAGTTTGAATGTTTTCTTTTAGGTTTTCGCAACCGCAACTAAGCCCACACAGCACCTTTGTGGTCCACATTATATCCGGCTCAAAGATCAAGAAGGGGGGGGAAAGATGTCTGTTTGGGGATTATGTATTACTTGCTGCACAGCACAGCAATCACTGTTTCAAAGCTGTTAAAAAATTGAACATTATACATCACAGTTTTCAACAACTATTTAGTAACAGCTAGTACGGAGTACTTGGACAATATTGCAAGTCGTGAAATGACTTTTGGACTCTTACGACAAAATGACGCATGACAACACTGCAAACACAGAACACCAACCGTTATTACAATCACGAGCACCAGGGACGCGACCGAATCAGCCATCAGGTAAAAATGCACCTCTGTTGGCAGACGCGAACAACACGGGTTTGTCGAATAAGAATGCCGCGTTTCGCCTTTTAAAAAGATTACCGCGAAGAGCTGCCATATGCACTACTTAACTTCCCCAATCCGTGGCACGGGGTCCTGAGACGCCGTTTGCTCCACGGACGTATTAAGTCAAAATTCCGCGATTGAAATCGAGTCAATATTTGCCGTGAATGTGACGACATGGTCTACGAGTACAATGTGCACCTACTCACACAACTAGGGAACCTCATAAGTAAAAGGTCACAGAAGCAGTTTGTGATCGTCGTGGATTTTTTCATGGCAGTGGTGTGCGAGTGAGATTGCTATTGTATACAAACGAGAGGGCGTTTTGATTGGCTTGGTAAGAGCTTCTGTTTGGTTGTCTACTATACATAACGTGATCAGTAGATTATTAGCTGCAAGCTCACTTGTCCCTCAGAGCAAGAGGGCCTTGGCCAAATTTGTCTGCACCGCTTTCTCTTTCATTGTTCCGGATTGAGCAAAGTGCAGCGAATGCTACGAGGCACATCCTTAAATACTGGTATTTACTGCGCATCATTGACAACACTGTTTAGCCCGATGATATTTACACCTTCCGTGACAAAATCTCGTGATATAGACCTCATTTCCACCTTAACTGCGCCAACTGCAAGGAACCCCGCCTCAAGACGACCAGTCAATATCGTCAAACCCAACTAGCAGCCCTATTGTCGAATGCTAGATAACACACCAAAGTTTGAAGGCCGCTTTCGGTCAAGCATCAGATACAGACAACTAGCTTGACCATTTTCACAGAAAGAGTCTAAGCCACCGCACAAGCTTTCTCTGGCACTCTATGAGAACTTTCGAGAGTTGTAGGATGGAAAGCAAAAGTTCTACCCACCTCAAAGTGAACGGCCTAGCCATGCCTGAAAAGCTACATCATGGCAAACGGCACATAGACGAGGCTAAGACTGTGATTGGCACGGGGAGGCTAGATAAAGGCGCTCCCAAAAAAGCTCGATTCAACTCACCAAACTCAGATGACAACACTACACCGGACAATGATTCGGGGTTTGAAATGCTAGATATAAAGGAAGATTCGGGGGAGGAGGCGTTCTCTGCTTCCGACGTTGCTCACTCGCCGCTTACCAAAAGCGTGCCTAGCAACATCTTCCTTCCGACCCCCGGCATGCTTTACATGAGCAAGTCTGATGAAACTGAGGAGTCATGCATCGCCATGGTGCTACCGTATTATGCCGATATTGGATTCCCCCCTCACAACAATTTGTCATCTGAATTCGAGGGACATCACGAGATGGAAATGTCGCCAACGACACGAAATGTTCATGTCAATAAGGCATTTGTCCAGCACTTTGGCTGGGATTTGCCGATCAGCGAAGGTGAAGAGACAACAAATGATAGATCGGCCCCTGCTGTAGTTATCAGCGGGTAAGTGCGATATATCTGGGCAGACTTGCTGTGTGTGCTGATGCTGCCCTCAGGACTCCACGAAACGCTTCGGTTCCGCTTCGGTCGCTCATGTTATTCAGTCAGAACCCAGAAGCTCTCCGCGAAATCGGGGATGTTGACGAGGCTCTGGACTTGTACGGCCAAATTCGAACACGCCAGGACCTCCAAGCATTGGATAAACTCATGACTAAGAATTGTATACCTTCCCAATTGACTTTTAATGTTACTCAAGCCAAGAACACGGTTAACATATCCGAACCAGACGAGGGATGTAGTTTATCCGATTCTGCTCTCGAGCAACTGCTGGTTGTTGGGACGATAGATGATGATACCGTTAATGGACCATATATGACCGAGGGCAGCAAAGAGCCCGAGTCATCAGAAGGCAACCATGGTATCACAGTGCAGATTCAACAGGAGCTACCTGGAGATACCCGTCCTCTTCCAAAACTGCGCAATGCTGTCTCTCCTGCCAAATCTGTGGCAAGCACTTCAAACGACACTATTGTTGACGTTGAAGGGGTAACCAGGAGACGCCGTTTTACCCACGGCGACACTGTCGAATACGGATGCCACGGAAGGCCCGCTTCGCCAACAGCCCATCAGACCCACCAGACGACGACGGGATCTTTGCATTGACCCCATCAGGTACCCCAAATCCGGAACGACAGCCTTCGCCATCCGGTTTTGTCGAGCAATACCCAGTGTTCAATGAAGCTGCTATGCCCGGTCAAGAATTCCTCGTCCAGGTCTACTGGCTCGGCTCAAGCCGTCTATGGTCAGGTACAGACTCTGGCCGACTAATACGTTTAATGGAGAACGTCGAAGAGGGCATACTGGAAGGACGCAGTCGGGACTTGGACGGAATGTCTGTTTTTATAAGACTGCGATGCAACCCGTTCTACCTCCAAGGCCAAACGGAGGGATGTCGCCAGAAAAAAATCGAAACCGAAGCCGGCCAAGCCCGACATTGAGATTCGGGTCGATCCGCGGGAGGTAGAGTCTATAGGCATGGAGCAGGGTGGCAAAGAAAGTGCGTGTGTGGTAAGGCTGCAGACAGCACAGAAGCGGGTGCAGCGGTTGCAGTTTCGCTCGCAATACATTGCAGCAGATAATCGAACAGTACCGGCTCGCATTCAGGCACGGCGATTCTGCAAGTGGGTGGGGGAAAAGAATTCAAGCGTGCGGTACGACGGAGACAGCGGCAATGATGCTGTTCGAGGGTAAGATGGCAGGCATAACTACCTCCCTTCTTTTCAATTCGCTAATAGGTAATTTACAGACAGTCTAGGCTTTGTGTGAACAAATTTGCGACGGTAACCATTGACTGATCCGGACAGTGTGGATCGCGGGAATTTAGTGGATCAGACGCAAGAGGGGCAAACTGTATTTGCAAAAGAGTCGATGAGGAGTCGACAGTGCGCCGGGAAGCGAATAGAATGGGAGAAAATGATGGGATCTGACCGCTTTTATACAAAATAGCTGACACCTGCTGTTCTCGCGACTATTGCAGTCACATGCAAAGCGTTACAGGTAAATCCGGGCCGTCTATTGGCCGCTCCCAACTGTTCACGTGCGCAGCGAAGGAGTTGGCACCCAAAGGGACGGCAGTCGCGGCCGAGGCGTTGCTTTCGTTCCGTGGCTGTCCAATATCCCATACCCCCTTAGCTCGGGTTCGAAATTGCCTCTTTTTTCGCTATCCTGCCAAACGCTATCACGAGCACTCCTGACACTATATCAATCTCGGCGCGTGTTCTTTCTTCTTCATCGCTCTCCTGTGCACGTGCGGTCTTCCTCATTCGGGTTGGCCCCACGCATCCGACCTCGCACGCCACACCCATAAACGCGCCTGCCTACGACCCAGCTGCCCATGACGTGGTGTCCTCTATAAATTAGCGGAGCTGTAGGCTTAATCATTTTTGCTCTCGTCTCACATTGCCGTGTTAATGGCTGCTCTGGTGAGTTCTCCTTCCTACATTATCTTTCTCTTTTCTTCTTTACCGTCTTCTTCTTTCCATCTCGCTCCTTCCGGTCCTGGTAGCACATCGTGGGCATCCTTTCCTGTTGCATGCGAGGTACCGAGGCGCCCTGTCGCACCTCCTGCTTTCTCCGCATTCTGGGCTGCTGTGGTCTTTCCTCAACGTGCTGCAGGGTAAATTGGCTGGTAAAAGTGGGTCTCTCGCAAGGCAACTTCGGCGCCAACGACGTCAGTCGCTTTTTGCAAAAGCTGGCTAAACTGGCTCTCGCGGATTCTCATTCTGTCCTCCTTTGTACCTTTTGCCTTTTCATTTCTGCGTCTTCCATCTGTGCCCATTCCCGTCCCTGCTACATACCGCTACCACACCACCACCACCGCACCTGTCGGTATCTCATGCGGCCTCACACGGCCAGTTCTCTTTTGAATACGGGCTGATCAATCTCTTCCTTCGTCATCTCCCCTCGAATTAGGATACGCCGTGGCTCTCCATGTCCGCTCCTCGAACATCTTTCCTCCATCCCGATTCGGCAGACCGCCATGGCCCGTCCAGTCCTGGCTCCTCGTCGATGTCGGCTAACAACGACGGCAACGACCCCTATGCGCCAAAGCCCACCTACGCGACCTTTTCCCCCGTAGCCGCCCTGTCTGGAGCCTCGACAGCTTCTTCAGCAGCGAAACGGCGCAGCGTCATCCTCGTCCACCAAAAGTCGCCGTTACTGCTTGCGACACCTCCACAGATCACTCGTGCGCTCGCCTACAGCCACCCATACCTGCTGCCCCTCAACAAGCTTGCCGGACTGCTCAGCTGGACCACGGGTGATGCCTGGGAGAGCTTTGTGATGGTGCTTGTCTGGTGGGGGCTTGTGCTGTACGGCGACTCTGTCATCCGTGCGGCTGGTCCCATACTGCTTGTTCTCACACTGATCGCAGGCATGTACGGCCGGCGCTACAGCCCCCTTTCCAGCAGCGGCTGGAGCACGGAAGATGCTGCAACTGAAAGCAGCGGAAAAGATAGCAGCAGCAGCAACAGCAGCAACAGCGGAATGCTTGGTGGTGGCCTCAGCTACTTCTTTTTTGGCTACGGCGCCGGTGGCGCAAACGGCACAGCGTCAAAGACCGGGCGCGATGCGGCTTCGACCAAGAGCAGATCGAGGGCAAAGAACCAGAGCATCGACAGCTCTGGCGCGAGCACAAAGTCTGCCAGCAAGGGCAGCCACAGTGGCAGTCTTGCTCCGGCCAACGCTTCTGGACATCAGCGCAATGTCTCGGAGGTTGTCACGCATACGCGCCACCAAAAGACGCTGGACGAGATTGTGGGGACGCTGAAGGAGTTCACGGCCCGCTGTAACCTGCTGTTGGAGCCGCTGCTAGAGCTGACAGACTTCCTGTCAACGCAATCCACACCCATCAGCGCAACGACACGACCGGCCCTGACGGTCCTCTTTGTGCGCATTCTTCTCTGCACACCCATCTGGTTCTCCCTAACGCTGCCACCACTGCGTATTATCACCACTCGACGTACAATTCTGGTCTTTGGCACGGTCATCTTGACGTGGCACTCGCAGGCCATGCGCGTAAGCCGGACGATACTGTGGCGAAGCGCAACGGTGAGGAGGGGGGCAGCGTTGGTGACCGGCCTGGAGTTCGATGCGCCTGTAAAGGCGACAAAGGCTCCGTCGTACGTGACCGCCGGTGGCCCCGATGCGCTTGCCGAGTCAGGAGCGACGCCGGCAGCGGCAGCGGCAGCGGTGCAGTCCAAACTGTCAAGCACACGACGTCCTCGAGGACCATCGACGCCGCGCGAGTCGGAGCTCACAAAGGCCATTAGGAGGGCCAGGGCGGGTCACGACGCGGGCGTGCGGTTCACATTCATCTTGTATGAGAACCAGAGGCGGTGGGTGGGCCTGGGATGGACGACGAGTCTGTTTACATACGAGCGGCCGTCTTGGACAGACGAGCACAACAATGCAGTGCCTTCCAAGGACGACTTTGAGCTGCCCGAGGTGGAGGACGGCAGCAAGATGTGCTGGCGATGGGTGGAGGGCAGTCGGTGGCGTGTTGATGGGGTCGTCGATGACGCGGTGCGGATCGAGAAAACCGGGGCGTTTGGCGAGCACACCGACACGTGGGACTACGACGGTGATGGTGGACGGATGGGATGGGTGTACTACGACAACAAGGTGAGAGGGGAAATCTGCTGCGGACGAACGTGATGCTCTGGAGACAGACGACTGACATTTGCAGTGGCAAAACGGGCGGCGAGGCCAAGACAGCTGGAACCGATGGACGCGCCGGCGGAAGTGGTATCGGGATGCCGAGCTCGTCGAGGTGGACGCCGAGGATTCGCTCACGCCCGACAGTGAGGCCAACATGTCGACGCCGACACTGTCGTCGCAGCAGTCGACACCACAAGCGCGGGGGTCGTCGCCGGCACCGTCACATTCGGGAATTGCGACGGCCTGGATGGGTGCTAACGGTACTCTGGAAAAGCGGAAGAGCGGTGACAGCAGCGGCGACCATGACGAAGTGGACACCGATGCCATATCGCTGATGTCGACGTCATCGAGGTCCGGGCGCAAGAGGCCGTCTCTGCGACGGCGGGTAACGGATGCCAGCGTGCGGGGTTCGGCGGCACCCACGGTAACGACGACGGCCACGGCGATGGCCATGTCGACTAACGCAAGGCGGGACGGCGACGGTATGGGCGAAGAGGACGCGGCAATGCTGAGCTCCAGCGCCGGGGTGAAGCTGCATGAGCCTCGGGTGGGGAGCTGGGGCATCGGTGACGAGGCCCAGATGAGCTTGGAATAAGGGATCGGGTGGAATTGTAATGTTATTGTTCGGCTGTACGGAGTACATACGACCAGGACGAGGATAACGGATCAGCAAGGATGAAGTTGCGAATTTGACGCTGTGCCCCACCAACGGACCTTTTGCTTACGAATTCGTAGGCGGCATTCCGGTTTTACGTTGTTGGGCGGGAAATTAGCCTAGACTGTTTGGGCATAGCGGCAGGGACATCTTTATGACAGACAGACTAGCAATGGTGAAGCGCTGTCAAAGTCTTGGTATCGTAGTGACTCCGTACAGGATTTATCCATATGAGGAGTGGATTCTTTAGGGGAAGGAAGGCACAGGTGGCTGTCCCCATGCCGCTTCCCCCTAAACGGGCCAGCAGGGGAGGGTCAAATGGCATACGCACGCATTTTGCAATTTTGGGCATTGCATTTGGCCATTGATTGCAATTCCCGTCATTGCGAGCAATTCGGCCACAAACGACACACGAACGAGCCGGCCGCCGATTCAGTGACCTCGTCTCGAACCCGAACTCGACCGCGTTTTCCTGCCGTCTCTTGTTCTTCCCTTTCCCTTCCGACCTATCGACGGCTTCACGTGGTCTCTTCGACCCACATCCATGGACGCCAATGCTGCCACGACACTCGACTATGGCGGCGAGAGCAGCAGCAGCATGCGGGAAGACGACGACGACGACATACGCATGGGCGCGCGACCGGCAATAGGCCGCAGCCACGGGGGCTACGGGGACAGAGAGCGAGACAGGCCGAGCAGCGGCCGTGCTCGACCGCGTGCCGAAGGAGCCATCCGGCGGGTTCTGCGCTTCTTCCGAGCGCAGTCTGACCGTGGCTACCGCCAGCTGCGGGATCGCGTGCCGCAGGCGTGTGAGGAGCAGCAGCAGCAACATCAGCAGCAACATCAGCAAAATCAGCAACAGCGACAGCTGCACGCGTACGATGACGTGCCAATCTCCTGCATGGAGTCCTTCCGCGAGATGATTCTGTCCTCGTGGCTCAACCTGCTGCTCGTCTTCGTGCCCATCGGCATGGTGGCATACCTGACACACATGAACCCCATTGCCGTGTTCACGTCCAACGCGATTGCGGTCATCCCGCTGTCGTCGCTGCTGACGGCTGCGACCGAGCGGGTGGCCAGCGATGCCGGCGACGCGGTCGGCGCCCTGCTGAACATCAGCCTCGGCAACTTGGTCGAGTTGATCCTCTTGTACGTCTTCTGGCTCTGTTTTCCCTCTTTCACGCTCGTGCTAATGCTGTCTTAGTATGTGAGCCTTCCGGTCAGGCCACCCTCTTTCTTCGTTCCCTACTGACGAGCTCCACCCCGACAGTGTCGCCCTCGTGAACAATCACATCCGTGTCGTGCAGGCGTCCATTCTGGGCTCGATCCTGGTCAACAGCCTGCTGATCCTGGGCACGGCTCTCCTGGCCACCGGCTTGAGCGACAATGAGCCGGTCTACAACACGGCCGAGACGCAGCTGCTCAGCTCGCTGCTTTTCGCCTCCGTCTTTGTCTTTTTGATGCCGGTACGTTTTTTGGCCCCGTTTTGCTTTGGCTCATTGTCCTGTTTGTTCACCTGCTGACTAAGCGACAGACTGCCTTTGGTTACACTTTCGACCACACAAAGGTGTCCAAGGCGACGCTCAAGATGAGCCGGGTGTCGTCGCTGATGGTGCTGCTGATCTACCTGCTGTACTTTGTACACGAGCTCAGGGCGCGTCCGGTCCGGAACACTGACGTCCCGTCCGACTACGATATTGAAAGCGATGGCAATGGTAACGGCATTCCCATGAGCATGACAGAGATGCAACCGCCGATGATCGTCGCCAACGGACACGCGATCAGCAACATGAACCAGGCGCGGACGATCCGCTTTGCCGACGAGGGCTACGAGACGGCCACGACAGCCACGACGGCATCGACGATGACGACGGCATCCGTCCGTGACGTGGCCAACAAGGTCCTGCCGGTGCTGACGCCATTCAGCCAGATCGAGATGGACCGCTTTGACCTAAACGCAGCTACAGACGCGGCGACCGGTAGCCACGAGGGCGACCTGGCCTTGGAGGGCCGTGGACGCCCCAACGACGGGGCCGTCTACACCAGCGGACGGACACAAACGTTTATGCCGCGGTCACGGTCGCGCACCAACTCGCACACGCGGCCACCATCATCGCTGCGCTCGCAGCCGTTCCAGATGCAGATGCAGCCGCCACCGCCATCACCGCCGCTGCCACCGCCGTCGCGATCGGGACACACGCGCAACATGTCGATCGAGTCACTGCAGGTGCGGCCAGGTCGGGCGGCCTCGGTCTCGGGCGTGCCGGTGGGCATGTCGGGGGTGGCAGGTGCATACACCACGACGGGCAGCACAGCAGGTGTGCCGGGACATGCTGGGATGGCCGGCTTCGGCGGGCTCGGCGGCCCGGGGTTGATGCGATCGGGACTGGCGGCGCTGCAGATCATGCGAGAGAGCCGGACAAGCCTGGACAGCAACGACGCGCGGCCGGTGCCGGTGCGGCGTCCACGTCCGGCGGGCGAGTTCATGATGTCGGTGATAGTGCTGATGGTGGCATCGGGGCTGATGTCGGTCAACGCCGAGTTTCTCGTGGACACGATCGACGCGGTGACACATCAGGGCCACCTGTCGGAGTCGGTGATCGGGCTGATCATCCTGCCGATCGTCGGCAACATTGCCGAGTACGTGACGGTGGTGTCGGTGGCGATGCGCGACAAGCTGGACCTGGCCATCTCGGTGGCGATCGGGTCATCCATCCAGATCGCCCTCTGCGTCACACCGTTGACGGTTGGTGCCGGCTGGATCCTCAACCGCAACCTGTCGCTCACCTTTAGCTTCTTTGAGATGTCCGCACTGGTCGGCACCGCCCTGCTGGTCGGCCTGCTGGTCTCAAGCGACGGCGACCGAAAGTTGCGGACATGCGGGCTCAAGGGAGCGCTGATGTGCGCGTGCTACGTGATAATCGGGTGAGTGTGTGTGCGATGTCAGCGTGTGTGAAGCGTGCAACGTATACTGACCAGACAGGTTTGGGGCATATCTGTCTCCCAATGAGTAGGAGGATCTACGAATTTGTTATGCATAGAGAGGGAAGGGAGGGGATGGGGGGCTTCATGCGCTCGACAGCCTGCTGCTTTTTGTCAGCCCGCTGTTTTTACTTGTTTGTTCTCTTCCGATTTCTTCGCATTTCTGGTACATTCTTCTTGCGTCTTGTTCACTAGATTCCATGGCATCTGGGCATTTTCTGTTTCTCCCATACATCCCATTCCACCTCTCCCGATCCTTACATAGATGAATGATCTTGTGGTTTACGAAACATCATGGTATGCTCAGGGCTATTTAGCAACTTCTTAGTGTATACATAGGAGAGGCATTATTCGTTACAGCAAGCACAGCCGTTCTGTGTTCGAGGAGGGCCGGCCTATGCGTGCAGGATGACGGTCTGGGACTGGGAGAACTCGAGGAGGCCCCACTCGGCGCCGAAGCGGCCAAAGCCGCTAGACTTGCTGCCGCCGTGCGGCAGGGTAGCCTCGTCGTGGACAGTAGGCGCGTTGATGTGGACAGCGCCAACGTCGAGGCGGCGGGCGAGCTCGAGGGCCCGGTGGTGGTTGCGCGACCAGACGGCGGCCGAGAGACCATACTCGGACGCGTTGACGACGCGCTCGGCCGCGGCCTCATCCTCGACCACGACGAGTCCGAGCATCGGCCCAAACGACTCCTCGGCAAAGTAGTGCATCGCCGGCGTGAGGTCCTCGACCAGACGGAAGGGGAGGTCCTGTGGTGGCGGCGGCAGTCCGCTCCGGCTGCCCGCTGTCGCCGTCGACAGCACCGTCGCGCCCTTGCTGACCGCGTCAGCCACCAGGCCCTCGAGCTTGGCCGCGCTGCGTGGCGAGATGACCGTCCAGCTGGTCCCGTCAATCTGCCGGAGTGCCTTCTGCAGCTCGGCCTTGAAGGCGTCGGCGACCGCGCGGACGACGACGACGAGGTCGGTCGACATGCAGATCTGGCCGTTCTGTGACGGTCAGCGGGGAGGGGAGGATGGGGGGAGGAGAAGGGGGAAGGACCAGGGGAAGGAGAAAGGAGAAAAGGAAAAAAGGGGAGTGGGGGGAAAGAGTATTAGAAAAAGAAAGGAGAAAAAAAAGAAAAAAAAAACCCACATTCAAAGAGGCCCCCATGAGGACGGCCTCTGCAGCCCTCGGCAGATCGGCGTCCTCCAGAACAATGGCCGCGTTCTTGCCGCCCAGCTCCAACAGCACCGGCTTCAAGGCCTGTCCGGCCTTCTGGGCGACGATCCGGCCGACAGCAGTCGAGCCGGTGAAGTTGATCTTGCGCACAGCCGGGTGCTTGATCAAAACGTCGACCACGTCAGACGCATCTTCTGGCCGGTGCAGCACGAAGTTGACCACGCCGGCCGGGAAGCCCGCCTCAACAAACAGGTTGGCGATGAAGTAGTGTGTTCTCGGACTGAGCTCGGAACCCTGCAGATAACATGATTAGTCATCACAAAGAGACGCGGTTAGGGTTGGCTTGCCTGCTTGCTTACCTTGAGAATGGCGGTGTTGCCAGCAGCAACCGGGGCGACGACGGCACGGAAGCCCAGGAGCAGCGGCGCGTTCCAGGGCGCAATGCCGACGACGATGCCCAGGGGACGGGTGAAGACCATACCGTAGGACCCGGGTGCTGCGGTGTGCGGCATGGACCCTCGGACGGCGGTGGATGTGAGCATGGCGGCAGTCTCCTCGATGAGGCCGATGCTGCCCTGGAGGTTGATATCGGCCCAGAGCTCGGAGCAGTGGATCTCGGCTTGGGTGAGCGCCTTGGCCTCGTCTCCGCGTTCGCGGAGCAGCTAAGCATCTGTCAGTGATGATCGGCCACATGGACGCCTACATCCACGTACAGCAGCGAGCTTCATAAGGAGCTGTCGTCGAGCGATGGGCGACTCATGGGACCACGTCTCGAAGGCGGCCGCGCTGCTCTCGATGGCGCGCTGGCAGTCGTCGACATCGGCGCCCTGGAAGTAGCCACCCGGCAGGAGGTGGCGCCGGCTGCTGTCGAGCTCGTTCAGCACCGTCTCGCCGTGGAGGACGAGAGGGATGGCGTGCTCGACGACGTCGTCCTGCTCGGCCGTCTCGATCTGCTCGACATACTCGACGAACTCGACCTTGGACGAGGTCGGCCGCGCGCCCGTGGGGAGTGCCGTTACTGCAAGCATGGTTTCGTTCGCGTGGGTCTTATTTTTAATTCGGCTGTACAGCGCTCACCGAACCAGACAAACGACTGGGCGCGGGGACTGGACGAACTTATAGCCCCATGGTTGGCTAGCGGCTGAGAGCGGGGCATCTTCGGGGAGCCTCCCGCACAGGCTGAGGGCTGTCTACAGACCGGCAGTACGGCATTGCAGGGAGTCTGGGGCTGTGCACTAATGGACGCTCTCGGTCCTAGTTTTTGTCCACTTGTGGTCATGCGAAGAAGGCGTGAGGGGTAGGCGCCCCTGTCCGCACGGAGCAGGCTTGGTGATAGTGGCAGGGCAGATCTCTGTGGAGTGAGATGAAGAAAGGAGTGGCGGTTAGGGTGGTCATAATCTGGGCAAATTTGCCTCCCCCCATAAAATAGTGACACCGACAGGTGGAGGCCGGTGAAGGTGGCGAAATACGTCTTTGGACACGGAGGTGACAAGTCCGTTGCATCCTACGTGGACGTGTAGATACATCGTTTGTGGTGCTTACAATGCAATGTGATCTGCACGAGCTGACAGAGTTATGCTGCAGATGATGCATGCGGCCCACTGTTATCACAATCAGGTCTTCATGTCAGCCCATGCTCCTCAACTTGTCTAGCTCGAACTGTACAAGACCAAGCCACACGAGACAGACAACTAGAAAAAGTATTCCAGCGGTCCAGGGACCCGCACAATCACACGGTCAAACGCCTCCCGCGCCCTGCGCCCGAAATAGTAGAGCGGGATGGCGAGGAGAAGGGGTAGGGTGACGACCATGAACATGATCATGTACACCTGGATCCAGCCCTGGGACTTGATCCAGTCGACGGCCACGTACAGAAACAGGAAGGCGACCAGGTTCTTGACCACGTTGACGGCCACGAGGATCTCCTGGGAGAACTCGGGATAGCAGTCAAGCAGATAGGTCATGGCGATGTTGGGCGCGTAGACGGTCCCAAACGAGACCATGCCGAAGCCGACGGCGATGGCGGACCAGTGCAGCGACCGGTCGCAGGCGAACGCGATCAGGATGCAGCCGGCCGGGCCGATGAAGCAGCCGGGCAGGATGGAGACGAGGCGCTGCTCGGGCACAAAGGTGCCGCGGTTGCGGATGATGAGCCGAGCCGTGATCACGTCCGAGATGTAGCCGCCGCCGTAGCAGGCAAAGACGAAGCCGATGAGGGCCGCGATCTGCATGAGCCCGACGCTGCTGGCGGCAAAGAGATACGGTGGGGCCAGGAGCAGCGACGGGAAGGAGAAGCTAGTCGATGTTAGCGACCAGACAGTAAGAGCCGGAAGAGCTGCCGGGACGTTGCTTACATCATGATGACCTGCGCCGCCAGAGAGCTGCCGTAGATAAAGATGGTCCAGAGCACGGGCACGCAGAGGACAAAGGCAAACGGCATGGCAAAGGCGCGATGGAGCCGCACGAGGGGGTTGATCTTGAAAAAGGACGTCCAGACACGCGGGTACGAGATGGGAACGACCGGGACGGTGCCGACAGCGACGGCAGCAGCGGCTGGCACGGCATTCTCGACCCGGCTGGACATGCCGTCAAGCTCTTCCTTCTTGGCCGGGTCGCTGGCGAGGTCGAAAGAGCCAGAGGGTGTGTCCTCGTCGGTTGACGGTCGAATGAAGGAGGATTCGGGATAAAAGAAGAAGATGGCGACGAGGGTGAAGCCGGCCAGGGAGGCAGATACCCATTCGTAGTCCCGCCACGTTCCCGGGCTGTCCTGGACGACGAAGCCGGCGATCAGGGGGCCGACTGCCGAGCCGCACGAGATGAAGATGACATAGCTACGAAGGGGTTAGCCAGTGTTGGAGGCACGACACATTACACGGCTGGTCACTGACATGGCCATCATCGCTCCTCGCTCGTGCAGGAAGAACATGTCGGACACGATGCCGGGGAGGATGCTCTGAGAAGATGGTGAGTAAATCGGTTCTTTTTCTTTCTTTCTTTCTTTCTTTCTTTCTTTCTTTCTTTCTTTCTTTCTTTCTTTCTTTCTTTCTTTCTTTCTTTCTTTCTTTCTTTCTTTCTCTTTCTTTTTTTTCTTTTTTTTCTTTTTTTCCGTGTCACAAAGACATACCTCGCCAGCGGCAGATGCAAAGCCTAGGATGCATCGAGAGGCCAGCAGCTGGTTGAATGTCGTGGCCTTGGCCGCCCAGAGAAGGGTGGCAAACATGATGGTCGAGGAGATTAACAGCATCGGACGCTTGCCGAATTTGACCGACAGTGGCACCCAGACCAGGTTGCCGATGCCGAGGAGGAGGAAGTTGAACTGGGCCGTCAGCATGCGAACTCGTTCATCCAGAAGTAGAGCAGACGCACAGTCAGCAGCTTGTTGATCTCCTGGCCGGACTTGTGGAACTGCATCTCGAGCAGCACAGTCGCGACCGAGAGACCGGCATTGGCAAAGTTGCCGACAAAATTGAAGAAGGTGGTGACGACGAGGGCCAGCAGCTTGCCGCTGCGTGGCCACCGCAACGGGTCCCGCGGATCGCTGGACGGTGGCGGCCACAGTCCGAGGCCGTGATGGCTCTTGGAGCCGGCATCTATGGCGATGTGCTCGACAATGTGCGAGATATGGTGGCCACCGTCGGCGTGATGTTCAACAGTCGGCTCCATCGTACAGACCACTTGGCCCAGTCGAAAATGCAATACGACAAAAACAGAACACGAAGAGAACAGAAAAAACAGACATCGGAACATGGAAAGAGAGACAACGACAGCCTCTCACAGCCCCGTCTAATAAGCGAAATTGGCTTCTTCCCCATGGGGAAGGACCCCGCGGGGAACCGTCGGCAGCTTAGCGTCTTCGGGAGTGGTTCCGCGCGCCCTGCACATCACGTGACGCGTGCACAACGCTTGTGAACAGCCCCTTGTGCCAAGGAGACGCCGGGACATACGATCGGCAATTGCTGTGCCAATCTGGCCTCAGTGATGTCCAAGCAGCCCCCCTCCTTGGCCCAAGCGCATGTCATAGCCAACAGCCATGCAACTGCCGACGTGACATTCTTGCTTCGTGGCTAACCATTTTCTACTTTGTGGAGGCGAGTACACGTATGCGGGATAATGTGGCAGAAGTACTCCATCTGCCTCATGCGTTCGTCCTGCAAATGCCGAGGGATAATCCGACAGCCCCGGCGGCAGTACGGAACTACGGGAGGCTGCCGTCAATAGAAAAGGTCTTAAAGCGGCACGGAGAAGGCGCTTTCTGAGGATCTGGCCAGCTGCAAAGAGCCAAGGAAAAAGGCCGAATTACTGAGCGGCCATTTTAGCGCTGAAGCACGCGATCTCCTCTTTGCATCCTACCCTATCACACCGACACGATGGCGGGACACTTTCGCGGCAGCATGCCGGCCGTCAGCACGGCATACCCCCAGCAGCCCCAATTTTCCGGCTTCATGAAGCCATGCCGGTTCGAGGGTGAGGTCGGCAATCTGGAGATTGAGGGCACGCTGCCGCCCGAGATCAACGGCACCTTTTACCGGGTCATGCCCGACCCGCAGTTTCCGCCGTACATCCTGGACGACCCGGTACGTGTGTTGGTGTTGGTCCCTGTCCTTGTCCTTGCTGACGGTGACAGTGGTTCAACGGCGACGGCAACGTCAGCGCCTTCAAATTCCACCACGGAGCAGTCGACTTTAAGCAGCGCTATGTGCGCACGGAAAAGTTTGTGCGCGAGCGGGAGGCCAAGCGGACGCTTCTGGGTGAGTGACGGTGCCCATGGCGGCCACGTGTCGGTCTAACTGGGCTCGCAGGCAAGTACCGCAACAAGTACACGGATGCGGTCGACTTCAAGATCCGCACGACGGCCAACACCAACATCTTTTACTTTAACAAGATGCTGCTGGCCATCAAGGAGGATGCGCTGCCGTATGCCATGGATCCGATCACGCTCGAGACCATTGGCCTGCACGACTTTGACGGCCAGATGCCCAGCCTGACGTACACGGCCCATCCCAAGGTCGACCCGACGACCAAGGAGATGATCGGGTTCGGCTACGAGGCCCGTGGCGACGGCACGCCCGACGTCTGCTACACCAACGTCAGCCCAGACGGCAAGGTCACCCAGATTGTCTGGCTGGTGGCGCCGGTCGTGGCCATGATCCACGACTTTGCCGTGACGAAGAACTGGGTCGGTCTTTGGTGGTTGGTCTTTCTTGTCATGGCTGTCCATGGGCTAACCAGACAGGTCCTCTTTCCCATCATCCCGCAGGTCTGCGACCTCGAAGAGATGAAGAAGGGCGGCGAGCACTGGCGGTGGGACTCCAACGTGCCCTTTTACCTCGGCGTGCTCCCGCGTTATGGTGCGACGGGTGCGGATGTCAAGGTGAGAAGCTTTTTTTTTTTCCTTCTTCTTTTTTCTTTTTTCTTTTTTCTTTCTTCCCCGCTAACCCCACAGTGGTTCCGCGCACCCAACGCCTTCCCAGGCCACACGACCAACGCGTACGAGAATGAGGCGGGCGAGATCGTCTTCGACCTCCCGCTGACGGACAAGAACGTCTTCTTCTGGTGGCCCGACGCTCAGGGCAACGCGCCGGCACCGCAAGACATCCACGCGCGCTACGTACGGTTCACGTTCGACCCCAAGACGGACAACCTGGACCTGCCGGAGCCGGAGGTGATCCAGGACTGCGACATGGAGTTCCCGCGCATCGACGACCGGGTCGGCACCCAGCGTCACCGCCACAGCTTCTTCGATGTCATGGTGCCGTCGGCCGGCACCGACTTTGCGGCCATCATGCCGGTGCTCGGCGGCGGCCACCCGCTGTACAACTGCATCGGCCACCTGGACCATGAGACCGGCCTGTACGAGACGTACTCACCTGGCCGCACGCACATGGTACAAGAGCCCATCTTCGTGCCGCGATCCGACGACGCGCCCGAGGGTGACGGCTTCGTCATCGTGCTCGTCAACAACTACGCCACCCAGTCGAGCGAGCTGCACGTCGTCGACACCCGGAACTTCTCCAAGGCCCAGGCAATCGTGCGCCTCAACATGCGTCTGCGCGCCGGCCTGCACGGCAACTGGGTCGATGCGCGGGAGCTGGAGGCATAGATGGTCGAGCCGAGACGTGCACCAAGCACGATGACGTACATGTGCGCGAGTATTCTTGTTTCGACGGCAGACTGTTATCGGCCTGGCAGTGTATATAGGTGTGAAGAATGACAATTTTATGCGCTATGCAAATGATGTCATCAGTCGTTTGTGACCGGAGTACTTTGTACATCGTAGAGGTGCTCGATGCTTATGTATGCTTTAAACCTGATTTGGTGCATCGTACGTCGTTCCCACAAAAGCATCCACTATTATAACGATCTGCCGGACAACTAAAACGAACCAGACTTTGATGCTGGAGGGATTGGGCGGAAAAGAGGGTCGGCAAATGAAGCAGCGACGCAATGACGGTCAACCAAGCTGAACTGTCGGAAACATGCGAACCTCAAACATAGACGGCAAGACCCACGCTTTCCACGGGGCATGCATCAAGAAGCAAAGGAAGGGGCAACGACGATCCCCAAATCAAGCTGGTGATCCAGTTGTATATATATCTGCTTCTTCTTTCCTTTGTTGGTGTGTTTCTCTCTTCTGTCTTATTCCTTTCAACCTTTGCATCTTGTATACAAGTGTTCTTCCATTCTCCACAGCTGGACTGTGCATTTATAACTTTTCGGACTTCCCAATTCAAGACTTTCATACTGTCCTCGACCATCTCATCAAACAAACGACCTCCCACAGGAACAATAACAAAAACGCAAAACAGCCAAAATGAAGTTCAACTTTGTCATTCTTGCCAGCTTTGCTGCCGTCGCACTGTCTCACCCTATTGAAAAGCGGGCCGATGCAACGACTGCCGCGCCAGCGACCACCACGGCTGCTGCAACCTCCGGCGGCGATGTCCTCTCGCCGTTGCTCGGTGGTCTGACCGGGGTTGTAGGCTCGGTTGTAGGCACAGCCGAGTCTGCTACCGGCGGCTTACTGAAAGGGGTCGGCGAAGTTGCGGGCGACGCCGAGACCGACGTGCTCGACCCTGTCGTGAGTGGTGTTTCCGGTGCAACATCTGGTATTTTGTAGGCGAAGAGGGGAGAAGAAGTTGTGGACTCTACTGTTGGGGGATGAGGGCTTGGGTTGTATTTATTACGCTTCTGTGTAAGCGGCACTATCTTGTGAATAGAGCATGACCATGCTGTAGTGCAATCCGGAAGACTGATCAGTTGAGAACTCTGCGTGTGCAATTAAGTTCGAGAAGGGCATCGGCACCGTGCTTTACTTCAACATTCCTATATACAAGCTTTTATACAAGTTCTAGTACAACACGCAACAGGGTTTTAGCGCCCATACACAGTATCGAGGATAGATCCGATGTAGGCAATTCCCTCGGCGCGATAGGTGTCCGGCTGGATATAGGCCAGATCAGTAACATTGGCGTCAAAGACAATGTTGGCTGCATTGTCCAGCGAATAGCGAGGCCATTGAACGGAGGAGACTGCTGAGTCAGCATAAAAAACAGACGGAGCACGAAGTGCAGCAGCAACACCGGGCATCTTACCTTTCAAAGCATTCGGATCCTGGTGAGTCACGAAGCTGACCCACATGCGCGACATGGTCCGAGCCAGGTCAAAGTAGGACTGCGGCTTGCCGGCAAAGGGGTTGACGGAGTTGACGTTTTCGTAGCCGAGGCCCTGGGTGTTGGCAAAGACGAAGACGACCTCCTGGAAGTGAACGGAACCCTGCAGGGGGCTGACGCCGTTGACGAGCACGTTGAAGTGATAGGACCAGAGGCTAGCGTTGTTCTGGGCCCAGCTCTGGCTAGTGAGACGGCGGCTGGCATGGAGGAGCAGGTCGCCAGCGTAGGCAGCGCTGCGCTTCCACTGGTAGCCGTAGGTGGCGAGATCGCTGGCAGGCGGGCGGCCATGCAGTGTAGCGGGGATTCCGATGGCGGGAATATCAGGATAGAGGGCGGCGATGGTAAGGGCGGTGGCGTTGTCGGGGCCCTTTGTACGGACAAGGGCGAGGAAGTCGTTAGTAGAGTTGATGCCGCGAGTAGCGAGCGAGCCGCCCTCGTCAAAGTTGGCACCAACGAGGTAGGGCACCTTGACGAAGTCTCCACGACGCAAGGCCGTAGTGCCGGACTGTGTGAGAAAGTCGCCGTCGGTAACGGGCTCAAAGGCCGGCCTAGAGATAGTGCTGTTGAAGACGGCCGACAGGGTGGCAGCAGGGACAGCACGCAGACAGGCGAGCGAGTCGACAGCAGCGCTGCAGCCGGTAGCATTTATGTAGGCGTCGTAGGCCGACTGCCAGTCGGAGGTGGTTGGCCGAGGCGACCAGCCGACAGGGAGGCCGGACTCGCCGATGGCACCGCGGAACAGACCGTCATCGCGGCCGCCGTAGGCAATCAGCTGGATGCCGACGCTGTCGGCCCCGGCACTTTCACCCCAGATGGTCACGCGAGCCGGATCGCCACCAAAGGCCGCGATGTTCTCCTGGACCCAGCGCAGCGCCTGGCGCTGATCGCGGAGACCCATGTTGTTGGAGCCCTCGGCAGCAAGCTCGCGGCCGTACATAAAGCCCCATTGGGCGACGCGGTAGTTGATGCTGACCGCCAGCATGGGCGCGCCCAGCTCGACCGACTGCTGCACGATAAAGGTCAGGTTGTAGCGCGGGTCCCGGCTGCCGCCCTCGGCAAAGGCGCCGCCATAGATCCAGAGCGCGACCGGCAGCAGCTCTTCTGCTCTTGTCGCTGTGGTTGCGCGCGGCCGCACCACGTTCAGCGTCAGACAGTCCTCTGACAGGACGTTGCCCAGAACCCAGTCATCGCTGCCGTAGCCGATGCAGCTGGGCCCATACGCGGTGGCGTTGCGGGTGCCGGTCCACGTGCTGTTAAGCGGCTGGGGCACGCGAAAGCGCAGATCGCCGACGGGCGGCTGCGCAAACGGCACGCCCAAAAAGAGCTCCTGGCTGTAGTGCGGTAGGCTGAGCCCGTAGTACGAGCCGTTCTTGACCGTCACTGTCGGCACTGTGGCCGGAGCTGAGTGGCGGGCAGTGACGGCAGCCGAGACGGCCGAGACGCCCAGAAGCAGGGACGAGAGGAAACGCATGGTCGGGGCGAGAGGAAGAACCAAGAGTCTGAGGAGAAGAGGGCCTGCTGGGACAGAACGACAGATTCTCGAAGAGCTCCTTATAAGAGCTCCCAACACTGCTATCCTATCTCACAGCTTATAGCTAGACGCTAAATTAGAGCGGGTTTGCACGAACAAGGCTAGACTGCGGCTAAGCTGCCGGCTAACGGCCATGTTATCTCGGCAGGCATTGGTTTCCAGGGGTGCAGAAGTAGTGTTGACTGACGGAGTACGCCGTGAACCAGGATGATTCGTAGAGAGATAACGGTTGCTATGGAGTACCTCCACCTCGCTACGATCCCTCTCCGTAGATAAGAGTGTGGTGAGGCGTATACAACGTGCATGGATTAAGCACATGGCCACGGTTGAGTGATTTGTTTTTGGATGTGGAAGCTAGCAGCAAATACAATCTATTCATACTTTGTTGGTTTCTCTGTCCTCTTTGAACTCCCTTAGTCCGACACCAGCATCTCGACGTCGCCGCCCTCGACACGGTAGAAGCCCAGGGCGTTGAGCATGGGCTTGTCGTCGAAGCGGTACAGGAAGACGTCGCCGGCACTGTCGGCAAAGTGCTGGTAGCGGTGCCAGGCCGGGACGGCAAAGGTGTCGCCCTGCTTCCAGGTGAGGATAGTGTCGCCGACGGTGCTGTGGCCGGTGCCCTGGATAATGTGGTAGACGGACGAGGCGGTCTCACGGACGGGCGGCGAGGCGTTACCGGCATGGAGCTTCTCAGCGGAGGCGCCGATGATACGGCTGACTAAGCAGAGTTTAGGAACAGGTACCAACGACGGAACGAACGGGACCAGCACAGGGAGGGGACTCACTCTCTCGGCCATCCTTCTTAAGGTATGGCTGCGAAGCCCAGACGCCGGGCTGGGCAGCCAGACGGGCCTCCATGGCGTCCCAGTGAAAGACGATGGGCGAGTCGTCGGCCTCCTCGGCAGGATAGCGCGCGGCCGCATAGTGTTCGACAAAGTGGACGGGGAAGTGGACAAAGTTGGGCAGATCGAGGCCGTCGAGCCAGATGACGGGCTGATCGTCGCCGCCGTCTTCGTCGGCGCCCTTCTTGCCGTGGTCGTGCCAGTTCCAGGTCGGGGTGACGATGACGTCGCGCGGTTTCATGGGAATGCGCTGGCCGTGAACGGCGGTGAAGCCACCGCGGCCTTCGATGATGAAGCGACAGGCAAAGGCTGTGTGGCGATGGGCCGGGGCCGTCTCGCGCGGCTGGACCAGCTGCAGGCCGGCATAGAGCGTGTCGGTCGTGAAGGGGGCCTCGCGGGCCGGGTTGATCAGCATCAAGACCCGGCGCTCGGCCTGCTTCTCCGTGATGAGCGCGCCTGCCCGGAGAAGATACGGCCGGACCTGCTCGTATGACCACAGGTGCGGCACCGTGCGCGGGTTCGGCGCCGGTGGGTTCAGCCGCGTCATCTGCGCCCACAGCGGCTCCGTGTTGGTGACCTTGAGCGCATTGACGAGCTCGACCGCGTCCGTGATCGTCTCGGGGTTGATCGGCGCGTCCGTGACTGCCATTGTGTGCGTGGAGGAGGACTTGCTGGAGAAGTGGTTTAGATGGGACTGAAAATCGGCTTTGCAATGTATGCGTGGGGTCGACTGAGCTGAGATCTATGGTCGAATTGCCTTTGACACGGATTCATATAATCACACATCTCGACCAGCTTGACGTCAGGATGAGGATGCTGCCGTCCATTCTTCGGCCTCTTCCGACGTTTCCCCGTCAGCCGGGACGACTGAACGAACCGCTGATCCATCGTTACGACGCTGCGGAGAATGAGGAGAAGCGGGGAAGCGGAGACTCGGGGACATGTCGGGAAGCTGCCGAATCGCTTACTCATCTGTCTTCCGCATGGCTTACAAGAGGCTGCAGACGCTTAAAGAGGCGGCCATGTAGACTGAAGGAGGGGAAGCGAACAAAGGCAGAGCTGAACTCATTTGCATAGACACGATGCGGAACGAAGAATTAGCCACGTTGAACGGGCTGCGTCTAGCCGACCAGGTGAGTGTTTGAGTGTGTTTTGCAATACAACTCGACATCCGTCGTGTTTGCTCCCCTACCTCTACTAAACAACACAGCCCATCAGATATCCGTCCCGATCGGTCCGCCTGCTCGAGCGCCTCCAGAAGACGGCCGACCAAGATGGCCAGCTCGCGTCCCGAGCGCTGGTTCCGCTCAACGTGGTCATCGTCGGTGCCGGTCTCGGTGGCCTAGCGACAGCGGTGGCGCTGGCCCGTCGTGGCCACACGGTGACCATCCTGGAGCAGGCGCCGGCGCTGGGCGAAGTCGGAGCCGGGATCCAGATCCCGCCCAACTCGGCGCGCCTGCTGCTGTCCTGGGGCATCGGGCCGTATTTCAAAGGCCGCGTGGTGGAACCAGACAGCATGACGTTCCGGCGCTGGCAGAATGGCGACCCGATCGGCTACACGCGCCTGGTGCCCGACTTCCCCGACGCCTACGGCGCACCCTACCTGGTGATCCACCGCGCCGACTTCCACAGTGCGCTCTGTCGCCTGGCCGAGCAGCACGGCGTGCAGATCCTGACGGACAGCCGTGTGGTGGCGTACGATGAGGCCGCGCCGGCAGTGACGACGGCTGACGGCCGGACCTTTGCAGCTGACCTGGTCGTCGGCGCCGACGGCGTCAAGTCACTGGCGCGGCCGGTCGTCCTGGGTGGCACCGACCGGCTGGCCAACAAGACCGGCTTTGCCGTCTACCGGGCGGTCGTGGACACGGCCAAGATCCAGGCCGACGCCGACACGGCCTGGCTGCTGGAGAAGCCGGGCATCAACATCTGGATCGGTCCCGATCGCCACGTGATGACGTACAGCATCGCCGGCGGCAACTCGTTCAACATGGTGCTCTCGCACGTCGACCACAGCGACCCGGCCTCGTGGACGCCGGCCGACGCGGTCGCCGAGATGCGCGGCCAGTTTGCCGGCTGGGACCCGCGCCTCAACAAGGTCATCGCCATGATCGAGAGCACCATCAAGTGGCCGCTGATGAGCGGCGCCCGCCTGCCTACCTGGATTGCCCCTAGTCGCCGCCTCGTCCTTCTCGGCGATGCTGCCCACGCCATGGTGCCCTACATGTCGCAGGGTGCCGCCATGGCTGTCGAGGACGGTGCTGCCCTCGCCGAGGTGCTCTCGCTCGTACCCTCCCGTGATCAGCTGCCCGATGCCCTCGCCGTCTTCGAGCAGGAACGCATGCAGCGCAGCGGCGGCATGCAGACCGCCAGCCTCGTCAATGGCCGCCTCTGGCATTTTGCTGATGGACCTGAACAGGAGGCACGTGACCGTGGCTCACGCGCAGAGGTCGAGGGCCGTCCCTTTCTCGAGAGCACGAATCAGTGGAGCGACCCAGTCACGCAGGTGTGGGCGTACGGTTACGACGCCGAGGCAGAGGCACGGGAGCGGTGGAAGGCAAGGAAGTAGTGGGTGTGGGTTTATGTGGATGATGTGATTTTTGTGATTGTATGTGCATAAAGCTAGCGAAAAAGCAATAAAGCGTTATTGGATCTGATATGGCTGGCATGAGGAAGATTGAAGAGCGAGTATGGAGGTACAGAGCTAGACAAGAGGATCGAGTTGAGGAAAGAGATGAGACAAGAAACTCTAGAGGAAGAGACGAACGATAATCAAGTAAGTACTCATTACAAGTACAAGTCTCCTAGTAGCGTCACTGCTTTATAGTATCACGTGACACGTATACTAAAATTGGATTCTATTTCTATGAACCTGCTCACGCAAAGACGACGCCGTTCCGGAGGGTACCGATCTTGGAAATGTTGATAGCCATCTTGGTGCCGGGCACGAGGTAGCGTGGCGGGGTGAGACCGGCGCCGACGCCGCCGGGGGTGCCGGTCATGATGATGCTGCCTTTCTGGAGGGTGGTGCCCGACGAGAGGTGAGCGATCAGGCGGGGAACAGAGAAGACGAGGTCATCGAGGCCAGCGCTCTGGCGGAGCTCGCCGTCAACGATGGTCTTGAGCTGGAGCGTGGACGGGTCGCCGACGAGGCCGCTGGCCACGAGTACTGGCCCCAGAGGCGCATACGTGTCGAAGCCCTTGGAGAAACCCCATTGGGGAACACCGCCAGCACGAGCGGGATCCCGCTGCCACTTGCGCGACGAGATGTCGTTGCCGGCCGTGTAGGCAGCGATGTAGTCAAGGGCATCCGCTTCGGCGACGTCCTTGGCGTCACGGCCCAGCACGACGACCAGCTCGCCCTCGTAGTCGGCCTGGTCATCTTGGGCGATGCGCGGAACGACCACATCGGCGCCGTGGTCGGCGACCGTCGGAGGTGGCTTGAAGAAGATGGACGGGAAGGGAGGCTGCTTGCGGCCGGCCTCGCGAACTGTTGGTCAGCGGGGGGAAAGAAGAAAGAAGAAGAAAGAAAAAAAAGAAAGAAGAAGGAAAAAAACAAAAAAAAACAAAGAAAAACAGAAAAAGAAAAAGAAAAACAGAAAAAAAAAAACTCACTGTGTGTCGCATAGTTCAACCCTACACAACGCAACGTAGGCACGTCGGCCGGAGTCAGCGGCCCCAACAGCTTCTTCACGGTGACGACCTCGTCAGTCACACGCGTCTTGCCGGTGGTGTCGTAGATGTCGCTGCCCTCCAGGACCTTGGCCGTGAGGCCGGTCTCGGCGGTCGTGTCGCCCAGGTCAAAGTCGGCCTTGGGCATGATGGGCTCACCGTAGAGCGTGCGGCCGTCGGTGGCGACGAACCGGATAAGCCGTTCCCAGGCGACCTTCATTGTGCTTGTGGTAAAGTAAGATGGGTGGTGAGGTCACGGGTATCGAGATCACGGGTGTCGAGATGGTCGTCTAGAACGGGATAAAGCCGGTCGACCAGACACGCAGTTATACCAGTTATACCGTGTATCATGTCCGTCGCCTCAGCGGAAACGACCCGAAGTTGCCCCGACTGAGCTCTGCCGACCACTGCCGATCCGCTCGTCCCACTGCAGGTCCACAGGGCCTCCACTGTTTGTCCACTAGCTCAGCGCCTAACAGAGCCCCACAAGTCCACTGAGCGTCAGCTGGCACACCCCCTCTCCAGTGGGCACGGCAGTTTGTGGGGGAGAGTGTGGGGAACCCCTATTTATTCGGTCGCGTTCCGTTCCCAACGGTTCCCCGGCTCCAGCGTCCCCCAAGCGCAACCGCATCGAATCCCGATGGCCCAGGACTGCGACAGCTCTGTGACCGGTACGACGGCCGCGACAGCCCGGAGCATCGACCTGTCGGAGAGCGCGGATGCGCCGACACCGGCAGCCAAGCGACGACGCATAGCCCTGGCCTGTTCGGCCTGTCGGATCCGAAAATCGAGGGTGCGTCTGACCGGTGCTGACGTGTCTTGTTCTGACCGAGCTGACCGTGCTGACATGGCAGTGTGATGGTGTACGGCCGCGCTGCGAGCCCTGTCAGCGACTGGGCTTTGAGTGCATCTACGAGCTGCCCGACACGTCAGCGAATCTGGTGGTGCCAAAAGAGTGAGTTTCTTGCAGGTCGATCTCTGCTTGCCTCCAGCCACTGACCTCCAGCCTCTTTGCCGCCCTCGAGGACCGGGTCCGCCGGGTGGAGCAGTCGCTCAAGGTGCATGACGAGCGGCTGGCCGTGGTCGAGACGGCCGGTCCGTCATCGTCGTCGTCGTCGGCCCTGCGACCGGGCATCGGCCATGCGGCCAACGGGATCGTCGTGGACGTGGATGGGATCCAGGACGCGGCGGCGGACCAGAGCATGACGGACGGGATGGCCGTCTCGTTTGTGGACGAGCAGGACTGCGGCTTCTTCGGGCCGTCGTCCAACATTGCCTTTATGCGACACATCTTCCGGGCGATGGCACACAAGACGGTGCCGGACGTGGTGCTGTCGCCCATCGCAGGAACTGTGTCCTCGTCACGTGCAGGTCCGTACGAGTCTGGCCTGATCAATGTGTCGCAGTCACAGGCGCACAACCTGGCGCTGCAGGCGGCTCCGGATCCGGCAGCCATGCGGACCAACGTATTGCCGCCCGACGGCGAGACGCAGGCGCTAATCCGGGCCTATTTTGCCAATACTGGCCTGCTCTTCCCCTACATCCACGAGCAGAGCTTCCTGGAGACGTACGAGAGCATGCGCCAGACCGGCTTCCGGGCCAACGTGCGGCGCACCTGGCTCGGCCTGCTCAACATGGTCCTCGCCATGGCCGTACGGACGGCCGGAGCCGAGCGAGGCGATGCCGCACGAAGTGAGACCAACCAAGCCAACACACACGAGCGAAGCGAGGCCAGCAGAGCGGACCTCTTTTGTGATCGTGCCCGCGAACTCTGCAAGACCCAGACTATGCGCGGCACCACGCTCGAGACGGTCCAGTACCTCCTGCTCACCAGCCAATACCTCCAGAGCACCCAAAAATCCGTCCAGACATGGACCACCCACGGCCTCGCCGTCAAGGCTGCCCTCTCCATCGGCCTGCACTCACGTGATGCCATGGCCAAGCTGCCGCCCATCGAGCAGCAGACCCGCACCCGCACCTGGTTCGGCTGCGTCCTGCTCGACCGCAGCCTCAGCATGACCTTTGGCCGTCCGGCCGCCATCCCGGACGAATACGTCCGACTCGACCTGCCCGTCTCGTTGGCCTGGCGTGGCGGTGCTGCCGATGAGCTTAGCCGCACGAGCACCGCTTTTTATAATGCGACTATGTACGTCTATGCTCCTCTGTCCGCTCTCGTCTCCTCACTAACGATCCCCAGCCTCCTCTATCGCATCCTCTGGAAGGTCATGGCCACCCTCTACGGCCATAACCTCGGCTGCGATTCTGCCCCATCCGAGACCGTCACCATCACCCAGATCTTCCATCTCGAGCAGGAATTGGGCGATTGGCAAGCTGCCCTCCCTCCTCTGCTGGCCCTCGTCTCGCCGGCCGATCTGGCCGATCTGGCTGACCGACGGGAAACCATCCCTGCCGCCAACCCGACCACACCCTCCCCTGCGTCCGATCCCATCGATGACCCCGTCATCCTGCGCTTCCGCGTCATCCTCACGCTGCGCCACCTCAACCTGCAGCTGCTTCTGCACCGCCCCATGCTGACGAACTCGCTGAGTGCTGTCGCCCGTGGCGCCGCGGCTCCGTCTGCCCGCTCCCGCCGTCCCGGCCACCACATGCAGATGAGCTTCAACCTGACCTGCGTCCGTGTCGCCGAGGACATCATCGACCTGATCCATCTCATCTTCACCCGGCCTGCCGGCCTCGGTCGTCGCCTCACCGGCGCCTGGTGGTTCACCCTCTACTATACCTTCAACGCCGCGCTCGCCGTCTTTGGTAGCCTCCTGCTGCCCGAGGACGACCCCTCCGTCGACCCGACCCTGCGCTCCGATCGGCCGGATCGCCCCGATCGCACAGACCGCACAGATCGCGGCGCCCGCTTCCTTGCCAAGGCCATCGACGCGCTCGTCTGCCTCGACGCCGGCAACACCATCGTCGATCGCTGCGTCGACTACCTCCGCCAGCTCGTCGGACTCGTCCACAGCTGGGGCTCTGCCTCGTCCCCCCAGACCGCTCTGCTCGCTGGACTGGTTGCCTCCATGGACGCCGCCCCCGATGGCCACGAGAACGAGCACGCCCACTCTCACTCGTCCGACCTCTTCACCCCTATCCCGCTCTTCGCCCAAACTTCGTCCGGGCTCGAGGACGAGCTTGAGCTCGGCCACTTCTTCACCTCCGAGTTTCAGCGCTGGTTCGAGCGCGTTCCGCAGTAGCCCTTGCAGATGTGTACGATAAAGACTGGTGATAGACTAGTATTGGAAAGACGGGAACTGTATAGTTGAGAAAGGAATGGACCTTTTGTAATAGCGTACATAGCATACATGCACATAAGCCACAAGACTGAGCGATGAAGATAAGAGCCGCAAACAAAAGCATGAGTGATACGCCGGTTAAGAGAAAGACGTAGATACATCGCAATTGATGGTACTGTCTAGTCACGTGTGCGCTCATAATCACTCAGCTAATGATATTTACTAGCGGTGCTTTTGTTAAGTCACATGGTTTCATGGTGTAGTTGGTTATCACGTCAGTCTAACACACTGAAGGTCTCCAGTTCGAGCCTGGATGAAATCAATTCATTTTTTTGCTTTTTGCAAAGTCCCATTGGCGGTCCAAATCTCGGTGGGGCCACAGATCGTCACTTAGGCTCCCGTGTCCTTCACGGCAGGCTTCAAACATACTGTCACCATGGCTGTCCAGATCGTGTCCGACCTGCATCTGGAGGCCCCCAAGGCCTACGACATGTTCTAGATTCTGCCCCGAGTACCTGTCCTGGCCTTGCTGGCCGACATTGGCAACGCCGAGCCACACCAGGCCGACATGGCCGCTTTTCTCGACCGGCAGCTACGCCAGTTCCAGGCCGTGCTGCTTGTCCCTGGAAACCACGAGGCCTATCATTCGACCTGGCCCCGAACCCTCGCCATCCTGCGATCGCTGGAAGAGGGCGTCAAGGTGCGACGCGTCGCTGGCGATGCTGCGTTGGGGGAGTTCGTGGTGCTCGACCGTGACATGTACCGCCTTCCTGGCTCCAGCGGTATCGTCGTCCTCGGCTGCAGTCTCTTCTCGTATGTGCCACCCGAGCGTGCCATGGCCGTCAGTATGGGCATGAACGACTTTTACCAGGTGGGCGACGACTGGTCACGAACCAGAGGGGCTACTACTTTGCGCAGGCTGCCGGCTACGACAATGATAAGACCCTCTGGGCGGAAGAGTGAAGGCAGCGATGGCTGTCTCCGTGTCGTTGCAGAGCCGAAGGGCACAGTTACATCCTGTTGTATCTTACGTTCAATTCTGCATTCCTACACTCTTTCGTACTCCGTGATCCGCCGTAAAATTTTCAATACGAGCTGTCTGCGATAACTCATAAACCCAGCATGATTTATTCGGAATTTTTCTTTTCGTTATCTACTCCGCACTCATACATATGCGATACGACCTACAGCATCAGATCTTCACTGTTCCTACCATATAGTGCACAAGGGCCGTGCCGGAAGAGGTAGGTGAGAGGGTCGAGATACAACATCAGTACGGATATATACGAGTACTGTACAGATCAGAACTCCTCCTTCCTCTCAAAGCTAGTTTAATGAGTGAAATGACAATCTACACGTAACTATAAGCAGCCGTGTTTACGAGAAATATAACGTCATATGCAGTAAATAAGTGGACTCACTGCGAAGCTGGCGTTCAAAGAGGAGAATCCAGGTCTCTTGTCAGACACAACTGCGCCGAGGTAGATCTCGGAGAAAACTAGGGTACTGCATAAGTGTATAGTACGGAGTGAGCTACACCACCTTAGCGTTTGTGGGCAGGACGTCATGGGCAAGACGACGTAGGAGGACAATGGCACCGACAGTTGATCTCGTTTTATAGGGAGACGAAAAAGGAGGAAGGCACGAGAGGATAATCTCACCCAGAAATATAGAATGTAAAAGCTGCATATTATATACATCTTAGAATGAAGGGCTGCAAGACTCCAGTTCTAAATTTAGATATGTCGAAAAAGGCTATATTACAGCAGAAGGCGGTGCGCTGATGATTCGCATAGTGGACTCTGTACCGAGAAAGAAATAGCTACATAGCGCACCTTTTGGGTGCACTGCAAAGCCAGGTTCGAGTGCAGCCAAAGCACGAAGAGCCTATCAACATGCCCTCGGCTCAATTTCCGTCGGTTCGTGACTGAGAACTGAGTATGCAGTCTTCAGCACTTAGCTGCAAAGATATAGATCCCAGGCATGTGCACTCCAGTACAGATGCATGATCCTGTAGACGGGCTTTGATCATCCTAGCTATGGGCCGGCAAGTATTCATGCCTTCTTCACGAGGCGAGGGTAGGTCTTTCCTCGCTGATTTCTCTTCGAAAAAGATTGTTGCTTCACGATCTCCGATAATTGATTGTCGACGATTGGACGTCTGTTAGTGAATAGTTGGTGCTTACAGCAACCCTTTTGTCCCAGTAATTACGTGTAGTTGAAACCAGAAGGTCATATATAACCCTGCCTACTATGCTGTAAGGTACGGGATCCCTACTTTTGCACTATGGTGCAGGGGGTATGACAATACAAAGTAGCCATGTATGCTCGCTTCCAGTCGTTGTGTGGCGTATGGGAGGCATAGAGGATCGTCGTCCTCTATGCGGTTGTCGACACTATCAAGTGCGTTCCATGAAGACCGGAAGCCTGCGCCAAAGAAGCCATGGACACCGTTTCGAGGCATGTCGCGGACGGTGGTAGAGGCGAGGACAAAGTATCAGAACGCAGGAACGATAGGAAAGGGAAATGCAGAGAAGGCAAAAAACGGCAAAGGGGATAGAAAGGCTGCTTGGACCCATTGATCAAGCCGACCTCGTCGTTTCTATCCCCCAAGAGTTCGCAAGCAACGTGAGCATGCCAGCGCCTTGCTAGTAAGGCCTGCCACAGCATTAGTAGCTTTCAACGGAATGAAGACGAGGAAGCAATGCTTACATATCAACTTGCTTCGACTCTATCTTCTCCAGCAACAGCTCTTCCTATGCCAGAGTTGTAAGCGTTTCTGAGTGTCTCGTACCTGTTTTGCCGGTTATTGAAAGGAGGCTCAAATTTGGAGAGAAGAAGGGAGTGGGAGGAGAAGACGACAATTTATAGCTGGAGGAGGAGGCTAGAAGAAGTGACAGAGGCAACTCGGAACTTATGCAAGCAGAGCTGCGGGTGAAAGAATGAGTAAGTGGAGATTTTCAGTGAATGAAAACGTTCAAAGCCACAACAGCCTTAAGACGAGCAGTGACATCATCTGGAAAACACCCTGCGTCTTTGAACAACGAGTGCACTAGGATGTCATGACTTTCTTTCAACAGATCTCCCGTGAAGAGGGAATCTCGTCCAACGCTTCGCTATCGTACATCATGTCACCATATCTCTACTAATCCCGGGACGGTTGACTGGCTGGCCTGCCGCTCTGTCCCATCCTCCTTGTCTAAAACGGCCGGAACGGAGAGAAGCTGCCAAATCCACGCTGTCCGCCACCGCCACCACCAAAGGGGAACCCTGATCCAAACAGCGGCATCTGCACCGGCATTCCCGCAAGGCCGCCACCGTTGGCGTTTCTGTTATCGGTATAGTAATCACCAGTCGGGCCGAGGTTGAAGGAGAAGGAGACGTGGTGCTGAAACGGGCGGGTGTTGCCGTCGTTGCTGGCGTTTCTGCCGTCTCTGTCCCTGTCGCTGCCAGAGCCAGCGTTGCTTCTGTTACCGCCGTTTCGGCCACCCCCATTGCCGTCGTCTCCGTAGTCGGACGTTGGCGACTGTTTCTGCGGCCGATAGTCACGGTAGTAGTCATAGCGATCGCCACTGTTGGTAGGGCTCTGAGCCCGGCCGTTGGAGCGGCCAGGAGGAGACGACGGGAGGACGTTTGTGTAAGCGTACGAGTTGTTGTTCACGCTGGACGAGCCGGTCATGCGGGCGTCGATGGAGCCGCTGGCCTGGTTCTGGTTCTGGTTTTGGTCGCGAGCCGGCCGCATCCTGTTGACACGGAACGGCGGGCTCTTGCCGTTGGTACGTGGGCCGGTAGAGCTCATGCCGGCAGCGATGGTGAGACAAGTCAGCACTGGTGGACGAGACGATGCAGGAAAATGTATGGTGTAAGCAGCCGGTCTGTCACTGGCTGATCAGACGCAGACGTCTCCGAGCTACACATATAGGCACAGGCGGCAGACGAGGCGCCGACGAGCCTCCAGCGTGATCGAGGGGCGAGCGAGCGCTGAAGACTCATGTCTGTTTCAGCCGCAGGCTTTGGCATGACCAGACGTACGATGTCGTCCCATCGCCGTCGAGACAGACAGGATGCGCGCAGCAGCTGTCTCTTGTCCTCCCCTCCCCGCCCAGACGCACGTCCAGGTGGCATGACGGGCCAGGAGTCCGACCGGTTTCGCGATGAAACAGCGGACGTCGCCCCTGGCGACCCGTCTTCTGGTCCGGCAGAGAGGCGACCAAAGGGGAAGGTCGAATCAGCGAGAGCAGGCCGCCTCTCTGCAGACCGGTTGTTCTCGTCGGCTGCGTCTGTCGGATGCATCTGTCGGCTGCAGCATCACAGCTCTCTTTTCTGTGCCGGCCGGCCAATGGCATCGGCCGGGTGGTCATGCCCAAGGAGTCAGCGAGCAGAAACTTGCTCACTGCAGGTGGGGTAGACTGTCCGGACGTGCGCCTCGGCTTAGCTCGGCGCGCGTCGATGGAACGGAGTGCGGGCGATTGTTCACAAGAGGCTATCGCTGAAGCCGCTGGAACCAGGAGAAAACCCCGCTGTGGCGATGCCATGCTCTGATTGGTCGGCTGACTCGCCGGGCGAAGCTGCCAGCGCCTTCCCGGATCTGTACGAGGACGGAGCTCAAACGTGCATTCTCGTGCTCGTGCTCGTTCTCGTAGACGGAAGCAGGCATTTTCGTAAGCACTCGCACGTGTGCGACATCTCCGCGGTGGCGAGACGCCCTCGCTGTACCGCACACATGACGTGGCCACTATGACTCCCGTGAGAACGCCCCGGCCTGCTGATCCGCGCTAAGAGCCTTCTGACAGAAGCGCTAATACGGATCGCTAACGAACAGAGAATCCCCCCCACCAGAGAAAAGAGTACATACCCCTCCTTTTCTATATAAATCCAGGCAGACTTCCGTCTTTCTCACCTCTTTTCCTTCCTTTGGATCTCCACGCTCCAGCTAGCTACCAACCATTTCACCCACCTGCTAACATTACTCTGTCCTCCACGCCTCTTCGCAATCAATTGCCCACCATTCTCTCTCACGCGAGTTAACTCCCAACCCATCTACCAACCGACAAAATGAAGGGCGAGTGCGGCTGCTCCTCCACTTCCACCTGCAACTGCGGCTCTGGCTGTATGTCTTCTCTCCCTCAGTCCTGCTTCAATACTATGTTTCTCTAACTCGTCCCTTAGGCTCTTGCGCCAGCTGCGGCAAATAAACAGCTCCCCATGCTGTCGCCGCGCTGATGCCTTTTCGGCGTCTGGAAACTCCTACAGCGCTCCTCGTTTCGCCCCTCGACAATTGCGCAATTGTCTGAAAACAACATGAAAATGGGTGCGAAGGAGAGATAGGCCGGTTGGCTCCCGGCTGTCCAGACTGACAGCTTTCTGGGCTGGGGACCGACCATCGAAATTAGGACAGGACAATACAGCGCTTTTCCAGGAACTCATATGTGAATGTTACAAATACTGCCTCTACGTCATCATCACCCGCAGGCCTCCATGGCATGTGTCTACGGCAAAGCGTAGCCCACAGATCTCGACCGTGCGCTCGTCCAGATGCGACGTGTTTTCTTTCACGGCGTCGTCGTAGCTGCTCTTGGGCTCGCTCACTGGCCACGGCACCGGTGACAAGCACAGATCCATCTGGGCTTCCATCACCGGCATGTAGTCGTCGGCGAGAATATCGCCTCGATCTGATGCACCCCGTCTCACGCCATGCATGCAGTACGCCATCTCGGTACATCCCAGCGGTCTCGCCGCCAACGGACAATTCCACGATGGCGTCGTGCCTCTCCGCAGCCGAAGCATCTTCTGCTTTTCTGCCAACAGTGCCACCAGACGTCGCCGGAACAGCTCTACCGCTCTGTTGCCGTCGTTGCCGTACTCGTGCCCGCTCTCGGTCCATATAAGCAAGTAGCCATTATCCATGTCGCTGTCGCTCGTCTCGAAAACGGTCCATCTGGTCGTCTTGGCCTTTTTCACATCTGGCTTTGTACTCACCTCTGCACCTCCTTCTTCCTCTTTCTCTTCCTCCTCTTCTACCCGCTTGCGCTTGATCCTTCTCTTGGCTGCTCGCGCTGGTTGTATTCGTCTTGGTGCCGGTACCATTGGCGTCGTCACTGTCGTCAGCCGTTTTGCCAAGCATACCGTAGAAATCGTCGCTGTCCTCGGTGCATCGCCGGCTGACCACCGTCCTTGTCTGGTCCACTCCTGACGGAACCACTCTGCTGCCCGCCATGGAAAGTCGATGCTGCAGTACACCGCCCCACGGACGACTGGGACTTTCTGCTGCTGCGATGGTAGGCTACCAATCATAGGCGTTGGCGGAAAGGTCTCTTCGCTGAAAAGAGTCGCGGCCAGCGCGCTCTTGCGGATATGTGAACTTGCCTTGGACATGCTGTCTGCAGTGAAGCCGTGCAGGGAATTACATGGCCGTCTGCTCTCTTTATATAAGCAGCTGCAGCATGTCCTGACGCCCATTGTTGTGTCATAACGACAGCCTTTTTGAACCGGCCTTTCTCTCCGTTGTCTCGCAGAAAAAACACAGAAGTACTTGTTCGCCTTGGAGACGACATCAAAGTCACAGGCTCGGTCACAGGCCCGGAAACCGACAAAGAGCCGCTCTCGCAGCAATGCAAAGAAAGAAAGCGCCGTCGCTTCAGCCAAAGATCAGAATTCAACGCAAATAAATCCTGAGCCAAAACAGTAAGTACAGAGAGCCAACTCCCCACCAAGTCATACACCCACCGTTACTCCTTTACCTCCTTTACCTCCGTCCAGTACATCGGTGCCGTCACCCAATCGCCCCGGCTAGGATGCAGCACCACAATGCATGGGTCCCGTCCCTCATGCTCCATCAGGCTTGGCCCACGCTTGCACCGGACGATGCGGCGCATCCGCGAACGCTGCGAAGCTGATGCTGTCGATGTTGCATCGTCGCGGTCCCGATCCCGATCCCGGTCACGATCTCGCTCCCGCTCTTTGACAGACGACTTGCTGCCGCTGCTGCCACGTTGCACCTCTGTCGCCTCGAACTCGACCCCCGTCAGGTAGGCTGCTCGCACATGTAGCCACGCCAACATCGCCGGCACCGTCGCGTTGACAATGTTGGCATTCGAGCCGCCGGCAAGCTTGAGATCGTCCGCCTCGATCCCTAGCGACGTCCGCAGGCTGCCCGAGAGCGTCGCCCTCCCAACGTTGGGGCTGTATCTCAGAATTGGGGCAGTCGCATCTCCAGGCAACGACACCCACCGCATGCGAGAAAGTTCACCCCCGCCACCACTACTGCTGCCCTTGTCGCTCTTGTCGCTCTTGTCGCTCTTGCTCCCGTTGCCAATCACACCACTGCTGGCTGACCGGATCTTGAGCACCGTCCGTCGCGATGGCGGCATCGCTCGCACCGTCCGTCGCAGGAGCTCCTTGGGCACCCCAGTCATGGCTGACACAGGCTGAATTCGACGTGGCCAGTCACCACTCTCACGCGTAGACACCATGTCCAGTCGGTAGAGTGTGATCGCACCGTAATTACCAGAGCTGTAGGTCACGCAAGCCACCATGGGCACTGCCGCTGCCGCAGCTGATCCGCTCGCCGTTGCTCCGGGCATGGCTGATCCAAACTTGGCTGTGCCCAACAGCTGCCGTTCCATCGCCTCCAGCGAAATCTCGTCTGGCCGCCGCACCAACCCTGTGTTTGGGAGGAGGATGACACGAGCCGCAGCTCGGAAATATGCGCGGTAGTCGTGCGGCTGCAGCACCCGCACCAGCTCGGACAGCAAGCCCTTGGTTGAAAGCGGGCCGGAGCCTGATCTCCCGCGACTGGAAGCCAGTTCCGGGTCCAGCATAAGGCTGCCGCCGATCGTCTGCGTCAGTGCAAGGAATGACTTGCGCCGATCGTTCACGCCATCGGGCGCTTTGCTCAGGGCATGGGGCGAGAACTCAGACCATTGCATGAACAAGGGCGTCGCACTCATGCTTCCTTTCCGCTGCCCGTCACCGTTCTTGCCAGATCCATACCCTGCTGCACTGCTCCTCCGTCTCGCACTTGCACCAATGAGGCCTCCGGCTTCACGGCTGGATCCTGGACGGCGACCGTCCCCGAAATCATCGGCGTCGTCGTCGTCGTCGGAGTTGGCTGACTCAGCAGCCGTTTCTGAATCCTCCAGCACGCTTTCCTCCGTCAACTCCGAGTCTGTGGGCGGGTCGTCCAGGCCAGTTCCGTCGCCGCCTTTGATGTTGTTGGCCATGTCGTCAGCAACTGCCGTCAGGCTTTCCAGCAAGACGCCAGCGCTACGGGTCAGGTAGCGGGCATCTTCGCCGAGCTTCACAAACACCTCCACCGCTTTGTCCATGGCCGCCTGACTCTGCAGTATCGGCAGCAGATACGCCTGAAGCCTCCGCGGGTAAGTCTTCGTCTCGTTTCGCATCCGCTGCCGAGCCCGTTCTTGCACCTTCTCGCGTTTCTGGTAATAGTCCCGGTCTTGGTCGCCGTTGCGATCTCTGTCCCGCTCGGCTTCTCGTTGTCGGGGGCTATTGCGCGTTTCGTGTCGTGGCGAGCCGGCAATGTCTCTGCTTCGCCTAGCCATGGAGGCGCCGCTGCCACCAACGCTGCTGCTGCCAGCAGCGCCGGGTCCGCGACCATCGTACGTTGGCGTGCGCGGCGACCCGGAGTATCCATCGAATTCCCGCTCCCTCTCACGCGCGAATTCCCGCGATTTAAATCCTCTTTCTCGCTCCTCATAACTTCCGCTGACGTTTTGCCCAGGCCACGTGTGCTGCCGTGAAAACTCGTAGTTCGGTGTTGGAGGCGGGGAAAAGGTGTTGCTATTGCGGGGAGCTCGTGCTGCTCTTTGGTAAGGGTGGTTTGCATATTCCTCCGGGTGCTCCTGGTCGTAATCTCCGTCCCCATAGCTTCCGTACTCTCTCTCCCGTTCATGGCGGGCATAATACTGAGCCATGTTCAAGTTTCTGCTTCTTCGTTATGATGTGCCTCCCAATGGCATTTGTTCAGTGCCGTTTTGCTGTAACACTTTCCGTGGGGCACAGGAAGGGGGTACTTGCTTCAAGCAGACACCGATGGCCTTAAATGGAGCTGTCCTCTCCCCTGTTGTGCCACTTTCCCTTCCGCTTCTTCTGCAGCCAAATGTAGCTCAATTTCATGAGAGCCGCGCCAACAAGCACACCACAAGGTACAGACCACACCACTCGCGTATGGCGTAGCGCCGTAAGAGCAACTGAAATCGGCACCTGATCTTAGCAACCAGTTTATTCGCGGTGGCTCCATAGCTTAGCTGCAGCTGCGTGGCTCCTTGCTCGGGCTTTTTGTGGCCTGCAACTGTGGCTGGTCCGGCTGCACGGGCACTGCATTGGCGTATCCAGTTGGATTTTGCGATGCTATCGGCCGCGTTATGCGAGCTTGTTAGTGTGTCGCCCAAATTACAGTGCCACGTCAGAGAGAGAGAAGCAGCGCCAAGGTGAAACCCCCTCGTCTTTTTACAGATGGCGATCATGCTCCTGATTGTGTGGGATGCCCACGACGATCATATCAGGCCCCTTTCGCCGGTCTTGGGTCTTCTCCCATATTCTTTCAATCCAGAAAATTCCTTGATGGAACAACCCAAGAGAGACCAGCCGACAGACGACACAAGGTTAGGCTGATAGCTTTGGTTGTAGCTTTGGGCACCTCCTTTTCTAACTGCTCCCAATTATCGCTGCAGCTTAGTCTGGCCCGATCGCAGCCGCCATGCAGTGGAGAAAGTCTCCTTTGAGGCAGAGCAGATCTGTCCAATCATTCGGTTGGCCGTATTGACACTCACGAGGTCACTCGGTACTGAGCGCTTGTTCATTTCCTCCGCCCCTCCTCTCGCCTCTGCCTCGCACCATGGTTTTGGACGAGCATAGCGTCAGACACGAGCTGGTGAGACCTGCGTGACTGTTCAGTACAGCACACCTTCTGCATGATCTTACTCCACGTCAAGGGCGTGGTGTGTCCCGATAGGGTAAAGATCGTGGTAAGATAGGGCGCATAGATTGATTGGCTTACCCTTTCTGGTCAGGCAGATGCGGCGGACAAGTGACGATGTGACCCAAACTTGGTAATACGCACTGCTGTGTGGGAGCTGTCAGTTTTCCCTCCTCTCGAGAGAAGATGGTCGAAAAGATTATGTCGTGAAGCGACGAGCGAGAGGAAGTAGATAGTAGTACGAAAGAGGAAAGCACTACCTTCAGAGCTGTAAGAAACGAAACCCATGTCGATTCTCTCTTTTGAGCATTATGTGATGTCATCAAAGACCACATCCAAAGACCAAGCGTCAGTGTGCATTCGCCTCCATGCCCCTCTGTCTATCATTCCAGACACAACTGAGGTATGGCGGTCATGTACGCTCTGCCAGCACAATCCCACAGCTATGTAAGATGTGGAGTCTGACGGCGTCTCTGGAGATTAGTCGTATTGTGACAACTACTGTGTCAATGGTCCAGTGGGTAAAGATGCAGAGCATCATTGCATCATTCAGGTGCATTATCTACAGCATTGAAAAGCCATCTACGGAGTACATAGGCCGAGATATCTCCACAGACATCGCTAGCGGCGTTATGGACCGGTTGGTGAAGCTGTCAGGCGAGCAGCTATTTTTTGCCTCCCGACAACTCGCATTGGCCGAACTACTCCGTACATACATGCTTCTCCACTACGCGTCATTTTGTGCCTGACCTCCATTGCTTTTTACTATTCCCGTCTGTGGCTCTGGATGGCCACCAGTGTGTTTAGCTTTACAAAGGCAGTCTCGATCAAGCAGCCTTCAAAATTGAGTCCACATTCAACTTCAACAGTCTGGCCGCATTCTTCCAGCGGATTCCCTCCAGCTCTTCCTCGCTCACCATTCCGCTTCCCTCCAGCTCTTCCAGCCATGTCAGACCGTCGCGGCTTTTCGCAAATGGATAGTCCACGCTATACATGATCCGGTCATGCTTTGTGTTGCGCAGGATGCAGGCCAGCGGATCCAGTGCCCAATTTCCGCTGGTCGTGAGCCACAGATTCGTGTCCCACACTTCGCGGAACGACCTCTCCCTCCCCCACCGCGAAGATGTCCGCTGCATCCGCTGGAGCATGTACGGGATCATCTCGCCCATATGCCCAATGATGATCTTCAGCTTGGGGAACCTGTCAAAGACGCCTGCAGCGTACAGCCGCAAGATGTGCAGCGCCACGTCGCTATGCCAGCCGAAGCCAAACGCAAGGATGGCCGTGGTCACGTCATCGGAGATGTGTGGCGACTTGTAGGCGCCAAAGAGCGCCGTCGACGGCCATGTCGGGTGGATGTAGATGGGCACGTCCAGCCTTGTGGCCGTCTCCCAAAGCTCATCAAACTCCGGCCCATCGTAATATAGGCCGCTGTCTGTGTGGCTGTCAACCAGAGCACCGACGAATGCCAATCCACCGTGGTCCTTTCCTGCACACGTCCGGTGGAGCTCTCTCGCGGCCTCCTGGGGTTCGTGCATGGGCAGCTCGGCAAACCCCGCAAACCTGCCCGGGTTCAGACGCACGGCTTCGGCGAGCTGGTCATTGCACTGCCGGCAGGCGTCCACGGACAGGTCACCCGGCGCATGCGAGATCACCTGCACAGTGACTTTGCCGCTGTCCATGTCCGAGATCCGACGCGGGCCCAGATCAGTGAATCGTTCAAAAAATCCTGGAATGGCCTTGAAGCCAGCAAGGCGAGAATCATTGTGTGTGCTGGCAGCATGGGAAAGAAAATGCTCTTCAAGGGCGATTATGGGCCTGCTTGTTGCAGTGCTTGATGACGTCATCGAAAGTACGGCTTGTTGGCAATTTGTCAAAGGACTTTTTGGACTCAATGTTCTGCCTGCGAAGCCTGCGAAAGAAAAAGACTCGCGTCAATCGAGGACCTTTATAGAATGTATGACGAGACCTAGGCCTGGGCTTGAGCTGCCCTTAGGTCCGAGGCTGCAGGTAAATCATACTGAAATAGTCAACCTAACCTAGAACGGGAAACTGAACTCCAGCATCTCCGAGTACACGGACTTAAGATATATGGCAACGGGAACAAGGAGAAGCGTGACTGTTAAAGCAGTGCCTACGGAACAGTTGTGAGGCATAGTTGTTTGCATGACTAAGATTGATCTGCGCCGCTGTTTGCTGTACTAGCTTGCCATGTAAGAGGCAAATGTGATGCCGTGTTCTATTGCTAGATGCCTTGAATAGGGTATAGGTCCATACTAGAAAGAGACGTTTGGTAGAGTGATGTACTCTATCAGCTTACAATATTGTATTTGGCAATGATTGATTCCCCCGAATGCATAGTCCGGCCAGGACAGATCTATGGGTCGTAACGATGTGACAGAAGTTATAAAGCTCGGTCAAAATCATGGAGAAGTTATCGGTATAATAGATGCAACTCTCTTTAGACGTCCGTTAACTAAATAGAAATGTCTTTGAATATGCATACGCGCCGAGCTATCATATATTTCGGTCTCGAAGCGTGCACTTCGGAACTCTATTTTCAACTTAATCTTCTGGGCATTCCGGGTTATACATCGAAATGTCGCACCAATCGCATATAACCAAACACCTTTCTGTATCAATGATACAGACAGTGCTTTTTTCGCAAGATTTGCAAGTCGGGTGATTGTTCGAGAAGTCTATGCATTCTTTCAATTCGTTCAAATGGTTTTCTCTGCTGCTCTCCAAATCTGTCATGCTCCGGGCCATTGCAGCCGAAAAGATGGGTGAAGCGGAAAGTTTCACGAACTTGCTGGAATATAAAATAATTCCGATTTTTTGAGCCAGTTCCTTGGTCAGTACACTCAGTAATTTATAGTCATCCGTCAAAGCAATGGTATCCTCGACGATCGCAAGCAAAGCATTCGTCCAGACTTCGTCAGCTTGAAGTCTTCCTGCAGGTATGAGTACTTCGATCTCAGTTGTTGCCAACGAAACCAGCCCATCAATATTATAGTAGAAACCGATGGCATGGACTTGAATATGCTCAGCCAGCTTGGCAATGACTGGATTTTTCGCGGACATCTCCGTAGCTAATAGCTGGTCAAATGAAGAGGTTGAGCTTGCTGGGTCTTTGGTCTCGCTCTCCTTCGCCAATTTCACCGTGTAGGTTCCAAGGTACATGTACTCCACAAGAGCCCGCACCGTGTTGGAGCTGAAGTTGTTAATATGAATGACACCTGTTTGAGATTCCTTTTCGCGTCGGTATTAGCAAGCCAAGAGCGGATAGAACGTTTGCAGTAGATTGTAGGGGGCCAGAAATATCATACCTTGAAACCACCTGTGACGGCAGCCTTGATGACTGCAGAGTGCGTGCAAACAATGATTTTGTGGACTTTGAATTCTTCGCTGCCACATGTGAGAGTAAGATCACTAAACTCGTCTGATTCTAGTATCAGCTGCCTATAGTTTTTCCTGAGACGCCAATTCATCGCGTGTATGTTCGGAGTCGATCAAGATGGAGTTGTTATGGTTAGAGGAAATCCTAAATGAAGAGGATTTGGATCTCCCTCTCGGGGTTATGAATGAATTTTGTTTGCGACTGTGATTGCGTGAATATCAAATCTAATTCTGAGATCCACAGTAGACTTGCGTCAATGATCAAAAACATGTTTTCGTTATTAATGAGACTGCCTTTTCTACCTCGGCATTACCTCTCTCACCTTCTCCTCTATCTTAACTTCACTTTTGTCAAAGCTGTATATCTCTTCCAACCTTCAATTTGGCACAACATCTGCACGATGAGAAGGCTGAGGAAAGATAAGGCTAGATCATCAACATGCTTCTAGCATCACCTCGTCTACGAAAGCAACAGACTCGACTGTTATCAGCAATCTGTCAGCGATGGCGGAGGCCGTCTCTGATGAGACCACTGCATTGTGCAAGGAGTGCGCCAAAACCCTAACACTGCTTTCCCGACGAGAAGTGAGAGAACAGAGATCTCTCCAATCTGCCAAGTGCAAGACACGGTCAGAGATGTTGCAGAATCGACTCTAGCTGATGAAGTGTGTGTCTGTCTTGCAAATCTAGGAAGAACGCCTGCTGGCCTGGGGCAATTTAAAAGCCATTAATGATTGGGCGTATCAATGCCGCAATTCGTTGCTGTGATGCCTAAAAAAGGTGTACGACTCAGGACAACAACACCGGATCTTACTTGGTGCCCGACCGAACGAAGTTGTGAGCTCGCGGGCGGTCGCATCTGCCTACAGTCTGAGCGTCTCTTTGAGAGAAAGCAACAATTAGGCCCGCCCATCGGCGATCCGCCAGATTGAGCTTGAACCATCAAGGGGTGAGAGAAAATGCTTTTTGGTCGGAGTCTCTGCAGTTGCATCTTCTATTTGTGTCCAATACGTCTAAGTGACATGCCAGGCGTTACATCCTGAAAAACCATTGGTTCCGTGTTCTTGCGGGTTGGAAAACTGTCCAAGCCAGCTGCAGGTTCGTGTTATCTGAGCGTTATTTTTGGACGAGTATTTTTGGACCAGGTGGCAGTGTGCCTTTGTCTGTAACCCTTCTTTATGTTCCTGGCGGGTAGACTGAGTCTATCTTCGCCAGGGGTGCATCCTTGGTCTCAGATTAGACTCTTTGAGTCCGTAGAGGCAGTCAGTCGTGAGTTGCGCCAACCTGCAATTGACCGCGCTAAATTTGCAACTATGCCCCAAAGAGTAGGCCCAACGCCAGATCGTATCTTATCTTACCGCCCTGAAAACTGAGCACGACCTCCAAAAGCCCATAGACCAAGGCCTAAAACGAATACGGGACATGTTCTTGCAATCCAGCGACAACAACGCAACCGGCGCATTGCCAGCTTTGCGCGTTGTGAAACGTCCCTCCGTTTGGGCGACGAGCACCGCTATACCACCGCTATACGAGGGCGGTAAGATAAGATACTGAAATAGAACAGCGGGAATAATGGAGCATGCACTGGCGGGCCCACCGACACCAACAGCATGGCTTGTCAGACACGCAGACGAATGAACAGCTAGCTGTCCGCCTGTCAGTTAAAAGCAGGGTAGCATCGCAAGGAGTTCGCGTCTGACAGCCAAATACAAGCACAACCTCACGGTAGCATTGCGACGCAAACCGAACCAAACAGCAAGTGCTGCGCGATATGCATCAAGGTTGTATTATCTTCTTTCCCAGTCCGTTGGGTGGTTGGAGATCCATCGCCGAATCTGGGACAGTCCCGAAGCCCTTTCAACCTCGCGTCGTCCGGAGCACTTTCCAGGTGGTAAGACGAAACCCTTGCGGTGCGACACAAACACAGGCGGCGGATGTGGCTGAGATGGAAGAAGGACGCCGTTAGGCAGACATGATGGGTCCTGGCAAGGATACATCGTGGTCCTCACCGGTAGGACACACGCGATCCGGTCAATGTTCACCGGAAGCTGTTGTCGACAGGGCCGTTCTCGTCCAGGGAATCAGGGGCACAACAGCTTTCTGTAGTGTGACATCGTGCGACTGCTGAAAGTCGAGGCCAGCTGGAAGCAAAGAGCGCGGCGACGATCACGGTCACCGAGAAGCAGCGCCAAAAAAGGATCGGCTTTTTCCGCCGGTCTTCTGATCAGAAGACAACCCTCGTCTAAGAGAGAGTGCAGAAAATGGAAAGGTCCGAGCGCATGCCATCACCCCTTCTTCTTTCCGGCGAGATCGGAAGAGGCTCGATGACCCGAAATCGAGCCGGGAGGAGGCAGCAGAACGATTGTGCAGGGGTGTTGAAGTGCTGGGTTGGTGGGTGTGATGGATTGCAGGGGTGCTGAGGCGCTGAGGTGCCGGGATGCTGCTGAGCGAAAGCGAGCGATAGCGCTGTGCCCAAACGGACAAGCAGCTCAGCCTTTCCGGGCGCGGCCAGCCAAATGGGGCAGTTGCTGTGCCGGGATTATTTGCAGCCGCAGAGCACGCCTTTCCCAAGTCGTCAGCCCGCAAGCGACGAAGGCGCATGCTATCAGAGCGGAAGCGGCCAGCTCCACCACGAACTTTCTGGATGCTCTCCCCTCTACATGCCGAAAGAGGTCCAGGCTGACACCCGGACTTCGCACCAGAGCGAGGAAGAGCGAGAGATGAGGGGACATGTGAAGATTGGGGCAGGACGCAACACAGCTGAGAGAGTCGGATGCAACCCACAACTGACGCTCAAGACGGCTCGGCCGGCGGCCCTCCGGACTCTCAGGGCTGTGCTGGCTGGATGATGGCCCTGGCGCCATGTTGTCAGCAGTCTGTTCAGATGCAATTGGGTCTGAGCCTGTCTGTTCTGCTGGTGCTTTTGCGGCGTTCTGTCTGTCTTCTGTCTTGGTCTTTTTGCCTTCTGCCTTCTTTGGGAGAGGAAAGGGAAGGGGGGGTGGACATTGCGTAACAGTCGAGCGCCAAAGAGGCAGGCGCGCTGATAGGTGCTGTATGCATGTCCCTTTTCGGCAAGTGCTGAGCAGCCGCGCCTGCCACGACCGGTGATGGTTCTGGCTGAGGCCCATCCATCTCTTCTCTCTCGTTCTCTCGTCTCTGGACGGCGCCCGGAATCAATAATTCCCCACCGAGAAGCAGCAAGTCGGCGAAGAGGGAGGGGGCTTGCGCGAAGCGATGGTTGATGACCGGGACGATGCGAGTTGGTGACAGAAGCTGGCTCAAGGCAAGGGATGGCCATAGTCGGCCACGTCCAGAACGGGCCGTCTATGTTCAGCGAGATCGTCGATGGCAGAAGCAGGTGACGGCTTGATCGTCCCATATGATTGACCGGGGCATCGTTGGTGTGCCGGTTCTGTGCCCGCTCTGTGGCCGCTCAGTTCTTGCTTCCACCACCCGACGACCGATAACCGACACGAGTGCTGCTGAGGGGGTGTGAAGGAAGGCGAAAGGGGGGTGAGACGGGATGGTGAGCAAAGCCAAGACGATCCAAAGGATGCTGAGAAATCGCCCAAGGCAGGCGAGATGTGTCCGGCCGGCCCTCCCCATCCTGTCTTTGAGGGTCATTGTTCAGATTGTAACGTCCCTCCCTCTGCTCGGTTCGGACAGTCCTGTCGGCTTTGAGAGGTATAAGAGACCTCCCGTCTTCCCTCCAGTTGTGATGGTGGGTGAAGGATATCAGCAAAGGTGTGCAATATCTCCCACTTTGGATACTCTTCTGCGAGCCTGTGGCTGTCTGAAAAGTGTTGTCTTGTCACGTCCCCTTTGTCCGATTCTTACCATATCTGTGTTGGTGACTGTTCGTCTCTACTCTCTTACACCATCCATACCTGGCATACATACCGCACACATACCTTACACACACACACACACACCAATGGCAGACATACTCGACGACTATCCCGAGTATGGCTCAACCGGACTGCTTGATGATCTGCGTCGGTCTGAGTATGGCTACCTCGACGAGCAAGAACATGTGTACCTCGACTACACCGGATCAGGTCTGGCTGCTCGGGCTCAGCACCGTGCCCACGCCCGTCGGCAGGCCGACATGGTGCTGGGCAACCCACACTCGGCCAGCCCGACAAGCGAGGCGGCGACGCAGCTTCTCGAGCGCACGCGAGCCCGGGTGTTGCAGCACCTGCATGCCGACGCGGACGAGTACGTTGCCATCTTCACGCCCAACGCCACCGGTGCAGCGCGTCTTGTGGGCGAGGCCTACCGCTTCCATCGTGGCGGCCGGCTCGTGCTCACGGCCGATAATCACAACTCTGTCAACGGCCTGCGCGAGTTTGCCCGCCGCGCCGGCACTCCAACCGTCTATGTGCCTAGCACAGCGCCCTCGCTGGCCGTCGACCAGGCCGTGCTGGATGCTGCCCTAGTGCCAGGGCTGAAGAGGGCAGGCAGCCGACTGTCGGGATGGCTGGCCAGCATTCGCAGCTGCTTTGGGGCCTGTGAGGAGGAAGACGAGAGAGAGGAACTGGCAGAGACAAAGACGGCGGAGATGGCAGACAGCACAGAGCACGCACACCACAGCGGCCTCTTTGCGTATCCGGCACAGAGCAACTTCTCGGGCGTGCGGCACCCGCTCGGATGGGTGGCCGAGGCACAGGCGCGCGGCTACGACGTGCTGCTGGACGCGGCGGCATATCTGCCGACATCGACGCTGGACCTATCAGCCATACACCCAGATTTTGTGCTTGTCAGCTGGTACAAGCTGTTTGGCTACCCGACCGGCGTGGGCTGTCTGGTGGCGCGACGAGCGGCCTTGGCCCGGTTGGACCGGCCATGGTTTGCGGGGGGGAGCATCCGCGCCGTCAGCGTCGGCCTGGACTGGCATGCACCAGCGCGCGATGTCGCCGCCCGCTTCGAGGACGGCACTGTCAGCTTCCAGGCCATTCCGGATGTGCTGGCTGGCCTGGACTGGCTGGCCGATGTCGTCGGTCCCGACCGTCTGCAGACTCGCGTCCGCTGTCTGACAGCTTGGTTCCTGCGCCGTCTGACCGCCCTGCAGCACGCCAATGGCCGGCCGATGGCGGTGCTGTATGGACCTGGCAGCAGTGAGGCTGCTGCAACGACAACGGCAGCTCGTGGGCCCACGGTCGCCTTCAATCTGGTTGACTGCAACGGCCAGATCGTGGACGAGCGCATCGTGGCCGCCGACGCGGCCGCAGCCCGCATCTCCCTGCGCACCGGCTGCTTCTGCAACCCCGGCGCTGGCGAGACCGCCCTCGGACTCTCCCAGCACGATCTCCGTGTTCTGCAGCAGTTGGCCATCCGCAGCCTCGAACCGGTCACGTCCGCCGCACAGCGCAGCACCAGCACGCGAAGCAAGAACAGCACCAGCACCAGCACCAGCAGTGGCACCGGCGGCATCAGCGAGAAACATGCCCAGCAGTGGCCGCCATCCGCAGGCGAGCCGCCCATCACCGGCGCCGTGCGCGTCTCGTTTGGCGTGGCCTCCAACACCGCCGACGTCGACCGCTTCTTTGCCTTTGTCGAGGCTACTTACTGCGATCGCGCTGTGGACAGCAGCCAACTGGGGCCGCGGATGGAGTGCTAGGACGGGAAGTCGGGACAGGGCTATGTATCTTGTAGTCTGGACTTTAAGTCGTTTACGCGGACATGTCAGTTGCTTAGCTATTGCGAATAACCCAATTGAAACCACTTGTGTCGGATTAGTCAGCTATCGCTACTGTTTGCAGGTAATTGGCAAGAGAAGCTGCCAGTGTGTAGGCGTTCGACATGCCCCCGAGCCCTCAGATCTTCCCAGTCAGCTCTCCGCTCTTCTGTTCCGCATCTGACACCTCTCTCTCACACTTTCTCGCTCGCCCGCCCTCTCTCGCTCTCGCTCTCCTCTCCCCTACGCCTTGTCGCCCTGGATCTTGGCGTACTCGGCGGCGGAGACGAGCCGGCCGACGACGAGGTACTTGCCCTCGAAGCGCTCCTCCCAGCCGCGGAGGGCCTCGAGCTCGTCAGCGTCGAGGTCGTCGAGCGGGTCGAGCGGGCCGTCGAGGTCCTTGGTCAGCATGTCCTCGTCAAACGAGTGTTTGGACAGGCCGCGGCTGGCGTCGCGGCCGGCAAAGTTCTCATACATGCCGCCGGGGCCGTAAAAGTTGCGGCCCGACGAGACGTCAAAGACGCGGCCACGCACGGCCAGGTAGACGGGCTGGCCGTCGGTGCCGTTGAGCGGCAGCAGCGAGCGCGGCGTGAACGTGCGGAAGACGATGGCCGGCGGGTCCTTGGCCAGGGCTGGCGGTGCGGCTGGCCGCATAAAGACGTAGGCCGTGTAGAGAACGACAGCCAGGAGGAGCATGTTGAGCGGCGTAGCCAATCCAGGACTGCTTCGGGTCAGCTTGGCTTTCTGGTGCTGTCGAATTCTTCTCTTCTGTCTCTTCTGTTTTCTATTCTCTGATGATCCCGTTGTTCTCTCGTTCTCTCATTCTCTCATTCTTTTCCCTCCATCTTTGTTTCACTGCTCTCCTACCTCCTCCTCTTCCTCTCTTATCCCGATCTTCTACCTACCTGGACACAACATCCTTCTGGGCCTCCTGGGCCATCCGCTGTTCGACGTAGTCCATGATGCGTGGGTTTCGCTGTGCTTTCGGGATAGCCTGGTTCGCAGTGTCGATTGCGATCGAAGCGGTCGTGGTTGTCGAGCCAAATAGAAATAGACCTCTCAAGCCTTCCTGGACGGGCGTGTGCTCGCTGCAATGCGTCGTCGGACGTCTTCGGCATGTTTCTACGGTCAATGGAACAGTCCGACCCCCGCCTTCTCTGAGCTCCACTCTGTCATGACGGATTAGACGGATACAAAACGGAGTGTGTCGAAACGGTCGATACGCTCATAAAACGGAGCTAAGCGATTTAGAACGGAGGTCATCGAAGCGGACCGCACCAGCTGAAAGCCAGCCTTGGCACCCCAACCACAGCTCTACTGTAGCTTCAGCTTTTCAGCCGTGCAGCGCCGACCCACCAAAATGATTGGCACCGAGGGTCCAAGTCACCCTTGGCCGGTCGGCCATGACATCAGCATGCCTCCCTAGGTTCTTTGGTACTGTCTTAAAAGATGCACAAGTGTTCCAGACCGACGTGGTGCTACTGCTATCTGTATTTAAAGGCAGGCTTTGCTCCCTCGTAGACAAACTAGTTCTCTCCTCACTGAACCCTCACAAAGCCTTTTAATTTCAAAATGGACGCCTTCAAGAACATCCTCAGCAGCGCGACTGGCAGCCAGAACCAGTCCGGCAGCCAGTCTGACAACCAGTCCGGAAACCAGTCCGGCAACCAGAACCAGTCTGGAGGCAGCCTGGCCGACAATCTACTCGGCAAGGTCAACAACATGGCCGGTGGCGGCAAGGAGAGCGAGAAGAACGAGGACTACCTCGACAAGGGTGAGCACTGCTGGCTACGGCTACTCCTCGCAGACAGACACTAACATATCTTTCTGGTCAGGCGTCGACTTTGTTCAGGAGAAGTTCTTGGGCGCGGGCGACCAGAGCAACGAGTCGGCCATCGAGCAGGCCAAGGACGAGCAGATCTCCGACTTTATTCGCAGCAAGTACAAGTCCACCACGGGCTCTGACTTCCCCATTGCAGACAAGAAAACAAACTTCGACCTGTAAGGAAGGGCACAGATTGTAGACAGGCTTAGAGGCAATAATGATCAATTCACTCTCCATCTTGTTTTGTCCCAGTAAAAAGCACGCAAAACGACAGTACATAGTAGAAAAATCAGTCGTATTGCTCTCAAGTCGTATCTACTCCGTAGCTGAGAACGACAAGCTCCGTCGACAGACTACACCGAAATGGAGTCCACTTTCGGTACCCACCTGATATGCATAGCGGGCTTGTGGAAGTAGTGCAGCCCTGACTCACTTGCCCGGGAAATTGACGTACTTGGTGTGGCTTCCCGACGCCACGACCGGACCGTTCGTCGGCCGCGACTCGTCCAGCTCCTTTCCGTCGCCACCGCCGGCCAGCTTCTTGCGAATCTCCACAGACGTGTATGCAAGCGAGCGTCCGACGCGCTGCACCCATGCCTCGATCTCGAGCTCGTCGCCGGCGCGCGCCCCGGACACGTAGCTGATGTGGATGTCGACGCTGACACCGGTTCCATGGCGTCCAGTGCTGGCAATGGCCATGCCGCCGGCCCAGTCGACCAGGGCCGCGGACACGGCACCGTGCAGGATCTGCTTGGAGTTGACATGGATGGCCGCCACCGGCAGGCGGGCGAGCACGCGGCCGTTGGTGGCCGACACGAGGCGGATGTTGCCAAAGAAGAGGCCGTAGATCGGCGAGTTGGGCTCAATGCCGGCCCAGTGAGCGCGCACATGGACAAGACGCTCAGCGTCCGTAGCTGTAGCTGGAAGGGGGACGGGGGCTTGCGGTGATGGTGCCGCTTCCAATGTCCCTTCTGATGGAGTGTCTGCCATGGCGTAGGCGTTGATGTGATTTTCGGTGAGAAGTTGAGCTGGGATTTTGTTGGGGAAACTCCGTCAAAGCAGCAAAAAATGCGGAAATTTCCTGCTGACATGAAAGCTGAGGCTGTCGGAGGAATTGCGCAAGCATTCAGGACAGATTGCAACAAGCAGCATGAGATGACGCATTCATTCACTCAGATTGACTGAATAGGCGCGAAATGAAGATGGCATAACGATGGCTGCTTCTGCGCCCGGTCATCCTGCTTGTTTTCGCACGCTCACGCCGCAGCTGGTCCGTCCCGTGCAGCTAGTCCATCCAGCCAAAGACGTCGTAGATAAGCTCAACTTTCCATCATGGGTTGTTGCAAAAATGCAATGCTGCCAACAAAACACCCAAGAGAATGCGGACTTGCTTGTGACTTGGAAAGAGACAGCAAGAAAGCATACCGGGTAGCAGCTTCTGTATTGGGTGACTACCGGTCGCAGCCCAGCACTTTTAACTAGTGAAGCCACACTGCCTGTTAGGCATTCTGAAAGCCCACGTTACTGCACGTAGCCTCGTATAATGTAACCTGTTGCATGTCAAGAACAGCGAAAAAGCCGTAGACGGGCATGCATGGTTGAACACCTCCAAATCATCTGTCTCGTGAGAAGGTCTAAAGAACAATATTCGGTGCCATCCAAGCCAGACAATTGACCGCCGCTCCCATACTCATGTTGCAGAGTGTGGTTATGCTTGAAACATAGTATAGTTGACTACGCATCTCATAGCAGCTACCAGCTACCAGCTTTCATAATCACATCCTACCACGTATAAGGGATCCTGCCCACATCGCTCTCAATATTTTGGAAATGCAGTTTTCAATTCAAGCTCAAGATCAAAGAAATCTACATAAGTAGAACGGGAAAGTAGACTGGTAGACGTTAGATATGGGTCATTATGCCACAACAATTCCAGAAAGCACGAGTATGGCGACAGAGTAGCAGCAAGCGCTGACAAAATAGGGCAGGCCGAGGGCTAGGCCGCCGAGGGTGATACCCCAGACCCAGAGGGCGGCCATCAACGGGGCACCGATAAGCGAGCCGAGCGTCTTGGCTAGCATGACAATAGCAAAGATCTGGGTCTCGGGGTCAGTGGGGGCGGCCGAGGTGGTAGACGATGCAGCGACAGACGTAGCAACTGTTTCGGGCAGGACGATAGCAGGTGACTTGAGCAGCGACAGCGTGAAGACGGGCAGCACAGACCCGAGGGCGTAGACGAGCAGGGCGGGCACGAGGATAGCGATCGAGGAGGAGAGCGCAATAGCGGCGGCGCCGAGGACGGAGACGCCGAGACAGAGACGGGCCAGCAGGAGGTTGTCGCGGGTGTTGTCGAGGGAGGAGGCGTCCCCGGGGATGCGAGCGACCGTCCGCCGTGCCCGTGCCCGTGCTCGCAGAAGCCGCGGTACGACGACGGCCAGCAGAACAAAGTTGACGACGGCCTTGCATGAGAGCAGGTAGCCGGCCTGGGCAAAGGTCCAAGCATAGCGCTTGGAGATGTACTGGGTCAGCAGGCGGGTGTCGGCGCTGGCCAGCGACGAGAGCAGGAAGCCGACGAGCAGCAGGCCAAAGTTGCGCGGGTGGCTGCGAACGACGGCGGCAAGGCGGCGAAAGTGAGAGGGCGGCCGGGATGGAGAGGAGGACGAGCTGGATGCTGGACCGGTCAGGACGTCCTCGACCTCCACGTCGACCTCCACTTCGGGCAGCCGTGCAATCGTCGGGACGCACAGCAGCACCAGACCGACGGCCATGGCGAGCGGCAGCCACAGGGCGACGCTCATCGTGGCAGCCGACAGCGCTGGACCAATCAGGGCGACGACGTATGCGATGGAGCCCATGTAGCCAAAGTAGGTTGCTCTGAGAGATGAGTCAGCTGGGTCAGCTGAGTCAGCACAATACAGAGTACTCCGTGCTCACCTCTCTACCGGATCGGTAGTCAGGCCAGCAGCGAGGCTGTAGGCCAGTGACCCGAGCACGCAGTCGCCGCCGAGCACGGACAAGAACGAGGCGGCGACGACGGCGCGCGTCGGCAGGGCGCGGGCGCAGAGCAGCACGGCGAGAGCCCAGGCCGGCAGGGCGAGCCGGGGGACGAGGTTGAGCCAGAGGACGGCGCGGCGACGTCCCCGTTGTCCCTGTCGCTGCTGGGCAGCAAAGCTCAGCGGCACGGTGACGGCAAAGTCGCCCACGACCCAGGCCGTCTCCATGACGCCCTGCAGACCGGCGAGGCCGCGCTGCACGCTGTCGATCTTGCAGGCGGCCTCGTCGACGCTGCCGTCCGGCCGGATGCGCGACGGGTCGTGCGTCTGGTAGTGCTCCAGACACAGCCGCCGCTCAATTACCCGGCTGGCCGGCAGCTGGTACAGGCTCGTGGCCAGGCTGGTCAGCAGCATCAGCGTCAGGAGGGCCCGCAGCGGGGGAGTGCGGCGAGCGGGCGATGGCGGGGACAAGAAGGGTAACGATCCTGCCTGCTCCGACTCCCCCGACAGCAGCGGCCGGCTCTCATGTCCGTCCTTGGCCAGAATCGCCGTGCCGGCCTCGTCGTCATCGCTGCCAGCGTCGCGGGGATCCATGGTCATTCGGCGAGCGTGCGCGGTTGCATGTGGGAGGTTATTATGAGAGTCGTGATAAGGATTGCGGAAACGAGCCGGTACAAATGCAGATGCAACGCGCAAAAGGCAAACGCGTCAAAACGACACATCCAGGAGGAATCGCAGAAACCGGCATAAAAGATGCACACTCATGAGCAACTGAAGTCGGATGAAGTCAGATCCCCAAAACAGAAGGAGCAAAAAAAAGGCACTTTACACTGAAAGTCAAAAAGATGGGCTCCACCGGGGGTCGAACCCGGGACCTCGTACAGTTGCTCCGTTAGGAAACCCAAAGCACGAATCGTACCACTAGACCATAGAGCCGATCGGAGTTGTCGGTTGTTCCCGTATTATCCAGCTATGAGGTGAGGGTCGCTTAATTTCTCGACTGCAACACGGTGCATCAGCTGAACATCGTCTCGCTCACGATTCTTATATAGACCTACTCTCTGCCTCGCTTGTCCGCTGAACAACCTATGTCACACAATGTATACCATACCCAAACCCAATAGAACGCTCTAAATGTAGATTCGCTGACCTCGTTATCCTATCGTACAAAGGCATCGCCAATACGCAACAGGCCCTCACTCCTTCTTCTTATCCGCCGCCGCTGCCGCCCTCTCCTTCCGCCGCCGAAGCCAGGCCTTGATCTCGTTCAGCAGCCCCATCACCAGCGGCACGCCCACCGGTCCCAGCAGCGGCAGGTACACGGCCACCTTGTGCTCGTCCGGAAAATACAGTTGACCCACCATGCTCTTCTCGAAAAAGGCCCTTTCAGCCTCAGCCTCGGCGATGCGCGCGTGCGCCAGCCCGTCGGCTCCGCCCAGCGAGTCGCACGCCAGCCGCAGGTGCCGCATCGTGCTGGCCACTCCCTCGGCCACGCTCGGCGGTATTGCAATGTTGCGTAGCGCCAGCGACAGCCGCGCCAGGCTGCCCAGCGTCGACGACGCCCGCAGCAGCAAGTCCGCCGACCGGATCCGGCTGAGCGTCCACAACCGCAGCGGCAGGCTGCCTGATTGCGGCGTCCCCAGCAGCGACAGCAGGTGCGCCGTAAACGTCAGCAGCGGCTCCCGGAGCGCGGCCTGCGACACGTGCGTCTCGTCACCGGAAGCTGGCTGCTGCAGCAGATACACGGCTCCCCACTGCGGCACCAGCCACGACTGTGACGTCTGCCCCAGAGGACCGCCACCCACATCGATCGTCTGGTTGCCCACAAAGACGACAAAGTTGATCGTCGGTGCACCCGCAATCGACGGCGACAGCGGCCACTCGGCCGCATTGATAAACGACGACAGGTCCTCCTTGCTCAGCACCTGCGCCTGTGCGCCCGGTGTCGCGTATAGCTGTACCTGTGTGTCCATGGTGAAGTTGTGGATCGGGCTGAGAACCGTCAGCACCGGCTGCATGTACTCGGCAATCGCCCCCTCAATGTCCCAGCTGCTCGGCGACGGTCCGCTCGTGAACAGCGAAAACGTCAGGTGGTACGTCGGTGCGTACTTGAGCGACCGCGTCGTCCGCTTAGCCAGCTCCATCGCCACCTCGGGCGCCAGCCGCTGTTGTTGTTGTTGCTGCTGCTGTTGCTCCACTGCACTCGACGCTGTCGACGACGACGCCGACAGCAGGTATGAGATGATCGTCTGCTCCTCTTCAAATGTGGACCGCAGCTGCGCCGCGATAAACGTCGTCAGCACCGACGACGACGAGCTGAGCGGCGGAATCGAGTTGGCCGGGTACGTCACGTCCAGGATTGCAAAGTGTGGGTGTAGTGTTGCCGTCGAGACGTCGCCGGGCCGCAGCCGGATTGTCAGCGCCACATCGTCGCCCGTGCCCGGTACCGCCAGGTCGCCACCAACCCCGCCGAGGGGTACCTCCTCTTCGCCGCCGTGTCGCGATAGCTCGAGCCGCAGGTGGTGCCCGGAAAAGTCGTTGAGGTCGTCCAGCGCGTGCTGGGTCAGTCGCAGAAGATGGTTCGCCTCGGCGTCTTGCAGGGACGACGCCTGGATCGCGATGCGCAGCGGGAAGACCGGACGGCATGCCTAACGCAGACGCAACAGGTCAATCTCCTATTAGCCAGCGTTGGGAAGCGACGTTAGACACCGCTTAACTCACCCTTCCGTCGGCCCATTCCAGCATCTCGTCCACCGGCAAGCTTGCCCGGTAGATGCTCGTCGTCTTCCACCATATGGGCAGGCCGAGCAGCAGCACCACCAGCCAGAACGAGATCAGCACGGCCCTGCGCCTCTGCACGTCCGACGCCTTCTCTGGTGGCGGCTGCTTCTGTGGTTTCTCCTCGTCTGCTTCTAATGCTGCTGCTGCTGCTTCTTCTGCTTCTTCTGTTCCAATCTTCTCCTCGGGTAAAGCGCCCGGCGCGCTTTCCGGAACGGCGACGGCCGTGCGTCGAGTGGCCATGGCGACACAGATGCTGGTGAGAGTCTGGATATTTGGTCGGTCGTAAAGCCACGGTGCGGCAGCCGATTGGAACACCAGTTCGTATCCATTCAGGACAAAACACCAAAAGAGGATGCGTGCAGGTCGCAAATCTCACTTGGCCCAATCAGGAATGGCCCATCTCTGGATAAGCGATAAGCAAGCTCCGTGCCTGCCGCACACTCGCGTAACGGCGCATCGTCGCACCTGCTCCATACCCAAAGCGTAATTCATAAAGCGACCTTGCTCGTTTTGGCGAACATGGTGTCAAAGAGGAGCCAAAACATCAGGTTTCCCTATTCCGGTCCTTCCTGACTGCCCAGGACCCTTCACACGTCCTCAACTCGATAGAAGTTGAAAATCAGCTGCCTGTCGTTGGAACTTGTTCGGCTTCCCCGCAAAAAGTCGCGCCATATGCCGAGGCAGATCCTCTGGACTTCACATTTGACCCATCTCCCGTGAAATTGCCTATCAAAACGAGGCGACTGCAGGTGCTTCGCCCTACAAAGAACTCGTCTCCCCCTCCTCTCCACCATGTCGTCTGCATGACCGCCTCTCGCCCAAGCTCAGCCAGATCTCTCTAGCTTCACCCTCACAAGGCTCAGGCATCAGCAGCCTCCGCTTCTCCCAAACCGGCAGTCTCAGACCACTCCTGCGAAACGCGTCGTCATCGTCCACCTCGACCTCGTCAGCCTCGAGACAGACCGAACGAAAGATGTCTAGTAAGCTCTCGACCGTTGAAGAACGAAAGACATGTTGCTCACCCTTCCAGTACCAGCAATCCCTTTGCAGGTCGCGCTGCCGGCCGCGGTTGCCGGCCTCGCCTACATCAATGCCCGCGCTTCGGTGTGGTACGACCTGTTGATGCTGAACTCTGTCATTCCTGCGGTCATCTCCATGAACATGTCCCGTCTTACCGGCAAGATCAGCGTCTTCTACCGCATCGAGGAAAGGGCAAAGTCCTCGGCATTCGCAAACCGACCCTTCATCCTCGTCGACGACTACTCGTACACCTATGCGCAAGTCTACGACCGTGCCCTCCGCTATGGCGTGTGGCTGAAAGAAAAAATGGCCGTTGGGAAGGGTGACGTGGTAGCAGTGGATTTCATGAACTCAGACACCTTCATCTTCTTATGGCTGGGCCTCTGGTCCATTGGCGCCAAGCCGGCCTTTATCAACTACAATCTGCGCGATCAGCCGCTGGTACACTGCATCCAGACCGCCACCACCAAGTTGATACTCGTCGACTCTGCCGTTGCTGAGGCGTTCACGCCAGAAGTTCGCACCGCCCTGTCCGACAGACGCATCGAGGTCTTCTCCGAGGCCCTAAAGACCGAGATCTTCGCCACAGACCCGATCCGTTACCCCGACGAGCTGCGCCACGAGGACAAGCTAGAAGACATGGCCGTCCTCATCTTCACTTCCGGCACGACCGGCCTCCCCAAGGCTGCCGTGGTGTCGTGGTCCAAACTGATTGTCGGTGGCAACTTTACGTGGCACTGGACGGGCGCCACCAAGGATGATATATACTATACGGTACGTCGACCGTCAGCAGAGAATGCCTGCAGTGTCTAATTCCGTGTCATCAGTGCATGCCTCTCTACCACTCCTCCGCCATCCTGTTCTGCTTCTGCACCATGCTGAATGCCGGCGGCGCCGTGGCCGTCGGCCATCGCTTCTCCAACAAAACGTTCTGGCCCGACGTGCGCAAGTTCAAGGCAACCATGATCCAGTACGTCGGCGAGACGTGCCGGTATCTCCTTGTGGCACCGCCGCAGATCGACCCTGCGACCAACGAGAACCTGGACAAGAAGCATTCCGTGCGCCTCGCCCTTGGAAACGGCCTCCGCCCCGACGTGTGGAACCGTTTCAAGGAGCGCTTCGGTATTGAGACGATTGCCGAGTTCTACGGCGCAACAGAGGGCACGCTGGCCACGTTCAACCTATCCCGAAACGACTATTCCATGGGCGCCGTAGGTCGCGTAGTGGTTGGATATACAAACTGCTGATGGGGATCAACGTCACGTATGTAGCCATGGACTGGGCTACCGAACAGCCATGGCGTGATCCGCGCACTGGATATTGTCGGCGTGCCACTGTGGGCGAGCCGGGCGAGCTGGTCTTCAAGCTTCCCTCGGACAATATTCACAAGCGCTTCCAGGGATATTACCAGAACGAGAAGGCCACCCAGGCCAAGGTCATGCGCAACGTCTTCCGCAAGGGCGATGCTTGGTTCCGCACCGGTGACGTTCTGCGTACCAGCGCCGAGGGCATGCTCTATTTCCACGACCGCATCGGTGACACGTTCCGGTGGAAGTCGGAGAACGTGTCGACCACGGAGGTGGCGCATGCTGTCGGCCTTCACCCCGAGGTGGTCGCCGCGAACGTGTACGGCATCGAGGTTCCCTGCCACGACGGGCGCGCCGGCTGTGCTGCCATCGAGCTCAAGGACGGGCCGACGGCAGAGTTTTTGGACAGCCTCGGCCAACACGTCCAGCAGAGCCTTCCGCGGTATGCGCTGCCGCTGTTCCTGCGCGTGGTCCAGGACTCGACCGTGCACACGACCGGAACAAACAAGCAGCAGAAGCACGTTTTGCGCGAGGAGGGTGTCGATCCGGAAAAGGTCGGTTCGGATCCCATCTTCTGGCTGCAAGACGGGACGTACAAGCCGTTTGGACGGCAAGAGTGGGAGCTGCTGAAGGGCGCCCAGGTGAAGTTGTAAGCTACATAATCATACGGATATATCAATCTGTCTTCTCACTACCAACACCACCGTTTTCCTGTATTCCTCTTGTCGAATTGCATCAGCATTGTTAGATCTCAGAGGTCTCTGTGACTGGGTGATTTTAAGGAGGTTTTGCCCAGAAGGCTTCGTCTGTTTACCAGGGGACACGTCAAACAACTACCATTATACAAGCACAAATAATCAGTACCAATAAAAGAGCAGCTGTTGACAGGAACACGATCGTCTGGCTGCTGCTTCTCGTCTCTTCTACCAAGATGGCATTATACATGCGCATTTGCAGCATCTGCCAATCAGATGTGCTAGTGATTGCGCGATAGTGTGCTAAGTTCCAAGCGGCATAGTGCGGGGCGGCTTTGCGCCCAGGATGGCGTGCGAGAGGCAGCGATAGCGGGGCAGCAAACGAGAAGGGGAAACTGTCAACGTCACTCGCAGGTATTATTGATACCATTGTCGTTGTAAGCTCCTCGAAGCTTTCATTCTTCTCTGAGGCGGGAGAATTTTTTTTTTGAGTAGATTACCCCGCACCATCAATATGATGTTCACGGCAGAAGAAGTAGAAGGAAGGAAGGAGCGACAGGAAGGAACAGAAGAGAGAAGTGCGAAGCTACTACATGCATCTTACTGTCCCACGTGCTGCCTAGTATGCTGAGTAGCATAGCTAGGCAGTCTAGACCAACAAGGGTCGGCGAAGACGTGATCGATTAGTCAAGAAGTTCGCAGTATTCCTAGCAAGGTGTACTATGTAGGTCCGACAGCGGTATCTTACGTTGGTGCGCCACTTCAGGGAAGAGAGGTACCCTATTTAAGCGAAAGGCGCCCGCTGCCCATCGCATCATCCGGCCTTGTTTCTCATTCTTCCTCCTTCATTTTGCCCCTCCATCCTGTTCGTCTTTCCACATACATCCTCATAGACTCGATCCATACCTACAACGACACAATGGCCGCCGAGAGAGCTACGCCGTAAGTTTCAATGGAAAGAGATGGAGAAAGGAGGGACAAAAGAACCTGCTGACTCCCATCTAGACTGCGCCTGGGCAGCACTGCTCCCAACTTCAAGGCCGACACGACCCAGGGCCCAATCGACTTCCACGAGTTCATCGGCGACGAGTGGGTGGTGCTGTTCTCGCACCCCGAGGACTTCACGCCGGTGTGCACGACAGAGCTGGGCGAGTTTGCCCGGCTGCAGCCCGAGTTCACCAAGCGCGGCGTCAAGCTGATCGGCCTCTCGGCCAACACGCTCGGCAGCCACGAGGACTGGATCAAGGACATTGACGAGGTCACCGGCTCGCTCGTCGGCTTCCCCATCATCGCCGACAAGGAGCGCAAGGTCGCGTACCTCTACGACATGCTCGACTACCAGGACACCACCAACGTCGACGCCAAGGGCATCGCTTTTACCATCCGCTCCGTCTTCATCATTGACCCCAAGAAGGTCATCCGCACCATCCTGTCGTACCCGGCGTCGACCGGTCGCAACTCGGCCGAGGTCCTGCGCATCGTCGACTCGCTCCAGACGGGCGACAAGAACAAGGTGACCACGCCCATCAACTGGGTTCCAGGCGACGACGTCATCGTCCACCCGAGCATCAAGACTGAGGACGCCAAGAAGATCTTCCCCGACGTCCGCGTCGTGAAGCCGTACCTGCGCTTCACCACCCTGCCCAAGGCCTGATTGCAGTCGGTTCGGGGGCCTCTGGCTGGGAGAGTTCAGGATAGCTTTGCAGATAGGCAGGATAAAAAGAATATGATACCAATGTGAAGATGTGTGGAAAGCGCTTGTACCTTCCACGTGCCTACGTCGTGTCCAAGTACGTGGCGATGAGGCCGGTGCTGGCCAGTTCCTGACCCGAGGACGGCAGCGAGAGACACGTCCGGGCTATGCAGCAGGCGGCCGATGCGATTGGCGATAGGCTGTTGGAGCCGCCCAGGAGCCCGGGGCTTGAACGCTCGGGCTTAGGCCCCCAGACCTGTCGTCAGCGGCCACGACTTCGTCTGCCAGTAAACGGTGACGTGATGCAAACAGTGGACCACAGTGGATGTCGGCCAGGAATCTTGGTCAGAAATCTTGGTCAGGAATCTTGGTCAGGAATCTCGGCTCGATTCTCAGCTCGCACCCTTGGGCGAGACATGGTGGAAGACAGCCGGATAGCGCATCGACGGCACAGAGAAGACTGCTGTGATGGAAGCTCAGAATCGAGACGACGGCATGGGGTGGTAGCATGGGGAGGGGGGAGATTAGGAGCATGGGCCGCCTGGGAAACACTGGCAGGGATGAGAGCGGAGCCCATTTGGCCATCTGAATACTGTATCCTCTGTATCCTCTACTATGCACTCCGTACGGAGTACTGCATGCTCTGTATGTAAGAAATCGTTCGCTCGGCCATGGGCTCAAAGGAGCACACGAATCGGCTTTGAGCAGCGTCTCCACTGCCACGTTCTGGCGATGCGACAGGCTGCACCTCGGCGTTCTCTGTGAGCAGTGCCGGCCATCGTACGGCATGTAAGATACATAGTACTATAGCAGCTCGTCCGAGCCAGAACCGCACTAGAATGCGCCGACACGTTCCATCGGATAAATAAGGCTACTCGACTTGCAAGGGTCGGCTAGAATGCATGGCACCTGCAGAGCACGACGCAGCAACTCGGAATTTGAAACGACCGTCTACCGGCTACTATGTACCAGCTGTCGCAAAGTACGGTTCTGTTTCTGCTGTCCAGAAGCGACAATGGCACTCGTCTGGAATACGGAGTAAGGGGCAGTGCAGGCCGATCGTAAGATACGGTGGGAAGTTGTTTGCAGCGCACAAACACCCTTTCCCCACCTTGCCGTTTCTGGCCCCAGTTGTTCCTGCGCTTCGGTCGAAACGTTCTCCAATCAGGACGCGCCGTGAACAGGCGGCCCAAGCGTCTCCACAGAACCGCAATCCCGTGAACGTTCTTTCCCTCTGCTTCCCCTTTTTCTCTCTGCCCCAACCCCACTTTGGCTATGATCGATTGCCAACAACGTAGAAGAAGTCTTTTTTTCCGTCGCCGCCTCAACACGCCCAGCGCAACGTCCCTCACCCCCTTTCCACCTTGACCGTCTGCTTCTCCACCTCGGACGACACCGCCCTCTTTTCCTCGCTCACTCGCTCAAAACAGGTATATCTCTGTACGCTCGTCACAACTCCGTCACAACACTGCAGACGCTCCGCTTGGCCCAGCTGACTGACCTGACTAAAGAGGGTAGAAAACGAGCACAAGTACGGACAGAGTATTTTTGGATGCTAGACTCATTCTCGTCGGCTCTCCTGCTTGCGCACAACCAGACGCGTCGCATACGCCGTACAGCGGACGAACAGCAGCCAGCAGCTCGTCGGACGGCCAAGCGACACCACAGCCACCACAGCTACCACAACCCACGGACACACGAATAAGATACGACGTGCAGGCCACGCCCTTCGTGGACCATCGCGGCACTGCCTCGATCCGTCATCCTCTCCGTCTTCCCTCCCGCCACTTGTCAAAGCTACAGGCTACAGGCTACAGGCCGTCCCTGCCCCTACCTCTCCTCTTCTGCTCCAGTTCCTGTTCCTGTTCCTGTTCTGTTCCTGTTCCCGTTCCACATTTGCGGCAGATCCCCGACTGAACAGACGGGTCTAAATTATCCACTGCAACATTGTAGGGAATCCTCGTCGTCTTGGTACGTCAACCCCCCCCCCCCCCCCCTAATCTGCTCCCGTATCTGCCCTCTCCCTGGCCCCCTTTGTCATCGGTCGTGCTGTCATCTTTCTCGCCATTCCACGTTCTCCCCCCTGCTGTGCCGAGAGCCATCTGGGACGGCATGTGGATTACATCCGCTCTTCCACGCACTCGGTTCTCACTCCGGTTTCCACTGCCACCCTTCTGCTTCCAAAATCGTCCTTTCATACCTGTCTGGCCAGCCTTTCTGTATCAGTATCTGCGTCTGCTCAAACATGTTGCAGGATCTACATGATTTCCTTTCATGGTAGCTAGCTTGCCCGCTTTTTCTTGCTCATGTTATCCCCTGCCCAGCCTCTAGCTGCTCTTCTTCTTTTCTCCCCTATCCGCTCTTTCCGCACGTCGGCCATCGCTTCTCTTTTTTGTCTTGACAGACACCTCCACAGCCTCTCTTGCCAGCCACACGTACCCTCCCGCAGCCATCCACGTCTGACCAGTCACGGTCGAGGGGCAGCCCGTTGGGGTCGGTCGACTAACCGCAATGGACCATACTGCAGACCCCTACGAATCAACTGGAGACAGCCCGCAGCTCTCAGACTTTGAAATCGACGAGTCGACTCGACACAAGACCACCTCCGATATCTTATCTGGCGTCTACCGTGGCTTCAAGAAGATCACCCCCAGCCGAGACGATCTTGCCAAGCTTAAAAGACAGGCCTCCCAGTCACGCAGACACACTCCCGAGCCGGAAATTGTCGTCAAGCCTTACTCGCCCATCCTATCGAGATCACATAGCAGGCGACGCCTAGCTTCTCAGAAACAACAGCATGCTCGCGATCTGAGCCTGCAGAATAGTCTCGAGAAGCCATTACCTGATACTCCAACTGACCGGTCTCCGAACGGTCCACTCACCCCCATCGCGTCCCAGGAGCGCTTTGTGTCTCTGGTCCGCAGCTTCGACTCTCTTCCCCACCTCGTGCCACCTACATACATGGATAGTCGAACGAGCACGATGGACACCAGCTCGTCCATCGAGCAAGGATACCTCTACGTGACGAATAGCGGCAGCACAAACGTGACACCTCACATTGCCAGCGCCGGTCCCGATATGAACCAGAGCAATGGCCATAACCACATGTCCGAAGATGGACGGGACAACCTCACCCCCAAGAACAACGCTCCGCAGTCGGCGTCTCTCTCGCCACAAGCCTCTCAACAGTCGTCACGAAACACGCCGAATACTAACGGCTCCGGTGCAGGAAACGCGGCTGCAGCGACGCCGAGTGCTGCGTCCTCTGCCCACCTGTCAGGCCTGATGTGCAATGTCCACAGAACGACAGGCAGAGAGCCGCACGCGCTGGTGGGCGCGACCACTACCATCCTGGGTGACAAGCTCTATGTGTTCGGTGGAAGGATATTGTCACGTAGTCGGCCGGCATCGCTGACGGCAGACCTCTATGAGCTTGACCTGATCCGCCGCCACTGGACAAAGATTGACGCTACAGGCGATGTACCACCGGCCCGGTATTTCCACTCGATGTGTGCATTAGGAGACACGAAGATGGTCTGCTACGGCGGCATGTCGCCACAGCAAAGTGCCAACGGCATGTCGCCGCAGGACCAGCAGCAGGATATGAACGTTATGTCGGATATACACATTTACGATGTGCCTACGAAGAAGTGGGCCTACGTCAAGGCCGTGGAGCCGCCACAAGGCCGATACGCCCACTGCGCCTGCATTCTCCCCTCTTCTGCCACGTTCAGCTCTCATCGAGCACCGCTCTCGGCACTGCAGCACAACCCGTCCAGCGGGACGAACGAAGGCCGTCTCGGCGTCAACATTGACGGCACGGGCGGTGCAGAGATGATCGTCGTGGGCGGTCAGGACGGAGGTAACCACTACATTGAGCAGATTAGTGTATTCAACCTACGGAGCCTCAAGTGGACGTCCACAGAGCCGCTCGGCAAGAGCTGTGGTGCCTACCGCAGTGTTGTAGCGCCACTACCACCAGCGGTCACAGCGCGGATCGGCAGAGCTGGGGCTCCCAGCACGGCGCACATTCGCCCGGAGACGGGTGGCATCAGCCAGGAGGCAAGGGAGCCCGGGGCATCGATGCTGATCTACTCCAACTACAACTTTTTGGACGTCAAGCTGGAGCTGCAGATTCGATCGCCGGACGGCACTCTCACGGAGAAGCCGATGGCGGGCAACTACACCCCTCCTGGGTTGCGGTTCCCCAACGGCGGCGTGATCGACACGCACTTCGTCGTGAGCGGGACGTATCTGACGAGTTCGAAGCAGGAGTATGCTCTGTGGGCTTTGGACCTGCGCAATCTGACTTGGTCGCGCATCGATGCGGGCGGCAGCGTGTTCAGCCAGGGCAGCTGGAACCGCGGCGTGTTGTGGAACCGGCGGAACACGTTTGTGATCTTGGGCAACCGAAAGCGCAGTCTTGTAGACGACTACAACCACCGGCGGATCAACTTCACCAACGTGTGCATGGTGGAGCTAGAGGCGTTTGGGTTCTACGACAACCCGCGCAAGACGACGCCGATGTCTGGGTTCGTGTCTGCGAGCAGCCCGTACACCAGTCCCAGTCTGAGCGTGTCCCGCAAGGCGGGCTCGACGGGCGGTGGCCGGTTCCACTCGCGGGCAGCGGAAGACCTGGGTGAGAAGGCGCTGGCGATGCGGGAGCTGTCGGACATGGACATTCTGTGCATTGGCGGGGAGCGGATTCCGGTCAACAGCCGAATTGTGGCGCGCCGGTGGGGACCATACTTTGTGCAGCTGCTGCGAGAGGGCACCTCAACGCAGGATGGCTCAGACTTAAACGGGATGCGGACGATGCCCATGTCGACGCTGCGCAACTCGAGCATTACGATCACGCCGTCGAGCCGCAACACGATGGAGAGCACGATGTCGATGGGGTCAGGCATGACGGGGTCCGGAAGCTCAGTTGGCAGAACGCCCAGCACGCCAGGGACCAGCCTCTCGGGCGGGTCAGGGATTGGCGGGCCATTCTCGTCGCCCATCGACCCTGCCACGATCAACACGGCGCCGACGCCACGGACGCTGCCGCCCAACAGCCGACCGCGGTGTCTGTACCTACCACACACGTTCCTGACGGTGCAGGCGCTGCTGCACTTCCTCTACACGAGCTCCCTGCCGGCACCGACAAGCCCGTTGTGCACTCCACAGATTCTGTGCTCGCTGCTGCAGATCGCACGGCCATACCGCATTGACGGGCTGTTGGAGGCGGTGGTTGAGCGGCTGCACGCGCTCCTGGACAGCCGGAACGCGGCGGCGGTGTTCAATGCGACGGCCATGGCGGCGGGTGGTGGCCGCGGCATCGACGGGACGCTGAACCCCAACTTCTTCCTACCGAGCGGACTGGACGCGCTGAACTCGATAGATCCGACGGGCATGTCGCCTTCGGACGCATCGTCGATTCTGCAGTCGCTGCAAGACCAGCAGCAGCAGCAGCAGCAGCCGCAACGGTCGGGCAGCCCCGACGTGGGCGGGCAGTCTGGCCGTGCAGCAGGGCTGCGGATCAACACATCGGTGGCGGGCTCGTCGAGTGGCGGACAGCCGGCGAGCGAAGACCTGAGCGCGACGACAAGCATGTCAGGCTCGGAGTGGAGCTCCGAGCTGGGAGACAACAGTGAGCGCGGGCAGCGCGAGGTATGGGGCGGCGAGCTGAGCAGCGTGATTGGGCTGCAGAAGCGCGGCCTCAAGGGCTTGATGGAAGGCCGCCGGCTTCGGGAACGGACGGGCACCAACACAATGGTGGCAAGCAACTCTCGGGTGGGCCTTGGTATTGCCAGTGGAGGAGCGTGAGTCCAGACAAGCGGCTGGATGGGCCTTTTGAATGAGCATCTATAGATCTTCTTTTGGGTTGGCGGTTATTTGGACTTTAAGCTGTCTGCGTGTGTCCTTTTAATCCACATTTGCTTCTGCTTATACGAACCGGCATACGACTGCATCTATACTGCATATATATCCGCACATAAATTACAATTTTGGCATCTGAACGAGTTGAGTGGGGGGGATGTTCTGACCTGTGCAGAGACATCTCAAAAGTGGTTGTTGAGCTGGAGAAGGCGAGCAGGTGAGCAAGAAGCAGGATCCATCGCTCAAGCGCTACGTTGGCCCTACAAGTTATCAGTTACCAATGCACGTGCAGACTCGGACTGTATGGATACGAAACATCGAGTATTTCCGTGTCAGACGGCGGATAATCTCGCCGAAGCCAGGACTACATATAAGACGACCAGCCCACTTTTAACAGTGTTTATTACAGTCTGATTCCTATCCACGCCAAAGCATCACGTGCCGACCCAACTGTCTATCTAGTTCATGTACTTGCAATGGTCGACGTTGCCTTCCATGTTGTTTCCCCACCATTGCTAGACGCCGAAGTCAGTTTGATGTTGGAGTGAAGAAAGTATGTTTCGGAGACTTACCGGGAAGTTATGAGCCGTTCCAGAGCCGCCTTCGACGGCGAAGGTCAGGATGAAGATGATGATGGCGCAGCCACCAGCTGGAAGTGTCAGTCTTGGTCTCGGAGGTGGTTGCAAAGGGAGACTTACCGATGGCAGCCGAGATGATGATGTTCCACTTGGTGAAGAGCATGGGGTGGTAGCGACGAAGGTAGAACTGGGCAAAGAAGCCGAAGACCTGAGAAGTTAGTATGGTTTGTTTCGATTTTCCTTTTCCTCTTTTTTTCTTTCTTCCTCTCTACTCACAAAATATGGCAGCAAAGAGCTGTTGATGCCGACGGACAACCAGCCGAGCCAGGTGCAGATGATGTACGTGTTCACCTGGTTGAGGTGCAGCTTCGGGAAGAAGCGGTGGACCAGGTAAAAGGGCAGCGGCACGAAGAGGCCGAACAGCAGGCCCATGGGCACATACCAGTACTCGCCGTGGCGGCCAAAGATCTTGTCGCCGGCGCCGCCCCAGGCGACGGCCTGGGCGTTGTACGTCTGCACGTTCTGGCCGGACCACAGGTTCGTGCCCTCGACCGAGAGCAGTACTTCGCGGTGCTCCTTGACGATGTCGTTCATCATGACCCAGTTGAGGATGGCGCCGAGGATGGAGCCGAGCATCTGGGAGAGGAAGGTAGCCCGCGGCGGCAGCTTGGTGTAGTGGGCCAGCTTGAGGTCACCGAGCATCAACAAGGCCTGGACCAGTCCGTTGGAGCCGTACAGCGTGAACATCATGTTGGCCACCGGGTAGCCTGGCCGGAGGTAGCCGCCAATCATCTGCACCGCCGTCGTCGGCTGGTAGTAGAAGCCGGTGATGCCGTAGATGGCCGCATAAAAGATGGACAGGAACCACGACAGCAGCACGGCAATGAGGAAGGCCCACCACGGCAGCTCTGTCTTCTGCTGGTAGCAGCAGATCATGCCGATGACGATGGCGAGCACGAGCACCACATGATACCACCAGGTCGGCGCCTCCTTGTAGGCCCGCATGAGCGTGAAGTGCGGGTCGCTGTGATGTTAGCATCTTTCTTTCTTTCTTTTTTTCTTTTTTTTTTCTTTCGCTGCGCTCGTTTTTTTGTTTTGTTTGTTCTTCTTGTGTCTCTTCTCTTACTTACCCCTCGGTTCCCGGATATGTCTCCGGAGGATAGCTGCCGTCGTCCTTCCAGAAGCGCAGCATGGCTCCAGACTTGATATAGTCGAATCTCTTCTTTAGCTCGGACGGGCGGAAGACGTCAAAGATGAAGCCGACGTCGGACCAGTTCCAGAGGAAGATGTGGACGACGCCCTATTTTGTCAGTCAGTGTGGGTGCGCGCGAGAGGGGGTGGGTGCGACTTACAGCCGTGACGCCCATGTTCATGGTCAGCAAAGAGAGGGCGTTGCTAGTGGCAAACCACGGAAGTCCGTACTCGGCCAGTTTGGCCTGGTCGACCTTGTTGTGGGCACCGAGGATGGCACTCTGGTTGTAGGTGTCGGTGCCGTTGGCGATGAAGAGGTCCTGGGCGAGGAAGGGGAAGTTCTTGGCGTTCCAGACATTGCCGTAGTACGCGGCGATGGTGAGGGTGACGCAGAGCAGGTAGCCGACCAGCTGGTTGAGCAGGGTGTTGAGCGGCAAGACAAACTGGCTGGTGCCGACATACTGCCAGTCCATGCACCAGCTGAGGAAGCCCATGCCCTCGTCGCCGTTGGAGCCGCCAAAGAGGTAGGTGAAGAGCTCGGAGTGCTGGTTGGCCAGACAGAAGATGGAGATGCCGGTTGTCAGGGGAAAGATGTACTCGGGCACGATTTCCCAGATCATGACGAAGATGCAGACGGCCCAGAAGACCTTGAGGCGCTTGCGGGCGAGGGCCTTGTCGAGGTGCATGGACTGGAAGGTAGTGGCCAGCGGCAGCGACAGCGGCCAGACAAACTTGGTCGGGTAGATGAAGATGTTGCGCATCAGACCGATGATGCCGTAGCCGATGCACTGGGACGACAGCAGCATGAAGATGGCCGAGGCCGCGTTGGGCTCCTCGTTGTACCACAGCGTCTGGACGGCCAGCTGTTCGGTGCCGAGAGCCGAGACCGAGGCCGAGTTGGCCATGATGACGATGAACACATGCTCCTTCTGGTTGAACGGGCCAGGGTTGAGGAAGCGGCCGACCGGGCCCCAGCGCGGGATAAACGTCGTCAGCTCGCCGAAGCAGTATGCCAGGATGACGAGGAAGATGGCGTTGACCGTCACCGTCTGCGGCTTGAAGTAAAAGATCTCGGCGATGACGGCACCAAAGGCAGCCAGGCCGAGTCCGAGCACAAAGGCCCGGAACGTGTACGGGCTCTCGCTCGGGTCGTCGGTGCAGTCGAGCGTCTTGGTGACGAGCTGCAGCGGTGTCGAGACGGCGGCGTCTGCCGTTGCCGGCAGCACGTCGCCCACCTCGGCGTCCAGGTAGCCGTCGTTGCCGCGGGCCGTCGTCTTGACGCCGCCGTGGATCGTCGTGGTCACCACATCGCCGACCTCGGGCTCGAGCGAGCTGCCGTCCACGTCGACAAAGTGCGGCGACGCCGTCTTGCTGTCCGTCTTCTCGCTATCGGCTGGCATCGTGTCTGTCGTCTTCTGCAGCGCGAAGAACTACGGCCACGACAGACGGCTGGTGCTGCCACACGACAGGAGCGCGTATATATACGAGTACGGCGTCTGACATACGCACACACGGCCAGCACACGCCTGTCACGCTCGCCTAGGCCGGAAGAAGCAGCAGTCCTGTCAGAGGAGAGATAAGGACACGACGTGGCTGCAGACGGCGGCGAAGCTGCCGATCACGTCCGGTGTCTGGCCAGTATAGCCGGACGACTGCACAGCCCTGCTACCCTGTACAGGAAGGTGGACCGGCCGTCCCCAGCAGGATTCGGTCTATCAGGCAGTTCAGGGCCAGATAACAGCACGGACCGTTGCATTGAGCGGCAAAACAAGCCAATCTGGCGTTGCGAAGTCGTCCCTGGGAACGACGGAGTGTCTCTATGTGCGACCGCAGAGGCGTACGAGTACCATGGACGGTCATATGCCGTCGTGGACAAAGAAGAAGGTTGTCTTGACGGACGTTGTCGCACTTCCCTTTCTCGGCCACTTGTCGGACTCGCCGCGGGCTTTTCCCTTTTTCCCCTCCTCTTTTTACACTTTCCTTTCTCTACCTGAACTGCGCGGCAATCTCTATGCGATGGGCCAGGACCGAGTGGAGCGTCAGCATCTTGCGATTGGGGCGGTTGCAGCTACCGTCCTGCCGTCCGGTTTGGGTGTCCTTCTCTACGACCTTCTGGTTTCGGGCAACAGCGAGCATTCGCTCTAGCCGAGGTGTCCAGGGTCCAGTCAAAGAAAGGTCATGATTTACAAAGAAAGGCACTCAGCATCGCAGCATCGCAGCACGCAACAGCTCCGTCCAGGCCATCGTGATGACAGGCTGCCAAGAGGCATCGCCAAAAACCTCCGCGGGCCGCGGGCTCTTGGCATTCTGGCGTTCCTTGGCGAGGGGACAGAAAGCTTGTTACGAAGGAAGCATGCCGCATGCCCCACCAGGCAGCCAGCTTCCCGTTGCAGACACGCGGATGGTGCACCAAGTATGGAGCACATCGTAATGATTGCTAATTCGCATTGGTCGTCTCGTCACTTATCTTAGCAGGCTGTACGGAGTACTCCGTATGTACGGAGTTCTGCTCTCACTGACTAGAAAGGAGGTGGCTTTTCGGTCACGTGATTCGTGGCGCAGCAAACTGTTCCCTACGAAGCATGTCGTATCTCGCCCAGCCAGCTGTCAGCCGTGGTGACGTCAAGTCCGCGCAGCACGGCGTCGTCGCCCTCGACGAAACCGTTGTAGGCGGCCACGCGGCCGAACGCGCGATTGCGGCTCGACACCTCCGGGTGGCCGCGCTTGCAGCCGCGATCGTGGCCGCGACACGCTCCAGATAGGCCGTCGTGTCAGGGAAGTGGGCCAGGATGCCGTTTTGCAGATCGAGCACGAAGAGGGCTGTACTGGTCATGGCAGGCATATGTGCGTATGGGCTCCGGATGCAGGATGCAAGATGTCGACCGGCACGAATGGAGGAGCTGACCCGGATGAGTCTTATAAGAGTCTGCACCGGAGTTGTAAGTCCGAAAAGGGTTGCCGATTCGGCACCGAGACGCCGGACTAAAAACAAACGACGGCCTATATGAAAACATGTGTTCTTGGCTTCATCTCGCGCGTGTTCCAGTGAATGGATAGATTTGCAGGGCTTGCCATGGCCGGAGATGACTCGTTGATGGAAAAGGGCGCGGCTGCAGAGCCTGTGTCGGCTCGAGAAGGCCCAACGACCGAAGCTGCAGAAGCGCGAGAAAACGTCGAGCCGTCGCCTCATTCAGTCTTTCCGCCGTGGCAGCGGGCCGCCTGCGTGTACATGGCCTCTCTGGCAGCTTTCACGTCGCCGGTCTCGTCCAGCATTTACTACCCGGCCATGCAGACGATTGCCGCCGACCTGCACGTGTCCCTGACCAAGATCAGTCTGAGCATCACGACGTATATGGTGATTTTGTCCTCTTTCTTTCTCTCTTTCTCTCTCTCACTGACTGCCTGTAGATCCTCCAGGGTGTTGCTCCCACGCTCACCGGCGGCTTCTCGGACCGTGTTGGCCGTCGCCCGGCCTACATGCTCTGCTTCGGCCTCTTCATCGCCGCCAACATCGGCCTTGCTCGCCAGACCGACTACGCCGCCCTCCTGGTGCTGCGCGCCCTGCAGAGCGCCGGCAGCAGCGGCACGGTCGCGCTGTCGAGTGCCACGGTCGCCGATGTCGCCACGCGCCAGCAGCGCGGCCGCTACATCGGCCTGGCCGCGCTGGGCAGCTCCATGGGCCCGGCTCTGGGCCCGCTGATCGGTGGTCTGCTCGACCATTTTCTCGGCTGGCGCGCCATCTTCTGGTTCCTGGCCGTGCTCGGCGGCGTCCTGCTGCTGGCCATCTTGACCTGCATGCCTGAGACCTGTCGCAACGTCGTCGGCAATGGCGCCGTGCCGCCGCAGCCCTGGAACCGGCCCCTGCTTGTTGTGCTGCGGGATCACCGCCGCAAACGAAGCATGATGACTAAGCAAGAACCCACACCCACCATCGCCAGCCTCGCCCACAAGAAGCGTCCCGGTCTGCTGTCGACGATCCCGATCCTACTCGACCGCGAGTCTCTCCTGACGCTCTTCTACAGCGGCCTGCTCTACGCCGGCTACTACGTCATCCTCACCGGTCTGCCCCGCCAGCTCGCCGCCACGTATCACTACAACTCCATCCAGGTCGGCCTCTGCTATCTGCCGCTCGGCCTCGGCCCCATGCTCTGTCGGCCATTCATCGGCCGCCTCATGGACGCCAACTTTCGGCGCCATGCCCGCGCTGCTGGCGTCGACTCCTTCGCTGATGACCGCCAGCTCAGCATCGACAATATCCCCGTCGAACTGGCCCGCCTGCAGCTGTCTCTCGTCGTCGTCTACGGCCTCTGTGCCGTCATCATCCCCTACGGGTGGGTCATGAACCTCAGACACCCGCCGCTGGCCGCCGTCCTCGTACTGCTCTTCATCGTAGGCGTTCTCCTCTCGGCCGCCTTCCAGCCCCTCACCGCTCTCATCGTCGACATCAACCCCCGCAGCCCGGCCGCTGCCACGGCTGCTCATCAGTTTGTCCGCTGTCTGCTCGGTGCCGCCGGCGTCGCTACCGTCAATCCCATGCTCGACAGCCTCGGCCGTGGCTGGACTACCACCCTAATTGCCCTGCTCTGGGCCGTCATGAGCGTCTGCTGGTGGATCGTCATCCTCAAGGGGCCGAAATGGCGCAGGGAAAAGAAAGAGAAGAAGGAGAGGGAGGCCGAGGAAGCTGCCAAAGTCGCTTCATCCAGTCGGTTGCAGGCAATCAGACCCTCTAGACCTCTAGACCTCTAGACCCTCTTAATCTAACGTCATCTTCTGTGGACCTTCATCTGCATTGGAATGTCTCCACTTTTCATATCGACCCGTGTTCCTCTCCAAACACTGCATCTTTCTCATTGCCGCCGCTGCCATCGCTGCTTCTCACCTCTCACGGCCTCCATGTCCTTGGTATCTTGTTTTATTAATTCAGAAGTCGCTCGCAGAAGCCCAAACGCGATCGTAACATGCAGCAGTCAGCTCAATTCGTCGCAAGACAGCCCCTGATATCATGCCCCACAAACCAGGTCTCATCAGTCATAGTCATATACTCCCTTGTCAATCGTCTTCGTCCGTTCGTCTCCCCTTTCTCGTGCCCCATATTAAAAGCATCAGCACCCCATTCGACAGCTCCGCCGTCGCATCCATTGGCCAGGCAACATCATCGTGTTCTGCTCCAGCTGCCAGTCTAGTCTGCATGAGTCCCGGCGCGTTCGACCTGCAGTTCGTTCTCCATTGTCTCCGCGAGATCTGAGGAATGCGAGTACCCACCTCGCATTTTTGGCAGCCCCTGATCGTGTGTCTCGCTGGACGCCGAAGAATGCATCGACAAGCCGCGATGTCGGAGGCCGTCCTTGGTCCAAGACATGTATCGTCTCCGGGCAGGCGTGTCCAGTTTTGCCGTTTTCCTGGCCATTGCTCTTGACCGGGTCACTGCTGCCTTGGCTGCCTTGGCCATGCTCTTGACAGCGGTCCTGAGCCCGCAGAGCCGGTCTCGCCGGTGGGTGACTTGGTAGAGTGTATTCCCGTGCAGGCTCTTCATGTCGTGGAACGACCCGGTCGTGGGCAGCCCGACGCTCTCGAGAATGTCGGCATTGGCACTTCGACGCCGCCGGGTGGAATCGCGGTGCTTTTTGGTCTGGCAGCAGGGATACACAGGGTTCCCCATCCTCTCGCAGCCTCTCATGGTGAAGTCCATTGAATAAGGGTGGTCGAGGATGAAATGAGCGCAGGCAGCCCGGGAGAACAAAGAGAGAAGTAGGGGTGTGGTAAGACCAAGATGTGTCTGGTCGTGCAAGACGTCCGAGAGCTGTTAAGTAGTTTTTCTTGTTTTTAATTTTTGTGTGTGCTTTTCTGGTCTCGGCGAAATGTAACGTGCGTCTGTTGACAAGGACGTTGTCAGACCGCTGCAATTTCAGAGGAGGCAGGAGCGACCGGCTGATCGCTCAGTACTTGACGGATCACACCAATTGCGCAGCGAAGAAGCACAAGTCCATAAAACACAAAATGTTTGTTTCGTGGCGATGCACCTTTGACCGACGGCTCGACAACTCGACATCCGGCAAGGCGGAGCGAGGACGACGCGACAACAGCCCACAAACGCGGCTCTGCCCCAACAACATTGCGAATCGGAGTCGGCGTTCGTTCGGGGAAATCGCATCTGCACAGGTTTTTGTGGACTCCCTGGTAAGCTATTCACGGTTATGCACGTCTGCGATGCCCCTGGCGTCCACTCTGCCCAACAGCATGGCCAGCCTTCTTGCAGCGACCGGGTGCGTGCGAGGCCCGCCGTTCGAGGGCCGTGCCCGCAGGCCTGTCACGGTGGCGAGCGGTGTGAGCGGTGAGTGGTCAGGAGTTCCGGTGAGCCGCCACACAGTTGTGATCACATGCACAAATCTCGGTTCGTCACATGCCACAGTGCACCGCCACCTGTGGCCGTGTAAGCCAGAGCGAGTCCGGGGTAAAGTACGGGGAAGCTGGTCACGATGGCCCCTACATCTACTATGTATCTTACGAGATCCCCCGTACAGCCTATTTTTCCCTCTTTGTCGGAATGCCCAGCACGCAGACACGTGCGCTTAGTCGTTTTGGCCACCCCGCACTCTCTCAACACTTGGGTGAGACAGGTCAGCAGTCACAATGGGTCCGGGACGTATGGCCTTTCCTTTTTAGATCCATGACGTCGCCCTTCCTCTTCATCGACCTCATCTACGTTACGATTCAGACAAGCGACAGAAACAGACGTTCACATACGTGCAGACCCATTCACCCTCTCTCTCCCGATGGACGACGTGCTTTTGCCGCCCACTGAGGGCAGACATGGGGCTTCCAAGGGAGTCCAGCGGCCGGATCAGAGAGATTCTCACTTGTCGGTACCACCAGCGGGCTTCGGCGAGCGGCTTTCTTCTGTTGCCAGCCAACTGTCCGGCATGCTACCGTTTGGCCATGCTCAAAGCAGGGCAGAACGGCGGCTGCTTCAGCTGAAGAATGAGCAGCGGCAGCTTCTCCAGCAACGCATAGAGAGTGTGAGTGTGGATGTTTCCCGCCATGAAGAAAGATAATCTCTGCTGACTTGATGGTAGGCTGAGACGTACGAGGAGTGGGAGGCAGCAGCACGGCAACTGGACAAGCTGGAGCAGCACGACGCGTGGAAAAGACGCGACAACGACAGCGACATTAGCAGCGACAGCGAGGAGCTGTACAACCCGCAGGTGGTGGCAGCACGGCTGCAGGAGCTGGAGACGGCGCTGGCATCGGGGGACATGCGGCAGATGCTGCACTTGGTGCGGACGGCGCTCTCGCGCAATGTGGGAGGGATCAGCAGCGGGGGGCTGTACCGACAGGCAAACACGGGGACAAAGCAGCTGGTGGAGCGATACGTGCAAGCATCGGTGGCGCTGGTGGAGGCGGTGGCAGAGCGCAGCCGCAGCGCCAAGGGCGGACTTCCGGCAGGGCTGACACACGGGGCGATGCTGGAGCAGCTGCTGCTGGCGCGAACGAGTTACGGACGCAGCGCGCTGGTGCTGAGCGGCGGGTCGGTGTACGGGATGGCACACATTGGAGTGCTCAAGGCGCTGTTTGAGCGGCGACTGCTGCCACGGATCATCTCAGGGACTTCGGCAGGGTCGATTGTGGCAGCAGTGGTGTGCACGCGGACAGACGAGGAGATGCCAGGGATGCTGAGCGCGTTTGCACAAGGCGACCTGGCCGTGTTCACAGACAAAGACCATCCGGACTCATGGCTGACGCATATTGGACGGGTGCTGCGATTTGGGACGTGGCACGACAGCCGACACCTGTCGCGGGTAATGCGCGGGATCCTGGGCGACATGACGTTCCAGGAGGCCTTTAATCGGACGCGGCGGATCCTCAACATCACGGTGTCATCGCGGCCAGGACTACAGCTGCCATCGCTGCTCAACTACCTGACGGCACCGGACGTGATGGTATGGTCGGCGGTGGTGGCATCGTGCTCAATCCCGGGTGTGTTTGACCCTCGGCCTCTGCTGGTGCGCGACGGCGACTCGGGCGAGCACGTGCCATGGGATCCGGCCGAGCAGTTGTGGATTGACGGGTCGCTGGACAATGACGTGCCGGTCGAGCGGCTGGGCGAGATGCTCAACGTCAACCACTTTATCGTGTCGCAGACGAACCCGCACATTGTCCTGCTGGTGGACCGGGAGGGGAGACGACGACGAGACGTGGCGTCGGCATATGCGCCGGTGCGGTCGTCGGTCGGCCGGCTGCTGCACACGGCCGGCTGGCTGGGCAAGTCAGAGGCGATATACTGTCTAGAGTCGCTGGTCGACCTCGGCGTCTTCCGCGACAGCCTGAGCATGGCGGTGCAGATGCTGAGCCAAAAGTACACGGCCGACATCAACATCCTGCCGCGCATGAGCCTTGCGTGGGGCAGCCACCTGATCCGCAACCCGACGGCCGAGTTCATGCTGGAGGCCTGTCGGGTGGGCGAGCTGGCGACGTGGCCGAGCATCTGCCGAATCCAGCAGACGTGTGCGGTGGAGCTGGCGCTGGACCGGGCGGTGTATCAGCTGCGGGAGCGCATTGCCTTTGGGAGCAGCCAGGTGAATCTGCGGCGGTTTTTTGCCGGGAGCCACCAGCTGCAGGTGAGTGGAAGTGGGAGTGAAGGGAGCGAGGGAGATCAGAGAGGCCGTGCTTTTGGTCTGCGAAGGAGTCAGTCGGGCGTGGCGCTGATGCACGACGACGTGGTCGAGGAGTCGGACGAACAGACGACATCTACAGTGGCGCTGCCGCTGCCGAAGCGACGGCGAGGATCGGGGAGCAGCATCCAGCTGCTGGCTCGTCGGCGACGCAACCGCCACGAACTCGAGACGATTCTGAGCGAGGACGGAAGACGGGAGTCGTCAGATGCGGACCTCGACGAAGTACAGACGAGTCGACACGAAGTACGGCCCTCGCTAGCTGTTCGACGTGGCATTGTAGACATGTCACTGAGCGGAGGCGGCGAGAGGATGTGCACAGTCGTCCACGATAGTCGACCTGGCCGGCTGGCGCCCTTCCGGCAGAACAGTCTGCAGCAGCTGCCGATGCAGTCCAAGACGCCATCACCGAGCGCTTCGCTTGCCCGCAGGAGCTACGGCTTTGGCAACATCGGCAACGGTGGCACTGGGCTGACACCACTGACAATGGGCGACAGCTGGGACGGACAGTACTGTGATGTCAGCAGCAGTCCGGAAACAAATACGGACAAGCAGGACGAGGACTCCGATGACGAAGAAGACGACGACGAGGAAGACGACGACGAGAGCGAGGTTGATTCATAAGGGCGGTAAGATCACGTCAAGTACAGCATTTATTCTTTTATTCTTAGAGATATTCATCACAGAAACGATCACGTGTCAGTCATCCTATGGTCACCATATCATCACGTGTCAGTCTTCATTCACGGGTATCATCTGTCACCATGTCTCTGCAAACGTTTGTCTCATGCCACACTCGTGCTATTACCACCCTTTCGCTTCTCTCTGTCGTCGTCGTCGCCATCCGTTCCAGCCGGCGGTCCAGCCACCAGCTCGTCGGCAAATCGGCTCACAGCATCGCGCAAGTCGTACAGCGAGCGGCCCTCGGACCAGAAGTGGCCGGCGGCGGCGACCTCGAGCGCGCGAAAGCCGGGTGTCTTCCCGGCAGTGGTTGTTGACGCGGTCGTCATGCGCGCAGTCCAGTGGTGCATATGACGCATGGAGACGAACCGGTCGGCGTCGCCATAGACGGCCAGCGTCGGGTGGTCAGCCAGCTTGGCCTCGGACGGCGGCAAAGTCGGGCCCTCGGACGGCGGAAAGGTGAAGACCGTGGCCAGACTGGTGACCAGGCCAGCTGGAAACGATACCAGCAGATATGACGGTCGAAATACCGGCAGGTTTGGCAATGCCGACAGTCTGGACGTGTCGATCTCGTCGTCTTCGTCTCGGTCGCCTTCTTCCCGGATGTCAGCCACAGCTGTGACGGGCCCTTCGGCCGACGGTCTGCTGCTGCTGTTACTGCCTCTGGCCACCGGAACTGCTGGTGTCCGCAGCTTGCTGGTTCCCATCAGGGCCGTGTTGACGGTCCGGGCGACCTCTTGGCTGCAGCGCCGTGGACTGTTGCTGCTGCTGCTGTTGTTGTTGTTGCTGTTATTGTTGTTGTTGTTATTGTCTTCACTGCCACCGACGCGGATGCCCATGCTGAGGCGGGCTCTCCGCACCAGCTTCTTCTGTGGGCTGTCGGCGCCCCGTTCGGCTGCGGCCACCAAGGCTGATCGATGCTCAGCAAAGTCGGCGTTCTGCATCGCGGCCCAGCGTGCCGCCCGTCGCCGGACCTCGGCTGCCGGCGAGTCAATATCGGGGCGAGCCAGCAGCGCGAGCACGTCAGCCATGGGTGGCAGCAATCGGGTCACGATGGCCCCGTACGAGTAGCCGGCAAAGAGGAAGACGGGGGGCCGATGGGTGGATCCCCCGGACAGCCCGCCGTCGCCGTACGGGTCCAGATGGTGCACAAAGTAGTACAGGAACCCGGCGACGGTCATGTAGTCGCCCGTCTCTGCGCGTGCCGTCCACGACGTGTGGCCGCTCGGCCGTCGGCCGGCGCCCCGGAAGTTGAACGTCGCCACCACAAACGGCTGTGCTGGCCGCTGCAGCAGCGTGTCAGCCACCATGCGCACGATCCCGTCGTTGTAGCTGCCACCCATCGGCGCGTACGGATGCGCTACCACGGCCGCGTGGCCCCGCCACCGCGCATCGACCGACTTGGTCGTCTCGACTGTCTGAGCCTTCAAAAGCGTCGCCGGTGGCAGGTACACGCGGCAGTCCAGCACCGTGCCGTCGTGTAAGCTCGGCAGCGTCACCGTCAGGCTCGGGTCGGGCAGCATGGCCGTCGCGGGTGGCCGTCCGCAAACGACCGACAGTCGATCTGGGCTCCAAGACCAAATCTGGACTGGGCCGTATCTGCCACTTCGCCGCTTTGCCGTGCCACCGTTCGTTCGTCCCTCTTCGTCGTCCGTCGTCTGCACTGCGCTGGCAACACGCGCTCCGGGTACGCGAGAGTACGCACCGTGGAAGGAAACAGAAACAGGATGGGGCCGGGACGGGCTCCAGCCGGCATCCGCAGCGATGGGGATACTCGTTCCCTTTTGTTGCTTATCCGTACAGTTGGCTAAAGCGGGGCTGGAATTGTCTGATTGGCTGCCCTGGGCCTCGGCCATCTTTGACGTCATGTGCCTGGCTAACGCGGAAGATAAGCAAGATCCAGTGTCACGTGGGCACATCATGAATCACTAAGCATTTGATTCTACATCATATACAGTGTTATGAGCAGACAAGACAAGGAGCATACAATAGACGAATGACTAGACGTTGTTCTATCTGTCCTGATGCCTCTGCTATTCATATCTGCCGCCTATTCCTACATCAGTGCTGCTACCAAGAAGCCCAGCAGCATGGCCACCGACAGCCGAATGTCCGAGGCCGAGCTGATCACGGCCGACGTCGACGCCCTGGGCGAGCTCCCGACAGTCGTGCTCGGGCTTCCGCTGACACCCCGGACAGTAGCATTGGCACCCAGGCCGCCGACCAGCCTGCTGGCGTTCTGCAGCTGCACTATGCCAGGCACCAGCGCATACGGATTGCCGATCGTCGCATTGCTTCTGCTGGCAGTGTATGGTGCGTCGTAGTCGACGGTGAAGACGCTGACTGACGCCTGGCACGCCCCATGGCCGCTGACAACGTCTGTCTCGCCCGGCAGGCTGCAGTCGCCGTTGATGCAGGCATTGACGCCCGAGCCAGCCTCGTCCAGGTCGCCGTAGTGAAACAGGCCTGTCGTGGCGTTGTACACGGCCTTGTCGACGTCGGCGCCGCCCGACATGCGTGTCAGGACAAACGGCGGGTTCACGCACGAGTCGTTGCTGAAGCTGGTGATGTACGGCAGATTCACGTTGATGCCGTAGCCCACCGGCAGGATGCGCCCCCCAGCCGCCTTGTCGATAAAGGCCTGTGCCAGGGCGGCAGCCAGCCGGCCGGCAATCGTAGCAGGGTCCTGCAGCCCGGCCAGGGTCGACGTGTTGGTCCAGTAGTAGGGCGTCTGCCGGCTGTAGGCAGCCGAGAAGGAGATAGCCGGAATGCCACGATCCACGGCCGCATAGGTCGCCCCCATCGTGCCCGAGAGCGTGTACAGGAACGGGCCCAGGTTGAGGCCCACGTTGGGCCCCGCCAGCACCAGGTCCGGCTTGCTGAAGCTGCCAAAGAGCGGCAGCACGTGGTCCAGCGCCACGAACACCTGTGCTGCCGGCGTGCCATTGTAGTACCAGATGTGACTGTCTTTGGGGTCCTGGCCGATCGATGGCGCGCCGGCCTTGACGATCCCTGTGCACTGGTCAGCAGCTGGCGTCACCACGACCTCGAAGTCGACCAACAACAGAACACACCCCACTCTGAGTCGGCCGTGAGATTGGCCTCGGTCGTGTAGGCGGAGCGGCCGCCCTGACCGGACATGTCGCTGCTGGAGGCCACAATGTAGGCGTCGTGGCCTAGGTCCTTGACGGCCTTGTACATGGCCCGGATGTTGGCCGAGCCGAAGCCATCGTCGTTCTGCAGCGGTCAGCACGACCGACACGGACCTTGTATGTCGTGTCAGCTCACCGTGATGAGAATGTTGAGGCCCTGGACGGCCGACAGAAAGACGGCCATGGCCGTGAAGACTGGCTTGCGCTGCATCGTCGCGACAGTTGCGGTTGCGTGTGCAGGACGGCCGACAGCCAACCACAAACATGCGCTGCCAGTGCTTCTTATATGCTCAGACGCATGTCCAAAGAGGCAAGCATCTCGCTGGGGAGACCGCACCAAAGTGGGCATCAGCCGAATACAGGAACCATTCCGTCATCCACCTGACTGATCAAGAAGGTGTGCTGCCAGGATTTCGCGACTAGGCTTCGAAACGGCAGGTCGATCCATCGCGCATTCGGAGACAGTGTGATCGTTCCGACAAATGGGACAGGCACCAGAGATAAGCTTGTCTGAACCTCGGAGATGAATTGGGTTCTTTTTTTTGGTATTGCTTTCGAATAGTCTTGCAATCGAGACTATCAAAATTGGAGGGAAGGAGCTTCATGCCACAGTACACCCGATTTACATTGAGCTACGGAGTACTTTGTATTGCTGTAAAAAGCCCTCAATACGGAGTACTTACGACGTAATCCGTACTCCGTACAGAGTACTCTGTACGAGTACACCAAATGGCCCGCTCCCACAACGCGTCACGTGCCACCGCGTAGATGCCTACTCCGTAAAGTGCTCCAGCTCCACCCCAAATTCGCGACTTCGCGACGTCTTCTTGACGGCCAGAACAGCAGTCTTTTGTCGCCCGCTCCCGTCGCCATGTGGCTTCTCGATAATGTCGGGCACACCTTTCAGGGTAGGTTCTACGTCTGAACGAATACACTGCACACTGCAACTCCTTCTGACGCTCTTCACAGGTCGACGGCTATGGCTGCGGCCCGGAAAACGGTATCTCTTTGGTCGGACCAAAGCAGAGCGTGCGTTCTTCCCCAATCACCTGGCAAGACGGCAGAGCTGACACTAGTCTACGGAGTATAGCTGGTCAGCTGGTCATATCCGACAAGACGATCTCCCGGAAGCACCTGACAATCGAGGTTGGCCGTGTGACCGAAGGCGATGGGACCAACCGAGAGAGTCGGTCCGTGATCACGATCGAGGACCTCAACACCAAGATCGGCACCGTCGTCAACGGCACCCAAATACGGGGACAGAGGCTCGTCCTGAGCCAGGTCTCGAACGAGGTCAAGATGGGGCACATGGCCGATCTGTTCCGGTGTGTGCGAGCAGCTGCTAGCTAGCTAGTCAATGCTTGTCTGCTCAGAAGCTGACCAGACGTCTGTAGGATCACGTGGCACCCGGTCGTGCTGAGTTTCTCGCTCACGACTAAGGAGCTTCGTGCCGACCCGTGGGCCCTTCTGCGTGAACAGCTCGAGCAGCTCGACATCAAATATATTGCCGAGTACGATATCGCCCGCACGACCCACGTCGTGGCCAAGAAGCGTAACACGTCCAAGGGCCTGCAGGCCCTCATCAACGGCAAGTACATTGTCATGGAGAGCTTCCTCTCGGCCATCGAGGCGGCTGCAGGCTCTAGCGCCCTCGAGCAGGATTTCGACGGCAGCTGGCCCGACGCTCTCGAGTTCCTGCCACCGCGCGGCGACGAGCCGAGCGATCGTCCCGTCAGCACATACAATCCGGACGAGCGGCGGAAGGACATCTTTGACGGCTACACGTTTATTTTTTACGACCAGAAGCAGTACGACAACCTGTTTCCGCCCATCTCCAACGGCAAGGGAAAGGCCTTGCTGGCCGAGGTCATCCCCGGTGAGACACAGGTGGACAATTTCATATGCTACGTCAAGCGAATAGCTGGCGACCAGAGCCTGGGCGAGTTCGAGGACGGGGGCGAGGGCAAGGGGGTCGTGGTTGTGCGCTACTTGCCGGCAAAGGGCGATCATGTGGAGTGGTTTGGCCGGTTTGGCAACGCCGTATCCTTGCGGCTCGACCACCGCCTCATTGACCAGCGTGAGTTTCTGGATGCGATCCTGGCCGTCGAGCCGGGCATGTTGAGGCGGTCTCTGCAGGAGGACTCGGGAACTCCGATTGTCATCTCGGGCTCTGCCGATGAGTCGACACAAATGAGCGCTGGAACGGCACCAGTAGCCGACATGACCGTACCGGCTGTCGCGCTGCCCACCAGGCGAGGGCGAGCAAGGCGAGGCCTGACAAGCCGATTCAAGGGATTCGATGCCGACCTGGATGTGGAAAATGATCCGAATGCGTTCCCACTGGCAGCGGAGTCGATGCAAGCGAGCGAAGAAGGCATGTTCATGTCTCAGACATCGGCATTCCAGGAGCCAGAGCCGAGCGTAGCAAGGAAGCGGCCAGTCGCGGCAGTGGCGGAGGAAGGGGAAGACATCATGGGAGACATAGCGCCGACGGCAGCAGCAGTCAAGCGGCGGCGTATTGCGGCCGGTATAGAACCTGTTCCGCCGCGACAGTGTCTCGAATCAGAAGCAGCAGACGAAGGCGGGACTGCAAATGGCGAGGGCCCAGCAGGCAGCAACAAGGATGGCAGGGGCAAGGGAAAGAAGGCGGAGGACAACGCAATCCTGAATCAGGCACGCAAGAACCGAGAGGCGGCAGAGAAGCGGGCGGCCGAAGAGCGCGAGAGGCTAGCACAGATCCAGTCGGATGGCATTGACGCAGAGGAGATCCGACGGCTGACGATCGTGGAAGAGATATCTGTGCGCGGGCCAACAGGGCTGAGAACGAGAGAGCAAGACGTTGCGGACGGGCGATGGGATCCGCACTGGAACGGGCGACGCAACTTCAAAAAGTTCCGCAAGCAAGGCGACGCGGCAGGCCGACCGATCCAGCGGGTGATTGTAGGGCTGGAGGCGGTCAAGACGAAGGAGTATGGTATTGGGGACGACTACTGGCTGGAAGGCGAAAACAACAGTTCCTGGAGGAGAGGACCAGTGGGGCAGCACTCAACCGGCGGGTACAGCTCTATCGAAGTAGACTCGACGGTGACATCGACGGTGCTGGGAGCCCGAGAAGGACGACATGTGCTGTCGACGGCGACGGAAAGCAGCATCGGCTTGAGCAGCGTCGGGCCGGCAGACGGAGTGGCTGACGTGGAGGTGATCCTGGACACGGAGCCGGAAATGGACTCAATGGACACGATGGCACTAGAGGCCGATCTGCCCCGAACAAGGGCCGGTAAGGTGGCGCAGAAGACGGCGACGCGGCAGAGGCAGGCGGACGTGCAAGCATCGCTGGACACACAGACGCAGCTGGACGTGCAGCTGCAGTTGGCAGACGCGACACAGACGCAGACACAGAGCGCATCGACACGGGGAAAGCGGACAGCGTCGGTGGCAGCGAGCGGGCCACGGGCAGCACCGGCGAAGAAGCCGAGGCGGGGAGCAGCAGGCGCCATGACGATCCAAGATAGCGACAGCGACTCGGATGACGGGCTGCAGTTCAAGTTCCGGAGCAGACGGTAGTATAAGCAATGTAGGACTATGGATCGATGTTTGGCCTGTGATGACTAATCCTAGTCCATGTCCTCCATCGGACTGGCGACGGACTCGTGCTCCTCGACGAGGATGCCGATGCGACAGGCCGACAACATATTGTCGTAGTTGACCCACGAATGGATGTCGTTGAAGAGACGGCTGCCGTCGCGACCGGCGCAGCGCAGCAGCTCGGGCTCGCCGCCAGGGTGGAAGGGCAGGTAGGGCGACAGATTGTAGACTATGCCACCGAGGGCGGTCCAGGCATCACGGCCACGACGTCCGTTCATGGTCCGAAGCAGCGACGGTGTGACGCGCAGCAGCTGAGGAGCCTCAGGCGGCATATTGCGCAGGTTGGCATGAGGGTCGGCCGTGAGACGAGCCCAGTCGAGCGGGCTGTGGCCAGGCGTGAGATGGACCTTGTTGCGAGAAGAGGAGGGGGAAGTGAGGGGGGAGGCGAGGGAGGCGAGGGGGGCGAGGGGGGCGAGGGAGGACGAGGTTCTGGCCGGAGCCAGTCCAGGTGGCCGGCGTTGAGCCGAGAGGGAGGATGAGGGCGATATTCGAGGTGATATCCGAGGAGGAGGTGCCATGAGGCCTAGAGAAGGACCAGCTGCTCGCTGTGCCGACGAGAGAGCAGGAAACATGGGCGGCGGCATGCTTCTGGGACTGGAATCGTCGTCGGGCATAGAGAGCGACAGGAGAGGTGTGGTGGTGGTGATCTGGGAGGTCTGGGAGGTCTGGGAAGTCTGGGAAGTCTGAGTAGTCTGGGTCGCCTTTGGGGTTGTCGGTTCGTCTTCTTCGTCTTCGTCTGCGCTTCGGCTTCGGCTTCGGCTCAAAGGCAACGGCGGAGGCGGGATGGCGCGACCGGACACGGCTTTGGGAGACGCTGGCCCAGTAGTCTCCAACCGCGACTCAGACACGGATGCAGAAATTGATCCAGACACAGCCGCATCCTCCTTTTCGCGCTCGGGAGAGATAGGCGGCCGTCGGCGCCACTGCAGCAGGGGCGCAGCCAGGTCCAGCCATACCCTCGGATAGATGCAGAAACACACAATGGAAGCGACGACGAGGGAAATGCCAATCAGGCCCATGTCGGCGTGACGGCGTGACGGACGGCTAGATGTGCGATGAGGAAAGGCAGTCTAAAAAAGGAAAAAAGGCAGAGACTCCATATATAATTTCGAGTGGTATAATTAGAAGCAGAAGCCTGGGACGGACGCTAGACATTAGTGGAATAGGAGTCACGTGTGGGCCTCATTAGGGGTCTATGTTCTGTAATTGCGATGGCCAGGCAGAGGGATGAGTGCCGGGCTTGGCGCAGGGCCGGAAAGCCGGGCAGCAGGCCAAGCCGTGCTTGCCGACATTAGCAGGTCCCCTGAGACAGTGGGCAGGAGTGGGTGTCTGAGAGCGAAACAGTGGAAAGGGGACTGCGATCCTGACGAAGGGATTGTATGAAGGAGTCGTGGGGACGCTCCGTCCGAGCCGTCTTACGACTTTTCCCGGGCGCAAGGGCATGAACCATCACGTGCAGCCATGACGGACAGGAGGTACGAGGTACCCAGTGCTCCAGCAGCAGGGCAGGGCCTGCGGCAGGACCTGTACGACTCCGTAATCCTCTCGTCCTGCTCGGTCGTACATGACCACACCGCCTGCCATCCGGACGGGAAGGAGCGAGAAAAAAAGGAAGTGAAGAGACAGTCGACGCTACCGCAATAAGCGTGTGGCACTACAACGACTTTTTGTGTGTGTGTCAGTGCTGCCGCCAAACGGGCAGCTGAAGGGGCGGGATTAAATTGAGTTGAAAAATCGAGGGAAGCCGCCCTCTTTCTCTCGACGATGCGCCAATCGTTTCCCACACACAGCACCACGCCACGGCCGACCAAGTCCGTGCCGCCACCGCCGCGCGCAGGAGCAGGAGCAGGAGTCGGACCAGGACCAGGACCAGGACCAGGATCCAGAGCAGCAGCGACGTCGGGAGGAACGACGGCAGCCGAGCAGCCCGACAGCTCTTCATCCTCGCGTCGGCCCCCCTTTACGGCCGTGGTCGTCTCGCCCACGCCGACGCTCATCGTCACCGCCGCTGCCGAACAGCAAGGCCGTCTCGACCGGCCGCCGGTGCGCACGCCGCTCTACTTGCGCGACCGCGATGCCGGCTTGGCCCGGACACCCCGGATCGCTTCGCCTGCCACCACCACTACAGCATCCAGTCGACTCGTCGTCTCGACTCGGCCGCTGACCACCACTCGCTCGTCCTCCCAGCCTCTCCGGTCACCGCGCTCGTCCGTCGGTCCACCATCATCCCATCGCTCGTCGCTGCCGCGGTCTCCTCGTCCGCCCGTGGCACCACGCTCACCGAGCTCACCGAGCTCACCGACTTCACCGATCTCCTCACCGAACTCACCTCCACCACTCTCCTCCTCCTTTTCCTCGTCTTTCTCCTCGTCCTTCTCGTCCTCTCTCTCGTCTTCCACCTCGACTGTCTCGTCCACCACCTCCTCCGCCAAGCGGGCCGCTCAGATGCGGAATCTTCGCGTTGCTCCGTCCTCGCCCTCGGCCACCATGGACACCCCCCGGAAACCGGCCCTGGCTGCTCGCTCCAGCAACAACACCACCAGCTCGACCGGCCGTGCTCCCCTCACCCCCAAGATTGCCGCCTCCGCTGCCGCCGCCTCCAATTCCCACACGTTTGCCGTATCGACGCCGCTGGCCCGTCGCAGCACGCTCGGCACCGTCTCTAGCTCTGCTTCCAGAGACTCTAGAGACGACTTGCCTGCTTATATCGCCCACAACCACAACATCACGCCACGCTCCGGCTCCCGCCAGAACCGCGTCGATGGCAGCACCACCTACAGCCCGATCAGCAACGGCAACACGCCCTCGGGTGCCCCTGCTGTCTCCTCGCCTGGTCTTGCCGACTCCAAGTTCTTCTACGCCAGCGATGTCAAGTCTCCAGCATTGCAGCAGCCCTCACAACCGCCACAACCGCCACAAGCTTCTCTCGCCACCACACCGCGCTCGTCCGCCTTTTTTTATGCCAATGGCCGCTCTTTGCCCGACGCCCAGCCTCCGACGACGCCGACCTACCATCCTCCACCAAGCACAACTGCCCCGCCCGACATCTCGTCCAAGTTCGTCCACGCCAACGGCGCCGCCCTCGACCGTCCTCATTCTCATCCACATCCGCATCCGCATCCCCTCCCCCTCAAGGCCGTTGCTCCCGGTCCGGCTGCCTCCGTCCAGGCGGCCGCCTCGCCCAAGCTGCCCATGTCACGGTCCAGCAGCACCTATTCGACATCCGCCTCGGCATCACGGCCCATGTCGCCTGTTAAGACTCCGTTGTCTGGCCTGGCCCCGGCCAATGCCGTCACTGCTGGCAGCGTCCGCACCCGCAAGCGGAATAGCACTGGCTCTGGCTCCGGCTCCAGCACCATGGCCGGACACGGAAGAAAGGGTAGCCTTTCCATCGCTGACCCGCCCATCGTCGCTCGTCTGCTGCAGTCGTCTGCCCACTCGCGATCGGAGGCCTCGTCACCCGCTGCTGCCCAGTTCCCGCCTGCCGCCCAGCTGAGTCCCTTTGCCTTTCCGGGTTTTGGTCAGTCCGCCGCCAACGGCAGAAGCACGCCACCGACGGCCGCCACCAGCCTGGCCGCCATCTTGCAGGCCACCGACGAGCTGGTCGAGCCCGACGGCGAATCGGACGACGACGGCGACGACGGCGACGACGGCAACGACGGCAACGACGAAGAAGACGAGAGCCGACATAGCAACGTCAGCAACAACAGCGTCGACAGCCTCGTCGTTACTGCGCGCCGTGAGCGCAAGGTCCAGGACCTCGAAATCACCAACGCCTCCCTCGAGGCCATCAACAGGTCGCTAGAGCGCCAGCTGCGCAAGCAGAAGTCTGAACTGCGCCAGTTCCGTCGCCTCTCACGTTCCGGTCGTCTGTCGCTGGCCCCATCCGCCGCCTCCGCCAGCATCGTGTCTGGTTCAATTATCGAGGAGCCCATGCAAACCCCCGGTCTGAGCGACGACGATGACGACGACGACGCCTTTGAAGACGCCGACGAGTTCCGCGCAGACGGAGAGGCTGGCGTGGAGAAGAAGGCCGAGGGGACGGAGACGTCAGTGAAATCGGACCAGCCAGAAAAGGCGGAAAAGGAAAAGAAGGAGAAGAGGGAAAGAAAGAGCAAGAAGGGCAAGGCTGTAAACAAAACAGTCGCCCCTACCGCTGAGGCCGATGCAGCAGCCGCTTCTGTGGAGGCGGCCGTCAACGGCGAGCACCACGACAACACGTCGGGGTCCGGATCCGGGACCGAGTCCGAGTCCGAGTCGTCGGACGAGCACGGCAGCCACGAGCAGCGCCGCGACCGTCGCCTGCAGCTGGACCTGTCCAAGCACCGCCAGCTGCTGGTTGACAGCCAGAAGATCAACCAGAGCATCAAGCGCTGTCTCAGCTGGACCGACGAGCTGATCGAGGAAGGCCGCAAGGCCCTGGCTTTTCGCGTGCGCGTGAGCGAGATACAGTTGGGCGGTCGCGTCCTCATGGCCGACGAGCTAGAGGAAGAAGAGGAAGATGAGGATGTGGACGTCGTCGAAGTCGAGATCGAGGTCGAGGATGAGGTCCAACAGGACAAGAGCGTCACGGCCGACGCGGACGCAGACGACACTACCAGCCTCCTGGCCGTCAGCAGCAGCGACGCCGTCAGCCTCACCGGAAACCCCCGCCTCGACAGTCGCTTCGTCCGGTTCGACATTGACGTCGACGTGGGCTTGAAACCTGGACTTGATCGTGATCACGTGACCTCCAGCACCCACCTGCCAGAGACGAAACCGCTCAAGCCAGCGATAGCGCCGGCCAGCCACGACGCCGACCCTGCATAGTCCTCTTGTCATTTTCCTTTGATTTCCTTTCTTTCCTTTCCATGGGGAACCTGCACAGCGTCGGGATGAGTAACGAAACCTGCCGCATTTTCATGCTTTGCGCTTTGCGCCTGTCCGTTTCCCAAACGTTTCAAACACTCAAATGAATGCATGACCGGGAACTTAGAGGGAGGACAAGAAGACGGAGAAAAGAAGAAGAAAAAAGAAAAGAAAAAAGAAAAGAAAAAAAGTGAAAGAAGGTCAGAAAACAAAAGCCTCTCCTCGCTCGCATCTTCGCCACCTCCTCTCATGTTCCCCGGACTCGTCGCCTTCTGAGCCCCAATATCTCTCCTCTGTGGAGCAAAGCGAAACGAACACACCCAGCCAGCAGATTGTTCTCTTTTTTGGACACCAGATACCCCCCTTATTCCCTTTTGTGTCGGTCAGTTGGTCTTTTTCTTTTTCAAATACAATCCTGTTTCTAGGTATACACTTATCAGCCGCTCTCTTTCTTGCCCTTTCTGCTCTCGCATTTTCCCTATATTTCCGCTGGCGTTTAGTACTCAGTTTGTCCACACAAATCGAAACCACACTTCTCACATCCGCCCATTTCCTTGTCGCCTTGTAACAACAACCCGGAAGATCCTACCACTCCTCACTCCTTCCGTCTATAGATGAAGCTTCTCAGGAGGGCCGGGACACGGTCAAAGGTAGACCAAAAATACAATGGGGGATGATTTATTATCCAAACAAGACACCACACGAAACGACAGCAAGCAAGCAGAGAGTTCAGACGTACTCCGTAGTATACGCGTTGCTTCCTCTTGGAGCCCCTCTCTGAGCTACACCCAATTTCTATAGAACAGGCGCGTGTGTGTGCAAAGACGACAATAGGCTCGAAATTCCCTCCCATTGGGGTTACAAAAAAGCAGGAAAACCGGAAAGAGAAAAAAATACCGAGCAAACAAGACCGACCTGTATGTCGTGGGCGTTTGTGTATGCGCATACTGTCCTAACCATGCTTGCTTTCTCCGCTTCTACCTCCCCCCTTCCTCTCTCGTTCCTCTCCCCCATCTCGACCGCTGGTCTGTCCTCTCCCATTATACTTTCGGCACGTTCGGGAGGTCTGCTGCCGTTTCCGCCGCCGACGCCATATGCGCCTCTGCCCCAGCCTCGCCGCTCGATGTCTCGCCCGCCTTGTGGATCCATGTGCTGCGACGATCTCGGCTCTTCTCCTTCTTCTTCGACTCCTTGTCCTTCTTGATGGCCGCCTCGGCCACGAGCTGCTCAAACGCCATGTAGTCGCCTTCCTCTTCCGGAGTTCGTTGTGCCTGAACAATCAGTTTGTGGTCTCGCGAGGTCAGAAAGTGCACAAAGAAAAAAAACTCACCCTGTTGCAAATGTCACCGATGAGCACCAGAGCCTCCGCCCGCTCCAGCCGCTTCGACAGGTGCACCTTCTTGTCGTTCAACACCGCGTCGCACACGTCGCGCAGCACGCTCTGGATCTCAAACTTGCTGCCGCGCCACGCCGCCGTCAGGATCTTGCCCGTCACCCGCCGCTCGTACTCCGTCTTCTTCTCGTCCGTCCACTCCTCGCCGCCGCGCTCCTCCATCCGCGCCATCTCTTCCATCGTCTGCTGCGCGTCAATAGCCGAGCTGATCGTGTTCCACGTCTCCTTCACAAGCGTGCCCTTGTCGCGGATCCGGCTAAAGAATCCGCCCATGCCGAAGAGCTTCTGGCTACGAAGCACCGCCGTCGCCTTGCTCACGTACGTGTGTCCGATCGCGTGCAGAATGTCCAGTCCAAACGATTCCATCTTGAGCTCCTCCACCTCCAGCCGGATCTTCTCCTGGAATGACCGGGTCACGTCCCGGCCCTTGTCCGTCTCCGTCCACAGCGACACCCGGTCCAGCAGCTTGCGCACCAGCATGTCCACCCGTTCCTGTCGAATCCGCGCCCGCTCGCGCTCGTATGCTGCCAGGTGCTCGCGCTGCTCCTTCGACAAACCCGCCTTCTTCTTGTCCTTCTTCTTCATGTCCTTGCTATCGTCCTCACTGCCGGCCATCGCCGACGGGCCGCCCGTTTCCGAGTGCGGCCGCTCTGGCAGTGCCGGTCGAATCGGAAGCATCTTGCGCCCACCCGGCGTGCTCTGGCCAGAGCCCGTGGGCAGCGGCGATGTCCGGCCCGAGGGAGGTGACGCTTTTGCTGCAGGCGGTTCGGCGACAGGCTTCCTGGGTTCCGACGATGCCGCCGTCGCTCCGCTGTCCTTTTCGTCCTCCACCACCACAGCGGCTGGCTTGGCCGCACCCGCATCGCTATCGGTAGCCGACGCAGCCACCGCTGTGTGCTCTTCCCCGGCCGCGTTCTCACTCTCCTTCATCGCCTCCTCGGTGCCGGGAAACTCGCCGTCCTCGGCGGTGGCGGAGCCCTCTTCGCCCTCCTCAGCTGTCCCAGCAATGTCCATCGTAGCTGTCAGATCCTTCATGAGAGATATCTCGCCAATCCAGTCGGCAAATGCGTCCCCGCCAAAGATGCTGGTAAAAAACTCCGCCGGGTCGACAAACCCCTCACTGGGTTGCGATGCATCCTTGCCGTACTTGTCGTAGGCTTTCCGTAAGTCTGGGTCTGAGAGCACCTGGTACGCTTCGCCGATAGCCTGGAACTTTTCGTGCGCTGTCGGATCGTTTGGATTCTTATCTGCATCAAAAGTGTCAGTGGGGAAAAGAGGAGAAGGCGGAGGAGGCGGCAACAGGGACGATTCCGAGGAAGCAAAAAAAGAAAGATGTGGTTGCTAACCTGGATGGTGAACAATCGCCTGCTTGCGGTATGCCTTCTTGATCTCGAGCTCCGTCGCCGTCGGCGAAACGCCCAGCTGGTCGTAGTATGCCGTGTCGACCACCATGGTTTCGGTTGTTGGCAATCACAATAGGCGCAAAAGTGCTCCGTTTCAGCCGAGATAGAGACTTTCACTGTTTGGAGTCTTTGGGCGAATCGTCTGAGCCCGGAAATGCAAACGGGTAGGAAAAATGGACGGGAAGATGATATACCAAAGAAAATGACAAGGATTGCGGTATTGTGATTGTCCCCTCCAAAATTAAAAAAAAGATGGCAGTATGCCCAAAATCAGGTGCCTAAACAGATCTCCGAGGTCGTTGTGGAGGTCGCTGTGGCTTCGTCATCGCGCAGAAACGAACTTTTCCTAGGTAGGCGGGGCACTGAGCCACAGGGACCTTTTCAAGGGGTCAGCCGGCTATCACGTGATGTCACTTTTTGTGGAGGGGTAGGTACAGTGTCCAGCGTGCTCACATAGTAATTTACAGTGCTCCTTACGGAGTGCATATACCCATATTCTCAATATACACACACGACTTGTCTTGTTGGTATCTTATAATATTCTATCAGCCAATTGGCGCATTAGTCCGCTGATGCCGTGCAACATATATAGATCTAAGCAGCCTAGCTACAAGATGCAAGCATATCTCGGAGAGAACCTAAGAAAGACCGGGAAACATCAAGAGGCATCTGGTATTGGACCAATACGTAACCGCTGCGATGCGCTTACTGCACACCGGCAGCCTTCATGCGCTCGAAGCACTTGCGGTAGGCGACGTGGATCTCAGGGACCTCGTAGCCGTACTCCTTGAGCTTGGTGGTGAGCTTGGTGGTGTCCAGCTCGCAGTTGCTGCGACCGGCCTTGATGACCTTGGCCTGCTCCTCGAGCGAGAAGTTCTTCCAGGTGAACGCGGGCCGGACAATCTCCTTGAACAGGGCCAGGACCTCGTTGTGTGAGATGGCACCGGGGTTGGTGAAGTTGTACACGCCAGTGTCGCCGTGCTCGGCCAGCAGGACCGAGGCGGGCAGCAGATCGGTCAGGATGGTGTTGCTGTTCGGGATGTCGACGACGCAGTCGTACTTGGAGATCTTGGTGACAAAGTTGCGCGGGTTCAGGTCGTCGCTGACCGGCATGCGGAGGCGCAGAATCAGCACGTTCTTGTAGTGCTTCATGACCTGCTCGACGTGGGCCTTGGTCTCCGAGTAGAAGCTGCCGTCAAAGTTGGCCAGGTCGGTCTCCTTGAAGCCGGGGCCGCCCCATGGGTGGGCATCGTCGTACTGGTAGATGCAGCCGGTCGCGTAGACGGTCAGGTGGATGCCCTTGAGGAAGCAAGCATCGGCCAAGTTCAGCGTGCCGATGACGTTGGACCGCATCGTGGCCTCCTTGTTGTCCTCGCACCAGTCGACGTTGGGCCGGCCCGTGCAGCCGGCCGCGTTGAAGACGTGCGTGGGCTTGACACGCTCCAGCTCGGCAATCACGGCCTCGCGGTCCTCCATGCGGATCGTCGTCGTGGACACCTCCTTGCCAGCCTTCTCGAGCAGCGTCTTGAGGTGGCCGGCAACCCAGCCCTTGCCACCCCAGATGAGGTAGCGGTTGGCAGACGAATCGGTGGAAGCCATTTTGTTCTGTTTTGACGTTTATCTGGAGTGGGAGTGGTGGTAGGTTGGAAGGTGTGCGTTTGGTCGTTTTGTGCAAAAAGTGAAGGAGGATGAGGACAGGTTTTGAGAAAGGGTGCTTGCTGTCACTATGGAGGAATAGACGGTGTGGGAGGGGAAGGAAAGTGCCTTAAGTGGAGCCGACCCCCCATCAGACGTCCAGCAATGCTGATGCAAGGAACAGGGGGGCAAAGCGCTAAACCACACCAAGAAAAGGCATTTTGTTCGCACTACGACGTACTTCGTATACAACCAAGTTTGCGGAGTACAAATTATGTCTAATCGAATCGCAGAATATCTCACAGAAACAGCATAGGTTCTTCAATAATTCTGGCTTCGAGTATGCATACCGTAAATTTGAGTGCATAGGGAAGAAACATTTTTTTTTTTATCAACGAGACTGCTACTATTACGACGTGGGTGTAGACAGAGAAGTGGCTTATGTAATATATATATATATATATATATAGTGCGAAGACTCTACTTTCACCGTGCGATTAGCATTCCTCAGCAATTTAGCCACATTCTTCGAGAGGCGGGGCCAAAGCTTGGGGCTAATAGGAGCCAGACCACTCAACTGCAGTGACAATGTCGCCAATGGCAGTCGGCCACAAAATCAAAAACTCACGACCGCAGATAGCAATACGACATATCTTGTGCATGCACTCGTATCCCACGCGAGTACGTGTGATTCTTACGAGTACTCCGCAATCGCAGCCAATGTTTTCAGCCACACTCTAGCAGGCGGTGCAGAAAGGATGTCGCAGAAACTGTACTCTGTATTATGTGCAGAAACTTCAATGTGCTACACGACGTGCGGCGTACGGAGTAGTACGGAGTATAATCACGGAGTTTACCTATAGCTTAGCTTGCTAATCAGCGGCCGATTGCAAATCTTGCAGCAGTCAGGCCTAGATTCGCCGTCTCTAATATGTAGGATACGAAGTACGAGTACTCTGTATATTTTGCAGGAATACCACATACTCTGTAATTACGGCGGCTTCCGACCTCCCTCGCTGCGCTTATCGAACCACTCGAGATATGGCGGCTGCAAAGGCGGCTCGGATAATATGTGCCTCACTCACCAGGCACACCGCTGGTCGCTGCCTGGTTGTGCGATACATCACGTGCCCTGTAGCTGGGCAAAACGTCCGGTCGAAAAGTCCGGTCAGGGGCTCTCACCGCCCGCCATTGGCCAATTGAAACCAGCATTAAGCCCAATCCTCCTCTCGGATCATACAACCTTTTGCGACCTTTATTTATCACTACAACATGCACTCTGCACATTTCATTTCCAGTAGATGCTGTCACTGATACGCGGATGCCTCGATAACAGTATGTAAGATTCTTGAAGATCCTTCACGCTGCATGCAGACATGGCACCACTCTTAGCCGCGTCCCCAATTGGGCGACCACCCTGCTGCTTGGAATCGAAACTGACTGTAAGGAAGCATTAGACAGAAAGAGACACGAAAGTGCCTCAAACATTCTTCGCCCATTGACTATCCTTCAAAGGGCTTACTGTCACTGCTCCCTGCTCCTCAGTCTTCGACTAGTTTCTTGATGTCACCACTTCTTCCGACTCACATCCCACTGCTTCTGATTCTTCATCCGCTTCAATTTCTTTCTCTTCTCTTTCCCTATGCTACTATTCCCATAATTACTCATATTTTCACAATCCACAATGCCTACCACACGCCAGACTCTGTACCTTCTTTGCCACCCCGAAGAGCTGCGAGCGGTACTTCAATGGTATGGTCCTCCCTCTCGCTGCCACTTTGAAACATGTTCAAGCTTTTGCTGACCCTATGCATAGGAAAGTGTGGCATGAGCCTGTCCACCGCCGCGACGCAAGCAAGGAAACGCCAACCGAGAAGGCATGCTTCCAGCACCTTGTGCTGACATCGCGCAGCTTTGCGGCAGTCATCCAGGAGCTGACGCCGGAGCTGCTCATGTCCGTGTGTCTGTTCTACCTGGTGCTGCGCGGCCTCGATACGATTGAGGACGACATGACTATCCCGCTGGAGAAGAAGGTGCCGCTGCTGCGGGGTTTTGACGACCTCATGGAGCAGGACGGCTGGACGTTTACGGAGAACGGGCCGAACGAGAAGGACCGTGAGCTGCTCGTGCACTTTGACGACGTCGTCACTGAGCTGAAGCGGCTCAATCCGGCCTACTATGCCATTATCCGTGACATCACGACCAAGATGGGCAACGGCATGGCCGACTACGCTCTGAACGCGGAGCAGAGCGTGAACGGCATCGCCACGATTGCCGAGTACGAGCTATACTGCCACTACGTGGCCGGCCTGGTGGGCGAGGGCTTGACGCGGCTCTTTGTGGAGTCGAAGCTGGCCAATCCGCAGCTGATGAATCGGCCGCAGCTGACCGAGTCGATGGGCCAGTTTCTGCAAAAGACAAACATCATTCGCGACATCCACGAGGATTTCGAGGACGGGCGCCGCTTCTGGCCCAAGGACATCTGGAGCAAGTACGTGGACCGCTTTGACGACCTGTTCGACCCGGCCCACCTCCAGCAGGCGCTGTATTGCCAGTCGGAGATGGTGCTCAACGCGCTGAAACACGCCGAGGATTGCCTCTTCTACATGGCGGCCATCCGCGAGCAGAGCGTGTTCAACTTTGTGGCTATCCCGCAGACCATGGCCATTGCCACGCTGGAGCTAGTCTTCCAGAACCCAGACGTGTTCAAGCGGAACGTCAAGATCACCAAGGGCACGGCTTGCCGGCTCATGCTAGACTCGACGCAGAACCTGCAGGTGGCCTGCGAGGTCTTCCGGCGCTATGCCCGACGCATACACCAAAGGAACGACCCGCGCGACCCCAACTTTGCGTCTATCAGCCTCCAGTGCGGAAAGGTGGGCGATGCACTTCCACCCCCAATGCGCACATGTATCGACAGAATGAGACTACTGACACTCGTATCTAGATTGAGCAATTCATCGAGTCGCTGTACCCAACGCAGGATGTCAAGCAAATTGTGCCGAAGCCGGGCCCAATGGAGGAGCAGATGCGGGCCTCGGACGCCCTTTTACTTGTGGCCTGCACTTTCGGCATGCTTCTTGTGGTTGGTGGTGTAATGGTACGTCGCCGTGGCACTTGCATGTACATCCTTCTCGAAGCTGACACGACGCAGATTGGATCGGCTTGGATCCTAGGAACGAACTTTGACAAGATCTCGAACATGCTTGGCATTGCCAACCCATCCAATGCAGCAACCCTCGTACACGAGGAGCTTTAAATGAAACAAGACCCAGGGGAGGCTTGTGCGGTATCGTCTTATCCCTTTTCTAACCTGTTGTTTTTATCTATCATCATTTCCTCTGTCTTTTGTTACATACCCCTCCCCATCTTGTTTCATATTCAGCAGAAGCAGCGGTAAGCTTATGATTGCGACAATTCAAGATGCGTGACGTCCTCATTTGAGCAGATATCTTGATCTGCGCTCTGGGAAGACATACAAAAGACGCGCCGTTCTGTTCCCGACGTAACGTGACATGAAGACTCGGAGAGAGCAGCAAGTTGGAGCCAAAACTAGCACGGATGTCAAATTGCAATTCAGTCTACTTTCCCGTGACTGCAGTTGTGCCGAAGATGTGCTGATATCAATGACGAAGAGTCGGTTCTCACTCGAGAGCTGTGTTTTTCTAAAGTAGCAAGCAGCCTGGAATCCGGGCGCGTGGCGAACGGGACATCGTAAGGTTCTCGGCCGCACCGAATTGCGCACATATCTTTTCGTAGTGCTTTGTGTATACCAATATGCAGCAGCAAAACGTTCTTTACTAGTTTAGTCATCGTTCGGTCATGGTGGGCGATTGGATGAGGAAGGAGCCAACCTCGTATTTTCGGTAGCTACTTCTTTCACGTTCAGTCAACGAATAGAGCAGACAGATAGTCCAATACAGTCAATACAGTTGTACGTGAAGACAAGCGCTTTATGACGCCAAATGGTATTATGGGTGCATGATATATTACAGAAGAGGTGTGGAGCGTCGGAGCAATGCCAGGTCTACCAGTCGACATGCCACACACGGCCAGATCACTGATTTCCATTGTTTGCAATTAGGTCGGTGGTGGCGCCTCTGTTGCCGGTGACATCGGCACCAGTGAGGCTGGCCAGGGCCTGGATGCGGGCCTGCACGGCAGACGGGTCAGTGATGTTCTCGAGAGCCATGAGGTAGGCGGCTAGGCCGGCGATGTGCGGGGTGGCCATGCTGGTGCCGGACAGGATCTCGGTGGCGGTGGAGCTGGTGATGCCAACAGAGAGAACTTTGACACCGGGAGCGAAGATGTCGACAGACTGGCCAAAGTTGGAAAAGGACGCGCGCACGTCGGACGTCTGGTCAATGGCGCCGACCGTGATGGCATCGGCGGACGAGGCGGGCGACTCAGTCTTGGCATCGACGTTATCATTGCCGGCGGCGACACAGGCGACAACACCGGCGGCTTTGATGGCAGACACGGCTGCATTGATAGAACGACTGCGGGAACCACCGAGCGACATGTTCATGACAGCTTTGCCGGCGAGGCCGCTGGCGGTAGCGTTGGCAGCCACCCACTCGAGGCCGGCGAGGACGCCGCTATTGGTGCCTCCGCCGTCAGCATCGAGCACCTTGACGGCGACCAGCCGGACATTCTTGGCCACGCCAAAGGTGGTCCCACCAATGGTGCCGGCCACGTGTGACCCATGGCCGTTCTCATCCGTGTTGACGCTGTTGACAAAGTTGGCCCCAAAAGTGGCACGGCCGGCAAACTGGCTGTGAGTCACCAAGATGCCGGTGTCGACGACATAAGCCGTGATGCCCTGGCCGGCCGAGGCGTCAAAGACGTAGCCGCTCGAGCTGTTGCCAGCGGCGGCATGGCTCAGTCGCACCAGTCCTGACGTCGCGTCGGTCTGGGTCGTCAGCGCCTGCGTGCTCACGCGCGCGTCCTGCTCGATATAGTGGACCGTACTCGAGCCGGCAATGTCGACCATAGCGTCGTCTCCGGCCGCCTGCAGCGACAGGGCGCGCCAGCTGCCGATGCGGTGCGTGCTCACGGACATGTCGCTGCTGTTCTCGCTGCTCGTGTTATTGCAGGCTGCCCGTCGTCGCAGGTTGTGCTTGGCCACGGTGGACTTGACGTATTTCTGGTGAGCATCAATATCGGAGTCGCTAGAGTTGGCGTTGTAGACGACAATGTAACAATTCGAGACGCGGTTCAGGGCATTGGAGTTGACTATCGGCACACCGAGCACCCGGTCTGTCCTCTGGCCAGTCCCGTGTCTGGCAGGAATGGGCGAGGGCAGGCCGAGAGTAGCCGTTGCCAGCAGGCCAAGAAGAAGAAGAAATGCTAATGGGCCCATGGTGAAGAGTGACGGAGAAGAGTGGTAGAGAAGAGAAAAGGCCGAAAAGAAATGAATGAGAAAGGGAAAGAAAAAGGAAAAAGACAGAAGACTTGCTTCTGGTATCTGTGATGTGTGCCTGCCACGAAGAGGATGAGAATGAAACAGCAAAGAAGAAGAAGAAGCAGAACAACGTTATAGGGAGAGTGCCAGACTAAGGGGACCAGACTCTCTTTAAAAGGAGCGAAGAAAATCAAAAGCCAAGAGAGAGCCAAGATTCAAACTGATATGCAAGACAGGGGGAGGATCTCATCGCAGTGTTGCCAAGGATTGCTTCTTCGTTTGAGCCTCCTGGCCCGTGGCCGACAGTGCCTTGCAGGCCAAGCCATCCTGAGGAGGACACGCAACGGGGCCCACGATTTCTCTTGCGCGGCCAGGCTTGGCCAGAATGGCAAGGAGCTCTGAGAGCAGAAACGGGCAGCTCTGGCGGCCAGAAACCCGTCTCAATGGACAGAAGGGGAAATGCCAAGCCGCCAAGTCCTCCAGCCTACGTAACTCGTATTAAGACAGCCCCGTGTTCTCTCTTCACTCCCAACGTGCGGAGGCGAGGTGGGATAGCAGAGAACAGAGACGGACTGGGAGTGGACGAGACGACATTTCCAGTCTTCACGAGACGTCTAATACGGCTCATTCGGACATTAGGAGGGCACAACCGCCGCTATTTGCCTGGAGGTAGTTTAGCTGTGTGTCTACAAGAAAGGACTACCCCGTACCTATATATGTGCACGGTTTTCTCGGCTTGGCAATATGCCATTGTAGTGTAACATAAGAACTCGGCTGTAGGAATGGAAAACTGCCTGTGCATCGAGAGTAAGCCATGCACTCCGTATTTTTAGTTGTTTCACCCATTTGTTTCGAAGGCGCTGTGCTCGTTGAGCATCAGCTCCCGGAAAGGCTGTCTGGCTGAAACACGGGGCGATCTAGCGGCTATGTAGGCGGCAGATGGCAGTCTCATGCCAGCACGTGAGCAGGCCTGACAGCCTGTGGCTGACACAACGCTAATTTCAATTAAACGCGTGTCGGCTGCAGAACGGCTGCCATGTTCTCATGCCGTAGCGTCGGATCAGACGAGGAAAGCACGAGTCGGACAAGTGTGGCTTGAATGGACAGCCCGCCCATCTTTTCCCCCCCTTTGGCCTTCAATGTCGTGTCTCGAAATGAGACTCATTTAAACAGAACGGGGCCGGATACTGCGCACCCCCTCTTGGCCCATCTTCGTCTGTCGTCTGTCGCCTGCTCTGCGGCAGCCTCGGCGCTACTTTGCTGTTCTCTTGCACGCTGCCTGGCGCTTCTGGAGCCTGATCTCATCATCGGATCGCTCATCGATCGCTCTTCTCCCTGCTCCATCCTCTCACATCATCCCTCGTGTCTACCCCTTCGCCGGCCCTCTCTCATTTTCTCGTCCTCCTCCGGCCCTGCGTCGTTATCGCTAGCTCGGCCTGCTCCAACCAGACAGCTGCAGCGCTCCAGTCCGCTCGCTCAGCCGAGCCAATCTGCGCTGGCCAAGTCAGGTTCTCACGCGACCATCGCTAAGCTGCCATCGAGTCTGTGAGGCCACTCTCGCCCAGTCAGAAGCTGGAGACGGACCCATTTGCCATTCGCACCCGACCGGAAAAGTCGTTTCTCCCCCAAGCCCAATCGTGCCACGCCACTGCCTGAATTTCCCTCTTCGTCTGCTGTTCTGCCCACACACCGCAATCCTACCTGTCTCCGTCTCCGCCGATCGCCGTGACGCTTTGTCGAAACCAAGGACCCAAGGACCCCAGGAACTATGGACTCTCGTCTGGAGGCATCGGAAGCCGAAGCCGATGGCCGCCTCACCGCCCCCTCGCACCTTGTTGACAGTCGCTCGCTGCGGCCGCCGCGGCTGCCTTCCTCCATCACCGAGCACGATGCCGGTCATGCAGCGGTCGAGCTGGCGTCCATCATGACGGTCACGTCCAATCCGGTATCGGCCGGGCCGTCCAGCCCACCGTTGGAGCAGGACCATCGGCCGCAGGACTTTACGCCGCCAGCGCGGCCCAGCAGCACGCCTTTTCCGCAGCCAGAATACCGCACTGATGACCTGCGGTGTCTGAGCTGTCCGGCCAACGATGACGCTGGCACGGCCGTATTGGACGCCACCGATCCCGACGGCTGCAGCCAGACGGCCGACGAGATGGACGTGGACGTGACCACGCCGGACCTGCAGAGACTGCACCTCGGACCGTCCGAAGCGCCGGCGCCGAGACGACGCTCCGTCTTCCTGCACAGCCTACCGATGGAGCTGCAGGGCCTCATTCTCGACCGGGTCTTTGACGGCCGCGTGACGCCGATGACAAAGAGCTCGCCGGAGAAGCGGCTGACGCGGCTGGCGTGCATCAGCACGGTCTGGCGGGTGCTCATCCAGCAGCGGCTGTACTGCCGGATCAAGCTCAAGGCGACGAGCGCGACGCTGAGCGAGGCGTTGATCCACTTTGCGCAGCATCCGCACCTCAGCGCGTACGTCAAGCACGTGGAGCTCTGGTTCCCGGTGTTTCAGCCAAAGCCGAAGCCGCCGGCCGTGTCGGACACGGCGATGCTGCCGATGGTGACGCACGAGGGCCTGTCGAACGCGTCGTACGTCCTGCCGTCGGACAATTGCTCGCTCGAGGAGGCCTTTTACTTTGTCAGCTCGACGTTTGCCGATGCCAGCGTGCTGACGCTCGAGGGTGGCGAGCGCAAGAAGGCGCCGCAAGTGCGCCACTTTATGCCGGGCATTGCACGCAGCGAGACGGATCCGCCACGGACGATGCCAGCGGTCACGACAGTGCGCACGCTCCTGTGCAAGGGCCAGTGGAACCTGATCCGGTCGGAGGAGGACTTCCACAACATCGCGTCGGCGCTGCCCAACATGACGGAATGGAACGCGTCCTACAGCAAGCCCAAGTCGAAGAGCTACCTGACGATGGCGTCGATCCTGCCGAACCTGCCGGCCAGCCTGACGAGCCTGGACGTCTGTCTGGAGAGCGACTACCGCCAGGAGATCTCGTTCCCGCCCTACTTCCTCAAGGTCTCGGACCGTGTCCACTTCTGCAGCCGTCTGGCCGAGGCCACGCCTTCCCTGCAGCACCTGTCCTATACCGGCCGCGTGTGCCGCTCGTTCTTTGACGTGGCCGCTCGCCTGGCCGATCCGCGCAGCACGCGGCTGCGGTCCATTGACCTGACGGTCAAGAACTGCTGTCGCCATGTCAGCCACTGGCAGGAGTCTGGGTCCGGCATCACGGACCTCAATTTCATCCGTGCCTTTGAGGCCCTGGTGCTGTCGGCCGTCCGGTCTCTGGGACGGCTGTGCAAGCTGGAGCACCTGCGAATCCGTTATGTCGATCTAGGTGGGTTTCTTTTTTCTTTCTTTTTCTTTCTTTCTTTTCTTTTTCTTTTTCTTTTCTTTTTCTTTTCTTTTCTTTTCCTTTTTCTTTTCCTTTTTCTTTTCCTTTTTCTTTTTGTCCTCCTCTATCCCTACTGACCTGCTAGACTTTCCGGTGCCACCGCTGAATCCGTTCTTCCTCCTGCACAACGGCCGTGCCTCGGGCGTGTGGAGCGACACGATTGTGGCGGAGCTCAACCGGGTGCGGCCAGAGAGCCAATGGGAGGAGCTGTCGGAGACGTTTGGCGAGATGACCGTCAGCAAGGACGGCCGCATGGTGATCAACGCGGAGTTCCCCAAGAAGCCGGTGGTCTCGCTGAAGCTGAGCAACTACGACTATCTCGCGGCGCTGGCCACGATGTGAGGCGAGCAAAGAAAGCGTTTTATTTCCTATTTCATCAAGCAAGGCGTTCACCCACTTTCGGTTGGACGCAAGCGGAGACGAGAGGGCGGGAGGGACGTTCTTCTGGTCCTTGTAACGGGAGTCTCGGGATATCGGCGGCGTTGGGGAAAACGATTTGACACATTTCTTGGATACCACTTGATATTGGTTTATATTAGTGCTAGCTAGTTCAGACAATGGCCTTGATAGAGGCACTTTTCCCTTTCCACTGTAGCTCTACGCGACGCCGCCAACAATGAGGCCGAGGATCCAGCTGTTGATGGCGAAAAAGGCTAGCGACGACAGCCAGAGTCCGGGCACAAAGGTGCTCCGGCCCAAAAACTCCAGCTCGTATCCCTGCTGCAGCCAGGCGGCCTGACCGGCCACCCAGAGGGCGAGAGTGGCGATGCCGAGCCGCGGATTCCGGACAAACGGCGAGTGTGGCAGGTAGACGGGCAGCAGCACCATATACCACAAAAAGTACTGGCTAGTGCAGACCTTGTTGAAGGTGACAAAGGCAAAGGTCTGAGCCAGCATGGACGTAGCGAGGTCCTTCTTGGCGACGACGAGGGGGATGAGGACAGACGAGAGCAGCAGCTGCGGCAAGAAGGCGAGGGACTCGACAGGAAGAGCAGGCTGTGACGAGCTGTCCAAGGTGGCGTTGCCGACAGCGGTGCCGCGAGCAGCAGACGCAGCCGAGGAGAGGTACAGCTGCGTGTTGTACGGGCTGAAGTTGTGGCGGTGGTCGATGCGGCTGACGTGATGGAGGAAGGTGTGCTGCAGAAAGGGGAAGCCGTAGCTGGAAGGTCAGCGGGAGGTTGAGCGGGACGGATCTGAAATGGGGGACCTACATCGACAGCATGACCGCGTTGAGCCCGAAGAAGGTGGTGAGGCTGGCGAGAGCCAAGCGCCAGCGGTCGGGCGTGAGAAAGGCGGCGAAGGAGCGTGAGCGTGAGCCGGCTGGACGCTGGCGGACGACGTCTGCGTCGGTTGATCCTGGGTTCATGCGGTCGGCATCCATCCACCAGACGATGGCGGGCGCATAGATGAACGGGTAGATCTTCAGGTGGACGCCAGCGCCGAGAAGGACGCCGGCAAGGCCGGGTCGCCGGGCCACTTGCACGGCCCAGAGCAGCGCGGCCACGAGGGCACCGAGCAGACCCTCGGAGCTGCCACGCGTGCTGATCGTGGCCACCATCGGGTTGAGCAGCCAGACGCTGGCATAGAGGCGAGCGCGCGCCCGGACAGAGATGGACGGAACGTCTTGCTGGTGGGCCGGAGACCCCAGCTGTTCCACTAGCACCCGCTCCAGCAGCCAACCAGCCACGAGATCGGCCGCCGCAAACAGCAGCTTGCCCGAAGCCAAGAGGGCCACATCCGTCCAGAGGCTGCTGCCATCCGAACCAGCTCCTGCTCTTCCGGCTGGCGTCAGCAGCCAGGCCAGCAGCGGCGTGTAGCGGTACGTCTCGCGCGCGTACGGTGACTGGCCGCGCACCACGAAGCGCGCCGCGTCCGTGAAGACGAGATAGTCAATGTCCGTGTACTTGATCGGCGAGCGGGCATCCTGCCAGAGACCATAGACCAGCAGCACCAGCCGCAGAACCGCGGCCGCGCCGTAGACTGCGGTCGCAGAATAAAAAAAGCCAGGCACGCCGCTGGCCGCTGGCCGAGCCCGTCGGTCAGAAGATGACGAGGCTAGTTTTGGTCCTGTCAAGGCTGCGGATGCCATGGCGACAGGTGTGTGATGCTGGAATGGGAATGGGAAATGGCAGCTTCGGGAGAAACAGTCTCGAAAAGGTGCCCACATTTTGTTTCTACAGTGGGACGCGCCTGTGCCACAGCCTGAAAAGGCCACTTCTCACCCTGAAGCTCGCTGGACCGCAGACGGCGACGAATCAGAAACGCCACCCAATACCGGACCTGCTCCAAACGGCAGACTTTTTTCGCTGGCCAGCTCGCTCCTTCCCTCGGTGTAGTATCCAACCAGCTCATCTGCCCGTTTCCCTGTCTGCTCCATTTCCCATCTCTCCTCTTCATCCTCTTCCACACCCGCCATGGCTCCAGAAGCAAAACGCCCGCGGCAGGGCGACGGCGGCCGTGGCGAGCCATCTAAGAGACCTGCTCGCTCGGCCACATCTTCTGCCCCGGCCGGCCCACGCACCGCCTACACGCCCATGTTTGAGCGTTTCCGCGACCACATGGACGCTCAGCAGGATCGTCGTGAACGTGTCGTCAAGGCATCGCGGGACATTACGGCCCTGAGCAAGAAGATGTATGTCGCCCATGTCGCCCGCCGGCCGTTCCTGTCGTCCAGCCGCTGACCAGTCTCAGTATCTTTGCCCTGCAGCGGTAAGCACGGCGTGCGGTGGGACTCGCTCTCAAACGACCATGCTGACCACGAGCAGGGTTCGTCGCATCCATCCGGACCTGCCGGCAGATGTCGACAGGGAGGTGCAGTCGCGCCTCGCCGAGATCAGCCGCCTGCTCGCCTCGATCGCCCCCGAGTTGCAGGGCATCCACCGTGGTCGCTACGGCCGCGTGCTCTTCGGCATGGAAGAGCTGATCGAGGCCCTCACATTTGCCTACTATCTGCGCACCCAGTCGCTCCTCAGCCTGGAGGACGCACAGGCGCAGGTCGCTCAGCTGTGCCGCCACGGCCACGCCGCAGAGGCTGCTAAGGCTGCGGCGCCCGTGCAGCCCAACGCCCACATCCCCGTCATCGGCCCCGACGGCAACGACTACATCATGGGTGTGTTCGACCTGTCTGGTGAGATGATGCGCTTTGCCACCACCACCGCCGCCCTCCGCGGAGAGCTGGCCAGCGACGGCAGCCAGAGTGGCCGCACTATCGTCGGCGACATGCAGGAGCTGGGCAGCTTCTTTGAAATGCTCCCCCAGCGCCACGACAAGTCGTGGAAGACAAAGATGCAGGTCATGCAGACCTCCGTCCAAAAGGTCGAGCGCCTCGGCTACGATCTCCGCGTCCGCGGCAGCGAAAGACCCAAGGGCTGGGTACCCGATGCCACCGAAATCGAGCCCCAGTCGCCGGTCTAAAACGCGCTGCTGGTCCTGTCTTGAAAAGGCAGCCGATTTCACCGCACAGTCCCGCCAACCTACAGGCGTCGGTATCGGGATCTGGTCAGACCAGCCTGCGAGGTGCTGGCATTTGTGCCGAAGGAATGGCCTCCAACGAGGACGAGGGCCCAGCGCTCATGCGCTTGGACGCGAGCAGGACTGAGCTAATTGACGTCGTTCTCGGTACATGAGATTCCCTTTGAACTGCCAGCAGCAGGGAAGTGCTACTCGACAAGGCCAACAACGACTGAAGATGAGACTGGCAGGTACCATGTTCGACGATTTGCGTCCGACATCTGTCGAAGTTTCTCTTATTTTCTGCACCACAGCATTGATACCAGCTCTGAAAACGCTTGAGAAATATACTGCCTTGACTGATCCAATATTTCGCTGATAACCGAAAATCGTGCTGCATGCACAGGACTTCGCCAATACTACCCAACATAAGATGCCTCTCCCGTGCCCATCTCATCCAGCTCCAGCGAGCTAATCGTCATATTCACCCACCAGCCTCGCAAACGTCTCGTCGTGCTGCAACAACTCCGCGTACGGCCCACTGGTCACCACCGTACCATCCTGCACTACCACCACCCTGTCACAAAGACGCATCATCGCTTTGGAGTGCGTAGCGACCACAATGGATCTTCCGCTTCCAAGGTCTGCGAGTCCTCGCAATGCCGTCCGGATGATCTGCGCCGACTCCGCGTCCAGTGAGCTGGTCGGCTCGTCGAGCACCAGCAGTTGTGGCCGTCGCAGCAGCGCTCGAGCAATGCATACTCGCTGGGCCTGGCCGCCGGACAGAGAAGACATCGAACCATTCGTTGAACTGCAAGGGCCGTTGCCAGTCCCACCGGCATTCTCACCGGACGTCTCCTCTCCCACGACGTCGCCCACAACTGTGTCATATCCTTGGGTGAGGGATGACACAAATGTGTCAATGCTGGCGGCTCGTGCAGCATCGGCCACACAAGTTGCCTGGCACAATGGCGATGCTTCATCCAAGCCATAGGTAATATTAGCCCGGACCGACGCCGGGAACAGATAGGGGTGCTGGGGCACATAGGCCATGCGCGAACGAACCGCCTTGGTATCCAGCTGGTCTGCAGGCATTCCGTCAAATGTGAGCTGGTTGCCTTTATCGCTTTCATATAGGCGCAGAAGCAGCGACAGGATGGTGCTCTTCCCACTGCCTGAGGTTCCCACAATGGCCACAAAGTCGTCGACACGTATCTCCAGGTTGATGCCGTGCAGAATGGCTGGCTGCAGGGAATTGAAACTGTCTCCGACAGCTCTCGCCTCCTTTCCAGGGTATCGGAACACAAGGCCATCCATCCGAACGGGGAACAACTTCTTTGGCCGAGCAAGGACTATGCGCGAGTGCTCATGGCTTGCGTGCAGAGATAGGCTGGCATATTCCAATATTTGCGCAGCCACAGCTTTGGAAGCTGCTATTTGGGGGACGTTGCTCAAAAGGGACGCGGCCGAGCCGATACTGAACAGCAGCAGATTGACGACCTGGACGACGTCGGACACCGATATCCGGGCGCCATCGCCAGATGTCAGCAGGCTGACGCCATAGTAGAAAACCAGAGCCGTCAGCCAGTCCGAAAGCGCCTGGTTGAGGCCATACAAAATCCCCGTGCGCCAAGCACGCGACAGGCCCGTTCGAAATGCTTTTTGCACTGTCACAGCCAGTCTTCCAGAGAAATGTGTCTCCAGTGTCAGAGCCCGCACGACTCGGATATCGGGAAACACTTCGCTGAACACCCCGCTGACAGTCTCGGCCGCCCAGTTCGACCGTGACTCCCACTTGTTGCTGACACGGGATGCCAGATGCGTGACACTCACAATGATCGGCCCACTGGCCAGGGCTACGAGCGTGAGCCTCCACGACACAGCGAGCGACCAGCCCACCGATGTGATCACCATTCCCGCAGCCATGGTCAGGATCGGCACAAACACGCTCACGAGCTTGCGCATCTCCTCTCCGCCTCGGTCGAGACACTCCACGATTCGGCTGGGAGAGGGAGACTCACCGTCTTGTCCTGCCTCTGGATCGGAAGCGGACCACCACGACCTGGGCTGCCGCATCAGCCGTGTCAGAGCCTCGCTTCGCAGCGCATTGACCCAGGTCTGGCCTACCCGCTCGGCCAAGTAGAACGACCCAAATACGGCAGAACCGTCGACGATAGAAAGTCCGATGAGAATGAGCGCCCACGGTCTTCCCACGGCCTCCTTGTTGGCTTTGGGAGACCAGAACGATTCGAGCATCCGTGCGAACACAAACGAGAATCCCGGATTGCTGCCGGCCACGACTATGCAACACAAAAGGCCCAGAATGGCCTCGATACGGTTGGCCTTGCCGAGGAGCGGCCATACCGTCCGAAGAACTGTCAGAAGCGTTGGAATCGCGGGCTTTGGTTTCGGGGGACTCGTTTCACGGTCACAACTGGTGGAGCTCAGCGCCCGTTTTCTGGTCAATGCCACCGCTTGTCTTTGCCGCTGCCCAGATTCGTTCCAGCTCTGTCGATTCGCCTGAGCCTGGTGACCCTGGTCACAAACCAGATCGACGCTAGATCGCGATTCGATAGATTTCGGGCTCTCTTTGGCTTTCAAGGTGGGCTCCGGAGCTGGGAGCGGCCAGTTGACAGCATGGCTTGCTTGGGCGGACTGCAATGAAAGCCGGTGTATGAAGTTACCATGTGCAGCTGAAGATGCCAGAAACGGTCCTGCGCCAAAGGAGCTGCCTCGCCATGTTTGTGGTAGCGGCCATGCCATAATGGCCGGCTCATCGGCTTGGTTTCCTCCGACTGCGGCTAGCTGATCGTCAACACCATCTTCTTGGTTGCCATGCCCAAATTGATCATGTCCAATTTTTTCGACAGGGCTCAGACATGCAGTAGCGACATCTCTAGCTCCGCCCACGGCTACCGCATTCAGAAGAGTATCCAGCATGCCTCCGCTATCTTTAGCCAGCTGGAAATATGGCCCCTGTTGCACTAGACTGCCACAATCCATAACATACACATAGTCTTCCATTGCGATATTCGAGATGTCGTGTGTGATGATGACTGTCGTCTTCTCTCGCCGCCAGATGCGCACTGCTTCTAGTACCATCTGTGCACTCTTCGGGTCGAGCCCGCTTGTTGTCTCGTCTAATACTAAGACGGCAGGATCACGGATCTTTGCCCGGGCCACAGCCAGCCTCTGTCGCTGGCCACCGCTTAGGGCGACTCCGCGTGGGCCGACGACAGTGTCCAGTCCCTGTGGTAATCCGGCGATGGTCGACTGCAGCAGAGCAGTCTGGCAGGCCGTCTTAATACTGGACTCGTTTATGGAATCAGGCGTGGAACTGCCCAGAGACACGTTCCAGCCAAACGTGCCATTAAAAACGGTGCTGGATTGTTGAATCAGGGAAACGTTCTCGCGCAGCCAGCGAACATCCAGCTCTTCAATGGGGCTTTTGTCAACAAGAATGCGTCCGGCCGTGGGATGGTAAAACCGCACAAGAAGATCGGCGATGGTGCTTTTTCCGGATCCGCTGCGCCCGACGACAAAGGAAACCTGCCCAGAAGGAAATAGCATAGAGCAGTCCTTTAAGACGGTCTTGTTCGGATTGGAAGGGTACGCAAAGCTGACCTAGATGGAGCGAAGAAAATAAAGTCAGCAACTTGATCAAATCCGCTTCAAAGGGACTAGGAATCGAGCCTGTCAACCTACATTAGAAAGCTCGATGCCTCCTGGGGCTCTGCTGGGTTGTGACTTCGAGAACAGCAGTGCGGATTGAGATCCGGAGAAGATCATGTCTTCCAAGGCCTTTCCTGATACAGTCCCTTTGAGGACGGATACCCATTGGGTGCCCAGCGCCTCAATCGATTGGAATGCAATGAGAACGGCATAGAATGCCGTCAGGACATTGCCAGCAGTGGCTTGGCCCTTGCCAACCAATATCATGCCAAACCAGAACCCGATAACAAACAGGTTGACCATCCAGAGTTTGACGAAGCCCATTTGGAAGCATGCACTCAGGGCCTGCTTTATGTAAAAATGTGCAGCGAGTCGGATGCTGCTGAGGTATTGCCACATCACCGTATCGTGGCCATCATACACCTTGACCAGATCGATGGCTACCAGTGCTGCTGTAGCGTGCTTGGCAGCCTGGTTGAGCATTTCCCGTTGCTTCTCTGCAGCCGGGTTGAGGCCGCGGCCAAGGAAGCTGAGTACGAAGACGGCGATAGGCACGGACGCGAGCAGACCCAAGGTCAGCTTCCATGATTTGACAAGGGCCACGACGAGGCAGGCCACACAGACGACACAGTCGGTGACGAGGACGCCCATTAGCTGCGATGTGGCGACTTGCAAGTCCCGGATTTGGCTGGACGATGCAGGTTAGTACCGAGCTGTCTGCTTTAACTTGTCCACACTGAGGCTAGGACTTGCGTGTTTTGTTCGGTCATCAGACTCGACATGCCGCCGCGTCGTGTATCGAACCACGCCATTTCCTTTTCCAGAAGCGACTGGAAAAGCTGTAGTCGCACGCTTCGTGCACGAGACTCGCCGTGGGTTATCCACATCACCATCATCAAGAAGGAAATCAGGGCCTTGCCAGCCCCTAGCCCGACAAGGCCTAGACACCACGTTGAAATGGTACGCACAGTGTCATGGACACTCACACGACCGCTTCCAAAGTCGCTGATCGTCTGGAATATCTCGCCGAGGATGAGAGCATAGGCAGTCTTTGCACCTGCAACAACAGCCGAAGCTGCAACGGCTGGAACGAGGATCGATAGCTCGCCGCATGTCCATGCTACGAAGAGATGCTGCACGCTGGCCGCATGGTCTCCTGCCGGTCCTGTTGTGTGAAGATTCTCTAGAGGCAACGACTCTGTGACTGGTTCCATGTCGATTATGTTGGACCTTTCCTCTTTTTTTCGCAACTCTGGAAATTTTGTCTCTGCTTGGTCTTGTGGAGATTCCATGGTATTTATTATGCACTCTTTGTTGAGGCTGGCAACATTCAAGTGTGGCATTTCGAACATTCGAAAAGTATAGAAGGGTATGATGCCGTAATTCTAGATAACAAGGAAAACTCGCAGAAGCAGGACCAGCCATCAAATAAGGATGGGCGTTTCTCAAAGAGACGCATGCGGCCGGGACAGAGGGCAGAATTTTCCGGCCTCTGCCAAGACACATCATGAGAACGCCATGGCGAGACGAGATAATCTGAAAGCGCCCATTGCGTCATGACTTGTTAGCGAGGTGCAGTGCTTTCATTGAGGCCGGTGGAGTTTCTTTGGTTCAGTGTTGACATTGTGCCAGAGTACTATTTCCTAATACGGAAGGATAATAGCAAGTCCGTCGACAGGACCGGATTCGGCAGTGCGTCACAACAAAGAAATATTGCGAATCAAAAAAGCAGGTGCGAAACATATAATAACGAGGACAACAAAGAATGTTTTGAAATAAATGTGTATCTCCCCATAGCAAATCTAATCAGCTCATGCAGCCTTTTCCCAAACAGCTCGCAATATATATACTACAGATGTTTTCTCGTACTGAGATCCTTAAGCAGCATTTAGCCATGTGGTATATGGCGCTCTATCCGTTCATTTCTTGTTGCTTCCGGACTTGGCGGCCTGCGCCTTTTCATAAATCCAGTCGTTGAGCCCTTTCCGGTTCCTGGTGATGGTTAGCGAAAACGAGTGAAAGAAGAAGGGGGAGATGCAGGGAGACGGCAAGGAATGCCTTTCACGTTGGTAGAGTCCCTTACCTTGCAATTTCGACGGCATAGAACTGCATTCTCGGAACTGGCGATGTTGGTTAGCACGCGGAACATAAGCACCGTGTTGGGAATCAGTGGCTCGTGCACTTTCTTTGAAAGTACCACACGATTTCGAATGCCATCACTCACCAAAGATGGTTGTGTCCTGGTCGTATTCCCACTTCGGGTTTGACCGGAGCATGGTGCCAAAGTTGTAGTCGTCCACCTTCTTTTCGTAGGCCATCATGAACTTCCGCCACCGTTCCTTGCCTTCCTTGCTCTTCATGTTGTCCTCGTCGACCGTCTCGGATGGGTCAAAATCAGGAAAATCCTTTGCCAGGTGCTCATGAATGTCGTCGTCCATCTTGGTCAAGCGCAGCGTCGAGCCGCGGACACGTTCCAGGATGGCCCAGTATGTCTCCATGTGTTGGACAGCTGGGCTGGTCAGCAGGGAGGTTCACCAATTTGCATAGACTGTCGCTTGCACTTACCCTTGACAGCAAACTGCTTCTCGATCTAGAACGTCTGGTCAGTCTCTGCTGCGGACCAAAGCAAAGGAAGCGGGGCTCATGCGCACTTACATCCTCGAAGTTGTCAGCATTTTCGGCATCGAAGTTTGATGGTATTTTTTGTGCCATGGTTTTTTATTCTTCTTTCGTCTTCGGTGTGCCTTCTGTGCACACGATTTGGTTTCTTGGTCTGTTGGCTACCAGGCTTTCTCGTCGTGAAAAAATTGCCATCATAAGCAGCTTAGAGCTCTCTGGGGTAGATGCGCATTTTTAAGGCTATCGCGGGGCACTTTAGTGGCGACAGACGTGGTCCCGTGACTCGTCCCGACTGTTCTTTGATTGGCTGGAGGCATCTAGAAGAAGCTCACTGTTTCTGTAAGTGACCAGAACCAGCTCTGCCGCGATGCGAATTTGATCAATCGCTTTTCCTCCTCACGAGTCTACCACTCATCTTATCACGCTCAAATTCGACTATTGAGAATCAGCTCTGGTTAAGCCCTTCTATCTCAATTCATTTCTTGGCGCTGTTATTTTCTATTTCTAACAGATGAGAAAGTGACAGTCTTTATGAGTACAAATCTCAGCCTGTCTCAGCCCAATAACTTATTGAGTCCACATATCTGGGCGACAGACAAAAAGAACCTTGAAGGGTAAGACACTTGCTAGAGGCGTCTCCCAGCCTCTGAAAGCACCACTCAACATCCTCGGAGAAAATTAGAGCACTTGCTGCAGGCCTGTCTTGTTTCACCGCAGCTTTTCTCCACTCGTGTTTATCTGAGGCACTGGATAGTATTGACGCCCCTCCGGGACACGAAGTGACACAGCAGCCCGTTTAATGTATCCAAAACAGCAATAATAATGTCTGCAGAGCACAATCTTGCTAGAGCATAAGGGGAACCGACCTGGACCAGATTGTGCTACCTCTGATGTGTGCCTGCAGGAATATGGTATCAGAAGGTATCTCTTCCGTGGCCCCTTCCGGTTGCCCTTGGGAATTGGGTCGGTCAAGGCCCATAAAATCGGTCAGGCACGGGCTGATGAGAAGATGCAGGGAGAACAATGGCTTTTTTCTTTTTTCTTTTCGACCATCTCTTGACCGGTCTTGCCTCCGCTGGTTACATCTTCAAGACGCCTTCGCACGCAGAGGAACATGTCTTTCTCTGATCGTGCTTTTACCAGCAGCTTCCAATCAGTATGTGTCCTGAACGGGTTTATTCTCAGGCTCGATGCTGACATCAGTCTCAGTGCCATCCCCAAGAGCCGTCTTGACGAAGTCGCCGGGCGAGACGAGAGAGCGTCGCCCGACCCTCAAACTATCGACCATACTGGAAAAGAAGCCAGAATTCGATGAGCCATTCATGGCCATTAAGCCTCCGCCATGGGATCGCATCCATGACATTGGATTTTACAGACAATGCGGCGGTCCGGAAAATGTGCGAGACACGCCGTCACGAGTGGATACATTTGCTCGTTCGATCGACCTACTGCACGCACGGTCTGGCCATCGATACAAGCCGACGAAGGGGAAGCTGCCAGATGGCGGGAGCATGTTCAGTCCAAGCCGCCTGTTCCAGCTACCTTTGGCTGTCCGCCTCCAGATCTACCGCCACATCATCGGGACTGTTGGCGCAAACAGCGGCTCTCGGCCGATCCGCTTGAATGCCATGGTGCACAACCGGCTGGCCTGGCCAGAGGATGCTTTCGACTCGCTTTCCGACGTTCTCGCGCCTCTCCGAGACATTCTTATCGCGTCTTCAGCCCTGCGCATCGAGCTGCTGGCCGCCCTCTTCCTCGAACGATCCGTCCACGTGACCTTCTCGCCGTACGTGCGACCAGCGACCTCCCCACTAGCCGTCACCTTTACCAACCAGTATGGATGTCTGATGCAGCGAATAACGCTCGAGCTGGACTGCACGCGGCTTGGTTATGGCATGGATGCAGCGGCCGCTGGGCTCGCGCCGGGTATGCTGCACATGGACAGTCTCGTGCATGGCTTTGTGGCCGGCCAGACAGCACGAGCCGGTTACAGTACGATGGAAAGTCTGGTGGTTCTGTGTCGCCGATTCCATGGCAACCGACCGTCGATCGAGGACCAGACAGCTGTGCCCTACACCGGCCCAGAGTACGAGCAGGTGGCCCAGCAGCTGGCGGGACTGTGTGGCCTCGTGGATTCGGCACGCATCGTCGGCTTCTCGGCAGCGTTCTCGAACGCTTTAGCTCGACGTCTCCATGGCGAAATGTCTGTCTCACCTACGGAACAGCGACAGCTTGGCTACATTTGGTGCCGCACACCGTCGGATGCCTACAAACTCCTGCCAGGACACCGAGCTTATCTGGACTATGGACCGGGCGTCGGCGTGCGTCTCAGCCCCCGGATATCCCTACCACCATCACCTCCGTCGTCTGTGACTTCGCCGTCGATATTGACATCGGTTCTCCCGTTTCGCCCTGCCGCCGACGTCGACATGTCGCCGGCCTCCAGCCGCCCACCATCTCCCGCTTTGTCGACGCCCAGTAAGCGAACCAGCTTTGTCGTGTCTCTTCTGGACAGGGGCCTCTTGGAAGGAAAGCTGTCAGCCAATAGCACATCCGGAGGATCAAAAAGTGTCATCGTGGCAAAGCCAAGAAAGCTGCGGAAGAGGAGGCCAACAAGCGCAGTCTGATCCTACATATGCACATATGTGGTATATGCATAAAAAAGGGCAACGCTACACTTATTACACCAGCTTCTCCTCATCTCCACAGCATCTTACCACTTCTCCTGCCTAAACAACGCAATCATGACGATCCCGTCTTCCCAGGCGCCTTCTCCTGGCTGGAGCAGACTCGACTCGTATCCGAAAGTGCCATGGGGGAGGCAGGTTCTGTATGCCTCTGCCGCATACGCCATTTATGGCCTCAACATTCTGGCCCACCACATCCAGATAATCTGGTACAAGGTTGGGCCGGCCAGGAAAGGCCCAGATGAAGTTCGGTCATATCCGTGCCGGCCGTCACTGTCTGTACGGTACGTATCTGTTTTTCGGGCGACGAACGCCAGTGTGAAGAGGCTCTGACTGCGTTCAGTGTCTTCTTCCCGTCTAAACATGTGTCGGCCTCGGCGAAACTGCCGACCCTGTTCACTATTCATGGCGGTGGTTTTGTTATCGGAAACCCAGAGGACTCGGATGTGTGGAACTATGACTTTGCACACCGCCATTCGATGCTGGTGGTGGCCCTGGACTATCGCAAAGCGCCCGTGTGGCCGTTTCCATGTGCCATCCACGACGTCGAGGCGCTCGCCTTGGCCGTGCTGACTGATACGTCGCTGCCAATAGACGCATCGCGGGTGGCAATGCTAGGCTGGTCGGCCGGCGGCAATCTTGCACTTGCGGTGGCATCTCTGCCTAGCATGAAGGGCAGCATCGATAATGCCAGTCGCCCACGCATTCACGCTGTGGTTCCCATATATCCCGTGATCGACTTCAGTGTCCCTAGAGCGTCCAAACTGCGAGCGCGCCAGTACAAACCGTTACCAGGTATGCGTGGCCACAGGACGGACTTGCTGCGCCCAATGGCACCCGTGTTCGACTGGGCCTATATACGCGGCGTAAAGGACGTGTCCGGGATACTGCGGAATTCGCTTCTGAGCCCCGCCTACTTGTCGCGCGAGGAGCTGCCGCCGTTTGTTTTCTTCATCGCCTGCGAGCTGGATATGCTCTCCATGGAGTCCCTACGCAAGGTGAGCCAGCTTGCCGGCCGGCCACAGCCCGACGACGATGCCGTGGTCGGCTGCGGCGAAATTGGCAAGCCAGATGAACTGATCCTGAATGATGAGCGGTTTTCGTTTGAGACTCGAACGGAGAGCAGCAGCTACCGGTGGCTCCTCGTCCCTGACTCCACACATGGGTTCGACCAGGCCTTCGCAAACTCCACAGATGCGCTGCAGAAATTGGAGCTGAGCCAGGCTGTCATTGCGGAATGGCTGCTTTCTGGCCCGTTTGCCGAGAAGTAGGCGGATTTGAAGGGTGGCTGGTGTTCCTATCTTGGTCGCGATGTGTGTAGATCTTCGGTTCAAACTTTACGATATATGCACTTGATTATCAACTAGGTATGTCACAATTATATCCACGAGGTGTAAACGTAAATGAGTAACAGACGGCAATTCACCATACCCCCATCTTTACTGGGAGAACAGACATGCAATGCGTGATCGCACTATACAATCGCGCAAGAGGTGTGTGAGCTTATCGCCGTCTTTCATCGCTCTAACAAACATGATAGACGACAGTATGTCCATGATTCGTCGACTGGATGGAGACTACACTTTGCGAGATGTGCCAAGCTCCAACTATCGCAGTCTGATCGTCCTCTGGGATGAAAGACGTGACTTATCTTTTCTTCACCAGTTGGCGACTCCCTGCGTAGACATTTACTAGGCAACGCTACTTTTCTGAATATTCTTGACAGGTCTTTCGATAGACAGGGTGACTTTTATGCGTGATATCAATCTTCGTTCCGACTAAATTGGCAGTGGATTGTGGCTGTCTTTATTTTATTTGGGCTTTTGCCTGTTCTATTCTTCTTCTACAATTCGACGGTGAATTCTGTAGTAATATACTAGCTCACTTAGAACAAGGAGAAATTATTTCTATCTTGAGCATAAAAGCTTTGTGATGATGATGGCGATGTTCTGCCAGTCAGCCGTGATGTCATGTGATTACCCACGTGATGTCCGGCTCGGCAGCACATTTCTCCCCTTTCGACAGCGCGGCTCCACAGCCGATTTGGCGCCCGGGTTTTTCTTCCAGCCTGTGGTAGTCTCGCTTCAGACGACGGGTGAACCTGACCGCGGCGATACAGACTCTCTCCGCTGAGGACCCTACACACCTTTCCTCCGTTTTCTCAACCCCCCCCCGCCTACTATACAATGACTGGCCGTGGTGGAGGCGGCGGGCGCCGCGTGTTGCTGCCGCCAATGTGAGTTTTTTTGGCTTCTCCGCCGTTTCGCCCTTGCTGTCGTGTGAAAGCCGCGTTTGACTGACCGGTGGCGATGCAGCAACATGATCTTCAAGCTTCTGCAGTCTGTATGTCTGGTCGCCACCCCCTCCATTCCTCTCGGTCGCCTCTTTTTTCTTGATCGAACCCTGCTAACAGCTCCCTCTAGCACGCGACTGTAAGCGTGTGGCTGTACGAGCAGCTGTCCTTTCGGATCGAGGGCAAGATTCGGGTAGGTCATGACGCGTGTTTCTCTCCGGCTCCCCGCCGCTGCAGCCTGGTCCCAAGTGCTGACACAGAACAGGGCTTTGACGAGTTTCTGAACCTCGTGCTGGACGACGCGGTGGTGGTTGGCCAAATCACAAAGACGCAAGAGGAAGAGACGCGGAAACCGCTCGGTACGTTGCTGCCGGTGAAGCTGCTATCCCAACTCTCACACCCGCGCGCCTGCATTCCGTGCTGACATCGAAACAGGCCGCATCTTGCTGAAGGGCGACAACATCTCGCTCATCCAGGGCGTTTCTTCGTAGACTTGTCCTCGGAAGAGCACAGCGCCGATACCGCACGCCTCTACGCAGGTTGTTCCAGGGCGGATGCAAAAGACGGTTGGGCCGTTGTGGTGGCCCATGGCCTGCGTGGGTACGTCACGAAGTGGCCCCTGAACGGGCGAGGCCGGCATACGGCTGTACAGGGCCGTGTCGCATCACAAAACAGGCCTAGAATTTTGGGGCACAAAGGTCCTTCTGGACACTGTCAGTGCGTGTCTTTTGAGATAAGCTCTGCAAAGAAAAAGCGTCCTGCATCTACTTTCGAACACAAGAAATAGAGAGAAACACATTATACCCATGCCAGCAGAGCTTGCTTTCAATCATTCGAATTAACGAGCCAATCTGCCGCCCACAAAGCCGAAGACAAGCGACTTCGTTGCGGTATCTCTTGCACTCCCAGTGTATAGAGTCCCATTTTGTCCAATCCATAATACATAGAGTGCTCCGGCCCATATTACCGCCGTAAAACTTCCAGGAAAACCGGCGCCTACCCAACAGGACCACCATTCGCGAGATGAGCTCGTCATCTCTTTGCGGGGAGTGTGACTTCCAGACAGGACAGTACCTGCTTCGAGTTAGTATAGAAACGCAAAGCCGGGACCGTTGGAAGCGAGAATCTCGTACCTCTTCGCCGATAATGCCCTGATTCCGCAGATAATGGCCAACGCCACGAAGGAGCTCGACCTGCTCCTTGGGCGTCAGGCCAGTGATGGCCAGCTCCAGGACCCTACCGACGCTGGCCTTGTGCGTGGCAATAAAGGAGTGGTAGTATAGGTAGGCAAAGAAGCCCATGATGAATTGGCAGTCCATGCGGTCGGTCATACCGCCGTGGCCGGGGATGGAGTGACCAAAGTCCTTGATCTTGAACGTGCGCTTCAGGCCAGAGGCGAAGAAGCCACCAAACGGCGCAATCAGGGAGGCAAAGGTGGCCAGGATGGCCGAGTGGAAGTGGATGGGCGCAAAGGTGACGCTGGCCAGGTAGTAGCTGTCGGGCAGGAAGAAGAAATGCGGGAGGGTGTAGGTGTGGGGAAGGAAGACGGGGTTGATGTCGCACTCAAGGCCGGTGAAGAAGCTTGCGCCCAGATCCTGGAGCCGGTCAGCAAAGCGAGACACATACAAGACAGAAGCAACAAGGGAGCACGAACGTTGACGGGGCAGATAAAATATTTGCTCTTAGTAAGGATGGTGGTCAGGATGAAGGAGGAGAAAACAGTCATGATCCAGGCGCCGAGGAAGCCCTCGACGGTCTTCTTGGGCGAAAGCTTGATCAGCTGGGTGCGGCCAAAGGTGATGCCGCAGACGTAGGCAAAGATATCGTTGGTGATGACGAGCGAGGCGGGCAGGAAGAACCAGATCATGCCCTCGAAGATGTTGTTCATGACAAAATGGGCCTGGACGACGATGAGGTAGAGAGCCATGTGGGTCCAGGCAAAGTTTGTGAACTGGAACTTGTAGTGGCCGGCCTGGAGGGACATGACAAAGAAGACGAAGCCTGTGAGGACCCGGCCGGTCAGCCGAGAGGTCAGAGGGGACACGGGATCGGGGGGCGGGCCTACCGATGACATAGAGGACAAAGCTAATGAAGCGATGGTGGGTTGCCAGGGGCAGCAGGACCTTGTCGACCAGGACAATGTGCTTGAAGTAGTAGATGACGCTCTCGCCGTAGAGAAAGTACATGGTGGTGGCCAGCCAGTACCAGTTGAGGCTCTTGGTCGAGTGCAGCTGGCGAGCTCGGCTGGGGACATTGGCAATGGCGATGACTTCGGAGAAGGAGACGACCTGGACGCCGGTGACGATGATGACCATGTAGATGTGGCCCATGAAGAGAGCGGCGAAGAAGCCGCCGATCATGACAAAGGTCCAGAAGGTGCGGGTGATGAAGTTCTGCTTCTTCTTCTCGTACTCGGCCGCCTGTTCCTGTGCGGCAGTCGGTTTCTGTTCGCGAGCCAGCAGGGCCATTGTCAGCATCACATCTGTTCTTGTTCCTTGTTCTAACGGGGGGGCCGACAGGGCACAACGGCCGCTCCGTCAAGCAGGATCGCGCACCTCCACGATGCCGCCAGCGGAAGCGCCGTTCTTGGACTTGGGCGACGAGCCGTCGTCTTCACTGACGTCGCTGAAGCTGGAGCGGCGCTCGGCATGGCCGTTTGCGCGGTTCGGAAACCGGACTCCTCTGCGAGGTTTCGCCATTGTGTTGGATCAGTGGGCGAAAAGAGAGCGAGCGGGAGCGAAGGCGGCAAGGCGTACGGAAAAGGAGTAAGGAGTAAGGAGTGAGGTGGCGAGAAGAGAAGGTAGAATAACGGCGCCGAAAGATGAGGCTATGAATCAGGTACGTTTTTTTTTCTTCGTCGGGGTTGGAGGGGGGCTGTCGGAAAATCGGTTGGTATTATAGCGCGTTAGCGGGTCTGGATGGAGATGAAGTCGGGGGGGCAGACAGCAGACGCAGACAGCCGGGGAACTGCGATAGGGCGTCTGTAGTGCTGACGGTGGCCGGTTTCGTCATGAGAACCCGACGAAGAAATCCGCTTACTCCGTCCTTATTACCGGTTCTGACAGCTGCTGCGCTAGCAGGCTGGACACGCTATAGGATACGTATGCTCCCTACAATTTGCTGAACCGCAATCCAGCACTTTGCTATGTCTCTGCAGCCTGCTGCTGCTGCGGTTTGCCTCGCCCCTCTACGGAGTGTCATGCGAACCAGACTCATGCTCGCAGCTTGCTGATAGCGGTTCGGATGTGCCGGCTAGCTGGCTAGCTGGCTGGCTGGCTGGCTGGCTGACCCGAACCATACGGCTCTCTGCTGGAAAGCTGGCTTTTTCACATGCCAAGAACCGTCAAATTGGACAGCGCTACTATCAAGGCTGAGTCAGCGGGGTCGACGCGGCCGAACGCCGAGACCCCGATTGGCCTGCCCCTCGACCAGCGCGTTGCGGGGCTGCAAACGCGCGCCTGCGAGAGAGTAGCGTGTTCTGAGCCGTTTCTGAGGCCAGAAAAAGAAGACATACAAAAAAGGCGGAATCGTACACAGCACGACGCCTAGCAAAGCGGACATCAAGGCTGAGCAAGCCATCGTCAGCCACATCTTTGCAATGCCTCCACCCGTATCACGCCTGCCGTATATGCCATCTCGTCGTCGCCAATCGCAATGGACGACTTCTCGGACGACGGCTTCGACGAGCTGAACGTGGCCCTGCTGCAGGAGCTTGAGAATAACGCGCTCGAGTCTCTGCAGTCCCAGCGGCCGCGCCAGCCGAATGCCGGCCCCGGCGGCCTCTTTCGCTCACAGCGACTGCCTGGTGGGGCCGAGGTGATTGAGATCGACGACGACGTCGACCAGGCCGATGCAGAGATGCTCCGCGAGCTGGCCCACGTGGCCCATGTGCCAGCCCAGCATTCGCGGTCCAGCCGCCTGGCCGTGGCAGCGGCACCGCCACCCCTGCCGCTGCCAGCCTACTCCCAGCATAGCATCGCCAACATGCCGCTGCCGGCTGCCAGCAGGCAGCCGCCACTGCAGCCGCAGATGCAGACACAGGCACGGACACGACCAGTCCACCCGGTCGTTCCAGCAGGCGGACGAGGGCCGGGGAGGACCATCACAGTAGCGAGGAGGCCATCGGTCGCGGCCGGATTGATGGCCCCGGCTGATTGTGCAACCATTTCGGATCTGCAGACGCGCGTCCGCCTGTTGGAGACGGACCTGTACACTGCCAACGGCAAGGCATCCGTGATCCAGACACTCTACAACAAGGCGCAGGCCGAGCACGAGGCCGAGATCGCCCGCATCCGGAAGCAGAAAGACGACGAGCTGGCAGAGCAGCGTCAGCGGGCCGAGGTTGCCGTGGCTGCCCACCGGACGGCCGCGACCGAGCTCGAGTTCGCCAGACAAGACCTGAAGGAAGAGGTGGAGAAGAGCAGAAAGGGTCGCCGCAGCGAACGTGTCGGCGATGGGGCGCCCACCACGCCGCGCAAGGATAGGTCAGCCCGGTCCAACTGGGACGTGGCCGACGGATTCGACGACGTGGAGCTGCTGCCGAGTCCGAGCAAAGGTGCTGGCCGCAGACTGAAGGATGTCAGCGGCGGGGCCACCATTCCGGCCCTGGAACGCACGCCGACAAAGGGAAAACGCCGCCGGCCGGTGGCAGACAGCCCGACCGGTAAGCCGTTGGAACTGGTCGCAGTCGCTACAGACGACGCGGCTGGCACCACCAGAGATCCACCACTACCAGCACAGCCTGTTGTGCCGCCCGAAAAGCCCCCGCTTCTGGTGAGTATCTGGCCCACAGAACCGGCTACCTGCGGCTCTGCTGACATTGGCTGCCGGCTCCCAGTTCCTCCAGGAAGTCTTGGGCCACCAGAGCCACCCCGACGAGCCTTCGACGATCGAGCTGTTTGCTCAGTACAGCTTCCCGTCCAATCGGAGCCAGTCGCTGGCCTTCTTGATGCTGCAGCGGATCCCGAAGCTCGAGGGAACCCAGGGCACAACGCGTCTGATGCTCGACTTCTGTCAGCTGGTCTTGGGCATCTGGTCCCAGTGTCTTCGCGAAGAATACTACTCGCCTGTCCGGGCCCTGGTGTCGCTCTTGACCTACATCCTGACGGAAAACCCGACCGATCTGGCATCCCACATCCTGCACTCGCTGTTGCCCCTGGCCCAGGAAACCAGCTATCTCGTCGCCGGTCCGGCTTTCAACTGTCCCGGCGGCAGCCTCGCCGACCATCCCGACTATGCCGTGCGCCAGCTTGCCGCCGAGATCGACACTGGTGCCATCATGTCGCTCCTGCGCCTGGCTGCGCTTGGCTGCCTGACCCCATCCACAGCCGACGAGCCGGCACAGCGGCCTTCCCAGCCAGCCACTCAGTATGCTTACCCGGATCTGGCTGCCTCGGCACAGACGCTCTTCTGGAGCTTGATCTCGTTTGAGTTTGTCCTGCTCATGCTGTCGTCCAAGCAGCCGCCCGACGCCTTTCTCGGCATGCTCTCGCTGCTGCGCACGTCGGCCCTGCCAGACTCCATCGGCCCCATCACCAACGATCCGAGCAGGGATGCCGGCGTCGTCGCGTCCATGGTGATCGACCGCATCACCCACCACATTGACGACCCTCCCAGATGGGCGACGCCCTGCAAGTACACCGAATGGGATGTGCGCCTGTCGGCATTGGGCGTGCTCGACTGTTTTGCCCAGAGCTCTTTCGGCAGGCTGAGCCTGGCCGCCAGCAACTGCGCCTTTCCGCGTCTGGTGGCCGTCTTCTTCTCGGCCTATGGGGAGCTTCGCGACAGAGACCTGCTTCGTGAGCCGCTGCATCTTGCCGCTGACGATCTGTCCTTGCCGGACGATCGGCTGAGGGCCTATGGCATCGGCGGCTTCGACCTGGCGCAGACTCTCGGCCGGCCCATCTCCGACACCACGGACAGCAGCGTCGAGCAACCAGGCTCCAGCTGCGATGTTGACCGCAATTTTGTTCCGCTGGTGCTGGCCTACGTCTCTGCCGTCGTCGACCTGCTGCACAGCATCGTGACCGACCCGTACACTGCGGCCGTCGCCAACATCCCGACCAAACTGGCCGAGACTCGGGGCGGAGCCCAGAGCATGTATCTGCTCATCATGGCGAGAATGGGCTTCCGCATTGATCCTGTCTTTTCTGTCGGGCTGCGCGACGAGACGCGCCAGCTTGCACTCGAGCTTTTCAATCTGGCAGCCACGCCAGAAGAACAGAAAGACTACTACGAGTGGGCAGAACAATCGTGCAATTTCTGGCACGACGGCACAGCCGATCCCTTCTCCGAGGCTGCTGATGCAGACTGTATGGTCCCGTGAGGACTCAAGGTGGAGAAGAGGCATCTCGAACGACAAGCCGAGACGGGAAGTGACGTCACCCAGATCAAGTTATGGAGAAGTCGATACACCCCACAGCAAAGACGACCTACATGATCTCACGATGCAGTTCAAATACCGACAAGTTTATCATTTCTATCCTTTCTAAATTATAAGATTCCAGAAACTAGATCTAGTAACAGACGGAAAAGTACAGCGAGACAAAAATCTAAGCAGCCACGGGAACCCAGGAAATGCAATGCCAAACAAATATATACGTGGCCGAAATGGGTAATTGTGAGATGCCAGGCTTTGCCTAACAGCAGGTAACCAGAAGGACAGATAGTGTCGTCACTAGCATGTCCCAGCCAAAGGAGTGGCCGTTCCAAGACCGACTGGCGGCAGATGAAGATGTACTGGTGGGCGACACACCCGTGGCTTCCTCGCCCAGATACCAAGCACCAATGTCTGTCAACTTTCCGCCAGCGCTAAGCATGGCAGCGTTGGGGCCCACATTGGAGGCGGAGGCACGGAAGGCGCCAAAGTAGGAGTAGCGCTCGATGTAGGCCAATCGGTCGAGGTATTCAGCTGAGGTGTTGTAAAAAGATTGGGAGGATGCCAGGTCCTGATTGTCCAAGTTGTATTCGGTGATCCAAAGGGAAGCATTCGGGAAGCTGTCAAGATTAGCATTGGGACGAGCAGGAGGAAAGACGGGAAAAGCAACGGAGATTCCGTACGCGGCAGCATATGTTCCAATGTGGCTGGCAAGGCCCTCAAAGTTGCCGTACCAGTGCAGCGGGATGAAGTCGTAGGTGCAATTGGCCGTCTTGTCGGAGGTGCTGATGAGCTCGCTGCAGTTGGCAAGCATCTGGTTGAGCCACGGGATGGCTTCGGTGCCACCGGTACAAGCCGGCAGGCCAACCTTGACGCCTTGTTTCTGCAGCGGAATGATGTTGGACACCCAGACCTTGGCGGCCACGGTGGGATCGACGTTGCTGCCCCCGTTTTGGGTGGAGCCATCGGGCTCATTGAAGGCCAGGACATGGGAGATGTTGGTGCCACCGGAAATCAGACTCTTGACAGCATCGAGAAAGGTCGTGTCGCTGGTGTCCGAGGGAGCGCCCCAGAGCATGGGGACAAACTCAAAGGCATCCTGGGTCACATTCGAGAAGGCCGGCGACGGCGAGTAGCCGTAGTTGTAGTACCAGGTCAGATCCGACGGCGACAGGGCCCATATGTAGTTGTCCTGTGGGTGTGAGGCATTGGGGGTAAAGACGAGGCCACGCTTGGCCGAAGAGGTGGCGGTAGCACTGGAGAAAAGGCCATACAAAGCAGGCAAAGCAGAGAGAGTGAAGATGGAGGAGCGCATCGTGAACTGAGAATGGATCGAGCCAGAACGGTCGCGAGAGTCGGTGGTGATCAATCGAATTGACTGGGATGAAAACCGGGCGCGATCGAATGCGTTATCCGTGTCGGCAGCTCGTGGCGCTGGTGCGGCTGAAGTGCGTCAAAAGCTCGTATCCGCGTACATACGGGTGTTGACGGCCGGCAGAACGAGTCTCAGGACAGGCGAGACACGGCGCCCAGGACGTGGTGAGATGCAGTGACAGCGAGAGTGTCCGCAGGAAAAGAAGATGAAGATACGGAGGAAGAAAAAAAGAACGGAATGCGACAGCTAAGAAGAGGTCGGACATCCTGGAAGCGCAGCGCTGATGGAGTGAAGGAAGCGACTACGTGGGACCAGGACGTTGCCTCTGTCCTTTTGTTGCAAGGACCTGAAGCTAGCCCAGCATCAATCCGCACAGATCCGCACGAATCCGCACCTGTTGGCCGTGGATGGCCAAAGCATCGGGGAATACGGAGTACGAAGAGTATTGATTGAGCGACGCTACCGGGAACCCCACTCTCGGCTTGACGTTGGTCCAAGGCCTCGAACAGGCAGAGGTGGTGCAAAGGACCGCAGTGATGTGCTGTGTGGAGACATGGCCGGTGCGTCCATCTCGCGATGCATTCTGGAAGTCGTTGTTTTTATCTTGGGCCTCTCGTCAAGCCAGAGCTGTCGGCCGTTGTGTTCTCCATAGTCTCCAAAGGGGAACTGCTCTCCTCGCATCGTTCCTGCCGCTACGGGCGAGGTCTGCGGGGAAGGCACGAGCGGGGAAACCACTGCCGATCACTAATACTGCTGGCAATCGATCCGCCACAACTCAAGCCTCGGCAACGGCTGCGTGTGGCAGCTGCCACTGCAGCTACAGGAAGTAGAAAAGTAGCGCCTGCGCCTCTGCCACACTCTGCTGCTTCCATCTTTCCCGCAAGAACGTCTCTGTCAGACTTTTCCCAATCACCGCACATCAGCCCCCGTTCACCATGGCCGAACGTCTCGGTTCTATCCTCAAGCACCTGTCGCCAGGTGGCAATGCTGTTTCCACCTTGTTCGTCTCGCCCTGATCCTCCCGATCCTTTCCTCTCAATTTTCCTGCTGACACTTCCAGAACATCCAAACACCCCGACGACATTGTCATCACGCTTGCCATCCGCACACCGCTCACCAAAGCTCGCAAGGGCGGCTTCAAGGACTCGTCGCTCGAATACATTGTTTATGCATTGCTCAAAGAAGTTAGGGAGCGTAGCAAGATTGACCCCGGCCTGGTCGAGGATGTCTGCTTGGGCAACGTAAGCGGTGCTCTGCTACAGCTGGCCGTCGTCTGCTGACTTTGTCCCCGACAGGTGTCCGATGGGAAGGCAGCATACAAGCTGCGTACCGCCTCGCTGGCAGCGGGCTTCCCCAACACATCCAGCGCCTCAACGGTGAACCGGTTCTGCTCGTCCGGCCTCAAGGCTACGGCCGACATTGCAAACGCAATCAGCGCGGGCAACATCGAGATCGGCGTGGCCATCGGGGCTGAGTCCATGTCGGCCGGGGGAGATGCGGTGGACCAGCCGTTCGACGAGCTGGTGACGGGCAAGAACCAGGAGGCTGCTGATTGCGTGCAGCCCATGGGCTGGACCAGCGAAAACGTCAGCCGCGACTTTGGCATCCCGCGCGAGGAGATGGACCGGTACGCCACCGAGAGCTTCCGTCGCGCCGAGGAGGCACAAAAGGCCGGACTCTTCGACGACGAGATCGTGCCCATCAAGACACATGTCAAGGATGCCGATGGGGTCTGGCAAGAGGTCACGCTGACCCGTGATGAGGGCATCCGGCCCGGCACCACGTTCGAGGGACTGTCCAAGGTCCGCGCGGCCTTTCCGCAATGGGGCCCGACCACGACTGGCGGCAATGCCAGCCAGGTGACAGACGGAGGTGCGTAAAGACAAATTGAGTGGCAGTGCATGTGCATCCGAGATGCTGACAAATCAGCCGCGGCTGTGCTCCTCATGAAGCGCTCGACAGCTGTTCGCCTGGGCCAGCCCATTCTGGCAAAGTACGTGGGCAGCACGACAGCCGGTGTACCGCCACGGATCATGGGTGTTGGCCCGACGGCGGCCATCCCGAAGCTGCTCGCCCAGCACGGCCTGACCCTGGCAGATATCGACGTCGTCGAGGTGAACGAGGCATTTGCCAGCATGGCCGTCTACACTCGTGACAAGCTCAGCCTCGACTGGGCCAAGATGAACCCGCGGGGCGGTGCCATTGCGCTTGGCCACCCGCTGGGCGCCACAGGAGCGCGCCAGATTGTCACGGGCCTCAGCGAGCTGCGGCGACAAGACAAGAAGGTCCTGCTGACCAGCATGTGCATCGGCACGGGCATGGGCATGGCCGGACTGTTTGTCAACGAGCAATAGGGATGGAGGAACATATAACAATATGTACTTTATGCCATCTCTTGGGCGGCAGATCGAACCAGTGTGCAGCATCTTGCATATATATACAAACAAACCCCTTTCTGGTCTGACTGTCAGCTGGTTGCATATGCAGGTCGCAGCCTGCAGCTGTCATCATTGCAAGGCTGGCGGCATTCAAAACTTCATGTGCAGGGGCCCAGTCCCGTTGAAGTTCTTGCAACAACAGTGTCCTCTGTGCGAGCAATGTACACCTTTGTCTATCGTGAGCCGTCTCAAAGAATGGCCGATCGCAGTGATCCTAGCTACTGCCTGTTTTGGCTGGTTTTATTGGTTTTTGCATTCCGGCGCTCTTTCCTTACTGTTAGACGCCAGGCCTCTCTTTCACCTGAAAGAAGTCCGGATAGGGGTAGAGGCCGCCTTTGTCGGGCAAAAAAAAAACAGCGCCACCAGCGCCAAAACAGGACTAGGCAGCACCCCTGGAATTCCTTAGCCGTTCTGGAACAGGCCGTCTGCAAGCCCTGATTGGTGCCTGCAACTAATACGATGCATTATTTAACCTTTTCAGCACCTGGTTTCGAAATGAGGAGGCAACGTCACCTCTCAACCACGACTTGCCACTGGCCGATCTGTTTTGCTCGTTTCATCGCTCAATCTCCTTGGATGCAACCTTTGTGCGTGTTTCATCCGGCACGGCGGATATCTGGCCGACTTGCTATTCGATTTGGGCAAAAAGGGGACCTTATCCGACTGGTCTGGCCAGGATGACCAGCCCTCTCTGCGCGGCAAGAATTGGATCTCTCTACAGCACGGCCTATGGAGCGGACCCTCTCTTTTTCTGCATGCGCCAACCGCTCCTCTGGAGACCAGCGTGGATGGGAATCGAGAGACAGAGCCCTGCAACCAATTTTCCAACCGTCTTTCTTTTATTGCATCTGCACCAATCATCGCCGGATCCGAGCCTGTTGGACCAAGTCGGCCTCAGCTTTCAGACTTCACCAAGCTCGAAAGGGAATGGTTCTCGTTTGAATCTACGATGCCGGACGCGTATGCTCTTCCGTCTCTCTCGCCTCTCGCCCTTTCTTTCTTCTCGCCCACACCGGCCGCTTCTAGACCATGCCGCTATGTTTCAGGCGTCAAGCTTTGATCTCGGGGTCCACGCATCCCGCACAATGGCGCTTCCAAAGCAGCTTTACCAGTCTTCCAGCAGACGCCCTTACTTGCAACCGTTACATCCAAGAACACCGCATGTGTTGACCAGTCGCTATGAGCTGTATTAAGCTAGGCCATGGCCGGTCTCAAGGACAAGGGGGCACACAGACCCAAGTGGCCATTGTCTTGCTGGAAGTAGTCTTCATCCTGTGCTTACGACGTGCTTCCTCATCCCCTACATAAAGCCGGCCCAGCGCCCCTCATCTTTCCCATAAGCATGGTCGAGTCCTTTGCATCTCGATGTCATAACATCTTACACTCCTTTCCAACCTGGCACCCTGCCCCCCCAGCTTGTTCGTTGGCAAACAGGCACACCGTATCCTTTCATCACACTCCTTTCCATTTTTGAAATGTATCCCTTCGCTTCTGCCGCCTCCCTGTTCCTGGCCAGTCTGCCAGCTCTCGTGCAGGCATGGGACGCTCCGGCTTACTCTGGCTACAGCTTGGTCTGGCAGGAAGCTTTTGCTGGCTATTCCGGCACACTGCCCTCTTCGACTACCTGGAATATCATCACGGACATATCAGTCAACGAAGAGGCAGAGACTTACACCACCTCGACCAGCAACCTTCAGCTGTCGGGCGGAAACACCCTCCAGATCATTCCCATTTGCGATAGCGCCGGCAGCTGGACATCGGGTCGTATCGAGAGCTCATACACGTTTACGCCTGCTGCCGGTAAAATCACCTTTGCCGAGGCAGACATTCGCTTCGGTGGAAACTCCATTGCCAACAAACAGGGCCTGTGGCCCGCCTTTTGGATGTTGGGCGATAGTCTTCGCCACGGAACCTCCTGGCCCCAGTCAGGTGAGGTCGACGCCTTGGAAACCGTCAATGGGCTCCTCACCGGCTATGGTACCTTGCACTGTGGCTCCAACCCCAATGGGCCATGCAACGAGCCCACCGGTGTCCAAAACTACATCACCTTTTCCGACCAGAGCTGGCACGTATGGCGCGTGAAGTGGGATCGGTCGTCGAACGATTGGGAGTCCGAATCGATCACCTGGTATATGGACGACCAACAGTATCATATTGTAACCGGCTCTTCGCTGGGAAATGAGGACGACTGGGCTTCCGTCTGCCATGACCCCTTATACTTTATCCTTAACCTGGCCGTCGGCGGCTCATGGGTAAGTCAAACTTTCGCCGGATCTCTGACGTGCACTCCTGCTAATCGCTGTGGTTCGCAGCCTGGTGACCCAAACTCGTCTACTAAAGATGGCTACGGCAGCATGATGGTATGTTCAACTTCTCAACCAATACACGTATGTGACTCGAGTCTAATCAGAAACAGGAGGTCGCCTACGTCGCCGTTTACTCAAACTAAAAGGCGCACACAATGATTATTTCGTTACTTCTCTTCTTGGATACCTATTGCCATCCGGTCTTTATATACCCGCCATTTTAATGTTCCAGCTAGTCTGGCTGTGTTCTATCTTCTCCCAGTACTTGACTTCTACTTTCGAGGATGTGCGGGTGAGACGTAACAAGTGTGCTATTGCTTCTTTGATCTAAAGCAGTCTAGTCTATCGCGAAGCGCCTTTTTGAGTTCTTCGTCTAGCCACGGATAACGAGTGCAGGTCAGTTGGCCAAAGTAGTCTAGGACCAACTTATCAGACCTAGTCAATACCGGACAATCTCAGGTATTCGTGTAGATTTTCGTGTCAAAATACCATATATATATATCGCCTGTACAAATCACTCGGCTGTAAGAACTTAGATAGACCTGAATATAACAAAACATGCACGCAAACCACAGAGCCATAAACCACAAGTGTAGAAATACAGTACGCGGTTGAATGCAAACAGGTCCCACAACTCGTCCCATGACCAGTCCCAAAGGAGCATAAAACATCGGCGTGTCCAGTTGCTAGGGAATCAAGCAAAGACGAGAAGAAGAAAAAAGGAAAACAGGTGAAGACACAAAGAAATAAGCCAGCTATTCTCGCTATACCAGTCTGCTATACCAGTCTGCTTAAATGAGAAAAACATGTCCGAATCTAAAACAACTTTGGCCGGAATTGAGAAAGGTAAGAAATTAGGAAGAATTGAAGGGATATTTCCAAAATAAGACAACAAGCGAAACACAATATTGGGCTGAACCCGTCTTGTGACCATTGGCGATGTACTCAAACGGCACTCTCCTTAGATAGCCGTCAATATCCGCCAAGGCTGCGATAGCCATGCGGCCCATCCCGTTGAGAAGTACCGAACCGCCAAGTGATGAATTTTCTCCATGCCGAGGTTGGCTAAGAAAGCAACCCAATGCTTGATGCCCAATGACTCTAGGGTCAAATGACCCGCATCATGCAGGTGGCCACCAGCCAGCCGAACGCGGCACTGCAACTCGATTTCGGCAGCCGACAGCGGCCGCCCATCAGGTGATTCGGCCAAGATAGCGTTCAAGGACAAAAAGGCGTGAAGCCAAGTCGTGATAAGCTGATACCGAAGAAAAGCCGGTTCGTATAGCCCTGATGGAGGGGAGTGCGAAAACAAAACGAGGAGGTGTGCGCATATACGGAAAGGTTGCAAGGCTCCAAAGCCAACGTCAACGACTAGTTGCCGTTGATAGGCTGACAGTCATATGCAATCGAGCTCGAATTGCGCCTCGTTGATTTGCCAGATGGTGTTCCGCCTTGTATCGCAATTGGTTGGTTCAAGACACCTGACCAAACGACGCCCACACCACCCATCCGACGTCTCGTGAATGTGTTGCTGCCTGACCCAATCTGATCACCGCTGCCACCACCAAATATAAACTCGGTCCAGAAGGAGCCCTTGCCACGATTGCGCTGCTGCGTCTTTCTTCTTATCTGTCAGTGATCCAGTCACTCTGGTGTGATTCTTCTCTTTCTTTCATGGCTGCAATACTCCCTCCGAGAAGCTGCTCCTTTCCGACTGCGAAATTCATGAAGACCCCCCTTCATGTGAACTTCTATTGCTGTCGTGTTGTTGATCGTGATGGGGCCCCCACGGAAGGAGGCCACCCACGCTAATCGTGATCAGCCTACCACAGACCCTGTTTATCCTAGGTACTCCTCATGGATGATCTCGCCGATCGTGCGCCCATATGGCCAAACGATACCTAAGCACGTTGACCGCCGTCTCCATAGTGCCCGGCGTACAGTTGGGTATGATGACCGTGCTGATGATGGCCATTGGAGTAGGATTGTCCCGAGTTGGTCACATCGTATGTGTCCCAGCGGCCATTACTGTTGTGCACACCGTGGCTAGTGGCAGACGAAGTGGTATGTGTTGCAGTCGAACCGCCAGAGGCTGTGGTCACTGGAAGAGGAGAATTGAAATTGTGTGTTTGGTGGTGGTGCATACCGTAGGCTTGCGAAGCAGGGGGCATCCCATGTGTCACATTCGCCGCTCCCCTGCTGTCATATGCTGTGGGCAAAGCGCTCATTCGCAGACCCACGGTTGATGGGGATTGCGGCTTTGATATTGTCGTTCCAGGAGAGATAGGACGGCCTGATGGTCCCTGGGCATAGGACATCCATGTCGCCGAAGTCCCCGATAGCGATCTTGGACTAGCGAGACTTTCAGACGGCGTTGGACCAGTAGCAACAGTCATGTAGCCGACGTTGGATGTTCCATCTGTTCCCGCTGACACGGATCCCGGTGTAGGGGGTAGACCCGCATACGACGGGCTCATCGTGACCGGGGTCAGCATGTGATGGTTGGAAGCCGACCCCGAGCTAGAGTGCGGTAAAATCGACGAAGGGCTCGCGCTATACTTGGAAATTATCTTTTTGAGCGCCTGACCCAAAATCTTCCATGGGAACACCTTCACATCCTTCTCGATCGTGCGCGGCTTTGGCGCACCAAAACCCATGATCAGCTTGAAAAATTCCTCACTCTCGGTCTTTGCCTTGCTGACAGTCACGGGTTTGAATCCCTCCAGATTGCGGCGAATCCGGTTTTTCTCCTCCACGGAAAAGCGAGAAGGCTGAGCAACAAGCTGCTCCAGTAGGTTTATCGTGTCAACAGACGTGACAAAGCACTCCTGCTTCTCCGCCCAGTAGATGCAGCTGATGCATATGCTGTTGGGTGGGCGCTCGTTGATCGGTACTGCACGGAATGTGGCTTCCAAGTGGCAGCCGTTCTGCTTCTTGTGGAAGAGTACGATTCGTCGCCGGCTATTCCACTCTTCCGGAGTCCACTCCTGTGCCATAGAGTCGAGATTGCCCAAGATAGACAAGACCGCCTTCGTCGAGTAGCTTCCCCAGTGACCATTACCATAGCCGCTAACACCCCCAACTCCCAATCCTGGCGAGCCGCTCTGGATAGTGCTGGTTCGGATTAGTTGAGGCACGTTGGAGCTCCCGGGTGCTGAAAGTGCTCCATGGAGTGACGGCCGAGTGATGGACGCCGTGCTGTGGCCTTGTGTGATGGAGTCATTGCGCGCGATGCTACCGTAGCGGTCGTGGGGATGATGTCCTTGGTGGCTGATGCTGTTGCTGTAGCCATTCCAGATGGAATTCCGCAGCGGAGGCGGACCCGCATGGCGTTGGAATCCGTCCGAGAATGACGCGCTGCGGTATGCTCCGAGCATGTTGCTGTTGTCTTGGCTGTAGCTGGATGCGGCGGCAGCAGCTGCTGCAAAGTTTGTTTGAGCTTGTTGGACCTGTTGTGCTGCGGCGGCGGCAGCAGTAGCGGCGTCGACAGTGTTGTGTGGGTAGGAAAACGTATTAGTATTCGAGTCTGTTGATAGCGGGTTATGTGCCTCGTGTGGGCTGCTTGTTGTCGATGTTCGTGCGGTCAGCTGCGGTGGACTCTCGCCGTGTCCAGGTGACTCGGCTGGCGATTTTCGCGTGATGTCTTCAGGTGCGCCAGCTGTTACATTATCCGCTGTCCCCCCCATGGAAGAAGTCGTGTTGATAGAAGAGTCATGGTAAGAAAATGACTGTGCCACAGGAACACGCGCCACCTCTTCACAATTGGTATTCTCAATGATGAGTGTCAGTAGCACATTACTCTGTGAGGCGCAGTTGGTCATTATAAACTGAGGTGCCTCTGCCGAAACAATATAAGAGACGGAAACGCCATCGTGCGTTATGCCTTCCTTGACGGCTTCTGCGTGACACCTCTGCGAACCGAAGGATAGCCAGATGTATGGTGCCTGTGCCGACATAGCCATGAGGTCATACTGGCTGGTGACCTTGAGCTCCACGCGCGTCCCAGCTGACCCGGCGTTAGGGGAACACGAAATGATGTTCACAGGTGATGAGTTTGTTTCCGAGTTCAGGTACTGCGTAGCAGCTCCATTTGCTGCGAAGGCTAGGCCGTCAAGCTGTGATGCCGTATTGTCTGCTTGTTGTGGCTGAAAGGACTGTGAGCTGTAAGGCGCGTACGCAGCATCTGTGAAGCCTATAGAGAAAGAGTGAGCTTCATCCTGCAAAAATGTAAGCAGTTGTCCTGAGACGTACTATGCAGCTGCGCCGGCTGGGTCTTGTAGGCTGCCATTGTTAAGAGATCTGGTGAATTCTGTTTGCGAAGCTGTCCACCGCTTGCTCGCGCAGCTTCCTCCTCGTATCTGAGGGTGACCGTCTCTGGCGATTCGATGCCTTCGTCAACGATTATTGGTCTTTGAGTATGATAACTTGGCTAGTTTTGGTCAGTGCACGTCTCTTACTTTCAGCTGCATTGCTTTCTGGGTAGACTAGTAGCTGGCCCATGACGGCCAGGATATTGGGCTCACCTCAAACACCTTGTAGAGAGGCTGTTGATACTTTGTGGTCGACATGAAGAAAATACCGTGACTCTGTAAGAAGCCTCTAGTGTAAAAAGGTAAAAAAGGAGGATGGGGAGAAGACAAGGGTCCGGCCTGGGGCCAATATTAGTGGCGTAGAGGACTATTTCAGAGAACTTTGCGACAATGTTTCAACTCTAGAGATGTGTGAGTTGGACGACTACACGTACAAGAAGGGAGGCGAGCGTGGGAGACAACGGGTATTGGCAGGGGAGGAATGTCATGAAACCATGAACTGGTGGTATAACAGTCTCGCGGTTGCCTGGGGAAAGAAGCATATCGCAAGGGATTGGGCTACATACCAAAATCTGTCAAAACTCGGTTGGATCAGAATAGTTGAGCCGGGATTGGGCTCAACAGGGTATGTGGAATGGGCGGTCAGTCAGAATACCGGGAGAGCTGCACTGGAATGATGCAGGAAACCCGGTTGCCTCGGCAGATATGTATAGGGCGTGCGAGTCAGATCCACAGGCAGACGCAAAAGTCGAATGCGTTCTCCGTGATGGCCCGCTATAGGATCAATCCGCTCGCCTAGCTGGGTGATGCAATTGGAATGCACTTTTTGGCTCGGCAAGAGTTGATTAGTGTTCCGTAAGAAGTCCGTAGGAAGAGGAGTGGAAACCGCCTTCGCCATGAAGCCAACATACATCTGCGGATTGAGTTGAACAGAGCGTCACAGTTGCAGCAATGCCGACAAGATGTGTGCCAAGAAAAGATGTCGTCGAACGAATTGGGCGCTGGATTAGGATACCATTCGGGCTACCGCGAGATAAAGGTGTCGAGGATGAAGGCAGAAAAAAAAACGGCGTCTCTCGGGAGTCTGACAGGTTTGTCAATCTAACCGCCTGGCCATGCGACTGGGGGAAGGTAGATCGACCGAGCGGAAGCAAAAACAACCGACAAAGGTCTAGCAATAGGGAAACGGTACAAGCGCAAGGTAGTGAAGCAAATCAGAAGCAAGCCAGTTGGGTAGCTTGTCGTCGATCGAGGCGCTCAAGAGACAGGGGGAGGTGTGCAGTAATTAGAGGTGGCAGTTGATGAGAGATGACACCGAGAATGTATAATAGCTTTCGAAATAAAAGGTGGTCCTAGAGGGAGTGGGCTTCAAATCACGGCGAAGAATGTGAAGCGGGAAGAGAAGGCCAAGAGAAAATAGGAGGGAAGGTGGACATGCGAATAGAAGAGAGACAGGAGATGGCAGACAAGAGAAGGCGATGGACGGAAGAGTAATATGAACAGAGGGAGAAGAGGAGGAAGAGGGCGATGGGGTACGTTTTGTTTGTTGGAGGTAGGAGCTGTTGAACAATGAAATTCCGGGTGGGGAGAAAGTGGTCAAAACCAACGGATTAGGAGGCAATTCCGGGGTTGCAAATGCCCCTCTTGGTGACCCTTCAGCAGAGCAGGGAAGGGTTGGATTTGGAAGAGAAGAGGTCATGTACCTGGCTACTCGATGCTGCCTTCGGCGGTTGAGATGAATTTCATGTCTTCTTCACTTGTCTAATGAAGTCTGCTCCACTCGGCTTCGCTCCTTGGATATTGCTTCTGATTCAGGATTGTACTTGTCGATGGGAAGGTAGTTGGGGGGGTGTAGGTCGAAATGTGGGATTAAGAGAAAAAGAAGATATGCAAGGATATACGAGGGACCAACTAGGAAAGACAGGAACGAATGGGTCCAGCCGTTGAAGGTGGGATACCGATGTCTCTGACTGCACAAGGTTCAAGCAAGTATGGACGTGAAGAGGGAAGAAAAGAGGATCGTTTGGGAAGGAGTGGACATAAAAAAGGCAGAGAGAGATACGGTCCAACGTATGACTGAAAATACAATTTTCACTCCCGAGGAGAGCTGGGGGTGTGGGCGGAAGAGAGGCCTTGGGCGAGAGGGGTGGGTATGTATAGGTGTTCGAAGTAAGGGCGACTCTGTCTTCAGTCTCACCGTTGATTGTCCTCTTTGGGCTATTGTGTAGTGCTGCTTGTACAAACCGGAGCTAGTCATGGCCAACCGACCGAAAGGCAGGTGTCTTCTCCCCCAATACGAGAGGACAAGGCCAACCAGCAGAAGAGAGAGAGAGACCGGAGTGGGAATGAATGGGACCTACGGAACAAACGATCTGATAATAGCCGTCTGCTTCCTGCTGTAGTGCAAACAAGTTGGAGGAGGCGTGTGATATCGAAGGCGATAGGAAAGTGGGGTGTGAGTGTATGAATGTCAATTGCCAGTTGTGATTTGGCAAACGCGGTGGTTGGGTGGGTCCGCTTGGGATTCCTTCCAGGCAAAAAAAATGGGCCCCGGTTTTTTCTCACGCTAATTTCTCGATCGACGGCAAGGAAGGGGGGAGGTAAGCAGCTGTGCAGTTGATCATCGACCAGGGTGGCCTGGGTTTCCCCAGTCAGTATCACACAATTCCATGGTGGTGGCCTGTGTTATGGAGCCCTCCATACGAGCGAGGTGGTTGATTACCCAATGCAGGACTGCCAGATGTAACTCGAGACTCACCAGATGAGATCGAGCACGACGGTGGTCCGTACTCATAGCGTTTCCGCCTATTCGCAGACTGCCGTCGGGAAGGTTGTCAGTTGGCCGAGCCAGTACTTGTCGTGTTGGCTAGGGCTTGTGAGGGTAGGCGGCGCCGCCCGATTATGTCTGTTGGGCAGGCCGTTGGTCTGTATGTCTCCTGTATTGTCGCGTTCGACTCCGATCCGGTTTGATGTTATAGGGATTGTTCGCTGTACCGGCTCCTATTCTTGACTTGGATGGGCCTCGTTTCTGGATCACCCGGACCAGCCTATTCCGGTGGCTTTGCACGGCTCTTAGTATCTCGCTGCGAATAACGCCGATGAGCCGGCCGTTGAGCATGATTTCCCGCAGACGATCATGGAAGCTCACATGTCCGCCACCCCCAGAGGGCTGCAGCAAGCTTCAGGTAGATTGGCTCACGGGAACCAAAGTCAAGCTGCTCGCTTGCATGTCTCACCGGCGTAGTGTAAAAGATGGGGACTCTGGGGCCTGCCATTATTGGTCAGTGAACAGCGTCGCGTGAGCTTTCTATTGGCTGGAAGCTTAAGATTCGGCCTATAACTGGGAATGGGAGGCTATGGAATGTGGAGTCTGGACAACAGTGAGAAGTGCGGAAACTGTGTGAGATGGAAGAGTACGAGCAGGATGAGGTCATGGCGGTTGTCGGCTGTCAATACGGCCAACGCCTTCGTACTCCGTATGTTCTCTGCCCCTTCCGCAATTTCGAGACCCGTCCTTAGTGTCTAAGGCGGATTGCGACTCCACAGGCGTGCACTTGCAAAACTGCAAGGGGTCGGTGTTGGCACATAGTAGATGGGAGGCGTACGGTCCTGGCGAATGGTATTCAGTGTGTGGCTCTGATGTGGCTCTGTATTTGTTTTTGCTATGTTTTGTGGAGGCCATTGTTTCTTTGGTCATCATTCTCTTCCTTTTTAGATTTTTAAATGATCTTTCCATCTCGTTTCTTTTTCTTCGGAGAGGCGAGCAGCTAGAAAGTGGGGTTCCATCATGCCTCTGTTGTATGTGTCCTGATCTTAGTGGTTGGTCTGCTCACTCCCGGGTGTACACACTCCAGGCCTCTACCTCTTGCTTTGGCTGATGTGTATCTAGCCCCGGAAGGAGCCACAATCCAGGCAAGATGAACAACGGTCACGGTGAGAGAAACGGCGGGTGAGAATCGCACGCATGGGCAAAAAGCTAAAGTAATAAAAATAAATAAATAAGGCAAGTACACTTTCGGAGTATCTCTCCCAAACCCACCGCCCCTCCCTTCCCTTGTTAAGGGCCCAGCTTAGGAGGGCCACGGCAGCATGGATCGGGGGAGCTTGGGGCAGTCTAGAGCGCGACCTAGGCACTTATTGGGGGGCATTTGGCGCGCACCTGAAGGGGCTTGGCGGGGACGATGGTGCTATGGCCCGCTAAGGGCGCCACATAAATGGGGCACGGAACGCCCGTCCCCTCTCCCTCGCGTTGCTGCTCACACCCCATCTTTACACAGGGATGGGGAATAGGCAGGATAAAAAACTGAGGGCCGGAAGTCGGAGCTTGGCATACCGAAAGAAAAAAGAAAAGAAGCTGAGTGGACTTGCTCGTACTCCGGCGACAACAAGGGTCTTTTCGCAGTCCACTGCAGCGGCAGATCTGCGCGTCAGCGATGGAGCCCGTCGTGTAATCACAGCAGCAGGTAGTTCGTGAGGCTCATCTTTCGTCCAATTCTTGTGGAGGGGCTGGTGGCGGACAGGGTACATAGGCAAGGGATGCGACAGAGAAGGGGGAAGCAAAGAATAGACAGGAGCTGCTTGCCCAAAGCTGTTTGCTGTTTTTTGATCGGACCTGAATATTCGGTCAGATGCCGATGCAAGGGCGAGGAGAAAGGGTGAGGAATACCGGTAGGGAAGAGGCCGAGAATTGGATCGACGTGGCATGCGACATACTCGGTAATAAACATGAGTGCAAGGGAGTCGGGGGAAATGGAGCAATTGGTACAATGTTCACGATACACACACAGGTGGTAAGAAAGGTGGCAGCATCTTCGGCCGCAGATAGCGACGACAAGAAGCACCACAGTCAGATGGGACGGCATGACGGGAGTTGGTCTTGTGTACGATACAGCGACGAGATGCTCACTGGCAAGCTTCTACGATCCTTCGTTTCCACGTTTTTCCATTCTGGTGTTCTTCCCTTGCGACGTACGTTTCCTACATACATTTCAGGCCGAACGTTAGCGAGGCGACAGATACCTGCTATCTGTAGTGTACCTGTTTGACAAGGATTGGTCTTATGGATTTGACATCATGGTGTTGGGAGGGGGAAACAGGGATGTCGGGTAGCAGAGGCGAGGCCGCGAAGGAGAAGTAGCCTCGCCTTGCATCCCCAAAGCGGATGGGATGGGCCGCAATCTTAGGTACATGCCTATGCACACATTAGATTGCATCGCGTACGTCGTGCGTTCAGTCGAGGCGTGGTCTGACAAGCTGATGGGATATTGGGATCCAAGATAATACGATAAAATCAAGGCGCGTCGCGATGGACGATACATACGTCCGTCGTCTACCATCGCCGAACGTGTATTAGGCGGCTGGCAAATTACCGGTAGCGAGGCTGCACGGGCGCCAGAATGCTGGACGCCGGCGTAAAAGATAACGAGATGGCAGGCGATTGCAGGGGTGGCAGAGACGGCAGACGGCAGACGGCAGATGGCAGAGGAAACAGATACGTAGACAGAACAGCAACCACAAGAGACATGACTATGTAATCTGCAGATGCTGCACAACGGTTAAGTGAGCCCAGTGCAGCGAAGGATGTGCAGGCCGGGCCCAAAGAGGAAGGATGGCTTGCGAAAAAAAGAAAGGAAGTCGCGAAATACGAATGACGAAGCCAGGGCGCGCCAGCCTACTCGACCGGCCTGGAGTGGAGCAGGGCCAGCCAGCCAGCCAGCTGCGTCAGCTCAGCGCAACCCGGCCGCTTAATGCATTTAACAGATGCTACTTCGGCTCTAGGGGGACGCTAGGTGTAACTCGGGATGCAGCCTCCTGCTTAAGCGACATATCGATGAAAAGAATATCGGAGTGTGTATACGTGCAACAGGCCATAACCTGGCAGTGAGATGAGCTCCTGTCGGCATCCACTTTCCGATGGCGAGGCGATGCAGCAGATCGGCCGCGAAAAGGGGGGAAGTGAGTTATTACTAGAAGAAGTAGGTAGCGTAGGACAGCAAACGGGTAACGGGGTATACGAATTGGTGGACGAGAAGCAGCCCTGTCCATCTCCCACAGCTTCCATCGCTAAGCGAGTCCTTACGGCACACAAGAGGCCTCTCGGCGTGTGTGGGGGTGGAAGTGGACAAGAAGGGAGGCACGAGATAAAGGCAGCCTGGCCTAGAAGCATTGCGTACCAACGACCGGGTGAACCAATCCCCCCTCTCCTGTAGGCACTTCTCTGCGTATATTCTGTAGCCAAATATAGCTGCTAGCTATAGCGGAAGATTTAGGGGAAAGACGAGGATGAAGACGGCAGTCAAGCTGACCAGACAACCACATTCGTGTTCGCCTCTCATGACCAATCGTGACCTCGATGCTGGCGGGGGGTCACTTCCAGGAAAAGAATTATTAGAAGCATGATCGGTGAAACCTAGGGTGTGGGAGGTGGTATGATAGAGCGGACTGTCCTGTGGTCGAGGCAAAGACTAGATTGGCCAAGGGCCGGGATACATGCACCAGACTATAGCAGATCATGCATCCACGGCCACCTGGACATGCTGCCTCCTCGTATCTCGGCGTATACACGCGATCGTACACCCAAGAGTCGCCTAGAGCGAGCCACAAGACTCTCGGCCTGATCCGAGAGGCCTGGTCCGATTTGTGTTGCAGTGACTGTTGGTAGGCCGCTATACAACGTAGTCTTCTGTGATCGGCCGCACTTCTCGCCAAAACGGCCACAGTAGAAACAGGAGAAGAGGAAGAAAGTACGAGGTGAATGGGGTATTATTCGCGCCTCTTGTCAGGTATTTTCAGGCGTGTCTTCAGATCTTTGCCACTGTAAACAATCGAGCAGTAAGATACTTGTAACGGTGGAAACGGTCGTTTTCGCACGCCTAAAATCCCCTGTCAAGTAAGGCTGCCAGAGTCGAGCGAGAGTTTGCCACCGTTCAGATCTGGTGAGTGCACCTGTGGCGAGTCCGAATAATATCCCATCCACCTCGTACAGAGAGTGTCGAAATCAAAATTCAAAAAAATGCAGCAAGGGTCCAAGGGTCCACGAGCAAGCAGCTCTTACCAGGAACGGCAACGGGAAACGAATCAGAGGCTACACAGCGTGGCAAGGTTCGAGATCATGCAGTCGGGCGTATGAAAACTGAGGAAGATCTCTCACCTATTCGCCTTTTCGCTCTCGCACACGCCCTTGCCACCTCGTCCTCCTCCTTTCGCTGGTATGAAGCACGACGGACCAGAAATCCGCAGGGTAAGCCCTTGCCCGAGTCCGGCGATATGGAGGCCACCGGACGAACTGTCCACTGAAGCGACACGTAGATGCAGTGTCTTGGCACAAGGACAGAACGAGGACAGAGAACAGCTGAACGGACAGTTAGCTCTGCTAGAAAGGCACTCGCTACGCCGAAAGAGGCCAACGGTTTGTGGCCAACGGTTTGTCTTGGATACTCGATGCTATCCGAATCGGGGTCGCGGAGACTGCTATGCCTTCCGTTCTTTTCGTCCTACAGAGAGGCCATCTGAGATAGCTTAGGTCGTTGCTCTTCCTAGCTGTCTTCGGATGACTCTCAACCCCCTGACGACGGGGACAATAGCTTCGATATCGGTCTCGCAAGCGCTGTGCGTCAGCAGAAACGAGCCAGTACGTTTCAATGTCATGCTGCCTGTGAACTCGCCACGCCTCTGGCATGGCCTGCTGATCGCATTCTCTGGCGCGCCTCTCTATAGTATTTGCAAGCCACGATGAGCTTCCATAGGACAGGCGGTGCACTCTCTCCACTTTTCCCTGCCGTTGCAGCAGAGAGTATAGCTGGACATCAGCATGTCCTGATTACGACGGCCTAGAGGCTGAAACACGCAAAAACGGCAGTCCTGTCGTTTACAACCACGGCATCGTATAGACAGAGCTCATTTTAGGCTCCGACAGGGGTGGCCGGGAGGAGCCTAGCTAACACCTATAGTATAGCGGGTTTAGGGCATTGCGCCATAGAAGCAGAGATTAGCCCGGCCCTGCGACGATGCTATTGGCCGGACGAGACGGGCTAGCCGGCGTGAGAAAGTGTCGGCACCGATGGAAATGAGCAGAGTCGTCGGCTGTTCAAACGGCACGCTGCATGCACCAGGACAGAAGACGGAGCCTGTGATTGCAGCGCACGCGGTTGGAAACGTGCCACGAAGGGCTGCCCCCTTGAAACGGCGTGTGTGTGCAGCCACTGTATTTTACTATGCAACATATATTGCATAGGGCCTTGCCCTTCGCGTCGAAGAAGCCTGCAGATAGCTGCTGGCTGACAGCATCGGTGCACGAATCTCCCCTCGATCCTGCAGCAGGGTGTGCACCCTGTGTGATGGCCTTGAGCCTTACGTCCGTAATTGCAAGGGGGGAAGGAGAATGTTGGAGAAGCATGGATGTGGTGCAACGGCAGCCTCAGCATGCCATGCGTGCGAGTGATACTCTGGCTCCGCGAGGCGTCGCACCAGCCAGTGGCTATACCCGCCGAGGCGTTGCTGGCTGATGGGAGTCAGTCCCCTTCATTCCGGAGGCTCTGTCCGGCCGGATTGCAGGCGGCTCTCGCAATGTTTCCTGTCTCAGCGCGAGGTTGAGGTCACAAGGTCGCGAGAAGGCCATCACTCACGTGGAAGTGCAGAGACAGCGATAAGAGAGACGCAGACAGGCTGAAACCGGTTCAGATAGCAGCCCAGAGAGAGACGTCCAGAGAAACAGGCAGGCCGGCCACATCGCCATCGGGATCCTCATCCGGCACAGCTATGTACGACGTACACAGGGAACTCCTATATTTCCTGGGCCCATGATACAATGCTGCGCGCTGCTCGTCTCCGCTCACGAACAACTACGCGAGGGTGTGGGACTATCCCGTGTGCTGGTCTCTTCGGCCCACAACACATCGCGAGCTCTTCCTGCCGAGCAGTGGGGGGAAGTTGATCTCTTGCACACCGACTTGGAAGCGTGCCGTCAGAGAAGGCCACGACAGAGGAGGGGCTCGATTTTGTTTGCCTCGCTTCGTGTGATGCATCGGCGCTATATTCGTTGCTCATCCAGCAAGCAGGTAAGCGGCATGATCGTTCGTAGTTGATCCTATCATGGTCACCGCACCACAGCTGGGAGAAACGAGCCCAATGATCGACGACAGGGGGGGGGTGCGTTGAATGCCGCAAGCAAGCTGGAGCCCAGGTGCAGGTGAGACGCGACTGTTTGTTTCTGCGCTAGCTCCCCAACAGCTACACAGTAAACCGCCAGAGGGAGCAGGAAGAAGAAAGCAAGTCGCGGTGGGCAACCGCACTGGCCAGCCGGACCACAGGGTAAATGTGCGAGCTTCTCCCTGCAGCAGCCTAGGAACAGAGCAGACCCATCTGTCTCATATGATGATACGAAGGCCAGGTGTACTTCGTACTACATGCGACGTATGTCGGCTCTATATCATATCGCAAACGGGTCAGTTGCGGCCAGTCGCACCCACTCAAACTCTAGCCGCTCACTGTGGAGGCACGGCACCGAGAATGTCTTGCTTGCCCCCTCTTCTGATTGCGTGCATGACTCGGGAGTGGCGAGAAGACTTTGCCCGAGGCGATCACCAGCTTCGACCTCTAGCCGTGTATAATCGCCGCCCTGCAAGCCATACGAGCCTAATTTCCTCTTCTGGTGGCAACACTGCACCAAAGAGGCAAGTCTGTGTGTTGGTGGGTCAAAAGAAAAACATGTAGAACGTGTCTTGCGTTGTAAGCTGTATCTATGTGTGCTGTCCACATTCCAGTCGGCTTCCATCCGAGGCCAACGGCCAGCAATTGGACCCATCCAAGGACGGCTTCTCGTTTCTCTGAACGTTGCATGCTTCCGCTCTATAGTCCGCCGATTGTCGTCCCGCTTTGGCCCTCGTGTTGAGATGTCGTAGGTTCCCTCGGCCTCGCGCGTAGAATCCCCCTACTTCAGTCCTTCTAGCAGCCCCTCAAGCGTAGACCATCCAGAACTGCCCTCCCACTGGTCCTTTCCCTTGCTCATGACGCTTCGTAGGGCACTCCGTGCCTTGATCTTCCACCGACTGCCGACTGTCGGTACATCTGGGCCGTAGTTCTCCAGAATCGACACCAGTTCGTCTGTCCGAGCCACGACACTGTCCCAGGCCTCTGCGTTCTCGAGCCAGTTCCTGGCCTCATCGCTGCTGCTGCCACCACCGCCTCCTGTGCGTACAGCTGCTGCTCCCAGACTGCTGCCGACGCTGACTCCTCCCGTTGCTGCCCGCCAGCCCTTCTCGGCCGCATCGATGGCTCCGGCTAGGTCGCCTCGCCACACCCTCTCGCGTGTCACCAGCTCCCACAGCTCGCTGCGTGTCGTGATCAGAGGCACAATCTCGATCTCCACCAGTTCGCATACGGCCTTCTCCATCGTCCCCCGTCCAGGCACGCCGCCCGCTGGCTTTGGCTTCGGCAGCACCGCTTCGTGTAGCAGAAGCCGCACCACATCTGCATCCACTGCCTCCTCCGTTGCCCGGATCGATAGTATGTTCCGCACTGCGATCACAATGTCGCCCACTGCTGGCGGCCGCACCCGCGATGCCAGCGTCACTACATTGTCCCAGATCCGCCAGTTTTCACGCGCGATCGCCGCTCCTCTCTTGTATGCCGAAAGCGCCTGCAGCAAGAAGATGGCCGGATCTCTCTTGCCCTTTGCCGCTTCTCCGTTGCCCGTGTCCTCCTCTTCGTCGTCTCGCTTTGCTTCCGGCTGCTCCTTGATTCCTTCCGTATACAAGCTGTACAGAGCACTGCCCAGATTGCTCCACGTCCTCGCATCCTCGCCGCCGACAGCCTCTCCTGCAGCTGCAATCGCCCGGTTAAACGCCTCTGCTGCTTCCGAGAACACGCCCATCCGGAGATGGATGTCGCCCAGACGGCTCCACATCTGCGGGTTCAGCCGGTTGACAGACACCGCATCTTTGTACGCATCTCGTGCCCTCTCCCAGTCATGCTGCTGCAGGTAGTGCTCGCCCAGCGACCTCTTGGCCCGCGAGTAGTGATGCTTCGACAACTCCCACCCCCGTTCGTAGTGTTTTGGCTCCGCCTCGATGTCGCCCAGGATGCAGAACAGCCGCGGTGCGTTGGCCGGTGCCGGGTCGCGCTCTGGTCCGTAGAAGTCTGTTGCCCGTAGGGCTAGAACATCAACATCCTTGCCGTCTTCTCCCCCGGCCGGCTCTCGGGCTGCATCAGACGCCTTGAACAGCTGCCACCGAATCAGCGCCCTCGCTTTCTCCTCGCCCCCGGAGCCCCTGCCGCCCTCGTCGTCAAAGGCACTGTTGCTCGCCAGACAGAGCGCAACCTCGGCCCATAGCCGCAGCCGTTTGAAGATCTCGAGTGCAGACACCAGAGAGCCCACGCCAGCCCAAGAAAACGCCAGCTCAGACTCGAGATGCCATCGTGGTGGCGTGGACAGCATGCTGATGTACCGTAACCGTTCCTGTGGGGGAGCCTGCTCAGACTGCTTCGCTGCCGGGAAGAAGCTCGTCGGCTTGTTGCTGTGTGTATCTCCAGCTGGTGTGCTGATTTCGATGGCAGGAATAGTCACGGTACTGTCGTCGTTCGTCGTCTCGGCTTCGGCGCTCGTGTCAACAACCACCTGGTCGACCACCGCCTGCATCTGGAGCACACCTCGTTCGACCGTTCGGCTGCGGTGCATCTCGATGCGAGACCGCACAATGAGGGCCTGCGAGTAGATCTGCCAGTTTGTAGCCTTGTCCAGAAGTACTCGAGTTGCATACGGCAGGATTTCCTCCAGCGTAAGAGAGTCTGCTGGAGAAAAGGCATCCTTCAGAGTGGCGGCTGAAAGCAGGATGATCTGGTCGAGAGGCGACAGTGGCGGCTGGTTGTCGGGGAACAGATCGCGCAGGGAACCCGGGATGTCAGCTGCTGCCTCTCCATTGCTAACTTTAGCCCCAGAGAAGTCAATGGTCTCTAGGAGAGTGTCGTTGTTGAGCTGCAGCGCCTGCGGAACTGATTTGGTGTCCTCTGTGTCATTGACTGCTTTTGCACCCCTCGCTCGTTTGCACTCGATTCACAGCTCCGTGCAAGAATGACCAGCTGGCTGGTACTTTCGTTTTGAAACCGTGTCCGCTTTCCCAACGCTCCGGTCAGGACATATTCAAAACGGTGCCGTTTCGCCGCCGCATCCAACGCTTCCTGCGCCTGTGCATCCAGCCCTATCATGGCGTATACGTTCATCTTCTCCAGCAGAAACTGCACCTGGGACTTCCTGCTCCAGGTAGCGTTGTCGCCTGCCTGTTCGTCTCCGTCCAGAACCTCTTTTTCGACCGCATCCAAACACTCCAGAATCTGCTCCTGCAGGCTCGGCAGCTCACTCCACTGTGTCATCTTGTTGAACACGGACCCCGGTCCCTGGTTCGGCTCGGTGAGTAGCTTGTAGTGCCACGTATGAATGCGCAGCCTCATCCACGCCAAGCTTTGTCCTGCCGGATCAGAATCGATATCCTGTCTTGGCCCGCTTAGGGTGGAGGCGTTATCGTCCGACATGTGTGCAACGAATACCCATCTGGCCAGACAGAAAAGCTCAATATGTTGTATGTATTGGTACACGGAGATGCCGTCCACATCTAGAGAGGACAGACATGATCGTCGCAGAGACGTCGCTGCTCCATCCACCGTGCCGTTGGTGCTATCTTGCAGCGCACCCAACAGCTTCTCGACCTTCTGCGCAGATTCGAGCACGGGGCCCGTGACATTTGACTGCAAGAATGCATTCAGAGCAGCAATACCGACGTACAAAGCTGCTGAGCCAGCGTCTAGGTTGTGCTTTTTCGGTGCCTCGCCCTTCCCAACAGAGTTCAGCTGCGAATTGACAAAATCCTGAAGTAGAGCCCTTGCGTCCTCGTGAACAAGGACTTCGGCGTACCGGCCGTTCGAGACGAGCGCTTCAAGCTCCATCTGTGCAGAGCGCTCGTTATTTTCTGTGAGCAATTTCGTATGCTCCTCTTCCCTTTCAAACGTCCTGTTCTCTGATGCGAAATCTTTTTTTTTGGTAGATGTCGGCGATTAGATAAGGCAATAGAACCCCTCCATAGCTTTAAAAAGAAATTTCGTCGCAGTAGTTGCCAGCGCAATGATGAGCAAGCGTCACTGTTAGCTCAGAAAGAACGGCCGTCTTACATATATTTTCGTAGCTTTATGATACATAGCAACAGTGGATTGTGACAGAAAATAGCAGCTATGTCTTACAGCACCCTGCTCATGCTTGGAGATGTGCCAACATCTCTATTTCTTGCCCTTCTTCCGGCTTGGGACTACCTTAAAGCCAGCTGGCATGCTTTCCTCCTTTTGGTGGCTGCTGCTGCTGCTGCTTCCCTTCTTCGCCACCTCGTTCCAGCCACCGCTGCTCTTGCTGTCGCCAGATGTCAACGGCACCGCCTGCTTTTCCACCACGCCCTTCTCGGCAAGCTTCTTCCGACGGATAAACTCCTCTGCAAAATGGCGCCCATCCATCGTCTTCGAGCTGGCATACACGGCCTCGGAAATAATGGTCAGGTCCAGGGGCAGCTGCAGGAGACTATCCACAAAGCCATCGACTGTGCACCGGGTTAGCTATCCGCACGGATACGGAACAGGAAGCTCCTACTTACGGTCAATCCCGCTCGTGATTCCGCGGCCCAGCTCGCGATGTAGCCACTTGTTGAACTCCTCCATAGCCACGCCACCGATGTCCAGCTTCGCTGTCGCTGCGCCAGACACCTGCTTGGAGGCGGCTCGGGGCATTGGTGGTAATGTGGGAGCAGTTTTCACAGCCGGAGACGACGTGCTTGCTGAGCGGCTAACCGAGGGCCCAGAGGGCGTCTTCACCTTGCCACCTGCACCGACTGTCGCCCAACCGCTGCCGACAGGGGCAGCAGGAACAGGCGAGGCACTGGCAGAAGTCTGGCTGGTTGGCGTCGAGGCCTGGACTTTACTGGCAAGGTCGGCATAGCGCTTGCCTGTTCCGCTGTGTGCTGGGGACGCGGGGGATAGAGATGCGAGCTCCTTGCTCTTCTGCTTGCGCGCCTCTTCTTCGCGCTGGATGTCTGCCAAGGTCTTCTTCTTTTCGGCCGCGCTGTGCGTGGAGCTTCCGCTGGCCACGCCATGTACAGTAGGCTTGCTGGCTGCGCCGGGTTTCGACCACGGGCTGCTGGACCCCGCAACAGTCGGCGAGCTGGCCGCCCAGGTCGATGAGGTCGGCAGTCCAGGTGCGACTGTGGCCGCGGCCTTCTCGCGTTCGCGCAAAAGAGCGGCCTCCTGTTCGGCCATAGCCTTGCGGGCAGCCAGAGCAACCTCCTCGGCCTTGGCGGCCTTCTTCGCCTCGACTTCTTGAATTTCCTTCAGGCTCGGGCCCTTGTGGCTCTCAGACACGTGGTCACGGGCCCATGGCGCCAGAGGTGGCGGCTGGACGGTTGAGCTCTCCGGCGTCTCTGACTGGGAACGGCTGGTAGCATACTGGTCAGGCAGTGTAGAGCGCGACCGCTGCGCCGTGGGCGCCGCAATCGGCGTTCCAGCCTGGCCCTGTGGCGGGGGAAAAGGCATCGGCAGGTCGAGATGTGGTTCCGCCGGCTGGACGATCTCGTCCACCTCTTCCTGTTCGGCAAGACGTTTGGCAGCCTGGGCCTTCTGCACTTGCTGCGTCAGGGAGAGGCCAGCCATTATCGACGCGGCCGACTCGGCTGACGAGGCGGCTTTTCTTGAGTGTTCCAGTGGTGCATCATCCACAGCTGCGGCTGTCGGTGCTTGCTGGGGGTCATGGTGTGCCACGGCCTCCCGCGCGATGTCGATCGCATCAGACGACGGGGCACCCGGACCAGTCAAGCCGTCTTCCGCATCAATGTTCTCGCGGAGCTTCTGGAACTCTTTCAGGCGTTCGCTAAACCCTTGCGGGTCCTTTTTCAGCTGGTCCATGGTCGGCAGGTTGCTGCGGGTTGTCATCTCATTCGTGATCGAAGTCGATTGTTGGGTTGCAAAGGGTCCTGGCACTGCTCCTGTCGGCTGCAGGCCAGACAGCATCTGCCGGTCTTGTGCGCCGATGTCGTCCCGAAGAAGGTCCGAGCCGGACGAGACGCCAGGCAGGCTAGTCGGTGGAAGCATGCCTGGATGGTCGAAAAAGACCTGTCCACCGCTCAATCCACCTGGGATGGCAGGCGGGCCGGCACCAATCGGAGCGGTCATGCTGCCAAAGCTAGGTTGGCTCTGCAGGCTGTGGACACTAGAGTGGTGGTGGAGAGCGCTGGTCGCAGATGTGGGAGGCACACGGCCGCCAGGGAAGGGGTGGTGCTGCACAGACAGCATCTCCCGCTGGCGTGCCAGCATGTACTGCTCCTCCTGCTTCCGCCGCTCCAAATTGTTCTGCTCCTCGGCAGTCAGGGTTCTCCCGTAGCTCGGGAACGCACCCACCAGAGGAGGAATAACGGTACCGCGGTCGCCATGAGCAAATGTGCCGCTCAGGGACGGCTGTCCGTGAGCGACACCCATCTGAGGAACAAGAAACGGTTCACGGGAGTTACCAATTCGCCGGATAAGCTGGCCCAGAGGCTCGAACTCGGTGTCCTCGACCTTTTTGACCCGAAGGTCAGCCGTGAAGAAGTTGGCCTTGTACCAATCGTTCATCTCCAGACCCGTGAAGGGGCCCTGTGTCTGGCCTTGGGGGTCGAGGTACACCCAACGCATCCGGTCAGGCATGACCATGATCCGAGGTTGATTCAAGGGGGTGTCGGAGCTTGGACGCCCCGACATCGAATCGTACACCTGCGACTGCAGCATAGGCGATGACGTCGAGGCGAGCATCTGTCCTCCTTGCTCGCCGCTCGCAAAAACACTGCCTCCAGCCCGAGTCGGGTCCATGAGATCGTCGAAAAAGCCGCCACGGCCTGGCCTGGCCGATGCCATATCAGCATCTCGCCCTTGTATTCCAATGGCCTCCCGGCCAATTGCTCCGAGTGGGTTTGTTTGGCGAAGATCAGGGACAGAATCATTCAGGCTCCCATCCTGATCCTGGCTACCAACCATCTGAGCCTGCATGCTTGGCGGGAACAGCGATCCCAGCTTGCTTGTACCACGCAGGGACCCAGTTGCACCGATTCCACCCCCTCCAGTAGGAGGCCCAAACACACCAGGGACGCCGCCGCCGAAGCCAGGCGACTGAAGCTCGCCCGTGACCGGACTGAACAATGAGCTTCCGAATGCGCTAGAAAAAACGGTACGCTCCCGGTCCGGGGTGCTCGTGTTCAAGGCGTTGCCCCAGCCAGCAATGCTGCCGAGCCCGGTAAACCCCTTCGCACCCACACTCGAAGTCTGGCTGCGATCGCTGCCGTCAAAGGCGTTGCCGGGATATCCACGAATGGAGCCAAAATTGGACGAGTGGTCATGCACGCCGCCGCCAATCGCGCCCATGCCCTTCTCGAGCCCGCTCGACATAGCCGCTGTCTGGTAGTGATCGTTATCACCACGTTCGGCAGGCGGGCTGCGGAACGGATTCGTCTCCGGACTTGCCGCGCCATCGTTGTCCATCGACGAGCCCATATTCAGTCCCGACACGCCAATGTCGCCACCTGTGCTCTTCATCGGGGTGCCGAAGGACTGGTACGTCTGCGAGTCCGCATTTGCGTTCTGCTGGCTGCTGTCCAAAGAAGCGCCGCCCGCCGGGGCAGTGTCCTCGCCAAACGGATCGGTGTCAGTTCTCGGGCGCAGCCGCCAAGATTCCTTGGCATTCGCGCTGCCAGCTGCGCTGCTGCTTGGCTTCGCCCCGGGGCCACCGGTCTCGGAGGTATCCTGCTTGGGAAGCAGATGAGCAAGCCGGCTCTCGCCGCGCGTGCTGCCAAAACGCTTGTCGCCAACGGTAGGCAGCGCAAAACTGCCAAAAGCACCAACAGCGGCGGTAGAAGCAGCAGCCGTTGTCGAAGTGCCCCACATCGAAGACGTTCCACCAACCGTATTGCTTCGTCCACCGGTGCCTAAGCCCGAGGCCTTAGCCGCCGAGGGGCTGGTATCCTCTTCGGGCTCTTCAAATTGTTGTGGTTCTTTTTGATCGGTTCCTTTTCGTCCGAACCACGAGGAATCGTCGCGGGGCGCTCGATTGGTCAGTGGAGAAATCAGGCCCGCACCACTCGGGAATGGATTCGTGTCGGACGTCTCCCTTCGCCGTGCGGTCGGGCGGGAAGCAGACAGAGGGGATGACACGTTGAAGCCGCTTCCGTTCCCGTGGGACACGGAGGTAGAGGTCTTTCTTCCGTTGACGCCGCCAGGTCCTTGACCGCCATCTTTCTGCGGCTGTGGCTTCAGGGTCGAATTGATATCAGCAAACATCTGCCGAAGTCAGCCATGAGCGTACATGTAGAGACACGGAACTCAACACGGGCATTGGCGCGCGTGGAGGCTTGTTACGGCACGTACCTCGCTGTCCTCTGCAGACATATCTTGAAGACCGATCGGCTTAATACTGCCGGCAGCATCCCAACAGACAGTAGGATCCTGGGGTACAGTGCCATCTAAGCTCTTACCCCAACCTCTGGCCGTCCCGTTGACCTGTGTCGGGTTCCACCCGCTGACGAATAAATTTGACGCGTCAGCGGACTCGTTTCCGTTGGCCTGGAACAGGTCCAGCAAATGATCGCGCGAATAGCGGAGTGATCGGTCAGTCGGGTGGGAGGGGCTTTGCGCCGGCAAGGTCTCGGTCACGAGCGGTGGGAGGGCAGATGACACATCGGAGGCTGTCTGTGGTGCCTGGTTTGAAGGAGTGGTGATAGGGCGGCGAAATGTCAAGGTCCCATTTGTGGAGCGGCCCTCTCGTCGCGACCTGCGAATGCATGACAAGTCAGCAGGAGTCTCCAACGCTGTGATTCGTCTCGTTGAAGGAGGCGGGCAGAGCGGTGATCAAGGGAGAGAGGCCATACCAGTCACCAGTACCATCGCCAGACCGTGACCCTCGAGACTGGCCTGCTGCGGCAGACGCGAAGCTGGTGGGTGTCAAATTGGAAGACATGATTTATATGTGTTTCTCGGCACAGTGCGTGCTGCTGGTATGGATATACGGCTGGTGGGCTGGCTGGTTGCAACACAAGGCTGGCTGCACCGCTGGGACGTGGGCGTGGAAGAGAGCGTAAGGACTCGGTGTGGGCTAGGGCTCGGAAAGTTCGTTGGGCTCCTGGTCGATTTTCGTCTTCGAATGACTGGCGACGCACAATCCGACACGCGATTACAACAAGATGCGAGGAGCAAAATAGACCGAGGGGTGGGCGCAGATGGTTCGGGAAAGAACGCGAGCGGAGCAGGCTGTTGTGTTCGAGGCGGCAGAAACGCTTTTTGGAGGCACGGATGATTGTTGATGGCTGACGTCGGCAGCTGAAATCTGGTTTGTATCTTTGTTTGTGGTTGAAGAAAAGAGGGAGGAAGCTTCGGCTGCTTGAATTTTTCCTTCTCGACCGCTTTAGCGCGGAGCTTCCCCATCCCACATATTCATAACTTTAAGGGCCCATGTGCCTGGCACATGACTAGTCCCGTGACCGTAACTATGGGCGTTAGCCAGCGCGCATTTGCCCGCTGTGCAGTGCAACGGTTGCAAGGCTGCCAATTGAATGAATTCTTGCGCCTCCTCGCGTATTCTCGTGTTTATCTTGATCTCGTCCCATTGATTATTCTCAATAAATGTTCTGCCCACCCATCTCAGGGCACTATATACGAATTAATTATCTCTGATGCAAACAAATAAACAAACATAAATCTGCTCTCTCAAACAAGAAAAAGCTTGCGCTCCAACCGACTAATTCATGCGAGATCACATAACTTGCACATTATTTGTGGTTGTCATCATCCAAGACTTCACTTTTTTATATAATCCGTCTCATTCCTGCCAACCCCTATATTGACAACTAAGTCGCCAGCTCATCATGGCTTCACCAAAAGTTGAAGACCAGGACGTGCCCGCCGTCGGCCCATCCCTGAATGCCACGGAAAGTCTGAGTCTCAAGCAGCGAGAGCAAGAGGTTCTCATGGCCGCATGGCTCTCTATCAAGGGAGCTGAACCACAAGTGTGTCGCCTCCAATCGCAGCTCTGCTCGGCTTATGTACATTCGAAAACTAACAATGTCATCTCACCACAGGTGGACTATGATAGTATGGCCAACATTCTGGGACTCAAAAACGGCCATACAGCTAGCACTGTGTTCTACAATCTGAAGAAAAAGATGAAGCAGTTCCGCAGCCAGGCGGGTGGGGCTGGCGAGTTGCCGGCATCCCCCATACACAAAAAACCCTCTACGCCCCGCAAGCGTGCGTCTGGGAATGCAAACACTCCCAAGTCGGGCAGATCTGCCAAGCGAGTCAAATTTGAGGCTTCTACTCCACAAACTCCGGATCTGGCTGAGGGCGAAATCTAAGTGTGCAGAGTTGGTAGAGGATCACTGGACTTCTGTATGGCCACAATGGTTGAATTATCCCAAAGTGGCATGTTCGAACCAAAACAAACTTAGTAGTTGTTATTAGCATCCTCGTTGGTATCTAAAGAAGAAGAAAAACCCCGACTTCCGCTCCCTGGTTTGAAAGTTGTCTCAATTGTTATCTTCCATCTCACGAAGCTATTTGGGGGCTTATCGAGCTCGAATTTCCGACTCCAAGTGACACGAAAGTGAATGCAATCTCACAGCTGTCTGATTTCTGGCCCCAGGCTCTAACCCAATATTCACTTGAAAATTCCGTATTACGCCGAGGACAGAGCGCCCGGTTTTCGTCTCGGCATTTCTTGCTCTGCCATCCTGACCAAGAAGACAACTCAACCTTTTCCCCTAACTGTACACCAGTCACGACATAGAAACTACAAGACAATACCTTCAATACAGAATTCGATCCTTCAAGATGGAAGGCTCGTCGTCTATCAAGCCATTGGCAGAAGTCAATCTCACAGAAAGAGAACTGCGTCATCTTGCAGCGGCTTGGCTGTCGTGCTCGACCAAAGACAATGCTAGTATTCCCTCTTTCGCTTCCCACGCTCAGCCATCTCTGGTCCCCTTATCGCACTCTAGGCTAAAAAATAGCACTAGATCGACTTTGATATGTTCACAATCCTGACTGGGCACCCCAACTCGGCCAACGCTCGCAAGCGTTTTGGAGAAATCAAAAAGAGAGTACGGGAGCAGGTTTTCAGCGAGGGTGATGGGATCCCAATCTCTGTCCCATCCACGCCTCGCAAGAGGAAGACCAAAGCAAATGACGACTCCACCTCACCGACGAAGAAAACCAAGGCTGGAAAAAAGAAGGCCGAGGACCCGGGGGAGTTGGGTGATTCTGTGAAGACCGAACCTAGCGACGCTTGAAGGAGACGGGACAGAAAAGCGCACGATGGCGTTCTGTTGTTAACGACATATATATCGTGTGCACTTAGGACTCAAGCAGCGGGCAGGAAGAATTAGCACCAGACACGGCGAGAGCAAAGGTCATGTAAAGAATCTGTATTCAAGATGCGCAATTTTATCGGCGCTATATCTCTCAAATTAAAGCTCTATCTTTACTCTTCACTTCTCTTGCTAGCTCTTAACTCTCAGCATATTACAGCATCACCCCGTCTGCTCTGCAGCCGCTGGTCCTGTTCTCAACTCCCTTGGCGAATATTCATTTTAGTTATCAAAACGACATCCTTTTCTGCTTACCCTTTGAAACTTTACGCCGCATGCACTCTATTCTCGGTTTGCGTGTAACGTTGGATAGGGCAGCGCTCGGCGGCTTTCTCACCTAGTCAACGTCACTTACTTTCTTTGTTTACCCGATTGTCTCTCAACTCTCACTTCACTTCTTGCAATCATTTCTCCGGAAAGTCTCCGCTGCAATCAGAAAAGAGTCGGGACTCCCATCAGAATTTGGCACAGCACTGCCATATAGAGATTTACATACTCGGCAAAATGTCGTCAAGACTGCAGTCCATCCCTGTTCTGAAGGCAGGACTTACGGAGCGCGAGCTTCTGTCCGTTGTCGCAGCATACATGTCTCTCAGAGAGGGAGAAGGCGCGGTAAGTTGCCACATACTTGCCTACTGTCGCTCGAGAAGCCAAACTGATTTGGGGTAAAAGATCGACTGGGAGAAATTTATCCAGCTGGCCGGATATTCGAGCGTCCAGTCGGCTCGCATCTGCTTCCGCCCTGTGCAAAAGAAACTCAGGGCATTTGCTGAGAGTGGAAGCGGCCTTGCAGGCCGTGCCGATGATCCTACTGACGGAGATGACGGCGGCGGAGGCACTGCCTCGCCGTTTGGGACACCCAAAACACCGAAGATGAACAAGACTCTGAAGACGCCCAAGATGCCCGGCAGCAAGCCCAGGGGCCGACCCAAGAAGAGAAAGGCGGAGGACGATGAAGTAGACCCTGCAGGTACCTTTGATTTCGCTGGGACCATGATGGGGCGCCCGGTAGATATGCAAAACAGCGAGGTCAAAGTGGAAATGGGAACGAATGTGGCAGCCAAGATGGAACCGTCAGCATACATTGATGAGAATCTCGGAGCTTCTGCTGGTGTTCAAGGCGACCATCGCGCAGGCGACGAAATATATTATGGGCTCGAGACGGGCTTTGAGACGTGTTTGGGGCAGGAGGATGTGGTGGCCTTCAGAACGGACCCTTATGAGGAGCTAGACGTTGTGTCGTTGTTGGATGGCAACTAAGACGTTGTTCGGATTGGGTCGCTCCGAGTTTGTCGCAGTTGGCATCAGCCTAGAAAGAGGTTTCTATCAAGCATAGAATCAGGTAACGAGGTCAGCCACAGAGGGCCCATTGTTGGTTGTCTGGACCCGCCCAATATATGACATGAAAAAGCAAATATGCTGATGTCTCTGCATCTTCCTGTTTACCATGGCTAAAACGCGGTTTTCTCGCTACTAACTCCCGAATCGTGCATCTATCAGCCGCTTCTCGTGAAACGCCGTTGCTGCTCTCTTGCCAATCTGTCTGAAAGGAGAAGGTGCTGTCCACTCTTAGCCCAATTTAATTTCGCGCTTCCCCTTTTTTATGTATGTGTTTACTTATTTTCATTATCTCTCGTTCCTTATTTCTCTACCTCTACTTTGCTCCACGTTTCTCCATTCTGACAGCTTCGTGCCGACCCATGGCATTGTCTTATACCAATAAATATCTTGCTTCTAGCAGCAACTTTCCAAATACGGTCTCGAGTTGCATAGTTTAATTGCGTTCCATTTTCAGCTGGAACGTCAATATTGAAACGCGCACGCCTGTCTTACCTGAGCGTGTATTGACATGTATTTTACCATATAAATATGGCGGTTCTCGTCTTCTGCGAGAACAACAGATTGCACCTTAGTCTTGCTGATTTGTCTCCTTTTTCAGACGTCTTTCCAAGCTTCCATTACAAGGCTGTGCTCGTTCCCCACTCTCAGCTACATTGTCTGTATCCTTTGTGAAGTCGGTCAAGTCAGCCCTGGGCCTTCTCTTGGCCAGTGCAGCTATTGCCTCGGCCGACTGTGAGCCAAGCTCGGTTAAGTTCTGCCAAGGCACCGCACAAACCCAGAATCTGTCCTCGACATATGTCTGCGGAGACTACCGTCTTGGTCCTGTCCAGCTTCCAAGCCACCCTCCATCCGACTCTCTTCTTGAGGTCTACGATCGCTTTGGCGGCTTGTGTCCCGGCCAGTTTCTGGCCACGTATTACGACTCGACTGCCAAGAGCTGGAAGTATCCCGACTTCGAGGGTTTCCAGCTGGACACGGCTGGCGAGACAATCTCAGCTGAAATGACATTGCAGGTCGGCTTGCTGATCGATCGTTCTGGGTCCGAGTACGGCAGCTACGCAAGTCCTGCATCCGCGCCTTACATGCAGAGGGCTCTGCCTCCTAGCAACCTTGATACACCGGCGAGCAACCCTGTGTAAGTGACGACGCCCTTGTGCTTGCACTCTGGATGCTGTCCTATGATGTGCATGTGCAAATATTTCCTATCCGACTAACCCGCCCCGAAGTTTCCCGTACAACTACCACGTATACCGCGTCATACAGTCCTTCGAGGTGGAGGCAGGGCCCATCGCTCCATGGTTCGGACAACCTGGCCAGGGTGTGCAGTACAAGTTAAATGGGACCATTCTCTCACTGATCAACGACGGCTTTGTGGAGAGGGTAAACATTACCTTGGGTTAAGCTGAGAAATGATGTCAAATAGAAACGGCTGAGATGTGAATTGGCGTTGGGCTGAAAGACGTGATCACCTCCTAGAGGGCAGTTGGTACACCAGTCAAGTGTCTATAATTTTTGATAAAATCGAACGCCTCCTATCGCAGAAACATATAGTATTCCAAATATACCTTTACAGAGGTAATGCCCGGCTGCTTGTTAGAGAAACACGCCAATCCATGCAGAACAGATTCAGGTCACGCACAAAGCGCTTTTTTCGATGGGGTACACACCGATGGTATATATAGATACGAACAGCAGAGGCCTACCGGGCCGAGCCTTCACGAACTCCCAACTCGCTTCCCTCCTCGACTTCCGTCATTTTCAGGGCCAGATCCACATCGTCGACAAAATGGCCATCTCCACCGACAAGAGCAGTGATCCCGGACAGGTCCATGAGCTGCATAACCTTATGGCCCCGAGGAGGGCCGCGGCTAAAGAAGACCCGAACACCACGTTCACGGTAGCTTCGGACGATCTCCTCGAGTACCTGTATGCCTGAGCCGTCCATGCTGCTGACTCCGTGAATGTCGAAGATAACATTCTTGTTGAGCTCCTCCCCTCTGAGTCGTGGCAAGGCGGGATGGGCCCTGCTGGTGCCGTACAGCTCTAGCCGACGCAACCTCGTCTTCAGCTCTCCGGTGTTGGCAAAGGTCAAAGGCTCTGGGATTTTGACAATCAGACAGCCCTCGATAAATTCCAGACGCTCCGGGTGATCCTCAGCGTTCTCGAACCTGTTCGTGCCTGGAATGCGCCCAAGGATCTGGATGCGAGGTCTCGTGGCGTGTCGGATCACCTGCAACAGAGACAGGCCGATGCCAATGGCAATGCCCAAATTAAGCGAGTAAAAGATGGTGGCAAGGACAATGACCAGCATGAGGCCCAGTTCGGGCCAGGCGTGGATGCGAATGAAGAACGATATGTCGGAAGGGGCCTCTTCGATCAGAGACCAAGCCACCACGCTGATCATGGAGCAAAGCACCGGTTTCTCACAAAGTTAGCTTTCCAGATACAACTGCTTCAGCGCCCAAGATGAGTGGGCTACTTACAGGAAGGTAGTAAAAGTATGGGAGGAGGAACAAGATGGATATCAGGGTGATCAGGCTCAGAAAGACAGAGCTCATGGGGCTCTTCCCGCCGGTGGACTTGTTCACCTTGCTCCTCCCATAGCCGCCAAAGGCCGGAAGCGACATGAAACAGCCGCCAATGAAGTTGGCAACGCCTAGGGCGACGAGCTCCCGGTTGGCACTGAGCTGGACGCCTGGGAAGGTCTCCTGTCCGCCAAGGCTCTTTGCAGCGACGGACGACTCGAAGAAGCCGAGGAGGGCAATGAGGAACGAGGTGCTCATGGCGTCTCGGATGTGGAGCATGTGGGACGACCGGAAAGGCCAACGGAAGGCGAAGATGTGGCCAGAGGCGGCCTTGACGGTGCCCAGGACCTCCACGCCCTGGTTCTCCCAGTCGAGACGCCAGGCCAGGTACGCCGACAGGATGACCACGACCAGCCGGTCAGGCACGTAGGCCACACTCGGGTAGCGAGGCTGCAGCCGGCGCTTGATCTCCCTGCAGACCATGATGACGGTAAAGCTGACGGCGGCAATGACCAGCGTGAGTGTATGGGCCTTGTCGATGTTGTTGCCCAGAAAGCGGAGCTTGTCGACGGTGCTTCCATGCATGACGCCAGGTGTCTCGCCGGCCAGTTTGGAGAGGCCGAGCTCGGGCACGAGCTGATCGACAAAGATGACGAAGCCGATGGCTGAGATGAAGCCACGGAGAAAAGGACGCGACAGGACGCTGTCGAGAAAGCCGAGTCGGGCGAGGCCGGCCAGCAGAACGGTAGCGCCGGCGATACCTGCAATAACACCGCAGATCTTGGCATGCAGAAGATCGTCGTCCTCCCCTCCATGGCCTTGGTCCACGGTTGAGCGGACAACAGTGCCGACGAGGAGAGATCCGGCTGCCTCGGGTCCCAAGACCATCTGCGGACAGCTGCCCAAGAAGGCATAGACAAGGGGCGCAAAGAAGAATGAGTACAGGCCATTGATGGCCGGGACGTGGGCCAGATTGCTGGCGAGGGACAGAGCCATGGGGAGGTAGATACCGGCAACGGTTACGGCGGCAATGAAGTCGCCCTTGAGGTACGACAGCTTGTACTGGCTGATCCAGGTCACGGATGGGATATAGTAGGCGACATACCTAAACAGAGGCATTAGTATGGGAGAGAGAGAGGGAAAGAAAGAGAGAAAGAGAAAGAGAAAGAGAAAGAGAAAGAGAAAGAGAAAGAGAAAGAGAAAGAGAAAGAGAAAGAGAAAGAGAAAGAGAAAGAGAAAGAGAAAGAGAAAGAGAAAGAGAAAGAGAAAGAGAAAGAGAAAGAGAAAGAGAAAGAAAGAAAAATAAAGAAAGAGAGATAAAGAAAGAGAGAAAACATACATCAGCCCAGTATCTGACACCCCGTGCCTCTCGGCGAGCTCGCTAGATGTGCTCATCTTCTTGCTGCGCATGATCTGCACAAAGCTTCGCCGCCAGCCGGTGCTGTCACGGCTTCCGGTGGGCCCGGTCGAGCTGCCAGCCATTGAGTCGGGACCGGAGCCAGAACTGTTCATGCTGGCTGCAGGGCTGCAGGACCGGGGCGAGAAGGTGCCGTGGTTGCAGCGGCCCGGATGCACGCATTGGCCGTCGCTAAAGGCATTCCGCAAAAGCGAGGCTCTCTCTGTCGACTGGAGGAGCGGGTCCTGCTCACTGGGACCGGCGTGGGCGAGATCCAGGTCGTCGACCGTGTCGCTGTCAAAACGGACGGCAGGTTGCGAGTGGGGCGAGTGCTGGGGACTCGTAGATCGGCTGTGCTGTGGCGCCTCGATCTCGTGTGGCGGGGAAGGCGACCCGAGCGTGAAGCTCTGCCGCAGGCCGCTGGGATTCACCGGCACATGCGCGTTGCGGGCGCTTCCTCCGGCCATGGCTGATGGTCCCGGGTGTCGGGTGGACGCTCCGTCACGCGTCGTAAAGTACTGCTTTCTGACGCGAGCATGCGTTTGGGGTGTCGAGTCGTTGGGCGAGGCTCGGGCAAAAGAGAGAAAAGAGGAGCAACAGCGAAATGGAAGACAGAAACAGAAACAGAAACACAAAAAGAGAATTTGACAGCTCAGCCAGGCAAGCTGGAAGAGAGTGGGCCAAACGAGGAAGACCGGCGGGGAAGACTCGAGAATTATCGGCGAAGCAGAGGTTGGAGGACGTGGTATCGCGGGTTCGAACAGCGAGACGCGGTCACCGAATTCCCGATACTGAATCAGCACGTGCTTTGCTTTGGTGCGGACTGCCGTTAGCAGGGAGACCGAGCACTAATCTCCACTGGTGGCTTATATATTCTCGGTGCTAAGTATTAGCCTCGGACAAGCCGCTAGTCCTTTATGGAGCAAAGTCAATCAATGCGAAACACGAAATTCTATAAAGCCAATGCACATCAATTGTCTTGCTTTTTCTATGCCAAAGCGACCCGTCGTATGACCGTCGTTTGAAAAGAAGAGCCAGGGAGAGGATGCAGATCGTATGCAGTATGTACATGGTACGAAGTAGGTAGTAGCGAGATCGTGATGCAATCGCTCTCGGCCTCACTCTCCCACAATCCGGATGCGTCCCTCAATGCGCGGCGCAATGGCCTTCGTCCACTTTGCGTGGTACTCGTCCTCCGTCAGGGTGTCGCACTGGTGGCTCTGAACGCCGGCCAGACGACACCACTTGCGGGCAATACGCCGCATCACCTGCAGCTGTCGATCGATCCGATGAACTTCGTCAGCATCTGGCTGGCTGCTCGCCCCGTCCACGACGCACTCGTCAAACGGCGCCACGCTGGCCCACCACTGGCGAAGCTCGGCTGCCGACCTCCGGGCTGCTCCGCCCGCACGATCGCCGTCACCGTGTCCGGGCGAGGGCGGTGTCGACGCGCTGGGCAACAGGTGTGGATGACGGCGATCGATGCTTGACACCACGCTGCCCCAGCGCTTCTGCATGTTCTCGTTCCAGTCCCCTCCCCACTGGTCGAGCACCTTCAGGGCCATAAAGTACTGCCGAAGCATCATGGAGATGAGTATCCCGCTTTCCTCATCTATGATTTCCTCGACGGTCCCGCCTTCGGATTTGGCCAAAAGGCTTTTATATCCGTCTGAAAGGTTGTGTGTCAGTGCTATGAAAGGGAGACAGAGAATGGGAGGGCCCTCGTACCCTTTCCGCGGACCATGTATCCTCTAGTGCACAAGATGTACACCTTCTCCGGATCCGCCGGCTTCCCGTCGATCTGCACCGTTGTGATGCGAGAGTTCGGTGGCCGGCTTGGATCAAACTCGTACTTGATGTTGGACACTTGCGGGAATCGCCCTGCAGCACATCCGTTGTCAGCAAATCCTAATTTTGTTTCTTGCATCTTCACCTCCACCTCGTTCACCTTCGAGCGCCGGGTACAGCGACACCCCGTTCTCCAGAGCCTCCGTGATCGCCTTTCCGGTGGCCCGCACCACGACAACCGGGTCCTCGAATGGGAAGCAGTCCGTGATGTCCTTGACACGCAACGGCCCTGGCGGATAGATCTGGTCGCCGCGCACAGTGCCGGCAGCCATGATCACGCAGTCGGCCTGGTGGTAGTGGCGCATAATGTCACACACAAAGTTGCCCAGATTGCTCTCCCTTGTCCGCACCGTGGTGAAACGGGCATCGAGAGGCGCTGCCGTCCACCCGACGGGCTTTTCCAGGCTCTGCTTGAGCTTGGATGTCAGCTGGTCGACTAGTTCTGTCGTCGGCTCGTCCGGTTCGATCCACGATCCGATATCACGCCTCTTGATGGAAAAATCCCATTTGGGGCTAGCCCCTGCCGCGTCATCGGCCTCAGGCCGTCGCCACGCCTCGATGTAGCTGAGCTGCTTGAAGTCGCTGCCGGACCGGAGCACATGGGTCCCCTGGATCAGGCTATGCGAGTAGTAGTGATCGTGGCCACCGAGAATGAGGTCCGCCTCGCCCGCCAGGTTCTCGGCAAGCTTATTGTCGTTTGGCTCGCGGGCATGTGACAAGATGATGACTATATCGGCACCAGCACTGCGCATCTGCGGGATCAGCGCCTTTGCCGTCTCTGTCGCCGACTTGTACACAATGTTCGGCGGCAAAACGTTGACCGTCTCTAGCCACTCGCGCTCGCCCAGGCCGATTAGGCCTATCTTTATGCCGTTGGATGCCGTCAGCATGTGCGTGGGCAGGCAGTGGCCGATAGATACACCCTCACCGGCTGCCGGGTCAAGGACGTTGGCGACTAGCCACGGAAATGTGCACTTGGCTGTGAGATTCTGGAACTGCGCTACCCCAAAGTCCAGGTCGTGGTTTCCGACGCACGCACAGTCCGTGCCAAAGCCGTTGAGCACTGGGACCATATGGCTGCCCTTGGTCACCGAGCTCTCCAGACTCGGGTTGAAAGCATCACCCGAGAAGAGAGTAATGAGGTCAGGCTGGTCGTTGTACTTCGGAGACGAGCGGTACTCATTGAGGACAGTCTGAAACCGAGCAGCGCCGCCCACCGGCTCAGCCGATGAGGGATCCAGATGATAGACGTCATTGAAATGCACAATACGCAGAGCTGGGGACGAGGACGGGAGCGCCTCTGGCTGAAAGGTGACAGTTTCTGCGTCCGCCGGTGGCGTGGCTCTCGGCGCCATCTTTGTTGACCGCCTCCTTCCGACGTTCGTGTCGAGCCGGTAGAATATAGAGAACAGAGCGGAAAGGAGAGCAGGGGCAAGTGTTGAAGTGCAAAGGTTTTATGCCACCGTTGAGTTCGCACCAGTACCCTTTTCAAGCCTTTGATTTGGGAGCGTGACTTAAGTTCTTGCACAAGCTCAATCTGTTTCTCTTCTGGTCTTCTTTTGTACTTCTGCATCTGCTGTCCAATGTGGATTCGGGCATTACGGACATCTGTAACAAGTGCTTGTGTGCCAAGTGTTGGTCATGTGATCTGGCATGCGTATTTACTCCCAACCAAGAGGGGTTAGCCCCGCGTTTTCTATTTCCTTACAACCGACTACCCAAGTTCACATGAACTGCCTTGATCTGAGAATACGCCTCCAGGCCAGCCTCTCCGAGCTCCCGGCCAATTCCGCTCTGCTTAACGCCTCCAAATGGTATCCTTGGGTCGCAGTCCTGGCTACTGTTGATCCACACCATGCCGGCCTCGATCTCGCTAGCAACACGATGTGCCCGCTCAATGTTCATGGTAAAAACGGATGCAGCGAGCCCGTAGACGGTGTCGTTGGCTCTGCGCACTGCCTCCTCCTCGTCGGAGAACTTGCTGATAACAACGACCGGGCCGAAGATCTCCTCCTGCCAGATGCGCATATCGCTGGTGACATTCGTGAAGACGGTAGGGGCGATGAAGTACCCCTTCCCGTTGCCAATGTTCTTGACCGCATGGCCGCCTGTAGCGACAGTTGCACCAGAAGTGCGGCCGGCTTCGATGTGCGCGAGCACGCTGTCGTATTGGTTCTTGGACACCTGCGGTCCCTGGAACGTGTCGGCATCCCATGGGCTGCCAATCTTGCTGGTCTTCTGGACCTCCTCGACAAAGAGCTTCACGAACTTGTCGTGGACGGCATCCTGCACCAGGATGCGCGACGTGGCTGTGCAGATCTGGCCCTGGTTGGACATGATGCCGAGGTGCGACCACTTGACCGCCTGCTCCAGGTCGCAGTCGTCAAACACCAGCAGGGGCGACTTGCCACCAGTCTCGAGCGTAATGTTCTTTAGCGTGCCAGCTGCCATCTTCATAATTTGCGTGGCGGTGGCAGTAGAGCCGGTGAAGGCGATCTTGTCGACGAGCTTGTGCTGCACAAGAGCAGCGCCTGCCACCTTGCCCAGACCGTTGACGATGTTGATGACACCAGGCGGGAAGCCCACATCCTTGGCCAGCTTGGCCAGTACCAGGATGCTGAGGGGCGTCTGCTCGGCAGGCTTCAGCACCACCGTGTTGCCGCAGGCGAGCGCCGGTCCGAGCTTCCATGTCGCCATAGACAGGGGGTAGTTCCACGGGATGATCTGTCCGACAACGCCGATTGGCTGCCGAAGAGTGTAGGCGAGCTTGTTTGGCACGGGGATGGTCTGCCCGTGGACCTTATCGCACCAGCCAGCGTAGTAGCGAATGACTCCAGCGGCCTCAACCAGGTCGACGCTGAGAGCGTCGCTGTATGTCTTGCCTGTGCCCGCGTTAGTCATCTGGGGCACCGGTGCCCTTTCAGTCATGGCGAGTCTCACCATTGTCCCAAGCATCAACGGTGGCAAGAAGCTCCTTGTTAGCCTCGATTTCATCAGCCAGCTTCGCCATCAGGATGCCCCTGTCTGATGCTGCCATCTTCTTCCATGCAGGGTTGCGGAGAGCAGCATGCGCAGCTTGAACAGCCAAATCCACATCTTCAGCCGAACCTGACTGGATGGTCACAATGTCCTCCTCGGTCCTGGAGTCGGGGTCAGCACAATGAGACATTTCATTTTCGTCTGACCGGAACATACGCTGGGTCGATCGCGGTGATGGTTTCACCGGACCGAGACTTGACGAATTCATTGTTGATGAATAGGCCGATCGGCTGAGAGTACTTGAAGCCGTTTGGCGCCGTGAGCGTAACAGTGAGGTCGCCCATCTTTTTGATTGCGCCTGCGTTAAGCAACGATATAAAGCCGGTGCGTTTGTAGAGATGGCTCGCCTGGACCTGTCGTGAGCGTAGCAGTGCAGGGATGGCGGAAGCTTTGCAGAGAGGTAAACGATAGAACATGGCGGCACCGATTTTGTCGGGTATGCGCATTTAAATCGGAAACGCGGACAGTCCGACAAATTGCAATGGCGGCGATAACGCTGCACTTTTTTGCCGAATTAGGGAGCCATAGCCGGCTTTAATTCATGTCGAGGAGGGCGGCTGCTGGGGTGGAAAAGATATGCTACGTAATAAGCTGCATCTCAGATAATGTCATGATTTGCCCGTGCGGGGCCACGACCAATTATATTCGTTAGACATACGGAGTATACAGAGTGTAAAGCTTCGGGCGGCGGTCGTCGTTCGACTATAAAATAATTGCGACAGGCCCTATCGTCACAGCATACGTACCGTGTAGCTTATCTTTTATAGATCCGTCTTTGTGTATCTATAGAGTAACCACTACATGACAGCGGTGCATAATCTGCTGGCGGCTATCGCGGTAGTAGAAGGCAAAGCGTCGTATCGTGAGACCTACTGTATAATTAACAGTTCGCCGCTTACAAAGGCTTCCTATTCAAGTTCGACTATCACGCACTTGGCCTACTAGTCGCGACGTAGTTGTGCTTTATTGGGCAAGGCAGTTGTTGCCCGCGTGGCGATCCGGGGGCTTATAGTACTGCGGATGTATCCGTTGAGCATCACTAATTATGTAATGCCGTACTGCTGATGAGGTTATGTTCAATGGGAGGCGAAGCAACCGTTATTCACACTACATAAAGCCAGTGCCCTTTGCATCACACTGTCGCTCGAACATCCGAGTAGACACGATCTGTCGTTGTTAGCCCGTGTATTTCGTGTCATATATCTTTCATTGCCGCCCCAGTATAATACCCCGGGAAAATGGTCAAGAACGAGAAGAAATGCTGGGGATATGCATATTTCGGCAGGGGAAACCGCCCACACATATTTTCGCTAAGCATGCTGGCAACATGTGATATGCGCATTTCGCGGCGTGTTTATGACTGCATTGTCGACGATTCTCCACCTAGTAACCTTTTTTGTCTATACGAGTTCTCGTCGTGCATAAGCTTTTTCGTCAATCAGGGACGGCATCCGTATTCATAATTATATAGGAACCGCCCTTCCCGAAGCTTTTCCGGGTTCTTATACATATCTCCTCGTCGGCCTTCCGCATTGCGTACAAACACTGTCTTAAAGCCACAAGCACCTACCTTCCAAGCCTACTTACCCATTTATCAAACAAGCTCCTTGAATATTCCCACGACACTCCTTCTTCAGCTAGTCGCCTTGTTTAGCCTCCTTGAGCCCATAGTGTTCCCTTCCTCCGTCATATCGCCAAGTCGTGACTTCCAACCATTAAGATACTACAAAAGGAAGGTGGGGGCGCTTACCGAGTTTGGCAACTTTGTCCCGTCTTGCCCATCATTTGTCATCAAAGCGCGGGGGACCTGACGATACATGGGAACTCTGCAACGGCAATCTTCGCACCTCCGTTCGTCAGCCTCATTGACATTGTTGTTTCTAAAAGTCTGCAACCATGGCACTTGAGAAACCAATAGTCCGCTTTGCACGGCGGGAAGGTTCGCTTTTGTGTCTCTGCCAGCGAGGGACCGGGCTGACCCAGTCTTTACAGACGTACCGACCGTCCTGCAGCTGATCTTCGAGCTCGCTGAATACGAACACGAGGTCGACAGCGTGAAGGCTACAGAAGAAAAGCTTCTCCAGACAATCGCATTTGCTCCTTCTGTGGCCGAGGCCACCGCTGGCCACCAGGAGCCCACGGAACCCACGACTTCCAGCCGGCCAGCGCGTTGTCTACTGGTGGTCGCGCCTGACGGAGATGTTGCAGGGCTTGCGCTGTACTATTACAATTACAGCACATGGCACGCGCGCCCGGGAATCTACCTCGAAGACCTGTTTGTGCGGCCGGCACACCGCAAGAAGGGCTACGGCCACGTGCTGCTCGAGACGCTAGCCAAGGAGGTCGTGGCCATGGGTGGTGGGCGGCTGGAGTGGAGCGTGCTCAAGTGGAATGCACCGAGCATCAAGTTCTACGAGAGTCTCGGCGCCAAGACGATGAGCGAGTGGTCGGTGATGCGCGTGGACGGGGACAGCTTATTGAAGCTGGCTGGTGACGGCAGCTGAGTGCGCAGACCCAATTTTAGGTGAGATGGTTTCAGTGGTGTTCATGGTATTCCCGCTTGATATTCAGCTCGTGGCTTCTCGGGGTGGTGCCTTGCCCTCCGGCTTTGGCACATTGCCCTTGCTATCGACGCCTTCAAAGAAGGCGAGATCGGCCGCCGTCGGCTGAAGCAGCTTCGGCGCCACTCCGCCCCATGTGATAGTCCAGCCGCCTCCCGCACGCGGCTCCATTGTCGCGCTCATCTGCCAAATCTCTGCGTAAAGCCTTCGCCAGAGCCGTGGGGTGTAGCGGTGGATGCCAATGGCCGGGCCGTCGTAGGGACCGGGCGCATCCTGGGCAACCCCAAAGGAGACTCGGAAGCGCCTTGAGCGTGGGCGTTCGACAACCCGGATAGGACGCGTGGCATATTTCTCCCAATCCCAGCCAGAAAACGTGTCATTTTCCGGCTCTGTGCTGGTTTTTACCACGGTTCGCCGGGAGGGTGCCATCCACTCAGCACCAGCCTGGCCCGTGGCAAGCTTGCGCAGCAGCTCCCAGTCCCCTCGAGGCAGGGGTGGCAGGATGCGGTGGGCAAGGCTTTTCCACCACTTCTTCAGCTTGGTGCGAGCCACTTTCGGCACAAACGGTCGTCCCCAGGCATTTACCGGAGGCACGGCTTCCGCGGGGTTGAGCCTTTTCGGATTGACCTGCGGCCGTGGAGAGTTGTGTACGGTGTGCTGGCTCTGGCTCTTGGCAAAAGCGAGCAGCTTTTCCGTGTTCCATTTGTCCAGCCAGTCGGTTTCTGGCCTGACATCTGCCAGCCTCTGTTCCAGCTCAGCCGAGCTGTTGGGCTGGTCGAGGAGGCGCAGTCCAGACATCAGCTCCTGGCGTCTCCAGCCGATGCGCCCAAAGGCCATCATCATTATTCGGCGCATGCGCACGAGGTCGCCACAGTTTGCAGCGCGGAGGTAGCGGAGGTCGTGGCTGGCCCGTTTGAGACGCATGCCTGAATTCGGATCATGTCGGTGGTGGTCGAACCGGAGGCGAATGCGCGCCTCAACTTGCTTCCTGCATGTGGGGGGCAGATACGTCGCTTCCCGGAGGATGCTTCTGTACAGATGAATAGGGTTGGCGGTCTTTGCAAGACCTGGTGGAGGAGGCATGGCAGCGTTGGCAGATGTTCACATCGCAATAGCGAAGCTGCTCGCCAGAGAACTTTCGTGGCGAAATGCGGCATGCGTATGCTTAGTCAGCGCAAGACGGCATGGTCGGCAGAATCAGACTTTCACTGTTCAGCCAATTGCTATCCTCCGCAGGCGTGCTACAAGGCTGACAGGTGTTGGCAGCTGCCCATTACTAATGATACGCGCTACCTACCGGAAAGGCTCTGCGGAAAGCGCTGTCCAATCATAGTTCTACACGACGGAGCTTGGCTTGCCGGCCTGCGCACGGTAATACGCGTACTGTACATACAGAAGACACGTTCGGGTGGGTGCAGCGAGCCGCTACTCCGATGTACTCCGTGCGCCAGGCGACTCGCCCCCAACGACGCTGCGTTGCCGACGTCCAGCCGAAGCACCCGCAAAACGAAGCAATACATATTCCAGTTTGTTTTGTGCCCCGTTTTTTCCTCACATATTAACATTGCCTGGATCGAAAAGTTGGGAGGTTCCGTCTCCAATCCTTCCTGCGGTTTTCATCTCAGACCTCCCCAGCTCTCTTTTCATGATTTGACCCTATTCAGACGCTCCAATTCGATCCTGCGGATAAAGTGCACAATGTTGCGGTCATTCTCCAAGGCCAGCGGCCTGGCCGGCCGGGCCGCCTCGCCTGCATCGCGGTGTGCCATAGCCGGGCTGTCGCGGTCGTTTGCCTCCAAAGCTCTCGCGGCCGGCCGTCAACCATTGGCGCTGACGACATACCAGCAGCAGCAGCAGCGGCTGTATGCCAGCGCGGCTTCATCGGCCCCAGATCCGAATGACAGCTTTCTCTCAGGCAATACGGCCAACTACATCGACGAGATGTACCTGCAGTGGAAGCAGGACCCCAAGAGCGTGCACGTGTCGTGGCAGGTGTACTTTCGGAACATAGAGAGCGGCGAGATGCCCATTTCACAAGCCTTCATCCCGCCACCGTCGCTGGTGCCGAGCTCAACTGCCGGCGTGCCCGGACTGGGTGCCGGCACTGGGCTCGGGCTTGCGGACGACTCGGCCGTCACCAACCATCTGAAGGTGCAGCTGCTGGTGCGCGCATACCAGGCCCGCGGCCATCTCAAGGCCGACCTCGATCCGCTCGGCATCCGCAACGAGTCCAAGGCACTCGAACACGGCACGCCCAAGGAGCTCACGCTTGAGCACTACCAGTTCAGCGAAAAGGACCTGGACACCGAGTACAGCCTTGGCCCCGGTATCCTGCCACGCTTCAAGAAGGACGGCCGCGAGAAGATGACGCTGCGCGAGATCGTGGCTGCCTGCGAGAACATCTACTGCGGCTCGTACGGTGTCGAGTTCATTCACATTCCCGACCGCGAGAAGTGCGACTGGTTGCGCGAGCGCATCGAGGTGCCCCAGCCCTTCAAGTACTCGATTGACGAGAAGCGCCGGATTCTCGATCGCCTCATCTGGAGTTCCAGCTTCGAGAGCTTCCTCGCGACCAAGTACCCCAACGACAAGCGTTTCGGCCTCGAGGGCTGCGAGACTCTCGTTCCCGGCATGAAGGCCCTGATCGACCGCAGCGTCGACTACGGCGTCAAGGATATTGTCATCGGCATGCCCCACCGTGGCCGTCTCAACGTGCTGAGCAACGTGGTGCGCAAGCCGAACGAGTCCATCTTCAGCGAGTTTGCCGGCACGGCCGCAGCCGAAGACGAGGGTTCCGGCGATGTCAAGTACCATCTGGGTATGAACTTTGAGCGCCCTACGCCGTCGGGAAAGCGTGTGCAGCTCTCGCTCGTGGCCAACCCGTCTCACCTCGAGGCCGAGGACCCCGTCGTCCTTGGCAAGACTCGCGCTATCCAGCACTACAACAACGACGAGGCGACCCACAACACCGCCATGGCCGTGCTGCTCCACGGTGACGCCGCTCTGGCTGCCCAGGGCGTCGTGTACGAGTGCCTGGGCTTCCGCTCGCTGCCCGCTTTCTCCACCGGCGGCACCATCCACCTGGTCGTCAACAACCAGATCGGCTTCACCACTGACCCGCGCTTTGCCCGCTCCACGCCCTACTGCACCGACATCGCCAAGGCCAACGACGCACCCGTGTTCCACGTGAACGCCGACGACGTCGAGGCCGTCAACTTCGTCTCGCAGCTCGCGGCCGATTGGCGCGCCGAGTTCAAGCAGGACGTCATCATCGACCTCGTGTGCTACCGCAAGTACGGCCACAACGAGACGGACCAGCCGTCCTTCACCCAGCCGCTGATGTACAAGCGCATCCAGGTCCACGAGCCGCAGATCGACATCTACGTGGACCAGCTGCTCAAGGAGGGCACCTTCACCAAGGAGGACATTGACGAGCACAAGAAGTGGGTCTGGGGCATGCTGGAGGACAGCTTCTCGCAGTCCAAGGAGTACCAGCCGCACTCCAAGGAGTGGACCACGTCTGCCTGGAACGGCTTCAAGTCGCCCAAGGAGTTGGCCACCGAGATTCTCCCCCACAACCCCACTGGCGTTGACCAGAAGACGCTTGAGCACATCGGCGAGGTCATTGGCAGCGCCCCCGAGGGCTTCAACCTGCACCGCAATCTGAAGCGCATCCTGAACGCCCGCACCAAGTCTGTCGTCGAGGGCAACAACATCGACTGGTCCACCGCCGAGGCTCTGGCTTTTGGCTCTCTCGTCACTGAGGGCCACCATGTTCGCGTTTCCGGCCAGGATGTCGAGCGCGGCACCTTTTCGCAGCGTCACTCCGTCTTCCACGACCAGGAGACTGAGGACACCTACACCCCGCTGCAGCACATCAGCAAGGACCAGGGCAAGTTTGTCATTTCCAACTCGTCGCTGAGCGAGTTTGGCGCCCTCGGCTTCGAGTATGGCTACTCGCTCACCTCGCCCAACGCCCTCGTCATGTGGGAGGCCCAGTTTGGTGACTTTGCCAACAATGCCCAGTGCATCATCGACCAGTTCATCGCCTCTGGTGAGGTCAAGTGGATGCAGCGCACCGGCCTCGTCATGTCTCTGCCGCACGGCTACGACGGCCAGGGCCCCGAGCATTCGTCTGGCCGCCTCGAGCGCTACCTGCAGCTCTGCAACGAGGACCCGCGCCAGTTCCCCACCCCAGACAAGCTGGACCGCCAGCACCAGGACTGCAACATCCAGATCGCCTACATGACCAGCCCGTCCAACCTCTTCCACATCCTGCGTCGCCAGATGAACCGCCAGTTCCGCAAGCGTGCGTGTCCCCCATTCCCCATCCCTGCTGGTCTTGCCTGCCTTGCTAACCAGACTTGACACTTGCAGCCTTGATCATCTTCTTCTCCAAGTCGCTCCTGCGTCACCCGCTCGCTCGCTCGAGCATTGAGGAGTTCACCGGCGAGTCTCAGTTCCACTGGATCATCCCAGACACTGCTCACCAGGACGGCTCCATCAAGGCGCCTGAAGAGATCAGCCGCGTCATTCTGTGTTCTGGCCAGGTGTATGCCGCTCTGCAGAAGTACCGTGTCGACAACCAGATCACCGACGTGGCCATCACGCGTGTCGAGCAGCTGCACCCCTTCCCGTGGCAGCAGCTGAAGGAGAACCTGGACCAGTACCCGAACGCCCAGACGATCGTCTGGGCCCAGGAAGAGCCGTTGAATGCAGGCGCCTGGACCTTCACGCAGCCCCGCATCGAGACCATCCTGAACCAGACCCAGTACCACGACCACAAGCACGTCATGTATGCTGGCCGGAACCCCAGCGCCTCCGTGGCCACCGGCACCAAGGCGACACACAACAAGGAGGAGCATGACCTGCTGGAGATGGCCTTTACCGTGAGGCAGAGCAAGCTCAAGGGGGAGTAAGGCAGCAACAAGCTGGTAGATGGGATCGGTCTGGCTGCTCTGGGGAAAAGGTGGCCGTATGAGCCTCTTTATCGTGTATAGAACGGATTTGTTGGGGGGATATCTCAGGTGCTTCTTTTTTTCTTGTACTAGCCTTTCCATCATGTCCCATCTTTGTTTTGTCGTATTTCCTTGGCCACTCGAAAAGACTTCAGCCATGCAGTGAGGCATGGAGCGTCAAGCCTGTTGTACAAGTATAGCGGTAGAGAGCGGGTGACGCAAGGCATGACGGCTGCACGGAGAGGACAGCAACAGGACGGGCAGCTTGGAGGCAAAGGGGAAGGGTGGCACACCTGCACATAGACGGAGCACAGTTTTAATAATCGCTGTTGAGTCGTCCTGACCCAGTGCATTCGTAAAGAGAAAGAGCAATCCTACGCTCTTCCCCATGCTTTCCTCTTACGCTGGTTCAAGCAGATTACTCTATAGCCTCTAGTCCAAAGTATCGTAGTCATGTGACGATCTGCCACGGCCTGACCACGCCGTCGTCACCGGTGGTGACCAACATCTCTTCCAGGCCGCCTAGCTTTGCGCCCGCATCATAACGGCGGCACCAAGTGATGTTGTTTATCTCGTAGGGCCCGTGGGCATTTGTGACGCTGGCCAAGACACGCCACTGCTTCGCCGTACCCGACGTAGCGTTGTGGCCATGTCCTCTGGGCATGGGGATGTCGCCATCGAGTTCTTCTGCCGCCTCGTCCTCGGTCACGACCGGCTTGTCTGACCCGTCCGTCCGGTCCTGTTCCGCATACAAAACGACGACACCGTCGCTGCCAGTGCTGGCCACCAGGCCCGTGGCACCACTCCACGCGGCCGAGTAGATGTCGCGCGAATGTGCCCGGGGCAGAACGGCAGTGCACGACCATTCTTCGTGCAGCGAACAGCGCATGGTGTTGGGAACTCCGCCCAGGCTGTTGTGGAACTGGTGGATGCCGTGACTGCCCTCTGAGGACCCGGTAGCCCCTGCATCCGCGACATCGTCTTCTCGCAGCGTCCAGATCCGCAGGGTCTGGTCGGCCGACCAGGTCAGGAGACGAGGGAAGCGTTCCCGCCGGGGATCAGCCTCCCACTGCACGCCCCATACTGTTCCCTCGTGGCCCTCTAGCACGGCCACACATACCCACTCGCCATCGCCGTCTTCGCGCCATATCCGGACGGTGTTGTCGTAGCTGGTGCTGGCCAGCACGTCGAGGCCGTAATGGCTGCCGCTGCCGCTGCGCCGGCCTGGAACGTCGGGACACCAGGCCACACACTTGACGTCGCCGTCGTGCTCGTTTAGCACAGCAACGGTCTCCCACTCGTCCTCGTCATCGCCGCCAACGTCCTCCCAGATCCAGACGGACTTGTCGCGACTGCATGTAGCCAGATACTGACCGGATGGCGAAAAGGCGACACTCTTGATCTCGTGCTCCTGGCCCTCGAGCACAAGCGTAAACTCCCAACCCTCGTCGGTTTCCCCGTCACTCTTCTCACCAGCGCGAATCTCCACCTCCGAGACACCTCCGTCCGGACCGGAGCCGCTGCCGACCAAGGGCGTTTCCTGCTCCCATCGCCACAAGCCGGCAGTCGAATCGAAGCTCCCGGAGACGAGACAGAGTTTGTGAGAAGGCAAGTCTGGCCTCCACGTGACAGAGCGGACGGAGCGGCTGTGCCCGCCGGTCAAGGAGCTGTGTGAAGTGAAATCGACGAGCGAAAAGATGGTCACAGACTTGTTGTGGGCTGTGGCCAGAAATGGTAGGGTGGGGTGGGGGGTAGACGACCAGCCTCGTTGATACAGATCAGGCTGGAAGGGAGGAAGGGGTTCAATTGCTCTGGGTAGCAGCGGCAGAGAAGCGGCCAGAGCCTTCCCGGAGTACGGTACCGCGGACGCCATTCTTTCAGACAGCAGGTGGGAGAAGTCGCAAGAACGCAAAATGTTGTTAGCAGCGCATTTTTAGCTTACGAGCAGCAGCCGTGTTACTGGCCCAATCATTGTTCGTCTCTCAGGCGCACGCTAATAGAGCCCTCTGTCCAGTTCGGCATCCTGCGCCACACTGCAAGTACACTGCACAATCTCCACATTTTTTGGCCCAGTTCGTGACACCTTCTTCTCCACTAATTCGCCAGGCGCGTCGTGTGGCGCACAGAGCACCACGCAGTCACGAAAGCGACACGTCTTCAGCGCCTCCAACTTTAATTGGGTTTTCTCGTCACGTCGAGATCCATTCGCTCGCAGCTCGCAAATCCACGCCGAAACCTCCAAGTGCCGGCTTCCTTCCTTGCCCTTTCAGCCTCCCGGCTTGCCTGACATTTTCGTGCCCGTCCGCCTTTGACGCGACCAGGGTCCAGCTATCCCGATCTTGATTGCCAAGACCTCTTTTCCTCTCCTCTTTCCTCTTTCCTCCTTTTTCGGCCATTCTCCCACTCCCACTCACACTCACTCTATCAAGCCTCATCGACATCTATGCCTGGCTTTGATTCTGCACTGTTCGTCACTAGCTAGCACGGGCCAGGCCTCGTTGATTTCTTACCCCTACTCTTCCCTGCCCCTCCGACTCCGACTCAGCGCTGCCCTGCATGGCGTCGTCTACAGTCACGACAGCCTTGCATTCCCACCGCGCATCCTTTTCTGCTGCGGCTCCCCTCTCGCCGTCACCCGCGCCTCCTCCGTCCCAGCTGCCGCCCGCTCCGTCTGCAACGCTGCCGTCGGTAACGCTGCATGCGCCCGCGGCAACGTCGACTTCCACATCGACATCACTGCTGCCTCATCCGCCGTCCTCTCAACTCGGCCACGGTGCTGCCGGTCATCCCTCCTTCGATCACGTAACCGGCAACATCCATATGCCGTCCGCATCGCAACCAGCTCAGCCGTCGTCTCAGCAGTCGTTCGTCATGAATCAGCCATCGTCCCAGCCAAATCCCACTCTCTCGGCCTCTGCCTATCACCCGTTCTCGGAGTCGTCCCAGCCCAAGCTGGAGCATGACGATCCGATGAAGATTTACTCGGTGAGCCGGCCAGCCGTCTTCTTTCCTTCTCTTGCTCCGTTGCTGACCAGGCCTTCTTCCAGGCCGTGTATTCGGGCACCAACGTCTACGAAATGGACGTGAATGGCATTGCGGTTATGCGTCGGCGCCACGACTCGTGGCTCAATGCCACCCAGATACTGAAAGTCGCCGGTGTTGACAAAGGCAAGCGTACCAAGATTCTGGAGAAGGAGATCCAGACCGGAGAACACGAGAAGATCCAGGGCGGCTACGGCAAATACCAGGGCACGTGGATCGGCTTCGAGCGGGGTGTCGAGGTGTGCCGGCAGTACGGCGTCGAGGAGATTCTGCGCCCGCTTCTGACGTATGACATGGGCCAGGACGGCGGCATTGCCGGTCAGGGCAACTTCAACACGCCGACAAAAGAACAGGCCATGGCCGCTCAGCGCAAGCGCATGTACAATGCCAGCAACGACAACCGCGCAAACGGTGCATCCGGGACCTTCTTCCGGGGCATCTCCAACACTGCGTCCAATATGGTGGGCATCATAAGCAAGGCCCGATTCGATTCGCCCGGCCCACGAAACCGAGCTGCCGGCGGACAGGCAGACAGGAGTGGTCTTGCCCGGGCCCCAAGCTTCACGCGACAGCCATCGATACAGGCCGACGAGCTGCCCAACTCGCAGCAGAGCTTTGCGTCCGACTATGGCCGCGACAGCGAAACACCCGTATATCTCTCGCAGCAGCAGAGCACGCAGCAGTCCGTTGGCGACGGTGCTGAGCCTCCACGCAAACGAGCTAGAATGGGCGCCACGTCCGGAGACAGCTTTGCCTTTGCCGGTTCTGCTGACGCCTATGCCAATGCGAGTGCATTTCCTGGTTCACCGACGGAACCAAACGAGTCGTTCATCTACAACCAGGCCGGCCTCAACGCTCACCTGGTGGCGTCCAATGACGGCCATGTTCCGCTGCCTCCGCTGCCGTTTGAGGTCTCGCCCGACGCCGAGGCCAAGCGCAACACGCTCATGTCCCTCTTCATGGACGCCAATGGCGACGATCACTCTCGCCACGACACCCTACGCCGCATGACCCCTGGGGAGCTGGACATGCCCATCGATGCCCAGAGCCACACCGCGCTGCACTGGGCTGCCACCTTGTCACGCATGCCGCTTCTGCGAGCCTTGATAGCCAGTGGGGCAAACCCGTTCCGGGTCAACGCCGTCGGTGAGACTGCACTGATGCGGGCATGTCTCGTCACCAACTCCCACGAGCACAGCTCCATGCCGGATCTTCTCGACGTGCTCGGCAGTACCATTGAGGTGCGGGACGCCAAGGGTCGAACGGTCCTGCATCACATTGCCGTCACCAGCTCGGTCAAGGGCCGGAGTGCCGCCAGCCGATACTATCTGCAATGTCTCCTGGAATGGGTTGTCCGCCAGGGCAGCGCACCGAACAGCCAAACCATGCAGCCAGGCATGAATGGTAGCGCTCCTTCTGCGCCTGCCAAGCTTGGCCTGGCACGCTTCATGAGCGAGATTGTGAATGCGCAGGACAAGGCTGGCGACACGGCGCTCAACATTGCAGCCAAGATTGGCAACCGCAGCATCATCTCCCAGCTCCTAGAGGTATGCGCCGATCCCAACCTGCCGAACCGGCAAGGATTGCGGCCGCTGGACTTTGGTGTGGGTGCCGACTCTGTGGTCAATGCTACCGGCGGCGAGGCGGCAGACGGCGATCATAGCGGAACCGTTGGCAGCAGCCAGAAGAGTCGAGAGAGTAGCGACGATATTGTTTCATGTAAGTCATCCTCTGTGTGGATCGCCCCAGCCTCAGGCAATGCTGACAAATACGCAGCGATAACACACCTCCTCACCGAGACCGCATCGGTCTTTCAGGCCGAGATGAAGGCAAAGCAACAAGCCGTAGAGGCTCTGCACAGCCAACTGCGCACCACGTCAGCCCAGCTCGGCGATGCCCGGAGAACACTGGACGCGCTGCAGGAAAAGGTCAAGAACCAGCAGCAAGCCCGCCAGCGGGTTCTCAACCTGTCGCGGGCACGAGATGAGGAACAGTACCGTCTCGTGGATCTGGAACGGGCACACGGTCGAACCATCGCGGAGCTCGACAGCATGGCAAGCTGGGCGGTCGAACCGGACGCCTCTGCAGACTCGGCAGATGCCGCAACATTGCCGTCAGCCGCCGTGATGCGAGCTCGAATTCGCGCGCTGCACCAGCGCACAGCCGAGACACGGCGGGCCGAACAGGCGCTCAAGAGCCGCAGCCGAGACATCGAGCTCAAATTTCGCCGTCTCGTGGCCTTGGCAACCCGCTGCTCCGACGCCGATGTGGACAGCCATCTGGACGGTCTGATGCGTGCCGTGGAAAGCGAAAAAGGCGACCTGGAGATCGGACGGGTGCGTCGCTTCTTGGGCGGCGTGGAAGGGCTAGTGCATTGAGCTGTTGGCCCTCGCCAACGTTCGCCTGCATGTCTTTCTCCTTGTACTCATGGTGTTCTTTCGTCTGGTGCCGGTTGGGTTCTTGTCTCTGTTTATATAGTACCAAGGGAGCATATGGGTGGGTCTTTAGTCTGGCTGCTGCTGCTTGCACGCCTTATCACGTTGGCGTCTCTGGTTGTTCGAGTGTGGTTGGCTGTATCGTCCAGCTGCCGGTGTGCCGTTCGGCTGCATGTAAGATACGTTTCGACTATGTGCGAATGTGTTGCGATGCAATACGAGGCTCAATATACGTGACTGTCACACTGAACTGAGCCGTCCGGTCCCAAGCGCCTTGCACCATGCCTGCTGTCATGCTGTCTCTTTCCGTCTCTTTTCTCCTGTCTCCTGTCCTTGCCTCTCGTCTGCCAGCTCTGCCTTGTCACGGTGCACCGATTGCATAAAGGCCCTCCCATCTCTCTTCCACGCCGCCGACCTGATGCTTCAGCCGTGCAATCTCCCGGTCCAGCTCTTCGACATTGCGGCTCAGGGCGCCCACCTCCTCAAACCGCCGCGAGCCGCGGGCGTTGTCCACCATCTGCTGCACCAGGAACCGCTGCTCTTCCAGCACAACCAGCTTCTCCCGCAGCTCCTTCTCCTCCGTCTCCAGTGCCGAGACCGCCGTGCTCACCTCGCTGCCAGCCAGGCTGGCCGTGTCTCCATCGCCGAGCAGCTCGCCATTGCGCAGAGGCGAGAGGTGCAGGCCGCTGCCATTCAGCGGAGAGAGCGCCTTCCGGTGCGGGCTCAAGGCGTTGGCAGCGCCGGGCTGCTTCGCGCGCAGCATCTTCGGCAAATGCTTCAGCGGCACCATGTTGGCATGCAGAAACGTAGACGCCGCTGTGTACACAGCCCTTTGCAGCCGCTTCTGTGACGGGTTCTGTGTGCTCAGGTCGCGTAGCCTCACCGCCGCCAAATTGTACTTGGCGAAGCTGTCCATCAATCGCTTGCGAATCTTGGCCGCCTCCTGGATCTGGCCGTGAGTCGGTGGCGGCTTGCCCGGCCCATCAGCCTGTAGCGACTGCAGGGCCCGTTGAAATAGCGGCATCATCTGCCGGATGCCCCACTCGAATTGCCTCAGTGTCTCGTAGGCACGCTGATCTGGTGGCTTCCGTGACATCTCCTCTTCAAAGTCTCGCTTGGAAAAGATGGTAGCCTTGCAGTCTCGGCACATTCGGATGTCGACACTGACCTGCCCAGCAGCCGTACTCGCCGTCCGAGTGCTGCCGCTCTCGGCCGTGTGCGCATGCGTCTTCTCTGACGCTGCCGGACTTATCATCCGGTCGGCGGCGATATCCCTGTGGGCAGCCACACTCAGTCCGACCTCGGTCGAGCACTCTGTCTGCGGGTCCGCACACACAACCCTGCCACATATCCGACAGTGGTGTCTCCGAAACGTCCAGGTTCCAAACTCTTGCTGGCAAAAGGGACATCGGACCACTGCCGCGTCATCCTCCCACGTCACCACAGACTGCTCAATGGCCTTCCTCGCTTTATTGTGGCCCGCCAGAGTGCCCCCTGCCGTTATCGCCAGATCTGGTGCGGCGTCTGCGATTAGCTGTGTCAGCTTAGTCAGCCGCTTTTCCAGCCTTCCGATCTCCAGGTTTTGCCGCTCGATTCGCTGTTGGCGTGTCGCCATGAACTTTCTCGTAAGGTCAATCTCCGCTCCTCGGTGTTCGTTGTAGCCCGGTCGTGATTTGTAGCACGTCTCACACACACGAACCCAGTAGCCACGTATCGGGTCGTATTTCGCTGCCCTTGATAGCTTCGTTTGGTACATCGTATGCGTTTCGCAGAACAATTTGCCGCAACTCCGACAGTGGACACTTCCGTTCAGGGGTCCCAGGCCCTTGGCACAGGTTGGATCCGTGCATACATCGTGTCCAGTCGGCCTCTGCCAATGATTTCGTGTGATCAGCTCATCCGGGTCAACGGACGCCTCGGTAGGTCGTTGAATTCCAAAGCCTTCGCTCGATCCGGAAGGAAGGAGGGGGGGGATTCATTCGACTCGAACACGTCCAGACCACGCAACTTCTGATTGATCAAAGAAAGAGGCTGGAACTTTTTGGCCTTTAGGACCTGCTTGTCGAACCAGGTCTTCACCTCGTCCTGCTGGATCTCGGGGAGTTCTTGATGTAGATCGTCGATGTGTCTACAACATACCGGTCCATTAGTTTCGTACAGGTGACTTTGCCAAAGCAAGATACTTGCCTGTTTAGCTGAAGCAGTGTAACCTAATTATCGAGTTTCATGTCAGCGATACATGACGACTTTAAGAGAAACCCCGGCGTTGTACACACCATTTCCTCGCCGCATATTGGACAAACAAGCCCGGTCCTTGCATTTCTAGTAGATGGCTGTCCGAGGCTAATGTTCGAGGTAAGATCTTGTCTAGTATCTGCTAGTGTTGAAGGTGGTGATATTCCGGGAGCATTACGGGAGCCCCGCGACACGGAGCTGGCGTCTGACGCTGCAAAAGGGCTAGAGGACCTGGCAGTCCTGACGAGTGTGCCCCGTGCCTCCGGCGCGGCGAGCCCCTTTCCGTTTCCCAAGATTCTGCCTCCTCCGAGCTTTCGTGCGGACATCGAAGGCTATCGGCGGCGACTCCGGCCGTAGCTAGTGTGGTCGAATCGGAGTCGCCACAGCGACAGGGCCGATGACCCGCGATGAAAAGCGTGGCCGTGAGTAGAATCGCCGGTATACAGTCCAAGCCCTAGATCGTTCATACGGCTGGTGTTCCGAGGAAGCCGCTAAAGCGAATGTTCGTTGTGCTATGCCTACCAGAGAAAACGGTTGGAACAAAGGAGGTTTGGGTTTCTTGTGTCGTGAAATGTTATGTAATTCGCTATGGGTCCGGCTGAAGCACGGCTAGCCAATGATGCATGGCTATGTACTCCGTACATGACCCACTATAGCTCCTATCGAGCCCGTTTAAGTGGTTGGCGCCAGTGACTGACGTCTTTCGTCATGCTTAGATCGGCGCATAGAGGAAAAAATCGCCGGCCAGCAATGCGACTGCCGGCAATCCCCAGCTAGCATTTCATACCTCTCGCCAGCAGCCATAGTAATGGGTTCCAAGTTTCCCGAAGTTCAGGGTGGCGGCAGCCTAATGGTTGCTTGGCAGGTAAAAGGCAAGAGAGTTCTTGTTGTCGGCGGTGGCGAGGTAAAGCGGCCCTCTTTTCGCCCTCCTCTCCCCTCTCTATAGGTTGCTAATTCAACAGCTTTAGGTTGCAGCTGGTCGCATTCTCCACTGCCTCAATGCCGACGCCACAGTCACTGTCGTCGCGCCAAGCTCGGGGCTCAACCCCGAGGTAGCCTACCGTGTACACCAGAAGCAGGTTGTCTACATCGATCGCACGTTCGAGCCAGATGATCTCGATGGCGTCGACATGGTTCTCACGGCCGTGGACGATCCAGAAGCCTCTACACGAGTATGGAAGCTATGCAAGGAGAGGCGAATTCCCGTCAATGTAGCCGATGTGCCGCCAGAGTGTGATTTCTACTTTGGCAGCGTCCATCGCGATGGGCCGCTACAAATCATGGTCAGCACAAACGGTAAGGGCCCACGGCTGGCCCAAACCATCCGGAAGTACATCGCCAAACTGCTACCAAAGGAGGCCGGCAAGGCCATCAACTCTGTGGGTGAGTTGAGGGTGAAGCTACGCCGGATGGCACCGAACCCAGAGGATGGGCCCAAGAGGATGGCATGGTAAGCCCCCTTTCCCATCCAGCTTTCCATCTGTCATTTTCGGGACGTGCACCTGACCACAACAGGATGACCAAAGTCAGCGATGCCTACTCTTTCGAGGAACTTTGCAGCCTGAACGACGAAGACGTCAACAATCTGTTGCGGTTTTACATGTCAGGTACAGTGCCGGCTCTCGATATATTGTTCTCTATGCGAGGCAACGGCGACATTGGCAAAATTGATGTATTTGATGGTTCGTTTGGCTTCAGCGTAGGCGTGTGACCGCTATAGCGTGTGGGAAAGTCGAGTATGGGGTGAACAGACGTTCTAAGTATTCAAGGCGCCAGTTTGGTTGATTGCCGGCTTTTCGAATACGTATGAACTGTAAGAACACAAAGGATATTTTCCTGCTTTCCTGTAATGCTAGGCCGCATGCGAGGCCTATGGAGTACTTCCCACTTTACACGTACAGTGTATTTGTCTGGTTATATTTATATGCACTGTGTTGTGATATCGATCGCGTATTGGCGGCGCGTACATCCCGGCAACGGGGCGCAGAACAAGACAAAAGACTGCGGCCAGCTCCATCACAGCATGGCCAGACTGAATGGCAATAATGGTCATGCCATAGGCGTCTCCTCAGGCACTGAGGATGGTTCCACAGCTGACACCTCACAGCCGCAATGCGACATCTTCAACACAACGTTTTCCTTGTATCGAGCTTCGCCGCTGTTTCTAGGTCCAGACCCACTCTCATATGCGCGACTTGCGACTCTCAGCCAACGGCTTCGAGATGTGCTTGTGGGCGATTTCGTGCGAGGCGTGGAGGTTGGCCTCGACAACACATCCGGCGCCTCAATGGGCAGCGCAGGTAGTTTAGAGGGTGTGACGACCGAATGGGCCGCTTCTGATGATGCTCTGGGTATATCTGATCGAGCTCTTCAGATCACTTTACAGTATGAGAACGCCATCTGCTCCGCGTTGCTTCTACCGGCACCACCAGCGAACGCTGCTAGAGACGACAGTACCAAGGGTCAATTTTTGCACCTACCCCTTCTTCTTCTCCGGATGCCCACCCCGTTGAAATCCGCCATCATCTCTTTCATTTCGACCACATTTGACTGCCGGATTGGTCCCTTGCGCCTGAGCAGCGAATACATGTACCAGAGGTGGGAAGCTTGGGCACAAGGCACAGCACTTCCGACGACTGGTCCTCTAGCAAAAGACGTCGTTCTCACGCTCGGGTTTCGTCTTCCTGGAGAGCCGAGTGAGACGGCCTTTAGCATAGACGAGGGCGAAGCACAAAGTGGGACAGTGGTTAATGCCACGTCAGGCCTCAAGGCAGTCGATGTTATTGTTCCCTTTCAGGATCTGCCGCAATTTTCCAAGGCCGGTAAAACCTTCACTAAAGGCGGGGACGGGGTCGACAAGCCGCTCACGAGAGCTTTAATTCACTACGTGAAGCACCACCTTGCCCTAGACATGTCGCATCCGGCCGTCAGTTTGGTGCGCATTGCCTGTGGAGGTTTTGTGCTCGCAGAAAGCCGCATCAAGATATTCAGCCCGTCTGACGCCATCACAGGCGCTGCACCTCATGCAGCCGCAGTGCAAGAGCTCCTTTCACAACTCGCAACGAGGGCCGCAACAATAATGTAGATCTCTGTAGCGAGTCTGGCTTGATTCGCTCTCAACGACTGTACCGGCAGATCAGCTGAAGGCCCAGACTCAGCCGAGCTTGACATCCCTAGTATATGAAGCCAGTTGGGACTTTTAGCACGATGATCAAGACGAGTTCTTTTACTCTCCTTCGTCTCTGAGCCTTCGTGGAGGATCTGGCAAACAGCTGCCATTCTTGCTCCGTGAAAATATCCTGGGTTTCGCGAGTACTATTATGTATGTGTCTGTGTATATGTATAAATTTATTTGAATATCATTACTAACCCAGGGAGGGTGAACTTTTTAGACATAATATAAAGAAACGTACTCCGTACTATGCACACGATATGTTCTCTGCTGGGGGTATTTAGGACCTGGACGTAAAGCATAAATCATAGCATCACTCCAGAGGCCGACATCTACTCGCACTGAGCCCACCAGACACTCAAAATAACACAGCTATAGGGGCTTGCACATGTGGTCGAGCCGGTGTAGCCGGTGCCTCCGCACTGACCCCATTGCGATACTGGTTTTGCAGTCTGGGTGGCCGATGTAGTTTTGGTTGTAAATGTAGTATTGGTGGGAATAGTTGGGGTTGTGGCACTGTCGCCCGTCACGGTGACTGTGACTGTCGTTGTCGAAACGATGGTGGACTGGGTGCAGAGCCCGGTCGCGGCGGCTGTCTGAGTTACTGCTATCTGTGTCGATTCGGTCGTTAAGGCTTCTGTCGGTGTCATCTCTGCCGGGATCGTTCCCGTTGGTGTAATCGCAGCTCTCGGTGAGCTCGGGGGTGTTTCACTCGTCGGTTTCGTCGGACTGGTCGTTGGTGTGGCCAAAGGGACGGTTGTCGCAGTTGTTGTGGAGGCTGCCGATTTCAGATCGGCCACAACGGCGTCCAGAAGCCCCGAGTTGGCGTAGACCTGAGACATATCCCAGATCATGATGCCTCCGAAAGTGGGAAACTGCTTCAAATACGTCACAATGGACGCCAGGGTACTTCCAGACTCGTACCCAGAGCCAGCAGCAGTAGAGCTTCCTGGAATTCCGACAAGAATGCGCACGTCGGGATTTTTGCTGACGGATTGCGCCCAAGTGTCCCATGTGCTGAAGTCGAAGTTGTTCTGCGATGACGAGCCGGAGACAAAGGACTGGAGTCCGCAGTAGTTGTTGTAAAACTGCACCATAATGAAGTCAAAATACACGGCACCAGACAGCATGTCGTTGTCTGCAACATCTGGATACGGACACTGAGGCGCTGCCGACAAGTAATACTCCTTTCCACCCGCAGCGGTAGCGGCGTCCATGCTGGCACGAAGCTGTTCTGCAAAGGCGGCCATATTCGACGTGGAAGACTCGAAGTCGAAATCAAAACCATCAACCACAGCGTTTCCAAATGGCCGGTTCACGCTGCTGGAGGTCTGGACAGGGCCAAACATGGCCCAGATGTTGTCCGCAGCTGCTGTAGCCGCTGTCGATGTGCTGAAGCCACCCTCTGTGTACGTTGCTCCACCGACGGAGAGAAGAATTGTCTTGCCATATGTGGACTGGCAAGTCTGAATATCCTCCCTGCAGGTAGCGGTCGTTAGCAGCACGATACAATAGGAGATACGTCGAACACCTTACTCTAACTGTGAGCAGCTCAGCAGGGTAGTCCCCGAAAAGGCGGTACAGTTGTCGCCAGCATTCGCAAAATTGACAACGGGTGTTGAAATAGCGTCCAGGAAAGCAAGAGGAATTATCTGTGTTATGATGTTAGCTAGAAAAGGCAACGCGGCTTTCTCCCTCAGTGGCATACATCTATATTAGTGTCTGGACGAGACCGGTCAGCAACTGCCAATCACTGCATAGTAACAGAGCAACGAGTTCAGCTTGGCTTACCAGAGCAGTAGTACGAGAGCCTTTGTTGAGAGTATAGGCTTCCTGTAGGCTGTTGGTACGAGTTCTGCCCCCAGTAGACTGCCACATTGTCGGCAGTCGAGGAGCTGAAGCCAGCATTGGCCAGAACCGCGAAGCCGACGGAGGCTCCCACAGCCGTGGCAATGATTCTCGGAGTAGCAAGCATGATGAAGCGAGCGGCAAGTGAGCACAAGCCTGAAAAGGGCCGTTATTGTATATATATGAGTGACTGGAACTCTGGTGAGACGTAGAAGACATGAAGACGGAAACCATTGAGGGCAAAGCCTAAGGGCCATCTCAACCATATTATATACAAGAGACAAAGGCAGTTCACGCTCGAACAGCTGCCAGCCTGCCGAACACATGTGCCTCCACCTCCCAGCTCAAGTGATCGGGTCTGGCCCTCGAAAGAGACAGGAAGGCTAGTGGGAGGCAAGCTACCAAACACACAAGGACTGGATGTAGGGATATTCCGGTATAGGGCACGCGTAATATGGTACGCGAGCAAGAAAGGGTGTGGCGGCTGTCTATCCATGATTGGCGGAGGCTTCGATTCTCCAAGCAACAGAGAGCAGGCACAGAGGTGAGCAGAGGAAAATAAGTGGATTTGACGGTAGTCATAGTGCATTCACTATAAGACGATACTGGAATGGGAGTTCTAGCAGGGCTGGATGACAGTATTTCATAGGCATTCGTGGAGAAAGAAAAACGGGCAAATAAAAAGGCGCAACATGTATTTGTGATACATAGTCAAGACATATAGAGAGACAAGTTAAGGGATACTCCATAGATCGATCGGCAAGCGCCATCTGCTGGCATGGCATGTCGATGACATTCCAGCTAGATCCCATTCCACGAATAGAGGCACGTGGGTCTACTTGCAAGACTTGAAGCAGTGCATTGTACCTGCAAGGTCTTGATGCGCCACTAAGATCACGAGCCTGTCGGTAACGGGGGGGGGGGGGGGAACACGGGAATCACAGTGATGGTAGTCACTCCTGTTTTTCTCCAGGGCTGGAATGTTGCAGCGTGAAATACAACTAGGCGCATGCCTGTGAGGGGAGGCGGCGATAGGAAAATTTAAGACAGGAAGCATCACAAGACACGGGCTAGTTGTCTGCGCACCCACGCAACATGCCAGACATAAAAGAGATGGCTTCTGCACTAGAGCAGATTCTTCGACATGCCATGCTGAAACCCACAACGAAGCAGTCGTAACGCGGCCAGAGCCACATAGCATCGACTTGAATCAGACCTTGGCTCATCTGTTTTTTTGCAAGGCCGGCCTCGGGATATCATATAGAGTCCCCTGGTTAAGCTAAGCGAGTTGTTGACGAAGCTTACAATTGGCTTTCTCACCTTTCCCCGTTCCAACTTCTACCGCTAGGGCAGGGTACGGCGTCACGATAAAGTGCGATTGGAGCAACTAAGCGCCAGAAACCGACGGAACTATCTTAAGTCAAAGCCCCATTAATGGCGTCACGCCCATTCGTCTTCAGGGTCGAACCAGAGATCTGGTAATAGCATTCAAACCGACAAGAGACAAGTCAGTGCCCATGTTCAGATCTTGATCGTCCGAAATATAGACGAGCCATCTTCTGATGTGCAGCCGTGGGGTGGCCATCGGCAATGGTGGCAACATGGAAATCCGAGACGTCAACGTCCACTCCATCCAGTATCACGATATGTCTCTATGCCCTTCCGGTTCTATCGTACCCCTGGCCATCGCTCGAACGGATGATCGTCGGCACAGTTTGCCGGGCGGATCTGATGAACTGGTTCCTCTGAGCCAATCGGATATTTTATTTGACAGTTCGACTGTACTCGTACTCGGGAGTACGAAGAAGCGATGCTGTGTCGAATCGTATCGAACTGGAACCGCAAAGTCAAACGAGGACGAAAGGCCAGATCAGGCAGTCCTTACTTTCGGCTGGCCATTGAGCCCCACAATCGACTCTTGAGTGGAGCACAATCACGCGGCGGCGCCCGAAAAGCACCCCACCCCCGCTAAATCCCCCCAGTCGGCACCCCATAATGAAGCCATTGCCGGCTCATAAATCCAGTCCCTCACGTGTTAGCCGTTCCATACCCGACCTGGCCGGCTTGCCTCGGAACTGCGCTCTTCCCCTGCCATATAATCAAGCATTCCCTTCCCGTAGATGTGTTTGTCGACTGCACACGCTTTGGCTCTTCGACTTCGCTCTCCAAAAAACGCCCCATCAAAAGATCGCAAAAGTCTCGCCAGTATCGTCACAATGCCTGTGTCAGCTCGTCCGATATTTGCCAGGCGCCTGACCACGTCGGCTCAAGTCCATCCACGCTTCCTTCCATACATGCACGGCAGCAAGCCCCTACTCCGGGGCCCCCCAATGCGCCGGTGAGTTTAGCTGCACCCCCACGGTTGTAATATCAGAAACATAATTAAAGCGTCCGATGGCTGACATTCCATTCCCCCCCCCTGGACAGGTTGCCTGCTTATATGGCCGTTGCTTGTATTGGATATGCTGCTGTTAAATACGGTAACAAGGGGTCAGAAACTGCGGCGACCCAAGACACTCGTCTATCCGAAGATCGCGTCGCCCTCTTGGATGCGTATGGCGGTCGTGAAAGTCTCGAGGAGCTAGAAATGGCTTCTCGTATTTACAGCATGCAACAACAACAAGGCCGTAAATAGTCGTTGGGTACTGATGATTGATGACATGGGATTTGCTCCCTGTAACACACGGCGCACTGGTGGTTTGATTTGTATAGCATTCAAGCGTTTTGTCTCGTCGCATTTCCAAAGCCACGATTGACTGGATTAGTCTCAAATAAGCATAAATATTCCTTTTGTTTTGACGTATGTGAACCGATTTAAGGTACCCAATGAAGTCTGCTTTGAGTATTGGGGCGCCGGAATGTGTGGACAGCGACTGAGACAAGCTCTCGTAGCTTCGCATCGCAGACTTTATCAATGGCCGACGAAATCCGTAACCGGCATGTTGGCGCAGTGGTCTCAGCTGCCTAGATTTTGGCTCTGTCATCTTTCTCCTTCCTCAAAAGCAATGAAATGTTGTCACGAACCCTCTCTGCTAGTTTCACGGCATCTTGCTCGTCCAAATCCGTTCGCTGGCCACGCCCAAACATCGTAAATTTCTCGGCCCATCGTCCTTGTCTGCGAATATCTGGCCGAGGAATGATATGGAAGTGCGTATGCGGCACAACTTGTGCAGCAGCCGCTCCATTGTTCTGTACTATGTTCCAGTCATGCACGCCTGTGGCATGCACAAGCGCTGCAGAGAGAACACGAAGCCAACATCCCAGCGCACTAGCCTCCGTCTCACTAACTGCCGACATCTTCTCTCGGTGTTGTCTTGGACAGAGAAGCAAATGACCTTCTGCCAGAGGTGCGATGTCGAGAAAGGCTACCACAAGCGGCGTTGAGAGCACTACAAATGTCTCAGTGTGTGGGTGGGTTCGTGTCGAGTCTAGTGCTGAATGCGATGCAGGAGGTGGCTGCAGAGGATCGAACGGCGGGAAGCACCGTGCTATGTTGCAGAAAGGACAACCATCTCCACCTCCTGGCGGGGCTTCGGCGGACGGTTGGGCCATAATTTGATGAACTGAATTGCAAGAATTGACTATAGCTGTGACGAGCGTGGAAATCTGGCACGACGAAATCGGATTCTGCCTCCTCTATAAGACAGGCCTCACGTCAAGGCGGTGAGGAGATGTCGCAGGACACCAATAGCAATGAGAGTACTCCGTATCTGGCTACATTCCGCTTCGATAATCCATATGTGCGTCGAGATACCACTGTAAGGTTCACATGCCAGTATTGTAACCTTAAAACCTCTTGACTTCAAAGGTGGCTGACGAAAGACCCGTAGCATCATCGGTCGGAAAGACAAGAAAGAAAACCCCCGAATTGCGGAGCGTTTTACGAGTATATGCATGGATGGGACTCCTTAGAGACCAATCTAGGCTTAATTCAGTATAACCCTTGATGCAACCTATAGGTGCTCATTGTTCCGGGTTTGAGACTGGATGCCGAAATGGGACTTCGTAGGTTCATGGCTAGCACCGGAAGACTTATTGCTGACATCGATTCCTACGAACAACGACGTTCCAGATAAGTGTAGACCCGTCTTATATGATCCTACTTGCTGGTTTAACTGTGTTGATCTGATGACCTCTAGATCAGTCACGACAACAAAGTAGCAAGATACGTGTATAATAAATACCACGATCCCATACATCCAAACCCCCCCAATAACTAGAACTGCCATACAGTGGCAGGCAACATGCCATTGAAACCCCATCAAAGCGCTTCTCATCTACCGGCGATCTCTTCCTTCTCATCTTCCCAATCTCCAGCATCCTCCATGATCTCGTTTGCCTGCATCTCGGCGTCCCCCTCAAGACCCTCGCTGTCAAAACTCTCGTAACCATCGCTATCGTATGCGTCATCCACATCCATCTCACCATGTTCGTCACTCTCATTATCGCCGCTGCCGTCTTTATCGGCGTCCCTTGTTTTCCGCCCACCTCTTTCGTTTGTGGCGTTCGCTTTCTTTTTTTCGACATTGTCCTTCTGCTCCTTCTTCCTCGCTTCCTTCTCCCGCCTGCGCGTCTCCCAGCGGGCCTTCATATCCTTTATCTCCGTCTGCGACTTATGAATATGCTCATGCCACATAACTTGGCCCTGACACAACCCTTCTTCAACCTTGATGAGTCTCAGCCTCATGCGAGGACCAAGTTCAATCAGCTTCACAGCCCGTCGTTCCACATGATCATCAGCGACGTCTGCCCGACCGTCATCTGAATCATCTTGACCGTCTGACGTTGCTGTGGTTGCACGGGACTTCGTAGACGTCACCTTGCGGGCTGTCGTTTCTAACACCTCGACTTCGGCGTCGGTCTCCGCCTCACTGCCACTCGTGCCCCCGTCGGTCACATAACCCTCCCCGTTTTCACCACCCACCATGTAGTCAGAGATATCCTGCAGCTTTCCTAAATTGGGTAACCCGCCCTTTTTTGTCTTTTTTGAATAAAGAAGCTTTTCGGCAGCGTTCAGCCTCTTGAGAGCCTTTGAGATACCGGTTGCTTTCGTAGTGATCGCATAGTGACGAAAATTGAGAACAAACGAGTCGGGGTCGGAACTGTTTCTCTCTCGGTTGAGCAAAAGTACTCTCCGAATTGACGTAAGAGGGGTTGCTTGAGGATTGATGGGTGGAAATAGAGACTGAAAGCTGGTGGTGATTAGTGACTCGAGATGTTTTGGTATTTTGGCATTCGAATCTTCTGCAATACTAAAATTGTTCATAACCAGCTGATTTTTTTGTTAGTTCGATAATATAATGTAAAGACAAGAACAAGAGCAACCACAATGAGAGAGCTTCCATACCAACGGTGGATTGATGTACTCTTTGCCTCCACCTTTCGGGTGCTTTTGCGCCCTCTGAACATCTTTACTCAGCGAGTATTTCTCTACTCTGAAATGTAGTGTAGGGCCGCGCGGAGCAGAAGAAATGCGCAGATTGACATTGCCAGAGGTTGACCTTGAAAATAGAAGCAGCTGCGTGACGCCAAGAGGGCCGCACATAGTCACGTAGTCCCTTAAGCGATTGGCTCTTCTTTCTTTCAACCGGCTTGCAGTTCCAGGTTCCATAACCCTGCGAACATCCGAAGCCAACTGGCTCACGCTGGAGCCAACTTCGCCAGCTCCAATGCGGATGACCATGCTTTTGGGGTTACGAGCAGATGCAATCCCCGTGCTGGCCGGTATAGAGCCATTGTTTCCGCTTGTCGGAGCTGCATGTGTTCTCCTCTTACTGCGCCGTCTAGCCATTTTGAAGTTTGCCTGAAAGGTGGAAAACGCTGTGCTGTTTTCCAGAAGCAGATATATGATGGGGGATAATATGCAAGACAGAAAGAACGATACAAGAAACTTTTTTTTAACAATTCTTTATCTATAAGAAGGTTTTCCCATATCGAGCCTAGCTTGCTACGCGATAGTGCGATAAGCTAGATACGATAAAACTGCCTGCTATGTACTCCGTACATAGTCAACTTTATATCTGCTGTTCCTCAGTCAAAATCCTCGTCCAGTCAAATTTTCTCCATCGCTTCTGGAAATCTCCCAACCGCGCATCATCTCTAGTCCAACGGCCTTGCCGCCTGATGATGCTCGCATCGACATCTAGCATGCCTCCTATTATCTCTCTGGCAAAAAGGTCGCCCTTGGGCCAACGCCCTGCATCCTCCACGATATGCCCGAGGCCCCCGTCAACAGTGAACCAAACATGGAAATACGGCATCTCCTTTGCAATGCTCTTTCTGAAGGCTTGCTTTCCTAAGCCCTCGCGAGCTCGCTTCCCTGTGTCAATGAGCTTCTTGTGCTGGCTCCACTCTTCGTCGGCAGAAAGCATGGCATCCTTGAAGAATGCTGGCGCTGTGGCACCCAGGTCGTATGGGATAGGCACTGCAATCAAAGCTGCATGCATTCGGCGGTGAGGACTGGCTGCATTTTCGTAGAATACAATATCACGGCCCTGGTCGTGGTAGAGCCGCGTCAAAGACTTCATGAAGTTGCGAATCTCCTCCCACTCGTCGTTGTCACAGTCCAGGAGGTTGGTATGATGTTCGACTGGCACAATCACAGCTCCACCGTCCGCGCCAGTCAGCTCTGGTTCCGTTGGTAATGTAAGGAAGACACGTGTAGCGAGAGAAACAATCGGTGCAGTGGGAAGGTTTTGTGGTGGGCGGCGGTCTTCGTGGTGGCACAATGGACACGAGTCCAAAATTTTGTTCATTTTTGTGAAATCATTCACGGCAATGTTTTTCAAGGTTGCCTCCGATTTGTGTGTCCGACTGGCAAGCTTTTCAGCATTATCGTCCATATATTCGAGGTCATTTTTAAACTTGGCGTCCTTCGTAATGCGCTCAGCAAGCCTGAGGCCTTCCCCACCTGCCGCTCCACGCGTGCGGCGCTCCTCACGCATCATGTCGTCGATGCTCATGTCGTCGTTTGCCACAACCTGGCCTCGTTCTCTTCCCCTCCTCGTTTCTACCGCCTTGACTTCGTTCCGTGTACTGGCTAGCATACGGTTGTATGCCGGGTCTATAACAACGGCATGCTCGACCCCATTCTTATTAGCTGCAGATGATGTCGCCATAGCTTGATTGAACTCCGTTTCAAGTCTTTCAACATTTGGTGAGTTTTTCAATTTCGCCTTCATTAGTTGCGCACGCAGCCGGTTGAGAGTTGTCTGGTCCACAATTTCGGGTGGACGCTGGACTTCCACCTCATCAGGTCGACGCGGTGACGGCGATCTGCCGGCGTTTTCGTCTCTGATCGTAGGCTTCGGGCTCCGTTCCATCCTCTCTTGGTATAAATCTCCGGTCGGCTTCTCCTTGACAACGTATCCCTTTCCATAAAGCCTCCTTCTCTCCAGTTCTTTCTCTTCTTCTCGAGCCTCATCGAACTCCCGTAAGCTGCCGTACCGTTCGATAGCCACTTCGTCAACTGGCCGATCACTTTGCCCGGCCACTGTGTAAACCGCACGAAGTTTCGTCATTCTCCACTGGGAAGCTTCGTCCCCGAAACAGTAGCTTTCTGCACTATTTGCTGGCGTCCGAAGCTCGTCGATCACTTTGCCGTCATTGAGTTGTTGCAGGGTCTCTTTGTTTAGCTCCCTTTCAGAGACCTGATACTGGGCGTCCTTCTTTTGGGACGGGAGTTGCTCCTTTGTCCGGCGGTGAATATAGTCGATTCTGAGCGCGGAAGGATTCGACATCCAATCGTCTCTTTCAAACGTTCGAGTGTCCTGATCCTTCTTCCGAGATGGAAGCTCTTCGTTCTCGATATGCTTTGACGCGTAAGCGATGTCATCGGTCGCGTTCAGAGGGTTCGACTGTCGCTGGCGTTTTCTTCCATGGCTACCATCATCTTCAGAGTCAGACTCGCGAGAGCTTCCATGTCGGTGCCGATGTCGGTGCTTATGCCTATCTGAGACTCTACTACTGCTGTGTCTGCTAGTATGTTCATGTTTGCGGTGGTGTTCTCGGTGATGATGTCGATGGGATCTTTCTTTGCTTCGGGACCCTGACGTCTCCCTTTCAGCCTTTTCCCGGGCCAGCTCCCTTTCAAACTCTGCAAGTCCATCCATTGTGGCGGCTGGCTGCAAAATGACCGATTTGTATGAAATAAGGTGTGCTCATTTCGACTGCCCTTTTTTGTTCGTTGTCACGTCACGTGCTTCGGTATCCGCTCTCGAAAGACAACTGAATACCGACACAGCATCCGCCGTCGGAAAAGTAAGTCGCGAGCGAACGAGTGTAATAGGCAACTAGTTAAACACATGCTACTTTGCACACTTTGCAATATTATCTGAACTTAACTTGTTAATGTGCTTATTGAGACTTTAGAGACAAGGCTGCGAATGAAAAGCACCAGCAACCAAATTAGGTTGTGTAGCATTGACGCTTTTATCTCAATGTTTGTAAGCAATGGACCCCTGTCGCTTGGACTTTAATTGCTCCATCAGGCACCCCAGGTTCAATACAGGCTTAAACGGAGTGAAGTCGGTAACCCCTCAATGGCGAAATGGCCGGCCCCGCCGTCGGACTGTGATTAGTGAGAGATAAATTTTAATAATCGGCTAATAGTAATGCTGATGGTAGTCGTCATCGCTTCGTTGCTCTAACAAACCGTTTTAAGGACTCAAGTATCGACTTTGCAGCATTACCATTAATCGGCATCTCCTATCTCATTGCGTTACATATCAAAAGCAATGACGTTTGATAGCGGATCACAGCAGTCTGTACTGCAACACCACCTGTCACAAGAGTCAGTGGACCAGTCAGCAGCACACGGCGGCGATGCCTTTCTCCCTGAAACATACCACTTTCCGACGCATCAGTTGCGAGCTTTGCAGGACTCAAAGAAGAAGCCTCTGGTACTAGTTGTTTGTGGTTCTTTTAGGTACGCCAATCCTGTGCATTTTTCGATTAGCTGGGATAGATCGAGGCATATACTGACATTCGGCCTCTGCAGTCCCATTACCATTATGCGTAAGAGCGGCTCTTTTTCTTGGGGGATTGACTCATTGTGAGGTTTTGTGGAACGGCTTCTGACATCGTCTGGATAGATCTCCGCATGTGCGAGATGGCCTTTGACTGGGTGCGCATGGTGGAGGACGCCTATGAGGTGGTAGGCATGTACTTGTCCCCTGTGTCCGGTAAGCTTTTTGGAATTAATCCCTTGCTCGTATATCGGTGCGAATAGCCCCTTTTGTTAGTATAACGCTTACCATGTTTTTACCAGATGCCTATAAGAAAGCAAACCTCGCGGAGGCAAAGCATAGGTGGGATACTCTCTCCTTTATTGAGACGGGGTAAAAATTTCTTTGCTGACGGTATATCAGAGTTCGCATGTGTGAGTTGGCTGTGGAAGACTCTACAAACTGCGTTATGGTAGACCAGTGGGAAGCCACCCAACCCCGATATGTGCCTACAGCTCAGGTTCTCGATCATTTCCGCTCGGAAATCAACGAGGTCTTAGGCGGCATCACAGATGCAGAAGGCCAGTCGAAGAAGGCCGCACGCGTGGCCCTTTTATGTGGTGCCGACCTAATGCAGTCGATGAGTACACCGGGTCTGTGGAGCCCTAATGATCTAGACCGCATATTAGGCGAAGGTGGTCTGTATGTTGTAGAGCGGCATGGCACCGATCTGGAGGAGGCTAAGGAAGCGCTCAGCAGGTGGACAGACAATATCTCTGTGATCCCACAGGGTGTGCCAATAGATTTGTCATCCACCAAAGTGCGCCTGTTTTTGCACAAACAGATGAGCGTACGCTACTTCGTACCAAATCCAGTGAGTCAAATCAGAGAGCTTTTATATTTCTACTCTGCAGAACACTAACAAACTTAGGTTATACAGTATATCACTGACAACGGGCTCTATGGAACGAGTAAAACAGAGCTGGCTAATGAGGCGCATCCGGATGCTGGAAGAACTGCTGGTGGCGCCAATCTATTCAAACGCGCCTGAGCTGAAGCGATCAAACATCGCTTTATTCGGCGAGTGGATGTATGAGATACCTGTCGGGATACTCTTCTTTACGAAAGCATACTTGCGGTCGCATATTTTCAGCGTTAATGGGGGGTTTAGGGGTGAACTGGATACCTTTATGTGTTGCTTTTTGGCTTTGTCTTTTGGAAACTCGTCGTATATTCTTGGGCGACAAGCATACATAGCATTGTCGTATCCTCATAACTTACTTATACGAAATTGATGCAATCAAGTCTATCCTCCAAGTTGATATGAAAAAGGTATCTACATCGTTATGTGCGATGATACGGGGCGCGTCCGGTCAGCTGCCAGCTAGCCCATCACGTGACACATGACATTGCTAACAAAATATTCTCACCTCTGAAGAAGACATTCGTATAAATCGAATTTACAACAAACTCATTCGCGAATTTTTCTTAAAGCAATACAGAAGACTCTTCTGTAGCCATGGAATCATCTACTCCGCCGAAACAGCCCGTTTCCATTGTCTGCGTTGGAATGGCAGGTGGGTTGAGCTCCTCAAGACAGACGAGGGTGGTCTGTAGCCAGACCCCTGCCCAAGTTATAGCATGCCTGACAAGACGATGTACATAGGCTCTGGAAAGACAACATTTATGCAACGCGCGAACGCATATCTACACAGCCAGAAGGAACCTCCATATGTGATCAACCTCGATCCTGCCGTTCTGAACGTGCCGTTCGATAGTAATATCGACATCCGTGACAGCGTCAACTATAAAGAGGTCATGAAGCAGTATAATCTAGGGCCAAACGGAGGCATTCTGACGGCTTTGAATCTGTTTTCTACAAAAATCGACCAGATTCTCAATCTGCTTGAGAAGCGCGCATCGCCTGATGCATCCGAGCCAGGAAAGCAGCCCATAAAGCACATATTGGTCGACACACCCGGACAGATCGAGGCATTTGTGTGGTCTGCCTCTGGAACAATTCTGCTTGAATCACTTGCCTCCTCTTTCCCGACAGTCATCGCATACATAATCGACACACCACGTACAGCCAGCACCAGCACTTTTATGAGCAATATGCTGTATGCGTGCAGCATCCTTTACAAGACGAAACTCCCTATGATATTAGTGTTCAATAAGACAGACGTCAAAGATGCTGGTTTTGCTAAAGAATGGATGACGGACTACGATTCGTTCCAGGCTGCACTGCGTGAGGAAGAGGACAGAAACGCATTTGGTGGCGGGGAGGGTGGCGATAGCATGGGCGGCAGTGGATACATGGGCAGTTTGCTGAACAGCATGAGCATGATGCTAGAAGAGTTTTATGCCCACCTCAGTGTTGTCGGAGTGAGCTCGATGACGGGGCATGGAGTGGAGGAGTTCTTCCAGGCCGTTGAGGAGAAGGCAGATGAATTCAAGAGGGACTACCAGCCCGAGCTGGAGCGACGTAGGCGGGAGAGAGATGGCCTGAAAAAGGCGGCACGCCAGAAGGAGTTGGACAAAATGATGAAGGGACTGAACGTCAAGTCGGATGAGGATGGTTTGCGAAACAGCAGGACCGAGAACGGCGACGACGACGACGGCGGTGCGGGTAGCCTCGGGAGCGACAATGACGGAGAGGAGTCGGATGATGACGATGCTGATCCCGACGAGGAATATGACCGAGAGGGGCTCCAGTCGAGGTATGAAGCAACTTTTTCGGAGCAGAATGACCTGACTGCGGACAACGCCAGCTTCGCCAAGTATCTGCATTCGCAAAGGTAGCATACAGATAGATACATCATAACATAAGGCGGTTATCGTGGTTTCACGACCCAAGCATGGTATACCCAGTGTAGTATTTGAAATACAGCAAATTTGGACACCAGACTCTCTAGGTTTGAATGCTTTCAACTCCATGACCAACGGGAAATTTCAAACACAAATACGAGTCGTACACGGCGCAGCTTGGGGTTCTAGCCGAACATTGCTATCTTGCCTCGAACTGGACCATCCTGTAATACCACATGGGCGTCATCAGCATGCATAGTGCGCTGCCTGCGTCACATCTAGCTTGCGTACCTCTTAGTGCGCTGCTTGTAGAGCACGCGTCCTCCACACTCCTTGCATCGTACTGGGTCCGTGTGCCGCAGTGTGTTCTTGATGCCGCAGTCTGCACAGAGGTAGTTCATTTGAGCACCTTCTGAGTTGGAGTCTTGACCGTAAGCCTTGGGCGCGGAAAAAGACTGGTTTTGGGTGGATGACGTGGGCACCACGTATTGCTCGCGTGAAGCCATCGTTTTCTGGGCGTCTTCGCTGTTGTGCGTTCTTGATGGTGACCGTTATTTACTCAATGGAGGCGGTCGCGGTCAGGCGCTGTCACGACAGAGTAAGAGAGGTATTGAGCGGCGAACTTCGAAAATTTGTATTGTCGCGATATGGCCGGTGGGCCCTGTTTTGTTCGGGTTTACTCCGTACACCGCCTTTATTTAGCGTACAATCACGGGATCACTCTCACCGCCTCTGTCCTACGAGCGTTTAGAACATGGAATTTCACCTCTCTTCTTTCGTTTGTTCATGTTCGATTCCTCCTTTCGTCTATCAGTTATAATGTGAAATCAGATGGAAAAATACAGTCCAATACATTACGTCTCTATACGGGGCTGCCCTAGTTGGGGCACGATGTTGCAGTCCTCATCCGTATCAAACTTCTCATATCGCGCCAGAAACTGTCCGCCGCACCACGTCTCGGCGCGGCGCAACGTCCCTGGGGCAACGGTTGGTCCTGAGGCCCCCAAAAGTCCTCGGCCATCTCCAGCTTCCGGTAGCGCTTCTGTCCAGTGGCCGGATTGCACAGCCTTCAAGTGGGCGCCCTATAGGGGGCCGCGGTCGATCGGAGTCCCGCGGCTGCTGGCCTCATTGTGTTCTGTGCACCGAGTAGGACGGTGGCCACGTAAACGCCGCCGGCACCTCCATTTTTGGTTTTTTCTTCATCTTTGGTGGCGCTTCAGCCTGCGGCACAAAGTACAACTTGCGCAGGCCGACTAAGTTGGGCATATGCATGTCGCCGGTATTGGCAGTGTTCGTGAGCAGGCTGTCCGGCAGGCCTGTGTACAGCAGCACGCGCATGACGCGTAGGGTGTGCTTGTTCTGGGCGATGTACAGGTGCTACAGCGTCCAGGACAGGGTTCTTGGCAGCTGCGAGAGGCAGAGGCGGACACCGGGCGAGAGGAACATGTCAAGGTCGATGGCGAGGCGGTACGTCGACAGCTGCATGCGCAGGCCCAATCTGGCAGTCGTGTCGCCGTCAGTGTCGGGCTGGCACACCGTTTAGCTGTGCAGGGCCGCAAGGTGCAGGTAGTGGCCGCAGTTGGAGAAACTGGCCTGCACGGAGATCTCACAATTGACCGGGCATTGGAGCCGAGGATGCGCAAGAAGTAGGTCTTGTGGGTGTAGTGCACAAATAGGATCTCGTTGCCGCATAGCGGCCACACCAGCAGCGGACGAGCCGGGTGGAAGCCGTCAAGCGATGTCCTGCGAGTGGCTCCAAAAGACATATTGGCTTTAATGACAGCGGCTAGGTCAACACGGGGCAAGTCCAGAGAAGAAGGCCTCGGGAAAAAACAAAGGGATATCCAAAACATGCCACTGACCGGCCGGCAGATCGACTCTGTCCAGCAGCTTCCATACCTCCTCAAGGAGCAGCGGCCGCTTGGCATAGATGAGGCAAGAGAAGGCCTTATTGTAGTGTGAGCAGTCAGCCTAAAACCAGGGAGCCGTGCTGGTCTTGAGGCTGCGGAAAGCAGCATGGCAATGGTCTGGTTTTTGGACGCGGCTGTTAGCTGGATCTGCTCGGCCCCGGCCAGCAGTCACGCACCTTGCGGTGGTCCTGCGAGCTGCACTGCAGCTTGAGGCTCGAGCCGGACTGTCGTGCCGCCTCAGATCAAAAACAACGACGTCGCTGGCCGCTTGCCACCGCTCGCTGCTGGCATATTTCTCGTCGAAGCTGAAGTACTGCACTGCCACCGCCGCCGCCTGGTGCTGCTCTCCCCGATTTTCCCCCTGTTCTCTCAGCATCCGCGTTGCGTTTGCGCAGGCCGGTAGCTTACCCACGCCATTCCGGCGTGCAGCCAGAACACGTTTGACCCCGAGCCCGGGTCCCGCCAGCGTTGGACGTGCGGGTCGTGCGGCGGCCAAGTTCCCGTTTCGGCCAGCAGTGCGTTCTCATGCTAGTACTAGCACTGGTTGTTTCTCTCGTTCAGCTCCACGCCTCCCATGGTCCAGTGGCACACCTCTCATTTTCCTGCTTTCGATGCACTGCTTAGTCCGCAATACCCCTAGAGACCGCCTCGTCAAACATATGCTAGCTTTCACGCTCCTCCTTCTGGTCGGCCAAATCTGTGCAAGGACCAGGCCGGTCTTGCATTGCTCTGTTACCGCGTCCCCATACTCTCTTTGGCGGATGTGCTCTCTCACAATTGAAACCGGCTTGGCAATACAAATAGAACCTCATCGAGCTTGGACATGGCGAACGAATATATCAAGGCTGCTGCCAGCACAGGCCCGAACGCTTTTCACTGCGTCTAAACTCGCACCGAGACCGGATTACGACCAGGTACGCTTGCTTCAGAAGCTGCTGTATGTCCGTCGACGACATAAAGAGCTGTTCGTATTTCTTCATCCGCCACGGCTTTCGGCCCAGGCGCTTGACAGCTCTCCAGTCTTGTTCATCAGGATGGATTATCGGCGGAAGCACTGCTCTGCCAGGGAGGTATAATCAGCGTTTACATGTCCAACGATGCTATGCATATCATCAAAATACCTTGCGTCCAGAGCAAAACGACCGGCCGAGACCAGATGTACTCTGTGCTATTTGTCATTTCCCCTATCAGACCGATCCTTCGGTTGCATTGCAGCTTTTCATAGTACACTCAGGTTGTGTGAATCACGCGTCTTATACAGAGCACAATGGGGAAGTCAGCTTAATCCCGTGGATTCTCATAATTAAACACGTGGTCAGAGCCACTGAGGTGGACATCAAGTCACTGAAGCTGGCCGAAGTACTGCTGGGGATGTTTGGTGGCATCGAGGACATCTGGCTGACCAAAGCCCACAGAGAGTGAGCGAGTGCAGGACAGGCAGATGGTAGAGCTCATAACTAACCAGAAATTTAGACAGCAACTCGCTTTTCCACGCCTACGAACAGCTCGGCCAGCGGCTCCAGGATCCAAGAGGTCAAGGCCACGCCCGACAAGGACTTTATTGAAATTGTTAGAACGGCCCGATAATTTGTGGGGGAAGAATTCGGCGGCACGCTCCTTGAGTTCTAGTCACTGCTCGCACACGGCATCATCAAGTGTGGCCTCCTTCAAGCCCTCATCCAGACCTGGGACGAGGTCTTCATGAGCCACAGGCGCTGCAATTCAGCGGGCGCAAATACCACGAGACTTTAAGAGGCGACTTCTTCATTGTCACCAGCAATACGATCTCGCACGACGGCGTTGACTTCTGCTGAACCAAGTTGAACGTCTGCATCCCCGAATTTGACGGCACCAAAAAAAATCGTCAACCCAGCCGTGTTTCCCCTATCCAGACACATCTTTGTCAGCCTTATAAATCAGCCCATGTACCGCGAGTACCATATCGTCACAGGCTGCCAGCCCTCCCCAAAACTTTCGCAGCCCGTCGAGGAGCGCTTTTTCACCTCTGGCCGCATCATATTCGACTCAGCACCTGCTGCTCCCAGAGCCTTAACGGCACGTTCATGCTCCTACCCTAGGTGCCTTCCACCCTCTTCACCATGCTTCTCACCGACGACGGCTTATCTTCTGCAACTACCGTGCCCTCAGCTTCTCCTTTGCCGCCTAGAAACAATAGGACTGTCTTCGCCGTCTCTGCCATAGCCGAAGTCACCTAGCACCACTACGCCTTCAACCACCTCATACAAGACGAAAAGAGTTGCCACCTATCGTTCTATCTCGTTACAGTATTGACGGCGCCATAGCAGAAGTCGTCGCCGGCAAGAGCAAGGGGCTCGTCAGTCTGTCAAGCAGCAATTCTAGTGTTGGCAAGACGCTAACCGTTAAGGCTACAGCCGAGCTCTTTATCCGTCCGCTATACACCGTTTCGGCCGGCGAGCTGAAACCGTCAACGAGCGCCTCGGCACAGTGCTATATATTACCCGGCACTGGCGTTGCGTCTTGCTAATCGAATAATCCGACGTCTTCCTTTACGAGCGCAGCTAAAACCGGCCAGAACGCAATACTGTTATAGTCTTTACGCAAGCTTTAGTAAGATATATCTAGGCCTACCTTTTTCCATTTACAACCGTCTATCTTGCCGGCCAACGGCACTTAAAGGGTATTTCCCACACACACCCTATGCACCGGTTCGGCGACCCACTGCTTACTAAGCTCCTAACTTAACGAACTACCATAACACGTGCATAAGTCTTAAAAACTTATTAACTTTATTTAATAGTAAAGTAAGAAATATTTAAAATTTATAAAAGAGACGTCTTAGTAGTAGACTACCTTTATTGGTTAGTTAATAATAGTCTTATAATTAGTAAGTAATAAATAGCTATTACTACTTTTATTTTACTTTTACTATTAGTTAAAACCTTAACTTTATACTACTATTTTTAGTTAGCGTATACTACACCCTTATACAACTATTATCTAAGGCTAGCCTTCTTATAACACCTTTATTAGCAGCAAATTTAGTATTTTTTTAACTAGGATCTAAGCGTTACACCTTTTAAAAAGCGCCTTTATAGGACAGTCTTTGTATCTAGCTAGATCCGTATAAGGGTTAGTGTGCAATGTGTAATTTTAAAGGCTTTAAACGTGTTTGTACTTGTGTATTAAAACTTTAACTTAACGAACTATAGTAGACTAGTAGGCGACGGCCTGCTAGCTAATTTATACGTGACTAGAAAATGCAGTGTAGCGCAACCTTAGTAGGGCATAGCATAGCTAAGTGGCTGTGCCGGTCCTGTGCAACGTGTTAAGATAATTCGCTAAGTCTGCCGCTTAGTAAGCGACGGGTTGCCGAACCGGTGCGTAGGGACGCGTGTGTAGAATACCCTTATACTATTATCCCCTCCCTCCCTAAGTAACAACCTTGTTAGCCTAGAGGTGCATACGCGGCAGCCACTTGCTTATTAAAAAACCTTTTTATATAGAGTTAGGAAAAAGAGTTAAGTGCTTTAAGTTATTAGCGGTTGCTAAGCGGTTGCAGACCGCTTGCTTGTGTAACTATATTTAAGTATATAAAAGCGTATACGTACTACTTAGTTTATAGCGGTAGTAAACGCTAGATCCTACTTAATATAAGGGTTATCTTATGCGTAAGAGCTTTTTAAGAGGCGTGCGGCTTAAATCCTAGTTAAGGAACGCTTAGGTTGCTACTAATAGGTGTTGTAAGAAAGCTAGCCTTAAATACTAGGTATATAAGGCTATAGTATATGCTAACTAAAAATAGTAGCGTAAAGCTTAAGACTTTTAATTACTAGCAAGGTAAGATAAAGGCATTAGCAGCTATTTATTGCTTATTAATTATAGAACTATTGCTAACTAGATAGTAAAGGTAGTCTACTATTAAGACGTCTTTTTATTTAATTTTAAACGTTTCTTACTTTATTATTAAAGTAAGGTTAAGTAAGTTTTTAAGACGCATTTAAACGTTTAATAATATAGCTTTATTAAAGAACCTAGCGCGCTATATTAGCTATATAGCTAATAATATATTATACTTACTAGTAAGTACGTTAACTTATATACGCTAGTAGCTAATTGCTAACTAATAGTTCTTTAATAAAATTAAAGGCTTAGCTTAATATATTTAGGAGTTTTTATCTAGTATAAATAAGTTGCTACTTTAATAAATAATAGTTAATAATATTATTGTAACGCTAAGTAATTATATAGTAATTACCTAAAAGTTAATAGCTTTAATAGTAGTAACTAAGAAACTTAACCATGCCTTATAAACAAATAAGTTAAAGCCTTTAGTAACTAACTAGCGCTTTTAGTATAAATGTTTTAAGATAGTATAATAGGCTATATTACGCCTTAATATCTTTTACTAGTACTAGCAAAGGTAGCCTAGCTTTTACTACTAACGTTCCTAGACATAGGTATACTATTATAAGCGTAGACTTAAGTTGCTACTACTTTTAAAGTAATAGTAAGTTTTTTAATTCTTATTATTAAGTTATTACTAATTTATTACTTAAGCAAATCTTTATTCTATTATACTTAGCCTAGCCTAGCGCGCTATAGCTATTTAAGCTAGCTATAATAGTATGCTTTACTATACTATAAGAGTAAAGAGGCTACTTAAGTAAATTTTATAGACTATAGCAGCCTTAGTTAAGCTAGCTTAAACTAACTAAGTAGTAGTCTTTCTTTAGCCGCTACCTTTAATAGCGCTTAGTAAGTAATAGTCTTATACTAAGTTACTAACTTTAGCTAAGCGCTAGCATAGCGCTAAAACTATTCTTAGTACTATAGCTAGTAGTAGTAGTATAGTAGTATTTAATAAGAGTACGCTAGTAAGCACCTAGTTAGTAACTAGTAGTAGCTATATACTAGCTAGTAAAAGCTTGCTTAGTAGTAAGAAAGAAAATAAAAAAGATAGTATTAAAAAGAAAGATAAAAGAGTAAAGAAAACGTTTATAAAGAAGAATAGTAATAAGTAGCTAGTAGCTAAGTAATAGCTTACTAATAGTATATTTTAAGTTTATAGCTTTAAAGAATGCCTTTAAAGCTAGAATAAATAGTTTATAGTGTATAATTATATAAAAATAGTAAAAGTAGTTAATTAATAATTAGCTTATATATAGCTAGCTATTACTTTATAGTCTTTTTCTTTTTTATAAGTATATTTTATAGTCTTTTAGTAAGACTATAACTTATAGCTAGTATACGCTAAATACTTTTCTAGTTCTTAAGTATTATACTTAGCTAGCTAGCTTTTTTTATTTTACTAGAAACTAAGTTTATAACCTTTTACTAAGGTAAGTAATAATATTTTTGTAAGGGGGTAGTGTGCAATGCGTGGTCACAAAGGCTTAACCGGTTTGTACTATTGTATTAAGACTTCAACTTAACAAACTATAAGAGACTAGTAGGCGAAGGCCTGCCAGCTAATATATACGTAACTAGAAGATGCGGTGTAGCGCAAACCTAGTAGGGCGTGGCATAGCTAAGTGGCTGTGCTAGTTCCGTGCAACGTGTTAAGATAGTTCGTTAAGTCTGTCGCTTAGTAAGCGACTAGTTGCCGAACCGGTGCGTAGGGACGCGTGTATAGAATACCCTTACACTATCCCCCCCTCCCTAGGTAACGCCCCTGTCAGCCTAGAGGTGCACACGCGGCAGCCACTTGCTCGTTAAAAAACCTCCCCTTGTAGAGTTAGGAAAAAGAGTTAAGCGCTCTAGGTTATTGGCTGTCGCTGAGCGGTCGCGGACCGCTTGCTTGTGCGACTGCATTTGGGTAACGTGGAAGCGCACACGTACTGCTTAGTCTATAGCGGCAGTAAACGCTGGATCCTGCTTAATGCACGGGTTGTCTTGTTTGTTAGAGCTTCTTAGGAGGCGTGTAGCTTGGATCCTAGTTAGGGAACGCTTAGGTTGCTGCTAATAGGTGTTGTAAGAGGGCTAGCCTTAGACACTAGGTGTATAGGGGTGTAGTGTACGCTAACTAAAAACGGCGGCGTAGGGCTTATAACTTCCGACTACTAGCAGGGTAGGATAAAGGTAATAGCGGCCGTTTATTGCTTGCTAATTATAGAACTATTGCTTACTAGATAGTAAAGGCGGTCTGCTACTAAGACGTCTCTTTATTTAATTTTAAACGTTTTTACCTTACTATTAAAGTAAGGTTAAGCAAGTTTTTAAGATGTATTTAAACGTCTAATAACGCAGCTTCTTTATTACTTTAAGGTATAAAAGAGCAAGTGTATTCTATAATTTAAGACAAATTTGTCTATACTTATAAGACTACTCTTACCTTTTTAGCCCTTTTTTCTTTAATCTTACTTATATAGTAAGTTAATATAATAGTTTGCAACTTTATATAGTAGCTAGCTAATAATTGCTTATAAATAATGTTTAACTAAAGCTGCTTTTAAGTCTTAATAGACTTTTTTATAAATGCAAACCTTATAAAACGCTCTTCTTAGGCATACGCACTGTCTTTTAAGAGCGTAGGTCTTTGCTAGCATAGCGTCCGCTAAGCGATAGCTAACCCTATAGTAGGTAGGCTCTATGTCTAAACTACGTCCTTAAGGCTTATCTAGACGTTTACTACGAATTCTTATATATAGCTATGCTAAAGAACCTAGCGCGCTGCGTTAGTTATGTAGCTAATAATACGTTGTGCTTGCTAGTAAGTACGTTAACTTGTATGCGCTAGTAGCTAATTACTAACTAACAGCTCTTTAAAGAGATTAAAGGCTTAGCCTAATACATTTAAGAATTTCTAGCTAGTATAAACAAGTTACTACTTTAGCAGATAATAGTTAACTATATTGTTGTAGCGCTAGGCGATTACTGCGTAATCGCTTAAAGGTTAATAACCTTAATAGCGGTAACTAAGGAACTTAGCCGCGCCTTATAAGAAGACAAGTTAAAGCCTCTAGCAACTAACTAGCGCTTCTAGCGCGAACGTTTTAAGATAGCATAATAGGCTGCATTGCGCCTTAGTGTCCTCTACTAGTACTAGTAAAAGCCAGAGCTTACCTTAACGCTTGCGTAGCGGTTAGTAGAGGTAGCCTAGCTCTTACTGCTAACGTCCTTAAACGTAGGCATACCGTTATAAGCGTAGACCTAAGTTGCTACTACCTTTAAAGTAATAGCAAGTCCCTTAATCCTTATTGTTAAGTTATTACTAACTTATTACTTAGGCTAATCTTTATTCTATTATGCTTAGCCCGGCCTAGCGCGCTGCGGCTATCTAAGCTAGCCATAGCAGCACGCTTTACTATATTATAAGAGTAGAGGGGCCGCCTAAGCAGATCCCGCAGACTATAGCAGCCCTAGTTAAGCTAGCCTAGATTAACTAAGTAGTAGTCTTTCCTTAGCCGCTGCCTCCGGCGGCGCCTAGCAAGTAATAGTCTTACGCTAAGTTGCTAACCTTAGCTAAGCGCTAGCATAGCGCTAAGACTATTCCTAGTGCTGTAGCTAGCGGTAGTAAGGTAGTTA